AGCCACAACCGGCCGTGGTCAGCTCACCACTGCGGCAGAGGCTTTCAACGAGCATCGGAAGGATTGGGGCTCCCGTGTCTGGTCAAGATCATTTGTGGCCCTCGCCAATACCCGCCCGAAGATATCTCGAGCAAACAGTATTCTGATTATGCATTTTAAGCATACGCTTCGCGGCGCAGAGCCTACGCCGTACATTAATCACGGCTCCTCTCGAAATATGGCGCAGAATGTTCCACATTCTAACCTCTACTGGACTCTACGAGTGCAAACTAGTCTGATAATGTGGGCCATCATGATTGTTGAAAGATCTATGATCATCCAAACTACCAGGATATTCGGAGAGGACACTCAAAGCGATGCCATGTCCGAGAAGCGCGAACAATCCTGGCTCTGCTCGTTCATGAGAATCACCCGTAATCTCGATTGTTCATTGGCCCAAACTGAAAAGTCGCTTTTAACTCTCTACAAGTACACACATCGACATTTATGGCCTAGGGGGCGTCGGTACCCCTAGTAGACTGCCTGGTGCCATCCAGATAAGCGGAAGCAATGAAGTACCATGCAAGTACCAGGACTGCACAGACACGCCTGTCGTGATCGACCAAAGAAGGCGTACATTACGAGCAACAATGATCTCTTAGTCGCCAAATCTCACATGTAAATCCAAATCTCGCCCCTGTGTACTTCCACACCAGATCAGAAAGGGATTTTCTTGAGTTCGGCTTGTCCGAAAGTCCGATTTCGCAATGCGACCAAAAGGTCACAATCGTGGCTGTTCACTGTGTCTCGGGCATCTCGTTTCTGGATACCGATGTGGAGATCTATTTCTTCGCACTCGAGTCAATATCACGCACGTTTTCGACCAGTACGGCCTCCAAACATTGGCCTTCCAAAGTATACGAAAGCCTAGAAACGTCACTGCATAACGGTTTCCCTAGCTTCCGGAGTTCTTGAACAAAGTTTGGTGGTGGATCCACCAGATGTGTCAATGACCGTCTTCCGAACTCGAAGGTGAGTTGAAGACGCGACTCATGGGTTTGTTGACGTCGTTATTCGCGCTCCAATGGACAGCTCGCGCAACAACATGCCCATCTCTCTTAGACCTGCTTCCTAAGTACCAGGTAAGCAGCCTCATATGACGAAAGGTCCTCAACTGGAAGTTTGTTGGTGATCCTTTGCAGAAAAGGGGCCATACAACTCGCTTGCCTACAAAGAACACATAGCAGCATGTTGAGGTTACAATGATGCAATATCGAATGGAATACGTCTGAAAGCGAAGAGCTTTCTCTTCGGAACTCAGCAGTTCCTGCTGCATTGTTGAATTAGAAATTTGGGTCTGCCAATCCAACGCTGAGAGGACGGTAGGGTTGTCCTATAATAGAGGTCTGGTATAGCGGACCAAGCCCTTGTTTAGGCTAATGTTCTCTTCGCGCCCTTGAACGTCTAACCCATCAATTCATAACACAGACCACTGAGTACACTCCCCCCGCCCTGATTTACGACAATAGGCGAATCAGATGAAAGAACGGCTGAGCTGCATGGTACTTTCTAGGTACAAACATTCGTTTTGGTCGAGGTACCCATGACCCCTTGACCACGCAACTCGAGTACTGAGAGCTTTCCCCACAATGTTCAAGCGTAGATCCTGCAGTTCGCTTCTGCTTGCACTCGAATGGAGACACGCTAGGGGTGCTGGCGTCGCGTGCGCGAGCGTGTTCGCAGCCTTTTGTACTCCGTAGCTGCGATGTAAATCGAAACGGAGGGAAGCTCTCCACAGTCAAAGGTGCGGACCGTTTGCACATCTAATGCAAGCCTCTACGGAATCCTTCCTTGGATTACGCCTTTCGTATCTAGAGGATTCGCCGATGTCGCGCTCCTTCGAAATCCCTTCCATCGACATCGCAATCATCACGGCGCAGCACAATTCACTAGCCCTCGTACTGTAATAGCTTCGACCAGAAACGTGGACTAAGTTTCAATCAGTTGACACACTTCTAGAAGGCCGCTAACGGACCGGCTTTTGGGAGATCACTGACTCAATGGTCGTGTTCGTGCCGTGCTCTAGTCATGTAGCTCCCGCAAATACGGCTCGCAATTCCCAGGTTCGAAGCCAATCAGCATCGATTTCTATCGCCAGCATCATCATCTCTCAATGTTACTTTAAATCTTGCTTCCACCTGATATGAGCACAGTCCGCGGTGCATACATTGTGCATACCAGCTTACATGGGAGATCCGCGAGCAGGGTAGTGAAAAGCACATCCAACAAGTGTACACACATTCAAGCAATTATGCTCTTCCTACGTATATTCAGGTGCAGTATTCTCCGCGTGCATCCGTCCGTGCTGCCGCACAGCAAGACGAAGGATTGTGGGGTGGCATATTTCCAATCCAGGTTTGTCGCTGCCGCATCATATACGTTGATATTAAGCACTCAACATATTAACAAAGGACGATGAGTGAGTGTGGAGAAGGAATGTGGAGGCTTGCCTCGCAAATTATGTGGCAGATTAACTTGCTGGTAAGTCGTTCCTGGTCCACGTTCGGTAGCTGAAGGTACTGCCGTGTTACCATTGAATATGTGTTGACCTGGATTTCCCCTGCCTTGTGCATTGTGGAGGTCCTCAGTGATCGGAGCTTAGGGGAGGGATTCCGGTGGTGGCTGTACCACTTTCGTGCGTTCCCTCCTTTGATGTGGAGGCGTCGAACTTGCATCCAAGGTAGTTGCAGAAACAGACTGGGGACAAAGACAGCTACCTACGCCTGCTGTGGTGAGGTCGTAGTTGAGCACATTCGTAGTGGAGGGTGTCAGCAACCAAGTGCGGCGTGCTGAGACAATGGGCAACAAACAGTGCCACTGGTTCAGCCTCGACCAGTCAGCATGATTCTGTTCTACAGTGCCATCCATAGATGAATATGAGGAGCTTGTGCATGTACAGTTACAACGTGCAGAACGACAAGTCATGAGGGCAAGTACATACACCCAGCTCGGTGTCGCAGCGAAACCACCTTAGCCACAGATAGTTGGCTAGGAGTCCTGCGGAGAGGTGGAGAGAGCGACACGCGCAGAGCCTGGAAGCAGTAGCTGCAACGACGAGCATCATGGCCAAACCAAGTATCGATGTGAAAAGATCTGGGGTGCATGGGACAAACCAGTACTAGAGTGCTGTGTACAGTTGCCGTCTGCAGCTGTCGAGTTGTCGCTCACTTCCTCTAATTTCAATGACCTTCCATACATACATGAGCACACCCTCCAGGCAGCCCTGCCAAGTCTGGGATGTTCTTTGTCGGGCATGAGGAGAGCCAGCCAGTTGATCAGCGAAGTTGGAGGTGTGCTTGTCAATCGTTCTACCCTGTTCCTTGCAACGACCTTCATCCTGTAAGTGTAGCTCAACAACTTGATATTCTGAAACGCCGTGACGAGTTGCCTGGTATTTCGCACCTTCTGTAGGTAACCATGGAAGGCTTGTGTCCGGATTGTGTTGGCTGAATGCGAACTGTTTTGCATCTTGTTGTTGAAATCGCGAGGAAAAAGGGGTGGATTCGATGCTGCCGAAATATCTGGTAGCGAGCTCCATTCACGTTTGAAGTCTCCCAAGTACCAGAAAGTATACCACCCCGCTTCGTACAATATGCGTAGTCCATCACTCTATCTAGTGAGTCTCTATGCGCGTATCCCTAGGTCAGAACCCGCTTCTTCATTCGCCAAATCCGATATATCTCCGCCTCCTAAATGGGATCTTATACGTGATCGTACAAACAAATATCTCAATAGCACTAGTGACCATATAATAGTGATTTTTAATATTTTGAATCAATAAGACTATTCAACGAGAAGGTTGCTTCATATCGTTGAGCAATTATACGCTCAGATGAGATGAGTTGTTCTGTTAATGTACCACTACATGGTAAGCAATACTAGTTCTCCTGATTCAGGATGCCTGTACCTTGGGCATTTGCCTTTCCCGCACGGTGAGCCCTTGAGCCATCGTCCATCCCTCGCGCGCGCTTACTCCAAAGACTTTTCATAAAATTACTTTTCTCATTGTGCACAGGGTCGTCTGATACGATCTGGTTTTGTTGATAAGGGAGAATTAAAGTTTGACTGTGGATGATAGTCCCTCCGCCTGGTGGGCTGGGCTGAGGCGTGAGTTCGCTAAGGACGAGGGTTGGGCGCAATAGTTGATCTGAAACATATAGTAGGGGTATAGTACCATGATTAAATGAAACAAACAAGAGAAGGCAGCTCCATTCTCAGTGCAGGGCCACGACGAGTGCAGAAGGAGGTGGGGATACAGTTTCTGTTATTGACATGTATGTTGATAGCTTTAAACTTTTTGGGTGCTTTTGCCGCGGGCTAAGTATTACTCGCACCTTGCAGCCTACCTATACCATACGATCCTCTTAGAACAAGGATGAAAGTGGTCTCGACAATCGCTCTGCCGTCTTCCCCGTAGCAGCCACCCCGTTTCAACGGTCAGAAATAATGGTGTTGTTCAACCAAACTTTCTTCGACTCATGGCACCCTCGCTTACAAGGCCCTGGTACAACGGCAATACTTGTAATGGTGCGAAAAGAAGTAGATCGAAAAAAATGTGATAGATGCGCCTGTGAACCAGTTTTGACACAAGGGAAGCCAAACTTGCGCCGCCCATCCGTCCGAAGTAAAGAAGTAACTTGTTTGGTGCAAATGCCATGCGAAACAGTATATGTGGGAGCCAACCATCGTATCCTCTTGCGCCCCACACAAGGAGTTCAATGAACTGAGGAGCCCAACCATAACGCCGCCCAGCCAAACCCTAACTGTACTGACGTACACCCAACTAAAGAATCAAATAAATCAAGACATGGATCAAGAATGAAGAAAAGAAGAAGCATCATAACAAACAGGAAAGGAGATATACGTAACATCAAAATGTAACTTGAAGAGAAGAGGCGACCAGGATTCGATCAAGGTACCTGCTGGGGGTACGATGTGGTTACTTGGACGAACCATATCAATCACAGGGCTAGCCCTTGACCGTCACCTGACCACCGGTAGAGGGAGAGCATCTCTCTACGACGTTGTTGTGCAAATTCGGCATGCTCATCCATGCCTCTCCCACGCACTTGCTGCAAGGCAGAGCGCATGACTTTCCGGAAATTTCTCTGCAGTGTTTGGTTAGCATGAATATACTCATTTCGGGATGAAACGATGGGATCGGAAGGCTGTCGGAACGTTGTGGCGAGAGAAACATAGGCTCAATGCGGAAAATATCAACCTACTTGGTACTCGGTGTTGAGTGTGACGATGCAAGCTTCATGCGCGCGCACGATCGTCTCGCATGCCTTCACAACGTTGGGATTTGCCTCGCCTTGGAGCTTGTCGGCGATTAGCAGTAGAAGAAAACTACCTTGTAGCAGGTAGATTCCGAAGAAGAAGGGCATGAAACTGAGGTCAGGGTCATGTTCGAGGATCTCGTTGAGCGCTTCAGCAGCTGAGACTGCGTGACCTGGATTTTATTAGTGGATTTCTTAAGGTGGCGCGATTGTTGATCACATACCTGTTGCGTCGATGAAAGACTGGGACGAGATCCAAAGATCATTGTCGTCTAGAAGAGCGATTGGATCCCATTTACCATTCAGTAGAATGTGAAGCGTATGCATTAGATGAGTACCATACGCAACGACGATTCTCGCTCGCATCAGGGCCTCCTGCGCGCGCGAGGTCGTTGAATTGACAGATCGTGGTGTATCCGGATGCAGAGTTTCGTGCGCCTCCATGCTGGCCTCGTTAACGGCTCTTGCTCTTAATTGCTGTAGGGTGTCTCCATATGCATCCAGTTGCCGGGTGATCTCGGCTGCATGGTCGTCCCAGTCAGAGCCGTTGCGGAACTGTCCGAACCGAGGGTGCTTGCGCGCGTGATTGAGCTCGACGATTTCTCCGAGAATTGTCATCAGAGGTAGGAAGAAGGCGTATATGCTAAGTCCGGTGCACTCAAAAGGGGCGCCTCGTTGTCGGTGAAAAGGGGAGGTTGAATCTGAAAATGTCTGAGCGCAGTCCCCATTATAAAATTCACCTGCTTGCCATACGGAGTCATCGACAGGCTGCAAGAGGCCGTCACACTGCCGACAGAGTCAGAATGATACTCCGTATGTGTTGACCCCTTGACTACATGGAAAAGTGTGGGTAATGGCAGTGCCGTCGGAAAAGCACCGCAAAAAGACACCAAAAGGACCCCTTTTGGGATCAAGGCCAGGTAGAAAAATCGAGAAGTGTGCTTACCTCGATATCGAGTAAGGATAATGGTCTGTTGTAACAAAGCGCAAGATGCCTGTCCACTGCAAACAGGAGCCACCAAATGCGCCTGCGCTCCTCTCTTTGCTCCTCGGAAAGATCAATGGGACCATTCTGGCTGTTAGAGTGTTCCATATCAACTTCTCCAGGCACATCATCTTCCTGCTCGGGTGGTGGCGTCATCGGAACCTCCTTGCCCAACTTGAGTTCTCTGGCCAAAGACCAAGCGGCATTCCACCAGCGAAGGCTAGCAGCCTTGTACTCGCTCGCAGATATCACGATAGCCAGATGCATATAAGTAGCAACGTCATCCACACCACCAGGTGCACCTGGCAAACCATCGGTATCCTGCACCGCTGGCATACCAAAGTTACCAAGAGTAACACCGTTGACGGTCGAATTGCTAAAGGTGGGACTGGCATCCTGCGTATGCACTAGTGGCTTCAATAGACTGATCGTCAAATTGATCAGCTTCTCGGAAAGCTGGCTCCGGGCAGATGGAGAGGAGGCCAGATACGGCGATTCACTTGTGAGGCAGCCAATCCAGAGCATGGATGCTAGGAGTGCTGGGCTACACACGCGCGGGTTGTTCTGTCGCAGAAACGATCGTTTTCGGAAGACGTAACCAAGTACGTACGGACTATGCTAATGTGTCAGTGAACGGCGCCAGCATGTTGGATATCACTACCACGCAAGTGGCAGATGACTACTGTCACATCGATTGACCTACCTGACAGGTTGCATGAATGCTGAGCTTTGGCTTTGGAAATATAGCTCCAATAATTCACAAGCCAATTGTATGGGCATGATGTTCGTCAAGTGTGGGAGGAGTGGTGTCAATACTGGGTATCGAAGTTGCTGTTGTGCGTTCATCGCTTGTGGGTACATGTTCGCTGTAGTTGGTGACGGTATCGACAGCCAGCCTGGGGACCCAGACACAGGAGAATGGCCAATAAATCCCGGCATCTGTGATTCCTCGGTTGGTATCCTGAAAGCATTCGGCGGGGCTTGCGCACTCTGTGGACTCATCATTGAGTAAGGGCTGTCGGTGTACTCCGGCATTCCGTTAGATGGGATTATTGGATGCATGCCGTTTTGAATCATCGGGTGCGGGGATTGGTGCATCATGTTGCGATGAAAGTCGTCTATCGATGCATACTCTTGCATTGGATTGTGCATCGGCAGTCCTTGGGTCTGTATCCGTGGAGGCTGCATTGGGCCCATGCCATCGTTTGGAACGGACATCTGATGAACAGAATTCTCGGGTATGGCATCAATGTTGTTTAAGCTCATTGCTCGAGACATCGGTGCGACATTTTGGTACATAGGTGCACCTTCCATGCTGGCTGAAGCCATACTAGCGGAGCGACTTGGAGGGAGCTCGGGCAGTGGCCTCTGTTCCGTATGTTCCACGCCATTAGCAGAAACATCGGTCCTCTTTTGAGTCTCGTTGAATCCAGTGCTGTGAGACTGTGGGCTACCCGTGGTGGAATCGCCTGATGGGGCTGCGTTGCTATTCCCGCTGTTCGATCCTCCAGCGGCAGAGGCCGCTGCTGCTTGAGCAGCGGCGATCTCCTTTTTTGACTGCTTCCCACGCTTCTTGCGCTCTCGTACATACTCGCATGTCAGACCGAATTCTATATGTGTGATTAGTGTCATTTCTTTCAACAGGGCTGGGTGTGTCCAGTTCACTTGCTGACACTGGGAGAGAAGTACCTAAACAATGAGCGCAAGGCGCTTTGCCGTCGCACTTGGTTCTCAATTGGTTGCATTGATCACAGGCACGACTGATACGTCGTCGCACCGGGCCAGATGCGGAAGGGTTTCGGCCGGATCTTTCGTGAAGCATAGCACTTCGCTGGTCCCGCGGAGCGATAGGGCCTGTGGGGTACGGCATGCGATGAGGCTTGACCATGGCTTTACCATTTGGAAGAACATGTCGATTCTGATGAAATTGCAGAGCAGCATACTGAGAAGTATGTGCCAATGTATCCAAGGGAGAATGCATATGTTGTGCGGCGAGATGTTGGTGTTGATCGACCATGTTGCCCGGAGGCATATTGTACTGATAGGAAAGCATGTTGCTAGCGTCCTTTGGGGCCGTAGCCGCAATTACACTCTTAGAGACAACAGGGAGGGCGATCCAGTATGTCGACAACGAACAGAGCGTATTGTCGAATGTTGTATGTGGAGATAGGTATGATATTGTGTTGGGGTGGATTGAGAGGAAGGGTGTTGATGAAGTCTGGTAGTCTCTCAAGTAGGGTGGGTATCGAGAACAAATGTAGGCTGGCTGGCGGCTGCGCGTGCCTGACTACAATATAGCTGCCGGCCGATGTGCTCTCCGTCTTAAGAGACCTCTTAGAGGTCGCGGGGTATAGCACAGTTTTACTGTTGCTTGGAGGTTGCAGGGTGGTCAATACCGGTGGAAGTCCCTTCTCCGGGTCCAGTTGCGTCGCGCGTCAGATAGTCTGTCTCTGGGCCACATGGACTGCATCCATCTGCTGCAAACGAGATGGGCAGCACAGCACGAAGGGAAGGGCTCGCTGTACAAGACAAGGTCGACATCTCAAAAGGTGTTCTGTGCGCTGCCCCCGTTCCCCATCCCTCCCCTTCAGACCATGGACCATAGTACCCATACCTCGCAGTAGTAGACCCTCAGCATTCACCCCGGTAGGGGCCGGGGGGACCTGGCTGCAACAACGCTTTCACGTTGAGCACAGTCCACAAGGCCGCAGGATCGTCGGTGCCGCGAGCTTGAACGGATGCACCCTCAAATGCTCGCCGCGGGTTAGGCCCGCAATCAAAAAGATATTGACTGATCGTGCGATCCTTGACCCTATATGCGACCGTGTTAAGGCAGAGGCGCGTACCGATGCCGCTCGAACAAGTACCTCGTTAGTACTCCCCCGTACCTAACAAATCCACCATACCACCATGAGGTCCGCTGCCGTTGACAGGCCTGGTCGATCAGGAAACGAGATGCATCGTGATTGGCGTCCATAACACACATCTCGTGCAACCACCATCAGAACGCCAGCTGATGGCACGGGACCATATGCTGTCTCCACCATCCACCGTCGTTGTCCGTTAGATACCCTCCAGTACCAATATGTCCGGAATACTCGAGACCGCGAACAGGTCGACCAAGGTCTTCACCCTAGCAGAAGCAGCAGCGATGTGTCCCAGCACAATACAAGGTCGGTCGCTGCTGTCCGCCACCTGCCAGTCATACTACATCCCAGTGTATAATCCATCCTACCAGCCATCCGCTACCAGCCTGTGCTGATCAGCCTTTCATCCAGAATTCTACCAGAAGAAAGCCGGCGAGCATGAGTCAATGCCAGAGACGCGCTGATGAAATCGGTGTCAGAGTCTTCCAAAACGCTTCCAGAGCATCGTGTCGGAAACCAGCACTGCTGAGGGTTCTGGCCGGGCTACCCCAGAAACAATCGCTTACGTCAAACTCTGGAGAGCCTGCGCATAATAATGAACAGCATTATCGTGCTCGGTAATGCATGTTATGAAGGTCCTCCACAGTATGAACGACTAGGATCCTCGCGTGCAGAGGAGACGTTGTCTGGATGCCAAACTAGGACTGGACAGCAAGTGCGATGCGCAAACTCCGGTCTATAATACAGCGTTTTAAGATGAATAGTCCAAAATGAGAGGTTGCGGTACGGCCATGTCAGCGTGCCTGGCCCAGCCTATACAGAGCACCTATGACAAGTCGAGTGGCGGAGAAGCGCAAGCAGACGACCTAGGCTAAGAGTCCAAACTCACTTGTTCCTTAACGGCGGATGCTCCTCCGATTCTTAAAAACAGACAAACCTGTTCTCCATGTCTGATGACAATGGGCATACTGCCTCGTCATAATCTTGTCATGGACGTTGCTGCGGACCATAATAGCCCATGGAACTCGACGTGCGTCGCAGCTTGACCTCATCTACCAGTTGGCGGATGATTTCCACCTACCCTAGGCGGGTTGTCAAAGACGTGTAAAGCCAGCGGATCGCTCCGCATTCAACGGCCAGGTCTCTACCGCATTTACTCCAGCGCAACCTCAACAGCTTGGCTGCAGTCGCTGCAGGAACGTCTACAAAGAGGTCGAGAATGAAATTTTTGGTACACTGACCGGCATATCCCTCCGGTCGATCAATAGCAATACACCTCTAACGGTGGGGAAAGGGCCAGCACGTCTTTCTTGAGTACTAGCAACCTGGCTCAGGCCCCAGTTGCCAAAGGAAGACTGTATCCCGAACCTGGGATCGTAGTCGTGAAAGCATAACTTATGAAAAGAATGTGAATGCACTGTTGAGATGACACAGAATGCCAATCAGAGACCTCGCCCGAGATGTTGCTGAACCAGTACGAATGTCCTGAGGGGCACTGGGGATCGAGCCAGGATTGTGAAGAGAATACAGCCCACGCCGTATTGGGAACGGGCAAATATTCTCCGCTAGCGCATCCTTGCCCATCGCGCGCCTTCAATCTCTGAAGGGAACAGGTCATGGTGGGTGTTGGCTTCTTCTGGAGCATCGTTCAGACCTGCTCAACGGTAAAGCGGTTAATGAGCCAAGCAGAGAATGGTGCCAATCTTGCCTAACCACTAAGTGCATCTGAAGTCCCTCCATGAGCGACGGATACGGTACGAGGATGGCGCCCCCATCACATCCCAGACTAGGATCGCTCTCGACGTCTGTCAGCCATTGGACGCTGAACAGGAGTTTGCCAGTGGGTGTGAACCAATATTCCTCAGCGAAGAACAAAAGACTGAAATGCACGTGGGCCATGGAAGCACTCCACATTAACCCCCATTACATGTGTGCATGAAATTTGGGCCAATGGTCATTTTGGAAATTTCTAGAGTTGTTTTGGCTGGCTTTTGCCTTGAAGCTGCATATCATGCATTCGATGCCACCTGTTCAACAATCAGTTACGGATCCTCGCACCTGCGAGAAAGGTGTCTTACCCGTATTGCCCTCAGGCTTATTGCCCTCAGGGTACGGATGTTTCCTGACAATCAAGCCGAATGGGATACGACGCTCGCCACTAATGTCATCGGACTGATACGGTGCTCAGCGCATGTTCTTGGGACCGGCTGTGGTGTCACTACCATCGCCCAGTCACAGCAGCTCTGGCTTTGACTAATCCAAGCAGGCATCTAAATGCAGGCGAAGATCCTGGAAATTGAATATGAACTACGGTCTAGATACATTATCATGTGAACAACAGATTTCGACCACTCCCTGGACTTTGAAGTGATTTCTGGGTGGAGAATCAGAGTATAGACTGGGCGAGTGGCCAACGACAAATCTGTCCAGGAAGGAGACACAATACTCGATACTCAATACGATACAATGTGGAGTTAGTGAATCTGATCTGTTGAGACCACTCGTCAGCAGAGTAAGATTGCGTTATAGCAGCACCAGCAGACCGGATCGGCATTTGAAAAACTATAGAAGTAATACCGCGCGCGAAGGCTTCAACCCGGAGAAGTGAAATTGAACGCGAAGCTGGACGCAGGGCTATCACGGCTTGTCAGGCCAGAGTGAGCCCGTTCGTTGATCTCTCAGATATTGCAGTGCAGCAACTTGCATCGACCTGCGGCGGAGTGCAGTTAGAGAGGACGATAGGAGAAGATTCGCAACCAAAAATACGCAAGCCACCAATTTTCGGTTCCATACGTTCGAGGGCGACTTGGGACGCAATCAATGAGGGTGCCAAAAAGGGGGTTTGGCAATTGTTGCGATATTCAGCATGTCCTACTCCGTACTTTGTCACATGAATCGAGAGATGGAGCTGACCAGAAGCTACCAAATTCAGAGTTTCACTGACAACACAGTGTGGTCATGATCATGATCCTGGCTCTTACCAAATCTGTGATCCTACTCTTACGACTGCAGTTGCGTCTGGAGGAAGGAGGACCAGGGCCCGCAAAGGGCATCAGCCAACAGAAGCTCCAGGCAGCTGTAAACGAGCTGGCTTTCGTACACCTTGTACACCTTTTCGCCCTCTAGTGTCTGGACGCTTCCTCGATATTGCTGTGGCGGTAAACTCCGAGGCTGTGGAGTTCTTGGAATTGGCGAGATGCTTGATACGGTATTCAGTCCTGCTCCAGTATCTCAAGAGTGCAGTGCATAATGTCAGTATTGATCGTCCAGATTCGCAATGCATATTATTCAGCTTTACAATCGTAAATACTTGTGTTCTCCTCCTCTTTTACTTCGGTAGGCCGTTCGATACGCGTGGGTCTCCATCAAAGGCATATCAGATATAGAAATCAGAGGATTCATTTGTTGCCTATGAACACAATGCGTACAAGGACGCTATGCCTGCTGAAGGATCGCAGAAAGACAATCACTGACTTCTGACTGGTGACTTGCGGGGGCGACCGGAGAGAAGGAGAGTACTTTACCAAAGGACAAGGTACCTGAACGCTGAGGCCCAATAGTAACCAGGGCCTGAAGTGGTTTGCCAGGATCATGTAGAGGAGACCGCAGCGCAAGTGCAGAGAGCATCATGTCTAAGTCGCCGCCCGATGTATGTCGCCCGAAGATCCCATTTTTGGTAGATTGAACGGCCAAGTCAGGTGAGAATATCTGAAAGTGAATACCATGCCTGACCAGAACCCCGTGCGGGTTGGATACTCGTCTATGTCGGATATAGACTTGCACACAAAGTGTGGGAGCGATGTGTACTGTGTAGAGTAGAGTAGATACCTCGAAGTCGAAATGCCAAGAGGGTGAGAGCGCTAATCGAGTAGTGCGTAGTAGCGTACCACTCGATTTGGTGGGGCGCCAGCAACGTCATCTGGCTACGAGGGAGGTATCGTCCTTGCGACAAGACTTCTCAAACAGTCAATTCAAGCCTCATTGCCATTACCAGATTTAATTGCAGCTGAAACTGTACACGAGCATTGGTGCCCTCTTTCAATCCCTCCTGATCCAATTAATCTATCCAACGAGGTCACGCCCAAGTCCCCCTCGCCACAATGTCTGTCGAGACCATTACGACGATTTCGCCCATCACCAACAAGCCAATTCTTACACGCAATGGCCTCTCAGATGCTGATCTCCAATCAATCCCTGAGAGAGCCGTCAAGGCCTTTGAAGCCTACCGCCGCACCTCCCTTTCAGAGAGGCAGCAAATTGTCAAGAAGGCATTGAAGCTACTCAATGACCGTCAGGATGAACTCGGCAAAGAGGTGACGGAGCAAATGGGTCGCCCAATTGCTTTCACGCCCAAAGAGATTACCACCGCCGTGGCACGCGGCGAGTATCTCCTCAAAATTAGCGAGGACACCCTCAAAGACACGCCAGGCGAGCCAGAGAAGGGCTTTACCCGCTACATCAGAAAAGTTCCAATCGGTCCAGTGCTTATTCTATTCCCATGGAATGTTAGTGTGGCAATTCTATCTTTGTCTTGCTCGCTTCGTCGCATTCTCATGTACTGACTAGATTTACAGTATCCGTATCTGACCCTGGTAAATTCGATAGTCCCCGCCTTGCTCGCAGGCAATTCGGTTATCCTCAAGCCCTCGCCCCAGACCCCAACCAGTGCCGAACAGATTCAGCGTGTTTTCCGCGATGCCGGACTTCCTGAGGATGTCATCCAGGTTTTCCACTCTGGTTCTCTCGTCCAGATTGGAGCGATCGCCAGATCCCCGCAGATACAATTGGTCTGCTTCACCGGGTCCGTTGCGGGGGGCCTCGCGGTGCAGAGCGCTGCTAGTGATCGAGTCCCCCTCCGTGTGGGTCTCGAGCTCGGTGGTAAGGATCCTGCCTATATCCGTGCGGACGTCGATATCAAGTGGGCTGCGGAAGAGATTGTGGATGGCGCCGTCTTCAATTCGGGCCAGAGCTGCTGCAGTGTGGAACGAGTGTATGTGGATGAGAAAATACACGATGAATTCGTCACAGCTCTTCAGGAGGTCTTGAAGGGATACAAGCTTGGTGATCCATTCGACAGCAAGACTCACGTTGGACCTGTTGTATCACAACGATCAGCCGAGTCTATCAAAGCCCACGTCAAAGATGCTCTCGAGAAGGGCGCCCAAGACGCTACTCCAGAGAACGACTCTTTCAAGTCGCCACCTGCAGACGGTAACTACGTTGCGCCAACCCTTCTCACCGGTGTGAATCATGACATGGCGGTCATGACTGAAGAGACCTTCGGCCCCGTGATCCCCGTCATGAAGGTCAAGAACGACCAAGAAGCGGTCAAACTCATGAACGATAGCCAATTTGGGTTAACGGCAAGCATCTGGACCAAAGATGTCGAAAAGGGTCATGAACTTGTTGAAGACGTTGAGGCTGGAACAGTGTTTGTGAATCGGTGCGACTATCCTGCTCCGGTAAGTCTTTCAGCATCCATAATGAAACAATTCGTCCTAATCTACTTAGGATCTTGCGTGGGTTGGCTGGAAGGATTCAGGAAAGGGTCAGACCCTGAGCAAGTTCGGTTTCGATCAATTTGTCAAGCTAAAGAGCTTCCACGTAAAGGACTATCCTAAATAGATTAACGTTTAAGGTATGGCCAGACTTGGCTCAGTCATGAGGCTATTCTCGTCAAGAGACAGCGCGTGCGCGAGCACCACCTCGAAATGGCCATCATTGAATAGGTTTCTTGTAGGCGCTGATCTAAAGAAACACATACTCGCCTGGTACAAGGGAATTCATTTCGGCGTTGCGATAGTGTGCATCGACAGTTGTACGGGGTACGACAACGCAAGCCATTCTGGAAACCAAGTCAACCCTTCAATTCCTTGATGCGGACGCTAGTGTCTCATAAATGTAGCCCCAATATCAATCTCAGCAAGGCCGAACATCTTTCTGATCGCGTCTCAAACACGCATTATGGTACCTGATCAAAGAATGCAAGCTTATGCAAGGTTGGTGGTACGACAGGACGACGAAACACCTCTCCAATTGCCCACTTGCACTTGCGCCTGTCAAACCACTTGACCAGGCCGATCTGTCTTAACTCATATGATCCTTTTATAGTCTTTGTTCTTGGAGACGCATATGCTCGAAATAATTCATCGGTGCTCAAATACTGGAAAAGTGGATGCAGAACGCTGATCGGAGTGTTCGTACACGAAACTCGAAGGCGTGGATCTCTTATCTCAACAGCATTCCAATGCCTCGAAAAAGTATAATCTATACTTATTTCGCCATTAAGGAATGACAACGACGCCTTGACTATGTCTCTTCGAGGCAAGGAATGGGAGAGTTTCGTCGCGTGGCAGCTTGACACTAAGTCATCTGCCGCTTCTCTTATATTCCAGACTCCGTTCTCAATAAACGTCCTGACTCCTGAGCATCGCTCGGGTTATCAATGAACAACGAGCTCGTGTAAATCACGAGCTTATCCACAGCTTCTGTTTTTTCTGTTATCATCTTCTTTATACCTGTGTTTGTGCTTGGTCATCTTTCGTCAGCGTCTCCAACATTTCTCGTTGAATACCCCGAGTTCATTTGGATAGATCTTTCAGATTACTTCTTTCAGCGATATCAAGTCGCTATGGCAGTAAAGGACGTCTTGGCCAAGTTCCGAAAGGCTCTGCTATGCTGTGGATCAGGAGAGCGGAAGCGTTCGCTGGAGATTGTATGTCACACTCAAGTATACTGCTTGTGAAGATTTGCACTGCTAACTCACTCCGAAGAGCTCTCCTACAGATGTTCAAAGAGGTGTACTAGATATGCCAGGGTTGACCGACGAACAGTAAGTGATCTATACCCTCCTAGTGGTAGTGAGTCGCTGCTCAAGTCCTCGTGGGCACGAGTAGACGCCCCTGAATACGGAACTTGGACAATTTCTCGAAGACTTTCCATAATGGGTGTCATGCCTTCTCCCATTCGCGTCGACATTTTCAATGGGCACGCTGACACCTTTGACAGACGCCATTTCATCCGTGAGAAAGCCTCCACGGACGCAGCCCGTCTGCTATCTTTGACCTCTCACCCTCCCACTCGACCGACCTCTCTCCCGCCCTCTTCAGGTCCATCGCCAACGTCTTCTCGTTCGCCTTCCGTCACCTTACTCAACTCCGCATCCTCCAATCTCCCGGAAACCCTCCCGACCCCACCTCGTCAAAAGCACACCGACCCAGCACCACCGACATCAGCCCACAACCGCATGAAAGGCTTCTGGGAAAGCACCCGACGCCTCAGCAACAGCCTCAGCAACACCAACCACAACGGCTACCGGGACCTCAAGCAGAACGACGTCGACCGAGACGAAGGCGTGGTATTGCTCAACATGGACTTCAAAGACACGGAGCCCGATTCGCCCGCGTCCATCAAAAGCATCGACGAAGGCTTCGTCTCGCAGGACGTCCTCGTCGGCGGCACCCCTACGAAACCCAACAGCCTGCCCCGCGAACGCACAACCCCGAGGTCGGCCAAGGATGCCGATAATGTGTCCGTCAGCGACAGCGACGACGAGTTGGTGGCGCGTATGGCAGGCAAGGGGGAGACTGCTGGAAGCACCCCGCTCGTCAAGGCTTAAATCCTATGTAGAATTACCACCCCCAACGCCTCTCCCCGTCATCGCACTTCCCCCTTCTCGGGGATTGCGCGTGAGGAGGGGAAAGCTTTGGTCTTGTTTGTATCAACCTCCGGGTATACGAGATTGATCGATCCGATATGAAAGGTGCTGAACGCACTGAGGTGCAAGGAAGGGCTGTGAGATTAGATTGTATGAGACTGTAAGATGTAATGGTATCTAGTTTTCGGACGAGATTGGACATATGTAATTCGAAAGGGAAAAAAAGCTCTTGTCTCTTAGGTAATTTTGGATTCTCTTTCGGCGGAGGTAGCAGCGAATGGATGAGTGTACATTGTGTGCAAATTTTGAGAAACTTGGAACGTGAGGATCGAATGCAAAAAATCCTCGTGAACAATAGTAGCCCTGAGTGGAATGGGAAGCTTGACGGAAAGGGGAAATGTCGAGAAATTAAACATCCAAACAGGCAACGAAATCAGCACGCTCGGCGCTGCCTTTGGGCACTTTACCAGTCGCCCTTACATCCCTTGAATAATACCAGCGACCACTTGTTCAATCATGAAAGTCAAATATAAGCACCAGGTCCAGACGTTCGTTTATGTTAGTTGATTTGCTCCGCGCGTACCACACCTAATTACCACGTCCCCCCGCCCATGAACAGCGAACACACACGGCAAACAACGCAGAATTCCCTAGTAAGATTAAGAAAAACCTGAACGAGAACCAAAAACGTTCCTTCGCAAGAAATTCGCTATCGCCAAAAAATCATCTAGGATCTCACTTCCCAAGCACCAACTGTGATGTCAGATGTTGATTGTCTGTATCAACTGGGTGCGTCGTGCCTTTATTTATCTGTCGATCCTCCATGGAAACAGATTACATATGGTATCAGGGACTTCTGTCATTGGTTTCCTGGTTTTCTGTTTCGATCATTGTTGTTCAGGAAAGATTATGCACGAGTGTGGTGATTTTGGATTTTAATTTCGATTCTCATCTCCAGGATACTGGCAAGCTATGTACAGAGAGAAAAGAAAAAGGAAAAGATAAGAAGATAGAAATAGTCCCCCTTTCGTCCTCCCGCCAATGCATGTGGCATTTCCTTCCCTTTACTTTTCAAGATCTTAGGAAAAAATACTTCTACATTTGACCTGTCTCATAATACAACCCCCCCCCACCGAACACCCACCAGTTGCCGCCCGCCGTCATCAATCGTAAAGGTTCGTCTAATATACTCCGCCGCAGTAGATAGGTGGTTTGCCCATTTACTTGGAGGTGTCGAGGACGTATCGTCCAGCGATCTCGCCCTTGCGCATCTTGTCGTAGACCATCTGGAGCTCGGAGAGGCCGACGACCTGGAAGGGAGCCTTGATGAGTCCGCGCCTGAAGAAGTCGATGGCCTCGGCGCCGTCTTTCCTGTTTCCGACGTAGGAGCCCTTGATGGTGATCATCTTGACGACGGACTCGAAGACGGGAGCCTTGAGGTAGGCGCCGGCGGGGAGACCGATGCAAACGACGGTGCCGCGGGGGCGGACGTACTCGGCGGCCTGCTGGAAGGGCTTCTCGTTGACGGCGACGAGGAGGACGGCGTGGGGGCCGAGGCCGTCCTCGGTGGCGGCCTGGACGTCCTTGACGACGTTGGACGAGGTCGCGAAGTCGATGAAGGAGTCGGCGCCGAGCTGCTCGAGGCACATCTTCTTCTTGTCGGCGCCCGTGTCGATGGCGATGACCTTCAGGCCCATGGCCTTTCCGTATTGCTGGGCGAGGGAACCGAGACCGCCTCCGGCACCGACAATGGCAACGGATTGGCCTGGTCGTACGCCGGATTCCTTCAATCCCTTGTAGACGGTGATACCGGCGCAGAGGACGGGTGCGATGGCGTCGAGGGGAACATCCTTGGGGATTCGGGCAATGTGAGCTGCCTTAGCAATGCAGTATTGTTGGAAGGATCCGTCGACGGTGTAGCCAGAAAGGTCGGGCTTGGGGCAGAGGGGTTCGTCGGCCTGCATGCAGAAGTCGCAGGCAAGGCAAGAGCCGTTAAGCCATTTCACACCTGCGTGTTCGCCAAGCTATGGATATTGTCAATTCCGCGTGTTTCCGAGTAGTAGGGAGCGGGGTTTGTGTATATTTACCTCGACATCTTTGACGAGTTCGCCACGGGCGACGACAACACCAGCACCTTCGTGACCACCGACGAGGGGTAGCTTGGTGGGCTGCACAGAAAGAAATCAAGGTCAGAATAATTGTTTACAAGGTAGGGAGGAACTGTCAAAACTTACCAATGGCCAGTCACCGTTCAAGGCGTGGAGATCAGTATGGCAGACGCCAGAGTACTTGATGTTGACGAGAACCTCATCTGGGCCGGGCTTGGGGACAGGAATCTGCTTGTACTCGACGGGGCCGCCGTTCTTCTCAAAGACCTGAGCCCATTGCGTCTCTGGGATTTCGAATTGAGGTGCCATTGTGGTGAAGATGGGAGGAACTGTGGGTATCACGTAGAAAGAATTGGTACTCAAAGAGCTCTTGCTGTGAGGATAGGAAGATATGCTGTGAAGTAGCTGATCGAATGATGATGATGGAAAGGATATTCTATTGAGGGAAGAAACAAGGGCCTTTATATATTATGGAAGGCTTCATGACGATGTATAACCCCACTTTGGGATAACGCGTACCACGTTCCAAGCATGTAGGTAAGAAAAGTCTCGAAGCTCAATTAGGCCGAGCAAGCTCCTCTCATCCATTAGCATCCCTCCCTGACCGAGGACGGAGGTTAGGGGAGCATGCCGGAGAGACGGAGGGCGAGTCCAGTGATTGTCACGGCACAATTGGTGTCAATGCAGGCCACACAGCTTAGTCGGCCGTGGTGCAGAGGGGTAGGTGAATTGTTAGTTGATCGCACTATCGGATGATGTCTTGAGACATGCAAAGAGTTAGAGAGGTGAGAGGGACGCATCGGATGGGTGGCAAGTCTACGTTAGCGTGGAAGGCGTTGGCAAGGTCTGTGAGGGCTGTGAGGTTCTTTGAGAGTATCTAAACAGGTGGGCTGATGTTAGTGCGGGACTGTTGAGAAGGCCGAACAGAGGTGCTGGAAGCCTTGGAGGGGGAGGTGGTATGCAAGTGGTAAGGTATGGGATTGGTGTGTTTTGCAGTAACTAGCGGTAGATGGAGTGGTCATGGACGAGATAGCGGTTACAGAGGGATAGCTTATGGTGGTGTGAAAGGATGTTGCTCGTAGTAGAAGATGGATGGTAGAGGATTGAGACTCGAGAGAGAGGAGGTCAAAGGGATGACGTCCAAGAATAGGGTAGGGTAGTCGATAGCCTAACCCATTATAGTAAGGTCCATATGGATAGTGGGGTGGATCCGCATCGCTAAGCAGGGATCTTCCGACTTTCCATCTCATCTCACCTGATGTTTTTTTTTCTTTCCCTCTCACTCTTCCCTCAATGCCCTCTATGCCTCTCTCTCTGCCTACCAGTTAGGCATCTATCTATGTTCAATTCCAGAAGTCCCATGATTGCCGTCCCACCTCGTCTGCAAATCATTGACATCCACGGCCGTGGATAACGGGCCCCATCCATGCAATCCCATTGATATGAAGCTTTCTCGCAAATCTCTGACGTCGAACAGCTGTTCGATCGAGATCATGCAAAAGAAAAATAATAACAGGTGTTATGACGATTACTACCCTTCTTGAATTAAATCAAGACCAATGCACTCATCTAGATTTGCTTAGCCATCAAGATACATACGTCCAAATGCTTAAAATCAATCGAATGTTCCGAAAAATCATCAACAACACAACACCAACAACAGAATGATAACCATTCATTGCAACCTGCTTCACCTCCCCAAGAGAGAAACAGAAACCATCCATCTGCCATCCATTCACTCCATCATGCATCCCATCCCACTTGCAAATTCCCACCCAGGCCCACCCATGCCGTGACTGCAGCAGGACCGACTCCATGCACGCGCCCCATCATCCCGACTTCCATCTCTCCAGCGCAGACGTGCAACCTCCCCTCTCGGTCGAGCGCAGCATTACCCACGAGGGAAAGGAAAGTGAAATCCACCGTGAATCTCGCCGTCCCCTCAGGGTCCACCCATACGCATTGCCATCCCCGTGAAGAAACCAGAAACGAGAAACGAACAACTAAGGCAGGTTCCAGCCCCCGTCGTCTCTCGTGCTGATCGCGCCCACCAATCGCAAGCCCCGCCGTCCGAATCCAGCAAAGCAGGCGAGGAGCCGATCTAGCCAAGACGGGGAAAGCTTCGCCATCCCGTCCTGTCCATGACCTTCCCAGATCTCTCGCTCTCTCTTGTGCTGGGCGGCTCCGCGAGGGCGAAGGCGAAGGCGCGGCTCGCCCTGGTGGGTGAGCGGAGATCCTTATTGCCGAGCGCAGTGTACGAGCGAGAAAAGGCGGCTTGTTTAGACGTGACAGGTTCGGTGCGGGATGCCATGTGGCCTCCACAAAGTCTAGTCTCATTTCGCGGGGTAAGAAAACCAGACTAAAGCGGACGGTGCAGTCATCTAACAAGCCTCCTTCGTGCGGTAGCGGCTCCGGGCAAAGGGGACATCTTTGATATTGGAAGGCGAGGCGCGTAACTATGGGGTAACAATTGCTTTTTACAGGGACGAAGGGTGAACTGGATTGGTTCTTCACGATCGCACTTCCTGCCACCCGCAGGCTGAGGGACCCCTCGAAGGACAGGGATGGCTTGCTTGCTGAGTGAATAGCGTCAATGCGGAAGGATGAGCGGGGATTTCGCTCTAGAGCTCTCCCTGTTAGCTTCGATTGTTTTTTCGTGGAGGAGCGGAGGAGGGGCAGAGCAGAGCTTCAGCTTCAGCTTCATGGAGCTTTGGGAGCTGTCGTTTCGTCTCGCTCCCCCGCGACTTTCGATTGTTTCTCTCTTCCTTCTTCGTTCTTTGAATTCCTTTTCGACGATTGTCTTTGTCAATTGCTGTAACGATGCATTTGTGTTCGTGACGGTTATTCATTATTCGTTCCTTTTTATTATTATCATAATACATTATGTTCAAACCGTCTTCACCGAGCTCTCGATGCATCGTTTTGCTGCCGGTCGAACGACTGAGCTCGTCTCAACCTTGACAACATCATCATGAGCCATCACATCTTCTCGAACAACTGGCCTCCCATCTCCCCAACCCAACGCCCTCACACCTCCTCCCCTCCCCTCGAAATTACAAAAACTACAATGCAAAGGGGGATATAATCGTGCACGCCTCAAACCACAAACAAACAAAGAAACCTCAAAACTCAAGGAAGCTCATGAACCACCCCACCCCCCACACTCTCCACAACCCTCCCCTCAGGACGAAACGCCCCATAACTCCCCCTCTCAGACGGCGGCATAACGGACACCGGCCTCGTAGACGGCGATCCCCACGTCGAACTCCCCTCCACAAACGATCCCGCCAGCTCCGTGCGCGCGGGCGAGTGCTGCGCGAGCGGCTTGCCTTCGCCGGGGAGCTCGGCCTTGTGGACGTAGCCTGGCATCGCCGCAGCGTCCGAGGCGTCGAGCTTCTCCTCCTTTGAAGACGAGGGGATGGTGGTGGGGGAAGAGGTGGAGGAAGAAGCGTTGTGGCGTCTGTAGAGCAGGAAGAGCGCTGTGCCGATGAGGGACATGACGAGCGGGATCCCGACGCCGAGTCCGATGGCGAGGGCCTTGGTTTTTTTCTTCCGCGCGCTCGAGGCGTTGGATTCTGCGGTCGAGGGGTCTGCGGGCACGGATGTGGGTGGCGCGGTACTGCTGCTGACTTGCGAACTGCTTGCGGCGGGTGTCGACGCCGCGGTGACGGGGGGTTGCGAGGACGTAGACGACGTCGGCCGCGCGGTCGGGTGCGCTGCGAAGTAGCTTGCGAGAGCGGTCGCTTCGTTGGGGATCTTCATGATGTCGGAGAGGGTGGAGGGCGCCGAGATGGCGACTAGGGAGGGCTTCATCTCTGAGCATTGTATCTTGGGGAGGCGCTCGAGTTGCGGGTCCCATGGCGTGTGGCCTATACACGAGTCGCCGCAGTTGTCGGGGTGGTGGCATAGCTGGAAGCGTTGTGTTAGCACAAGTTCTGGCGATATCGAATGCTTCCAATGCTGGCTGGGAAGACGGTTTGGGAAGACGGCGGCGTGTGTGGCACAGCGCAGCGCAGCACTGCATTCGAAGGACCAACGTCCCTCTCCAGTCTCTCACTTACCCAACTACCATTCCTCCCCCCCTCCTCACCCCCACAGAACACCATGCCCACCCACTCGCTCTTCTTCGTGTCGAGCCCGCACTTCTTGGGGCAGTTTGCGTCGGCGTAGGACTCGTCCGTGCAACCGTACTGGTAGGTGATACCCGTGGCGCCGTCGTAGCACGCGTTGTGCTCCAGGCAGACGTTGCCGCGCTTGCAGCAGAAGGTCGCGTCGGCCGTCCAGGAGGTGTAGCACGGGATGATGTAATCGGGGGCGAGCTCCCCGGCGGAGGAGTAGCATCGCTGCTGAGAGACTTGGGCGAAAGCTTGGAGGGGAGTGTGCTGGAGGAGGATGAGAAGGAGAGGGATGGGGAGGAGGGGTTGCATTTTTCGAGGGGTTGGGGCTGTGATGATGGGGAGATTGAGTCGATGGGTTGGTTTGGTCGGGTTTGCTGGTTGAGGGTCTAGGAAGGGAGTGATAGCCAGGGAGGAGTGGTGGTTAGGAAATGCCCATTGATGGGATTCAGTGAAGGCTTCCCAGCGCGCGCGAGGCTTGAGGGGAAAGGGGTGAAAAGAAAAAAGGAAAGGTAAGACAGGAGGGTTTAAAGATTTGATTGTCTGTGACTCGGTAACGTACGCGTCCACAGACTAACTATCACGACGCTTGAGTGAGTGGGGAAAGAAGCCGAAGTGAAAGTGCGGTGGTGCTGGTTACGCAAAATATATGCTAGAGTGATGATGGTTGTTCAGAGATGTGACGAGAGTGCGTTTAGGTTAGTTCGTGCACCAAGACAACAACAACAATGACGGAGTGAAAAGAAAATAGATCGCTGTCGAACCTCTTTTTTGAGGCTTGGACAGGTCTTTTGTGCGAGGTTGTGCTCCCGTCGCCGACCACGCTGGTTGTTGATTTAACACTGTGCCTCGTGCCGGGGTGCACGCGCTGTCTGTTTGCTTGCTGGTTCGCCCTGCGCATCGTGCTGTCGATGCAAGAACGCCACTCTCGCCGTCGTCAGTGCAGAGGGAAGGGAACAGATGCGGTGATCTGTAGATGGAGGACGATGAGACCCCTGCGGGAAGGCGGAGCATAGAGATGGGGGATATAAACAACATGAAACAGCAAACTTGCGGCCCCCGCATATGTTGGTGACACAACGTAAGAGCAAGGAATATCGAAGAGTATCAGGTAGGTGGGTAGGTAAATGGCTGCAGGGCCCGCGAGCAAGCCGATGTGTGAATATAGTTAATGGTTCTAATCTTCTTTGGTCCGTTATTTTCCCATACCTCATGCAATGTCATCAGTCATACTGGCGAGCACGCCGGCTCCAATGATACCTCCGTCTAATGCCTCCTTGAGTACTACCTTCTTCGTCGCGTTGGCGTGCGATCCTTTCTTCACCAAGGTGTCTATCCACCGTTGGCATGTCTCGCGCCATTGCGGATACTGAGAAATGGTCCCGCCTGCGTATGCGATCACCAATTCTTCTATCTCGCCCTCGTCGTGGGGACCGACGCCATTTCCGTTCGTCTCTTTGCGATCCAACTTGATGTCGCCCACACAGTTCAGCAGGCCAACGCTGGCGGCAGCGATCAATGCAGACGACCGTTGCTGGACAGCATAGGCTATGTCGCGCAGAAGGTTCACTCTCGCGGGAGTCCAGAAAGACGTGGACGATGATATCGGCGCGTACTGATCCCCGAGTGCTTTGGTAAGTTCGTCGTCCGTGGCTCTTGCGACGACCTCTGAAAGAAATCTCGTCGCAATCGCATTCTTTGTGTTTAGTGATTGAGGCAGTTCTGTGCCCTCACTAGCAATCACTTCTACGAACACGAGTCGGACGATCTCGCCAAGATATCGCCCGGCTGTCATGTATTCAAATGGTTGGAATCCAGGCGCTTCGCTGTTTGCATCCAGCTCCAGATCCCAGGTGGTTTTGATGTCTAGATCTATTAATGGTTTGTCCGTTCCTTGGATGGTCCATTCGGTGTTGATGACTACTGTCTCGACTTCGTCGGGATTGGCGAGGTCATCGCGTTTGGCAGGGTGGAGGTCTACCAATTTCATGGGGACTGTAGCATTTGTGCCAGTGCCGACAATGAGACCCATAGCGACGCGACTGTTTGGCTTTGCCTTGACTGCGTATGCCAGGGATGCAAAGGTCGCTACTGTGTCGTTGGTAATGGCAGCAATGCGTATCCGGGGAAGTCGAGATAGCCTCCTGCGTTTGCTGGCTGAGTTGGCGTCGCCGTTGGCATCATCATTCCCTGATGGCCTTTCAATATGGCGTGCATAGCCTGCGAGTAACATCTTTCCTAGATTCAGATCTGAGGTGATGCCAAATCCTTTCCCCATAGGAAGTAATGTGGCTTCCGATAAGCTTTTTTGTCTGTGAAATGGTTAGTCGTTGCTCATCCTGTTTGATAAGGCCAATGCGAATAATATACAAGCGAGGGAACCTTACGACATGGGGAAACTGAATGTGATGCCCAGCAATAGTTCTTCTCCTAATGGCGATTCTAGCGCAGAGTCCGAGGTCGTTGCATCATCGAGAGCATCTTTGATGACTTCGGCTATGCAATCTCCAATCCAGGCGAAAAGGTCCTCGGCCTTGTCCATTTTCAAATGATCACCAATGGGCCAATTGCGATCGTGAGATCTCCGGATTTTCTTAAAAGGAGTCTGTGACGCAGTATCGATGGGTGCGGGAGTGCCATTTTGGAGGTCGCCAAGGAGCTCAACGAAGCCGACTCGAAGATTGGTACCCCCAACGTCGATACTCAAGAACTTCCCTTTCTCTTTCCCGGTGGGTAGCGCAGTGACAGGGGTGACTAAGAAATGTGAAGTTGAAGTTTTTGCCAGGTCGCGATAGGTCTCCGAAAATCGGCTCGCTAGGTCGAGGAGGAAGTCGTCGTTGAGGTAGCCGGAAAGTTTGCTGAGCACCTCTGTGACTTGGCCATTGTACTGGACTTGATTTTCCACGGAGGTGGCCGTCATAATTTATGTGAGGGTGGTTTTGGATTGGCGAAAGAGTGCGAGGTTGTGTATAGATCAGGCTGATGATTGCTGTCGAACGAGTTGTTGTAAAGATGACTCGTGACGGGGCTTCCCTATGACACTTGACGAATGCTATGATGCAATGCGACGCTGACAAGACTCCGAGGAAATAAGGTATCACAAGTGCAAAGACGGCGGAATAGCAAAAAGAAATATGGCCTGACCGGCTGCTAGCACCCAGGAAACGGATGAACTTGCGGGGTGGTGGTGGTTGTGATCTGAAGATGTGACGAACGGTTGACCAGGCCAGAGAGACGGACGAGGCAACGATAATGGCGAAAGAGCGTCGTTGGGATAAGCAGAACGCAGGACTGGGACTGGGACTGGGACTGGGACTGGGACTGGACAGGACTGGATAGGCTGGACAGGAACGACAGGTCCAAGACGAGAGCCCAGCAGTTACCAGAGTCAACGCCAGTCAGTGCCAGTCAAGAGTCAAGACAAGGCGAGACTTCCGGCGATCTGGAAACGCGTGATCGGCTATTGGTCTTCCCGCAATCGGACTCTTGCAGATACGACAACAGACAGCCAACTACCGTACCGTACCTACAAGGTATTATTATTAGCAGTAATAGTAGTTACGAGGTATTGCCAGTAGATAAGCTAAGTAGTTGCAAGTTACAAGTATCATTGCAAGTGCGAGTCTTTAAGTTCAAGTAACAAGAGTTGAGTATGAACAGGCACAAGTACAAGTATAAGTAGGTACATACAGTACCTTGTACGTCTCAACTCCACTCGGCTGGGAATTGCTGTGATTATATTTAGCTGCTCGGTGCATGTAGAGATGGAGTAATTCCTTTTATTGTGTACTCCGCAATTCCAGCGTGTAACTACTCTTGTGCGTCTCAGACGAGAGACATGATTAGCATTTTCCCTTGCGTCACCATTGCTCTCTCCCCTCCCATCCCATACTCTTCTTTGAGTCACTCCTCTGCAAACCTTGTAAAAGCTAGGAAGCCAGCGCAGACGACAGCGGATCCCCATCAATTCGGAGGAACTCGGGCAAATTCATGTTAGGCTCGTTTGCCGTAGAGCTGATGGTTAATGAATAATGATATACGGAAGTGCTATGGTATGTAATGCTTTGAGAAGACAAGGCTGCATAGGAGCGTAACCCATTGTACGATCAATCCAAGCCCAGGCCGATACCATTGGTACTTAACAACTTTTGTGCTTGCAGCAGCACAAGTGTAACAATTTTCAAGCAGTTTTTTTGTTCTCATCCATTTTTCTTCTGTCTACCTACTATTTGACATGAGCTATGTTGGAGTAAGAAGGTACATGTATCAGTACATACGAATTAATGCTGGTGGGTACCTGCCCACCTGCCCACCTGCCCCATCCAATCAACTAGTGCGCACCTTCCATTGTCGTCTGCGTCTGTGCTTCTCCTCCAACCCCCAACTCTCCCCCGTCCCATCTTATCAATGAAATCAACTGCCGCCATTTCTAATACCGACCTGGGTACTTGCTATCTGTTCAGCTCCTGTTACCAACCACCAGTGGCTTGATATACATACGAACGACTATAAACCACACTCAGCTCCTCCTATCGTCCACCTTGCTCCGACATGGACGCAAAAACCCCCCTCCTCCCCAACTACGAGACGGAGGCGCATGCAACAATGCGGCGACGACCCTCGCCAAACCGCATCACCCGCTTTAATGTCGCCGCTTTCGCCTTTCTCCTGGGTATCTTCTGGCTTGCACAGTCATGGACATGCGCGGATCCCACTCATAATCACGGCAAGGATGAGGAGACGTCAAAGGTACCTCTCGAGGTGCACATAATGTGAGTGAGCTGAACAACGCATCTGCCTACGCGATTGCGACATTGACTGACCAACAACCCCCCAGGAGCAAATGCCCCGACGCGAGAGATTGCCTCGAACAGCTTGTCGTGCCTACAATGGCAAATGTCTCCGACAAGGTAGACTTTAAATTGTCGTTTATCGGAACGTGAGTATCTCTGTTCTTTGATGCCCTCTTTACCCCTGTCACAGCTGGTCACAGCCTTTCCCAGCCTCGTAAAGTAGCCGCATACAGCCGGCAGATTGAAAAATATACTGACTTTGATACCTTCAGAACCACCGACGACGACGATGGCGTCAAGTGCATGCACGGCCAGACCGAGTGTCTCGGTAACATCCTAGAGCTCTGCGCCGCTTCCGAGTACCCGGATCCCAAGATCTACCTTGGATTCACAATGTGCCTGTCTCGCCAGTATGAACGGATACCGAAGAAGGATCTGATCGAGGATTGCGCATTAGAGCATGGCATCGACTTCGACACATTAAACCATTGTATGAGCAGGGACGATGGTGCATATGGAATGGATATGCTCAGGAAAAGCGTGCAGCGAAGTGCCAAGTTGGGCGTATCAACCAGCTGTACAATTCGTCTGAATGGGAAAACGAGATGCGTAGTCGACGGTGGAGAATTCAGGGACTGTGACGACGGTTCAGAACCCAAGGACCTCATTCGAGATATCAAGGACCTGTACGACGAAGCTCGGGGCTGGTCTGATTGAAATGGCATATACGCCCCCGCACCTCTCCCTTCCCCACCGGCTGAGCTCCCTACACTCTGGATTATCCGTTGTTGCTATGGCCCGAGCCGTTCATTGATCGGAATGACTCTCCCGAATTCAACATTCCTTGAACGTAAACTCGTCGCCTCACCAGGTCACTGGTATTTTGCAAAGTCATGAGACACGCAATCCCACTCGATCGGCACTACACATTCCACAAGACCTGGCCACCGGAATTACTCGAAATGGTGTGGCTATGCGAAGTGCTACTATGCAAAACATCAAGGCACAAACCTCTCCCCACACTCCCCACACACACTCCCGGCCACAACCAGGACCTGCTCTCTGCAGCTTGTACATGAGATATTTGAAGCTCGAAGATTGATACCCATTTCCTTGACACGATGTAATATAGAGTACGAAATGCACATGGCAGCGTTGTAATATCAATCAATTGGCATAGGAATCCAGCCCATATTCCAAACAAGAACTATTAGAACGATTCAACAACAGACAAAAAATAAAACTCCCAATGATGCAATGCCATGAATACTCCATGCTTAACAAATACAGCTCACACAGCCTCCCTTTTGATACTCTCCCTCCTCCCCCACATATGCACACAATGCACGTTCACCATGACACAGACACCCCTCCACAGTCCCCGTCCTAGCCATTCTATTGAAACTCCCCAAACTCGCCATCATCGAACCCCAGGTCCTTAGGCGTCTGCTCAAACGTCTGCCTACTCCTCCTCCTCTCCTCCTTCACGCTCCTCGCACTCGGCGGCGGCGGCAAGAACCCCGCTCCTCCCCCACCACCCCCCGAGCCAGGCGGCGGCGCAATACTGAACAGCGCCTCGTGCTCCGACCTCTGATCCGCCGGGGCCGCCGCACCCTCCGCCTTCTGCCTCCTCCCCTTCAGTCCCCCCAAGTTTATACTAATCGTCTCGCCCTCCTTGAGCGAGAAATCGCGCTTCGGCTCCTCCGCACCGCTCTGCGGCTTCACCTTCTTTCCCCCCGCGGCCGCTGCAGCGTTCCCCGGGCCCTCGATGCCGAGAACGCGCCGCGCATCCTGCAGCGCGATACTGAAATCAAACGCCTCGCTGCGCTCCTCGAACCCCATGCCCAGCACGGCCTTGCGGCCCTCGCCGACCACCGTGACCGCGAAGAACCGGCTCGAGTCGAGCGCTTGCTCCACGGTGCCCGGGCTCGTGTACGGCGCGGCGGCGAAGAGGTCGCCTGTGCTTGCGTCCTCTAGGAGGATCGTCGTCGTGACTTTCTCCGCAGTATCGTCATCGTCGGCGTCGGCGGGGGAGGTGGGGGGGAGCGGGATGGAGGTCTCGAGGATGCGGAGGCGCGCGGTGAAGATTTGGCGTTTGTTGTTGTCGGCGGTCCAGGTGGAGGCTTGGTAGCCTTTCGTGGAGGTCAGGGGCGGGATCTGGTAGATGTGGACTTTTGGGGCGAGGTACAGGACGCGCTGGATGGCGTTGGAGGGGAGCGGGCGCCCGGTTAGGGGGTCTGTGTTCATGGCTGCGAAGGTGGAGGTGGAGGTAAGGTATGTTGTTTGGGCGTGTATGTAGAGGTGTTCTTTCTTGAAGATGTGACGATGTCGGGGGTATGGTGTGGGTAAGTTGTTGCCTGTAGTATGGATGTCTACTGTCTCTTTTATCCAATTCTTTCTCCTCCGCGAGCTGGCTCCGCTAAGCTCTCTTGTGTAGTTGTCTATATCCAAAAGACGACAACGGCGATGCTCTAGGTAGGTAATGCTTCAGATGCGAATCGAGTGTAAGAAAAAAGCTCCAACGCCTTCCGCCCTCTTTCCTTTCCGTATAAATAGATTCGCAGAGCCGCAGCAGCCAAATGCTACCGTCCAGTTCAGCCCGACCGGAAACGTTGCGATCGAATCGAATTGGATCGTGGGGAAGGGGAGGGAGGGGGTGGGCAGCGTGTGTTGTGATGTTCTGTTCGGTGGAAGAGGATTGGGTAGAATTTCTTTGCTGGAAGTCAACCAAGGTAGATACTGAGGAGAGAAACCCCCCTTGTCCCCTTGTCTGATGTGTTGGCATCTGCGCTGCGCAATCGATTATGCAGGGCATCCTTGTAAGATGCGTTGCACGGCCCTCCTCTGTGGTCGCACCCCGCCATTTGGACTTGGGTGAAGGGTCACGTGATGCTTGGATGAAGGATTGTATTCAGGGGAGGGACTGTTTTAGGGTGGGACTAGGTGCCGTTACCGGCGGGAATGGGTGAGAGGAGGTCTTTCTTAGGGTGTTGGATCATGGGGAATTTTCTTGTAGATATTAATGAAGTTGTCGGTGAAGGAACATATATAAAAAATTGGCTCTTGATGGTAAACAGGACATTCATAAAATGAAGACTGCAGATGCAAATGGTGGATTGGTATTTCCCTCTATTCTAATAAATGCTTTCCTTCTGTCGTTCTTATTTCGTAGCCGGTTCTAAAACACGGTTCTAAAACTCTATATGCGTATGCAGTCTTTGGTCTGTATGCAATGTCGCAAATCCGCCTTCGAATCTCGGATATTCCTTCACTTCTATCGTCTAATCGGTAGTGGTGATAATGACGCATCTATGCAGCTTTGACACCCGCAGCACCGGACTTGTATGCCTCGAAACCCTCGCGAGCCGCCTCCTGGACCGTCGTCTTTCCAGCCGTAATCTCCTTGCACTTCTGCAAGATCGAGGACCAGTCCTCGAAAACGGTGAAGGGAACGTTCTCCCTGGCGCAGTAGGTGATAAGATCGTGACCCTTCTTTGCGAAGAGCAAATCGGTCTCCCGGGCAGCTGAAAGATCGGACACACCGTCTCCGGCATAGAACATGGTAGGACGGACGTCGGCGGGGAGCGAAGAGTACTGTCGCAGAGTGACGGACTTGTCATGGCCGAAGCCGCTCTCGGGGTGCTTGAAGACGATTTCCCAGCCGCCTTGCTCGTTGATGGATTTGCCAGGGCGGGGACCGACGAAGTTTCCAATGATCTCCATCTTGTCGGCGTCAGGGCCGATGAGGTTCTGCAGGATGGCCTTGATGATGGGCTCCATACCGCCGGAGAGGACAACGACGGGGATGTTGTTGGCGAGCGACCACTCGTAGAATTCCTTGAAGTATGGGTCAAGCTTGATGTTGTCGACGAGGAACTTGATGCACTCGTCGTATGGGGTCGTAATTGAGTCCATCATCTCGCGGAATGAGTCACGGAATTGCTTGACGCCGTTTAATGTGTCGGCATTGCCTTTGCGGCGGAGCTCTCCTCCATATCCAATGTTGTCGGTCATGTAATCATTGCCTGAAGCCATGTCAGGACTCATTCAGTGGAAAATGACGTAGTTGCACGCTGGAAATTCACAATTCTCACGAATCTCATTATGAAACGAGGAGCGGGCAAAATTTTCCGGTATACTTACTATCCTGTAGCGTAATTGTTCCATCGAAATCAGTGAAAAAGATGAACTGCGAGAAAAAAAAGTCAACATGGCAATCAGGGTTTTCAGGGTTTACAAGAAGGTACCTTGGGGTTGGTCCTCATGGCCGGAAGGTCGACCAAAGCATTTTGAACACCCATCTTGTCTAGATTTGATGCTTTTTAAAATAAAGAAACTGAAACCGAAAAGTACGATCTATGTTCGGGAGATGGGGAAAATTTATCTCCACGATGTTTCTTGGTGTTGAGGGCCGGTGTTTATTAGAGTCGCCCTCCCCCCGCCACGTGCACGGTTGATTGAAAATGGCATCCCGGCTAGTCGGCGCGATAGGGACCATTGATCGACATCATCCAACACAACGCCTTGGCCGTCGTTCATTGCCTTCCCACCCCACGCAAGAGCTCCTCCATACAACCGGCTCTACCCATTGGTGTGCCATATGTGAGTGTTGTGCATTCAGTGAGAATGAGGACACTGCTCCAGCATGCTCCGCGAACGTTGCTTGCTGGTGGATTGGTGAATGCGACACAACACGCAAGATTCGCGACGTTTAGGAGCTTTGCCAAAGTCTCCAAGACGGAAGCATGTCTGAGGTGTCAATTGCGGACAGCACCCGCATGGACACCGGGGCTCCAATTGAGTGGAAAAACATCATCGAATCGACTCCTTCGCCAATTCTCTTCCTCTCGACGTTTGCTTGAAGACAAGAAGGATCCCAATGCATCGGAACCTATACCGGAGACAATCATTACACCACCACCTCCGTCGTCACAACCACTACAGCACCAGCCGCATCAAACGATCCAGGAACCTATAATTGCAGACAGTGATCAACCCCCTCCAGCCGCTGGCGCTGCGAAGCCATCGGGCCCGACGCCAAATCCACCAAAGCCGGAAGAGCCGATATCGAGAGTACCAGACGAAGACCTCCCCTCCCATCGCGAGAAGCAGAGATGGGACCTCTCGAAACGAGTCACCGAGATCATGGATGACGTTCTACCCAAGCTTGCCGTCGTGACGCAGAAGGTCAACACATATACAGGCACCGATTACTCGAGCATCAGCGCTCTCAGGAAAGAGATCCAGGACCAGGGTACGATGACTATATTAGCATGATTGTCAATGGAGATAGCTGACAATTGCTACAGAAAAGCTCGTGCGAAGTCGACGACAAGCGATTGACGAAGCGAAACAGGCCCTTGATGCTGCCCACGCCCAGCAGGCCGCCGCACAGAAAGAGGTTGTGGCATTGTTGGAACGTAAACACTCCTGGTCAGCAACGGACCTCGAAAGATACATGTCCTTGATTCGATCTGAGCATGTGAACGACCAGGCCGTGAGGGAAGGGAAAGATGCCGTAATAAATGCCGAGAATGCTCTGGAAGAGGCAAGGACCCAGTTGGAGAAGCGGGAGCGTGCACAGTACCATGAGGAGCAGATCTGGAGTGATACGATTCGGAGAAACAGTACGTGGGTGACATTCGGACTTATGGGATTCAACATTCTCCTTCTTCTCACATCTCTGGTGTTCCTCGAACCCTGGAGGCGGAGGCGGATGGTCCGCGAGATCAAGGCTGCATTGGAGGAACAAAAGATTGCTATGGAGGCTGCAGCCGTACCACTACCCGTCGCACCGATCGAGATCGCAATAGACGAAGTAATTGAACCCGCTGGCCAGAGGCTCGAAGATATCGTCAAAGCCGCGCCTGCAGTCTCGTCAATTCCTTCCATACCCATCCCTGCAGTCGAATTGCACTCCTCCAACCCGGAAGTCGATCCCCCCATCGAAGCGCCCAAGAGCGAACAACCCGTCGTCGCAAACCCCGTCCCTGAGCCATTCAGCCAACCTCCAACAACAGAAGAACCCCTCCCCGCAACCTCCATCGAGGCACCCGAAAAGGTCGCTCAGATCGACATCGCTTCCGAGCTCAACGAAGCCTCAACATGGCACGAGAAGCTCACCACCCGCGCCCAAAACCTCATGAGCGACCGCCCGATCTCCATGCGCCAGCGTGACTTCACCAATGCCGTGCTGGAGGCTGCTGCTGTTGGTGCCGTGGTCACGGGAGTCTTTCTCCAGGTCGTGTTTAGATCGCGCTAGCATCTAGCACATATCATTGCATATTTCAGCGATGTTTTTCATATCTTTTTCTTTCGGATTGTGTATGACTAGATTTGTAGAAATATGAATTGATAGAGAAATATATCCTTGGTACTCATGTTGCATGATTCTTCCGTTCTTTGAACGTTGATAGGAGGAGGAAAAGTACATATATGCATCGATGGCCCCTTTTCTGCCTCGCAAATGAGATATAGTCATCTCCATCTCAAGAGTAAAAAATAAGGAACATGTTGCGAACATACATACAGCAGACTACGTCCCACCTAAATTGCATCACTTATTCTTCTCCCAGACCATAGTATATACATATGGTGCTAATTATTAGCATGAGTAAGATAGATGAGCTTAAACTCGGAACATTCTTCTGTAATATGTATATTCTCTTGTGATCAACAGTTAAAACGCTGTAGTTGGTTACCAATATCCTAGACTTCGGCAACAATTGCGGAGAGGCGGCGGAGGAGAAGCTCGGAGCCTCCAGAACCACGCTAAACCCATCCTAGCAACGAATCGCCATCACCTCTTCCAACCCATCCAAAATTTCCCCAAACAACCTTTGCACATTCCCGCAAAGCGTCGCGTCGCACATTCCCCCTCTCTCACCCAGCGTCGTCGTCGCGTGACCCCAGCCAATATGGAGGACCTCGAATCCCTAGAATTCCTCTCGCTCGTCTCGAAGGTGTCCTCCGAGTTCCAGAACCATCTCTCCATCTCCGACAAGACGCTCGCGGAGTTCGTGATCGCACAACATGTCAAGTCGTCCTCGCTGTCCGATTTCAAGGCCAAGCTCACGTCCATGGGCGCTGAGTTTCCGGAGAGTTTGGTCGAGAGCGTGGATCGCTTGTGCTTGACGCTGCATCCGGAGTATAAGAAGAAGAGGGCGAAGGAAGCTCAGGAGGGGAAGAATGCGAATGGCGAGGGAGGCGACAACGAGACGGATAGAAAGAGTAGGGTGTTTAAGGGGTTGAGCATACCGGATAAGGATGTGGATTTTGGAGAAGAGGAGGTGGCCAATGCGAAGGCGGGAGATGATACGAAGTTGGATGCGCTGGACGATACATTCGCGATGCTGGAGGGCTTAGCGGGAAAGGGTGGAGCCAGTGGAACTTCCAGGCGCAAGGATGCTTCATCTCGAAAGCGAAGTATGAGCCCTTACGGTGACGACAGCGCGGATGATAGTCGGAGCAAAAGGCATAGACGGTCAAGAAGTCCAAGGCGGTCAAAAAATGATGAATATCTGTTCGAAGATGAGTTCGGCAGGACGAGGGCCGTCAAGAAGGATAGGAACGATGAGAAGAAGAGTAGGCGCAAATACAGGGATCTCGACGAGGATGACTACGATGGTCGCGGAAATGGGAGGAAATACCGTGATGATGACGGTGGCTATGGCGAGCGCAAAAGTCGTCGCAGACACAGAGACGATGACGATTTCCGACGGCCACCCACGCCGGAAGTGGACGACGAACCAATCCTCTACAAGGTCTACGATGGGAAAGTCACAGGCATTAAAGACTTCGGGGCCTTCGTTGGGCTCAAGGGCGTCAAGGGCAAGGTTGATGGCCTCGTGCACGTTACTCAGATTACAGAGGGCCGTGTGAACCATCCGTCCGATCTCCTATCCCGCTGGCAAGAGGTGAAAGTGAAGATAATAAAGATGGAGGGTACCAGGATTTCACTTTCCATGAAAGAGGTGGACCAGACCACAGGCCGCGATCTAGCACCCCAAGGACGAATCGCATCTGGCGCGAATTCACAAGGTCTCGGCAAACAAGAGGCCGAACTCGTTCCGGTCATGGACACATTTGGGGGGCGCACAAATAATGGAATGCGCAAGCGTTTGACGTCACCCGAGAGATGGGAAATCAAACAACTGATAGCATCTGGTGTGATTCCCAAATCCGAGTACCCCGAAATTGACGAAGACTACAATGCAGCCCTCAGGGGCGAAGGCGGATTTGAAGAGGAAGAGGATATCGATATCGAAGTACGGGACGAAGAGCCCCCTTTCTTGGCTGGTCAGACCAAGCAGTCTCTCGAATTGTCCCCTATTCGAATTGTCAAGGCACCCGACGGGTCAATGAACCGCGCTGCTATGGCTGGAGATACCCTGGCAAGGGAGCGTCGCGACCTGAAGCAGCAAGAAGCCCAGGCGAAGGCCGCCCAAGAGGCATCGCAAGTTGACCTCAGCAGCCAATGGAATGATCCCATGGCCCAGAATCGCCAATTCGCTAGCGATCTACGTAACGCCCGAGCCCATCAGCCTGCTGAAGCCATGCCGGAATGGAAGAAGATTTCGACCGGCAGGGAAGCCTCCTTCGGTAAACGCACAAGTCTCAGCATGAAGGAGCAACGAGAGACTTTGCCTGTCTTCAAGTTCAGGAACCAGCTCCTGGAGGCCGTCAAAGCTCACCAGATCCTTATTGTTGTTGGTGATACTGGATCTGGAAAGACGACACAGATGACACAGTATCTGGCCGAAGCTGGGTATGCGAATGACGGCATTATCGGCTGTACTCAGCCCAGACGTGTCGCTGCTATGAGCGTCGCAAAGCGTGTAGCCGAAGAAGTAGGCTGCGTGCTAGGGAATGAAGTTGGATATACGATTCGATTCGAAGATAAGACAAGCGCCGATACAATGATCAAGTACATGACGGACGGTATCCTGCAGAGAGAGATTCTGCTTGATCCCATGCTACACAAGTACAGTTGCATCATGCTGGACGAAGCCCACGAGCGTACGATCGCCACCGACGTTCTCTTCGGTCTACTAAAGAAGACATTGAAAAGGAGACCTGACATGAAGCTCATTGTTACATCAGCGACACTTGATGCTGATAAGTTCTCGAACTACTTCTACCAATGTCCGATTTTCTCCATTCCTGGCCGAACGTTCCCTGTCGAGGTCATGTACAGCAGAGAGCCCGAAAGCGATTATCTCGATGCAGCCTTGGTCACCGTCATGCAGATTCATCTTACCGAGCCAGCGGGCGACATCTTGTTGTTCCTTACTGGTAAAGAAGAGATTGACTCTTCATGTGAGATATTGGTGGAGCGAATGAAAGCCCTGGGCCCCAACGTACCAGAGCTGATCATCTTGCCAATCTACGGTGCATTGCCGAGCGAAGTTGCGTCCAAGATCTTTGAACCTACACCTGCCGGATCTAGGAAGGTAGTCATTGCCACGAACATCGCCGAAACGAGTTTGACAATTGATGGTATCTACTACGTGGTTGATCCAGGATTTGTGAAGCAGTCTAGCTACGATGGAAAACTGGGCATGGATCGTCTCCAGATCACACCAATCAGTCAAGCTCAGGCGCGACAGCGTAGCGGACGTGCTGGACGTACCGGTCCTGGAAAATGCTTCCGACTCTACACCGAAGCAGCTTTCCAGAACGAGATGCTTCCGACGACCATCCCTGAGATCCAACGTCAAAATTTGGCAAATACGATTCTCATGCTCAAGGCCATGGGCATCAACGACCTCCTGCACTTCGACTTCATGGATCCTCCCCCGACGAACACTATGCTTACTGCTCTCGAGGAGCTGTATTGTCTTGGAGCATTGGATGATGAAGGTCTACTCACCCGTCTTGGCCGTCAAATGGCCGATTACCCAATGGATCCTCCATTATCCAAATGTGTCATCAAATCAGTCGACATGAGCTGCTCTGACGAGATCCTCACTATCGTAGCAATGGTATGTACCACCCACTCCATCACCTTCAGCAACCCACTAACCACCACCCACAGATCAGCGCAACCCCCAACATCTTCCACCGTCCCCGCGACAAAGCCCAGCAAGCCGACCAAAAGAAATCCAAATTCAACGACCCGTCCGGCGACCACCTCACCCTGCTCAACGTCTACAACGCGTGGAAGTCCGGCGGGTACTCCACCCCCTGGTGCTTCGAGAACTACATCCAGCCCAAGAGCATGATGCGCGTGCGCGACGTCCGCAGCCAGCTCCTCCAGATCATGCAGCGCCACCGGCACCAGATCGTGTCGTGCGGGCGCAACACGCAGAAGGTGCGGCAGGCGCTGTGCAGCGGCTTCTTCCGCAACTCGGCGCGCAAGGATCCCTCCGAGGGGTACAAGACTTTGGTGGAGGGCACGCCGGTGTTCATGCACCCGAGTTCTGCTCTGTAAGTCCACTTTTTGCCCCTGTTTTTCCTTTGTCCCTTTTCATCTTGGCAGCGTCACTCGTCCATAGTGCAATGACTAACCACACATGTGAACAGCTTCGGCAAACCCTCCGAACACGTGATATACCACGCCCTCGTCGAAACCACAAAAGAGTACATGCAATACTGTAAGCAATCTCTCCTATTCACAAAGCCATTCCCCCACTAACCACACGAAAATGCAGGCTCAGTAATAGAACCCAAATGGCTCGCCGAAGCCGCACCCACGTTCTTCAAGGTCGCAGGCCAGAAGGGCGAGATGAGCAAGCGGAAAAAGGCCGAGCGCATCCAGCCGCTGCACAACAAGTTCGCGGGCGAGGACGACTGGCGGCTCAGCGCGCAGAAGAAGCAGGGGAGGGGCGGGGGCGGTACGTGGGGATAAATGTAATGATGGAGTGGGGATGGAGGGAGGTGGGGAGCGAAAGGTATACATTCCCCTGTTCACCTGTTTTCCCCTGCCTTTTTGCCCGTTATCCACTTTTCACGATTTTTGCCTTTACATTTTAAAGGGTTTTGCATCTTGCATCTGGCATTGTAATTGTACTTGTCATATCCAGTTTTCGGTTTTCAGTTGGAGGAGTTGCAAGGGAAGTCGGTGGATCAGAGAGTCAGTGAGACACACGCACCGATTGAGAGTGTATGAAAATTGGCGCAGTGAACACAGACACATGGGTTCCAAAAACATGAATAGAATGAATGAATGGAAGGATGAAAGGATGAATAAATCAATACGTGCGTGTGTGCGATGTGCGTATGGTTTGAAGCGCTGAAATTGAAAGGGATGAAGGTGAGTTGCTGGTTTCTAAGTGTGTGAATGTGTGTGTGCGGAGGATGGATCGATTGCGTCTATATTCGATTAGAGAGATCGGGGGTCACATATATGAGTGTAGCGGCAGGTGCAAGCAGACGAAGTCTCACTGCGGAGTTTAGAGAGCTTTGGACATGAAAAAGAAGAGAAGTTGGATCTCTTTAGATTGAATTTCAAAAATCTTTTTTACTTTCATCTAATTCGTATGTACGATTGTAAGTCTTTTTTACTCTTCCAACCTGTTTCGATTGTTGGCCGTTTGCATCGTAAGTGGAACTGTATGTGTTGCGTTGTGTATGTAGTAGGTACATTCATTCCATAGTACCTGATACCCTTTCTAGGTTTATTGTATGCTACCATCCCATTCGTCGTAATAGAAAAGTAACAACGACATCATACCCACATATAACATGATTCAACTATATACAAGGGATTCCGATCATGAATGATGCAAGGTATTATCTCTATGCCTTTGGCTTCGCACCGAATCCGAGGGACTGGTTGCCGCCGTTGAAGACGACAAACTGGGACTTGAAGAGGGTGTCTCCATAGATCTGAATGCCGGCACCTTGGTTTCCCTGAACACCGCCGAAGCAAGTGGTGTTGGCCTGGTCGACAGTGGCAAAGGTGATCTGGTTGCCAGGAATCACAGCCATGTAGGAGTCTCCGATAGCGACGGACATGTCGGGAAGCTGCGCATTGCAAGGGTAGATGAAACCACCGACTTGCTGGTTGAGTTCGGCACCCTGGACGGCGCTGTAGTAAGCTTCAGCGATGGGCTGGTCGACAAGCAAGAGGGAAGTTCCAGTATCGGCAATGGCAGGGGATGCACCAAAGGCCTCGAATGCCGAGTCGCCAACGGCAAATTTGGTAGAGGGAAATTGCCAGAATCCAGAGGTGGCGTTAACAGGGATCCACGCCATCTCGCCCTCGAACTTGGTGGCATCAATCTTGCCGAACTCGTAGACTCCAGTGCCATCGGGGTCAAGGTCTGCAGTGAAGACGGGGAGGTCAAGATCACCCATGACGTTGTCAAAGAAGGTCTTCTGGGGGGTTTTCTTCGTGCCATCATTGACTACACTGATGTTAGGATGTACCAACCCGATCGAAAGTGATGGAACTTACCGGTGTTGAGGTTGGAGAATGCAAGTCCAACGAGACCATCAGTGTTCAGGTCGTCTACGAATGACTGAGAGACGTCGGTAGCAAGCTCAATAGCTTGGTTCTGGACCTGCACGCCACCAATAGTGACCACATCGGTACCGACAACGCCAGCAGCGCCTGAACCATCGCCGTACGAAATCTTGAACTGTGCACCCTGCATTTGCTTGAATGTAGTAGACTTCGAGGCATCGAAGGCGCTGTGCTGTCCGATCTTTGCCTGGTCGAGTTCCGTGCTGAACACCCAACTGCATATCATGTTAGCAAGACCACATAGGTGCATTCTTCATCGTTGAGCTTACAGATCGGAGGAGCCGGAGTCGAAATCCAAGTTCAAAGTCTGACCGCCAACATCAACGGGAGAGAGGAAGAGTGCTGCGTTCTCCTCTGGTACGGCTGCAACTGTTCCGGAACCAGTCCCGTTGGTGGTACTGTTCGAAGCACTGATTTTGGGAGGAGCTTTAGCCTCGCCTTTGCCGGATTTCTTATTCGCAATGAAGCCATCCTTCAACGTCTGCATGTTATACTTGAAAGCAACCTTTTTCATGGCATCGTAGCCATTGAGACCGCGTGGGTGAGCCTTGTTCAAAGAGCGTGGGACCTTGAACGATCGCTTTGCAAGACCTCTCCTCCGGGTAGGAGTCGGGACGGCTAGAGCCAGAGCCGCCAAAAGAGTGAAGAGAAGAAAGAGCCGGACGGATGCCATGGTGTTGGAAGTAATGCTGACCGGCAGCCCGTTTTCTCCTCGTTATGGAAAAGGTAAAAAGGAATGTAGTTGAACTACGTCGTAAAAAAAGAACAGAGAAACGAAGATAACAAGACGAAGGACGTCGTAAACGACAGTCACCTCTTTCACAAAGAAACGAAACGAAGAGAAGGAAAGGAATAACCCAAGGCTCGGCCTGGAGATAGAGAGGGAAAATCCGGCCCAGCAATGGGAATAAGTCGTTTTAAAGAAAGACGAGAGAGGACGTGGAAACAAGACGATCCGAATGAAGGAAGGAAAACGTCTCGATGAAACGCAGATGTCAAACACAATGCCGCAGACGCATGAACAGAGAGAAGAAAAGGTACATGGTTGACAAAGAACCATCTAGGGTGACCCGACTCGGACGAGTTTCCTGCCATATGCACCAATGGATGGACGGTACCTGTCCAGACTCTTCTCCAGCATCGTTGTGGCGATCAGGCTTAGGTTTTTTCAAGACGGCGCATTCAACGAGCCATTACCATTCAAACGGTTTCCTAACTGGGTTAGGCGGTTACCAGATTTCGACTTTCTAGAGCTGACCATTTCTGTGATTGGCCGACCAAGTTTGGATTCTTCGCACGCAGGAACGGTGCCTCGTACACTTCACACGCGTACCGCATCGTCAAGCAGAGAGTGTCGAACAATTGTGGGGAAGGCCAGGCCGGGGATTGGACGAGTGTGGGCCAGCGTGGACGAGCGTGTACGCAATGGGATGGGATGACGCCTATCCGGGGCTTGTCGACCGATGTTTCAGGATCGTCACAATGCTGCTGCTTAGCTTATTATCACTTGGCAACATGAAACCTCTCTCTACAAGAGTGTTTGAAGCCTGTCTGCATCCATATGTTCATGGGTTCTGGCAGGGGGAGTTGAGACAAGCAACATGAGAAAGCTTAGCTCTTGTCTGCCATACCCTGCCGGGACGCGGAACATCTCGATGAGGGTGTTTCATGATGCATTTCGATTCTCTGCTCACGGCCGGCGAAGACGACCTCTGATTCGAAAAGTCAGCAGCTTCTCGGCGGGAGACGAAACTTCCCGGAATAAGTTTGGTTTCGTGATCGTTGAGACCGAGACCTCGTCTCGTTATCCAACTACCGGCTGGCACTCACTAAGTAGACAAACTACGAGGTAGCTAGCCGATAGGTACCCGGAGCGATGCAGTAGATAAGGCTAAGGAGTCGGAAGAGGAGCAAGTGTACAGGCACAGGATTGAATTTTGTTTGTATCAGCATAATGACGCGGCTCAAGGAGAAGCAACAACAAAGGCACAACGGAGCTGAGCTCCAGCATGGTAGCCGCGTAATATTTTCAGGTACATACGTAGGCAGGGCGTCAGTAGAGGGCGATGTAGGGGAGAGTGGACTCAGTGGAGTGGAGTGGAGAAGAGAAGGTGAACAGGGACGACGAATAATGGAGGGAAAGAGTACGTATTCCCTATTAGTCGAACGGCAGGGAAGGGGGCCATTGGGGGGAAGGGGAAAGGAAGGAGCTGACATCCACATCGGGTTAGTGAATGGAATTAGATCAGACTTCGAATATCCACATCAAAGCTACCATGACTCTGCTGTTACTCGGTCAATCATTCCATCAATCAATGTATCACTTTACGTTGTTTATCGAGTCCAAAGCTTTCTCCAATACTAATCTACACGGCCACATCAAAAGCCTCACCTCAAGATTTGAGCATTCACAGGGTGAGTCAAAGGCAATCACACAACCAACGGACGATCAATAATTGCATTCATCGAATTTGAAACGCTTTTTGACGTGAATAAATAACTAATTGAAACAATAATTGGAACACTTCCTCTGCTACCAGTGTCTGTACTATATGATAACGAGACTGGCAGCCTGACAATCTCTCTGTTGCCTTCCTCAACGACGTACCACACCGTTTGCCTCGCCATGTCATCTTGCCTTCTCTCCACGTCAAAGGCAGCGAATAGACATCATCGTCGACACTGCTCTTAGACGAGGGACCGAGCCATGTCGGTCCATGACGCTAGGCATGGTTAACCTTTCCAACAATCGCCTGTCGAAGCGTGCGCGCCGCTGGTGGAGCTTGGTGAAAACAGTTTGTGGACAGCCTTCAAGCCTGTTGTAATCCATTTGATCCCTTTCATCCGAGAAGCTCGACATCCAGGCCAATGGCCCTCATAAACAGGTTCACGTTTGACAATCTGGCTCCAGCCATCTCGGCCGGAAGGGCTTTGCTGACGGTCACCGTCTCCATAACGCGATCCTTGACACCAAGTACGAGCCTCTGCTGCTGATCTGGGCTGGCTCCAACTCCCATGGCGGCGAGGAATTGCCAGACATACATGTCGTCCGTGTCATTTACAGATCCGGGGAAGAGCAGTGGGAGCACAGGCTCAACGGCATCGAACAAGCGGTTGTACAGATTGGTCCATTGCTCCCACTCTTGTGGGTTCACCTCGGGAGCTGACTGCTTGAGCAGCTCGGCGCGAGAGATGAGGATGGTGAGAAGCGACATACCAATCTTGCTACGAGAGACAATATGCAGATTAGTTCGATCGAGAATCAATCCGAGAAGACCGATGACAATGTTCAAGGGAGAGTCAGAAATGTGTGCAAATAGAGGTGGCATAACCGAGTGTGTGAATAGCTCCACCTCCTCGCGGACTGCCGAGGACAACGGCTCGTCGGGCGATGCAATGGCATTGGCAACGACCGAGAGATTATCCAGATGGACAACGATCATGGTGACCACCGTGATACGCTCCTGCTCATCAATATGGCGGAAGATGCGGGGAATGGCCTTCTTGCCCTTGGCATGCGACAAGATCGCGATAAAGGGATGAGGCACGTGAGATCTTGTCTCGAGTTAGCTATGCGCTTGCGGCTTTTGGATGTAAACACTTACGAAGGGTTGATTGGCTCCATTATCTTGATGTTTTGCCAGAGTTGTGCGTGCAACTCTTCGATTTTGCTACGCCATTCCATATGCTTCTGGATTGCCTCAGGGTCGCTGTTCTCGTTGATAGGCGGTGGCAATGCACGCTCGTGATCCTCCATATGCATAAGGGTGATGTATACAGCCTCAATGTTCCGTAGAACCTCCTTGCGATCGGCAATCGATGGCTTGTGCTGCTTGGCGTGCTTGTCTCCCGCCTCGCTTCTCTTGATGTTCAACAACGGTCTGGGTGTCCTTGCATTGCTGAAGGCAATCTTACCAAGACTGCCTTCAATGACAAGCTGCCTGCCCTTTGGCTTAGTCTTTGCGGCTTCGACAGCTCGTTGGACTTGCTGCTCCATGCGCTGCATATGGTTATCACCACCGCGTCCATGTCGTCGGCCGGGGCCGAATCGGCTGTTGGTTTGAAACAGATACGTTTGTGCGAACTGATTCGCGGGTTGATGAGGGTTTTGCCTGGGAGCACCCCGGATCTGGGAGAAGACTTGGTAGTAGAAGTCCTCAGCCAGTGCCGCTTCGGAGCCAATCTCTTCCAGGTTTCCAGTGGCTGACATTAGCTGCTGCAACTGGATCCTGGTAATGAAGTTCTTGTCCTGAGGCGTCATCAACCCATTGTCCTTGGCTAGCAGCGCGATCTTGTGGTTTCGCTTCGCTCGCTTCGCATCTTCTTCAAGGAAAGTAGCACGTTCTTGCTCGGAGAGTTGGAGCAACTGATCCGGGTGAGTGATCACCATACCAGAGAATGATGGTCCTCGATTGTGTCCGTGGGCTGGACCACGTGTATTGGGGCTGCTTCCTTGGGAGATCGGCTGTCCTTGTCCGGCCAAACGGTTGGGGTTCTGGAGGATTTGTCGTGGCTGGGAAGGAGGGCCTTGTGGGGGGCCCTGCTGCTGCGCTTGCTTGTTCTGCTGGCCTCGGCCATCTTGTTGTGGCCTTTGCAAGATAGTTGGAGGTTGAGACGGCTGCTGCTGGGCTGGGTGGGCTGGTAGCTCAACACGATGCTGCTGCTGCTGCTGCTGCTGCTGCTGCGGTGGTGGCGCTCGATTCACAGCGGCCTGGGGAACTTGGGGAGACTGCTGGGGCCGCTGCAGGATTTGAGGGGCGAAGGGCCCCGGAGGACCAGGATATTGCCCTTGGTTGAAGGGAATCTGCTGGTGCATCTGATGCGACATCTGCTGTTGGTGCTGCTGCTGGAGTTGATGTTGGTGCTGATGCTGGAGCATATGGATCGGAGCTTGGCTGGGACTGCTTTGCACTGGCTGCATAGCTGCTTGACCCAGAGATTGAGCACGCAGCTGGGCTTCGACCTCCTCCAGACTAAGCATCTTCCGCGCTGAGGCCGGAGGAGCATGGTTTTCGGGCTGCTTGGTGGAGGTTTTTGGTGCAAGACCCCAGATATCCGCACGTGCTTCTAGCTGTGGAATGTATTCAGGATCCTTGTAGTTCTCGTAGCCAGTTCGAGCGGGCTTTGAAGGGGGCGGGACGAATGTGTTCTGCTGGCGAGGCGCGCGCTGATTGCGTGCTTCGAACAGCATCTGCTCCTCCTGCATCGTTCCCGCAATCTGGGATGTCTGACCAGCGAAGTCAAAGTCACGTCCGACGGACTGCTGCGTGGCAGGTCCGTCGCCGAAAGTCTCATCGTTGAAATCATCGCCAGTTTCGAGAAGCTGATTACCTAGGCCATCGTAGGTCTCTTCGAAGTCAAGACTACATCAAGCGAATTAGCAAAACCGTCGCTCTTGTAAGTCGTATTAGTAACACTAACGCATCATCTTCATCGAGAGCCCCTCCACGGAAACCGGCAAAGGCATCTGGGGTTTGTCCAAAGCCTGGAGCATTGGTTGAATGACCTCTGTCCTTGGGCAGGGTTGTATCAAAGCCGAAGAACGACATGTTGGGCAAACGAACAAGTAGCCAATGGCGATAGTCGAATGGGCAGTTTTAATTTCAGGTTTTGAGATTGAAATTGAGATTCAGACAGAGGCGGATGGTATGTTTAATGGTTCCTGTTTGTGAAGTCTAGGTTTTCGGATGTGGTGACGTTTTGCAGTGGAAGTTTGGCGGGGGGCGGGATGAGGAAGCGCACAGGACAGTAGCCGCACGAACGCGACGGGCGCGGCGTTGAGAAGGGCGCTGTGTCGACGGGCAATGAAGGTGTAAATGGATATTGTTTTGGAGGATATGAATATACTACCAGCAGTTCTGGTGACTGTGGTGGTTGGGTTGTTGGTTGTGGTGGTAGAAGGAACAGCTTCTCTACCTACGACGTATTTGATAATTGCGCTTGGGGTTTGGTGTCTATTCTCTGCCTCTGCCTCTGCCCGCAAATCTTGGCACGCGGCGGCGGCTGCTCCTTCCCTTCCCTACTCGTAGTTACCCTTACTAACAACAGGTCGTACCTTCCCCCCTTCCCTTCCTTGAGTCCCTCCTTCCCTGAGTCTCTCCTACCAGCTCGTATTAAGCTTCCGAACCCTTGCGTGGCTATGAACGCGCAGTCCAACTAACCCAACAGAGTCCACCGTACACTCCACGTCCACTCACATTCACTCACCAAAACTTGTCAGCCACTGATAATTATTCTTGAACACTCCTAACCCTCTAACCCTCTAACCCTCCTAACCCCAAGACTTGTTCAAAGCCCCAAACCAGAAACACCACCTTACCTGTTCTCCTTTCTTTTCTTACTCACCTACTTCTTAATTCCTAAACCCTCTTTCCCTCCTCGACCTCAACATCTCCTTCCTCCTCCTCTTGTGATGCACCTTCGTAGTGCTCGCACTCCGTTCGTTTCGCTTTAGTCACCACACACAACCACCCCTGGAACAACAGTCCCACCGCCCGCCGTGAACGTCCAACGGCGTCGCATCAAGAATTCAAATAAGCCAGCACGTGCTTCATCCCATCAAGGAGAACAACAGGCCCGTAATCACTCCGAGGGTCCTGCGATACTCGAGAAGACCCGTTCCGACCAGCCTCAGGCAACCGGCGCAATGGCAGGTACTCAGCGGTACCTGCGTTATATCGTCTTCGCACTCATCGTATGATTGATGCTCAATCCGTTGGAAATCTGTCTCTTAACACCTTCTTGCAGTGCCTTATCCTCCTCTTCTTCATATCCTCCTCCTCCACCGTCCAGACATCATGGCCCACCGCCAACGTTCCTCAGACCACCGAGCCTGATACGAAAGGCGCCGTCCCCAAACCTGATCCTCTTGCCACCGATTCCAACCCACCCAAGACCCCGAATGTTGATAAAGAATTGCCTCCTGCCATCGTTCCTGGAGACCGCATGAATGCTACCTTCGTGACGCTCGCCCGTAATTCTGATCTCTGGGAGATTGCCAAGTCTATCCGTCATGTCGAGGATCGTTTCAACCGCAAGTTCAACTACGACTGGGTCTTCCTCAACGACGATGACTTCAACGACGAGTTCAAAAAGGTCACGACCGCCCTCGTATCCGGCCGAACCCGATATGGCAAGATTCCTAAGGAGCACTGGTCATTCCCCGATTTCATTGATCAAGACAAGGCCGCCAAGGTCCGCGAGGAGATGAAGGAGAAGAAGATCATCTACGGAGACTCTGTCAGCTACAGGCACATGTGCCGCTACGAGTCTGGTTTCTTTTTCCGCCACCCCTTGATGCTCGAGTACGAGTGGTACTGGCGCGTGGAGCCAAGCATTGAGCTCTACTGCGACATCAACTACGATACCTTCAAGTGGATGGCCGAGAACAAGAAGAAATACAGCTTCGTGCTCAGCCTTTACGAATACGTCGAGACGATCCCCACATTGTGGGAGGCAGCCAAGAACTTCTCTGCTCACCACCCGGAGCACATCGCCAAGGACAACTCCATGAAGTTCCTCAGTGATGACGACGGAAAGACCTACACCAACTGCCATTTCGTAAGTACCGTACCGTCGAGTTGAGATGTATTGAACGTGGCGCTAACGCAGGAAACAGTGGTCCAACTTCGAAATCGGAAATCTTAACTGGCTTCGCTCCAAGGCCTACGTGGACTTCTTCGAGTCGCTCGACCACGCCGGCGGTTTCTTCTACGAGCGCTGGGGCGATGCGCCAGTCCACTCCATCGCGGCAGGTCTGATGTTGAACAAGGACGAGATTCATTTCTTCAACGACATTGCCTACTACCACGTTCCCTTCACGCATTGCCCCACAGGCGAGCAGTACCGCCTCGACCACAAGTGCCACTGCAACCCCAAGGAGAACTTTGACTGGAATGGCTACTCCTGCACCGCTCGATTCTACGAGACCAACGGAATGCAGAAACCAGAGGGGTATGACAAGGAGAAATAAGTTGTCCGTCTTACACGATCCCCCCACTGCCCTGTTATCTGAGTCACGTCTTCCACTTTCCGTCCGTCTCTTTATCGGCTTTCGTTCGTACTTTGAGCATTTCTGACGATCGATTCCAAAGGGCCCCTTTCACCGCCTCAGATTGGGTCTGGTGGGTCGTCCGCCGCCTCCTTCTACTCGTCGCCATTTTATCCGTCATTGGTTCGTGGGTTGGGCGAAGAAGGATTCGGCAGGAGTTGAACGGTTCAGAATCCTTTGAGAAATTGGTTGCCCATCTCCCTTTTAAAACAAGTATCATATAGAAGAATTGGCCATTGGGTTTTTTTTGGGGCTCCCCCCTGTCAGATTATTTTCAACAGCAGCAGCAACAGCATCATCATTTACCCCCCGAAAGCCAGCCTGTCTCCGAATAAGGGTTGTTGTTTTCCATCATTTTTCCTTTGCACGACGAAAATCAAAACCAATCTAACACGTGGATGGATGGGCGGGATGGTACAGCCGGAGTTATCAAGGCGTGTTTACTTTTTTTTCTTCCCTCTTGCCCTTTCGCTTTGGGGGGTGGAGGTAACCTTTTCTGCCGACGATGCGGCGGCGGCGGCGGCGGCGGCGCGAACAAGATTGGTTCTTCTGGGTATTTTGACTTCCGTTCGTGTACATTTTGCGTAGTATGCCGTGCGTGTTTGTGGTTACCGAACGGAAACAGAGAGCATGTGTGAGAGGGATGGGAGGGGGAATTCAGTACGGAGCGAAATGCAATCGAGATGAACGTTTGATCATAACTAATGCTTCTACTGCATCGTGTTTTGTGACGTCTTGCTTTCATACAACCCGTCCGTTGGAAATGCAGTAAATTCCAAACGTTCAGCCAGTATCGTACAAATGACAGGCAGAAACTGCATATATTCCTTTCTAGTCATAACCACACGGGCCGGTCTCGACTAACAGATACCTTGAGTCTTAAGATGTGGATTTCTTAACACGCCGTACACGTATGCCACGTGCGATCACGTTCCCACCTGTGCTGCTCGCTTATCGTCATGTACTGTTCGTAACTTCGTACATCAGTTTACCTCAATCTAACTGCTCAGCTTATTTTCTAATCATACTACTTATAAATATATTGAAATGATTGGGAAAATAATGTAGGATTGTACAGTATTCATTTGAGATTAGTTTGTTAGTGATTTGGGGTTATGTGCAATTACGCTACACTAATTGACTGACTGCATCTGAAAGTATACAGTGGTTGTTATGATTTGATATGACTCCTTAAGGCTTCATCTAGTAATGGGCGTGATGTCACGTGAAGCCGTGACGACCAACGATCAAAGTACAGCCAAGGGGGAGAGGATGGGAACGAAAAGGGTGACTGGCCAGTGCAATAGAAGAAGATGTATATCTATGTATTATTTGTTTTGCCTCTGTGTTTGGTTCTGGCTATAGGGAGGCGGAGAATCACGGGGGCGTTGGCGTCGGGGGGTTGCTGGGAGGTGCAGTTTGTGAATGACTGTATAGGGGAGGGGAAGGTAAGAGAGGAGTAGACAGGAAGGGTGGGGAAGACATTGGTGTTTTGGTTCGAGGCTTGTTGGTTGGGTATTTTTTGGGTTATTTAGTTGAAGTTGCACTTACATGTACACAGTTTCCAGCTCAGTGTCTAGCACAGTTTTCCACCGGAGCAAATGACAAAGTTCAGAGACGCTGGTAGCCATACGGAGTCGACGAGCTAACGGGGTTAAAGGAGTTTTTGGTGATGGACGTCAGGAGAGAGTGCGTGTGCAGCTTATAGTGTACAGTGTGTAGTGTATAGTGTGTGCATGAGTGATGCATGATGCGTGCTTTAGGAGAGGCGGAGGTAGGGGGAAGGGGTATATTGATGCTTCCGATGCCGGAGGATTGGATTGCATTGGGCGTTAATGGTGTCGGGAGGCTGGGAGATTGGGATGAGGGGAACTTGGTCTGAGGGAGTGGATAGATGGATGAATGAATTGGTGTGGTGTGATATGGTGCTGGTGGGTGGTACCTGTTGGGTCGGTTGGAAGGGGAGTGGGTGAAGGAGAGGTGTTTGGGTGTTATGATTGTAGGTGGTCGAAGGTGTTTGTAACTATAACAGTGAATGGTATGTGTACACGGCGGATGAAGGACGAAGATGGAGAAAGAGTGAGGTGTTGCGTGGTGAGATGATACGTTCAGAAGAATTATCAGATTCAAATCAGGATCTGATAACAAAAGAGGGGATGCTGGGGAGGGCGGAATGCCTGATGGATCGGGTGGATAATCCATGACAGTACATATGATGGTGCAATTCGAATGATGGTACAGTGTGTGTGTAGAATGGTGGAGAATCTATGATACAGCAACCCCACAAACGCCACGACGGCGTCTAATCTCCAGCCGAGACTGAGAAGATTTGTGTTTTTGTATAGATAGTTAGTGTAGATGATGGATCTAGAGTACGTAACGTTGACGCCACGAGGGTGTTTTGTCACTGTGGTTTGTGGAGGGAGTGTGCTTGATATTCCCGTCTTGAGTCTAAGTGATGGGACTATAATTAAGCGCTTTGATGATAGATAGCTGATGGACGGCTTTGATACTTGAGTCGGTTACATGATGTGACCATGGTCATTAGCAGCTGATGTGTGCTAGAGATTTGTTATCTTATACTGTCGTCGGGTTGATGTCTCATTGTGATATCAAATCAGTCATTCTCAGGTCCATCAGGACTGAACAACGGCTGGACGCATCCTGAGCATTTCCAGCACGGTTGAAGAAGGTTGCAAATTGCGGTGAGGGATATGGATTATGAATGCAGTACTGACTGCAGGCAATGACATGGTTTCGAGGTGTTTCGATGTTGTACTGTGTAAGAGGAGTGAACGGGATCGAGTTGTCCCTGAAGGCGTCATGAGCGACGTTGATGGTGCAATACCTCGATTGGCTCGTGCGCCCCTACACCATTACCCGATCCGGACGATGGCGTTGCGGCTCCTACTAAATTCCAACGTCGGTCAAGGAACCTCTTTTTTTCTGTTTGTGTCTCGTATATCATCCATCACTTGCTTGCCTTATCGAATCCTCAATTCTTCCGAGTTTCATGATTCAAGTCATCGTATGTCGTTGCGAATGAGATACCATCCATGGCTGTTTCACACTGTGTACTCCGTCCATCAATTGCTTATATACATATGTGTATAAATCAATGCTTATCCAGATCCAATCCAATTGCCCAAGTCAAGCCCGAGACGTATTAGAATAGCACACCAACCATCGGCTCGGGACATTTCCCCTCCAATGCGGGCTGGCCTTCTCCGTCAATCAGGATTTCCTTCGGGAATCTTCTGCTTTTGCCTTTGAAATCACATCAATGCTCGACGATATCGCCGGGCTACCCCGGATTGCCGTTTCTTTCCTCGCCCTCGTCGCGGCCATGTCATACCTGGCTGCAAGCTACAGCACTGTCCATGACACCCCAAATGTTACGAGTGAACTACTCGTATAGTATGGTCTGAAATGGTAGCGTGGATGTCTACAGTCACTGTGTCGGACTCATGTCGTATTTGACCCACGTAGACAAATTCTGCTTCTCAAGGTCTGCAAAGTCCTGGATCGGAATAGAATCATTCAGTCACGGCAGCAACACATGCCAAAGATCAGCCAACCTTCATTAACTCAGCCGAGTGGTTGAGATTGCCAACTTGCAGCCACTTACTCTCACTCCCCCTCGATGCGAGCTGCAAGGACATGCAGTGTAGCACGGTTTCAATTCCTGCATATGGATAGATCCGGGAGGTGAGCAGCGCTGGGAAGTTTTAGCGTATGTGGGGAAGAATGGAAGTAACTAAGTAACTAAGCAAGAGACGTAAGGAAGCGGAGGGGGGCGACTGATAGTCTGATACTACCAGGTTTACTGTCTGTGCGAGCTGCGATTGTGTGCGATTGCGCAACTTCACGCCTGATACTCTAGTCCAGTCCATCGTATATGCTAATTACTACAACAGTCCGCCCCAGGCCGGGCCCTTTATAAGTGCTATATCTCCCCTCCCCCTCTATTACCTGCATCTTTCCACTCTCACAATCCTCAATATCAACTTTAAAGCAGCTTCGTCCTCCTCTTCTTCCTTTTTCTCTTCTCTGTCATCCATCATCTATTGAAGTTGAAGTACACCAGGACTAGTCAAAGTTGACCAATTACGCCACCCGTCTCACTCCGCTAGGTTGGCCGTCCTATCGCCGGACATCTATCTATTCAGAGTCCTTCACCCAATCATAACATTGACAACTGCCGTCGACCAAAAGATATAATGGCTCCAGGTCTTGTTGATCCAGCCCAATTCACCCAGGCCAGTGTCGCAGGTAGTAAGCCTGCACCCAAAACAAATGCGCTGAATTACACACCTGGCCGCAACACCGTCACCCAGCATGACGAGACTTACGAATATGAAGACCTTCGACCTCGCTTCCCAGAAGTCACATGGCCAGCCTTGACCGAGGTACCATACGAGGATAAAGGTCTTCTCGGCGACCCTCAATTCAAGAATCTCCTAGCATCCGCAACCGACGTATTCGACTACAACCCCAAGATCGGCACTGAAGTTCACGGCGTCGACCTCGCCAACCTCACCGATGCCCAGAAGAATGATCTTGCCCGCCTCATTGCCACTCGAGGCGTTGTCTTCTTCCGTAACCAAAAGAACCTCGACATTGACAAGCAGAGAGAGCTTGGCAAGTACTTTGGAACTCTTCACAGTCACGCGACCACTGCCACCCCAAGGCGTGAGGGGCTCGAGGATGTCCACGTCGTCTACACCGGAGAGAACTCGCCTGACCTCCGAGCCCTCTTCACCCCCAGCTTCCTCTGGCACTCCGATGTAAGTAAATCTTATCGCCATCAACTGCCAAAGCATTGCTGACAGCTTCAAGGTGACATATGAAGTCCAACCACCATCCTACACCTCCTTGAAGGTCTTGACTGGTCCCCCCCGTGGAGGCGGTGGTGACACTCTTTGGTCTTCTCAGTATGCTGCCTACGACCAGCTTTCGGCTGGCATGCAGAAATACCTTGAAGGACTCACAGCTATCCACTCCGCCGAGCTTCAAGCTCAAGGCACCCGTGAACTCGGCCGTACCGTACGTCGTGAGCCAGTGACAACTGAACACCCTCTCATCCGCACCAACCCCGTTACCGGCTGGAAGTCTCTGTTCTTCAACCCAGGCTTCGTTACCAAGATTGTTGGTATCCCCAAGACCGAGAGCGACGTCATCATCTCCTACCTGAACGAGATTGTCTCTACCTCTCCCGAAATCCACGCCAGGTTCCAGTGGAACAAGGATGACGTTGCCTTCTGGGACAACCGTGTCACCGTAAGTAGTGATAGAATTCTCGAAGTCCGTGCAAAGCTAACGTCAAATAGAATCATTCTGCTTCCTATGGTTTCGCACCTCACCGTAGGCATGCTGTCCGCGTCTGCTGCCAGGCCGAGCGTCCTTACCTCGACCCCAACAGCAAGTCTCAGGAAGAAGATCTCTCTGAGCGCTATGGTATCCCCAAGGCCAACAAGGACGGATCTGGCATTGTCAACTACAATGACTAGACACCCGTTTCAACCCTTTATTCTTATTCTGCTTGCAACAAGGCCAATGAGCAGGTTGCATTACATGACTTTCACTTTACCACATTCACGATGGAATCGCCTTTTGGCGTTATGGAACAAAACTTGATGCTGCGATTTTAGCGATCTGAGAACACACATTTCAAAATACCCTTCATTTGGCGAGACAAGAGGCCAGACCTTACTACAGAACGTACATAATGAGAGACTAAAATGAGCTCAATACAAAAGAATCAATATCAATGATCTTTGGATTTACTAGAGATGTGAACTGTGCTGTGTCGATAAGATACGCCTGAGGCTAAGACCATATGCGAAAGAGGCAGTCACGACCTAGACCTGTCGCCGACCTCTTCTACCTTATTCTAACTTCCCTGCCCTCTAATTCTAATTGATTCAATTAACCTATTATTCTCTAACTGACAGTCCATAATGGAGTCTGTCAATAGCGAGCCGACCGTACTAGAGTACGCACGATTCCACGGCCTATGCAAAGACTACACCACCGAACCGCTCCTCGCCCGCAATAGCCTCAATTCCATCCACACCCTCACTGCCAACGATAACATCTCAGACCTCCCATTCACTCAACAGACCCTCAACGCAATCCTCAAAGAGCGACTCCACCTCACCAAAGAAGCCGCACTCCTCCTCCGCTCCTTCCACGACATCCAAACCAATCCTAACAGCCCAATACACCTCACCGACTCTAAATCAAACACTAGAAAACGCGCACGAGCCCTGAAACAAGAACTCCCACTCCTACGCTCCGACAACGAGCTCGATCTCCTCCACTTCGGAAGCGTAGCCTTGCCGCTCCTAACGAACCTCAACATCCCCCTCGAGCCCGTCGACGTCGAATGTGACGAGGGGCTCGAATGGCCATCGTGGTATGAGAAGTATGTTCACGCTGCGCGGCGTCGGGTCGGCGGTGAGAAGTTATCCGTGACGAGGGAGGACTTGATGTTTCTGCAGGAGGCCGTGAGGGATGGGGTTACGGATGGGGATCGGGAGAGGGTTATTGCTCGAGAGATTGGGTTTAAGAAGGTAAGTAAGGAGGAATAGTGTAGATGATGAGGGGATTGTGCTGACGAGGGAAGAATCCGGCGTTGGTGCCGATTACGCCTCCTTTGTTGCCTGTTTCGCCGCCTTTATCGCCGTATGTTCCTTCGTCGCCGGGGAATCATTTGGAGTTGTTGTCTGATGGGTCTGGATCTACGGCTGCGGAGTTGATGGTATTGGAGCAAGATGTGCTAAAAGCGGATGCATTGGTACCGGACTCGGAGACGAACGATTTCCTCGCAGAAATCGTCCATGACAGTATCCGCGATGACTCTCTCGTTGACTTGGACGCAATGAAGTCAGTTGCAGATACTGTCGACTCGCCATCATCCAAGCGCAAAGCAGAAGACCTCAAAGTTGAATGTCCCCTCACTCCGCCCATATTCTCCAATTCCCCAATGAAGAAGATGAAATCGGTATCGTTCCCAGAGTTGCTGCACGAGTACATACCCGAGCTCCCTTCAAAGTACGAGTCTGGCGACAGTGTCATTGGCTCGGACGAGAGCTTTTCGGTTTTCTTCAAGGCTCAGGCAGAAGAGGCAAACCGAAGGCTGAACAACGAGAAACTATCTGATGCCGATACGACGAAGAGGGTGGATGTTCCCAAGATTGACTCCACACTTCCATTAGCTCCGTGGGACGAGTTCTCCCGCTTGAAGGATGATGAACGCAGACCAGGTGATACGGAGCTGGATGCCCAGAGGAGATATCTGTTCCGTATCAAGCGCGAAGAGTTCAAGGTACATGCCTTATGGAATGGCGTGTCGGCAATGGAAAGGTTTCTTGAGTGGATTCCATTCCCTTTAAACACGCCTTCCTTCAACCTTGCTGAATCACTACACGGGGAAGAAGTCGTTGAGAAGCTGATCGCCAAGCCATCGGAAAATGAAATCGCGAACAGTTCTACTGATCTGTGGAAGCGAGATGGTCTCAGATTGCTGGAGGTCGAAGAAGATGAAGAAGGAATCGATCTCGGGGACGTTGAGGAGCCGACGGACATTGATGCACTGATTAGAAAGCGTAAACTCGAGATGGAAGAGGAGATCGGTAGACTCGAAGTCAAGAAGAAAGCGGGAATGGGCCACGAGCATGCCACACAGGCAATCGAGAAACCGAGTGCTGATACGCGTGAGCCTGTTCTGACAGTGCATCAACAGCCTGCCAATTCGGTGGAGTTAGACCAGAAGAAGAAAGAGAGGGACAGCAGCCTTATGTTCGGGGGTATGCTCAGCGTTTCCGCGGCCATGAAGAAGTTCAAACAACAAATAGAGCAGCCAGCCCCGCAAAAAGGCACGGAGGACGAGCCCAGTTTCGTTGAGCCCGGAAATGCTGTCTTTACTCGCCCAAATTCCAACTCTCAAAGAGATTCAACCAATATGTTATATCATTCACATGCTCAAGACTCTATCCGCTCCCATGCGGAAGAGAAGGCAAAGGTTCTCGAGCTCCCAACCCTACCGGAAGTGCTTTTACCGTGTTCTTTTATAATTTCCTCTGCATTTCTACAACAACGCTCACTGCTACGAGAGGTCGAAAAGAAATATGCAGAGGCTGAATTTATTGAACGAGACTTTAACTCACCATTTAGCCCCTCAAAGGAGGCAGATCTGATACTATCCCCATCGACTGGATTAATTGTCACAAATCTACAGCAAGTAAAACAACGGACTCTTCCAGGCCAAGTAGGAAGACCACCTTTGCTGGAAAGAGTGATCCATCTGCAAAATCGATACGAGCGACTTGTTGTCTTGGTCAGCGAAGGCCTTCGTCGTGATGCAGAGATGCAAGCTTCAATCCGACTCAACGATGCGCGTGACCAGGAGGCAGTGGCGGGTCTCGAGAAGTTCACGTCCAAGCTGCAAGCTACCATTTCAGTGGTATATGTACCCGGTGGAGATGCCGCACTTGCACATCAGATCGTGATAGAAATGGCGGGTCGAGGTCTACCTCATGGATCGAAGGACATCGGCGACATCAGGATTTTGCAAGATGAGACTCTGGTATGTCACATTGCTCCATATATCTCCCTTCGGGGATCAATTAGACTAACACTACCGTAGTGGGAACTGTTCCTCCGCCGTGCTGGTCTCAACCCCTATGCTGCTCAAGTCATCCTCGCGTCATTGCGGGTTCCAGTTGAGTTCACGATCGAACATCACCCAACTGAGTCTAGCCCTTACTCAGAGTCTTTCAGTGTTTTCGGACTACAGGCCTTCGTTGCGATGAGTTCGGAAGAACGCATAAATGAGTATCAGGCGGTGATGGGTGGGACACGCATTCTCAAGCGAGTGAACAAGCTGTTTGATCAAGAGTGGCCCAGTGCTACGAATGACTTCCAGGTCTGAGTGGTTGCTATGATGGAGATGCTTGATGATATGAATGGACGTAAGAAGATTCACTTAGACACGTCATGTCTTCAAGCTGGATGAGATATTAGAGGCAATCTCTTTAGAATCTCGACAGTCAGGAACTTGAAGATATTCATAGATATGAAATCGAAGGATCAAGAAATTGCAATCGTCAATTCATACAGAATGCTACACTTAGTTACTGACCGTTCTACAGAAACAAGACGCTTTAACTGGTTCATCCGCCTCCAACTGAGCGGCTTCCAACTGCTCCCGTATCTTGCCTGCCTCCTCCTCTTTACCTGTCTTTTCCAGACATTCCAAGTATCCATGCAGCGCCCACACATTGTTCGGATGCTGTCTCGCCCTGGGTAACGTATCATCAAACCCTAGATCCGCTTTAAAAGCACTCTCCGCCTCCTCCACTCTTCCCTGCTCCAGCAACAAAGCCCCATAAGCGTGCCTCACAGGCTGCATCCAAGGCCATGGCTCCGCATAAACCAACCCATCGTCTCTCTCGATCGCTGTCTCCAAGTGCCTAAAAGCATCGCTGTAGTTTCCTCTTCGATACTCCAACTCCCCATCCAACATCGCCTTCGCAACCTCCAACACCACCACCGCCTTGTTCGGAAAATCTCCTGCTATCCTGCTCGGCTGCACACGAGGCACTGCCTCATACAGGAGATCCCTTTCCTTCTGTGCCTCGTCCACCCGTCCCGTAGCCGCATACGCAACGCCCTTGCCGTAGTGATACATAGCCGTCGTGACCGAGTACAACTCCTTATCCTCAGGAAACTCCAGCTTCAGCAACTCCTCCCACTTCCCGAACCTCACCAGTACATGAACCCGCACCGAAACCCACGATTCACTCCAATCCGCCATCGGCGGACTCTCAATCCTCAACAACTCCTCCGGCACCGACTTCTCCATCCCCTCCACATACTCCATACAAACCCCATACTTCCCCGCAAACATCGCCGCGTAGATAAGCGAATGATAATCATGCAGCCTATAAAACGTATAAAAATTGCTCCCACCATGCCTCGCCACAAATTTCTCATCCGCGACAATCGCATCCGCATTCGCCTTAACCGCCGCCTTATAATCGCCCACCAAAATATCCAAATGACTCGGCATATGCACCAAATGGCCCGCATCCGGACACAACCCCCTCAGCGCATTCCCCGCCTCGACCGCCGCCTCCGGCGTCCTCGACATCTCCATCAAATGCACATACAAATGCAACAACCCGGGATGCCCCATCGCGCCCTCCCTATCCCCCTCGAACGCCGCCTCCAGCACCGCCTTCGCTTCCTCCGACCTCGCACCCGGAGTCGGCTTCCCCGTCCGCAGATCCCACAGGTCCCACGCCGACATGTTCATCAGCGCGTCCGCGTACAGCGCCGCTACGTCCAAGTCGCCAGGGAACCTCGCGTACACGTCCGCCATGGCCGCCGCGTACGCCTCGTTGCACGCGCGATACGACTCCTCGTCCAGCGTCTCCGGGACGCGCGGCTGGATGGCGTCGATGAGCGCGCGCTCGACCTCCGTGGCGTTAGCGGAGTAGTCCTTCGCGGCTGTGATGGCGGCGCGGATCCGGTTGAGGGTGCGGGAAAGGTCGGCGTCGTCGAACATGTCCCAGGGTTTGTTGTAGTTTGGTCCCAGGGTGTAGGCGAGGCCCCAGTAGAGCATTGGGGCGGTGGGGTCGTGGGTGAGGCCCGAGAGGAAGCATCGGGCGGATTCTTCGTGGTGGAAGGCGTAGGTCCAGGTTAGGCCGTTGTTGAACCAGGTTTGGGCGGATGGGGAGGGGGTGGTGATGGGGCGGGTGAAGGGGCCGAGGTTGTAGGGGTAGAGGGTTGGGTCGTCGGAGGTGGGGTTGGTGGTGCTGGGGATGCCGGTGGTGGTGATATCGTTGGTTGCCATGGTGGAGGGAGGGAAAGAGGGTTTGGTGGTTAGAAGAGGTTGGTGATGGATGGGATGGATGGGTGGGCGTGGTGGCTGTTCAGGAGATGTGAAGCACGAGGTCTATGTGATTTGGTAGGTCGTTTGACTTCAGACAGTAGATAGAGCACACAGGTCTGATATATTTCGAGGCTTCACAATTCCGTATGGTGTAGCGTAGTTCTGTCGATAGTCTTGATATCTATATCCAACTCATCAGCAAATCATCCCACTCGTACTTAAAGAGGCACTTACAGACCAGCCAAGTTATCAATTCTAGGATTTGTTTGGTTCGACTGGTACAGATAAGCGTCTCAAGTTCTCAGACAACTACCCCATTCGAGGGAAGGAGAGTGATTGCGTTTTGAGAGTATGTTTGTTGTTTCGAGTAGGCTGAGTTGTACAAGTACGTTAGTCACGTACTACAAGCATCATGTAACGTAATTTAGTGCCACCTTTGTATCACGTGGGCGCTCTCCACTTCCCCTCACCTCATCCACTCTGGGGGCTGAGATTTTGTAGCTTCGATTAGATTATCGTTAGCGATGTTGATATTGTTGTCATATCAAAATGGTTGGTTTGTGAATGGATAGGGGGAATTCATTGGATGTAATGTAGTGTAGGGCGTGTACAGCGATTATATGTAGATAGTTACCGAGCTTCTATGATGACAAAAGATAGGCGCTTTTTGATCGCTGGTAGCTAATAGATAATTATACCTTCTTGTCACGTTTTTATTTGGGAGTGATTACCTTCTATATTATCAGATTAGATTCTAAAGCCTATCTATCATGTTCGGCTCGGAATTGGAATGGAATTGGACTTTGGTGGGGTCTTTTTGTGCAAGCGTCTAGCGGAGTTGTTGTTGTTTGATTTGACATGTGGTATTTAGATATGGTATAACAAAGTTCATTTGAATTGATATTCCAAAGAAATGGGATAAAGCACATCTAGGGAGAGATACATCGTGACGAGAGGGTGTAGATTGTAGTCACGTGATGTACTATGCATGTTATCAATCCATAGAAGATTCTCATAACCAGTGTAGTAGTTCTGCTGAAATACCTCATACACGTTGTTAGATGCATGGTTTGACCACCAGTAAGACCCCGATTCGTGTTTCTGGATTCATGTCCGCGGTCTGGTATTAGATCTTTACTGTGACAGTTTCACATTTCAAGCGATACCCAAGCTGATTCCATGCTTCTCCATAATCAAATGAAGTCCATACGGACCATATGCTCTAGGATCAGGATCATTCCATAGCAGTTCGAGCGTATCGCCTATGATCCCCAAATGTCTCATACTAAACCAGCCACTACGCATATGTCGAAGCAACGCCTGGCGCTCGACAGGCCTAGCCATACAACTGCCGGCAATCACGAAAGGCCATAGCATAGTAGCAACGTACTGCGAGGCGACGAGTTGAGCTGCAAAGCCAAACAACTTGGTTATGTGGTCTTGTATCGCGCATATGACGACGGGGTCGGAAACGAGGGAACCGCATAGCGCTGTCGAGAGGTAAATGTAAAGGCCCTGGCGCAAGGCTTCAGCCGCACGGCGTCTGTGTTCCCAGTCTTCGGTGGTTTCCTTTGGCGATGAAGGAGGAGGCATCTTCCAGCATGTGATGCGGTCGAGTAACTCGTCATGTGTGCGCAGCAACAATGCACTGGCTCGAGGGACTCCGGAGGCTTCTTCAGCCAGGCGTTCGGATGCGAGTAGGCTGACTTCGGGGACGAGTTGGAAAAGGCCGTGGCCGCCTGCGAAGATGGAGCCGAAGGTTGGGAAGAGTTTCATTTCTTCGGGCGTCATGATGAAGTTGTCAAGCGGTAGGTCTCGCCCTGATGAAATTCCATGCGGGGTGATTGTGTTGCAAGTGACAAGGTGAGCATACAGCTCCAGACTGAATCCTAAGGTATCTGAATTGACGGCATGCTTCGTCGATTTGGATCTAAGAAGTGACTGAATGAGGTGCCTGCTGGCACGGAGATGATTGAAGATTGCTCCTTGTGTATCACCAGAGAGAGCCTGATAGTTTTAGTGTTAGCACGATTCATTGTGAACAACAAGATAATGGTCTGTGCTGCTCCGTCTAGGGAATGTTCAGAAGTGCTAACCTCATAGTGACATACGACCACCAATACCCGCAAAAGTCTTTCCGCAGCTTCCCAGTCATCATCACGGAGATTACTAAACTCGGCTCGTAGCCCGCTGAGTAGTTTCGAATAGTGAAGTTGAGTTGCGGTTGCAAGTGCAGTATTATTGGGCTCCTTATACGTCAAGTGGGATCCACTCAAGGCCATCAAGCCATGCATAAGCAGATCGTCAGTATATCCAATCGGCAGTAGGACCGTGACGAAAGGATTGTCTTTCAGGGGTGTCATTGCGAAAAAGGAAGCCGTTTCCCTGAAGTAATGACTTAGGAGAGTTCCCGACTGTGGAGTGAGTCCGCATGCACGCTCAGATCCGATATTCGAGATTGAAACCGGAGCAGAGATGGTTACTAGGGCTTGGGAATCTGCATCTTCGATTTTGGTTAACTTCCGAGCCACGACTGTAGCTTCCTTGTCACTAGATACTCCTGAAGGCCATTCGCACGCCAACTGATTGCGTCGACAGCCTGCGCATCGTGGCTTGACCTCATCACATTTCTTCTTTCTTGAACGGCAAGTCAAACATCCCGCTCTTGTTCTGGAAAAGCGCGGCTTCGCCGTTTGGTGCATGTTAGTAAAGATTAAATCACTAACAGACGTTGAGGGTTGGATGAGCGACTAGGGATCATCGACGGGGCGTGATGCTGTAGAGCGCGGCTACAGATTTGCCCTCGGAATGTTTTGATCTTAAGAACTCCAGCTTACCATGCAAAGCCGTTTAGTTTACAGCCAAAACATAACGGCGAGCAAGGAAATTGGGTTCTTGGTTGGCATTGCGCTTCCAATAATGACGAAGACCAAGCGTCCCATTCGGGAATGGAGCAAGGCGTTCAGTGGATACATCATCGCCAAGTGTGGCTGGGACTTCTCAAGGCATGGCAGTCAGATATGCACAGCGCGGTAAGATCCTCCAGAGCGCGGTTGGAATCCTGCACAGCGTGATGAGATGAACACTGATAATCTTTTTACATCTTCCGTATTCACATCGTCTACCTAACCGCGTTTCTTCACATAGGCGCTCACCAAGTATCTTGGATAGAGACTCCAGGTAATTATGGAGAATTACAGCCTCACCGGCTTGGGAAAATTGCAAGGCGACCATGAATTGCGTAGTACATAGCATCTTGGAGTGTTAATCGAAGTGGATCATGGTCATTCAGCTGGAGAAACTTTGAAGTATAAAGGATATCTTATACTCACTCAATTGACATCAATACCTCAACCCAGCTCATACAATCACTCTCGTCCTATTTCTTTAGACTGTAACGTATTATATCAACAATCAATTTACCATCATGATTTCCGCGAAGACAAAAAGCCTTATCGGCATCGCGTCACTCCTTATGATACCCCAGGTCTATGGGGCTGCCACTCCAAAACCACTAGTTGAGGTCGACGTTGTTGTTGTAGGAGGTGGATTTTCAGGACTGATGTCCGGGTATAACCTACAACAAAGCGGCCTCAAGACTGTAGTGCTGGAGGCCAAAGAACAAATTGGAGGGAGATCGCGATCTTTCCAACGGAAAAGCGGACCTGGTGTGATCGAGTTAGGTGCTACTTGGATCAATAACAGGACGCAGCCAGAGGTCTTTGCATTGACAGAGCAATTCGGGTTGGAAACCGCGGAACAGTTTACCGATGGCGATACAGTCTTTCAAGGTGTGGATGGAAAATTGTCAAGGATGCCTCCAGGTGCGCAATCGAATGTAAGAATCTCTTACTCACCAGCAATTACCCTACGATACTGACCAACTGCAGTCCGAAGACCCCATAGAGGCGGTTCTCGAAGGAAAGGTCCTCACACTCATTGCTGAAGCTGCTGAAGAGGTTGACATTCGCGACTTTGATAAGTTCCCAAAGAAGAAGGATGTTTCCTTCGCCGACTGGGTCGCTCTGCATGGCTTGTGGAAATTTCCTCATGTCCAGGGCGTAGTAACGGGTATCACAACTTCTATCGTTGGCCGTGCCCCAGAAGAAGTTGGCGCGCATTACTTCTTGGATTATGTGAAGTCTGGTAACGGCCTCATCAGCCTCCTGAGCGAGGGTGCGGATGGTGCTCAGTCACTGAAGGTCAAGAAAGGTGAGCTCCTATCGAATCCAACGGGCCGCTTCAGAGGAACTAATAGGTCCTTCCAGGAACCACTTCCATTGCAACGAGCCTTGTCAACGCCATGGAGAACGGCACTGTTCTCGTCAGTACTCCAGTCAAGAGCATCAAGTCATGCGATGACGATACTTCGATCGTTACTACCAAATCGGACCAAGCGTTCAAGACGAAGAAAGTCATCATTGCCATCCCAACCAACATGTACAAGGATATCGAATTCGATCCACCTCTTCCAAAGGAGAAGGGTACTCTTGTCTCCAGCACCAAGCCTGGTATTTACGCCAAGTTGATCCTTTCGTACTCGGAACCTTGGTGGCGCAACGCAGGATTGGTTGGCAAATTCACTTCATTCGTCGGACCTATCTGCTTCGGTTGGGACACATCGGACCTTGCCGACTCCCAGTACAGCTTGGCTTTCTTCGTCTCTGGTGACATTGCAGCTGAGTGGCATGAGCTTCCTCAGCAAGAGAAGGAAGATGCTATCGTCGAGCACTTGGCAACTCTTGTCGGAGAAGAACTGGCTGAAAATGCTCGTGATGTCCTTGAGCTTAACTACGTTGAGTGGACAAAGGAAGAGTATCTTGAAGGCGCTCCTACTAGTTCCATGGGTCCCGGTCTCTTGCGCAAGTACGGAGCAGCTCTGAGAGAGCCATACAGCAATCTGCACTTTGGAGGAGGTGAAACAGCGTATGAGTGGAAGGGATATCTCGAGGGGGCCATTACAGCAGGAAAACGTGCAGCGCAGGAAGTTATTGATGACCTCGGCGCTGACAAGAAGGAATAGATCCTTCTTTAAGGATTGGTTGCATTTTACCTCCTTACTAGATTGACTGCCCATAGTTTCATTTTTCTTGCGCATTTCAGCACCATTTGTAATATTAATTAGACCATTGTTAGTATTGAATCATATAGTCACGTTTTTGGGAAAGGGTTTCACTCAGTGTTAGTGATTATATCGCACTCATCTCCAGTTTCTAACCTCTGCTTTTTAACAGGACAGGGGTCAACTGATTGAGATCTAGAACTACATACGATCCTATTCCAGAAGTGGTGCGTGACGCTTATCTAGAATATATAACTTCTGTTAATGCTCGAAGATCTGTTGGCTCATTTGTAATCTCAGTGAGTACTCGTAATCAATCCAGTGATTGAATTTATCACCGGTTAAAAAAGCGTACTCAATCAATGCCGTCCACAATAACCGTCAATGATTGGTATGTGTTGCAGGTTCTTAAACGCCAGGATTACCAGAAAATCCTGGTTGGATTCTATTTTATTCTTGGCTTTCTTTCCCTTTACGTTCTGCATTCGTTCTTACTGCGCGAAAATATGAGAAACCTAGCTCTGTCGTTGACTTTCCTTGTCTCTTATGGAACAGGCTTGGTACAGTGTCATTGTAGGGCCGCCCACAAAATCCCAGCGTGCTACTCGTGTACTAAAGAAGCTCTCAGATGTCTTCAGCCGCTTTATGTTCAATGATACAGTAACAGAGCAATGGCAATTCGTTCGGTAAAGGAGCTCGTAGCCTTAAGTGGAATGTATTCAAAGTCCCTTAGCTGAGCACTCGATAGTAACATCACTGAGGGTATTGCTGCTGACAGTCCCACTGTATCCGATCAATACATGCCTTACTATGACATATCCTCGCCCAACCTCCGATGTGGTCGCGGCGCAGCGACGTCAGGTCCGGGAACACAGACAGCGACCGTAGTTGCCGGTTCAGAAGTCGGTTTCGTCATTGGGCGCAGTGCAGACGAGCCATTAGAACCGTACATAATCTACCACAACGGCCCCGGTATGGCATACATGTCAAAATCGACAGTCGACAATCTAGACGACTATGAGGGCGATGGAGATTGGTTCAAGATCGCGGAGTTCGGACCTAAGGATGACACGACCTGGATTACCCGCGATCAGACTGGCATGAATTTCACGATACCGAGGCGGACGCCACCAGGGAAATATCTGCTACGGGTCGAGCATTTGTATGTGCGTCCGAGCTACAACAGTACGCAGTTTTACATTGCTTGTGCGCAGGTAGATGTGTTGGGGCCTGGTGGTGGTGTGCCGGAGCCGTTGGTGAAATTCCCTGGTGCATATGATCTGAATGATAGAGGCATCATGGTCGAGCAAAGAATATATGAATGGCCATTGAGTGGATTGCTTAAATATCAGATGCCTGGACCAAAGAGGTGGGAAGGCTAAAATGGGCGGATTATCTTAACGTTATTCAGTAAGAAACCCTTGGGGATGGCGTTCCAAGTAGTCTACCCGAGCACAGAGAAGGTCTATCTTTGTCATAAGTGATTCGTATATTAGAAAATCTGATCCTGTCGTGATATATTGTTGGAGAATTTTGAGAGTATCTATAAGGCCGGCTCAAGAACGATGTTATCAATCAGGCGCACTGGTATCTGTCCACCTCCAACGCCCAGCTCTTCGCCTTCTTGAGGCTCTTCGAGAGGCAACATCTTCACTGCTCCACTAAGAATAGCCCCACGGGTTGCGTCAACTTCCTCGATCTCCTCCATAGTGTCAGGGTCAGCAAGACTAATGTAGTCGACTTCGAATCTCGCTCGCTCACTCGACAATAGCGCATCCTGCTCAAAAAGAGTTTTGTCGGCGTGATCATTTGCCGGCCAAAGTATATCACCTCTACTCCGTTTCCCGGCCTTGTATTGCGCCTCCGCCTTGCGCAAAGACTGATTCAAAACTATACCAACATTACGGCGGCGAGTACCAAGATACACATTCCGGGAAGATAGCGCCAGACCGTCCTTTTCCCTAGCTGTAGGGCAAATTCTCACCTCCGTATCAAGATGAAAGTCCTTAACAAGACGCCTGATAACAACAGTTTGTTGTATGTCTTTCTGCCCAAAATAGACTCGGTCGGGTGTGCATATATTGAATAGCTTCAGGCATACTGTAGCTACACCTCGGAAGAAAACTGGTCGGGATGCTCCTTCAAGAAGCTGACCTAATGGTCGCATCTCTACGAAGGAGCCTTTGCCAGGAATGCTGCTATCGGGTGGTAATATGGGATACATAGTCTTCGTCGATGGCGCAAAGACAGCTGTAACTCTGCCTTTACCTGCAGATGCTAGCTCTTGATCCAAAACACCAAGCATCTGCATATCGGCCTCCCATGTCTTGGGGTAGGATGCCAAATCTTCATTGAGACCAAATTGTGTAGGATTAACATAGACGGTGACGAAGACGTCTGTGTTCTCTGCTGCTGCCTGACGGATAAGGGAGAGATGTCCGTTATGCAATGCGCCCATAGTCGGCACAAGTCCGACTGTCCGTTTGTTGAGGAGAAGGTCCTTTCGGTACTTTCGAAGAGGCGCTACATCGTGGAAGATCTGGGTGGAGGTAGACAACGGTCGAAGGTGTGCGCCAGAGACGACATTGCGGACTGGAATCCTGTACGATGCGCGTGGGAGAGCTCTACTAAGACACGAGCCTTAGGAAACGTCAGTGTCGGTGTTCAATGGCAAATCTCACTGTCCTATTTACCGGTCAGAACCCGCAAAGTGCCCGCCATGGTGAGCGTGTTGTTGCGGGGAATGTGCGTCCCGCTGAGTTAGTTGAGGTCGCGGAGAGATGCGGGGAGATGGAAAAAACGATGGAACTATGGGTCCTGAATGTGATGTCCGTGAGAAGAGTAAATCGAAGCCATTGCTCTCGAGCTGAGCAAGAAATACCTTCTGTTGGACTCTAAACAACGCGGGAGTTATCCTCACGACGGCACGTACCGAGGCCGATCTGATAATACAGCACGGACCAAGAGGGAGGGTCTCCACCAAAAAGTTTCATTCTAGAATTTTGGCGCGGACTTTCGCAACTGCAAAGACCACCGAACCCAGACAACACACGAGTTTTCCACAGTATATAGGAGGAAAATGGCCGACGATGGCATGCTTTTGAACTTTTCCATCCCTGAAACTGGGTTTCTCAATAAACCAAAGTTCAAGGGTGGGAGTTGGAAGGACCGACAATCCGCAAAGAGAGCCGCAGGGCATTGGCATGACAGGGCAACAGGACGTCTGAACGGAGAAAAGCCTACGAATAAGACGACTTCGAATCCGAATCGTACAAAGCTGGGCGAACGGCCAAAGCAAAAGTCAAACAGCCCCGAGCCCGAACGACCAACAGAAAGACTACCAAAGCGACCGCGCGTCAGCGGCGAGTTCAAACCTGCTGCCGCTCGAGACAACACGGAGCAGGAAGAATTCAGACCGCAATCAAACCCCAATGTCACAAAGAGTACAGGAGAGAAGAGTTCAGGACCTAAAGGTGGAAAACAGATCATTTCCTCGCTGTTCTCGTTCAACCCCACATCGACGACCGAATCTCTACCCAAAGATCAATCCGCGAACGATGAACACGTCGAACCTTCGAATGCGCCGCTATCGAGCGAGCTTGAAACTTTCACATCTCTAGGTATATCACCCTCCCTTGCAACCCATCTCCTCAATAAGATGGAGATGAAGGCTCCTACAGCTATTCAGAAGGCAGCCATAGCACAACTGGTGAAAGATGACTCGGATGCATTCATACAAGCCGAAACAGGTTCCGGAAAGACATTGGCATATCTCTTGCCGATAGTGCAACGTCTGATTGAGATATCTGCAAACATGAAGAAGAGGAAGGTGGATGAAGCTGTTCAAAGAAATTCCGGACTTTTTGCAATTATTCTCGCACCGACTCGTGAACTGAGTAAACAAATTGCTACGGTTTTGGAAAAGGTGCTCGGATGTGCGCATTGGCTCGTTGCGGGAACAGTCATTGGAGGAGAGAAGAAGAAGTCTGAAAAAGCAAGGTTAAGAAAAGGTATCAATATCTTGGTCGCCACGCCTGGTAGGCTCGCAGATCATCTTGAACACACAGAGGCGCTAGACGTGAGCAACGTAAGATGGCTTGTATTGGACGAAGGTGACCGCTTGATGGAGCTAGGTTTTGAGGAGGAGATTCAGAAGATCATCGGTAATCTAAACTTGAGATTACGTGCCAAAAAGGAAGGAGACGCCGCGATACCTGGACTTCCCAATAAGAGGACTACCATTCTCTGTTCTGCCACGATGAAGATGGATGTCGAACGCCTCGGGCAGATCAGTTTGAAGGATGCTGTTCATATCCGAGCAGACCCCAAGGACCTGGATGGTACAGAGGTCGCTAGAGAGGAAGGATTCTTTGCACCCGCCCAGTTGAAGCAGTCGTACGCCGTAGTTGCGCCTAAGCTCCGTTTGGTTTCTCTCATCAGCTTTCTTAAACGAGCGTTTGCTCGCAAGGGTTCGATCATGAAAGCTATCGTGTTCTTCTCTTGCGCAGACTCTGTAGACTTCCATTTCAGCATCCTCACGAGCGAGCTGGAAAAGTTCTTTGAGGGCGCCGACGCACAGAAGCCGGAGGCGACCGACGAGAAAGCATCCGATGAAGCATCACAGAAGAAAGCTAAGAACGGCAAGGCTGTCATTGAGTCAGACCCAACAAAGCTTGACGTTACTCATACCGAGTCGTCTCTCCTTTCGCCAAAGACGCATTCCGTCTCAGCTTACCGACTCCATGGTTCACTACAACAATCGCTCCGAACATCGACTTTGCAACACTTTACCAAAAACAAAGAGCCTGCTCTATTATTAGCTACGGACGTTGCCTCCCGTGGACTCGATCTTCCTAATGTGGATCTAGTAATAGAATTCGACCCTGCTTTTGCCCGAGAGGACCATCTTCACAGAATTGGCCGTACCGCTCGTGCTGGACGGGACGGACGTGCTACCATCTTTTTAATGCCAGGTTGCGAGGAAGGCTATGTTGATATACTCAAGAGCGACAGAAAAGATGGCGAGGCAGGTATTCACATTGGACGCCAGGATGCGAACGAGATCTTGAAGAAGGGCCTCATCACTTCTGGTGTGACGAAAGACAAGAACGCTTTCATGGACAAGGCTACGGATCTCCAACTTGCCGTCGAGCGCTGGGCCCTTGCGTCTCCCGCACGAATGGAGAGCGCACGGCGAGCGTACCAAAGTCACGTCAGGGCCTACGCAACCCATGTTGCTGCCGAAAGAGGTTATTTCGATATCAAGCAGCTACATCTTGGACATCTCGCAAAGGCATTTGCACTTCGCGAACGTCCAAGTGGTATGAAGGTTCCCGGTTTGAGGACAGGTGCTGGAAGAGATAGCGCGAAGGGTGCCACGCCCAGGATGAGAGGTGCCACCAAGGACGGGAACGACAAGTCGGGTGGTAAAGCAGAGATTGAGCAAGTGGACCCCAGCGAAGATGCAGCAAAGATGCGCAAGGCGGTGCGGGCACGAGAAAAGTTCATGCGGCACGCAGGTCAGGCGGACGAGTTCAATCTTGGTTAAGCAAACTCCTTCGTCTTTTCGATTATACTTAGATTCAGTCCAACTAGAAGAAATAGAACATCTGCCTCGATGGCAACACGAAGCTACAACGTTGATTCTACTGCATCCTCATTGCTGTCCAAGTGGTTACCAACTTCCGTTCAACTGGGTTGGATCGTTCTGTTGGGTATAACTTAAGGTGGTTCCATGGTTGATATCCCAATACAATAACCCACAATCTGTCCACAGCCAACCTTTCCATATCCATCGGCAAGGCAAAGGACACTATATAACCTGGACTTCCACCTAATCGTCGCTCGTGTAGCGTCCATCTCTACAAACCTTCCACCACGCTTCAAATCCTACCCACAACGCAAAAATCTACGATATCAGCCTCCAGGTCTCAAACTATCAAAAATCAATACCAACACTGTCAATCGAGCAGAATCTACCAGCTCCCAACACCTGTCGACTTCAGACACCCAACAACCCCAATCCACCACATCAACTCAAAACCATCACCACAACATCATCATCCACCATGCCCATCATCCAGAACCCCTATGTCGTCCCTCGCGTCCTCTCCGAAGACATGATCCCCAAAGCATGGGAGCCCGCTACTCTCGAATACGACACCCTTCCCTGGTGGGCCATCATGATCGCCTTTTGCGCCGTACTCTTCCTCGGTGTCTTCATGGTGTGGGCATTTGGCTGGTTCACGTAAGTATTCACCTCTTGCAATCGAGGAGGCTGAGCTGACTGTGTGTTGATTTAGGTCATGCTATCGCAGGTGCGGATGCTGCGCAGGATGCTTTGATGGCTTGTTTAAGTGTCGGTGCAGTAGGGCACGGAGGGCGAGGCGGAGGAGGGCAGGGGATGTTGAGGCTCAGGGGTTTCGGGGTCAAAGAACTTAGTGATGAGGGTTATGAATCTTGTTTCTACATTGTGGGTGCGTCTGCGGCATATTCTGGTTTTGAATGGCATTTTGAGAATTTTCTACACGTTTGCTAAACATAGCGTATTTCTGCTTGGAGAAGCATAATGAGAATTGCCCATCGGTTTTTGCTTTTTCTTCATGGACATGGCATTGAAGATAATTGGTATCAAGGCATATCTCACTGCTTGGATTCTTGTAATGTGTTAACGCCGTGATGTTAAGTCTGGAATTTCGTGTGTGTGTCAAAACAAGTACTTATGATGCTTAATATTAAATACAAAAGATAATTGCATCTCATCACTCGCTAAAAGGCCTTTACTCAGTGATGGGAAGTAGTCCCTGAAGATTTTCGACGATGTTCGACAGGGAGGTTAGCGTGATAGGGCTGAAGTCGAGTGCAACAAATCCACCCAATCCAATTTAATTCCATCCAATCCATCAAGTCGGCCAAGTGCCGAAATATTATAACGAACGCGAACCAAGTCCGAGTACGAAAAATGTTACAGTGACCTCCCACTGTGCGCGATGTGAGATGCGCTCCAGAGTGGCGACAAGAAGTTGCGACACGGGCGGTCCTAGCTCGTATCGATACCTTTTTTCTGCTAGTATACTATCACGTCGAATATGGCTTGCAACGGCCATTGATGAGGCAGTATTGCAGCATGCCGTGATTACAATGGGCTGAAGAGGCAATTTTCAATTGGTGAGATGCTGTACGAGTACACTCTTACCCTGCATGAGTACATGATGATTGAAGGAGCAGCAATTGGTCTTCCGTTGCGCCACCGCAGATCTGAAGAAAAAGAGCTAATGCCCGAGGGGCCCACACCGCTAGGTTAACACGGTTCCGCATCGTGCAAGTGCAAAGTGCAGTCTCTTTTGACCTCCGAGTCTTATTTTCTTTCCCTTCGACATACCGTCCATTTGCCATTGCCTGATTGCTACTCGTTGTACCCTTCGGGCGCTGTTGGTGATGGATGAGGACGAAGAGCATCGTGAGCCTTGGCTCGCTGAACCCCTGCTCTCTCCCCACGACCACACGGTCAAGACCAATGGCTATGGCACCGCTGTTGACGGAGCCGGCCTCGAGACTATCGGGGATGAAGCTGGAGGTGGACTTGTGACGACCATGGGAAAGGAAGCCAGATTGCTTTTCAAGTATTCGGTCCCATGCACAATAACGTATCTGCTCCAGGTAAGTTTTGTTTTGCATCTCTAAACAGAAATCATGCTAACATCATGTGCAGTATAGCTTCAGCCTGGTATGTTGTATCGATAAACTTCAACTTCATAGCAGCTACTTACATTTTCAAGGTCACCATATTCGTCGCTGGCCACATTGGCACCGACGAGCTGGGAGCAGTCTCTCTGGCTACTATGACTGCTAACATCACTGGATATGCTCTGTACGAAGGCCTCGCCAGCTCCCTCGACACATTATGCGCCCAAGCATACGGTTCTGGCAGGAAAGATCTTGTCGGCCTCCACTTCCAGCGGATGATTGTCTTCATGCTCACGGTCACCCTATTCATTGGCGCCATCTGGTTCAATTCTGGAGTCATTCTCAGTGCCATGGTCCCTGAGCGCCATCTCGCCCTCATGGCTGGCAAATATCTAAGGATCCTCCTTGCCAGTTGTCCCGGATATGCCATCTTCGAGGCCGGCAAACGCTTCGTCCAGGCCCAGGGTCTCTTCAACGCGAGTCTATTCGTACTCGTCCTCAGCGCACCGCTGAACATGCTGTTCAATTACGTTTTCGTCTTCGCACTTGACTGGGGTCTGACTGGCGCCGCGTGCGCTACCGTCGTCTCCAACACACTCCTTCCCATTTTCCTTTACATCTACATCATCTTCGTCGCCCCGGAAGCCCTCGACTGCTGGAACGGCTTCTCCCGCGAAGCCTTCTCAAACTGGGGCCCTATGGCCAAGCTCTCCGCAGCCGGCATCATCATGGTCGAAGCCGAATGGCTAACCTACGACATCCTCACCTTCTCCGTAACCCACATCTCGACCGCGCACCTCGCGGCCCAGAGCCTCTGCATGACCATCTCGAACGTAATGTGGCACATCCCATTCTCCGTCTCCGTCGCCGTATCCACGCGCCTCGGCAACCTCGTCGGCGCCTCCTCCCTCAGAGCCGCCCGCATCGCCACCCGCACCTACGTCCTCGTCTTCTTCTGCATCGGGCTCCTCAACGCGGGCATCGTCGTCCTCGCCCGGCACTCCCTCCCCCGCTTCTTCACCGAAGACCCGGAGGTCATCGCCATCGCCGTCAGCGTCATGCCCGCCATCGCTATCTTCCAGCTCGCCGACGCGTTTACCTCGCTCGCCAACAGCATCCTGCGTGGTCTGGGTCGCCAGGCCGTCGGCGGGTACGTCAATTTGTTTGTCTACTACGTCGTCGCGGTGCCGTTGAGTCTGTTCTTGTGCTTCGGAAAGCCGGATCTAGGGCTTGCAGGGCTCTGGACGGGGTGTGTGACGGGGGCGTGGTTGATTGCGGGGATAGAGGGCGCGTATTGTAAGATGACGAGTTGGAAGAGGGCGATCGAGGATGCGAAGGAGAGGGAGGATTGAACGGGCTTTGTGGATGAAGGAGTTTCTAGACTACGCAACGTCTTTCTTTTGTTGGAGGAGCTTGGGTTAAGCGTTGTTGTAGTCGACTCGCTCCATCGAGGCTTCGATCTTAGTATAACTCAAATTATATACATACATCCACAATCTAACAGCTCATCTTACAATCAATCCCCAATGGAACCTTGTTAGTTTCGTCAAACAACTTTGGTATCGTTCCCATTTAGGTTCATGTCTGCATTGTGTACTTCGAGTAGGTGTATCAGAATTTTGAAGTGTAAAAAAGCACATGAGACAAGGAACCTTAGAATTCACCATCGAAGCACCTCTCTGGAAAGAACTGAATTTCTTGATTGCATTATCTCTTGATCTAATACTCTAAAAGCTCATATCATCGATTAGTGAGGTACATCACACAAACCAGCCATGACACAATCTCCCCCTATCCCATCCCTCCCGGCGAAGTCCTCATACCACCACCACCACCACCACCACCAGTCCAGCATTTGTCACACCCAATCGGATCCTCCCACCCTAAACATCCGAACAAATACTGCCACTCCCGTTCCGAGGATATCTGCTTTGTCACCGCATACTTTCTTCCCTTGTGCTTACGAAAGGTCGAGCGATTCGAACGAGGGCGAGACTTGTTTTTGTACGAGAGATTGTACTTCTTATTTGTTTGAGTATTTATATTTGAGGGTAGAAAGGCATATGAGAAAAGAGGGGCTCAAAGTTGGATTGGTTTTTCACTTTTGGTCTTTGAAAACTCTTTGGGTGTAGGAAAACTATATTGGGGTGATTGGTCTTGATATTGCAAGACCCTAGACTTTTTATTGGATATTGAGGGACGAGGGATAGGGTCATTCGGTTGCTTATGAAGTTTTTGCTGGGAAGAAGAACTCTGATTTCGAGGTCTTTGATTCGAAAGGGCTTTGTGCCAGTGCGATATTCTTCCAGCATCATTACGCGCCCAGCATCTACGGTTGAAAATCGAAAGCCACCATCGCCATATTCAAGTACGACGTTCAGGACATTGACGACCATGGCCTCCACACCTCCCCACTGTCCTTCTTCTGCCGCCGCAGAAAACGAACAGCCAGACAAACCCCACACAACACCAACAGCATCGACACCCCCAGAATCCCAAGAGCAACCGCTCCCCAAACTCTCTCCAGCGGACTTCCGCGCATACAACCACATGGCCGAGCACATGGACTACTTCCACAACCACTTCCGCGCGACCTGGACGACGCTGATGACCGCGTGCGAGACCAACAAGCGGCCCAAGAACCTCTCGATGCGGCAGTTCATCGGAATGGGCCTGCAGCTGTGCCAGCATCTCACCATGCACCACACGATCGAGGAGAAGCACATATTCCCCGTGCTGGCGAAGAAGATGCCTGCGTTCCGCAAGGAGTTGGAGCTCCTGACGCAGCATAAGCAGATCCACAAGGGGTTGGATCGGCTGGAGGAGTATTTGTTGAAGTGTCAGAGTGGGGAGAGCGAGTTAAGGTTGGGGGAGTTGAAGGAGATTATGGAGGGGTTTGGGGAGGTGCTGTGGCAGCATCTTGATGATGAGGTGGCGCAGTTGGGTGCGGAGAATATGCGGAAGTATTGGTCGTTGGAGGAGATGAGGAGGATGCCGATGTGAGAGGAGGGAAGTTAGGCATACGCGGTATCGTGCGTTAGAATGAATATACCCAGACTGTTTTCCATGCTTCATCGCTTTCGCATCTTTCCGAACTTCTCGTGCCATTTGCGGGCTGATGCTTTCGTGCCTGGTTTCTCGGCCTGTGCTGCTGGGAGTGCTGCTCCTTTTGCTGTGATTGTGCTTGTAGTGGGCTGGTCGTACGCGCCTTCGATCGAGCTTAATTTGACGTCCGAGTGCCATGCCTGAGGGAGGTTCTCCTTCCATGTCTCGAGGAAATCCAGGAGTGAGTAGCTGGAAGATCCGCCTCGTGCCTGGAGCAACTTCGTTCCCACAAATCGCACCGTCTTGCCTTGATCGAGACATGACCATGGTCCGTTGAGGCCTTGCTCAGCGGTTGATAGATGTTTGCAGATGGTAGCAGCCAGGTCCCCTGGGAATCCCTCTTCTGCCACCAACTTCGCAATGTCCTGGGTCAAGAACTGTGTGTCAAGTTTCACACCTTCCGCAAGCGCAGCAGCGACGACTGATTTCCAGACTTGTGTGGTAGTGTTTGCGGTCGGTCTGTAAGAATGACCGCCGACCTCGAAAGCCAAAACCTCGATCCAGCCCTGATCGAACTGTCCCTCCGAGAGTGGGATGTGTTCGAGGATGCTAGCCTTGGTACCTGCATTGCCAATTGCGTCGACCTCTCCATCCACGATGTCGTATATGGGCAACAGTTCCTCCAGCGTTGACGCAGGAGAAACAGCAACGGGATGCAGCTCTAGGGTTGTAGTGCATGACGCAATTGCCTGGGTGGTAGGGACCGGTATGTCGTTGCCATGGTCGGGAGGGGGTGCAAGGGCGGTGGGCTGGGTGATGAAGACGGAATTGGACGTCTGGACCTGTCTCAGTTGGAAGGTCTTGTTGGGGGTGCAGAGCACTGCATACGCTGCTTTCGCGTTTGGCGCATTCGGATCGGAGGGCGGTACCTGCGACTTGATGCAGAGTCTAAAGCCACACGCGTAGGAAGTTAGCCTAGGTAATGTGCACCGAAGAAGAAAGGGAACGAAGAGCAGGAAATAGCTGAATAGGGACGTACTGGGGCGGGTCGGGAGAGTCTATAAGCTCAACAATTTCTGGTGGCAGCTCGAGCAGACGGAATTGTTGAAGCTCGTGGGAAATTGCAAAAGGGACGGCGCCCTCGTCTCGCTGGGTTGCCATGCGAGCTGGGTCTATGTAGTACGTGTTTGGTGTGCGCGTGTGTATGTAAGTTTATGGGTTGGTGTTTTCCCATGTACGGAGATATTCGCGTTGTTTGTTGTTTTGTTGTTTTGTGAGGGGTTGAGATTGTCGAGATTTGAGGGAGATCGGCGCCAGGTCCCTCGTCGCTCTTCCGCCTCCGCCTCCGCAAGCGCGCCCGCGTCACCAACTATTTACCATGATACTCTGCCTAGGTATACATTGTGTAAGGAGGAATTACGCGCGTCAATTGATTGGAACTGAAATGCAAGGAGTAGAACCAAATCTCTATCTAATCAACATACATACCTTCGGGAAGGCATCGAAGAATTGGCTGATCCCAAAGATAGAACACGACATGATGGTATTACTGGGAACCCCCCGTCTATCGTTGTCGCACTTGTCGCTATTGGTGGCACCGTCGTAAGCCCTCCAATTCGACCTGCGCTTGGCCGCAGAAAACAGGACCTGACCGTTGCAGCGCATCTGGGTTTTGCATCTTCTGATTCCTGTTCAACGACTAATCGCTGTGCACTACTTGCTGCTGTGCATCTTGTCTCAAGTACACCACCTAATTAGTGCATGCAGGTCGTGGTTGTGGTCGCAGTTGCTGCTCTCCTTCCCGTTTGTTTACACTTCCACGACAGCTCTCGCTGTACTTACTCCGCCCGCAACAATTTCACCATCACAACAACAACAACAACAACCACCTCAACACTACCACCACCACCGCGTCCACCTTTTCATCCCCTCCTCCACCTCGCTCTTCGCTTCCTCCACGATTTCCCTCCGCCTACTCGCATGGCGCCTTAACGAGTATTCGCTCACTATTGTCATTCGCTTTGTGCGCGCCATGTTCTGAACGGCCTCGACGACCTGTTCCCACCAACCTTACCAACCTACATACCTAATTTACTTGTCCAACTCCGTCACTCCTTCACACGCGCTCGATACCCTCAATCATGGTCCTTATAAATCCAGAGCCAGCGGCTCTGTCCCCCGGCGACCTCTCTCTTTTCTATACCACCGATGAGTTCTTGTCCAACTCTCCGGTGTTGATCTTCTACGGCCCAACGTCGACTTCGACGCACGCCACGCATTCGCGCATCCAGGCGCACATCTTCACCCCTGCAGGCCTACAGAATTTTGCCCGTCTGATCATATCGCCAACTGCACCCTTCTATTCCGCCGTCACCTGCCTGCCTCGCGAGGAGCAAGGTGACGAGATCTGTCGAGGCCTCGCCTTCAGTCTGTTCAAATACTTTGTCGAACTTCCAGAGCCCATAAAAGATGTTTGGGAGAAACAATACGGCACTATGGCGCGGTTGCCCTCCGCGCCCACTCTATTCTCGGAAGCACACGCAGCCATGGTTGCCGCGCGCATGGTCAAAGTGGAGAATGTTGGAGATATCATAGTGGATGTTCGGCATGCTCTTGGTGAGCAGACATTATCTTGGTTGGACGTGGACATTGTTCTTCCTCAAGGCACCATGCAAAAGTTGGAGATTCGGGAATCCGCGCAGTTTGACGAAGCAGAAGACGACATCCTCCAACAGCGTTATGGCGCATATGCTCCCGTCATCAAGTTGTTCGGGGAAGCAGCTTTTCTACCTACATCAAAGTTGCGGCGCGCACCTTCCAAACCAACTGCTCTCAACCGATCACAGTCATTCTCAAGGAAGAACAAGGAAAACCTCCGGCGCGAGATGTGCGAGTTACTGGATACTGAGGAGAACTACGTTAGCAAAATCGATGATCTGATTCATAATGTGGCGGTCGATTTCCGGCAGAAGGCAAAAGCGAGGAACCCAAGCAGCACGAGTCCGACCGAACAAGCTCTGCAAGGCCTTTTCCCTCCCAGTCTTGACAAGATCCTTGAAGTCAACCATGGTTTTCTAGAGGCCATTCGCAACGTCCTCGAAGAAACAGAGAATGACGCCATCCAAGATATTGAGAACGCCAATGATGACATATTCGTCGCCCCGTTGCGTGGACAGAAAGACCCGCCAGATGTCACCGGTGCCCTAGCCGTGGGCAAGGCTCTGCTGGAGTGGTTTCCCCAATTTGAAGATTGTTACACCGACTATATCAGTGCCCATGGAGACTTTTCGCAATTTTTGAAAGTCTTCATGAAAGACACTGGCTCCAGTTTCTCCAAGAGAATTCACGAAACCGGGGAGCAGCGGCTCACATCACTACTGATTGAACCAGTGCAGCGTCTTCCGCGATACAATCTTTACATCGACAATATCGTAAAGCAGCTCCCTGTTCGGCATCCAGCTATCAAGGTTTTCCTCAAGGCCAGGGATATCATATCTGAGATATGTTCAAGGGATGGACCCAGTGCGCAGCAGATCAAGGTCTTTGACCGTCTGCGCAAGATGGTATTCTCATGGCCGCCGTCGTTCCATCCACCAGGCCGCTTGATCACTGCAATCGACTTCGTCGAACTCTCCCCACCATACCACGGTGATCTGAGTGGTCCAGGAACCACCTCGGGCATTATGCTCCTCTTTACGAGCCATCTGGTTTTGTTGCATAAACCTAATGGATCGACGGTGACTGCACGAAGCGTCATGAGTGATCTCGATACCCCCAAATTTGGCGAATCAATTTCTTCTTCTGCGGAGCTCATCTTCCACCAACAATTGAAGCTTTGCGATGTCTCCCTCAGCGAGCATTCAGATGGCAACATCCTTCAATTGATATCTCCTACGCCAACCTCGAGTCAGCCAGGACGACCCAGAAGCCGGGATCGACAAAACATTGGCATCCGCATGTTATGCCTGCAGGGTCCATACGAAGGCAAGGTGCATAGATGTGTGGAAGAAATCGTCAAGGCTAGGGTGGAGGGCCGGTACCCAGAGGATGAGAGGGAGAGCTACAAATGGGAAGTACGGAGTGCTCCTGGCGACCTGAATCTCTTCTCTGCCGTGTCTGAGGATCTTGCTGGAAACACCGTCGAGGGTCGTAGAGAACCCGCGAAAGTCCAGATCCTCGTAGAACCATCGAAAATGCCCGAGCCCCTCCAAGTGCATGACAATGGCATTGAGATGACGATCTCCATCTCTGTTCTCCAGGACGGTCTTTTCCTCATCGAAACCAGGGGTGCGAATGACTACAATGCCAGGGACAAGCTCACGAGCGTAGAGTTCCAGCCGGTGATAACGAAGAGATTGGCAAATTACTTTCAGCTGCGGAACAACATAAGGAATCCTTCCCTCTCTGAAGCGTACCTTTTCAAGAACTCACAAATACTTAAGGCTCTTCGCCTAGAGATTGAGGACATGGACGAGCGACAAGACAGTAAGAGCCGGCCACATTCGCCCGTCAAGATGCTGTCCAGTCTTTTCGGCGCAAGCGTAGGCAGAGATGGAGGGTCTCGCAGGCTTCAACGCAATCCACCATCTCTGGGAGACATCTCCCGAATGGCACCTCCACTCCAGCCAGCACCCACGAGGACACATAGTAGGGATGGCGAGCTCTCGCGGCCTACGTCTTCAAGCAAGTCTGTTTCATTCAATGCGGCTGCTACACCAACGGACTCATTGTCAAAGCTCGAAGAGACAATGGCCACACTTCTTTTGGCAATACATGCTCGCAAGGGCAACATTGTTGGCAGGTCTGTTCGAGCTAGAGTCATCGCAGATGAGCTTTTGGTCAACGAGGTGTACAATTCGCTTCTAGAGAATCCTTCAAACATCGATACAGCCGCCCATTCTTCCGTTGACGTTCTGTTTGCCGCCTTTGAGAAGTTCTTGAAGATTGCCTGGCGAGAGAAGATGGGTCCAGTGGTCTCTCTACCCACGCTTGTGTCCCTACAGCACAAATCTGACAGCATGTACCCGGGAGAATTTGAAGAGTTCTTCCGTACTACCTTGAACGAGATGGCTCCTCAGAATCAACGCTCTATACGAGCGATCATCAAACTTTTGGCTGACCTGCTTGACGGCACAAGTAATGATGGCGACCGAGGCATTCTGACAGCAGCTTTCGCTGAAATGCTTGTCCCGGACGGCGATGCCGCGGGATTCATATCTTTGATCGATCGCTTGATCCAAGACAACGATGCTCTGTTCGCGCCACAGACAAGCGGCGTCAATACTCCAAACTTTGGATCGGTCGATTCGAAGACTCGCTCTGCCGCAGCTGGATCCATCAACTCGAATACTTCCTTGAGGAAACGATTTGGCCTGTCTACTCTAACGAGGGAGAACAGCAAGTCTGAGAGTACGTCCAAGGTTGGTTCGCTGTGGCGCTCTCTGAGCAAGAATGATCATGGCATGGACAACCAGCCATCTAGCATCTCAAAAGCGGGACCTGCTTCTCTGGGTCGTTCCAACTCCACAGACATGAACCTACGTCTCTCGCCGAAACGACCATCGTCCCGCGACCGCCCGACAGTCCTAGGCGCCTTTCCTTTCGAAGGTCAGCCTAGCCCACATGGCAGGTCGTTTTTGGGAACTTTGGGTGTTATTGGAGAGGTACCGTCGAATGGACCTCCCCGCAAGAAACGTCGTTCTTCTCTCAGTGATCTAAAGACTTTGCAGACTGCCGATCACACACCCACCTGGTCCCCTCAGACACCTCGTCGGGCAGACTCTTCGCAGGTCAATGCACGACAATCTAGCGCTTCACCCCATACGCCTTCTCGCAATACTCCGTCACCAGTCAAGCATTCGTCCATTCCCACCCCAACCTCGAGACTTGGATCCCCAATGCTGCGATTGGGTTCGCCCATTCGCAAGGAGAACTCCCCAGCCGTCGCTCTCGACCGTCCCACTGTTCGACCCAAGTCAGTTACTAGCCCTGAAAAGATGGTCAAGCCGGACGAGGTGACGATCAAGTCGTATAGCCCTACTAAGAAACGAACTGAGTCGGTGACGGGCATTCCAATACTCAAGCCCACGGGGTCTGGGTTATCAGAGCGCCCTACATCTGGTAACACCGTCAAGATACCGCCCTCAACACCCCGGTCGCCTACCAAAGCAGGTGCATCTGCCAGTCCACCTAAGAGACTGAAGATGCAATCGCCCCAGAAACTAAGGGAACGCCTGCAGACCCAGCAGCGTGATGTTGAGACGGCATCGAAGGATCTACAGAGCGAGCTCAGTGCTATCGGCCATGAGCTTTCTGCGCGTAGCGTTCCTCGACTCACAACCCAGACTTCTGCCCCGCCGTCTGCATCAGCTTCTGGATCTAACAGAAGCCTCGAGTCACGCATTGCGAACCTAGAGAAGCACCTAAAGACAACGTTGGATGCTTTGCAACTCCGGTCTACCACAATCTCTAACGATGTCACTTCTTCCCTTCAAGTCTCGGAAGCTCGTGCCAAGCATCTCGACCAGCTGTACCGCGATATGAATGCTGAGAATGAGGCACTATACGCCCGTTTCAACGAGGAGCTTGAGAAGGTAGAGCGTGCCGTGCGCAAAGGCAAGGGTAACGAGGAAGTCGATCGCAGGATGAAGGCCAGCGAGGAGGAGGCAGCACGCTTGCGGAAGGAGAACGCAAGGCTGAAACGGGAGGTTGCCGGCCTCAAGGCACAACTCAGGGAGTGAGTGAGTCTGCATCAGACAGCTCAACACAACTCCACCACCCCTTGTAAGGCTCATGCTAAACGGTCAGTTAACCGGTTGCAGTTTGCATGAGCGAGGCATGATTACAATGGTGTCGCATTTCCTTTTCCGACCTTTCAGGTCTTGTATCAGCATTATCACGGCGTTCAAAAGCGGAATTTCATGTATTATGTTCTTCAGCGTGAACATGGGCATCAATATGGTTTGGGGTTTTGGGCAGGATATCATGATCATGACGGGATTGCTGGTGCTGAGTGTCTCCTACCTCGTGCTGTTCGGATTGCTTGGGTACATTGTTGAGCAACGTACCCCAAGCGTTGCTCCTGTGCACGATGGGACTGGAAGATGATCAAGGGTGGCGTTATCGGTTGCGGGATTACATGGTTTTTTCCAATGCCGCCTGTGGCTGACTGAATATACCAAATGAATTGCATGTACTACTTCATCCTTTTGCTTCTGTCTTTGTGATGTTCTTGAATTTTCGTCTTCACGGTGAATGAATCGTACTACTACCCGCTTAGCAGTAGCAATGACAGCAACTAGTAGGCACTCGGTTTGAATATCATATCATAACATATCATGTCTCTTTTGTTCGAAGAAAGTTACCAAGATTAAAAAACAAGGCTACTATCTACGTGATGATGGTATCTGTTTATCTAATGTGCATTTCCCAAATACATGCACACGAAAAAAACGTCTATGATTGTGCATTTCCGACATTTCATCTCATTGCCCCTTTTTTTCATTCATTTCAAGACAAGATCTTTTTTAGTGGCCATGCCCATCATCCCCGCCTCCACCCCTCTCCTCCGGATCCAACTTAATCAGCGTATCAATACGCATAATCGCGACGCACGCCTCGACCGCCGACTTGAGCTGCTTGACCTTGCTCATGCTGGGCTCGAGCACGCCCGCCTTGACGGAGTCGTGGACTTTGCCGTTGGCGAGGTCGAGGCCGTAGTTCTTGTAGCCCTTGGAGCGGGCGACGGCCTTCGCGTTCTCCGGGGTCGTCGGGTCCGAGGTCGTGCGCTGGGAGAGGGCGTGGCGGGAGCGGAGCTGCGCGACGAGCTCGGTGGAGTCTTTGGCGGCGTTTATGGCGAGGGTTTTGGGGATGGAGAGGAGGGAGGTGGCGAAGGCGGCTATGGCGAGTTGTTCGCGGGAGGACTGTGAATGTTAGGTTTGTTTGGGTTTTGGGGGGTGGGTTATGAGGACTTACGACAGAGGTGGCCCATTCTTCGAGGTAGATGTGTAGGGCTGTTTCTACGGCGCCGCCGCCGGGGACGACGCGGCCGGATTCGAGGGTGCGCTTGACGGCGGAGAGGGAGTCGTGGACGGAGCGCTCCATCTCGTCGAGGGCGAAGTCGTTGGGGCCGCGGAGGATGATGGAGGCGGAGGAGAAGGCCTTGGTGCCCTTGACGAGGATGCACTCGTCGTCGGAGATGCGCTCTTGGACGACCTCGTCGGCGGTGCCGAGGAGGGAGGGCTCGAACTTCTCGTCGCCGTTCAGGTCGGAGAGGGTGCCGACGAGGGTGGCGCCCGTGGCCTTTGCTATCCTTCGGAGGTCCTCCTTCTTGCATCGTCGCACCGCCATGGCGCCCTTCTCGATGAAGTACTTCAGGCAGAGGTCGTCGATGCCCTTGGTCGTTAGCACGACGTTGGCACCAGCCTTGAGGATCATCTCCACGCGCTCGATCACGATGCCGGCCTCCCGCTCGCGGATCTTCTCGAGCTGCGCCGGGTCGTCGATGGTGATGTGCACGCCGAGCTTCATGCGCTCCTTCTGGAGGTTGATGTCCAGGCAGGCGATCTTGGCGTCGGTGACGCGGGTCACCATGGCCTGCGAGGCGACGGTGCAGTTGAGTGCGTAGCCGTTGACAAGGACCGACTCGTTGGCGCCCTTGCCGTGTGCCTTGAGGATGTTGACGGCCTTGACTGGGTACTTGACCTCGTTCTTGCTGTTGGTGCTCTTGACCGACTGCATGGCGTCGACGACCATGTTGGCGAAGAAGTCAGAGTCCGAGCCGATGATCTTGCTCGACATGGACGTCTTCGCGATGTTGACGAGCGAGTCCTTGCCCAAAGTGTCCACCTTGATGCTGATGTTCTCGTTCATGTACTTGACCGCCTCCCTGAGCGCCAGCCGGTATCCGTTGATGATGGTGGTGGGGTGTATCTTGTTCTTCATGAGGTCGTTCGCCCGCCTCAAGAGCTCGGCTGCTATTATCACGACGGATGTGGTGCCGTCGCCGACCTCCTTGTCCTGCTGCTGGGCGAGGTCGACGAGAATCTTGCCTGCGGGGTGCTCGATGTCGAGGAGGGTGAGGATGGTGGCGCCGTCGTTGGTCACGGTGACGTCTCCGATGTCGTCGACCATCATCTTGTCGAGGCCAGAGGGTCCGAACGACGACTTGACGACATTGGCGATCGCTTGCGTTGCGAGGACGTTCTGGTCGCGGACATCCTGGCCACTGATTTTCTGCCCACCGAGGACTGTGAATAGAGACAAGGTGTTAGCGGGGAGGTGTGGTCTGTATGTATTTCGGTTGGAAAGGGGAGCTGCAGATGAAGCTTACACAGAGTTCCGGCGTTCCGCGGTTGTTCAAATATTCCAGCCATGGTTTATGTTGTGTGTGGTGGTAGCTACTTGGTGATAGATTCCCCCTCGTGCTGCCTTATGGAAACTCACAAACGCGAAGTCCCATTATTAGTGTTGCTAGAAATTGACGTCGGCGTTTGGGATCCGCCGACCATGAGCTAACTGTATATGGTAAGACGTCCCTGGAAGCTCCTGTCCAATCAGAATGCATCAACTCCCCCGGCGCGGACCCCTTCCACCCCTCTCCGCCCCCCCTCCGTTAACTAATTCAGAGAACACCAACTTTCGCGAGAGACCGCCCGATTCTCTGTGACTGTTTACTTTTGCGTGTGTCGTCTCCTCCAAGTGACAGCCCTTCAGCCCTCAGAACAGGTATGTTTGATCCTGAGTCTTACGGATTACTCTCAAATTGACTCATTTCTGACTCTTGAATTCTAATTTATCAGGTATATATCAATCTCCCTTATCTCCCCGCCTACCCCTCCTTGCGCACACGCAACGCACACCGGCATCCTTCCCGTCTTTCGTTCCAAGGAACTCATGACAGAACAATCTCTCCGTTTCGACACTTCTCTCAATTTCAACTTCTCTACTCAATATATCATTGTTCTCCACGTACTCTTACTCTTTCTAACGATTGCGCTCCTTGCGCACTACAGATATCTCCCCCACGCGCCTCGATCCCTTCCATCCAACATGGCCGACGCAGACAGCAAGCTCAAGGACCTCTCCATTTCCGAGACCAAGAAGAAGAAGGACGGCAACCCCACCAAGGCTCCCAAGAAGCCTCAGCAGCCCAAGAAGAAGGTGTGTGGCCATCTGGATATCCGAGCGGAGTGCGGCTAGCGACGGCGGTTTGCGTATCAAAAAAAGAAAGGAAATTATTGACGTTTCTGGGTCACAGATCGAGGGCAAAGAGCTCATTGGCATTGATGTCGCGAAGGAGGCCGATCTTGGAGAATGGTACCAGCAGGTTATCACAAAGGGTATGTGGTTATACGTGCGTGCGTCGTATGGGGCAGCGGAATACCAAATTGGCATCTTTAGCAAGGGAGGGTGATGATCTGGCTTTCAGGCTGGATTGGGCCTCCTCGTTGCTGGAGATGGTATCTTTGGTACTCGGTGTGCTCCTACGGTTTACTGCGCTCATTGTCTGGAATTGATATCGAGCAATGGCTAACATGATTGTCAATTAGGTCAAATGATCTCTTACTATGATGTAAGTCAAATTTCCATCCTCTGATATCAGTAGCTTTACTAACGTCTTACAGGTCGCTGGATGGTAAAGCCCCCCATATATTCGGGAATGACTAAAACTAACAAACTACTAGCTATATTCTTGAGCCTTCTTCATACGGTACGAAACCCGGACTTCTTCACAGTCCAATCGATAGCTAATTGTTGATAACAGCCATCTGGGAGAACATCAAGGCTTGGTTCGACAACCAGATCAAGACCCTCAAAGTCCGAAATGCCTACTTCCCCATCTTCATTTCTGCCGACAACCTCGAGCGTGAGAAGGAGCATGTCGAAGGCTTCGCTGCTGAGGTGGCATGGGTTACACAGGGAGGAAAGTCAAAGCTTGACAAGCCTGTTGCTGGTATGAGTGCCGTGGCCCCAATACTTGCTTTAATTTTCTGACTGCCGAACTAGTCCGCCCTACCAGTGAAACCGCTATGTGAGCCCTACCTGTATTGTATAATACGACAATGGAGATTCTAACGTGCACCTCAGGTACCCCTACTTCGCCCGCAAGATCCAGTCGCATCGTGATCTTCCCCTGAAACTTAACCAGTGGAACAACGTTGTGCGATGGGAGTTCAAGCACCCCATGCCCTTCATCCGGTAAGTGTTGCAGGTATTGATTAGTAGTCACTTGGTTACTAATTCATAACTTCAAGATCTCGAGAGTTCTTGTGGCAAGAAGGCCACACCGCACATCTTACCAAGGAGGAGGCCGGAGCTGAGGTCCGCCAAATTCTGGACTGGTACAGCGATATCTGTACGTACTTTTCTACCCTTATGAACCGATTATACTAACAAGATGCAGACCAGGAGCTCCTCGCCACCCCCGTCATCAAGGGTCAGAAGACTGAGAACGAGAAGTTCCCCGGTGCTGACTACACAACTACCATCGAGGGATTCATCCCCGCCACTGGCCGAGGTATCCAAGCAGCAACCTCCCATTGTCTCGGACAGCATTTCTCGAAGATGTTCAACATCACCGTTGAGGACCCCAATGCCAAGGAGACTGGCAAGTCTGAGAAGATCCATGTCTGGCAAAACTCTTGGGGCTTAACCACCCGTTCCATCGGTGTCATGATCCTCACCCACGGTGACAACCGCGGTCTTGTCATTCCTCCTAGAGTCGCAGAGATCCAGGTCATTGTCATTCCCGTCGGTGTTACCGCAAAGTACGTTCGCCTTTATAGTTTCCCACATTGACAAGCACTAACACATTGTTCAGGACCACCCCCGAGGCCAAGGAGGACCTCTACAAGAAGGTCCAATCCATCACTGACGACCTTAGGTCCGTCGGTGTCCGTGCCGAGACCGACTACCGCGAGGGCTACAGCCCCGGCTGGAAGTTCAACGACTGGGAGCTCAAGGGTATCCCTCTGCGAATCGAGTTCGGACCTAAGGACGCCGAGAAGGGTCAGGTCACCACCAGCCGTCGTGATGTCGCCAACAAGGACGAGGCACGTGGCGAGATCAAGGTCGACGATCTCAAGGATGCAGTCCCCAAGCTCCTCGAGCAGATCCAGACCGATATGTTCAACCGCGCCGACGCCGAGTTCCGCAACCACCGCAAGCAGCTCACCAACTGGGACGACTTCGTCCCCACCCTCAATGGAAAGAACGTCGTCCTTGTACCCCACTGCGAGGGCGAGAAGTGTGAGGACGAGATCAAGGACAAGAGCGCGCGTAAGGCGCTTGGCGATGATGTCGCTGAGGACTCTAAGGCTCCTGCTATGGGTGCTAAGAGTTTGTGCATTCCGTACGCCGCCCCCAATTCCAGAATCAACCATTGTATACTGACTATGACCACAGCTTCGACCAGCCTGAGGGCATCGTCAAGGGCGAGACCAAGTGCATCAACCCCGACTGCAAGGACTTCGCCAAGTCCTGGATCCTGTTCGGCAGGAGCTACTAGACGTCTGGCTTACAGTGCGGCCAGTTGTATGTCTTTCCTAACTATCTCTGTGTGTAGGTGTTGCTGTCGGGTATGGAGTTCGGAAGGATGGGATGACGGAAAGTGGGCATCCAACAGTGAATCAAATCAAATCAACAGCACATCAGATCAAATCAAATCGATTCAAATCAATCATCCAAGTCTCCAATCGTGCCTTTGATTCCAAGTATGTATACATTTCAACGCGTGTATACAATTATTGATGTCGATTAACCCCTCAAAATCACTGCTCACGATGCCGTTGTGACTCCATCTGAACTCGTCAGTGGAGCATTGTTCAAGACTTGTGAAGTATTCATATTCAGTAATGCTAGATCGTTGCAGCCTAGCCACCACAGTGAATGAACAATGACGTGGATTTACATTGTCGTTGTTCACAACATGATTAACGAGATAGCTAACGACATAGTCAAGCACTCATTGCAGTGTACATTGCTATACCATATCCTTCCACTACTCATGTACATATATAGTCCATCAACATCATCAGGATCGCGACCAGGACAGTCCACAATAATACTCCATCAACTTCGACTTCAACCAACCAACTCCACTCATCAATTCAATCAACCACCCAACCGTCTCCACAACTCAAACACCCTTTCAAAATCACATTCTAAAATCCAAAATCCAACAGCAACCATGTGCCATATCCTTCAACAGACCTACAGGTGCGGACACACCGCCCAGATCTGCATCACACCCTGCACAGATGCTCTCTCCAAATCAACCGTCCCCTCTTCACCAACAACCCCGAAAGCCCCATCCCCATCCGTCCAGTCTTTCCCCTTCATCCCCTCCACCCCAACACGCCCTGCCTCCCCAACAACCACCCAAATCGAGGAACTCGCGTCCTACAGCGCCCACCTCGCCCGCCGCGCCGCCTACGTCGCCATGCGAGACATCCGCAACGGGCCCGGCGCTGCACCCACCCCATCCTCCCGTCACTCCGACCTCCGCCAACTCCCAATGTACGACCCGAACGTCACCTACTGCGACTTCGAACCGCAACTCACAACCTCCAGCACCACGCCCTCCCCCCACAAATGCCGCCGCTGCTTCTCCCCGACCTCCTACCCCTCCAAGTCACCCCCCTACCCCCTGAACGTAATTCACGCCGACATCACCTCCACCGCCGCCGAAGAGCGCGCCGAAGCCTCCCGCGCCGCCGCCGAAGCCCTCTGGGGATGCCTCCGCTCCCCGTACGACCCCGAGGAGGAGGGCTGGGACCTCTCGCAGCACCCCCCGTCCTCACGGTACTCCTACCCCGTCGACAATTTCAAGCAAGTCTCACGCCAAATGCAAGACGACGACGAGAAGGAGGAGGAGGAGCAGGACTGGTACTACGACGGCGTACTGGCGTGCGACGGGCGGTATTATTTCAAAGACGACGAGACGGAGCGGACGTTCTTTTACGACGGGGAGGGGGAGAGGGTTTGGAGGGAGTTTCCGGGGGTAAAGACGTACGAGGCGGTTAAGGAGGATGAGGCGGAGGAGAGGAGGGCGTGGGAGGCGTGGGTTAATGCTGATGAGGAGTGGTAGGCGTAGGTTGGAGGCGTTGGTGTGTGAGAAGCGTTTGTAGACTGGCTGGTCTGGATGGATGTGTAGAGACTGGGATTTTAAATCGTATGTAAAATTGTATATATGGGTCGTTTTGAGAAAGGAGGTTGTTGGGTTGGGAAATATGATACGGTGTCTGTATGACACAGTGAGATGTGATGAATGTCTGTGAGACTAGCTTCTGTTTGCTATCTATCCTTCCCTCTGGAAGATTCTCCGACCTACTTTGAGTCTGGGCATGGTCAGGATCATCGTTGAACGCAGGGCCTTGAGGATCAAACGTATCGGCCCATGACCCCCAGATTGAAGCAAAATTGTCTGATTGACATGGAGATTTACTGGCCGGAGGCAGCAAGATCGGACCATGAGCAATCTCTTCTCGGGCGTTTGATAGTTCCTGATACGACATACGATATGATGTGGTATCAGGATTTCCACAAAGATCAGATGAACCGGCTGTAGAAGATCGTTTCTTCTTCCGGTTCTTGCCCCGACGGGAACGTCTAGACGTGGTATAATGTATATAAGTAGTACGATTCGTATACCGGGAGGAACCCGCACGCATGCATGTTGGCCTTCCATTGCCTTCTTTTCCAGTATATGTAGTGTAGACTGGGATCATGGACCGTTTGAGAGAAGGCTGCGGGGATGGGAATGATGACATGGTGAATGTCTGTGTGACTAGTTTCGATGGATGTCGTGAGCATGGAGCTATAAAGCCTTTTTGAAGATTTTCCTTGATATATTGCTTCAGGATATCCAATTGTTCAACTGACATTTGATACAATGGTGAGGTTTTAAGTGGATTATCAGCAATCAGCTTTATCTTGTGGTCAATCCCTGGTAGCCTCACTGGCCGGACGGAGGCGGTAGTATGGGACTGGTCGCGATCTCTCCTTGGTCGTTGGAGAGTTCCTGATACGACATGCGGTATGATGTATATACGTAGTACGATTTGTGTACCGGGTGGTCAGCATGTTGGCCTTCCATTGCCTTCCTTTCCAGTACAGGAGGTCGCCAACGAACGATCTTGTCCTTGATCTCCGCCACGAGGTCATCGAATGCTTTCAGTTCTTTTATATCTCATGGACCGTTTCCTTTAAGGTCTTAGGCGGGCAGACCATCGAGTGTATCGGACGTTTCACGATCATTCTGACGACTGGCTGTGCTAGTTCCGATTCTTGTTGCGATCCTTGCCCTGACGGGAAGGTCTAGAACCATTGGAAGAACGAGCATTGGTATATAATGTCTCTTTGAGGCCTGGAGAGCAGTCTTCCAGTTTCAAAGAGAAAATGCGCCGGGCGGAGTTGCCTTTGCCTCGCGGCTGCCGAGGTGGGTCATAGTGCGTGAGGCTATGGATCCGGACGTTGGTGCTTTGCTTTGGGTTATGGCTGCCTTGGCTGCAATATGGCATGGTGGTCGTATTGTCCAGTATAAGTCGCAACATTGCCGCGTCTGCCTTCAGTGGACCGATCCAGGTGGGCGGGCCATGTTGGCGGAGGTAGATGGTTGTATATAGATGGTAGTGGAGAATGGTTGTATGGAGATGGTAGTGGAGGAGATGAGGACGAGGAAACGAGATCCATGAGATAGGTATCTGGTCCGTGTAGTCAAGTGTATATAAAGAGAGTGTGGATTGAAGATGTTGTATATTGGTTGAGGTTGATTTTTAAGTATGTTCAGGGCGTGGTGGTGGTGTTTATATATACCCAAAGTATTCAACAAACCCCCCTGAGGTGACCAGTGTGTATGTGTGGAAAGGCTAGAAGTTTCGCTCATGATTCAGACCAAACAAAGAACGCCGTTGTTATGCAATGGTATCACAGATGTGTCTCATCATCATCCCCGCCAAAAAAAAAAAAAGAAAACAGAAAAGCAAAGGAGGGGGAAACATATGTTTCTCGCTCGTCGGCTCGCAGGAACAAAGAAGATGAAAGAAAAGTACCTTCATCATCATGGGAAAAGGTGAATGTCTCGCAGGTCGATTGTGTAGAAGCATGCACTCCACAATTATGCATGCAAGCAAGCAAGCAAGCATCAGACCCTCGCACCCGCACACACGCCACGCGGTGCCCCACAGCCAAAGTCCTCCGGCCTGAACTCTCTCAACTCCTCGCCCTCCGTCAATACGCTCGGCGGCCTGATAGCATCCTTCTGCTGAATCGCCGCGACCTTATTCAACTTGAGCCCCGTATAATTCTGCGGAAGATACCTCCCCGGATGCCAGACCGCGAAGACCACGAGAGTCAGGAAAATCGGAAACGCGTCGAAGACCCAGAAGCACCACTCGTGGGACTGGAGGTACTGGAGCCCGGAGCCTTTGTCGTGCGGGATCTCCATGGTGCGGTAGATGGCGCGCACGGCGATGAGGCCCGCGGCCACGTTGATCATCCATGAGAGACGCCGCCACATGCGCCAGTCGCCCAGGTCGTCGCAGCGCCACTGGCGGCTGATGAAGAAGTAGCGGACGGCGATGACGGCGAAGGACGCGAAGCACGACATTTGGAGGATGAGGCCGAGGACGAGGATGACCCGCCCGGATTGCGTGTTCGACTCTGCTTTCTCGATGTTTCGGTCGTGGGACGGGTCGCGGTCGTAGTGGCGGGATATTAGGCCTGCGCCTATGAGCTGGATGGCGAAGGAGACGAGGTCGAAGATTACGAAGGTGGGAGTTATCCAGCGGGGGAAGCACCAGAGGCGCTGGAAGGAGAGCGACTCGGTCGGGCATGAGAACCAGACAACGCGACTGAATGCGGTGTAGCAGGCGGCGGCGAGGAAGGACGGCGCGAGGAGGATGGTGACGAAGGCGATGAGGAAGGGGAGGTCGTTGTGCTCATCTGTCGCGGAGACGAGCCGCGAGATGAAGCCCATTGTTTCCATGAGCACGCCGATGACGGCTGCCCACCAGAACCATGATCGGTGTCGAATGTATTGGTAGAGGATGTATGCGGAGAGGACGGGGAAGATGATGGCTCCGACAATGGCCAGGGGGATTGAGGGGTCGTAGATGTATGGGTTGAGGACGGCATGCGCTAAGATAGCTGTTAGTCGGAATGTCCAGTAACCGTCATCACGATTCGTTTCGCACTCACCAAAATGTCCCCCATTTCTCCTCTCTATCTGCGCATACTGTAAACTCGAGCTTGCCAAGCTCGGTGGTGGTGGCATGATGGGCAACTGGTCAACAGATTATATATCGAACTGTCGCAACTGCGCCCGCCGTAACGTTGTTCGCTGCACTGTCATAACACGCTACGTCCCATGGGCAAAGCCAACTTTGGTGAACGGCACATCGATTGACAGATAGAAAATCACGACACAGAGAGCAATGACATCGAGAATCAACAGACATGGGCAGAAGGCGGAGCGGGAGGTGTTTTACTTGTACCTCGCAAGGACCCAAGAGAGGACAAGAGCTTGCCAAGCGGCGGAGGCTTGTATACCTAAGTCTCACGACGACGGGTGCATGCCTTCAATCTTTTCGCGCGCACGGCCAGCGGAAGTCTGGCAATAGTCCAGCAGTTCCTAGTTACAGTTAATAGGTAGTTGATGTAATTGTACAGTAGAGGACTGGGATATGTCCTCTGGAAGATTGGTCGTGCTGCATCGGGGAATTGTTATTTCTATCGTTGAGCCAGGTTCACGAAGCAGTACGTAATTAATATGGCAGCGGGTGATGGGCTCAATACAGACAAGACGACGACGACAGGAGACTCGCGAGTCTGCGGGATTTGGAGCAGCATGTGTGAGGCGGAAATCACGTGTAGGTTTGGAATATCTTGGGAAAGCCTTGGACGCCACGACAGTGAATGAGTGGGCGAGAGTGTGATTTGTTGATGTCGGAGGAGGAGAGTGATGGGAGTCGTCTTTGTGGGCCTTGGGCGGACGCGGACAAGCATTGGCATCGGTGTTAGGATGACTGGACTGGCTGACCTGGATCCTGTAAAATGGTTCCTTTTGGCCTCTGCTTGTGGCTTTGATGGTCATCGGCGCTTCGCCATGAGTGTTGGTCCCGGGCCGGGTGGCCTTGGTATTCTCCTTCTCCTCTCTTTCATCTGAATCTCATGCCAACAGCATACGCCAATATCGAAGCAGTGAATAGATATCCTTTGTGCAAGGCCCGTGACGTACACTCGTGGCAAGGCTATCCCATTCTCCTCTTCTAAATCAACATCCACGAGCATGTTTCACGATAGAGGGTACCAGGTACCTAATCAAGAGCATGTCGCAAATGTGGACATTCTGAAATGCCATGCCGGCACAGAATTGCCGCCTGAGATGATGACGTGCAGAGACGAATGGAGGGATTTATCTGGGCGGGCAGGCAGACGTGCACATGTGAGAATCCGTATGGGGTTGTTATTTTGTTCCCAGTAAATAATGGAAATATGATGTGAGAATAATATTGATCAAGGCAAAGAAGGTTTATTTATCTTTAAAGGCTGAATATGATGAGGTTTTAGACTCGAGAATTGGGTATTATTAGTTCGTTGGACGGAAGGAGAAGGAGATCGGCATCGCTTTTTCCGGGGGTGGAGCAGCTTCAAGTCATTCCATTGTGCGCTGACTAAGGCGACTGCCCTCCCTCAATACAAATCACTTTCCAGTCACAACTCTGTATATCACTTCTTCACATCACTGTATGAACGAGAGCATCTTGCACAGTAGACTGAAATCCCATCATCATGAATTAACATCCTCTATACACACACAAAAGTCCAGCATTTGCCCTTTCACCCCATACGTGTTCTAAATTCGCGCATGAATATCAACGTCGACAGATCGAACATCCTACAGTCCTTGCTACAATCCTTAAACGCCCGAGCAGTGCTGTATGCGGCATTACAACTACCACCACCACTACTACTTTAATACGGGACAAACAGGCAACTCAACGTTTCCCGCCAATCTTTCGAGGGTATATCCGCTTAGCAAAAAGGAATCAGGAAGTGAAAATGAAGAAGAGAGAATAGAATGGAAGAGAAGAGAAGAACGAAAAGAAGATGTAGCACACGGGAGGGGTGAAGTGGATTTAGTAGACTTTTTGCAATGGTAATTACAAGGTAAAAAGGTATACGGGAAAACGTGTCCAACAAAACTATGACGCTCATTCGGGTATTTAAATCCTCTGGAAGAGTGGGAAAAAAGGGTAGGGGAAGAAAGAAAGGATAATGTGCAAAGCATGGAAGGGCGACCGTTGCTGTTGTCGTATATGTGCGTCGCTTGGTATGTGGTGTTTCGTCAACGGGTTCGTCTCGGGATGATGCTGAAAAGGTAGTAAAGAGTAATTCAAAGTGGTCCATCGCTCAGGCCCATCGGTCTTGATTGTTCCTGTGCTGCTCGGGTCGTAAACGTTCCATCGAGATCTCAGGCAACGCCCATGCGAAGGCGTTCCAGGGTGCGTTTCCGCGAAACACTTCGCTCGCCGCCGTTCGCTTTCCCTTCGACAATCGCCGTCCAGTCCTCCCAGTCGCTGGCCATCTCGGTGAGCACGTTGCCCATGACCTGTGCGCTGGCCATCAGACCGTGCTGCTCGCCTTCCAGGATCCTGACCTCGCACCGGCGCATCAGCTTTCCGAGCCATCTCACATTCTCCACGGGGACACGGGAGTCTTTGCTGCCATGATGAATAACAACAGGCCTGTTGATATCCTCGTAACGGAATCCGATCGGTTGCTTCGTTTCCAGACAGACCATGAGATCTGTGGCTGGATTGGCCTTGGCTGTCGCGCGGTCCCAAATGGTGAAGGTCAATCGCTCATCGAATTCGTTCTGTCGCTGTCGCTCGGCGGCTGTCAATGCTTCCTGCATCTGCTTCGCCTGTTCGTGGTTGGGGTCCCCTGGGTTCGATGCGGCAACGGTGAGCGAGCTAGTATTTGGCAAAACCTGGTCCATGAGCATAATCGATTCTCGTCGGGTATCCTTGATCGGTGGTCTCTGAAGTTGCTGTGGCGATACTTGAGGATTCATACTCTTTCGTTTCGTCTTCGGTGAATTCTTAGGCCCCGTTCGCTGCAAGCTCGCGCTAGTCGAGCTGAGGAATGTTGAGTTGGCTACCTTGAGGAGTGAAGGAGGCAGTGCGCGGAGGAAACGCTGAGATCTCGGAAGTTGTTGAGTCGGTGGCTGGTCCTGACTGACTCCAATGGGAGCCATTTGAGACGGAGGAATCCAGGGTGCTAGAAGGTGTACTCTTCCGCGTATGTGCTGCGGCATACGCAGGGATGTTGCAAGCGCATATACCGCGCCTGCTGAATGTGCGAGGAGGGAGAATTTGGTGATTCGCAAGTGTTGGCAAATAACGAGGACATCATCTGGCCAGCTCAACGGTGTGCCGTTGGGATCCACCTGGCTTCCTCCAATACCTGGACGATCCGGTGTAATCAACCTCAGCTTCAATGTCAAAGCCAGTTGGTCATAGAACGCCATCACATATCTTGTCAACCCCATTCCCACGCAGACGAAAACAGCGAAACCCTGGGGATCACCAACTTCCGAGAAAGAGATGACGCGCCCATTCTGAGGATGCCGAATCTTCTGCGAGAGGCGCGGAGAGTCGAGATATGCCTGGACATCGTCCGCGATCGAATCTACGCTAGCCGGTCGTTCTTCAATGACAGGGTGGGGAGGCGATTGCACGGCCATTGTCTTCCTCGCCTCTACTCGGTCATTGTGTGCCTTCTCTGCTTTGGCTGGTAGATCAGGATGAGACCAACGCTTCTTCTTGAGTCCTGGTCGATTCGAAAGGGATGCTGGAGGTGGAGGAGGAGAAGACATCTGGAGAGAGCGGTGTCGCGGGGTTATTTCTTCGCTCGCTGCGCGAAGCGACCTCTCACTTGCGCCGCCACTCGTGATACTTGCGGAATGTTTGTGCGAATGCTTGTGTATCGTGGGCGCACCCATGATCATCGATTGGGTGGACTTCCGGCTCACGGCGGATCTTCCACCTACTACGAGAGACTTTGAACGAGAGGGCGGCGAGCTGGTGGAGGCTGTACCTCGACTCGAAGCTGAGCTGCTCAACGGTGGGGATGGTGGCCTGTCCAAGGTCTGCAGCGCGAGCTTGTAGTTGATCGGGAGAGGGGTAATATCGTCACCGTCATTAACGGTCAAGCTCCTTATTCGGTTGTGTCCTTTATTATGCGTTTCGCGACTTTCACGCGACACCTGCGACTGAGATGCCCTCCTCTCCAGTGGAGGGGGCGCCGCAGCAATCCCCAGGACTTTGTGTGCCTTCGCAGGGTCTTGCACTCGCTTTTCCGACATGGTTGACACAGTTGAGGTTGGGGAAGGTTCAGCAGTTGGGAGAGGTGAAACATGCAAGTCGCCTGCAGATGCCCCTGCATCAACCCCAACAGGTAACTTGCCGGCTATTCTGTCCCTCAGCTGCTTCTGCTTCTTCAATTCGCGAATCCGATGTGCGACCTCGCTCTCTTCCTCTTCCAACTCTTTTAAGATTTTTTCCTTTATCGACACTTCCGCTGTCGCCTCAGCATTCACCTCAGCTTTCACCTCAGCTTTCACCTCTTTGGCCTTCTCCTGTTGGACGCTCTCGTCCTCTTCTGGCACTGTATTCGTTTTATACGAGTCATGGCGACTACTCTTATGTCCGTGGCCACTACTCTTCTTAGATTTACGCGACGGGCTGCCCGAATGCCTGAGGGATGATCCCCGCAAGGGAATGAATCCCTTTTCCACAGATTTTTCGCCATCAGCTGCATTGAAGCCGTTGCGCAGCGGACTCTCATTTCTTTTCGGAGGGTGTTGCGCAGCCTTTGAGGACTCTGCAATGGTAGGCTCCTCTTTAATTATGTCCTCAGAAACGAAGAGTTGAGGGGTGGGTTTTCGGCCATGCTCTGACGATAATTCGGGACCCTGGATGGTCGCGCGTTTGCGCTCTGCATCTTTGGACCGCAAACGCTCTCTAGAGCTCATATACATCAAACTCCTGTGGCCCCGTGCGCTTCTCTTGCTCTCGCTCGATGTGCGCTCACTACCCTCGGACACTTTCCTTGCTGGGGGCAAACCAGCTTCGATACTGATGTTGCCGAAGCTGCTCACCGAGCGTGTAGAGTGACATGAGTGTATTGAAGCAGAACTACCCCCACCTCTGCTCATGTAACTCTTCAGCGAATGCTCCTTGTCCTTCTTCTTGGGTGCAGTTATGGGAGATAAGCCGGACGGCGGTTTTGAGGTTCGGATGACCGGGGGCTCGCAGGCATCGTCGGGATATTCGAATGTTTCGCTCTTGATGGAATTGTGGTAGGATGAAGAATCGAAGTCGTCGGCATCGGGCACGGTCAGCGTGTCGCGGGCAAAGTGTCCGTATAGAGGGCTATTAGGGGTGGACGCGCTTTGAGGAGGCAGTAGACTCTCGAAATGGTTATGGGTCGAGGAGGAGATGGCGGAGAGGGAATCGATCAGATTAGAGATTACTTCAGGCGATGCTGTCTGCGTTCGGATATAGTTGGGAGACCGTTTCTTAGGAGCATCGAACCCAATGGAGGGAAGCGAGCTGCGGCGTCGGGGACGGCCCTTGGAGGCGATTTCAGCTGGGATGCTCGGAATTGGAGGGTGCATAGTAGTTTGGGAGTCCATTTTGCCAGATTATCCAGCGCTGAGGCTCTTGATCTGTCGATTGTTTGTCTTATGGAGGTAATAATGCGGTGCTCAGCGGGAGCGACCGCGAGTGCTTGTACAGTGGACTCTGCAGGGTGGAGCGAAGATCAGTGCATGATCCTAATGCAAACCACTACAGTGAAGCTGCAGGGACGGCGCGGACAGCGTAGGAGAAACAGAACAGAAGAGGCGGACTGGCGAAAGGAGTGTCGGTGATGATCTTGGAGAGGATGTTTTGGAGATGAGTGATGGAAGTGTTGTAGTAATCCCGAGTCGTAAACGTAAACGAGAGAGCGCGTGCGAGCCAAAAGCGATCACACGGGGGTGGGAGGGGAGGGAAATGATGAATAGAGGAAATTCGTACTTGGGGCAAGGGATGGAATGATAGAGAGAGAGAGGGATGGGGGTTGGGGGCCTGTGATTGGTCGGTCGATTGGTTGCCAGGTGCTCGCGTTTCCCTTTACGGTGTAGCGTGTGAAAGAGCTTCGAATACCCTGAAGGACAAACCCTGAACCTGAAGTCGCTCACTCTCTTTTGCACTGTGGTGACAGTGCTAAGTCTCTTCACGGCCCACGGGACATGCACTTACGCCTGCGCCGTCGTGAGCTTCCCACGTTTCCCGCCGTGTTGCCCCTGGTACCCCCCATACCTGACTGGCTACTTCGACCTTCAAGCTGTGGACGTGGTAGGGATTCAGCCTGTCCCCTTCGGCAGGCCATGCTCATTGGGAACGATTTCAATATCTGATGCATTGCCCCACGACCTTGATGAATGCCGACTTTACTTTTTCGTCTTTGCTTTCTCTCTTGCTGTTCGTCCAGAATTGAAACCTAGACCTCTCGCCCCAGAAAGTGGCTGACTGCTTTCGTCCAACATTCTTCGTGAGCACTACGGCGTTGGGTCAGCACAGATACCTGTAGCCACGACCAATTTCCACAGAGCGTTATCTAGTTGCGAGTTAAAATCCACAGCTAGCTTTCGCCCTCTTCGAACCAAGACATAATCCCCTAAAGGTGATCAGCATAACCGAGCATGAACGCCAACCTTCGAGAAAGGCACGAAGTCGTCTCATAGCGTGTAAGCTAGCCTGGAAAAGTCATCGGGGATTTCTCCATCACCCTTTTCAACTAATCCGAGGAGACAACAATCCTGAAATAGCTTTGACGAAGCAAGCCTCCTTTCCTTTTATGAAATCATGCGGGATGGAAAGTGGGTTCCTCTTGAATCTTTTTTCTTCAGCCTTGGACAGGAAAGGGAACGAGAACAATGCTGCACCGTCGTGCCCCTGAATATCAGGGCCAATGTCGGCCAAACCCACGCATTCTAACAGCAGGTAGAACAACGGTTTGCAGAAGCCTCGGGCATTTCCTCGTGTGCTATTGGTACGTCGAGTGGGACTCGAATTCCCAAAGACAGCCTTGGGTCGTAGTCTTGCGCCGCAGCAGTTAAGAACTTGAGATATGCTGTTTGCCTTCTCATGAAGATCATAGGTATATGGGTCATAATGGCCGCACACTCAAAATGAGCAAATCAGGTCGCTGGATGGAATGCTTGATTCTGTCTGGCGTACTGCGACGATGCGAGGAAGCAGTAAAGTTCCTGACGCATCCCTTTCTCAAAGGAAAAAGCAACAAGCTTATGAAGAACAATGCGCTGTGGCCGTTATGTTCGCGCGCCGGTCTGGTATTCAAAGCCTTTCCGACTCCCGCAAACGTCCTTCCCATCCGCGCGATCCATCCCAATAGTGTGGTCAATATGCTCGTGCGTCTCGGTACCTCAGAAATGTCACGCTGCCCGTTTCAACACACATGCAAATATGTACCAGTGGCCTGTAGCATGTAGGTAACTTCGAATCCCTGCTGCTCGGAGCTCTGCCGATGATACGGAGACGGCCCGTGGGTTGATGAATGCGGAGGCCTGTTGGTGGCACAGAAATTATTATTCTTACAGGGCTGGCACCTCGCGGACCTGACGTCACTGTCACGAGCAGGTTCAACACAACCACCACCATAATCATATCGCGTCCATGTCGCATTGTACTCGTAAATTGTACGCAGACATAATCATACATCTGCTGCAATTGAAAATTTACATGCAAGCAGATCTTGAACTCTACGATCAACCAAAATGTCACTTTCCGCTCTGATAGCGCCTTTCACACTTCCACTCGCATCTTTCTTCGCCATACCGATGCTGTCCTCATGGACCACATCTTTTAATCTCCTCTTCTTCGCCTTTACATATACAACCCTTACTAGCACGCTTTCGCCTCTACAGATCGAGCTATATACACCGTTGATAATAAGAACCATATTCTACATCTTACCATCACTCATATTCCTTATATTCGACCTTGGACTCCCATCTCTCGCAGTCCAATTGAAGTCAGAAGGAGAGTATGCGCTCCCGGGCAATCAAAGAGGAGGAAAGGCAAAGGTTCGAAAAGTGGTACTATGGAGCCTCGTCAACATCCTCCTCGGCGTAGGACTCCAAGCCGGCATCGAATTCCTCGTCACCGACGTCGCGCGAATGAAGAGCCTCCTCCTCATCAAAGGGAACTGGTGGAGCTTCAACCACCTACCACTCCCCTGGACGATGGCCAAACACGCCTTCATCGGTTTCATCTCCAGAAACGTAAGTGACCCAATTCCTCGCTACCATCCTATCACTCGCACAATACTCACACTTCCGTCCCAGCTCCTCCAATACTACATCCATCTCCACATCCTGCACTCCCCCACCGGCGGCAAGCTCGCCCACTGGCACCAAACCTGGCACCACAGCATCAGCGTGCCCTACGCCTTCGTCGCAAACTACGACCACCCGGCCTGCTACCTCCTGCACCGGTTCCTCCCCCTCTACCTCCCAGCCATCCTCTTCCGCTTCCACATCATGACCTACTGTCTCCTCCTAGCGCTCTTCTCGCTCCTCGATGCGTTCACGTATTCCGGGTACAACACGCTGCCGTCGACGATCATGCTGGCGGGCATGGCGCGTAGGACAGACGCCCACATGATGAGCAATGGGGATGGAAATTATGGACCGCTTGGGGTCATGGATTGGGTGCATGGGACGACGCTGGGCGGGGATGTTGTGGATGATTTAAGGGCCGAGATGGATAAACATGATGTTAAGGAGCGGACGGCGAATGCGATTGATGATGCGGGGGAGAAGGCGAGTGGGGTTGCTGGGAGGATTAGGGCGAGAGGGAGGAAGGGGAAGGGGAGGAAGTAGGAGAGGGAATGGGAGGTTGTGTGGGGAGGCGCGATGGGATGGAATTGGTGATGTTGGAGATTTGTGCGGGGGACATCGGGGTATGTGTGTGTGTGGTTCGGGCAATGGGAATTGGGGCCGGGTAAGTAATATGGATGGGAAATGGGAAATGGGAATGCGTAATGTGCTCATGTTCGGAATACCCTTACACTTACGATAATGTTTTGGATCTAAAACGGCGGTGTTCGATGGCGGTATTAGTTATTTAGCAACGAATGTCTTTACATATGTGTTTTGAACCTTGCGTATCTTCATTATATTTTGTTGAAAGTGTGCAAACTAAGATCGACGAGCAACAAGCTGCTACAGAGAGATGTACATACGTCCACGACACACGCAACGCAGATCTGCTTCACAGGAACATCAGTAATTACAGAAACGTGCTTTCATGAGGTCTATTTCGATGTGGGGATTTTTTCTTTTTCCTTTTCATAACGCGCGCCTGCTCTCCATGACATGACATCACAGCACACCCATTTCGCCAAAATCAATGATTTTTCACTTTCGGACGGTCTTTCTTTCTCGAATTCGTCTGTGCCTGCCTGGGGAATACAAGGGACAGCCTGTAGAATCATGCAGAAAAAAGGAACCAGACCCTTCCATGAAAAAAACAAAAAATATGAGGAAAATAAAATTGGCTTGCCGTTGCCGTTGCACGAAGGCTAGTGACATTGAAAACCTGCTATTACGGCTGCAGCGTGCCGAATTCGTCTTTCATCCCATGCACTTTGTAACGCCAATTGCCCGTCTATCTCAACCGCTTAGAAGACCATTGCGTGTGGCCTGTCAGACCTGCGGAGGCTGAAAGAAGAGGCGAGGTAGTCAACGAGGTGCGCCTCCTTCTTGATGGTAGCCAAAAGGGCCTTGTCGACGGACTTCTGGTCGGCGACACGGTCCTTGGAGGCCTCCTTCTTCTGTTGCGACTGTGAGTAATTTTGCTAATTTGAATTTCCTTGCACTCGGGGGTCAACCCACCTCAGGCTTCTCGCCCTGCTTGAAGAAAGCATCCTCGCCGGTCTTCTTGCTCTCCTTGTCCTTGGTGAAGTAGCCATCCTCGCTGGCCTTGTTCAGGACGGACTCTTCGATGCCGGAAACATCCACCTTCGTTGATGTGGCGATGACATATCGGGCGTTGACCCGTCGGAGGGGAACACCGTTGACTTTGAAGGGACCGGTAACGAGGAGAACACCCTGGGGGAGGTGCTTCAAGAGAACGACACGCTTGCCGCGGAAGCGACCAGCAAGGAGGATCACGACGGTACCAGGAGTGAGAGACTGTCGGGGCTTCGCTGGGCGGACAGACTTGCGCGCCTGTAGATTGTGCGTTAGCCAGCCAGTTCGATATTTCCCACATCGACGGGTTGTCGAGAATTACATGAGATCTCAGGACACCGTGCTGCCACATCTTTCTGCTCTACGCAGAAGGTCGGCCTCACCGCTGCCTGAGTATCTGCAATTCTCTCTTCCCATATCGTCGTCGTCGTCCATTTCAACATACCTTCTTGGGGACGGACTGGTCCTCAGCAGGGTAATATTTGCTGGCCTTCTGGCTGTGATGCGGTATCGACCGCTCACTCTTGCCAAACTTCTTCGATGCTGCCTTCTGGTCCGACATTTTCGAATTGTGGCTCCGGGGTCGTCGTCGTTCGAGGAGTTGATGTGTGCAATCCGCGAAGTCGTTTTGGAAAGTGCGATTCCAATAAGCGAGCCAAATGCACTAGACTACTTTAGTCCGTGCGCGCCACAGCGCTAGGTGCTCCGCATCCGGGTTCGGTGAATGGTTTTCCCGCTGTGGCGCATGGTCTCTAGCCTCACAAACAGACAAGAAGGCAGCTCTCCCCAAACTGTTCAGAGTGGAGCTTCCGACTATACCGTAACTCAGCACCCCGCCTCTCCGCAAATATGTCGTTTCAACCTCTCATCACTTTCAAGGCTGGCAAATGCGACCTTGATCTAGTAAGTGAGATCTCAATTCAACCGTCTCGCTGCATCGTCCACCGCCTCTCACCAGAACGGTCTCCTTCAAGCCAAAGTTCGGAGCTGGAAGGACAAATGGCATAACTCGAGGAGGCGGGAAACTTCGTTCCGAGGAACCATCCCATCTTCTCTTTATTTAGTTGTAGCTTTGTCACTAACTTTAGCAGAGTGGCAGCCCGAATCCCAAAGTGAAACCTATCCAAACCCCCGGCTATGTATACCTCTACATGGGAGATGGTCGGTTCAGCATCGCACAGTGTACTTTGGAAACATCTGACGTGATATAGACTTCGTCCATTTCTGCTGGCGGCCCCGCAACGCATCCATCGACGAACCCGAGCTCGATCTCCTCATGATTCCCGGCGATGCGTCATTTCTTCCATACCTAGGCGCTGACGCAGGCGCTGATTCGGAGAACCTCAAGTCGCCGACCGATGGCCGAATCTTCGTCCTCAAGTTCAACTCCAGTTCTCAGCGATACCTTTTCTGGTTACAGTCCAAGTCACAACACCCACGGAACGATCCCAGCTGGTTCAGCGAGCGGGACCTTAAGATTGGACAGATCATCGATCTCCTCTTGAATGGCGAGGACGTTGACGTCCAGGCCGAGCTTGCCACCGCAAACAGCCGCGGCGGACCTAGCGGCGATGATGATGAAGATGAGACAATGGAGGACGTGGAAGGCACAAACCACCCTGGTCGTGATCGACATGGAAGCACAGGAGGCGCAGGGCCGGGAGCTACTGGTGGTGATATCCGAGAAGAAGGCGAAGAGTCTCGAGAAGGAGGAGCTGATGGCGGTCGAGCGTAGGTCTCAAACATTCGTACCAGTTTACAATTGCCGTGGCGCGGTCGATCTTCCTGCCCAGATATGGGCGGTTTTCCAAGAAGCCCTGCATGCGAGAGCATTTGCCTTCTATACGAGGCGGCGTTTTAAGGATCCAAATTCGTTCATGAAATTGTGCACCGGATGAGTGCCGTTCATGTGTATCAATAGACCAAATATTCAACTGTATCATCCAGCCTTCTCGCCCGCCACGGCATCTACATTGTTTCATGCGACTCATTGCTGTACAACAGCTAACGTTTAGTAGTGCCGCAATAGGCTCGAACGATGCTCAAGCGGCAGTTCAGAATTTCCTGCAATCTATCCAAGGCGGTAACCTCGCCGGCGGAAACGGTAGCGGTGGACAGCCATCCTCAGGTCATTTCACAACACTTTTGGATCTTCTGTCACCTAACAACACCATCCCGGTCATCGAGAAGGCATCACCAGCTCTCCTGGACGCGCTATGTGCAAATCTCCCCCCAATCATTCTCCTCCTTGCACAAGAGATCGACAACGTATCTGAGATCGATCCAGAGTCGGAGGAGGCCAAGGCAGTCATCGAATCTCTTGACGAAGAAGACAAGAGAGACGTTCTACGACGCGTCCTCACCTCACCACAAATGCGACAAAGTCTCGGCAGCTTGACGGTCGCTTTGAGGGACGGCGGCCTGCCAAACGTAAGTCAGGCGCTCAAGATCGACGTCGAGAACGGCGGGTACCTAAGAGGTGGAGGTATGCCAGTCGGAGGCGGCGATGCGGTCAAGGCGTTCTTGGACGGCGTGAAGAAGACGGTCGAAAAAGAGGGCGATGACGACGACATGGACACGAGCTAAATGATCAAACGTCGATATGTGCCATAGATTTCATGACATGATTGTATAGAGAGTAATGCAGAGGCGTCCTGTGGTTATACCAGGCGCCGTATGAATAGCAACAAGGAAATATCTACTTCTCCAACGATGTCTGTTGATGTTGCCGTGTTAATCATTCCTCCATCATTCTTGAATCAAGCGACTAGCAAAACCTAAATAAAACCGTTGATAATTATCTGCATCAGTAACAACCATCAGGAGACAATAAGAACAATTAAATCTAGCTGAGACAAATTGTCATGTAATCACTAATGTTTTTTGTCACAGATTAATGTTCATGAGAGTACTATTTCAAGCTAAATCCTCACCCGATTCTCCATCATGTCTTTCCCAATGTGATACGACCCCAGCTTCCATCTGGACAATACCAATTATGCTTTAGATAGAGCTCAAAAAGAGCATTCTGGTAATTTATAAATATCAAATTGACAAAGTGTCAGTGCCCTTTCTCTTGTTAATAGGCTGCCAGCCGTGATTCAAGCCATCAGCGTACATAGATAAGTAGTAAGTACTCGAAATTAAGATTTAAAGTGCGTGTGGATGACCGAAACATCAAACATTCGGGGAAATTTTGTTGTCTAAATAATTTAATGTTGTTGTGGAATATTGAAGATTTTCTGTTAGGTTTAACTTCGGATTTGGTGCGTTGCACATTGGTACACTATAAATGTGCGAAAACCACATTATATACCATAGGTACCTAATTCATGGGCTTGTGAATGAAGTAATGATACCTTCAGTGGATTTACCACGACATATCATTATCAATGGTCATTCTTTTCAAGAGTGTTGGAAGCTTCGTACAGTGGCGCTGATGGTGGGCACGAGTAGTTTTTAGTGTCATTGAGGTGGACTGGGATGACACAAATCCTCTTTACAAACTGCACGTTGGTTGCCGAAGCGTATGTATTCTAATAATCACAAACGAAGAAGTTGACTAATCATTATGTATCAATGTTGAGGTTTAGATTTATTCTCAGCAGTTTCCATAAGATGATAAGATATCCTTTCCTCCACCTGGGAAAATACCTAACCCTCTTTTTCCCATTGATAAATGGGGTGGTGATGGCTGTGTCATGTTAGAGGAAAGTTCCTCATTGCCTGTTGCTCTTTGCCCTGCGAATGTGGAACTCATTGTGTGCAATGATGAAATTATTGGTTGGGTCATTCTAGTTCTTCGACATTGCTCGACATGAAACTGCCTGCCTGACTGTATTCCGTCCCCGAATCACTTTCGGCTCTTTCAGGGGCAGTGATTCGTGACAATTGGAGACTAACTTGTTTGCTGGCCGTACTCGTGATCATAGTTTTGCTTGGGGTGGGCGAACAGTGGACCATTTCCATGTTGATGTCGGGAGCCAGACTTGAGGTGCTCGAATGATGTCCAGTGCTGTCCAGAGATTGGAAAGTACCAACGAAATCTGATCGTAAAACAACAGATTCCGGCGAAGGAGGGCTAGGACAGGCTCCAGCCACAAGCGTAAGCTCCCGTATGGGTACATCAGCAGGTGGCAGCTTGCCCCGACGAAGCCGTGTACGTCTCGCTACGACCTTCGTGGCAAAATGAGGTTCACTATGCAGCTCGGCCGGGGAGAAACCATCCGATATTTCCTGCGAGTTCTCGAAATACCGTCTGCGAGTCCTTGTATTTGCTGGTTGCTCTGGACTTTTAACACCTTTGATGCGTGCTCGCTGCAAAACCTTACTCGGCTTGACCGCGCAATTGAGTCTAGACTTAGACAGTTTGATATCTGAGATGGTTTGGCTGTCTTCGATAGGGTCGACTTCTTCGATTGGAACAACGGGTGACCTCGCGTCTCCCTGCAAAACATCAGCTTTTCTGCGGCACAGGGCAGTGTGATCTTTACATGGTGTTCGACAAGATCATCATTGGTTAATGTCCTGACAAGGGAAAGTTCATGCACAATTGTTCTTCTTGTTTGAGCAAGTGCGTCATTTGATTGCGAGATATCAGCAACCTGCCTTGCCTTTCGCTTCTGGATGCAATTTCTGCTCGTTGGAGACGGCGTATCTGCTTGAATCAGGGGTATATCACCATCCCCGTGAAAAGAGTGCGAGAAAGTCAATGCTGTCTCTTGTGGATCTTCGACTGTATGATTGGATTCTGTGGCACTGAAATCTTCGAATGGATTCGAATGGACTTCGACAATTTCAATAGGAGATTCACATGCCAATGTCTCATTTGGGCGGCGAGCATCAGCGTTGCCTCGTAACAGAGAGGAAACTGGAGTAGCAGCCTTCCGATCGGGCTCAAGTACAGAGAAGCATCGCCAGCCCCTCCGCTGAGATCGCTGAGGGATGCGATTGATCACGGCCAGGAATGAAGTCAAACGCAATTGATCACCATGAAACTGCTCGCTGCTCGACATGATTGAATGGTGAAGGGATCTGTGACATGATTCTATCCGAGATGCAATTGAGGTCAGCTACAGCTGAAGTATTTAGTTGACAGAGCTGAAGAATTTGGAACGTGAAATGAACCTGGAGGAAAGCAACGAGGAGGTAACGAAAGAAGCCACTGGTTGGTCATTATGGATACTCTAATTTGGCTACGAACGGAAGCTACGAGTTTAACTAGCGCAGGCGGGCAGTTGCAGTGCGCGCGTCATGACCAATCGCGCCAAGAACAGACAACCTTCATCCACAACAACGCCTTTTTTCATCAATTGACGCAAACACTCGCAAGCACTCGCCACCATAACCAGCGCGATTGCACCATACTCATCCCTTGAAATTGTCGATGAGAATAACTCTGTAAAATCCGGCGACTTCCTGATCGTCATGGTATCCCCGCCTTCCACGCCGCGCTGGGCGGCCGTGGATCATCCCGACATCCCTGAAATTGGTGATGACGATGCTTTTGACGAACTGGCGATGAAGCTTGCACTGTAAGGAAATGCCATGAATTGGGTTCATTCTCAATTCTCGTGTAAGCACCATGCTGATGGCGTAGATACTTCAATGAAGCCATTTCTCTGCCTCACTCCTTTGACGATCTGCGGTCCCTTCCCTACGGTCGAATATTGTCACCTTTGACTGTGTATCTATCGGATAATGTCCACCATCCGGGAATAGTCTCAGCATTACTGTACGTGTGTCGGCATCTTCGATTGATTTCTTTCCCCTATTGTCCTCATCGCATGAGTCTACGCCCCGATCGTTGTGAACCGTAGCCAAGGCCAACCATGCTCTTGTTCCTCGCCTGATTTTAGGTGCCTCGACTGGGTGAATGTCTGGTTTTGCAAGCTATATGTTTCCCGGAAAAGCAATGCCATTCTCCCTTGTTCATAGATGTGTCTTTCTCCACCATGAATGCTGACTCCATCCAGGGCATTGAAGGGTCATTTTACCGCGCTCGAGGAGAACAGCGACGAGCCGGGGCTTAATGAAGCTAGAGGTTATGCTTGTGAATTTGTTGCATGGCAGTTCTTGACGAGTTTGTCGGAGCGAGAGGCCATCGACTTCCTTCTGTTTGATTTGGCACCTGAAGCTTCGAACGGTGAACCGGATTCTGAAAGTGAGGTGCGAACTAATGGTGGGCAGCGTACAGATGCGCCGGGTCGAGCGACCGATCGGACACCACTGTTAGAATCTCAGCATGTACAGGGCTCATCTAACAGCGGAGGCCGCGATTCTTCAGCGTCAACTGCAAGAAGCGCAACCGCCGCTCCTGGTTTCACCGCCCAATTTGTGAACCTAAGTGCTCTCGAAATTGCGGCAGTGACTGGCGCGAAGAAATTTCTGAGCCAACGACCCGTGCAGAAAATGATCAATGGATTATGGAGAGTAAGATTGCCTGCACTTTTGTTAGGTATTTGTCTCTAATATTGAATAGGGCGATATTGTGTTCTGGGAGACCCTGAGCGTCGACTCTGTCAAACATCCTCGATTCTACACTCGTCGAGCCGACATATTTTGTCGACTTCGCGTTCCTCGTTACTTGAAGGTGTTCGAGACGCTCTTCTTCACAGTGTTCCTGTTCCTTTTCTATGTCGTCCTCTACCACAAAAGCTACTGGCGTGTGACGCCGATGGAAATCCTTCTTTACATCTGGATCGTGGGCTTCGCTTACGACGAGTTCGGTGAATTCAGTGATGCTGGCCAAATCAGCTTCTATGCTTCGGACTTTTGGTGGGTTTGGGACATAGTAGGTGAAGTGTACACACGGGTTCTACATTCGGCTGACTCTTCGTAAGAGCATCGTACTCGTTGGCACATCGTTTTTCGTTCTTCGTAAGTATTGAGACAAGGCCAACGACATTTGCCGGCATCTAATCATCAAAGGGGTTGTTGGACTAACCATGTCTTCAACTGTCATTATCGAATTGGCATTCGACGTTCTGGGTCTCGAAGCCCTTTTCCTTGTACCAAGAATCTTTTCCTTGCTGAGTTTACACCCGTACTTTGGAACTTTGGTAAGTCAGTAAACCATGAAATGGCTCATGTTGGTATGGGCCAATATGACCCTACTTGCTCGACGTCCTCCGCCCCTGAGATGCTGCTTCTGCCGCTTCTCATGTCTCAAACCGGCACGCCCGGGCCGTGTGAAGATTGCGGCACAACTTACACTTCACATTTCTCAGTATTCTGATCTTCTCTAACCTACTTGCAGATCCCTTGCCTGACAGAAATGGTCAGTAAACTTCGAAGAGGAAGTAGCGGCAACGTACACCGACACTGATGCCCCACAGACGAAGGACTTTGTGAAATTCTTGTCGCTAGTGATAATACTCTATCTAGGTACGGTGTGAACGCCGCAGCCACATTAAGCATCGTTCCACTCATTCTATGCCTAGGTTTCCTAACGACATTCATTTCATTGGCTCGTGGCTTGTACACCCCACGGCAGATGGTGGGTTATTGCCCAAGGCATGAAGCTGAAAAAACAGCAAGCTGATGGAAAATACAGGCATGGATTCTTGTAAAAGTTTTCTTTGGGTGAGTGAGGCTATGCCGACTTTTAGGATCTTGCAATTCGCTAATAATATGAAGGTCGAGCTATCTAGGCCTTGTGAGTATTGCCCAAATATTGTGTGGATCGATCACACTGCAGCATAGGCGCTAATAAGCCGGAAGGAAGTTGCTCAGGAAATGTATGGGAGCGTTCACCTAGCAAGGGGAACTCTGCTAATCAATTCACCAGATCCCCTGTGTTTGGTCCGCCCGTCATGGTATGTATTCATGTCGACATGCATGTGCAAACGGTCTGCTGATGAACCAGCTCATTTTCCTTGTATTGACCAATTTCCTCCTCATCACTTCTCTGATCTCACTTCTTTCGAATTCTCTTGACAAAGTAAGTATCCTTGATTGCGCCTGATGCATGGTTCTGCTGCAAGTTCTTGTGAACTGCACTGGCTCGGCAAAATGATTGGCTCTAAGCGCCGCTTTTTGGAAGGGGCGGTGTTGCATCGCCTAAGTGGCTCGTTTCCCTGCGACCCCAGTCGCGGCAGCCTTGCCATCATTGCCTTATCGAATAATTGCGTTGTTGCCATGTTCACGTCGCTCGGTCAGGCTTCTTTGTTCGTTTATGGACATGACGCACGGCGCTCTGCACCGTAGGGAAAATGCCACCGCAACCGAGTATACCAGTTTGCGGTGTGAGCTGCATTCGCTAATTTCTTGTCTTGGATGGAAACATTGCTAAGATAGTTTAACAGGTGTTAGAGCATGCACGTGAGGAATATCTGTTCATGTAAGTGTCCATGGACAAGACCAAGATTGCGATTCACGTGCTAACCGCAGTCCTGCACCAGTTATTCCGTCTACGTTTTGGAAGCATCTACGTCAAACCGCCTGACGTACTATTTGCCGCCGCTTGTAAGTGTGCCTTTCTACACTATTTTGGGTCTCCACGAGACTGTTGTTAGGCGCCGCATAGCCTCCAGAATGTTCAATACCTCAATGACCTACCGTTTACGGTTGTAATGGCTGGGGAGACACTTCTTCAGGCTTAGTATCTGTTGATTTGTTGAAGTCTATACCATTTTGACCTGCGCCCCTTCCGGCTTTCGAGGGACTTTTCCTTGTGCCGCTTTTGATTCTATTTTATCCATGATGTCTTGTTAGTGTGCCAGAGTGCGCACGAGCCGGCTGCTATACTATTGTGAGGCTGATGCGATAGTAGAATCTCATCCCGCTTCTACTCCGGCCGTTGCGGCTTGTACTGCCTTCGGAAAGGCTTCGAAGCGCTCGAATTCTGCTTTTGAAAGTGTCCCACCTTCCTTTCATAGCAGCGATCTGGGTGTATGAACAGCTCATTGAGCGAACCCGCAAGCGAGGAACTGTATCCATCAAAGGACCTGAGACTCTTTCTAGAGCGAGGGGCTCTTTACTCCTTCCTGCCAATACCCGTCATGCAAATATGGGTATCCATGAACTATCACCAGGGAACAGTGGCAGTGGCGGAGGCAGACCAGGCAGATCAAGCTCTGACAACAGACCACAGACAAGGACAGGTCGATCCGCAACCGAATCCCATCTGGAGGCATTGGTATTGCAGCTTGTAGAAGAGGTTAAACAGCTCACAACGGTAGTCTCACAGCTTCAAGAGCGTGAAGCAGGCATGGCCTCTTGATGGTCGGCGCTTCCAGTCAGCACCGCCGGGCATGATCGTGGCATACCTTGAGAGGCTTGGTTGATTCTTTTTCCTGCTTTGACCGCAGTCTGCATTTCACGGCGCACTTTACAAGTTTAGCTTGCCAAAGGACGATTGATGTCAGCGGAAAGGGCCGTTCAGACATGGAAGACCATGAATATACCTGTTGCAGCGCTAATAGACACAAAAAAGCCGGTCGATTCACAGTCGAACCACCAAAGGACACATCCATCGGTCAGCTCGGAAGAAAGGCGTTGCAGATCGCGTTCATCCTGTCTCTGAAAAGCAATGTTCAAATTGGCGCGCGTGTTGGATGTCTCACGGATCGTAGGAGGCCACGGAGCAGAGGCAAGATGAGAAGAGGCAACCGCTGGCTGGATAATTCAATGCAGGTCGGACGGAGCAAGGCCGGCAGACGCGGGCGACAGTCACTATCACGCCTCATAGTCTGGTTAGTAATGGGTCCGTGGAGCCCTAGAAGGGAAGGAAAGGGTGGTTGATGCCCATGGTGGGCTACGCTTTCGTACTGGCAAAGACTACGATAGCTGCATAGGAGCAGGGAAGGGGGGGCTGCTATTCACCGTCTCCACTGCGCTAAGTAGGCGGTCGGCTCACATTTGATTCGATTTCGGGCCGCTGGCGTTCCCGAAAGCTTGGGACCTTGAGCGCACTAGTCGACTGCTCGACCGCCCATCTGCATTGCGGCCAGGGCATCCTAGCGCGCTAAATCTCACCCACCACCATCAACACACGGACACGCCAGACACAAACAGACAGTGGACACAGACACACACAGACACACACCCCCGGCTACAGGTTGTCCGTACTGTACAAGACATGGTATAGTCTATTACAGGGCATACAATACCGCACAGGGTTGATGGATGACAGGGTGTAATCCACTTCAAACATCCCATCAGCACCCCATCCGTCCACTACCACCACCACCACCACCACCAAAAACTACCTCCCCCCGGCCAATTCCACTCCAGCAACTCCTCCACCCTACGATGCCCTGGACGCATCAAGCACCCTGCACGGATTTCTCTTCCTTCTCTCCATTCTGATGTTGCTGCTGCTGCTTCTGTTCCTTGAGCACCTGGATCAGTTTAGTCGATCTGTTGTTGTCACCTCAGCCCTCCTCTTTGCGAGACAGGCCCCCATGATTGCCAACAGGCGCTTGCCGCCGCGCTTGAGCTCTTGCTCTCTGAACTTCCTGTTGCTGCTCATTTCCGAGTCTGCCTCGTCCTTCAAGTACCGTATGCTCGGGATCGCACAGCACAAATACACCGCCGCAACAAAGTACACTCTGTCTGCTTTAGATCCACCACTACCTCATCGAGGCTGCTCTCTCTTCACTTGCCCGCCTTGCACTTACAGTTATAATCCTCCTGGTGTCCTGAGCTATTCACTCCTCACTCACTATACGTATTCATAACAACCCCTCTTCGCCCGACCTTGCCTCCTCCCACTCCAACAAACATTCTTTAGTTTCAACACAGCCTTACCATTCTTGTTGTTCTTGTCCTACTCCTGCTGTGCCAATATGTCCATTCGGGATCAACCTACTCCGCCTTTCAATTCACCATATCAACACGCAATGAAGCCGACATCGCTCCTTCAGTCTCCAGCCTATCCTTCTCCTGCTCGCAGTGAGTGTGAGCCTTCGCATTACCCTGCCGAAGGCCTTGGGCTCCACGGATATCAGTATTATCCTGCTTCTGGTGCCCCCTCTAGCGCAGTACTCTATCCACCATCGCCACAACCCACCGAGGCGTGGTCACACCTCTCCACTGGCGCTTCTCCCCTTATATCTGAGCCTCACGCAGAGTCATGGAACTCGACATACGATACTCGCGCCGAACGATCTCCCTTACCGTGGGGCCCGCAACACCCATCCCATCGTTCCTCTTTGTCTTCAGCAAGGGATGTATCTATCTACTCTCGTGAGGATTCGGAACATGGATTTCCACACATCAAACTCGAACATGGGAATGATTGGGCCGAAGAGGAACGATCCACCCCAGCCCTTCGCAATGCTGCAATGACTGTCTCGCCTGAGCATCTCACGACTGGAATGTTCCCTCATGAGCATGTATATCGCTCGCCATCCCTTACCAGCTACGAGGCCTCTGCAATTGATGGTTATGAGAGCCGAGAGTACGACTCGGTGCATTTGGATGGACGAACACGGAGCCCAGATTCGAACGGCAACTCAAATACATCCACAGCCCGAACTCGAGTGCGAAGGAATCCCACCACCCGAGACAATGCGAACCACTCTTGCCATGTGTGCGGCAAGCTTTTCCAAAGGAGTTACAACCACAAATCGCACCTGGAGACACACAATCCTGACCGGAAGAAGGAGCACATTTGCCAAGTAGAGGATTGCGGGAAGAAGTTTGTGCGGAAGACGGACTTGGATCGCCACCACAACAGTGTCCACAGAAAGCTCAAGAAGTTCAGGTGTTGCAAGTGTGACGCTAGCTTCGCACGCAAAGACACTCTTCGCAGGTACGGACTCTACCCACTTACCTTACTGATTGAAAGGCACTGACATTGTTATTAGGCATGAAGAAGACGGCTGCCCCAGGCGAAATGTGCTCCCCAGGACCCGATCGGTGCGGTCATCGATGCCTTACTACCCCGGATCAAGGTCCGAGTTGTACGATAGCCGGTCACCACAGATGTTCCGGGACCAGAGCTACGTGTCCAGCCCTAACAGCTTCTAAGGACATGCATACGAAATTTTAATGAGTTGGTCATCTGTTTTCAAGAGCGTAAAGCTCGAGTTGGGAGGCACTTTTGATTTTGCGTGACATAGGTCTTGTCCAAGCACGGCGTTCTGTGATTTGTATGGAATTTTTGGTGGAATTTGTGTGGGATTGTCCACAATCTGACAGGAGATGGACATTTTTCGGCGTTTCCAAGTAGCAGATGTGCGCTCTTGCTCGTCTCATTAGATTAGACCGTGGGGCGATTCATTCCGCAAGAACCCTCATCGGGCATGTTGGAAGAGATAGAATTCGCACGAATACCATTGTCAGTTCCCTACTATCTATTCTCGGACTATGCATATCTCATTTGGTGACAATTGATGGTTGACGATGGATCCTCTTACACCCAGCACCCACCTTACTACGCACACTTACACAACACAGACACTGGACACATTACAGCCCCAACATGGGCGATTTGCAAACGACGGCTCTGGCGCAACGGTACGGACGGGGATACCGCACGCCCCACAGCAGGATCCCTGGCCTGATGTTGCCCCCTCCCACCACCCATGCTCTCGCTCTTTCTTCTATTAAGAAGAGGGAGAGACAGAGGGAGCGAAAGAAAAAACTTCAAAGCACACCTTGCCCAAACAACGTCTTTTTGCGCTTCCGCGATCTAGCGAGCCTAAGCCCAGTTGGCCGTGCGAGCAAGGGAGCGCGACCCGCGTCTCAAGGATGGCCATGACCCTCGCGGGGTCCCTGCTTGGGAGAAATTGATGTGATGCAGTGTGCAGTGCGTGCGCATGCAAGAGGTTCGATGCAGGCAGCGCAAGAGCAACGAACGCCTGATTTACCGCCGGCTCTGCACTGAGAGTTGGTCTAGCTTCGACGCCGTGCCCGCCTGTAAGTGGTGGATGTTAGCGCTTCCAACGTCTGTTGCAGCGATGCGGATGCGGCACGGCTTCTCCGGCGCCCTCCAACAAACCCATCCCCCATCCATACCCCCTCCCCTCCCTCCCCCCCCTCCACTTCCTTTTCCCCCCAATCCATAATCCTATCTATTGCTACTGCTAGGTCAGGTTTCTGCTTGCCGTGGTATGCGTGTATGCGAATAAACGAAAAGGTATATGCATTGCGTCTTGTATGGCTATATTGCCCGGCATCTAACGGCGAGAGTGACCGCTGCAGCTTGTGAAAGACAAGGACAGGACAGGGCAAGACACTTTCACACCCACACGCAACCCCGGAGGACAATGCCAGGTTTTTGGGGGGATGGTGGGTGGGTGGGTGTGTATGTGTTATTGGGCATATTATGTATGGACGGGCGTCTGTTGCACACTGTCTCAATGTCGTGCATACCCCCGGCAGACACCTAGATAGGTCTCTTTTTTCTCACTCACGCTCACACGCACACGCACACGCACACACACACGTCCACATCCACCTACCACCCCTACATGCGTATTACAGCGGCGTACGGTGCGGGAGATACCAAGATTCATCAGACGACCAGCGATTAAGCGCCCGGATGAGTGATGAGAATGTGCCGCCACGCCATGGCCATGTGTAGCATGACGTTTGGGCTTGTTCTTCGCTTACCGGGTGGGATGAAGGGAAGTGGAGATGTTGGATGGGTGGTAGATTGGTGGATTGGTTGGTTTTATCGACGTTTGCCGTTTTGGTGGTGATGATTCAAACTGGTCGTGATTATCCTGGATGGGATCCACACTTCTTGTCACCTTTCATGGTTGTATCGCGTATTGCGTATGGATCGATGCAAGACGTAGTAGTGTACAGTTCCCTCCATAATCGTACAGTGCAGTGCTGCAACAACAATAATGGAGGGGGGAGGAAAGATGGTGACGACGGTATGTAATGAATATTGAGAGGGAAAAGGAAACGGGCATGGACATGCACTGACATGGTAGGAGGAGGCTCTAGATTGAGAATAGCACGATACACTAACTGGACGCGGGCTGGACTCGGCGGCAGCGTCGTCAAATGGGCCCATGCCATCCATCATCAATTGAGCGAGCAAACAGGACAATCTCCCTCACCCTCGCTCCATCTGCCCTCTCTGTCCTACCCTTCTTCGTTTCCTCTCCTCTAGTTCGTCTGCATTACTCTTCTTGCTTTGAGTGCCCAGCCTCCAGCCCTCTCTAACTTTCGCATATATGCTCGATTTACCAGCTGCCTCTTTGGTCTCTTTCCGTTTCGTCTTCGTCCCTCTCTTGACACAGGCCGAGCCACCACCCCTTTAGACAATCACATAGGGCTCAATGCAAAGTTCAAAGCAACTCTTAACATACGGGGATGTTTGGGCAAGGACTATCATCAGATCCGGGCGACGAACATACATGTCCTGAAGTAATCGGCAAGGACAGTGGCAATCATACACAGACATGATCGTACACAACCATGAATGATGCCTAACCCGACCACGCGGATCAATTACGCCCCGCAGCATACCTTCTATTTTGGCCCCCTTCCCGCCCCCAACCAGCTGTACCCTTCTCTTTCTTCCCATCCCCACCACTCCTCATCTCGCTCTGCTGTGCGTCTCTCATCAGTGCACGAACCGAGACAGCTTGCCTTGGCCCGACGACTAGCATTTTGCCAGTCTATTAGCTCTAAGAGTCTGGGCCGACCGTTGCCGCGTGGTGCGGGACATTAACACATCGACTGATAATCTCTTCCTGCTATGATCCATTCGTTATTGACACAGTATCATGCTGCATGTCTTACCTTCTTCTGCCGCACCAACAACACATGACCGCCGTAGTCTGCAAGAAACGCTATCGTCTTGGAACAGTCGGGTCTTAATTTCACCTTTCTAGGGCTGGTGCATGTTTCGGGTGGATAACAGTCCTCCAGTGTTGATCAATTATACTTCCACTTAACGCCAACTTCATCAAACAGTGGCAAACAACACCATTTGCACCGAGACAGCCTCCTTCATCCGATCGAACCATTGGGCGCTGTCGAGAATCTCTGTCCGTCCCGTTGTGGTACGGGCGGATATGCAGTAGATCATCAGCCGGACCTTTCGTCCCTCATCACACTTCACCCGTCCCCATTGGACACACGTAAACAACCTGCAAATCATGCCCACCAGGGCACATATTGCCTTTTAGTAAGGAAGGGCCATCGTTCTCCCGCCCCTTCTACGATGGAAATTCGGATGCCAGATCACAGCGCAGGAAGGTCCGAAGTGCAAAAGGATTTCCCCCTGAGAACTCCGAGAAAATAGCGTTCCTCCAGTCTCGCTCATCGAGGAAAGTCAGCCACCAAGATGTTGGTAGATGCGGATGTTGACCTTCCGCGGATGACGCTCTGCTCGGAATTCTTCGAGTGTTTTGAACCCACATTTCAGTCGCTACCCGTGCGCACCATCGCCAGATGTTTGGTGGTGTGGTACGGAGGAGACTTGGTGCGAATTCCTTGCTTTGATATGCCAGCCTCGTGCATCGCCGAACGCTAAGACATTGAAGCCTCGCCATCATGTGGCGCGAAAATCGGTCGGAGTACAAAATCGGACGATCATGACGTTGCAACCGGATCTCTTTCTCCACGATGTTGTTTTGTAGCGCGGATGTAAGCGCTGCCGACTAGTTGTAGGGCAGCCATCACTTGAAGTGGTATCTTGACTTGGGTCACATCGCGCGGATGACGTCGGACAGGCTCGATCTTACGTTTGGAAGGCATATCTGAATTTCGGAAAGGTATGCAGTGCAATTAATCTTACAAGAAATTTTTCAGTTTGTCCAATTTTTGCATGGCAAGCAGACAGTACGTTCTGACTTCAACAAGCGCTGCAATTTACCTTTCTTACTAAGATCCACCGTTTGTGCAACACTGGCATGCATTTCTGACATATTCGACATATGTTGTGCGCCCCACGAGCTCGTGTATCTTCAGTTTAAGGATGAACACCGCGTTCGTGGCCTTGGGACGAAATCCACGCGAAGCTGTGTAACCACAATCACGTTTATTTACCGCTTGACCGCTTGGGCAGGCGACAGAAGCGCAGACTGCCGGTTTGTGCCGCTCGCCTGCGTGAAACCGCTTATCTCGCTAGTGTGGCGCCATGAACCGCTCGCCCCGCGCGCCAGATCTGGAGTCCAGCGCTTAGCGGAAGAGTTTCTTTCAACGTCCGCTCGTATTCCATCGTTAATCCATCTCACCCGACTCCCCAGACGCCTCCATCCGCGGAATTGGGCCATGGTATAAGTTGCGAACATCCCCGCATCATGTTCACAAAATAATACAGCGACCCCTCATGTTGCCATGCTGCCACACAATACGGTCCTCCACCTCTGCACTTTGTCGCGCTCAAGGCGGCCGCCGTGGCTGAGACCATGAGTCTGCCTCAAGAGGACCGTCCACACGCATCAGAAGCAAGAGAGCGCGAAAGAAAAACAGAGCGTGCGAGCCAATGGTTCATCGGAATAGTGGATCATGCTCATCAGCCACGCAATCGATTGCTGGTGGTTTATCCATGGACAGCGAGGCTGGGGCAGTACAAGGTGAGCTCGGCGAGGGTCAGCGGAGCTAACGGAGCTACGACCGGGCAGGCATTCCATAAAGAAGCGAACGCACATTGGCACTGCGCCCAGCGCTTACATTGCGATGTCAATTGGGCAGCGAACGTTTCGAGCTCTAGCGCGGCCGCATTCTGTTTCTTTGTCCGTACCAAAATGCTCTGCCGAAGGCATTCACAACGTGGTAGCTATGCGAAATGCGAGGTGTGAGCACTCAATGATACAATTTTCTTTGGTCTCGACTTCGATTTGCCGGCGACTCGCTTGATGCACCACCGTATCGTCATCGAAGACTCGCTAGGCGGCCGCCTCCTATTCAAGAAATTCGTCGCACCCCGCGGGCTGGAAAGTCGGCGATCCATGCATTGCAGTACATGTATGTACAGTCCGTACGACCAGTTCTTGAGGGACGGACGCCCTCACCGCCCTTCATGAATTTCTGGTTCCTGGTGCCTACCCAAATGCACGAAATCGATGCCCCAGGCACTTGCGACTCACCGATCAACCCCGCAAAATCATCATCTGTCTGCGTTATCTCGATATTTGGGACCTTGTCCAGCTGGAACGACCAGGCAATTCTGCGTCCCGCTAGCTCGGCCGCACCCATGCGGTGCCTGCCTGGCTGCAAGTTGAGGGACGATGGCACACCGGAATTGTGCAGATAGCCAGACCGCACACTATCCCAGGTCGTGTTTAGATTCTTCCATACCTTACCTTGTTTGTTAAGCCGACTATTCTTTTCTTTTCTTCTGAGCATTCTTCTTAGCGCTTTTCAAGGGGCATGCTTTGGTTCGACATTAGCGTTATTGTCGATATCCTCTTGCTCGCTGTTTACGACAATACGGGTGGAGCCTCGCGACCCAAATTGGATTCTTTGTTCACGCTATCCGACTGCCCTGGTCCCCGATTATGAAACACCGGATATCCTTTAGCGTCGCAATTCCGTACGTCACTCTATGATTCGAGCCATTTCGTGATGCATGTGCCGCCGTGCCCATATCTCGAAGAAGTCGTCATCCCCCATTCTGGCGGGCGGGGTACACCGCTCCTGGAACGAACGACCCATCAACATACAGCGGCACAGGGCAGACTGCTCTGGCGCTCGGTGGACAGCCCCGAAAGAGCTTCGCTGCGCATTGTTTCTGCTAAGTACTGTTTTCCATCGGGTCCATTGGGTCCATCGAGGTATTCACTCGGAATAGAAATGCTGTCTTGCCCTGGGATAGTGTAGCTCTTCATACGCAGGTTATCCGCCGCCTTATGTAACTTTCATAGCACTAACTTCGTCCTTCAAACTATCTTTGACCTCCCGGCCTACCCGGCTGTGCATGCAGGGCCACGTTGGCCGTACTTATCCTCTTGCGAGGCCTCGTGTGAGACAGCTATGGGATTCTCCATCTCATTTGCAATCACTGAAGACAACAACACCGTCGTTGCCAATGGCGCCGACGACGCAAATTTGTGGTTAGTGCCGTTTATTTTCGGCATCGCACAAACCATTGTATTTCACCATACAAATGATGTGGATAGCATGCTATTGTCATCTCTCCATTTGTCCCAACATCAACGCTCAAGGCGCCCTTATTCTAATTCGTTAAATGGGAAGAGCAAGACATATACCAACTCCAACAACTACATCTGGCACGCATCCAGTCATGTAGAAGAACGTCTTCTACTAAGTTCGAGAATTTCTGAGACAAAACTAGATATGTTTGTTGTCTCGCCTCTATTGGAGGGTAGTTATCGACTAGCGTGTATGCATGCTTCGCTCTGCTGAGGAGATGTTACGCCCCGCATACAAGATCACCGACTTCTTTCCCGGAAGAGATTCTTGCAGTAATTGTTTTGTTACGGAGCTGAGCAGTAAGTACTAGTTTGATAGCGTTTGGCTTTCAAAGTTCAAGCTGACGATTTGATACAGGCAGCGATGAATAGACTTTTGGCCTCAAGTCGACTACAACGAAGCACATGACCCGAAAGCGTCTCGGAACCCAACCACTAGTGATACTTCATCTGCCCGACCGACACTATGACCGAGTCAGTAACCGAAAATCCCCTTCTGATAAATGTTCTGTCGTGCCATCGTGGATTTAGACATGTTCAAGCGTGGGGGCTGAATTCAGTCAGCTGTGCATACGCAGACAACGTTCGATACCAAACCCCCGAGAACACCAACAACCGCGCTTCTATCAAACACACCTAACATCGCGCTTCACAAGATCCCAGTTCCTCGACAATTGCGCTTGCTGCATTGAACATCAAATGGACCTGGCCGCGATCCTGGATACTGGGATGGCCCCATGGACACATCCTATCCTCGCAGGCCCTGCCAAACAAGCGCGATGTCAGACAGGCAGCCTTAAAGGGCGTTCAAAAGCCAACATCCCCAGCTTAGACTCATCGTCGCGAAGACGATCCGCAGCATGTTAGAGGCGCAGAAGCTTGTTTGAGTCTGTCACAACCTAAAACAGGTTGTTTGTCGTACGGGACCTCTGCGTTGGATCAGCAAGCTGTTGCATGATGCTCAAATCGGCAAAACGGTCGCCCTACTGGACAGACCTTGTTGAATCGAAGGCGCAATGCCTCTGAGTCGTCATTAGACCTCGAAAGGCGTGGTCTAAATTTATCGCCGTATGTTGTGCAGGTTAGGCAAGGCGATCGCTCTTTGACGTAATGAAGTCAATCTTTGGGGAGTGGTGTCGCGCTGGAAATCACAGTAACAGTATCAAAAGGAAGAAGACGGATATGCGCAAAGTTTAGGATTCAAACGTCTGGATAACCTTTTTCTGTGCCTCCGGGAGTGTGAACTTCGCCGCCTATGCCACCACAAAGCCGACCCAACGGATCTGCAGCCTTGCGCACATCATCCAGTCCCTCCTCAATCACCACGCAGGAGAGAGATCTTTGTCAACTCGCACCTTCTCGCATCCCTCACTTCCACGTGTACGAGGTACAGACACGGCACGGTTTCAAGGTTCCCCACATCACACCGTGTATCGTATTACGACTTCTCACCTATCTTAGGCTATCTCTCTTGCTGCCTACGTTGCTTTAAGGTTCCGTGCCACCTACCGCACCACATCTCGACAGATCAACCGTTAACATCCTTGCAAGAACCCACGAAACACCGCGTAACGACGCGGGGTTCCGCGCAGGCCATTGGCACGACCCGAGTTGTCAGCCGGGGCACCCACCTGCTGTTCGAATTTTCCTATTCAATACAATGGGCAAAAAAGGCTAAAACAATATCGTTCGTCGGATCTAGGATCTAGGATCTAGGATTTCGCGGACGAATTTTACGATCGAATATCGTTCATGCTATCGCTGTTTGACTGGACGTTGTTTCGCTTGGTCTCGACAGAGTCCGACACTGGCGGTGGCTTATCCGACTCGTCGCAACCTATTCTCCCCATGGGATTTCCTGATTAGCATCATACAGTTGTAGCTTTCCCCACTATAGGAAAGCAAGGCGTGACAGGGCGACTGTTTCTCGCCCGTGTACGGACCGTTATTCGCAACTTTGGTCCATAAGTAGTAGTACATCGAAGGAACTAGGTACTCCGTCGTTTATCGCACTCTCGCCATCTACGTTGCATTGAACGCACGAGAATATGTACCAACATCCCGACGTACCCACAAACGGACATCCTCTGCCTTCAAACTATGATATGTAACTACCCCGTATCGCCCTGAAGTCGACCTGGCTCTCTCGCAACTCGCATACTTCTAACACATGACACACGGTACACACATGTTCCCAAGTGGTACGTCCAACACATACCTGTTTCATCCCATGAAGACCCCTTCGTTCTCGAACACCAACACCACATCAGATCTGTTGCGTTCTTCCCAACTCCCATTTACTATCTCAAAAAGATCTAGAACCTTCAAGGTTGCTGCTCAATTGCGTGATACACGTGCGATTTCCCTACCTCAAGGCCCCCCAAGCCAGGTAAGCACTTGGTCGCACTCCCGTCAGCCAGGGAAACCCCCTAATACCCCACGACTGATCCGATCGTGTTCTATCGGACCGCTAGGGAATCTTGCGTAGTTACGCTAGTAAATAGGGTAGGTAGGGTAGGTACTCGATTGACTGCGATTCATGCGTTTTAGGATATGCTCAGCGCACTTCTAGTGAGCGAGGGGCTTGATTGGTCAGGAGGTATACACCAACCACCGAGATGTGCGCGCGATTGGATTACTAGATATGGATTAGATAGATGCTCTGTTTATGCGTTCGCAATATGGTTTGTTTGTTTATTTGTTTCGTTCGTAGGAAAATACTATGTCCACCAAGTGAACCAAATATATCCCTCCCTATCTCCATCTCTATTATGGAATGTTTGTCCAGGGAAACGTTCGTTGGTGAGGGACGTTCCACTTGTCTCGGATACGTCCTCTCCCGGCTCACATAGCACAAATGACAATCCCATTTCTAGACGAGAATCCTTTCGAACGTACCTCGTATGAACACTATCTAGACCAAAAAGGATACTACTACAACCAATCTCACGTGAAAGAGCACCATGTCTTACCGATGTCCAGCCTTGTTTTCGTTTCGTTTCATCGTGTCTCGATCGTTACGTCTCATCTATTTCTTCCCTTCTTTCTTCCCTACTTCTTCTACATGTCTCAAAAATAACAAAAGTTACAATAATAAAAAGTACCTACTACATAGTGATCATAGCTATCCCATCTCACACCAACCAATAAATAGAACCTCCCCACTTTCCAATTACCACAATCGTAATCGCAGCGTATCAAGCTTAAACATCCTCACCCGGCATCTCCCTCTTCCGCGAACAACAACTACGTAAGCAGACCATTTCCTTATTTTGGAAAGACAAGCAAATCATGACGACACACCCATCCACGTGACGGTCTGCATCGAAGCAGCCCACCTTATTTTTGGGGCGGGGGCGGGCAAGGGTATGTTTCGAGGCCGGGGTCGTTTCAAGGCGTGTGGCTCTTCTCTCGATGCAAGCCAGATTGTTTGTTTTGGGGGCGGAGTCCTTCTTGTCCTCGCTTTGTAAGTGAGATTTGACCAGAGGGGTTGTCAGCGGTAGTGTGGTGGGTGTGCGGTCGTTGGTATCTGGCTCTTCTTTTTTTTCCTTTGCCATGGGATATGTTGTACGACAATCTGATTTCGTAGCCACATACATGGGAGAGAGCGAGAGGGGAACGTGAGGGCAGGGGGGGTGGAGAGAGGTGCGTTAAGCGCGGCGTTTTCCTATTCGGGACAGTGCAGGACGAGGGCAAGGAGGTGGGATGATGTAAAACGTGGAGGGACGGTGCATGTGTCAGTTGACCGTTTATGCGTCAGCTTATGTATTTGGTATTGGGTTTCCTTGATTTACTTCCGTGGGTTTGTATGTGTTGGTGGATTGAGTTGGGGTGGAAGGTAAGCGCGGTACCCGCGCCTAGGATGGTGGTGCTTGGCTGGGGTCGTGTATGTACTGTGTAGCATGGAGATGCTTTATTGATTTTCTGCGGTGTAGGGTGAGATGGTTTAATATAATGTTGTAGATTAATTTTGCGGTTTCCGAGCTTATGGTTATGCATAGGCATGCATGCTGTGAGGTGACGATGTTGGGTCCGCCGTATTGGGAGCATTGGAGGATTTGCTGCATCATATGTTTCCTTCAGAGAAATGGTACAGTGTATGTTGGAGATGCTGAGCCAAGGGCTGTTATAGATTTACTGAGTTTTACGGTTGCTGCTGACCGCCTCCTCCATGCTGGTGACTGGTTAGCCGTGCAGATAACTATATACCCTTTCTCACAAAGGCAAGAAATCTCAAGGTAAAAGATAATGCTTATGCAGATCTGTTATATGTTGAAGTGAATTATGAAAACTGTATTGTAGTTCATACTTTTATTATATTAACATATTATTCAGTTCATGTTATCTTTATTTTCAGAACGTTTACTAGTCATCTTATAGATAGAAGAATATCTGCCTGAATTGCAGAGTTTGTATTGCTACGAATTTTCAGTAAAAGATGAGGTGTTCTATACATACCCCGGTAGGAAGAGATCTTGAACGGTCTGATTCGTATCAATCGTGGAGATCAGATATGGCAATTGAAGGATGGATATTGAAGCGGTCGCGGCAAGGAATTCACGTAGTTTATGGTCTTCTCAATCCCTACTGATGACACATCACACAACAATAGAACTCTTTGGAACCATTCATCAATTTTTGTTCATTTTCATCATACTAATCGTAACGGCATCGGTCGCATGTAGTGCTTCAGCTACATGGACCAACAGTCAAGAACCCATCATCTCAGATGAAATCTCCACTACCAAACCCTCCAAAGGGGTTCGGAGGACCCCCGAGTCCACCGCCTCCGGCACCTCCAAACCCTCCTCCTCCAGGAAACCTGCCACCGCGATTGTCTCGCGGCGCCGAGCCTGGCCCTACAGGATCGAATCGTGCTCCTGGCGGCGCCATGGGATCGTAGCCTCCAGGACCACCACCACCTACTCCACCAAACAACGGGTCGTCGAACGTGGGATGCATGCCCCCTCCAAACCCACCAGGCCGCGGAAGACCGCCGCCGAGGTGCGGACGGAGAGGATCGTGGGGCCCAAGGCCGGGTGGATATAGATCGCTCTGACCGTATCCACCGCGTAAGCCGCCGTCGTGGAGCGGATACCGAGGCGGTCTGTTGATTTCGTATTCATCTTCGAAGCCTGGAATGGGTTCTGGCAGCGGCCGTTGGCCTTGTCGAGGTGGTGCTCGTAGGGGGTCTTCGAAGGGGTATGGCCGCGCTGGTTCTGGCTCATTTGTCGGTGGTTGCCTGGGTTCGCCCACCCCTCTTCCTGGTTGACTGCGGTTGTCTTGTGTCTGCGAATTGTCCTCGTAGCCCTCTTTCTGAAGTCCTGGTGCAAGCTTTTGAATTATAGAGATCTTGAGGAGAGAGCCAAGGTCATTGAGGCGACCCGCTGATATGAAAACGTCCTGTAACTGCTTTGCCGCGTCTTCCTTCGATGCATCCTCCGCTATTGAGACTGGTATTGATGACTCTGAGAGGTAGTCTTTTGAGGTGACTTCAAAGGTCGTCGTTTTATCGTCTCCAAGTGCAAGACCAAGCACAACCGCTTTACCGCCCAAGCGGTTGACCTTTACAAGATATTCCATTGACGACTGAGAATGTGCGTATCGGAACGCATACGTCGACGAAGCGTTCCATTCTGTGGGGAGAGGTTCTGGGTTTTGCGCGTCTGCATTTGCTTCTGTAATCGGACCATCAGCGCATAGCTCCAAATCGATGGCATACAGATGGAGAACTTACCTATCCGATCATCATCGCCAAGACCTATTAACCTAAAGCCTACTCCAATCATCCCAGCGTGTACCGCTAGTGCTATGGCTTCTGTTGCGTTCTTGAGTTGCGGAGATGGCGTTTTAGGCAGACTAGCTGCCATGAAGAGGGAGAGGGAGCCCGCGCTGAGCGGGTTGCCTGTAGTGTTCGCCGGAGGCATGCTGAATGAATTTACGATAGTGGAAAGTAGTCGTTATATTTGTGGGAGATATGCGTGCGTGCGTGCGTGATTGTTTTGATTGTGGTTACGAGTGTGATGAATGTATGAGCGCGCGTTTAGGCAACATTTTGGAGCTGTTGTATCGTCATTGAGTACCCGCGGGGTAGCTTCTGTCCAATCAGAGATCAGATCGGACAGATCCGTGCACAACATGGTCAATGGTCTACGAATTAGCATAACCAATCTAAGTTCTCCAGCTTCTGTAATTATGAATTTGTATTATAATGAACCTAATAAAGGTATGTCTATGGTAGGATTGAGAAGGGAGCATTGCTAGATGAGACTGAAGAGACTACTGTTCAGATTGCTACCTGTTCGTAAGATATCGTCACTCAGAAAAATGATCTGGAGATAAACTGATGCTGTGTGAGAACCAACGCCGAGCTTGCAATGCAGATGTACAGGAAACAAAACGCAATATCCTTCAGATGAATGCAACATCACTCTGTAAGATCAGCTGCTGAGCCACTAGTGAGCTCATTCGGTTCGAGGAGTCTGATGATGTTAGTGATGTCAGACAAAAGGGTAGGTATGAACGTACGAATACTGCTTGAACAGGGTCCCTTCGCCCCCTTTCTCCAAGTCGATGTTGAAGAGATAATAGTTTCCTTCGCTCGTGACTACCATTGCTTGCGGCCCGTTGTTGTTCATCGCAACGACCGTCCTGATCGGCCCAGACGACATACTGTTCTGCGACTTGGGGATTTTCACCCAAGCGAAATCTCGTGCTGGTTCCCAGATCTCGGCAACAGCGCTAGGTAGATACCCCCCGACAGTCGCGGCGAATGACTTTCCAACATTTTGCGATGTCCGGCGAATCATGCTTGCGAATGTGGGATTGATTGGCTTGCGTTCTGAAGCCGAGATATCGGCTGTGCTGTCTTCGTAATCATACTCGGAAGGGGGCTCCTGACTACTTCGACTGCCGCTCCGTTCTCGAGATGCAGAGGGAGGCCTTCCGCTTGGTCCCGAGGCGCTGTTGCTCCGGCTGGCGTTTGGTGCAGCCAGACGAAATATGTGGACAGTCTCCGTGGCTGATGAAACACATAGTAAGGTCGACGTAGAGTTGAAGGACATGCTATATATCCTGGCCGGAATGGAACCACGGCGGAATTGGTACAGTTTCTGGCCATCTGGAACGGAAAAGACGCGGATGATTGTACCCTTTTCGGACGCTGTCGCCAAAAGAGTTCCTTCATTGTTCAATGCGATACATGATAATGGAGAATTATGGGCTTCGATGACATTTACTGCCTCCAATTTCGTAGCGTCGTAGATGAGAACTTCGCCGCTTGATGGAGTCACGCTATCATTCTTCGGTGGAGCGTGGGAGGGTGGCTGGAAAGATGCTGGTGCAGCCTTTGACGGTAGTGGATATACGAGGTAGTTGTTTTCTGACGAGGCAGACAATGCGCAAATAGCTAGGTCTACATTAGCAACCAAGTATGCATGGATTCTTCGCTCCTACCGTTGGTATTCGGCGACGTCTTCTCGTTCTTCAACATTGCCATGTTGCTTATATCATATATGTATATCTCCGATTCTAGTACCACCACCAGTCGCTTTCGGTTCAGGCGCATGGCTAATATAGCCGTTCGAAACGTCATTTCGCATATGGTGGAATGTCTCTGCAAGGGCTGTATCAATACTACAGTTCGTCAATGTTCTGGTGGACGAACCAACCTTCGTGTTTTGTATCCGCAGGACTCGTGGTGACAGAGTCAGCGCAACCAGAGAGGTCGAGAAGAGCATCTCAAGGCTGGAGACATCTCCCTCTCGCGACTCAGATTGCTTGTTAAAAGGATCGGTTGTGTAAATGCGGTAGCCCTTGGTGGTGCCTGACGGTGCTCATATCAGTAGGAGGTCATGGAGCCAGCAATCTCATCTTACCGACACCAAGATGGCTGTGGTCCTGGTTGAACGTGACGAAGTTCATGGTCGCCATGCCGACTGGTAGAGGCCTGTACCAGACTCCGCGCGAGTATGCAGGTATATGTGTCGCGGTGGTGGTTAAATAAGACGGAGCTCCGGGAGCTTGGACCGCACGTTCGCGGGGAAGTGAATTACGAGTTGTCGTTAATGAATCGTCGCGAGAGCTGTGTCGGTGGAGCAACGAGTGGTAGAAAGCATATATGAAGAGTGACGATGCGCGACCTCGACGGTACCAGGCGGGAAGACGAGCAAAGGTCGCGCAAAAGATCGTGGATGGAGCTTCCGCCTGGAAGAGCGAAAGTGTGATGGACGGGTGAGGATTGGAGCGCCAATTGGCTCCTGCATGACGTCCCCGCGGTTGGCCGGAAACTGCGGCGGTGCAAAATGTGGCTGGTGGGTACACCCAACGAATTAGTGTATATCGCGAAAATCAAAAGTCCATATTCGTCTTCGTCGATGCTGCAGGCATATTCTTGAATACGACCAAACAGGAACCATTTTACGAAAAGCCACTCCCAGTACACTATGGAGACTGATGCTAGTAAGCCTCGACCTGAACCTTCGTCCTCCGGGAAAGGAAAGGGCAGACTGCGTTCAGTAAAGGCGAAAAGAGACGACGATATCATGAATGCAAGTCCCACAAACGCCCATCTTAACGACCATAATTACTAACAGCCCGCTCAAGACAAATGATAGCAGTATTGTGTCCAAACGCAGTGTATCTAAACTATACTTTGCAAATGAACCAGATTTCTATGAACCATTTGTGCCGAAGCATAGTCGGAGGAACCCTCTCATCAATCGAGGCTACTGGCTTCGAATGCACGCTATTGAGCAAGCTGTGTGTCAATTTCTTAAACAGAATGACGACAAACCTAAGCTAATCGTCAATCTGGGCTGTGGATAGTGAGTAAGAGTGCCCCACCTCTCGGTGATAGAAGCACACATCCAACCGCCATGTCTCTTGCACATGGCTGTACCCGGGCTTCCTGCTGATTTAAACAGCGACCCTTTACCATTTCAATTCTGGCACAGACATAAGGCTATTTGCAAGAATGCTACTTTTGTAGACGTGGACTACCCCCAACTCATGGAAAGGAAGCGGGACCGAATATTGGCCAACGGCCTAGTCCGCGATATGATATTCAAGCAGAATGTTCGCCCATCTTCCAAGCAGGTCCTCCTTAGAAGTGATCACTATATGGCTGTTGCCTGTGACCTCAGAGACTTGAAGACCCTGGAGAATATATTGAAAGCGGAGATGAGTTCCGACTCGCATATCCTCTTTGTTGCAGAAGTGTCGATAACCTACATGCCTCTTGTTGATTCCAATGAATTGATCAGGTGGGCTGGGACATTTGACAACGGTAAGCGAAGTGTTCTCTGTGATGTTCTTGCTTTGCTTCTGCTAATCCCGAGAAGCTCAATTCTGCCTGCTGGAGCAGTTCCTTCCGCAGGGTCCAGCCCACCCCTTTGCGAAAACTATGTTGGATCATTTCAACAAATTGAAAACCTCAATATATGCAGTCAATGATTATCCGTCCTTGGACCAACAGGCCTCACGGTTCAGCAATGCAGGCTGGAGAACAGTCAATGCACGTAACCTATGGGATCTATGGTCCGACGAGGTGTTCACTCCATCCAACCTTCGGCGCAATTTGGATTCTATCGAACCATTTGATGAGTGGGAGGAGTTTGCGCTTTTTGCCGGCCACTACTTTTTGATAGTGGCCTCGACCACCCCCACCAACACCGGTGAACAAACCCCTCCTGCAGAGCTGCCGAGAGTGAAGGACCACAAGAGCGCGTCTATTGTGCTAGGATATCACACACCACCTGCAGAAGCAGCGTTGACACTTCGACGATTCGCTGCCGCATTTCGTGCAGGGGATCAGGCCGTTGCCTTCCACGGAGGCCAGGGCTCGCAGCGTCGATTGTCCAGCATTGACACGCTTCGTCGGGAGAATTCGAAGCCCGAACTGCAATCACTAGCAATGCAGCCTGCACGTATAGGTCACACTATCACCAACATCAACGGGACAGATGCATTGATGGTCGGCGGCCGACGGTCGCCTTCTCAAGCACTTGCGGACACATGGCTTATCAAAACCAATGGGGACTTGCAACAAGTGCAAGATCTCTCTCCGGCTCGTTTCAGACACTGTGCCGCAAACGTGACTGTGCCATATGGTGATTCTGAGGTGGAAGGAGTCATAGTTGTTGGCGGCAAAGCAAGTGACGGAACCGTTCTAGAAGACTACAAGCTATGGACGTCCGACGATGGATGGACAGATATTGACGTTGTAGGTCCGCGACCTTCAGCTCGCTTTGGTGCCGCAATTTCGTCAACGGGGTCTGGTTGGGGCCTCATGATTGGGGGCATGCACTCCGACGGCACAGTCAGTGATGAAATTTGGGAATTCCACCTGTCAGCAGCCTCGAAACAACGGCAACTACAGTGGGTCGATCGTACCCGCGACGTGCGTTCAAACACTGCATCCGCATCGCATGGACGGTTCGGTGCCTCCCTCGTCCCATTCGGACAGTCACTGTTGGTTATTGGGGGCATTTGCAGGAAAGAGATCCTTGGCTTCGGTGAAGAGTTACAGATCATCACAGTCGGCGAGGTGATTAACGTGGATCCTGCATATTTTCAGCTGCCAGAAGATGCCATGTTCCTGACCGTTGGTTGCGGCGTTGCTGCCGCCGGCCCCGAAGAGATTGTGGTTGCAGGAGGCGGCGCTGTGTGCTTCTCTATGGGCAGTTTCTGGAACCAGGGATATCTCACCATCACTCGACATGATAACCCAACACCACGAGACTGGTCGTTGTCTAGCATTGAACATGCAGCCACCCGGCCGCGGCATACATCTAACCCTCCCACGACTACATCTGCAGACGACAAGGTCAAGGTCAAGGACAAGGGAAGAAGTATCAACCAGAGCCAGGACAAGGGCAAAAGCAAGAGCAAGGGAAAACAAAAAGGCAAACGAAGCAACTTCGAGCGGACCGACAACGAGGGAAAAGATAGCCGTCACGCCGTGAAGCTCGAGAAGATCACAATCCAAACCGCCGAAGACTTCTCCGAAATCGTCAAAGCCTCCCGTCCAGCCATCATAACCGGCCTCGATCTCGGCCCTTGCACCTCCCTCTGGACGCTCGACTACCTCAAAGACAAAATCGGACCCGACCGCGAAGTCGTGATCCACGAAACCACCTCATCCCACATGACCTTCCAGACCAAAAACTTCCAATACACCAAAACCCCCTTCGGCACCTTCATCGACTCCCTCACCACCACTCCCCCCTCAAAAACCTACCTCCGCTCCGCGTCCTCCACCTCCCCAACCAAGCTCCCCACCCTCCTATCCACCGACTTCCCCACCATCTCCCCCGACTTCACCCTCCCCTCCCTCCTGACTCCCACCATCCCCCCCTCCCGAATCCACTCCACCCCCCTCCGCATCTCGGGCCCCGTCTCCCTCTGGCTCCACTACGACGTCCTCGCCAACATCCTCTGCCAAATCGTCGGCCCCAAAACCCTAACTCTGTACCCCCCCTCCGCGGTCCCACACCTCTCCTTCCCCCCCGGCGCCTCCTCCTCCACCCTCTCCACCCCCCCTTCCCCCGCCCTCACGAACCCACACATCGCGAACCTCTCCCCAGGAGACGTCCTGTTCATCCCGCCCATGTGGTCCCACACCGCGACGCCCGGGTCCTCGCACTCCGTCGCCGTCAACGTATTCTGGCGGAACCTCGACAAGGGGTACGCGGCAGGGCGGGACGTGTACGGGAACCGAGACTTGCAGGCTTACGAGACGGGGAGGAGAGATGTCGAGAGGATTGTTAGGGCGTTTAGGGATGTTCCCGCGGATGTGAAGCGGTTTTATCTGGAGAGGTTGGCGGGGGAGTTGGTGGATGCGGGGAGAAAGGGGGAGAGTGTTGGGAAAAGGGATTAGTTAGTTAGTTGATCACATAGTTAGATGGTTTTCAGTTCAAAAAAGTAGAGCAAAATTTACATATTCAAAATCTTTGATTGGTGTCTCTTTCTCTTGTCATAAAGATACTAAGAAAAGAGAAGAAAAAAGAAGCCCCAGGGCATTATCCCAGAAAACAGAATGCAAGGGAATCTCATAGGGGTGAAGGCACCCTCAAAGAACCCAAAAAAACAAAAAACAAAGCATAAAAAGGGGGGTATTGGGGCCGTTTTGGAGGGGGTATCTATAATATACATATAATCGTTGGGCAAGTGCTTGCTTGCCCTCGGTGGGGTTGAGTGTGGGCGGCAGGTTCTATTTATTCCACATCGTCGTTGCCGTCGACGAGGTCACCGTGGAGGCGCACGCGGTATATACAGGTGTGTTCGGCGCCCCAGTTGCTTTTCACGCGGACCAGGGCTTTGTCGACGGGGACGGTGACTTCGGCGTCGAGGTTGACGGTCTGTACGTGGACGGGCCCGTGGATGTCGTAGGTGAAGGACCCCAGACACACGTAGCCGTCTGGTCCGGCTTCGCAGTTGGGGGCTCCTTCAACCTGATCCACGGTCACGGGTACCCAGAGCTCTACCGCCTTTGGCGCCGACTTTATGTCGACTGAGGCTTGTTTTGGTAGATGTTCAATGGTTACCTGGCGCGGCAGCATCTTTTTGCCGAGAGAGACGGACAGCTGGGCTAGGCCCAAGCTGCCTTCGGCTGGTGCGGCGCACCAGCAGTCGCCAGGCTCGTACCATGGCTGCAGGGCGGTGACGGGGGGTGGACGGTGAGAAGAGGGGAGTACGATCCTGGCGAGCTTGGAGGCGATGGTTATGTCGCTAGACGGAGTATATGACGGGGACGTCTCTCTTTGGTTGATGCGAGCGCCATTTCCAATCGAAAAGAAATTGATCTTGCGGAAGTCTATCTCCGCAATGGCTGCGAGAGCGAGGCTTAGATGACGGTTCTCTTCAACGTCGGCACGCTGTCGCCCAACATCTTGAGGGGAATTGATTTTTTTGTCGAGTGCCTTGATGGCAGCAAATGCCATATCCATACGCTTTTCGACGTGCTCCGCCTGATCGGCGTACTTCTTCGCCATCAGATCAAGAAACTCCTCACGACCAAGTGCTGTCCATCTGTCCATAGGATTCTTTAAGAGATAGTTGATGATCCTCCGATTCTTCTCCTCGAACTCGTCCCAGGCAGCATCCACCTTGGGCGTGGGGCTATCCAGACCTTTGGTCTGAAGTTTGGTGACAATGGCTCTCCAGAACTCGTCAGGAATTTCGAGATAGCCTTGACGGTCGCGGGTTACAATGATGGTAGGTGGAAGGAAAGTCCTCAACTTGCTCGACAGGCCTTTGACTGAACTCGACAGGCCTTGAACTGAACGTTCCAACTTGATGAAGCGGTCAATATCGGACACTTTTCCCAGAGAGGCCGGATCAAGGACAATGTCTTCGTCCTCCGAGGCGTTGTATATTCCGTCGCCGATGTCGAGGTCGTTTGATTCGGGTGCCGGTGGCTCGATCCAATGGATGACACTGTTCCAAGTGTATGCGATGCGGGAGCCAAAGGCATCTAGGAATTGTGGGCTGGAAGAAGATGAATGTTTCATAACCTGAGAAAGCAGGACTGAACCAGCGAGAATTGCAGCGATCAGCAAAGCATCCCAGAGACGGGGCTTGACAAGGGTATTGTAGGTACTCTGCGGCTTGTTGTCGGGTTCATCGTCGCGTTCCGGTTGGGTTGCCCGGGACGCCTGTGGAGGCTGGCGAGGACTGTCCAGGTTTGCACCGCGGCGGATAGGAGGTGCATTGAGCCCAAGACCATGTGAAGGACGTGTGATATCAGCATCACGGCGGAAGCCAGTGGTATGAGTGACGTCCCGGTCGACCCAAGGGGCCCTGTAATGAATAGAAGATCGAAGGGAGCCGTTTGCGGTAGTACCGGTGGGAAGCATAACCTCTTCGTGGAGGTACGACTTGGACCTGTCGATCTCAGACGGCGTCGGGGAGCCTTCATCTACGTGAGAAGCTTGCGAGGGGGCAGCTGCATAGCGGCTTGTGCTGGCAAAAGATGAGACTTGATTGCGACGAGCTAGATTGTGACCAGTGGTAGAGTGAACTGCGGATATAGAAGGTGACGGACTGGGAGCGGCTGGAGAATCGCGCTCGAAGGTCTCGATAATTGAAGTCTTGGTAGCAGATTGACCTCCAATAGAGGATTGGTCGTCATCGTCATCATCGTCATCACGTGCGACGGCCGTTTGGCGCTGAGCATCAAATGCCTGTACAAATCCAGTTTGATTGATGGTCAAAGCCTCGGCGGCACCAAGGCGACCGGACGCACCGTATGCGCTTGATTGGTTTGCCTTGAGCTTAGGGAGCGGACCCTTGCGTCGTACACTGGCACGACCTGGAGTAGTGGAAGCAGCAACAGACTGGTCCACGGAGGCAACCGAACGTGCGACCGAGGCAAGACGCGTTGAGCGACGAGCTGGCGTGGGAGCGAGGCCATTCTGGCCGGATACAGACTGGGCCATGTCGAACTCAACCTGGTGAAGAGATGATGATGGGGATGTTGATGGATGAACAGTGGCCTATGTTGAAGACCAATTAATCTGAGTGTTGCGTGAGCATAATCGAGTATAGAAAGTAGTGGTGTGGAGGGACTGAAAGAGAAGAGGTAGATGGAAGAGTGAAGTTGTGGGAAGAACGATAGAGGAATAGAAGGACAGTGAAAACTTTGCTGTCTACGGTGCATATAGTTGTTGACATTTGCGAGTGGCAATAATCACTTCGCAACAATAACAACCGGGGGGTCGGGGTGATAGCAAGTGAAGGCGAGTCCCAAAGTGGACGGGCAGAATAAGGACCACAATGGAACATCTGATAAACTGTGGAGACACAATGTACAAGTCAATAGAAAGAGTAGAGTTGAACTTCAAGATTACAATATATCAATGTAATCTGAAACCAAGGCGAACATTTGGAGTTACCCTTCACGATGTAGAGGGACGGGGTCAAGAAAAATGCCTTGCACTTACGAATTATGATGGGCGAACGGTCTTCAAGACGTCACGTCACCGACACTGTAAAGGAACTCCAGGTTCCAGTAAGGATGCGTAAACAAATACGTTGTTTTTGGCGGTTGGTCAAGGATATGGCGGTTGACGTTGGTAGATGGGATTTGCCGTAGGGCAAAACACGTGTACTGGGAGAGGTCGACGCGTTAGGTCCAGAAAGAAAACGTGACTCGAAGTTTAGTATGATAGCGAGACTTGGGAGGATGAGTAGATGGATGGACGATGCATTTTCCCCAGACTAGGATGTGGCGGTATGAGAACGTGGAGATGGCCGATGAGATGATGCAGGGTAGAGCTGGGTGGTCGTACGGTGTGTAGGGAGGTAGTTAGTGAGTAGTTGGTAGGACGTAGGGATGGAGGTTGATGATGATCGGGAGAAGACTTGATGCGCGTTCCGGCAGGAAAGACGAGAGAAAGAGAGAGTACGAGTAGAGAGACGGAGAAGGAGAAGGCTTGTGGCTTGTGCTTGCCCTGCCTTGTCCTGGCCCTGCGCATTTCTTTGCGACACGTCAATCATCATCGCGCGTCTCGCTCGTTCTCCTCACAAAGACAGGCATCTTAGCGAATAGGCGGTGAACACTGGCAGAACCAACCCCTCGACCATGGACGATGATAATAAGAACAATGGAATCGGAATCGATTGATGGTTTGTTTGTTTATCGCAGAAGAACAATCAAATGACTTGAAGCTTGGCTTTGATTCGCGATGCACGGCAGAAAATCATAGCAAGACGATGGCGATGACAGAATAGCATAACACAACACCAGATCAGTAGGGAAAAAAGGGGAATGGTAAGAAAGTTATGGTCATCGAGTCAGGGTCTGGCCTTGGTTCGCCGTACCAATGAACACGGCGGCCATCAAGTGCCGGACGTCGAGCTGATGGAGTCCAGGTTGCCAGGCCCACCGCTACTGGATGCACCTGGTGTGTAGATACACATAGGTAGACCGTACCTAGATAGCAGGCGTGCGCTATGTATACTGTGGTATGCCACCTACTTGTACGGCTGTACCGTAGGGTGGGCGTGGAAGTAAGGTAAGCACAGGGTAGGTGGGATGTACCGCTATAAGTACCTGGTACCTGGTACCTGAACGAGGGCGAGGATGTCGTGCCCGGGGATCATTCACTGGGCGCATCTAGAAGTAATGTTAGGCGAGTGGCGAGTATCCGCGATGCGCTGTCCGTCAATCGCCTCGGAAGCCATTAGTAGTGGATTGCGAGAAAAAGAAAGAGGTAAGGCCGAGAAGACCATGTCCATGAGAGGATGTGGCTGTATTGATATTGGAAAGCTGAAGAGTGTAAGAGTGTCTAAAATAGAATACGCGGTCTGGAAGCGGGTAGTGGGAGGATAGTGGCATAAGAAAAGTGCGTGTACGTGGGGACAATGGCGCCGCTGAATGGAAGGGACTGGAGCGATGGTTTGGGACGTCTAGATGTCTATAGGTGGCTTGACAAGGATGGAAAGGGCCATCACTGGTACGAATTGGGACTGATGAGAAAGCTGATAGTGCAATTGAGGCTGGAATTGGCGATAAAGAGGATTTAACGAAAAGGGAAGAGAGAGAAAAGAAGGGGACAGTGAATGTATTGGGATGAGATGAGAGAGGGAGAGGAAAAAGAGTTGAGGGTGGGATGAGATGGATGTGCGCCATTCAGGGAAGGAGCCTCCTCGCTTATCCGTTTTGGGGAACGCGTCCGCTATTTCAGCTCCACTCCCACTATCGATGCTACTGGGCTGGTGAGTGAGAAAACGAAAGATTCTGGGATTGAGATTATTGGGATTAGTATTATTGCTCTAGGTACTCTACTACTACTCTACTACTCTACTACTCTACTGTTTGTCCTGTAGCTATAATAGCTTCCTCACCTCCGTCCAATTCTTACTTCCTTTCTGTTCTTCCTTCTACATTCCATCCACCTCAATCAAAACTTAACATCTCCATCCATCTACCCCCACTTCTCTATTCACAATGGTTGTCGGATCTGTTCTCGTTGCTGGGTGAGTACCTACCTACCCTTTCCCCCTCCCCACCCTTGTTGTCCTTAATGAGGGGCATAAGCTAAACAAATCATTCACAAACAGAGGAACCGGCTACATTGGCTCCTTCACCGTCCTCGCCCTTCTCGAGGCCGACTACAAGGTCGTCATCGTCGACAACCTCTACAACTCTGACGTCGAGGTCCTCAACCGCATTGAGCTCATCAGCGGCAAGCGCCCCGCCTTCTACAACGTCGACATCACCGATGAGGCTGCTTTGGACAAGGTCTTCCAGGAGCACCCCGACATTGACAATGTCATCCACTTCGCCGCCTTGAAGGTATGTCTACAATCCACTCGACTCGTTAACTTGGATCCCCCGCCCACTGACACCGCTCCTAGGCCGTCGGAGAGTCCGCTGAGATTCCTCTCGAGTACTACCGCGTCAACGTCTACGGCAGCGTTGCCCTGCTCAGCTCCATGACCAAGCACAATGTCACCAACATTGTCTTCTCTTCCTCTGCCACCGTCTACGGTGATGCCACCCGTTTCCCTAACATGATCCCCATCCCCGAGCATTGCCCTATCGGTCCCACCAACACCTACGGTCGCACCAAGTCGACCGTTGAGTCCGTCATCACCGACCACATCGAAGCTCAGCGTATGAAGGCCAAGAAGAACGGCGAGTCTGGTGAGCAGTGGAACGGTGCTTTGCTCAGATACTTCAACCCCTGCGGTGCTCACCCCAGCGGTATCATGGGCGAGAACCCATTGGGTGTCCCCTACAACCTTCTTCCCCTCCTCGCTCAGGTTGCGACCGGAAAGCGCGAGAAGTTGCTCGTATTCGGAGATGGTAAGTCTTTGAGCGCACCCTCCATTAGGTTTTGTTGAACCCGTTCTAACTTGTCCCAAGACTACGCTTCCAAGGATGGTACTGCCATCCGTGACTACATTCACGTGCTCGACCTTGCCAAGGGCCATCTCGTCGCTCTCAACTACCTCCGCGAGAAGCACCCTGGTGTGAAGGCATGGAACCTTGGCAGCGGCAGGGGCTCCACCGTCTTTGAGATGATCAAGGCTTTCAGCACTGCCGTCGGCCGTGATCTTGCCTACGAGGTCGCTCCCCGTCGCCAGGGTGACGTGCTCGATCTTACCGCCAACCCCACTCTGGCGAACAAGGAATTGAACTGGAAGACTGAGCTCACGCTCGAGGACGCCTGCGTCGACCTGTGGAAGTGGACCAAGAACAACCCTGAGGGTTATGCCCAGCAGCCTCCCCAGGAGTTCCTCGATGCCCTCAAGAAATAGAGTCTTGGAGGTGTATGAACGGCAAGCGTGGCCTACAAAAGTTTTGACATGCGCATTGGACTGAAATAAAGGATGGAATTGGAAAAATCCTTGGTGCATTGCTTGCGAACACGCACATATATCATCATCATACTACTACATTAATATACCACGAAACGAGAGATATGACTAATAGAATATTTACACTTATACCCGGACTTGCACTTATATTTCCATTGAAAGTCTTGGACACCCTGTTGTATGAATACCATTCGAGAGTTTCTCAAAGTCTAATAAATTCCTGTATGTGGACAAGTAAATTCGTACCTAATTCTGGATGATCTGCTGTTGGCCTGTGCGGGCGGGCGGGCTTCTCTCACTGCCAACTGGAGGCTGCCCCGCTGCTGAATTTTGAGACCAATGGAGTCACGTTAGTCATTATTTCAGATGCATACCCTCAATTCCACCACCACCCTGCGCTGCCTCCGCACTATACGTCTTCAATCTCAATTTCACACACCCAGGCTGTCAATACCTTTGCGATCGCCGGCTGCAGTACAGGTGCCCCTTCGTTCGGCTGCATCCCTTTCTTATACCTTCAACCCGGATTTCTTCACCCCGCTTCGACCATTGTTGATCAACTTCTTTCAACCTCTATTCCCCAAAATGGCGAGCTCTGCTACCATCGACGAAACCTTGACGGCTTTCCTCAAATCTCACGCCCCTAACGACGTGGCTGCTGAGACCGACCCCGTCAAGGCCTCCCAGACTCTCTTCCCTACCGCTATTTACACTGACGCCGAGAAGACGGAGATCAGTCAATGGGTGATCACTTCCGCCCACCTTGCTTCCACGGTTCGTGTTATAAAAGATAAAGAACTAAATCAATCAAATGCTGACACAATCCACAGACCGAGGACGCCGCCAAAGCATCTGAGCGTCTCTCCTCCCTCAACACCCACCTCTCCAGCCGAACCACCCTTCTGGGCGCAAAGCCCTCCGTTGCTGATATCGCAGTGTACCAGAAGCTCGCACCGATTGTGTCGAAATGGACCGCCGAGGAGAGGACAGGCGAGCAGGGATACCATCACATCGTCAGGCACGTGGACTTCGTCCAGAACTCGCCAGTCTTCGGATTGAAGTTGGACAGCAAGGTCGACATTGACGCCAACAACGTCATCTTCAAGATCAAGCCCATCGACGCCAAGGCCGAGAAGGAGCGCAAGAAGAAGGAGAAGGAAGCTGCTGCTGCCGCCGCCGCCGCTGGTGCTTCCGCGTCTGGTGCTACAGCTACCACTGCCACTGGAGAGCAGGGTGCAGAGGGCAAGAAGAGCAAGAAGGAGAAGGTCAAGGATAAGGTTCAGGCTGCAGGACAGGCCATTGCCTCGACTGTGACTGGAAAGGCTGGACCTCCCGAGGGTGCTCCCACCAAGAAGAAGGAAAAGAAGGAGAAGCAGCCCAAGCCTCAGAAGCCCGCTCCGTAAGTCTTGATCTCGTGCCATGGCTCACAATAATAGAAAGCTAATACTCCCACTAGAGTTGAGAAGCCATTGTCTCCCGCCCTCATTGACCTCCGAGTCGGACACATCCTCAAGGCGGAGCGCCACCCCAATGCCGATTCCCTCTACGTCAGCACCATCGCCATGGGCGACGCGCCAGGAACCGACAACACCTCCGAGTACGAGGGACAGATCGTCCGCACCGTGTGCTCCGGCCTCAACGGACTCATTCCCCTCGAGGAGATGCAGAACAGGAAGATCGTCGCCGTGTGCAACCTGAAGCCCGTCACCATGCGCGGCATCAAGTCATGCGCCATGGTCCTTGCCGCGTCGCCCAGGGTCCAGGAGGGCGAGGATAGCCACAAGGGCCCCGTCGAGCTCGTCAACCTGCCCGAGGGCGCAAAGGCCGGAGACAGGGTCTACTTCGAGGGATGGGAGGGCGAGCCCGAGGCAGTGCTCAACCCCAAGAAGAAGATCTGGGAGACCATCCAGCCTGGTTTCACGACCACCGATGCCTTGGAGGTCGCGTTCAATGTCGAGGATGTTCCTCAACTGTCAGGCGAGGGAGCGGACAAGAAGACTGGCATTGCTAAGCTCAAGACTGCCAGCGGTCCTTGTCTCGTCAGCACGCTCAAGAACGCTGTTGTGCGATAGAGCTCTGGTGTGATATGCAATCAAACACCAGATAAAGAAATTAGATATATCAAGAAAAGAATTCAAGGCAAATGCAACAACAATGTACCAGCTCCAAACTTCTCAAATTCAATGGTGTTAAACTAAGTTATCTACTTCATAATATGCCCTAACAATATGCCCATGCCCAAACATCTCATCGAGAGAAAGCCCTCGCCTTTGGTGGATTGAGGTAAGGCCTACAAATCGCGGGGCTGTTTGTCGGCAGGGGAAGCCGGAGTGCCACAATTAAGCGTTTGCTGCCTGCAGCTCAAGCTACCCCGCGTGCCCGCGTCACGTCAACAGGGCCTACCGCGCAGCCATTTATAAGGTTGCTTGCCGCCTCTACTTAAATTATACATCAAACAACTCCCCAACAGCACCATCGACCAGTATTTCGAACATGGCAGCCGAAAACTCCCCAGACGCACCGGCTACGGCCAAAAAGTTCGTGCCATTAGGTACAATTCATGATTCCCAAGTCACAAGCCGTATACTAACACCTCCACACAGAGAACAACCCCGAAGTTATGTCATCGCTCGTGCACAAGCTCGGACTCTCCCAGAACCTTACCTTCCACGATGTTTTCAGCATCGACGAGCCGGAGCTGCTCGCCTTTGTGCCGCGCCCCGCGCACGCCCTGCTCCTCATCTTCCCCGTCTCCGAGACATACGAGAAGTTCCGCGTGCAGGAGGACCAGGAGAAACAGCAGTACGCGGGGAGTGGGCCGGACGAGGAGGTCATCTGGTACAAGCAGACCATCTCCAATGCTTGCGGCCTCATCGGGCTGCTCCACGGTGTCTCGAATGGGGAGGCACGCGCGCACATCGGTTTGTCTACCTGTTGTAGGTCCTTGTTTCAGTGTGTCAGGATGCTGATGTCGTACTGCAGAACCTGACTCAAGTCTTGCGGAGTTGCTGCGTGACGTAGTTCCCTTGAAGCCGAATGAGCGTGCGGACTGGTTGTATGATTCCGAGGCGCTGGAGTCGGCGCATCAGGATGCTGCGGCGGGTGGCGATACGTCGGCGCCGGCTGCGGAGGACAATGTTGATTTGCACTTCGTCTGCTTTGTCAAGTCGAAGGAGAATAACCTCTGGGAACTGGATGGTCGCCGCAAGGGGCCATTGAACCGCGGTCCACTCCCCGCAGATGAGGATGTGCTGGGCGAGAAGGCACTTGAACTCGGAGTGCGGAGCTTCCTCAAGCGTGAGGCAGAAGCTGGTGGTGGAGATCTCCGATTCAGTCTCATCGTGTTGGCGCCTTCTTTGGATTGAGAGGCCGAGCTTGATATTGTCATGCGCGGGGTGATGCAGTTCAATCCTGCAGACGAGCCAGAAGCAGAAGGTTGGTGTAACTCAGTGAACTGGCGGTTGCATATGTCTCCCGCGCGTCAGAGGGACCAATTGGCTCACTTCGCGCGATCGAGATCTCCATCGCTCCAGCGCTGGAAAGGTACGGCCTGGAATGTATCGAAAACAGGGAAGAAACTACGACTTCTCACATGTCGCCTTGGCCCAGTCATGGCGGTCAGAGGGGAATTTGAATGCCTAGATAAGGAAATTAAAGAGCAGCTCCACGAATGCCATCATCGCCAGCATTAGTAACGGCCCTCAATAGATTTATCAACCCCTCTCTTCACGAATGAAATTCCTGCAATCAAGTAGCGAAGCCGCGCCCACCTGTGGGGTGAGTGCGGTTAACCATCTCAAGTACCCTTTGTGCGTTGACCGTTTTCGGCGACGGTAGGTCTGAACATCAGGTGCTTCTTGCTGGCAATTGAGACAATGGCTAGAACCATCTAAAACATCGAGATTTTGTCTACATCCTTTACAATCCACCTGCTAACATAACACATCTTTGTAGACCATGATGCGATACAGATCGTACGTTGACCTCTCCCAAAACCCATCGAGTCGCCATCATCCATAAGACTGCCATCCAGCGGGGGGAAGTCCAAACTCGCAACCATCAGATCGTTCGCAGATGGTACCTTCCAAGGTTTCAGCATGGCGCGCTTCAGGGTAAACATAAAGTGCGACAGTCGACGCTTTTCTTACGTCCACCCATGCAGTGCAATGTACATCCTGCTGCTCCCTCTAGTTGCACTGGCGTCGACGGCAAATGCCACCCCCGTGCCGAAATCAAACCTGTCGAGCCACCAAAGCGTCGCCACGTCGAACCCGTTCGGTCGGCGAGCGACTTTCAACGTTAGGGTGGCTGCGGCGACATGTGCGGCCGTCAGTATGACGGCGTGCTGCGTTGCGTTCTACTGGTTCTATCGCATGGAGAAGCGGTTTAGGCATCGGTAAGGGGTTGCATGCTATGATAGGCGATTGAGTGAATGCTGACGATCGGAGTAGACTCATTATGATCTTGATCTTCGGCGATCTCATAAAGACGACCTGGCTCTTCATCTTCGCGATTGTCTCAATGTACCAAGGCACGGTGTTTACGACTTCGTCTTTCTGCCAGGCAAGCGGTTTTTTCATCCAGTATGGCCTCGAAACTAGTGGTACGATTACAGACTTGATGTAGAGGCTGGACTAAATCATTCTACAGATTATGCCGTGCTGGTCATCTCCATACATGGCGCTTTCCAAGTCTTCCGCCCGTCTGTTGTCTCCCAGAACGACGGACTGTATAAGTATCGAAACATAGTCTATGCTGGAGCCTTCATTCTCCCCATGATGATGGCATCTCTGGCGTTTATCAACCCGCACTGGGGATACATGTCCGTGGGAGCATTCTGCGGGCTCCCTATCCGGCCATTTTGGTACCGACTCGCCCTGAACTGGATACCGCGATACATTGTCGCAGTCGTAATCCTCGCATTGGCAATTGCAATCTACGCTCACGTCGGTTTCGAGTTTCGAGCTTTTTCGAGATACGACCACCAGCACAAGACTTCGCTGTCTACGGCCACGCCCATGCTTTCAGTTGCTGGTGACGCTGATGCTGCTACTATTCCTGAATCCTCGCGGGCCCAATCTATGGATACACAGGCTTTCAAAGGGAGGAGACCGTCCTCTGTCATGAACGACATGGTGTCACTCCGCAGGCCGTCGACAGTGATGTTCGAAACCGACTTGATTCGGCCTCCACATACTCCCCTTGATCTAGAAAGCCGCGCTCAAAGCGCGCCTCCAGAGATACTACCCGTCGCCCCAGTCCCGCCATCCATGCACGTTCTCAGCGATCTCGCCCTCTCCAGCTTCAAAATCCAGCCCAGCAAGCCCGATGGCTCCCTCGAAAACAACCCCTCAAGCTCACTCTCCGCGCTCAACACCCCCGCCGCCATCGCCGAAGAGCACGCCCCCTCCCCTTTCAGCGACACCGCGCAATCCCCCATCCAACGCCAACTCATCCGGCAGCGCGCCCGGATCCACCGACAACTCCGCCTCATGTTCATCTACCCGCTCGTCTACGTCCTCATGTGGCTCGTCCCCTTCATAATGCACTGCATGAACTACGACGACCGCTGGGCCGCCCATCCCGTCTACTGGCTCTCGTTCCTCGCAACCATCTGCATCACCCTCATGGGCGCCGTCGACTGCCTCATCTTTTCCCTCCGCGAGCGGCCCTGGCGCCACATCCCCCACTCCGACGGCTCCTTCCGCGGCTCCTTCCTGTGCTGGCGGACGGAGGTCAATCCCCGTCCGCGCGTCACTCGTCCGAGTGAGGCTCTGCAGCGCGCGCTCACGGAGACGGCGCCGTATAATTACTTTTCGCCCAGTGCGACTGTCATCGAGCAGCCGGTCAAAGCGAAGGTGCCGGGGTTCCCGAATATCATGGACATGGTGCCGCGTGTGAGGAGTAGTGGGGGCAGTGATTCGCAAAGGGCGGCGGCGGGGTTGGCGAGGGAGAGGTTAGAGAAGGAGAAGGAGGATAGGTTGGTGGGGTGGAGGAGTAGGTCGAGGGTGCTTGGTGGGGCGGCGAGTAGGCATACGTTGGATGGGATTGATAGTCGGGGGGAGGAGGAGGCTGAGAGGCTGGATGTTGTGGGGGGCGATGCGGAGAAGGGGAAGGAGAAGGAGAGTGTGTAGGCAGAGTTGCAGTTGATGGTAATGAAGAGGTTGAGCAATGTTGTTGTGGTGGATAATGGGCGGAAGGGAGTGTTGCATGGGTTCTACTATTGCAGGGGCGGTGTTTGATTTCGGTGATATCTGAGGCTCTTGTGTACTTGCGAGTACCAAGAGCGAACATTTCGGTCATGTCTATGTTATGCATCTACAATAGTCTTGTCTTCCATCTAAACTTTCCCTCTCTGCCCCTCAATGCCTGTTGAACATTCACAACTCAACCGCCCTCCCCTCCTTAAGCGGCAGCCAAATCTTCTCCCACAGCTCACTCTGCTCACCAACATGATACGTCAAATCCACATCCGCCATACTCGCCTCCACCCCATCCTCCCTATCCCTCAAATTCTCCAACACCGAAACCACATTCTCCAACCCCAGCGCCTTCCCCGTCGCCTGCGTGTTCCCCGCCTCCAATCCCACATGCACGACATGAACATGAAAATGATAATACGTCGGCTGATAATGCACATACATCTTCAACATGTCCCTCTCGACCCCCTGCCCACCATACAACTCCACCGTCTTCTCCACCAACCTCTCCCGCACATGCCTCACCCACTCCCCATCCCCCTTCTTCAAGTCCCTCACGCTCCACAAATCTCTCCTGTCCACCAGCCCAAGCAAATGCAGACTCTCCATCGTCTTCCGGTCCCAATTGAGGTCCGGCAGGATGAGGAACCCGTCGCGCTCCCCGCGCTTCTCCCGGTAGATGATGTCGTCCTGCTCGGTGACGCCGTCCAGGATGTTGAACACCCAGTTCAAGCGGCCGGCCTCGCGCACCGCGGCCATGTAGGGGCGGACGTGTGCGGCGTAGATGGCGGGCGTCTCCGTGACGACGCGGAGGGGCTGCTTGGTGTATTTTTTGATGTGCTGCGGGGTGCAGGGGTAGATGAGGTTGAGTTTTAGGTCCGCGGTGGAGGGGGAGAGGGGGAGGGAGGGGGAGCTGTGGGCGAGGAACCACGCGTATATGTCGTTGGCGCCGAGGTTTTTGATGCCGGTTAGGGTGCTGGGGAAGGTGGTGATGGTGGAGGGGGCGGTGGAGAAGGCGGCGCGCTCGGCGATGAGGAGGGCGGGTTTGGAGGCGATGGTGCCGAGGAGGGAGATCCGGCGGCCGGCTTGGTCGGCGTTGAGGAGGCGGGTGGGTGAGAATTGAGGGATCAGGGATTCGACGTGGGCGGCGACGTCGGGGGGTGTGGTGGAGGTCATGCTTGGTGAATTGGGGGATGTGGTCCGATGGTTGAAGGTGGAGGGGTTTGGTTTATGGTCCGTCCTCTTTTGGGTTTGGTTGTTTGGGAGGTAGGTTGAAGAGAGATATGGCCAGTGTATGGGTGAATTGGTGTTGATGTTTTGAAGTCTGGTATATGTCAGATGTGTGTATAACTTTTGATAGTGAAGGGATTTGGTGGTGAGACAGTGAAAGGGTTTGGTATGCATTCTTCTATAATATGACCATAGTGTGATCCAGAGTTTTGAGACATGATATACTATGACCGAGTAAAGGAAACAATGTTTCCATAGAGAACATAGAAGAATTGAGAGATTCTATCGACATTGATATGTGCGATGTAAGCAGGTATGCGGGGCTGTATGAAATTTTGCAAGGAAAACATGGACAAGAATTGGTTGACATGTTCCAAGATAATGAAAACTGGAGCTTCCGACCATAGCTGGTATCGAAAATATCCACTTACCTGGCAGTGATGGCAACTTATATTGTTCCTTGAGGTGATGTCTGTCCACTGGCAGTAGGCCCAATTGAGATGGATGATGGGGGGTTGTATCAGCACGTGACCTGGTGTTGAGTCGCGTCGTCCAGTCAACCCAGGTTCCGCCAAGCCCTCTCTACCCACTGTAATGAGATCATTCCTATTAGTCTGCAGTGAAACAGCTCCCTCCAGCTCCACATCACCACCACTCCCTCCCTGACCCATCACAGCCTCGATAATTACTCTGCATATTCATAGTCTCAAAACTAGTAACCCGCGCATCAAACAAGCAACGTCTATCTCACAATGCCACCCAAACGACGAACCACAGGCACCGCCACGGCTGCGAAGTCGAACCAATCCACCCTCGCATTCCACGGCGCATCCAATAAAGTCACCAAAGCCGGCGCTCGAACGCACAATGCAAAGAGTCTGCTCAACGACACACCGCAGAAGGCGACCGAGCCTGCCGTAGCTGAGATTGCTACAACCAAAGAGGTCGAGGTCGAACCCACCACTGTGGAGGAACCCACGACTGCGGACGCTGCGATCATTGACGAAGCCGAGAAAGCTATCGCCCCGTCATCACCGGAGGACGATGAAGCGAGGCGCATAACGAAGGCGAAGATAGAGAAATATTGGAAGGCGAAGGAAGCGGAGAGGAAGGCGCCTAGAGTGCACCAGGGCACTCTGAGCACACATGAGAAGATTCTCAGGGAATTCGACATGTCTTCGCAATATGGGGTAGGTACTTTGTCATTCAGGACTCCACGTTTTTTTCTCCCATAGATAGTCCTGTTCTCTCCAAATTCATTTTGCTAACTGTGGCTTAGCCATGTACTGGAATCGCTCGTTTAAAGCGCTGGAAGCGGGCGCATCGTCTGGGATTGGCCCCGCCCATTGAGGTTTTGGCTGTTCTGTTGAAGGAACAAGAGAGCAGTGACAAGCTGTCATCACAAAGATCACAGGTTGATGAGATCCTCAGCTCGCGAAACATGGTAGTTGAGGCCGAGGCTTAGTCGTCGCTAGGTGCTTGGAATGATATATTCGAACATGGGAAACACAATCAATGGAGTTCTGGAGTCGGAAAAGGATTTTTCAGTCGATCTGCCGAACTCGGCCAAAGCGTGTGTATTTGTTCTAACGTCGCATGATACGCACAATATGAAATGAAAATTTTCAATTCAAGAATAAAGATGCTCTTGTGAACGAGGCACGGCGAAGTGAATACTATAAGTATTGTGGTGTAAGGTGACTTCCTGCTCATCGTATACCTGCTCTTGCTGTCTTGGGACAGAATATACGTCAACTCATTCCAACTAATTTACCTCTACACTCCTCCGCACCTCTACCCTTCATTGGCTTTACGCTACCTCTACTCCAATCAATGGGATGTCTCCTGTATTTTCAAGGCATTGAGTTGACTGGACTTCCCTCGACAAAAACCTACGTGATCACATGGTCCCACCTTGGGTAATTTTTGACGAGTCTGCTGCTTTCGGGGGAGATTGTGACAATGGAGCCGAGCCAGACATTTCTGGTATCGGTGTATGGAATGCTTCTACGATACTTCGTTGTGCCAGCTAACAATTACCAGGTAGTGATTGCATTTGTCTTCGCAAGCATCATGACTACAGCAGCATCGATTCTAGCTATGCTCCTCGACCAAACGTTCAATATCAAGAAAGGACACTTCGAATTTCGAAAACCCCTAAAATACTTCCGCGACAAGTTCCTTCGAACAGAATGGAGGATGAATTACGCATGGCGACCGTTTCTGGATCCGCTCATCATTGGGCTGGGAGATCAGCAGCTCATTACCGGATATGCTGTCCTGCTCAGTGGCTGGATGAAGGTTACAGCTCGCAATGACCCCCGTTGTCTCTCAGCAGTGGCTAAAGAAAGCTTTCAAGGTTGCCCAGAATAGCCTCGAACTACAAGGCGCCCACTTCGTTCTCATCCTCTACATTTGCACATTATCGTCGTCTTCTCACCTCGCCGCCCTTATCACCCTTCGTAAATACTTCCAAACGTACAAATTGATCGCCAAGATTCGCATGACGATGGTCGTCGTCTTTGCCCTCTTCCTGCTATGCTCTATGATTGCCTCGCTTGCTGTACGGCCACATCATGGCGACTACAGGGGAAGTTCCGAATCGCAACAAAGAGCTCATCGTCTATCGTTCCTTGTTCCCATGTTCTTTATGCTTGTTGGGTACTCGACGGCGCTGATATGCATCCTATATCGTCCGAGGCAAACAGAACTAGCATACCGATCCAATGACATGGCTGGACTGTCAAGCATGTCGCTCGTGCGCCGGGGGGCTTCCTTTGACAGCGAAGCTGCTCTTCCCAAGAACGTTGGCTCGTGCATCATGTTTTTCCTCGTCCTAAACCCGCTTCTTGCGTTCATCATTCAGATCATATTGATGATATTGTCTGTTGTTCTAGTTCTGAGTCAGAAGTTCTCCAGACCCCAAGACAAGAAACGCTGGTGTGGATTGGATGATGCTGGGGAGAATACATGGGAGTTCGGACAGACGTTGAGTGTGGTCATGTTGCTGTTGCCCGCTATGAGTGCTGGGCAAACATATCTGGAGGGAAGACAGGTCATCAAAGACGCGCACTGAAGCGTGCAATATTGGTTGGATTCTTCTATGTGTGTCCAACAGCTCCGCCGAACCGTATTTTTTACACCCTGCAATCTTCTTTATCACCTTCGCCGCATGTCTTCTTGACTCGTCCTGGCGAGTGAGCCCAATCAAGTATCTCGCGGATTACTTGCTTAGTAGAGCAATTGGCGGTCTTTTGCGGCTTCACTTGGTGCCGTGGATGGCGTTACGTGTTTTGCCCACTCATGTTCTTCCGATTACACAGCTGACGATTTCTTCTTCAAGCACTCTTCTCCTCTCGATCCACCTTCTTCTCCTCTTCCTCATCCTCCTCACAATGCATAGCCTCCGCAAAACCAATCCACTCGTTCACTCCCTTCGTAAACGCATCCCCACTCGCATCCACCACCCCTCCATGTCCCCAAATCACAACCTCGTCAAAATCTCCCACCCTCTCCGCAATCTTGACCTCCACCCTCTCATCCTCCTCTTCATCTTCGTCTTCTGCATCCCTCTCTGCCCTCGGCGCCGGCAAATCTTTCTCTGTAACACTCAGCACCGCGCCAGTGTAGTTCTCCGGCAGCGCCACCGACGTGCCGTACAGATGTCTTCCGCGGAAATACGCATGCTGCACTCCGGTCTCATCTGTTTGTGTTTTCCAGTATTTGTCGGCGTTGGGAACCGGGCCGGCGTGCGAGATGCGGGCTGGGAGGAGATTTGGGGTGCATTTCTTTGCGGTGCTGGCGCCGGTGGTGGATGCGTTGGTGCTGGGGGGTTGGATGGATAGCATTGTGATATTTCCCTTGCAGCTTTCTGTTTGCGATTTGGGTATAGAGAAGAATTGATAAAGGTAGTGGTTTTGAGGAGTGGATTGAGTGGGTTTGTTAAAGTGTTGCTTGGTGATGTTGAATAGTGTGGAGATAGAATTAACGGTGGACGCGTTTAGACGCGCACCAGGTAAGATCGCAGCCGCACGTGAGAGCGCGACCTTAGCAGAAAGCCATCACGATGGTACGAGTAATTTTGTTCAACGCAAAGAAGTATAAACAACCTTTCTTGATAAATTTAGGTACTAAACAGGCCCCTATTTTAATACTAAGATACTCTCTCATCTGTCACCTTAGAGAACTACCTAGGCTACACACACAAAGCTTCTCCTGTCTACCTACCTAGCCTAATAGGCTAGACGGGGCTTTCAGGGCTGCTATTGGCTACCTCTACCTTTCCATTTAGTCCAGTATTAGTCTCCGTAACATCAATTTTCCCTCTCAACACAACGGAGGCCATGCAGTAGGAATCCACGAAAAGCTGTACACCGAACGTAAGACCCAGCAACCAAAATGACACACCACCTTGCCACGAGAGAGCTCCACGCTTGACCGTATGCATAGCCGTCGGGAGAATGAAAATAATAGGCGCTATGATGTTGATGAGCGCGACAAATCTAGGGAATGGCCGATTCGGCCTCGTATCCTTGATGATGGCATACCCCCATGCCCAATTCTGTATGAAAAAGGTAGGCCAGGGCATCATCGTCGTGAACCACCACATGTCAGTCATGACTTGCGTTATCTCAGGATCCCGGTCCAGGCGGTAGGTCGTGGTAGCTAAGACCATGGCACCCAGCATCCACGTGAATATTCCAGCCGAACAAGCAGCTAGTTGGGTTGTTGCAATGATGGGATGGATGCCAGGTACCGCCCGGATGTTGTGCGAAACAAGAGCCGAGAATGGGATGTAGAACATGCCGCTGCAGAGCTGGAGGCCTACGGCCACGTGTGCGCCTTTCACATGCTTTCTCCAGAATTCGGCGGTTTGGTCGGCCGTCCAATATGCTTTCATGGGTGGTACGTTGTGAGCGGCGACGAAGGTGAACGCGAAGAGAAGGAAGGAGAATGCGCCACCTGTTGCGCTGATCAACAGCACCGTCTTCGTTGCGAGTAACTTAGACCGCGCAAGGCGATCAAAGAAGGAATCTCCAATCATTATTGATAAGGTTGGGATGGATAGTAGTGGTAACGATTGAGCTAACAAATGGTAAATGATTGCGTACTTGCGACTGGATTCGAGGTATGTACTGCATTATCCTTTCGAAGCACTCAGAGGCAAGCATTTATATGCCATGGTCTGAACGAACTTCTTGAGGAACTTGTTTCAGTATTGAACGCGCTTTGGCGGCAAGTTCGGCATGGTCGGAGATGCAATCCGAGGGTGAGTGGTCATGTAGAAATCTAGGTTCGGGATATCTCCGAGGTATCGGGCCGTGACTTCATGAATGCGAGATCATGGATGATAGAATCTCGCCGTATGTACTCCGTAGAACTTGGGAAATTGCTCAGCTGTATTGGAAGTTACTAGGGAGATGTCACGTGCGTCCTCTATCGCATATTCGACTTGAAATTGATGATTGATACAGGGTAGATGATCGTTGTCCACCACTTTTTCCTCACTAGCTGACAATAAGAGCAAATCTTACAAAACACTTAGGAAAGGGTTAGGGTTAGGAGGGTCAGGGAGCCTAGGAGTAGGGCAGGATCTAATAAAATAATGCTAAAAAGGACTTTTATAAAGGTGCTTTTGTATGTGATTTGGTCTTGTTCTCAGGTGATGAGGAAAAGTAGTGTACACCGATCATCCACCATTGATACATTAGCTCCGATTCTCGTTCTACGTAGATTGCTATGGTATGACTATTTGATTGATAGAAGGCTTAAGCTAAGTCAACAATAGATTGCGCCGTGTCCAGCACAATCTCCTGCCATCCCTTAAGGAAGTCACCTGTTTCATAATCATCATGTCTCAAGTCCATACATCCAGACGGGCATTCTTCCTTTGGCACAACGCCAAATGCTCTGCCTACATCACATTGTCATTCAGCCAAGATCTACCCATGATGGGTCATTGTACTCACCATTTGTCCCTTTTACCGAGGCGATGCGCAGCATTGTATTGGCACAGTCCTCAATCGTGGCAAATTTGACACCCTTATCTTGAAGAAAGTCGACGACTACGTCCGAGAGGATAGGAGTTCGGACATACCTGGTGAATTCAGAGACTTCAGCAAAGACACTAAGGCGCACCACATAGTCTGTCGACTTACCAAGGCGCAACAAAGTTTACCCGAATACCATCCCGCCACGCAGTGCGGCGTAGATTTCTCATCAGTCCTCGAGCTCCCCATTTTGATGCGTTGTACTGTGGTGATCCTGGCTGGTCAGCGTAAGCGGCGATGCTTCCTTTGAGAATCAGGCATCGATCGCGGGAGGAGCTCTGAGGTTGCCGTCTAAAGTAGTGCATAGCCAGCTTGGTAGTGTATACCATTCCGATGAGATTGATCTCAAGAATCCTTAAATTCGGTCTAATGGGAGGTTGCGTTGGATCTATCCACCGATTAGTAAATGAGCGATGGCTCTTCCTGCGGAATCAGACGGCGGCCGAGAGACTGTAGTGTCTCACCTTCTTGACTGTATAAGTCGTCTGTGCCTACAATTCCGGCATTTGCAATCACAATGTCGCAACTTTGGTTTGGCGAGTTCTTTACCGCAGCCTCAAAGACGGAGACTTGGTCTTCCCAGACGTGCACATCACATCTCACAAATTGTGCTTTACTATACTTCTAGTTAGCATGAGAAAGCACTGTCAGATTTACGATGCTCAATTAGTACCCTGAATGCTCGGACGCGATGCGTTCGCCGGCTTTTTCATCAACGTCTGCGATTGTGACAAATGCCCTATGCGACAGCGACTCTGTTAGCCCATGCTGCACGAATTAACAATGACTCACCCAGATTTCATGAAAGCCTCAGTGTAGGCTCTTCCAAGACCATTGGCTCCTAAATGTTACTTCAGAATGACGACTTTCTAGGATAGTAAGCCCAGCCTCGTAGCCACTCACCTCCTGTCACAATAACGGATTTACCAGCGAGCGAAGCGAGATTCAGAGGCGAGGTTGTATCGACAACGCCACCATCGTGATATATAGGAACAGACATGGCGGTGATCGGAGGCTCGGATGATTCGCTATCAGCACTGTCAAAATGAATGCAGACAATTTCTCAAAAGCTTTCCGTTCTTCGATCGCAGGACCAAATTTCAACAATCAAGGACAAGATAAGAACGGATAGTCTGAAAGGGGTGAGTTTCAGTGCCGGAGATTGTTATGGGGATTAACTCTTACTCAAGCACAAGGATCGGCCATCGCCGATAGCGAAACTGGTGTCGGCTCGCAATTCCGAGCCACAGAAGTCCATGCGAGTGGCACATGTCGATCAGCAGACAGTGTAGAGAATACATCTCTCAGTGCCCGTAGTAGTGCTAGATTTGGTCTGATCATTAATTAATACACTTCTTACATGCTTGCCATTAGTCGGGGTTATGTGGAGTGTGTATCAGCTGTCACGTTTGTTGAAGACATCGAACTGGCTATTCCTTCTCCTTCCTGCACCAAACATTCACGTTCCAAATCAGTGACTGGGCGTAAGTCGACAAAGCTATGAGATTCGCACATCTATCAGATCCGCACCCTGAGTGGAAAACGGTCGCAGAAGATCACATGAAGAACGAGGAGAAACTTTCGTACCTGTACGACTTGCCAATTGAAGAGTTTCGAAAGATACCTTACCGTCCACCGCCCCTGTCAGTGAATGTCCCCCAGCCCGGTCAGCATCTGCAAATTTCAGAAAGACAGATCCGTGTAAGGGATGGTACCAAGATTAGTCTTCGCATCTATCGGCCGATGATGACAACCGGAAATCATGTTCTGTTCTTTAACATTCATGGAGGAGGTAAGGATCATAAAGCCTTGCACGCTCAGTAGCTCGAATTAACAAACAACAATGGACAGGGTGGACTGTAGGCATGCCACAAACAGAGGAGGGCCAAAATCGTCTGATAGCTGCTCGAAACGAAGCTATAGTTGTTAGTGTGAATTATCGATTGTGCGTTCACAAAATTCGAGACACGGGATAATGAAACTGACTGGTCGAAAGAGCACCCGAATTTCCGTTTCCTTATGCACTGGAGGATTCCATCGATGCTCTCAAATGGGTACGTACTTGGCCACGACATACGACACTAGAATTGAGTGCAAGTCCTGATGACATGAAAAGACCCAGTCTAACGCAAGGCTACTCGAAGCTGATCCAAGCAGGATCATTTTAGGTGGTGGTAGTGCTGGAGCTAACGTGGTAGGTGAACGTACGTCGTGTTTTCGGGGAGAAAGCTAACGAAATCGAAGGCGGCCGTCATGGCGCAAATTGCAAGAGATGAGAACATGTCTGGTATTATTGGGCAGATCCTTAATATTCCGGTGACTTGCCATCCAGATCATTTCCCACACTCAAAGTATGAGGGCAACTCTTATGAACAGAATGCCCTTGCACCCATTGTGAATGCAGCGAAGATGCACTTTTTCTGGAACAATTACCTACCCAGTGGTGAAGCGCACCCGTGGAACAGCCCCCTTCTATCAAAGTCATTGAGAGGCCTACCACCAACGCGTTAGTCGAGCCCGGTTTCATTGGCAGTAGAGCGGCGTTGACAAAGAAACAGTTGTCCAAGTCGCGGGGATGGACCCTGTTCGAGACGAGGGTATTGCTTATGCGGAAGCTTTGATGGCTGAAGGGTAACACTACCAAGCAGATATTTGAAATCTGGTCACTACTAACTGCGACTGCAATTGACAGTGTGGACGTCAAACTAAAGGTGTATGCCGGAATGCCACATGCATTCTATGTCTATCCTGATTTTGGATCATCTCTGGAATATCTGGAGACGATGGTGGAGTGGGTCCACCAGGTATCGCAAACCACACAATCTACGCAATAAGTACAAACCGAGATTTATCAGCCAGCTCAGACACGAGGGGTTTTGTAATGCATGTGCCTAGATATAGGCCTCTGGGTAAGTAGTAAACTCTACTCGTTTGTTGGATCGACACCATACCAGCGAAAGCTCCGTTGCTTTCCTTTTTGTAATGGTAGTACGAGTGGCCTGACATGATTGGAGTGGCGGCCGGTATGGAGCAATAGCTAGATAACACAAATTTCCTAATCTTTGAACTGGTAGTTGGTAGATCTCACTCAGTACGAACATGTTTCATCATTTCACAATACCAGGCTCTCAGACATGAAACAAGTATTCCCCAGAATTCGCTTCTCCGCTTCCCCGCATTTACGCGACATGCTAAAATGCGGTCCGACCCCCGTTGTACCTACCTCCTAATTTATCTTGCCGTTACTCTCCAAAATCTCGGCACGTTACTTCTACTTCTTCTTCTAAACTTGCTGCGTAATACTCCGTAGGCTGTTCGAATTGAACTAAGAGATCGATGCAGGCCTGCGACCGGTGTCATGCACGGAAGACGCGCTGCGATCGCCAGCTTCCGCAATGTAGTGCTTGCAGGAAAGCTGGCACCCCTTGCCTCCATGCCGACAAGCTTCGACAACGCAGCATGCCACGCGGCTATGTCGATGGCATCGAGGCGAGGGTTCAGCAACTCACGGCTGAGAACATTCAGCTCCGGCAGCAGCTCCACCGCGCCTCACTGTCTTCTCAGGAGAAAGAGATAGACTCGACCAACAACAAAACGGGACCATCCGGCGCGACCGCAGGCGCTCCTCCTAGCATAAACAATACACAGCAAAAGACTGGAAAGAGCACAGACTCTACATGTAATACTCCTGCTGACAACATCATCGCGGTCGAGATGGGACATCTATCCCTGGTCGCCACTGGTGAAACCCGGTACCTGGGCTCTGGTAGCGGTATGGGTCTCGCCAATATGATTAGCAGCGCCATAAGCACACAGAGCCGCATGATTCTGCCAGCAGAATGCTCGCTATCCGATACACCCAGTCCTAGCGGCGCTCCTGAAGGTGCCACGGACTCGCACCGCCCCTCTCTCGCAGATGCCAAACCTCTTGTTGACGCCTACTTCCAGCATGCACATATTACATTCCCTTTGCTGCATAGACCGAGCTTCATGGGAACCGTCGAGAAGATCTACGCAGAGCCTGGGTACTACGAGAGCCATGCTTCTGAAGCTTTCACCTTTGATATGGTCCTTGCTATCGGGAGCTCCAATTTCAATAGACTGGATGAGCCGACAACCAGTGCATCTACGTTTTATGCCATTGCTCTTTCCAAGGTGCAGCGAGTCATGGCTATGGACGGTCTGACAGTTCTCAAAGCCATATTGCTCGTGTCTCAGCACGGAATATTTAGCAACCTCCGAGACACCGGCGCAAGTATATGGCACTTGATTGGGATTGGAGCCCGACTATGTTTTGAACAGGGGCTACATCTTGAGCAAGGAAAGCTAAGTGGCGGGACCTGGCATAGGTCTGACACCGTGACATTTGCAGATGAGATGAAGAAGAGATGTTTTTGGTGTTTGTATAACCTGGACAGGTGAGTTACCTTATACTGGGCGTTTCGTGGGTGCTTCCGAGCCAAAGCTAACTTGAGATCCTCCTCAGAATCGTTGCTGTTACACTCGGACGACCATTAGCCATTCACGACGAAGATATAGATGTGTCGCTGCCCTCCCACTTGGACGATGACCAGCTGTCTATCGAACATCATGTTGAGGTTAATATAAATCCCGATAGGCCGACACAGCTATCCCCGTTCCTCCATTTGATTCGCATTAGACGTTTATCCGGGCAGATACTGAACACATTTTACAACCGTAAGCACCGTCGATCAATCTCCATTGAGGAGAAGATGCAAGTACGCATGCGCTTCCATCGTGAAATTGTCGCCTGGAAAGCCGACACGAAACTTTTACACCTCACCAGTAGAAACCGAGATCAAACTTACGTATCAAGCTTTTTGACAGAAGAGTGGTATAATGCTGTCTATAACAACGCTATGCTGCTATTATACAGACCGTCACCGTATCTGCCGCATCCAACCACTAGTCTTGGACCAAATAACGAAGAAGCCGAATTGATTGTCTTGCTCAATACTGCAAAGGCATCTATAGAGTCATACAGCACTCTTCGTTCATTGAGAAGACTTAACTACTCATGGATTACTCTTCATGGGGTCTTCCTTGCCGGCGTAGCCTATATCTACAGTTTGGGAAGATTGATACGCGATCCGGCACAACGGGGCTCGATACCAGAGATAATAAGCATCGTCGAGGTTACGCGTGCATGTTCGAACGTCTTAGTCGCTATTTGTGAGCGTTGGAATGTTTCTCGTCGTTCATGCGATTTATTCGATAAGCTGAGCAACACAGTCATTATGGAGAGCATGGCTGCCACTTCAGGGTCACGATACAATGAAGGTCACTCAGAAAGTGGCTCAAGAACGGACTCTACATATAACCCTCTAGATTCGCAGCGGTTACCTTCTGATAGTAATGCAGACTCCGCGGCATATCGCTCGTTACTTGAGGAAGATACCTTCGGATCGACTCCTATGCTTGACCAGATTTTTTCCATGGAGGAATTTCGCCAGGATGCCCCGACATTCGACTTCGCTTCTGGCAGAGAAAGCTCTTATTCAAACGAGCCGAGGTCAAGCTTTGCTCAAGATTGGCCGTTCGAGACTTCAATTGATGAGCAAAGCGGCTTCAACTATTCAATGCATGATGATGTTGCTCAGGGACGTACCAATTGAACAGGTCTGTGATAGGCGTCGATCCTGAAGATGGAGTCCAGTAGTGGCACTGCTATTGCCTGGGCTCTGAAGATGTATTGCTATCTGATTGTTGATGCTGAGAAGGTCACTGTAATGACACTCACGCAAGGAGAGATGTTTAACACGCATGGCGGCCTATCAGGATTTTGTAAATAAAGCGACACATCTACCCGAACGTACAAGATGAAATGTATGCACATATATTCAGCAAGTACACTCTGGCAGAACCGCTGAAAAAGTTCCCCTAAGTCTCACAATTTGCTTTCTGAACCGGAGGGAAGGTTCTGAAACCGCTTGTAGAGCTCCAGCGCTGCTGGATTTGCAACTGTGCCGCTCACTGCCATATCCCTGCAGCAAACAATATGCTTGACATTGATCTCGCACTTCTTACCATTCACAGTGTAAGGAATGTCTGCTACCTCAAAGATGTACTTTGGGACGTGGCGAGAAGTGTACATCTTTCGAATAGAATCCTTCAGTCTCTGCTCGAGGTCAGCGGTGAACTTTACACCATCTTTCATCATGACAAATAGTAGCACCCTCTCATCTACGTCCCATTCGCGACGTTGACCAACGCAAAGACTATCCTTGATGTCAACGAAGGTCTCAGTCACCGCGTATATTTCTGCAGAGCCGAATCGGACACCTGACGGGTTGAGGACTCCGTCGCTGGTATACAGTCAGCTGAATACCTTTATTTGTCTCACCCGCACACTGAAGTAGGTGGTAGACTTATCAGTAGAGAATACTTACGATCTACCCAATATAGCGAGTCCGCCAGTGTCCGCGAAGCGCCGGATTAGATCACCTTGACACCACACCTTGGGCCCGTATTGTGCGAAGTAGGAAGATTCATACTTGTTGGCACCCCCTTGCCCATGGAATCTGAGTGGTTGGCTTGGGAAGGGCCTGGTACAAACTAACTCTCCTACTCCCCCAGACGCCTCGACCGAGACTGGCCCTCGCTGTGTTGGATCGAATATTTCAACCGCCATGCCGAGTACCTTTGCTTGAATCTCGCCAGGATAGACCGGTAGAAGTGGAGTGCCGCCAACAACTTGAGAGTTTCAGTTAGTGTATTGCGACATTCTTCCGCCATATGGAAAGCTTAATATATGTAGGGAAGAGAGAGACAGTGTACCTACAGGAGCCCGCTATATCAGTCCCGCCACTCATGGAAATGAGGTGGATTTGAGATGGGAATGCTCCGCCATAGAACCATTCGTACAGTTCTGTTGACAGAACAGCACCGGTAGAAGTTACAATTCGCAGATTGCCCAGGTCGAATTGTTTCTCTGAGTATCTCATTAGGTCGTGGAGTGTATGACGAATAGTTCTGGGGTTGCTTACGAGGGAGGATCCCCCTGTTTCTTAGATCAGAAAGGTAGCGCGGCGAGGTCCCAAACACGCTGACACTAATATGAATTGCGATAATTAGCCTAGCCCAAAATCCAGACTTTGTCTGAAAAATGTGCTTACCCTACATCCTGAGCAAGTTGCAATAAGATGGTGGGCGTGGGGTGAAACGGAGATCCATCGTAGAGTAGCATTGACCTACAGACGCCCAAGTTGAGAAAGTTCAACAACCACATGACCCAGGATGTCTTCGATATTTAGCCATTTCGAGGGTTCTGAAGCCTTATGAGATTGGTATGGTTGGCTTACTGTTGTGTACTGGAATACAATATCGCTCTTGCGGATATCATGTTGGAGTACTGAATCGATTCTTACTTTCAGAGCAACACCCTGAGGAATCAATATTAGCCAATTGACTTCTTCTGTGGGGCTCAGGAAGCAACTCACTCCCGCAGAATGCACAATGCATTTAGGTTTGCCTGTCTGCCATGTGTTGTCAGTGACCACATGGCTGAGGATAGCCCCCGAGACGGAACGACCACGAGGACGGCAACCTACAGTACCAGACGAGAAAACGATGAAGGCCGGATGAGAAAACGGTAGGAGATGGAAATCCAATTGCGGATCACGATTCCTCGCATGCTGCAGGAAGTTGTCGTATGAAAGACCGAAACGAATCTTTGACATTGGCATCGCGAGTTTGCAATAAGGAATTATCACTACGCCCTGGAGCGAAGGGGCGAGTTTAGCGATAGTTTCAGACCATTGTGATATGCGGTTTTGTAATTGAATGAGCTTGCCAGCGTATATGTAGCCATCGTCGGCAAAGATGAGCTTGGGATCTACCTGCGCATAACGATCCACTATGGCCTCGGGTCCTAAATCTGGCGATGATGAGCACCAGACAGCACCAATAGATAGCGTCGCAAGACACAGGCACACCGCGTACACGGAGTTGGAGATCACGGCTGCGATGATGTCCCCGGTCTTAATACCGAAATTCAGCATTGCATCTCGAATTGCTGTAACTTGCTCTCGAATTTCTCTCCAAGTAACCTTGGCTATGCCCTTGACGCCTTCTCGCACGAAATGAATTGCTATGTCTTCGTCTTTGGTTCCACGCAGAATGAGCTCGGCGATATTGAACATAGAGTCTGGGAAAAACCGCGGCGGTGGGAGTAGGTTGCCCGCTTCCGTTGCCTGTTACCAAAATCCAGTCAGCCTAAATTTCTTTGGCTGCAACGTGCGACCCTGCACGAGAAGCCTCGGTGTTTATTGTATCGCGTTTCTTGTTGTACTTGCAGTCTTTGAAACTCACCTTAGAATCTACAACACGGCCGCTGTCTTCTATGCCCCTCGGAGCCAGCTCAAGCCAGTTGTATGCCAATCTCCAGAAATCCCACGAGCTTTTCCCATCAACAGACCACTTGTGAAGCTCTTCATATGTTTGAAACTTCATATTGTGCTTCTCATTAATGAAGTCAAAAAATTTGGAAATGTTCGTATCTTTAACATCACGAGGCTTCCATAGCGGTGTTTTCATGGCAGACATGTCTGACGATATTCTGTTATGTTGCATGAGATCTCTTCTAGTCGCAGGAATTTAGTCTACGAAACGTACTCTTCTCAGAGAGAAGTATTTTGTTCAGTTCCAAGCACGTTATCCGAGTCATGCATCGAAATTCGCACTATTCTGTCGTACTAAGAAGTGCTGATACATGTGTGCCCATCGTTCGGAGGCTCACGGGCCGAAGTCACTATGAATCATGCAGCCCTACAGCTTATTTGTATTGCATATCCGAGGATCTGATGCCAAACCAGTAACGCCACCGGCCAACTGGCCCGAACGACAATTGGTAAGGGATTTCAATCGAAGGAAATTCTTCCGGAACCAAAAGAAAATATCGAAATAATTGGATCACAACCTGTCGCTCCAATCACCAAATGGGAAGTGACCGGCTTAAAACTTCGTAGCATTCACACCCGCACCTGTATCATCAAACCAGATCCTTACAATCTGTAGATGTAAAGTAGATCTCAGTCATCGAAATCCTCAATGAATTTCAAGGCCCCGATAGTCATTGGAAATGTGGCTGGTGCTATGGAAGATTGCCCGCATGCAATGTAAGTGTAAACGTACTGAGTCCTCCAATCACTTTGCCAGCTGCTATCTAATCAAGAGCTTACACTCTGTTCAGGCTGCGTCAGGTTTCGGACGCACAGGTTGACGCGATAGTCGGCGACTGGCTTTCCGAACTGAACATTGCATGGAACGCCATTCGAAAGTATGACGACCCTTTACAAGGATATGAGGTGGGCTTTCTACAGCAGCTAGATGAAAGTATCGAGATCATCGCCGAGAAGAAGATCAAGTTGGTGGCTAATGCTGGAGCACTAAATACGCAGGAGTGCACCAGAAGAGTTAAAGAAATATGCAAGGAACATGGTCAACACCATTTGAAAGTAGCATACGTTGAAGGCGATGATATATCTCATATCGTCGTCGATAACGCTAAACAAAATGAAGTCGGTGGTATAGTACATCTTGACTTCCCAGATCGCAATATCGAAAGCTGGGGAAGACAACCGCTTTGTGGAGTAGCCTACTTCGGTGCCTGGGGCATTGTCAGAGCGCTTCAAGAGGGAGCAGATATCGTTATTTGCGGCCGTGTCACAGATGCTAGCCCGGTGATTGCACTGGCCGCATGGTGGCATAATTGGCCGCATGATGCGTGGGATGAGCTTGCTGGCGCGTTACTTGCAGGACGTATGTATAAATTTCTCATCTTCCACTTTAGAAGCCTGGTTTATCCGCGCAGCAAGTTGACAAATGGTGCAGACCTTATTGAATGCGGCCCTTATGTTACAGGGGCCAATTTCTCGGGTGTTCGTTCATACCTTGACGGCTTAGTGGACCTCGCATTTCCCATTGCAGAGATCTCCCACGACGGAGCAGCAATAATCACAAAAGTTACGACACATGCAGGGTTCATCGACGAGATGAACGTGCGCGCCCAGTTCCTCTACGAGATCCAAGGCACTCAGTATATCAACCCTGACGTATCAGCTGACCTCAAAGATGTGAAGATAGTCAACACGAGTCAAAAAGACAGAGTATCAGTTTCAGGCGCTCGAGGAAACCCACCACCACCCAATACCAAGGCTATCATCGTAGCGATTGGCGGCTATCAGGCGGAAGCCACTTTCTATATGAATGGTCTTGATCTAGACGCGAAAGAGCGCTTCATGAGGCAACAGATTGAGCATGCGTTCCAAAGTGCGAACTTCAAAGAGCTCAGTATTGAGCGATATGGAGCCGCTTCTCCGAATCCCAGCTCTCAAGCTCTGGGCACTGTATTCATCAGGGTTTTAGTCAAAGGAAACAAGAAAGAAGACATTCGAGAGGATGTATTTCGTAAGAAGATATATGCTCTAAGAATGCAGTTTTATGCAGGTACGATCCTGAACACGTCAAAGTTTCGCGCCAGCAATATAGCAGCTGACGTGCATTATAGGTTACCATATGTCACTCGACTTTCGCACGATGTCGCCTAGAATGTTCATGGAATTATTTCCAGGACTTATACAGTACACCAAGCTGTCTCATCGCGTTGTGATTGAAGATCGGATCATCGACATTAAGCACCACAGGAACACAGCTCCACCGCCCGGACAGCGGCCCAGCTACGAAACAGAAAGCCCAACTGATCTCGGGGAATTTGGTTTCACCAATCGTGTACCGCTAGGGGCGGTGGCTCATGCTCGTTCCGGCGATAAAGGGGATAATTGCAACGTCGGGTTCTACGTGCGATCTGCGGAGGAATTCCAATGGTTACAGTCATACTTGACTATCGCACGAATTAAGTCCCTGCTTGGAGAAGATTACAAGGAGTCAATATCAGTGGAGCGATGCGAATTCCCTAAAATTTGGGCTGTTCACTTTCGGTTCCTGGACTTCCTCGGTGGCGGTGGGTCTAGCAGTACCAGGATCGACATGCTGGGCAAAGGCGTAGCGGAATATCTGCGAAGCAAATTTGTTGATGTTCCTGCAAAATTTCTTACTAACCCAATATCTCTTGGGTAGATATATTCAATTCACGAAGGTCACTATTTTACATATTGCTATCTTGCAGCTGATGTGATACCACGCGATTTAACCACAGCATGCGATTGACATGCTACAGTCCACGGACCCTATTGCGTATGAAAGGGTTGATGCTTGAATCTGAAATGGGTAATGGAGATATTGTGGCAAACACAGGCAGACTGACCTGACCAGGCTTGGGCCACTGCTGTAAAGGTTGCACGCATATCCTCCTCTCATCCCAATAGTGCTGATTCAGAGGTACGGGTGCTTCTGTAATAAATGGGTCGTTATCTCCTCTGTTTAGGACACGCCGAGTTCGTTCACAGTGGTACTATCAACCATCATTCAATGCAACGTAACGGCCTTTGAGCGTCCGGACTTTTTTATCCCAATTGAAACTATAGGATGCAGATGGGAAGCCACCCCAACATTCCCAGCGAGCGGACATGCTGCTCACCTAGCTCCAGTATCAGCCAATGTCCGCCCACATTTAAAATTTTGCATAGAGAAGTCTGTTAATTCGTCTGAACGTCTAGATATAACTCTTTCATCGTTCTAAGTCAGTTCGCGCTTGCTTCTGAGATTTCTCCAACACATATCAGGACGCAGGGAGCGGCTTTAGCTGTCAGTGGTCTCTTCCTAGCGGATATTATTTGGTTAAACCTCCGACCTACTACGACCGCGACGATTGGCTTGAAATCTTACCTTGTGTTCGTACGTCTTGCTGATGGACACACTACACTGTTCACCCGACGCATGGATTTACTGGCCCCACTAAAGTATTGCCACAGAGGAACTTGGTGCGAGCGCTAGATCTCAAGATGGACCTTTCGAACCTAAGTATCGCTATATATCGACATCATATCTCTATCTCACACGTACAAGATCACTTAGTTAAAACAACACGCCCTGTAACCTTGCCCGCCTTCAGTAGGTCCATCGCCTCGTTAACCGAGTTCCACGGCATTGTTTTGACCAACACTGGACTAAGCTTATCTTCTTTTGCTAATTGAACGACTCTTCGAAAATGCTCCAGGTTTCCTGTGATGTTCGAATGAATGCTTAAACCTTTAAAGATGTTCTCAACAAGGGACATCTCAATTGAGCCTCCCATCACGCCAACCTGGACCCACTTAGCTCCTTTGCCGACCAAACCTTTTACCAAAGCAGCGGTGCTCGAGCTGTTCACAAAATCAATCACGGCGATGACTGGCCCTTTAGTGACCGCTAGAATGTCCTCGGCTGGGGAGGGCCCAGAGCTGTTCACGGTCTTTGTTGCACCAGCTCTGGTAGCATCAGCTAGCTTCTCGTCGTTGATGTCAACGCTGAGGATGAATTGGTGCCCGAAAGACCTCAGTACTGATATCGCTGAAAGCCCTAGACCACCTGCCCCGATCAAGAGGACTGGTTCGTTTGGTGGAAGCGGCATAATCTTGCTGACCGCACTGAATGTAGTGATTCCAGAACATCCGAAAGTAGATGCTACGGCTGCATCGAGATTGCCCAGATCGATTATGTATTTTGGATGTGGAACGACAACATACTCGGCGAAGCCGCCGTTCTGAAGTGTGCCGAGCCCCCTTTGTGCAGCGCATAAATTATCTTCCTCCTGGCTACAGCGTGTACAGGAACCGCAACCAAGCCATGGGTAGACGATTTGGCGAGATCCTAGCGCAACTGAAGTTGCATCGGGCCCAATAGCAGCAACCTCTCCTAGTATCTCGTGTCCCAAGGCAATTGGTAATTTAATGCCGCGGTCTTTGACATAAAATCGCTTGCCTCCTCCAATATCGTAGAAGCCCTCAGCTGTATGGAGGTCTGAATGGCAAACGCCCGCATGAGTGACTCTTATCAGAACTTCTGTTCCTGTCGGTACTGGGATAGGTTGGCGAATCTTCTGCAGGGGCTTATTCCATTCCGTCAGGGCCCAGACATCCATAGCGTCGGCCATAATAGTCGAGGAGTCGAATTTCGCTTCAATTGACTTCGTACACATCATGATCTGTAGGGTTTTATTTCGTTAGGAGTGACCTTTAGGCTCGGGCCTCACATGCTCGGTTCACCACATGCTCGGTCCATGCCGACTTGGGCATATACCTTGGCAATCGTGGCGCCTCGGAGCATATCCGAAGTTTTAAACCACCAATAAGTGATCTGAGAAAAGTGCTCATCTAAGGCAGTAGATATCCGCGAATAAAGATGAAAGTGCTGTTCCGAACTTGGCCTCGGAAACCCACCGACATCAAGGCTGGATGCCAGCCATATCTGATTTGAACCTCATTGCTCTAGAGCATTGTACCGCAGCAACATCTTGTTAAAACTTTCCAACAAGTCTGTGAGCTGGCTGGTTCATTCCTCCTCAAGACGATAATCATGCCTGAGAATGCAGAAATCAGAAATGATGCGCTGGACCCGAGGAATTACAACAAGTTGTACTTGAATGGCCAATACGTCAAAGCACAAAGCAAAGATACTTATAGTCTCAAAAATCCGAAGAACAACACTACTGTCATCGAGGATATTCCCATAGCTGGACCTGCTGATGTCGATGCGGCCGTTGGATACGCCGAAGAGGCTTTTCGTGGTCCATGGAGCCAGTTCACTGCTTTGCAACGAACCGAGTGCTTTCTTAGATTGGTTACACTTCTCGATAACGAACTCACACCCATTCTCGAGATGGACTCCCTGACCTCAGGCATTCCGATTTCACTAGCTCCGATCCGGGAGCTAAACTACATCAGAAATTGCGTATTGTATTACGCGGGATGGACGGACAAGCAGAAGGGGGACTATTATCCTGCTGATGATGGTAAGGGACCATGAAAAAAGACATTCCGAATTATTATTGACATTGCCCTTTCTTAGGTTTTGTGAAATTGATTCGACATGAGCCTATTGGTGTTTGTGCCGCTATAAACCCGTTCAATGCTCCTCTAGCGACCTTCTTTCTCAAGGCTGCGCCGGCGCTTGCGACTGGAAACGTCATGATTCTGAAACCTAGCGAAAAGACGCCACTGGGATCTTTAGCTGCTAGTCCATTATTCGAAAAGGCCGGCTTTCCTCCTGGCGTTATTCAGGTCATCACAGGACCCGGCTCTACTGGCGCCCTGCTTGCCGAGCATATGAAGATACGTAAGCTCAGCTTTACTGGTTCGCTGGGAACTGGCAGATTGATCCAAGTTGCGGCTGCTCGGAGTAACTTGAAAAGAGTTACGCTAGAACTTGGAGGAAAAAGCCCAGCGCTGATTTTTGAGGACGCAAATCTGGATAATGCTCTTACATGGACAATCAATGCGATTTTGACACGAAGTGGACAACTCTGTGTCGCTGCTTCCAGAGTATACGTCCAAAGGAGCATTGCAGACCAATTCATCAAAGAGTACACACGAAGAATGGAGTTAGCTATCAACGACTTCGGCGACCCACAAGATCCAACTACCAAATTAGGACCCATGGTGGATGCGTCACAACTGGAAAGGGTTATGGGGATGGTTGAGCGAGGACGATCTGAAGCCGAACTGATTGTTGGGGGCCTCCAATTCGGCGATACAGGATGCTACATGCAACCGACAGTGTTTTTGAACCCGAAAGATGATGCTGAAATCTATCGAAACGAAATATTTGGCCCTGTCAGCATTATTAAAACATTTGACACCGAGGAGGAAGCTCTTAAGATGGCTAACAATACAGAGTTCGGTCTGATGTCCGGAGTATTTACTCGCGACATTACACGAGCTCTGCGCGTTTCCTCTTCGCTAGACTCAGGCGTTGTTGGTATCAACTGTGTCAGCTTGCAAAGTTTGCAAGCTCCATTTGGAGGCAGAAAGCAGAGCGGAGTTGGACGGGAATTCGGAGAGTATGCGCTACGATTGTTCACTGAACCTAAAACAGTTCTCATCAACATGGGCGCCTAGTTAGGGACTACAACGTTAGCTACATACACAATTGGGGATTGAGCGTGATTCGTCTCAAGGTAACTTCACAGTTGAGACTTAGGACAAGGTCGGATATAAATTTGAGAATGAAATAATGTCTTAATTACGTGGAAATCTTTTGACTAGAAATTCCCTAATATGGGCTGCAATTGCTTCCGGTTCCTCCATGGGCGACCAATGTGCACATTCGATCCTGACTTCTTCCAGCTGGGGCACTAACCCTTCACTCTTTGCTTGCAACATCATCTCTGGGACACACACAGCATCCTTGGTGCAAATCAAGAACAGGAGTGGCACCTTGATCGTGATGTTCTCTTTGGGAATTGTCGAATCAGATGCAAATTGTACGTTCGAAACAGTCGCCTTGTACATTTGCAATGCTGAAGCGAAGCCATCGGCCTTGAATTGTTGCATGAATCTGTCCTTCCATTTTGATTGGGATGCGTATGCTTTCAATGGCACATCTTCTTTGCCGAGCAAAAACTTTCGCATGGCGCCAGGGACACAAAATAGCTCTTTCATCCAATCTTGAACATCGCCGTGCAAGACTTGCCACATTCTCTCCAAGTTTCCGTCTATGATCTCGGCCGCATCAGGCGCAGTGAAAAATTCCCAGTACGCGAATTGCGGGTAGCCCATTGTTCTCTCCGTAACTTCATTTACAGCAGCAAGATTGAAGGGCTGGTTTGAGGGAACCATATATCCAGCATTGAGAAGGATCATTCCGCTGAATAGCTCACAGTTGTGAAGATAAGTGCGCTGCGTAAGGGCACTACCCCAGTCATGTCCGATGATGATTGTGTCCACGGCACTCTCATGTTCCAAAATGTCTACAAGGTCTTGGGCTTGGTCTTTGTATGCATATAGGCTCGTGTCGTCGGGTTTGTCAGTGCCCGCGTATCCTAGGCAATCGGGCACAATGATCTTGTTGGGAAGGTCCTGGAGTGATGCGATCACATCTGACCAGAGATGCGCAGAATCGGGGAAGCCATGAACGAAGAGTAGTGTGGGATGCTGCAGCGCAGATTCGTTGGGCGAAGAAATGTAGTACGTATATTTGAGGAGACGCCGCGTAACGAGCGTTTTTCGTTCGAAGTCTTCCATGATTTGGGATAAGTGGTGACACGAAAATTGAGATCACGTTTGAGGAACAATCTCAGTGCGCGTGTTGCATTGAAATAGAAGATGCTCGTTGTCATGCTTAGCTACTCTACATGTGTTCCTGCCTCGTTCCGAGGTTCATGCGGTAAATTGGTGTACTGGATTATGTTTAGACCCAGCTGGCAACGCAGCCAGATTGAAATTAGCAATTGCAATCCTTGATCCAAGGTAACAAGACAGTCACTCCTTGCTTCAGACTATCTCTGTCCGGATCCTGTCCTTGGAGGCAATGTTTCCAGGCAGCCGATACGTGGAAGACGTCGGGCCGCATTTCCTTACATCAACTGCATCTCGGATCATTCAGTTTGACAGGAGTCAAAATTAAGATAGGAAAAGACATTCGGGCCGAGATTCCTTAACATGCACTTCGTTCATGCGAAGTTCCGAAGTATGGGGGATCATCTGCGCTAACCTTTTCCTCATCAATTAGAGTAGAAATCCTAAAGAAACCGTGAATATAAGTGAACATATTTTTACGTCCTGCACACATTCGCAACTACTCTGTGAATTCAACCACAAACGACCGGCAATGGGGACCAATAGCAAATTCAAAGTTGTGATCGGGGGCGGCAGCATTACTGGCCTAACGCTGGCGAATATGCTACAGCTCTACGATATCGACTTCGTAGTCCTCGAATCTTACTCGGATATTGCACCACAGGTCGGTGCAAGCATTGGTATGCTTCCGCATGGAAATCGCATTCTGGACCAACTCGGCCTCTACCAGAAGCTCTTGGAGCTTAGCCCCCCGCTCGACTCCTTTCACTTTCGTGATCACACGGGCAAAATATTGTGCGAGTTCCGTGGCATGAATCACTCCATGGGCGAGAGGTGATTCGGCACTTTGAATTGCGTATGTCCAGTTTCTAAATTCCATTAGGCACGGCTATCCTATCATCTTCTTAGATCGCCAAATGGTGCTCAAATTGTTGTACGAGAATATCAGGGACAAATCAAAGATCCTCACGAACAAACGCGTTAAAAACGTCAGAATTACTGACGATGGAGTCCTCGTCAATACTGCTGACGGTTCTTCTTACCAAGGTGACATTCTCGTCGGGGCTGATGGAATTCATAGCACTGTGAGGACGGAAATGTGGAACATTGCGAATAAGATGGCCCCTGGTTGGTTTCCATCCGACGAGCATAATTGTCAGTTTCTGGATTCTTCACTCTACCATTTTCTAATAATCTATTCCAGCTGTTCCTGTTGACTATGGCTGCATTTTCGGAATCTCCAACCCTTGCCAGGGTATCGAACCCGGCGCATCGAATTCTGTTTTCAAGAAACACGCGTCTTACATTGTTAATGGTGGTGCCGAAGGTCGTGTTTACTGGTTTTACTTTTTCAAGTTGGCAAAGAGAGCTTACGGCGAAGACATTCCATCATACACCAAAGAGGACGAAAAGAAAATCCTAGCGGCGCGGGAAAACGACAATATTACCCCCACCTTGAAATTTAAGGACATCCTGGACAACAAGATAACTTCTGTATTGGTACCTTTGCAGGAGTATGTGTTCAAACGTTGGTACTTCAAGCGAATCATAACCATTGGTGACGCCGCACACAAGGTAAGCATTTCTCAACGTGTCGATATGCTATAGTACTCATGATTTGCAGTTCCACCCCATAGCAGGGCATGGAGGTAATGCATGTGTTGAGTCTGCAGCAACACTGGTCAACTCGCTCCGAAATGCACTTGCAAATTCACGACATGCGAAACCTACATTGAAACAGATTGAGCAGGTTTTTGCAAGAACCCAAGATATTCGACAAGCAAGGACAACGACGCTCAAGGAGCATTCGCATGAACAGCAACGAACCGAATTGCTCGATACACCTTTTCATCAATTTATTGCCTTTCATATACTTCCGAAGACTGACACTGAGGACGTAACCTTCAATTTTTCCCGCAACATGCCGCTTTCCGAGAAGCTGGATGACCCGCAACTGAAGTCGAAGGACAGACTTGTGCCATACAAGGATGAGCTTCTCAGCACTCCCACTTCTAGAGGTATCAAAAAATGGTACTTCATCATGATTTATCTATCTATCGCTGCGATGGTCCATTACGGCATGTGGGTTCATTCTGCACATTATGGCCTTGGCAAACACCTGGAAAACATTATCAAAACAGGGAAGTACTCTTACGACCCAAACTTTACTCTCAAACGTACATACATCGGAGTCAAGCCCATTGATGACTACCTGGTGTTTTTAGCGGCAGTGTATATGCCGGGCTTGAAAAGATGGGAACACAACTTCGCGAACATTCAAATGTATTTTCTTGGAATGCTCGTTCAACCAATCGCCATTTGGTCAGTCGAAGCATACCGCAAACGCAATGCGCTAACACCATTGACATTGTAAGTCATGAAACATACGTTACTCGATCGACTTTTCGGCTAACATCTCTTAGGATCACGATCTGGTTCACACTTGTCCAATGGGCAGGAATCGGAATCTATATGCCGATTTACTACGCCATCTACACCTACGTATCTGAGCCGGAAACCTACTGGTGGCCTCTCAATCGCGAGGTCAGAGTTCAATATGCGAAGTCGCTTACATGGGCTGTCATGATCGGCTATACTCTACCAACATTCTTAATGTTCTCGCCTTGGAAGGATCCAAACACCTTGCAGGTATTTGAAGCCCTCTGGCAAATTTCGCCAATGCTAGTACCGCTCCTCGGAAACGTTCTTGGACTTGCTTTCGCAAAGTGTTACAATCTCAAACCCCGCTCGCCAAAAGCCAAAGAAGCTTTTGCAGACGTGACGCATCTCAAGAACCTCTATCTCATTACAGGTACTCTTGGTTTCGTTTTGCACGTGTTTTGTATCACCAAGATCCTGTCTTCGCCAGACTCGAGCTTGAAATCAGTCTTCTGGCCCGATTTTGCGGCAACGCCGAAAGGTCTTGGGGAAGGTCTGAGTTCCATCTTTTTGGCAGATTTCTGGGGTTTCTTCATTGCTACGTACGTGTGGTTGTGTATGGCTGTGTGGGACTTAAAGCGTGTTGGACGAACGGTCGTCAGCGTCGGGAAAGCCTCGACCCTAATTGCCTTAGGTTTCCTCGTTGTGGGACCCGGCGCAACTATGTCGGCGGTCTGGTCTTGGAGAGAGGATCTTTTGGCTACCACTTGCTTTGCTGGACGATTGAACTGACATGGAGTGATTAGCCAAGTGGATCATGGTGGTTGTAAGCGTTCAATAGTCATGGCTTGTACGGTCCAGTGTAAAGTAGCGTACAATCATTAAAGTTTGATCGAGTAAAAATCTTACTATAGTGCATTCGATGAACAGACAGTCACTGTTGATGCTAAGACAACTCCTGGTCGACGTGCTGTTAATAATGACGAATCTACTGGCATTAGAAATAATTACAGAATTTCTGCCTTCACTGAGACAGCTCTGAATACTAAAGCTTAAGGAACGGAATTCCATCCGGTCATTGTGCAAGAACGAAAGGAAGTAAATATATCATAATGATAAAATTGTGAGAGGAAGCTGCTAAGAATGCATAAATTGTGGTCAAACATTCAAGTTCGTCCATGCAGTTCACAAAATCATCTGCTATTTCTTTTGTGATGATTATTTAATCAATGTCCCTATGGATAAAAGTCAAAATGTACAAGAGTGCTCCCGTTACATGCCACCGTTTCATCAACCCAACCTTGGCAAGCGGTTCCTGTGTAGCAACAAACGAACGGTATAAGAAACGGCTCGATGTCAGCCTAGAGCAGCCACTGCATCGAAGAACGTGGTAGCGGCCAAGGTTGAGAGGAGTGAACTAGCCTTTGAGCCACGCAACATGTATAGTAAGATCCCAAGTGCGAAGACGGTCGAAAGCCTTGACTTCAAGGTACTGCTTGGGGAAAGTTGGAAATATTGTCTCCTGCCATCAAGTTGGAAGTCGTGGATTCCGACAGCGGAAGACCTACAAAAGAATCGCTAGCCTTACCCGAAGAAGCAAAGAGATCTGGGACAACATTTGTATCGAAGAAATCCCACATGATGCCTGGATCAAATCCTGATACGAGCGGATCCTCCTGGGCAATGTTTGACGAGGAGCCGAAATCAAGGGACTGGCTTAAAGCCCGTGGGTGGTGACGGGCAGCTTCTACGGAACCCCGATGGACAGGGGAAAGCATGGTACTGAGTGGTCCACTTCCACAGATTTGCTTAAGAGAGTCGAGCATGCGCCCAATTATTGGGAAATGTATCTGCACCAGCTCCATGCTCTTTATTAAGTGACGAAGCCAAGTAACCTCATGTCTCATCTCGTCGAGGTTGCCGGCTTCATTGAGGTGTTCAATCATGGTAGTTGCCGCCACTACTGCGTTGTCGAGCATGATGGAAGGTATCTTCTCCGTCCCAAATACTTCTCGATAGGTTACGACCAGGCGAGCTGTACGTAGCGCATATTGATAGATGATACTCTTTGAGTCGGTGGCTGTCGCTGGAGGCGACACATCGCTCGTAAGTTGCGAGCGCCGCCGCTTCCTGGTATTTTGAGGTGTAGCTAGCGCTTGCCTCACGAGATTTTGTACTTTGCAGTACTGGGAATGTAAACCGTATCCGGCCAGATCCATGTTTGTGAGCCCCCTATCGTCATATGTCATCCCTGGAGGAAGGTCGTCATACCACTCTTCTATCTGTTTCAGGAGTTTGCGTAATGAATCAGACCTATCAAAGTCGCTGATGGACTGTTCATTCAACACATGAGATACTTGGGCCATAGGCACACAAAGTCCCACCCAAGCATTTAGCCATGGAGAATCCGAACCGAGCCCCATCCTAGAGCGTGAAGCAGCGGCATTCATGAACGATTGCGGGATAGAGCTGGGTCTTCCTAGGTACAATGTCCACACTCCTTCATACACGATGCAGGCTGACAACAATGCGTAGGCGAGGTTGCTTTCATTGTTCGAATCTTGAGCCTTTCTGGTAAGTCCCGTGACAGATGCAAATTTATGCAAACCAAGATCAGACAACATTCGGCAAGCCACGCCTACGACCAGTCAGCAGGCATGGTTCAACTAATAAGCTTTTCCACTGCCATAACTCACCACAAAACATCCAACCCGTCCTATCATTACCCTGAGTTACTTCGTACTCACTCAGTAATAAGAAGCCCTGCAGATTCGCAGGTGTTGGCTCGGTTAGCGCTCTCAGTGCTCCCTCCTTAGCCCACTCGAAATATCTGGTGCCCAAGGCACGTACGGATGCAGAGGTACTTAGCCGAGAGCCGCATGCTAACATTGCATCTTCTAAAAATTTCGAATACCATCGAGATTCGGTAGCAGTCGCTTGATGGGAAAGGAATGCATCCTTGTTTACAATGTCGACCCACAGTGTTTGATATTTGAAGAAGGACCGAAGAAGATGATCTCGCAAACGAGGAGAACTTGCATCCAGTTCAATGCCGACCGTATCGACACATTCGGAAGAAGTGAGACGAGACTCCTCACCCGGCGAAGCAACATGGGGGTGGGACGTTGCGCCGTAAAACGTCGGCGATTCACCGCGAACGGTCCGAGGAGACTTTGCGCTGATCCCCATCGCCACGGGTATATTTGGATGGGAACCATGGGATCCGGCTGAAGCGGCCGGAGTGGCCGGTCTGGGGATCTCGCTGCTGGTAGGTCTGGTATCATCTCGCTGTGTGGTGCTTGATCCTGTCAGCCATGGGCCGAGTTGGAAATGCCAAACAACGACATGATTCGGGGCAGTATTGTCGTCCGCCAATATTTATCATTAAAAAAGAAGACCCTTCGCCCGAAATAAAAGTGGGCAATTGGCGAATAATGAGAAGAGATACATACTTTGGACTGCATGGTAGCACAGGCGCGTCTGAAGGCGATCGAGCATCATGGTCATTGGGCCTCCAAGCCGAGCTATTGAGCACGTCCTGACTAAGAGCCTCGAGCGATTGTATGCGTTGTTGAAGTTTGTCAATGAATTTCACGCTGACAGATCTGCCTCGAGTAGTTGGCATCTATTGACACGTTCGCTAGATGGGATGTGTATGGAACACCAACCTTCTCCCATCTGACAGAGGGTCGAAAATGCATTCTTGTCCGGCCCGTTGACACGGAGTGCACCCTTGATCCGACGAGGCTGATTGCGCATCGCACTGATGAGGACATCAGCATTTTGTGGGGAAGCTGGGGAAGCTGGGGAAGGGGGAGAAGCGGGGAGCTTGCCTTGACCTTGCGTAACCGACAACTGTGGCAGGCAATGGTAGCACGTTGTGATGTGCCACCTGCAGATAGATTCCGGCGCGGTTCCACCATGTCTAAAAGAAATTTGGAGGCCGCTCGATAGCTACAAAGAGTATATCATGACATGAAGACTTCAAGGACGGGGGAAAGGCACAGCTCGATGTCCGTCGAGTCAAGCTTGGAAGCCTCGAAAGTGCGGGGAACAGCCATTCGGTCAACGCCGGGGTGGCGGCCATCCTGCGTGCCCCTTTTGCCCTTCCCACACTTTTCCTTCTCCAAATTCCCTCGCCCAGCAGGAAACGCAGCGAAAGAGCATGGAACTTGGGGCCATCTTCTCTTTGTAACATGTGAGGGCATCCATCCGCCCTGCCCGGCGTGCTTGGTATTGCGCGTTGGGCGGCCGTATCCACAAAAGTCGTAGGCCTGTTCTTCAGCCTCAAACGTGGACAGGTTTTCCCGGAATTGCCCATCGCCTTCCTTGCTTCGGATATGTCGGTCGGCTTCGACCGAAGGACCAGGTCAGGTGGAAATCCGGAACAGACCACCGATATGGCGCATCTGCACCGGCAGAGCTCCATGGCACAAGCAAAGACAGAACAAATCATCAAAATGAGGACATACGAAATGGCATCAAGATCATCGCACCTTACAAGTGCATCGCACGCGCATCATCGCTTCCTGCCCATCACACCATGTCGAACACTGCAACCGTGGATTACGATGCCATTGTCATTGGCGCGGGCTTCGGCGGCATCCGCTCCCTTTGGGAGTTGAAGCAACTCGGCCTGACCACAAAATGTTTCGAGGCTGCCTCCGACGTGGGTGGTGCGTGGTACTGGAACCGCTATCCCGGTGCGCGAACCGACAGCGAAGCCTGGGTCTATCTCATGAACTTCGCGCCAGAGCTGAGGGAAGAATGGGAATACACCGAACGTTACCCATGTCAAGACGAGGTCCAGCGCTATCTAGGCCGTGTCGTTGGTGAGTAAAGCGCTTCCCGCGTTACAATGGACTTAATCATATTCTAACATTGGAGACAAGACCGCTTCGATCTGCGCAAGAATATTCAATTTGATACTCGGGTCAAAGCCGCGCACTACTGCGATGGGGGAAACTTCTGGACTGTTACTGCCATGGACGGTACATCCACGACCTGTCGCTACTTTCTAGCTGCAACTGGGCCTTTATCGATTGCTAAAGATCCTCCCTTTTCCGGGCTTGAATCATACAAGGGCGAGTGGTACCAGGCAGCCAACTGGCCCATGCAAAGCGTAGACTTCCATGAAAAGCGAGTCGCTGTCATTGGTACCGGCGCTACAGGAGTCCAGATCGTGCCGAAGCTGGCTGCTGCTGTGAAAGAGTTGACCGTGTTTCAGCGCACTCCAAACTATGTGCTTCCGGGTCGCAATTACGTTTTCGATCAGTATCAGGCAAGGAGTATCAAGCAGAACCGTGATGCTACTTGGGAACATGCGAAATCGCACCCGTTTGGTCTGGCGATGACAGCATCAGGAAAATCTGTCAAAGGTGTGGCAGATCCCGGCGACATACGAAAAGCCCTGGACTACGGGTGGGAGACCGGCGGGTTCCATTTTCAGTTTGAGACTTTTGACGATCTATTGACAAACCAGGAGTCCAACGACATTGCTTCAGACTATCTTCGTGAGAAGATCCGTGCCATCGTACAGGACCCAGATACTGCAGACAAGCTTTGTCCCAAACACCCCTTCATGTCGAAGCGACCGCCATGTGGTCACTTCTACTATGAATCTTACAATCGGCCTAATGTCAAACTAGTTGACATCCGCCACGATGATATAACCCTTTACGAGAAGGGTCTACGCACAACTTCTGGAGCTGAATATGAGTTTGACATCATCATTTTTGCCCTAGGCTTTGACGCTGCTACTGGTGCGCTGAGTGAAATAGACATCAAAGGTAGTCAAGACAAGTCACTCAAGGATTACTGGAGCCAAAAGGTCGAAACCTTTGCTGGAGTGCTCGTCCCTGGCTTTCCCAACATGTTCTCGGTCTGTGGGCCTCACGTACCATTCGGGAACATGCCAGTGGTCCTGGATATTCAAGTGAATTGGATCGGGAAGACCATACGCCACATGGAGAAAAACAAATTCGCCAGAATCGACGTTTCTCAGAAAGCAGTGTCTGCGTGGTCTGCTCACCTTCATCAAGCATTTGAGGACACACTGTTTGCAGAATCTGCAAAGAAGGCTGGCGCCTGGTTTGTCGGGGCGAACATACCTGGGAAGGCCAATGATGTCTTGTTTTATTTCGGCGGTGTTCCTACTTGGAATTCTTGGCTGGACAATGAGACCGAGTCGTCGTGGGCGAATATGAGCTTTTCTTCTGGTATTGCAAAGGAAGCGAAGAGTGGTATTTCAGAGCAGCCTGGGATCCAGAAAGATTCTAGCATCCATGTTACTTGACTGCATCTGATGGGTACCAAATAGTTGTGCTCAACATGTATTCATGTACTTGTTTCCTATCCGGCATGATATACGCAGAATACTAGTTCTTACATGATCCAACATAATCTTCCTGAATTGAAACTGTAAAGGATGCCATGACGTACCATTCTCCCTTTGCCGACTGCTGAACCACTTGTACCTTCTTTTATCCTCCATCTACTTGCAACATTACATCAGAGCCGGAAGAGTGTAGTATTAAACTCACGAGTACCTGGTAGAGCAGTAGTAATAAGTGAATACATTGCTCATTATTGCAAAACCGCCGATCCGTGTGCACTCGAGTTTGCGCGGCTTGGAGCCTGTTCAGCAGCTACGTGCTGCGAGATTGCGCCTTTAGACAAAGGTAACTAAGTACAGAGTGTTATGATGAACGGCTCAACGACTTGAATTAGAAAGTAAATGAGACCAGCTTTGATCTCTGCACTCTATAGCCGCCCAACAGGAGTTGTCTTCACCTGAAGCTGACCCTCTCACATTCCTCCCCTGCCACCCGAAACCTTCAAGTAATTAATCCCCGGGGTTTCAAAATCAAGCATTTGCGTGAGCTTTGCTTACCATAACTGTCTGTACATTGTTAATTACGTTTCCGTCAGTCAGGATTGAACTTTCAACTTACTTGTCCGCTCACGTATGAGAACAGTGGAGAGACCACGGCTAGAATTGCTAACCCAGCATCTCTAGTCGTTCCAACTCTTCTAAGAGGAATGTCCCCAATCCTACAAATACGATTGTAAGGGTCTGCTCAAATTGTGTCCGGGGGAGGCTAGTAACACTGACCACTTCTCTTCTTCGTCATAACCACCATGAAATCCAACGGCATGCTTTGCGCCGTCGGGCCGGATAATGTACTCACCTTTAGGAGCTTGTGTAAGTCTGGTCTTGATCGCTCCAAAAGCGACAGCTATAGGTAAAACATGTCCCGTCAACGAAAAGGTGCGTTATAAGAATGGAGATTGCATACTGTTGGCTCGCACTCCGTACTCTGGTCCCCACTCCTGAGCTATTGTTTTTGTAAGCCCTACCAGGCCGGCTTTTGCAAGAGCATAGCTCGCCTGTCCAGCGTTCCCGTAAATCCCAGACGTGGACGAAATGTTGACGATCGATCGTGCTTCGCCGTCTTTCACCATGAAATATGGAGCTGCTGTTCGGAGAAGCTTGAACGGGGCGGTGTTGTGTAAGGCAATGATGGTTTCTTTCTTCGTCAGGGAATGGTTCGGAGATGATACTTTGGAAAGAACAACTCACCCCATTGCTGATCTTTGATTTTCTCAATAGGGTCGTCCCAGGCGTAACCTGCATTATTGACGATAATGTGGATTTTACCACCTCCAAACTCTGCGGCTCTTCTAACCAGGACTTCGATAGCTTCGTTCCTCGTTATGTCTCCAGCGACCGCAAGCGCCTCTCCTCCATCTGAAATGATTGCCTCCGCAGTTTTCTCAGCCTTCTCTAACTCTAACGTAAGCGACTACCTTGCTTGAGGATGTCAGTGAAGCAAAAGGTACCAGCATCTAAGTCGGCAATAACAACTTTGCAACCCTCCCGTGCAAAGATCCTGGCTGTCTCCGCGCCTATGCCCTGGGCTGCTCCTGTAATGATGGCTACCTGCCCTGTAACTTGGTGAGTTCATCCGTGCATTTGAGCCATTCCGATCGTACCTGCGAGCATTCCTCGAGGAAAGTTGAGTCGGGGAGTATCAGCCATTATTGTTCTACGCTATAATCGCCGCACAATGTCAACAGCACTGTTGTATTGTAACTGAATTGGCCCCGAAACAACATACTATACATCACATCATTGACGCATGATCTTACTTGTTGCTGGTATGCGCGGGCAAGTATTGTTCGGCACGGGTTGGATATCCGAGCTTGGTTGGCCCGGCGTCGGCTAACATCCGAGAGACACTCACCCTTCATGCTAGTTGCTGAATCAGGGTAGCCATAGCCATTGTTCACGGCTGAGTGTATACTCGCAATGTGATCATGTGACTCATGTGATGATACCTATCGATGCAGATAATAGTCTGGGTCCGGCGACCATTCCATGGTACTGCGGAACAGTTCAAAAGTCCTCAATCGCCTACACGTCGTCAACTTGCCTTTCTCTCAATGTCCACTTCCAAAGTCTGTTCGAGACATGAATGCCATGGACGCCAAAATCAATGGAAATACTGAAGCAACAGAGTTCGATGTTCTCATCATTGGTGCAGGCTTTGGTGGATGCTACAGTCTCTACAGACTTCGCCAGTTAGGGTTCAAGGTCCACCTTCTCGAAGCAGGCTCCACACTTGGAGGAGTCTGGCATTGGAATAATTACCCGGGAGCTCGTGTGGATTCAGAAATACCATACTATCAATTTTCCATCCCTCAAGTCTGGCGCACTTGGAAATGGTCAGAGAGATTTCCGAGTGGAGATGAACTGAAGGCTTACTTCAAGCACGTTGACACTACGCTAGATCTATCCAAAGATATCACATACTCTGCGAATGTCGTCGAAGGGCATTATATCGAATCCGTGGCAAAATGGACAATCTCGACTGAGAATGGTCATAAGGTGAGGTGTAAATACCTCATTTGCGCCACCGGGAGCTCATTCAAACCACATTATCCGGATTTCAAAAATCTAGGGATGTTCCGAGGCCAGCTTATTCACTCGACCTCTTGGCCGGCTGTCGCAAACACGAACAACACACGGGTCGCAATAATCGGATCCGGTGCAACCGCAGTCCAGTGCACACAGGAGATAGCAAAGGTTGCAGCTCATTTGACAGTATATATTCGTACTGCAAGCATATCGCTTCCAATGTTTCAACGCTCTCTGAGTGAGCTCGAAGAACGGGTCAACAAGTCCACTTATCGGCGGATGTTTGCGCATTGCCGTGAATCCAAATCCGGTCTTGGATACGATGTCCCAACCGGTTCCATTCACGATTTGACTGATAAGGAACGTGAGGATCTATGGGAAGAACTTTGGAATCGCGGTGGCTTCAATTTCAACCAGGCAAACTATCGGGAGTTCTTGGTGGATCAGAAGGTCAACAAGCTCATGTACGAGTTCTGGGCGAAGAAGACTCGTCCGAGGTTGAAAGACCCCGTCAAAGCTGCGTTTCTCGTACCTCAGAAGGCACCGTTCGCGTTTGGGACGAAGCGAAGTAGCTTGGAGCAAGACTACTATGAATGTCTCGATCAAGCCAATGTCGACATCGTAGATCTGAAAGCAAACCCGATCAGGGAGTTCACCGAGAAAGGAATTATTTCTCAAGATGGCGTGGAGCGCGAATATGATACAATCGTGATGGCAACCGGTTTCGACGCGATGACTGGCAGTCTGATGAACATGAATATTCATGGGAAAGATGGCTTGACATTCAAAGAAAGGTGGAAAAACGGGGTGTTCACCCATCTCGGTCTGTGTAGCAGTGGCTTTCCGAATTTGTTTATGGTCTACGGACCTCAAGGCAAGTACCTTTCGTTATCTTCGGCCTCAAGATCGTACATGACCACTGACGGGCGAGACAGCTCCAACTGCATTTACGAACGGACCAGTATTTATCGAAAGCCAAGTAGACATAATCATGGATCTGCTTGAACGGCTTCGAGGGGAAGGCATAAAGTCAATTGAAGCACGGCGAGATGCTGAAGAGAAATGGAAACAAGCAATTCAAGACGCCAACAGCCAGACTTTACTGCCGTTAACTGACTCTTGGTATATGGGAGCGAATATACCAGGGAAGCCGCGAGAGCAATTAAATTATCTAGGTGGCATTCAAGAGTACGAGCGTGAATGTCGTGAGGCTTTGGAAACCTTCCAGGGATTTGATATAGTCCATTGAGTTTATACCAGTGATAGAATGGTCTAAGATAATTAACGACATGTATACAAATCAAAGGACTTTTGATTATTACTGGTTCTAATGATTGTTTTCCTGTTCTCGCGTCCTCGATGGAGAGAATTGGAACATCTAGTGCCGAGATTTCATCGTAGATCCAACTGCGCACACCCGAAACTATACTTCCTTTCTCTTGGGTGGGTTCTGTTGTAGTAACATACGCCTTCTTGCTACTGCGTGTACCGCCAATCGTTTCATGGTATCTGAATTCTTGACCCTCAACCCATGTATGCGAGTGTATGACGTACGGTGGTTGCGATTTGGAATTGTAGAAGATCTGATAAAGGTGGTGGTTCTGAGGAGTGAATTGAGTGCGTTTGTTAATGTGTTCCTTAGTAATGTTCAGTAGACGCGTTTAGACGCGTCCTAATTCCTTCTTGTCTGGGTACGGTTGCAGCTGTACATGAGAGCGCAACCTTAGCAGAGAGCTATCACGATGGTAACTTTGTTCAACCTCCACTCCGATCAGCCTTCTAACTTGTTACGAGTCAGGGCAGCAATAAGCTTTCAGCGATGTTATCTTTCAGCTCCCGAATAGATCCGGCCTAGACTTTTTTACGATTGACGCGGATTACGCTCGCCTGAATCTGCAAAGCGAGGGGTCATTCTGGAGAGCCACTTAATTGAACTTTCTACCATGACAAGGTGCAACCCACGCGTGGGATGGTCGCAAGAGTAGCTATCATGATGGTTGATCGTTATTGGTTTTTTTGGGCACGCCATATAAAGTCGCCGTTCGTCATTAGGCTGTTCGGCGAGGCAGAGGGCCTGACTTCAAAATAGCTTTGGATCAAGGGCACTCAGATAAAGCCACAAATGCCACGGAAGCGTCTACGCCGATATGTTGCCGAAATGCACGAGGTGCCTTGCATCGAAAATGCACGAATCTACTCACCGACTCGAGCCCTGCAGATGCTCGATAGCACAGAGGGGTTATATTAGCTATAAGTCTATAACTAATCAATAATGCCCCTCACTAAGGGAGCTTTCGGGGGCTTGTGGGACCCTTGTTGCTGTTGTCGCGGTTGCTGTTACAGGGTCTTCATGGGCAACGATGCTTTTTCGACAGAAGATCCAGCTCTACCTACCTGAAAGACCAGAATCACCACTTCTCTCGAAGCTTGCTGGTTTTTGGAAACAAGCACTTGTCAAGAGCTTCAATTCTGATACAGTGGCTTCTACGTGAAAACATCCTTAAATTGGGTTAAGCGCAACGGTCGCACCGAAAGCGCGACTTCGTCAACGTCATCGATTGCCCGAAGTAGCAAAGTACCCTCGCGATACTGCACTTCAAACAAATTCCACACGCATCTCACGAGCCCGGCGCATTGCTCCGCCGGCTTTCATCCTTCCGACTGGATGCGAAAATGCTGGTACCTGTTTTCCTTAAGATGCTTCTGCGTCGCGGAGCTGCGCGGGGCAGCCTTTTTGTCCTCGTCTTCAACTTTCATCTGTATACATTCCTGGGCAATCGAGGCTAGATCAGGCGCGCTGGATAACGCCTTGTAACCTTGAGGAAGTCTCCATCTTTGCGAAACTGCACATTAACCGCTCAATTACACGCACATAATTTCAATTGCCCGTTTACGACTAACCACTACGCGGCCATGGCTATCACAAGTCCTTTTTATGGGGCAGCTTCCTCAATACTGAACACAGTCACATCCCAGGCTTGGGATCCCTTGGTCACACTCTGCAGAAACGGCACCCTCTCGCAGCTTAAGCAGATCCAGCTGGGACGATTGGCCTTGTACGAAACTAAGACAAGCAAAGCGCCCCATGTATTCGGTGTGGAAACAGAGGGACTGCCATCTGTCGCACTGAATGTACATGATGAGAAGTTTTGGGTCCGGCTTGCGCTGTTTGCAGACATGGTGCGCCCAATTGGTCCATGGGATTGCGGTCTGTTCAGCTAATTAGGATCTCAGGGTTTCGCAGAAAGCTACATGCTGGGAGAAGTGACCTCCTCAGATCTCACTAAATTCTTTGAAGTACTTATTCTCCAGCAATTGCTTTATGTGGATTGAACTAACCCATATAGCTCTTTATCTTGAATCGGCAGTACCTCTCGAACGGGTCGACCATCACCTCTACGGTTACTAATGGTCTCGCGGGGTTGGTTCGGGGGAGTAACAATCTCAAGAACGCCCGTCTGAACATATCTGCTCACTATGACATCTCTAATGAGATGTTCGCCGCATTCCTCTCCCCCGACATGACCTATTCGTGCCCGGTCTGGCTACCAAAATCACACAGCGAGTCTGCCACCGAAACATTGCAAGATGCTCAGGTGCGAAAGTTACAAAGGTTTATCGACAATACCCACATCAAGTCGACCGACCATGTCCTGGAAATCGGCACAGGCTGGGGTTCCTTCGCAATTCAAGCAGTCCAACGGACTGGCTGCCGTGTCACATCCGTCACACTCAGCATTGAACAGAAAGAGCTCGCGGAGGAGAGGATACATGCCGCTGGTCTGAGCGACCGCATAACCGTTTTGCTCTGCGACTACAGAAACCTGGAAACCACCGCGCCAGGGCCGTACGACAAGATTGTTTCGATCGAGATGCTAGAAGCCGTGGGCAAGGTGTACCTAGAAACGTATTTCAGATGCATCAACAAGCTCCTGAAGAAAGACGGAGGCGTGGCTTGCTTCCAGTGCATCACCATGCCCGAAGCAAGATACGACGCATACGCAAACTCAGACGACTTCATCCGCCGATACATCTTCCCGGGCGGCCACCTCCCAACCGTCACGCAACTTGTCAATTCCATCACCAACGCATCAGGCGGAAGCCTGGTAGTCGACAACATCGAGAACATCGGACCGCACTACGCCAAAGCTCTACGTCTCTGGAGAGACGCGTTCCTAGAGAACTGGGATTCGCGGATCAAGAAGCAATTGATATCCGAGATGGGCAAGAAGGGAGACAGCATGGACGACGAGAGCGCAGAGGTGTTCAAGCGGAAATGGGACTACTATTTCCGGTATTCCGAAGCTGGGTTCTCGACGAAGACGCTCGGCGATGTGATCATCACTGTAGGACGGGAGGGCGCAGTGCAGATGATAGAGGACGTGCCGTTGTAGTTGAGAGAGAAATTCTCGAACGCCGGGAATAGGATTCCGATGTTGTAACTTTGACGTCGAGAAAAGAGAAAGAGGATGTAATGATATCCAATGAAATAGACATAATCCCACTCTTGCCCGATGATCCCACCTCAAATGTAGCGTCACTCCACATTCATATAACACATATATTCAAAAGGCAAGCCCCAGAAATCCCACCATCTCTTCTCTCCCCCCTAACCCCAGCCCGCCTGCCTACCCTCCCGCGACCCCAGATCTGGGTCCATGCCACCCGCCTGTGGCGTTCTCGACACTCGAGCTAAGTATCTTTGGTGTTTGATGGAACGGTGACGTCGTCACAGATCACGCGATGTCTTACCTAGATCAAATCTCACCGAGGATTGTGACATTTTGGGATCCCAGCGCAGCGTACGTATCAGTATTGAGGGAAGGTATGGTGGGTGGTATATGATATTTATATTGCACATGTAAGTATGTATGATAATGACGCTCACTTAGAAAATGCCATTTATCAACCAGACCATCTATCTCTATGCGACACATCCGCGATGCAAACACAGTTGTACTCCCTTACAACGATCCGAACTTTCACAGTTTCGGAGAGCTAGGCTTGTCGGCATTGTTGGAGTTGGAGGATTCGGACTCTGGGAAGGCGACGAAGCTTTCCTCGCCGTTGAACTTCCTGTTGAAGGGGAGGGTCAGTCGGTGTGTTTTCTCTTGTTTGGTGGTCGGTTTGTATGGGGGCGGTGTTGGCTTTGGGGGGGTAAAGGGTGTTGGCTTTGGGAAAGGGATTGAGAGGGATTGAAATTGTGAGTAGATGGTGGAAAGGGGGTGACTAGGAATGATCGACTAGGAATGGTTGACTAGAAACGAGTGACTGGAAAAAGGTGACCGGAAAAGATTGACTAGAATAGAGTGACTGGCGGAAAAAGCCGACGGGAGAGAAATGACTGAAAAAGAGTGACTGAAAAAGGTTGACTAGAACAAGGTTGACTGGAAATGAGAAACAAATCGTGACTCAGGGGTCGCTCATGTCGTATCCGTGTTGTTCGGATTCGAGTATCCTTCGGCGTCTTCGTAGTCCATCCTTTTATTTGGCTCGTAGAATGGCTTAGGGGCTTCAAATGACCATCCTTTCGGCGTAGGCTCGGAGACCTTCCAGTCCTTCCTGTGAAAAGGGAATTGCCTATATGGAAAAGAAAAAACGAAAAAAGTAAGAAAATAAACTGACTTTGACAGGAATAAAGAAAACAACATAAGAGATGGAAAAGAGACGCAAAAGGAAAGCTGAGAAACTAGGAAAGGAAAGGAAAGGCATAGGAAAGGAAAAAGGAAAACAAAGAAGAAAAGCGCAGAATCAATTGACACAGGGGAATACCAACTTACCATCCTCGTTCAGCCCCATCCTTGAGGAACTTCGTCTCGGAGTTGAGCACGCAATCCCACTGCCCAATCACCTCTTTCGACTCCTTACTCTTCCGCTCAAACCTCGACACACCCGCCGTGTAGCAGTAGAAATCCTCGGTATCTGGATCATCCGGCATCACGCCAGTCAGCGCGCGCCCCGCGGCGATCATGGTCCCCGCGTGGGAGCAGATCAGGAGGGTTTTGGGGCCAGCTGGGTCGGCGTCGAGTGCGGAGACGATCTTGTGGAGGGCCTTCTTGACGCGCTCGTGGAGCTCGTTGATGAATTCACCGTTAGGGTTGATCTTGACGGCCGTCACGTAGTCTTGGTCGATGTTGGCGAAATGTTTGTTGAGCTCCTGGATGCTGGGTGGGGAGGGATGTGTCCAACCGGCGCGGCCGTAGAATTCACTGCGTAATGTATTAGTGTATGTGCAGATGGCATCTTGGAATGGTTAATGCATATTGGTGCTTACCCTACGCCGTGCTCGATGCGGATCTTGCCTCCCTTCAACCTGCCATTCGGCTCTTGGAAGAGTTTGTCTGTAGTTGGCTTCAGCGTCTGGAGACATCGATACATTGGACTGGAATACACGGCGTCGATCGGTGGCTGGATCTCCTCCAGGAGATACTTTGCGAGTTCATGTGACTGGTCCACGCCATGGGAGGTGAGAGGGGGGTCGCTTCCGATGCCTGTTGGGTGCTTGATGAAGCTATTGGGAGTATATGTGCCAGTCTCATGGTCGACATTGAATCCAGATCGGTACTGCTCATGAGTTAGTAATTATTATATCAATATGAGGGATTATGTAGCATTGAAGGTGATGTATGTGTGTGGGCCGAGGGAGGAATGAACTTGGGAACAAGGTGGGGTCTTTGGCACAACAGATGCTTACCGCATGGCGCACGTAGTAGATGGTTTCTATCATGGCTAAGATTGAGTTTGTTCTTCTCGTATGGAATTCTATTGGTATCTGGTCCCTGTTAGCACTTCTATGGTTCTATGGTTCTATGGGTGTAGTCATGAAGTTGCTGGCAAGAGATGCCTCGGCTTAGCTTACGGTTTAGTTAATTCGTCGTAGCGATAAAATTCGCAGCCGAGACTAAGTTAGTGACGTTGTAGGGTACTCTGTAGGGAATACGAAGTTTACAGTTATTTCCACTAGCATTTCTATTGATTAAATATAATGACAATCATTGTTTAATTGACGAGAACGAGTAACCACTTTGGAAATACAAGGGTCATTGTTCATTCGTGGATGGCTGTTGTCCTGCTTCAACAAATGTGACTGAATGTGACTGATAGGAATGGAAAGCTGCACCCATTAAGCAACATCTGGCAAGTACACAACAATGTACGAGATATCAAAGAACTACACTGGCAACAAGTAATTATCTGTAATCCTCTGAAGGACGATATTGCCCCCATTCCAAGCAACATGTGTTCACTCTGACTATGATGTAGTCAAAATTCCACAGGGGCAATGCACAATGACCCATTGCCAGACCAGATTAACGAAATACTTCCGAACGTTTGATCGGAACCAAATCCGATTGCTAATATCGGTGTTGGTGGCGACGCAGCACAATAAAGCTCCGAGCCCTACAAAGAACCAACATCGAACGAGTCATCGTTTGAGAGCACAAGGCGTGTCGATTATTGCTTTTTCCACTATCAGCGCATACCTTGGCCCCGGATTTCTCTGCGCAGATCAATCTGGTCGCAGGTCATCGTATTTGCGATCGGTGAACGTGTTTGTACCTTGCAGGGGGGATGGATACAGGAATACGAGGTCGTCGTTACGGATAGAAAGGATCAGCTCAGGAGTGAGAATCGCATGAGGCTGAATGGGAGATCGCCACAACTACGTAACTATGGAAGCCATCAATGTCTGCAAAGAACATGGAAAGTGTACCGGCGCATGCATGTATGTACATGGCATTTTTCATTTCTTTGTTGGGCTTCCCATGCTGCGATAGCGATGACCCTGGCCAGTCGCCAACCTTTACTGAAGAAGGAAACTGGATAGAAGAAAAAAGCGCACTCCATGAGTCTTCTTGGTCCCCGTGCGTGAGTGCAGACTGGCACGGATCTCGATAAAGTATGCGCTGGGACTGACCATGTCTCTTTGGGCTTGCGAGAGTGGTTTCCCTTGCTCGACTGGGTTGACGGTATGGATATGTTTTGGGGGCTACCACGTTTCTTCGGACATCGAATGCGACTTATCTGAGGAGGTCGCAGAGTAGAAAGACATGGATGGAACAACCCTGATGCAACCACACGGTACGTATCCAATGCACCGCCAAGAACGATCGATTCAATGAGTCTATAGACACAATGGCATCACGATGTTGAACTACGGGGAGAGAACGTGTTAAGTTTGAGAAAATGTCTGAGACAAGACCACTGTATAAGGAAGCCTCTTGTGAGGATTAATTGATTGCGCCTATATACCTAGAACAGAAGTGGTGTTAGACAATCTGCTGTTCCCAGGGATCGTATCTGCGGACACCTTGCTTAGGCATCAACCGCAATGCTTAAGTGCGGAAGGGCTGACACGAAAGTTGGAGCAATCGAGACGTTGAAAAGCGTCGAACAACAATTCCGCTGTGTGCGATATTGTTCGACATTGCAGGTATCACACTGTGATCTCGTGAGGGGCGCATATATTTCCAAACTGTACGGACAGCGGAATTGTGCCTTTCCCGCAAGCAGGTAAGTTTATTAATGAATAAGGATGGGAGTACCAAACGAGCTATGCCTGTACTGGTCGAGGCCAACAGTCATAGCGTCCAACATCCCACTCTTTGAGGTGGTCTTCGGGAATGGTGGATCTGTGGAGTAAGTTGGCGGGAGCGAGGTCTACGGGCGGAACGGTGCCAGTCAGAGAGCGTAGAATTCACACGTGTGGAAAGATAGCGTGGGATTATGACCAGTTGGATATACATTTGTAGAGGATGATGCGGCACGGCCCTGTAGAGCCCGACTACGGCGGTTGTAGGGAATTGTTTGGAGATGAATGTGCATGAAAACCATGCTTCTTTAGTCGGCAATGGGCAAGGGCTTAAGCACAGGCTTAAACCAAGAGTAGATGCGGCATTGTCTAAATCTCTTTCTGAAGTCCGAGGACTTGGCCAATGGTGGGCGGGAGGGAAGTTGGACAGGTCGCATGCCGAATGTTCAATTCCAGGGCAACTAACTTACTTCACACTGCTTAAGAGCAGACGTCAGCCGGAGGCCCATTGCAGAAAGAAGAAAGCGGGTTTTAGATGACCGCCCTGGTTGTAATGTATGTTTATATATCCAGTCGTAATGAAAACAAGCTGGAGCAGTCCATATCCAAACAGCATTTCAAGCATGTTTGTATTGGGCTCTCGTAGCCGTGAACATGCGTTGATACTTGGCGCTCGTGTAATTCACACGTGTGCAGTTCGATTGGATATGAAGGCTTCAAATGCCCTGGATTCGACTCGTAGGCATCCCTAGCCATGACCATGCGACCATACGACACAAGCTACTCGTATGCTCTCTCTCTCTCAAAGACCTCAGACTGTCCTGTGGAGTCTCTCGGATCTTCGCCAGGATGCTTTTGGCACTGGAGCCTCCTTGAGGCGCACTGTCTCGACGCCTCTCGCCCTGAGCATGATCCCCAACTCTGTTAACGAGACCCAATTGTCTGGCGCCAAACAAGCACGCAACTCGACTCAGACGACACAAGTCAGCCATACCATCATAATGCCATCGAAGGTATTGGGGGTTTCGATTTGCACCCCTAAACATCAACGCGGGATGAAGAGATCTATGCCGTAACCACCATCTTAAAAACGATAATAATAGCTGGCTGCTGGACAAAGGCAATTTGATTCCGCCCGCCATTTTCGCCAACGAGTTTGAGGATTTAGAAGAAAAATGACGTGACGACGGCCTGTCGCTTGGCCAGGTATCCAAGCCAAACGGGGTTTCGTCAACACCGGCTGTTATGTTGCAATACAGGCTACCGGAGCAAAAGCAAACATAATTACACATACAAAACCCCTAGTCCAACCGAATACTTAGTCAGGAGCCATACAGGCAGTGCGGCTCGGGCCCATGTACACACAACCTGGTATGGCCCCAAGCAGGTCGAGACGACGCCCGCAGGAAAAAGCAAATTCAAGTGGCGGCGATCAAAACGTGTACTCCGAGGGACTTCCTAATGAGCACATCCGGAAATATGCCCTTATTGTAACGCTGACTAACACGGTGGGAGATGGTTCGTAAAATAGTAAGAATAGAAACGATCGGAATAAATAATTCTACGCTTCCTACACTACGATTGATAGATTTACGTATTACACATTACGAAAGTCGTCTGAGCATAGTATCACTATTTGGATACTATGCTATGCATCGGGACATGCTTGCCGCCGTCAACAGCTCCGTACTGTGGCTGTCCCCGTGTTGAAAACTTTCCAAGTTTTCCCAACTTCTTCTCTGTAACCCAAACGCGTAGCACGATCAAGTAGCGGACAATCAGGAAGACAATGACGGCTGCGACGAGAATGCCAACGATGTAGCCGGCAACAGATCCAGCTGAATTCTTCTTTAGGTTCAGGAACCCATAGACGTAGAATCCTTGAGTTGCCTCGGTGACGTATGCGAGACCCAAATAGCAAGCCAGAATGATAATGACCGGAATTAGATCGATCCATGGGAGAGGTGCGGTTCGGGGAAATACTATTTCAAATAGCGCATAAGCGGAGTTCATGGCATGTTGTGAAGTGTTGGTCCATGTTTGGAATGTAGACGTAAAAATTCCATCCTCGTAGAGAAGTGCCCAGTAGACGACTGTTCGCTGTTAGTGGTGTTCGTTTTCTCGTCTTTTCGTCGTTGATCGAGTGAACAAAGAAGCTCTCGAACAGCAACAATATTTGGTGCACTGTACTTACTCGTGACGATCCAGGGAAACACTACGATCGTGGTGTAGAACATGCTATGAGCGATCTGCAAAAATCGCGGCCACCGTGCAAGCAATGGCGTTCCGGTGCGCCAGTAGCTGAATGTATGTATCGCGCTGACCAGATTATAGAAAGCCAGTCCCCAATACGTCAACCAGGTAAAGTACGAGAACGAACGTGCAATCTCTCCGGCATGTCCATGAGTACCATTCCAGCCCCATATGAAGAATATTGTTGCGAACGCATAGAGGGATAGCAAAGCTCGAACCGCAAGCAGTACGGCAGGCTCAAACAACCAGGAGGTTTCGAACCGGACGACGACATCGAAGGGACTCTCCCGCGGAGTAGAGGAACGCTTCCAACAAGGCATCGCGGCTAAAAGTGGTTCTGATCGTATACGGTAGGATTGGCGTCGCGTGGCTCGCGGATTCGGTGTTGTCAGGGGGCAGCAATGATTAAGCAGCTCTGAGCTGTGAGTGCTTTATGCAGTGGATAGGAGTGGATTGTGGTGGAGCGAGGAGACGAGGACCAGACGAGATTGTAATGTGAAGATGTCAAAGCAGTCTTAGAGAAGAAGTACCCTCATGATGGCGCAGTAAGAATAGGATTATGCTCTCGCGCGACGAGGTGTTTTGGCCTTGCTTCGAACAACTCCGCCGCGCGTTGAAGGTTTCAGCGAAGCTAAAAGTCCGCCCGTAGGGCTGAAGAGCTGAGCCTCGGCCTGGAATAGAAACCCACGCTACCCCGGATGTGGGTGTAACGTTACACAGTCATCTCCGCTTTGGGATGAAATAAAACCGACCTCGCTAGCGATTAGAGTGAATTGCCCACTCCCTGCACGAACCCCATCGACCGTCCACATCCACATCCACGACCCCCTCCACCATCCTTCCCTCATTCATTGCCCAAGCATCTAGGTATGCTCCATCCACCCACCTTTGCCAGCATGCTCTACGCTACGCACGGGCTGGCTAAGAATTTACGTCCAGGAGGAGGATAGCATCACACCTTATTGGTGGCGCCCATGTCTCGTGTCTCTCTGTACTTCTCTTAAGATGGACCGCATCTCTCCATTTTACGCATATCCTACAACATGCAGCTGAACAGCGACCTATCAAGACGGTCCAGTATCAATATCCTTACTGTATTCTTTCCTTTGACCTCTACATGCCTACTTCAACCATGAGCGACACAAAGACCTCGGTATGATAGACTCTCTTTCATGTCCATATCGTCAATAACAGGGCTTCCGGACTAACCCGACAAACAGAAAGCCCAAAATCTCGCTCGAATCCGGGACAATCAACGTAAGTTGACTGCACCTATGCTTTCGCAACGATCTCAACGAGCTCATGCTACCATCCTTGCTATGGACTTGAGATAACCTTTATCTTTCAGGCCGATCTCGTGCGCGCCGTAAAGAGTATCTACATGAACTCGAAGCCAAGCTCCGTCAATGTGAGCAAATGGGCGTTGAAGCCTCCACAGAGATCCAAAGCGCTGCAAGAAAGGTCTTGGAAGAGAACCGAAGGCTGCGAGCCATGCTCCGTACGAGAGGTGTGCCCGAAATTGAGATTGTCGCCGCTTTAGGTCACGACAAGTCATTCGAGAATGCCTCTGCAGCTACTACTCTGATGTCGGCTCTTGAGCGCAAGCGGACCGCCGTCACCAGTGATCCACATGTCTCGGAGACAAAACCTATCATCTCTTCAGACTCAACAATAGCGACCCAGCAGGTCTCGACGACGCTTACGCCGATCTCAATTCCCTCTCAGCCTGCTTCCACGAATACGATCCATGAGACTCAAAGCCCTTTGTCTGTAGAGTCGAACAACGATAGTCCGCCACCTTTCAACGGTGCGCCTTACTATCCTATGGAAATGACTTCGGTTCCTCACATCAAGACAGAACCACAGCTTGGTTATTCCTTTGACCACAACTCCAATAATCCATGGCTTTTCCCAAGTGAGCCAACATACCTTACGGATCCCGCCAGTTATTACAACACAGCCTCATGCATTGATGCCGCAAATATCATACGCACGATGGGTCATGATATAGGCGGCGAGCTTGGGGTTGATCTACAATACCAGGACCATACTCAAGGGTCCAATGTTCTCAACCCCTCAGTATACAACACAATGGAAAGGTATACCGCCAACGGCCAAATCAGAATGTGAAGGGTTCGTTGAAGAGATAGGACGTCTCAGTGGTCCGTGACATGGACCTACACAACAATTTCTACGAGCGTGAATGCTCCCTCGTCGTTGCGAATACGCCACACAACACGATGCTACTCAAAGGACTCAAAAGAGTCAAAGAGTTTGTCCAACAAAGCGAAGCAAGCCGAGGTCTGGAAGTTGGAGTGTACTTGAGCGCAGGCTGGGCTACAATCTGGGAAACCATATTGGTATTGCGTTTTTAAGGAGTGCTTCTCTCGAGTTTTACAGAGTACCACAGCACAAAGTAACATTGAAGCGAGGATCCGAAGGCACCAACGAGAACAGCACGTTAGCCGGTCACGATTGATGACACACACTAGGGCAAGGAGCATGGGGGCTGTATGAAGGTGTCGCTATCCGGACACTATGATTCATTGCCAACACGACTATGAGGGTCAGATTTTCTAATGCAGATGTCATAATGGTATATCATGGCTTGTACGATCAGTGGCTTACCCATCAGCGCTGTCATTTCATTGTTTGTTTATTGAAGTTTGTTCACCTTACGCGTGACGCCTCTTGCATTTCCCTTTGTTGTGCAGTACACTTTGCCCACAAAGAACAACATGAACTTGGATCAGTATTTCTTCGACGCCCAATCGCCCATTTCCGCGTTGCCACCTGCACACACATGCCGTCCAGATCTTGACATTGTTCATTCATTCGCTGTCGAAAGATACGTATATCGGGGCTTTCATTCACTCCCAAAGGCTGCCCACAGCTGTGCGTTCACGGTCGAGGACTCCTCCTATTCGTGCGTTTGTTCACTGCCTAGAGCGGCACATCTCAGTGCGTTCAATCACCACCAGATACTCCACATACCGCTTTCACCATTACTCAACGACAGAATGAAACGGAAATTTCCTATCCCTATACCGGCTCACTCAATACAGGGTCAGCCTGTACCTCCTCGCTCTACACAGGGGAATAAGGAGTACGATACACCAAGACGAGTTCAATGCCATGGAAAAGTCGTGCCACGCAAGAAGGGTGAGGAGGCTCGTCGTTGCAAGAGGTACGGAAATTCCCTGCATGCAAGATGGCAATGCAGCGCTTCTCATAGTCACTTCATGTACGACGATGAGATGCCAGAGCTGGAGGATTTAGATGATGATGAAGATGGAAATCAAGACGAAAATGGGGATGACAAGATTCCGACGCCAAAACCTCCAGTCAAGTCACCGCCTCCACCAGCTTCGCCTCCAGGACAACCAACTGCGACTTCTCAAAATCCTGACGAATCCGCAGATCCCTGTGCCTATCTTCGTCATCGGTTGAATGGCCTTGAAGAGCAAATCAGGACCAGTCACGAGAATCACGCGCCACATGGATTGAATCGGTCCCACACGTCTCAATTGATTGCCACTGTACTACTTGGAATCAACGGTCTTCACACCTTAGCCAGTGGAGGAGGCTTCAGTATTGCTGTCGACGCTGGGCGAGGGGTTGAGCTGCGAGATCCGGGGCGAACACTTATCATGAGGGCTGAACATAATGGCATCCCGCTTCTGTACGTCGTTCAGTCACTCAGCGCCGACAGAATCTCTATCACCTTCTTCTCATCGGTGGTGTATAGATTCGGATTAGAGGATCGGCGTGCCATATTCAATAACTGCTGGGCCACTCTACAATCGCTCAATTGGAAACCGCATCTATCCGAAAAGGAAAAGCCCGAACATGGTTTTTGGATGAAAACTTCTACTATGATCGATGAGGCGTTGCAAGAGAAGTTGCTGACCCTAACCGCGTGGGCGCTGGCTTTGAATCTCTCGCCAAATCCCGATTTCGTGCCCAACAAACAATTTGCAGAAGAGACAGACAATATCTCCTACTTAGCTCTTGGGGGAGCCTCGCTTGATTGGCAGATTATCCGTGCCTTTCTACGATGCCACAAATTCGTACATGACGAACCTTTTGATGTCCCCGCAGAGCGACGTTTCAGTCACGCCGAATACAACATCAACTTTTCAGCTTTTGTGAATAGGACCATGCAACCGACGAACGTATCGTCTTCTGGCAAATCACACGAAGATGGGTTCGCATTCGACAAATGGACAGATGCTGAAAGAATTCAAATAATTCCCAGGCTCCGACGTCGTAAGCTCTTGAAAGCTGACCAGGACGCTGAGGACATGGGAAGAGTTTATAAGGAACAATACCCACATCTGAACGCTGGCAAGAGCAAGATAGTGATAGATTCCTGGAATGAAGCCCATGATATTTTCCAGGAGAGATTTCGTGGCGTTCCAGAGCCTCAAGATGTATTAGACAGTGCTGCCGAAATATCGCTGGGACACCAAGAAGTTTTTGATGGTATTGCTACGATTGCTGTTGCGTTGAATGAACAGACCAACAATGCACCAAGCTTTGCATTGATTGAATACTCCACTCTTCGATATTTCATGGACCCCCAGGTCGAACGGAGGATAGAAGCTCCACAGGTCTTGTTCCCAGGACTTCCATTGCTACTACCATGGTCTCATGGGACGCACGAAGTTCTGGTGGTAGTCCAACCGGATGTGTCTAGTGGAAACCCCGTAATGTTTGTGGTTGATCCTGCATCCTGGATGCTCTCGGCGGACGATCGCAAGGCAATTGCTACTGGGGTGGCTACGCTTGTTAACCACACTCATTGGTCTCAGAATAGTATTACCATATCCGCGAAAACATGGATTCTAAACTCTACACGCTCCGAGGCATGGCATACGGGCTATTATACATTATGCCATGCGTGGGCCATTCTGTTAGGACTAACCTTGAGGCCCCAGTTCCGCCCCAAAAAGTCGTTCTTCTCCGAAGCTCGTCAGCTCTTGACCCTGTTGCATTCGGGAAACGTGAATTGGGAACTTGTCTGGGCCTTTTTACGATTCCACGATTTCGTGATTGATCCAAAACCTCCAAAAGAACGCCATTTCGCCGTCAGTACATCCCGGGACAGATTAAAGTCGTCTCTCCACGTTCTTCAAAGCAAAGACCGAGATTATCGCAACTTAAAGGCACCGCCGAATAAAGATGTGGCCTATAAGTTCCGAAACGAATCTAAACACAGTGGGACACTAGGTAGTGATAGTTGGACTACGAGTGACAAAGAAAGACGTGTACCGCTACTTTTGGCTCACGGTATTCTTGATGCAAGTATCAATCGAGCACGGCTCCGAGCGAGATATCGTCACTTAAGACTCAAACCTTCCGATACTTTCAGGTTAGCTGCAAACATGACTAAGATGAGATCACTGTTAGAGCCTCGAGGAGAGAAAATGAACCAGCTGGCAGATCTCGCAGTTTTCAAACGATTCATGGAGGTTTTCAGTCCTACGTGCCGACCAATATTTCAAGACATCAATGATGCACCTTGCGTTTACTGGAGAAGAAAATTGCAATTGTTGCGTGCAGTGGGAGACGACCTCGGGGTTGAACTTCCCACGGGGCTCAAGTTGGATCTAGACGATATTGCCGTTGTAAACGCCATCTCGTCGGTTGTTGAGGCCATTGTTCAACTCCAGAATGACAAGTCCTCATTGGGTGGGTTTGCTTCCGTATCTCCACAAATCCTTCGCAAAGCGAGAGCGGACCAACAACCCACGATACCTATTGCACGGCCGAGACGAGCTTGGTTCTTCCCTTACGCGATCTCCATCTCCCAGGGCGTAGGCGACACCGGAAATGATGAATCGGCCACACATTTCGTACTTTGCATCATTCAAGAAGAGGTTCATTCTGGCACTAGTGTATTCCGCAGATACATCTTAGACCCAGGCAAGCAATATCACAACGGGGACTATTCTTCATCTCTCGAGGATATCGAGCGCATTGCTCACAAAGTAGAATGGTCGACACATAGAAATGAAGACCAAGGAGTTCGATTCATCAACTTCAACAACGACACGGATTTGAAGGATGTCGCCGTTCAAACACAAATTGGTGTCTCTGGAATTCATGCTGTCCTTAATGCCTGGATATGCGCTTTGGATCTTACTATCGAGGATCATCCTACAGTGCAGCTGAATGAGAAGTTTTACGCTGAAGCGTCAGTTGCCATCCATTTCGCAAGGGCGGGTGTCCTTGGTTGGGCAGAAATTACTGCATTCCTCATTTGTCATGGTTTGATAAAAGAGCGCGCTATAGAGGCAGTACCTCCATCACGAAGATTTATACTCACTTCAAAAAGAACCGCTGGAGATCAAGGGAGCCAAGAGACCAGATTGAGAACGTGGATCCAAGATGACGAACGGATAGAGTCTACCAGGCCGAACTGTTCCTTGGATCCTTACGACCTCGGAAACAATGTGTCATTCGGAAAGTTTTCGAGGCCTCCAGGGAGTGCTGTGCAACCCGAGCATCCCGCGGGGGATTACGGACCTAGTGCGCACCTGACGTCAGAATTTAAAAGATTAAGAGAAGACGAATCTGCCAAGGAATGGGTTCAACTACTCGAGAGCAAACTCAAAACCAGAAGACATGAGGGAAGGTGGCTTCATGACGATGAAGTGACTCTTGCGATCGCATCCGTCACAGCTGCTATCAATCACAATGCTGCAATGGAACAAGGGCTCTCGATGATGGGAATCACTGACTATAGATCATGTGGCATCCATGATGAGAACGCCATGGATTTTATACAGCCTGACATAAGGTTCGGTAGGCCGAAGATCTTCCCAATTGTCCACCGTGATAACTTCTTCCTTGTTGTGGCCTATTTAAACAACAAGGATGAGATTGTCATCTCGATCCTTGACTCCCAATCCTGGCGCCTTGAAGGTGTTCAAGCGCGAGAAAGAGTCTTCCAAATTGCTTTGAGAATCATTCAAAAAACCAACTGGCTAAGGAACATTTCAAATTTTCCCGAGTGGCCGCAGCATGCAATCTGGGCTACGACCGCACAACAGCAGAATGATTGGATATGTGGCTACTACGCTATTTTCAATGCTTGGGCAATTGCCATGGGGGCTAAATTGAACAGTAATTTCGCACCGAGTGTTGATTTTTTGAAGGACGCCGTGAACGTAATAAATTATGCACGCGGCGGTTTCTTAAGCTGGAGAACAATCATTGCATTTCTAGATTCCCATCACTTCATCGAGGAAAACGCCGACGTTGCTCACTATAATAGATTTGGCAGGACCGCTCGCATCGAAGATGAGAACGAATTAAACCAGCAAGTTCAAGAGCTTCGTAAAAAAGAAGACAAATACTGGGAATCCCAAAAAAATCCGGATTTTAGCGATATTGGCCACTGGAATCAGGTGGACGTGCCTCTTGCAAAGCGTCATACCGAGAAATTTGTTTCCGATGAGTGGGATAAAGCTACTCGTACCAGAATCCTACCGGATTTAATTGCATGGGGCCGTTTTAAAGCAACCAACTCTCGGGAATTCCTTCATTATACTCATCAGGAGGCGCTAAGTGTATCTTGGGAGAGTGTTCGTTTAGGCATCGACGCTTTCTTAAAGCCGAAGGACCGCCCTCTCAATTGTGATACATTACTGACAAGTTTGGGGGCAAAACTAAATCAAAATCTAAATACTCCATCCACGATGAGGCTTGAGAATGCACGCAGGAAATCGAATCCTAAACAATATGCGCAAGAACGAATCGATTTCCTGAAGCTCACAAGGAAGCGTTACGGGAATGTCCTTTTCAACAAATCTAGAAAGCCACACCAAATGACGAGGGCCGGTGATCTCTTCTTAGACGAAGATACAGTACTCGCTCTGGCCGCTGTGGTGCAAGCGCTCCCTGTGCAGGGCGAAGACCTCGCCACTGGATTTTCGCTGGCATCCTCATTTCATGTTAGCGCTTCAAGATGCTTGGACGATTATGGACAAGGACGAGCAACAAGGCCTAGATCGTGTTGGCTAATTCCTTATGTTATTGATGATGATTTTCTTGATCTAGCACCTGGAGTCGAGACACCGCGGGAGAACAAAGGGTCGCAGGCCAATAAAATGGGCCACATTTTCTTGGTGGTGGTTCAGGATGAACCTAAAGAGTCTGAACCTGGAGAACGGGAGTTCAGAACATACTTCCTGGACAGTTTCGAAGGCATCTTTGAGGATTCCAGAGTGTTTATCTATGAAAGAGTAAAGGTAATGGCCAGAAACTTGAAATGGACCAAGTTTAACCATGAAGGCGATGCGGTCCCGATAAAATTCGGCACATTTTCACAACTGGTTACTGTTCCTCGACAGTCTAATGGCTGGGCCTGTGGTGTACATACTGTACTTAATGCCTGGATCCTTGTCTTGGGTCTTCGGATAAACCAGGATAAGTACGAATATGAGGAGGAGATGTATGAGGAGGCGATTGACCTAATGCAACTTGCTGTTTCCGGTCTGCTGGACTGGAAAACGCTTGCATCTTGGTTGATTGCCAACGACTTGGTGACCGATGAAGACTTCAATTCCGTCCAAGAGAATCGACGCTTTACATTGACACAATTCCAAAGCAAAGACAATGGTTTCGAATACGATGATGTATTTGAAGGTTGCATGAAGTCATGTCCGGATTTGAATCAATGGGACTGTACCAGTAACTATGATTTCAATCGACTTGACGTGTCGATTGTGGATGACAACGATTCCTTCATTTTCCCTTCTCCCCAGGCCACTTCGCTACCCAGGCCTATCGAAGATTTCGGTCCCATTGAGGTACAACTAATTAGGAAAAGGAAACGAAGTGATTTGGATTGGTATGGAAGGCTCTTCGGCAAGTCAAAGAGGATCAGGACCGAAGTCGATGTTGGCATTGAAGATTCATGGTAGCGAAAATTCAACTGTACAGTTTTGCGGATCGCATGTAGCTGCCTTTTCTTGGTAGTCACTTTCATGTCACACGCTGAGCAATGGAAACGATCATTTCCGGTACTACTCTTTGTAATTCTGGCAAAATAATTGATATTTTATAATCGTAAAATTTAATGCTGGCCTCCAAACAAACTTCCAAGAAGACTTCCCCCCGACCCACCAGCCCTGCCTCCCCTCTTCGCTTCAGAGAGTAGCCATTCCCTCAAAAATTCCTTATTCTTCATCTCGTTCGGCTTAATTAGCTTCGTCTCCATTTGCGCCTCTTGCCTGCTGAATGCAAGCAACGTGGGCATAGATGTAATCTACCACCACGTCAGCGCAACCGATCCCAGGGCAAACCCCGTCGATATAAACAGCCTACCATATACTTCACGCCTAAGTCCCCAATCATAGGCGAGTCCAGCTCCACAACCGCGAACCCCAATCCACCCTCCGCCTGCCCCACCTTCTCATCTTCGATCAGCGATGTCACCAATGGCTTCACGGCCTGGCACGTCGAGCACCACGACGCAGACCAGAACGTGATGAGAGGGCGGTTGTCGGCGGCGGAGAGAAGGGTCAATGTGTGCAGGTCGTTCGGCGTGCGAATGGGATCGAATGTGCGGTTCTGGTTCGAGCGCGTCGAGGAGCCGGTTAAGAAGGATCGGGAGGCCCGGGGGAGGCAAATGGTGAGAGCACGGGCAATTGGGGCGCTTCGTAGGATCATGGTGAGGATATTGAGGATATTGAGGATTTGGGAACGCGCTCAATGGATCTGAGGTTCGCGTTCATGGAAAGACGACGTCATAGCGTCGATGCTGGCGCTAACCGTATTTGAGACCGCGATATAGGTTTAATTTGACGTCGAAGCACAAGTAATTGGCCATAGTAGATATTGATGTATTTGGTATAAATGTGAAGAATATTTCTAATATAGATACAAAAGATAACTCATACCTACTAATGTATCAGGTGTTGGAAGCGGTACCAACTGTATAACTTTCCAGCCCGCACGAAGCGGTAAATTCCAAGCTTAGACATATCGATCGCAAGTGATGAGTAGCTCAATAACTTGCGGAGGATGGGGAGAGAGTGCTAAAGCACTATTTTAAGCTATTATCAGGATGTTCACTGAATACAAAGAGTAAGATTTGTCACAAGATATAGCTCATGGAGATTGAACATGGTTGGAATGAAGTGTTACATATCACTGGCTTATGGAAGCTCCAAACGCCTCAAAGGGGTATCCAAATCCTTCTCCTAGACAAGACCTCGCTTCCGAAACAGGTCCACTTGCTATTGCAGTAATGCTCCTTGAAGGTAAGATGAGCACTCGACTTTGAATTATGTGCTTTGAAAACCGCCTTCAAGCACGACCAGAAACAGAGTACTCATTGACCGGAGCCTGGTGAAACGCCGATGAAATGACCAAATGACCAAATATTTGCAAACGCCAGCAATGCGAGACAATGTCACACTATGCGCAGACTAAGAAGACTCTCTTTCAATGGTGGAATTATGGTAGGGTTCCCATGGGCAAAGGCTTCAAAATGTGAATTGAGTTTCGAAACCCATGTGATCTCCATCCATTCCTTCGAGGTTCATAAAATCATCCAGAATGAACGGAGCATCGCTCGTACCGACTCCACCTACAAGGTCCATGTTTTGTACATGATTCCCGTGTGGGTTTCCTTGCTCTTCAGGTTTAGGTGACTCGAAGCCTTCCACCAAGATGCAGCCCTTGGGTATAGCATGACTGAACGCCTGCGTACGGTGCTCTTTCTTAACGCCCGAAATTTTGCCAACCCCAGTGGCATCACCGCGCGAATTCATCCATACTCCATTGCCGCCTTCCTTCTTCTGCACGGCAGTTTTGAAAGGCTCGACAAAGACAACACTAGCCTCATACCAGCGACCTTTGATTTCGGAAATATCAAGGCGCTGTTGCGTTGCCACTAGTTTCCAGTATGCGATAGACTGTGTCTCCTCCAAGAGTATTTTATTTCGCCAGATCATATCCTCACGCATGCGAATCGGGATGTTGCTATTGTGAGGCACTGCCGGCGCCTGCTGGCCCATTGGGACCTGATGTGTGGCATACGTATAGACATCTCCAATTATATGGACTTGGGACGGGGGAGTGCCGGTTTGGGAGTTAGCAGCATTCGTGAATGCCCGCTCAACAATAGAGCTAATAACCATGATATCTGTGCCACTACCGATGCGCAAGCGGACTGGTTCACCGATCCATATCCTTTCCGCACCAAAATACATGCTGTTCCAGAACCGATCTTCCATACCTACGTGTGGTACGGTTCTGAGTTGCTCACAAAGTGTATACGTGATATCTACGGCTTTGGCTGCAAGAATGGACGCATCGACTTCTGGATTACCATCGCCGAACTGCCCGGAGAGCAGAGACCGCCAATCAACTTGATCATACGAAAGATGCTGATTTTGCTGTAGATAGCCATAGGTGCATAACGGAGCGGACCATGCCAGCCACGGTTTGAGTCTATCGTCAGACTGAATTATTTCAGGCGCAGGCGAATCGAAAGGATGTGATAAGGGCTGAACAAGATAAGTGGGCTTTTCGATACCGTTAGGATCCTGCGCTTTCCAGCGTCGCACCACCAGACCTAGTCCCCAAGCGCGTGTTTTTTCTCGGTGAAACCAAACTGTTTCCCCTATACGAGCCAAGAATTTGTGGTACTGTCCATCGACCTGTTGATCTATCGATCTCGGTTGGGGAAGTTGTGATGCCTGGGGAACAGGGTTGGGAGCTGGGGCTGCGGATACGGCTGCTGGAGGAGCCGAAGCTTGCTGGGGCCGAGGGTGGGGCTGTGCTTGCGGTTGCGGTTGCGATTGCGGTTGCGGTGTAGATTGTTGCAATGGTTGTACCTGTTGCTGCTGTTGTAGCGATTGTTGTGGTTGCGTGGAAGGCTTGGGCTGCTGTTGTAGTTGTATTATACTGGGTGTAGGAGTTGGGACGGCATTCTGAGTAGACCCATTGCTTGATTGTATGTGTTGTACAGACAGCGTACCGGTTTGTGGTAGACGACCTTGGGCGGAAGGCAGACTTGTTGCAGGTTGAGGTTCGTTTTTGATCGGGGGTGTTCCTTGAGGGGTCGGTGCAGGTTTTTCCGTTTCCAGCTGCACAGGTGAGCACATTTTGCAGCTGCAGTTCTCTGTATCATTGGTGTCGTCCGAGCACAACCATAAGAGATGTGGAAAGAACTCGATTGGGCTCCTAAATCTCTTTTTAGGTCCTTTGGGATATCCGTAAAGATAGGCGTCCTGTCTATCATGACCACCGCCTGAGTGGTTCTTCACTGCCTTTGCCTGACCATCCGCCTTGGATTTTATATGCTCATATAAGCGGTACCCTTCTGGTAAGTCCCAAAGAACCGTCTGCGACCATTTATCTTCATGCTCTTTCCCTCCTAGCTCGCGCAGCAGCATGCCTCCAAGTTTCTTGCGCCAGTCGATGTGTTTGGGTTCATCTCGATCGAGTAGTCGGTAGTAGTCACATTGACCTTGTGCATTAGGGGTTCGGTCGAGTTGCTGAGTGTTCGGTGCGTTCTTTATCTGTATGCCTTTTTGCGTGACGACTTCATGGCCATCTGACCGGCGGGCGAAAATGGGCCAGAATGCCGTCGTGACGACCTGCGCCATGCTGTCAGGACGCTGGGTCGGAGCAGGCAGCCACAGCGCCTCGGTTCGCAGGGCCACTGGGAGGATGAATGCGCAAGAGGAGGGCTGGTGATGGTTCGAACTACCTGTACGTTGTAACCATTGAGATGTTGTAGGAATGAATGAACATCGGCGGTTTGGGCAAGACTGACGCCGACTCTTGACAGTTGACGGCGCTAGTCTACTCGTAGAAAATTTCCCCCACGAAAAGACGTGACTTCGCGTCGCGATCCCACTTCCCAACTTCACTTGGACCTTCACCTACTCCACCCCACTTTGATCGGGATCACTCTCAAAAGAAAAATATTTTCTCGAATTTTTGGCGTTATTGGTGCCTATTGTAGTTATTTTGAAGTTTTCACTTGCTCATTGGTTACCTTCACTCATTCACTCATTACAACCTTTGTTCATTTCACCCTTTCACGCGTCCTGTCAACTTTCACGACCCCTGCTCATCTTTCTGGACTCTCACATTCACCGTCGCTCGCCCTCGCTTATATCTCTCACGTTTACCTCCAACTCGATACCACCAAACCTTCTCCTTTCCTCACGCCCGGAATGACATATCTTGCTTGATATGTTTGTTTAGGATCTCAAGACTTTACTTCTCTTCCGACAACCGGCACAAACATGGGGTCTTCTCGCCCCACCGTAAAGGTCGAAGAGCCCTCTACTCCCTCCCCAAGGAAGCGAACAGAGCTGTATTCAGGCCTACTTGCCTCGTTCGGGGCCACCAGCTCTCCCGGATCGGCGGGAAGGCGCAACAACAATTCCGACTCTGCTGCAATTGGCCATGTTGCAGAGAAGTCACCTCACCCACAGGCCAGCACACCGCGTATCAAAAGTGAGTTTACCGAAGACGAGTTGCTCGATCGCCGTCACCGTAACGTCAGCGTTGGCGCACACCAATCCGGTAACCCTCAGGGTGAGGCGATCAGCCTGTCCAAGGGAAGCGTTGCGGAAGAGGGCGAGAGTGTCAAGATGGAAGCACGAAAGAAGGAACGCCTTGATGGGCCCCGTAGAAGTACTCGCAAAAAGAAAGACGACATCCTGGCTTCGGACACGATCAAGACCGATAAAGATACCAAAGACGCAACAAGGAATGCTGCCCCTCGGGCCAACCTGAATACTGCTCGACGCCGACTACGCGAGGGTATCGCATTGAGCACGAAAGCCAAGGCAAATAACTTCTTTGTTGCTCATCAGCAATTCTTTTTGCCCCTTCTGCCGCCCGACAATTATATCTCGAGGCTCATCAGCAAGGGGAAAACATCACCAATGGAGGAATACACAGAGCTCACCGAACAGCCCCATGGGTAAGACATCCTGCAACCTTTAGCCTCCCGCAAGCACTGACTTAGAACTGATAGAGTGAGAGCAACGTTGAAGCCTTATCAGCTATCCGGGTTATCCTTTCTCGTTCATCTCCACAACAATGGATTTTCAGGAATTTTGGGTGACGAGATGGGTCTAGGAAAGACCTTGCAGACACTGTCCCTCTTTCAATATTTGGAAGAGCGGGACCAAGCGAACGGGGTTCAGTCGGAAGAAGTACGCCCCTACTTAGTGATCTGTCCTCTCAGCGTCCTGGATTCGTGGGTAAACGAGGCAAACAACTGGGTTCCTGACCTCAAGATCCTAAAGTACCATGGAAGTGTTAATGAGCGCATCCGTCTGAAGAGAATGGCACAAGGTTTGGAAGACGCATACGGCAACAATATTCGCCGTTCACGAAATTCACCTAGTGGGGAACCCGAGACGGAGAGGTACAAGATTATCGTGACCACTTACGAGGCCTTCCAATCAGACCAATCCTGGTTTAAACATTCGTTGGCATGGAGATATGTCGTCCTTGATGAAGGCCACAGAATCAAGAACGGTGGAACACAAATTGCGTCTGCTCTCAGGAGCATTAGCGCGGAGTTTCGCTTGATTTTGACTGGTACGCCTTTGCAGAACAACCTCGTCGAAATGTGGGCATTACTTTGTTGGCTGTATCCCAATGTATTCACACGCAACACGGAAACTCTGTTCAAAGAGTCATTCGATCTGACACGCGGCAAGATCAATACACAGACCATGGATGATGCTCGCCGCCTGTTGGAGCTGATTATGCTTCGACGTATGAAAGACAGCCCAAGCGTCAATCTCGGACTTCCAGAGAAAGAAGAGGTACTCCTCTACGTGCCTTTGACTCCGATGCAAAGGTTCTGGTACACCAGGCTCCTAACCCACGTTGATGATGCGATCCTCAATGAAGTTTTCTGCAATTCCCAGAGCAAGGAAATTGCATCGATAAAGCAAGAACAGCAAGAGGATGCGTTAGCAACCCAGCTAGAAAATCTTGAGGATACCAAGTCCGGCATCACTGGTAGCCATAACACACACTTGTGGGGGGACACAGCCGCCATCATAAAGCAATCTATAGAGCAGGAGCAAAGACAGAATAAGGGCGGGTCCAAATCTGCCTGGCGGAAGCTCATGAACCTGATCATGCAATTGCGCAAGTGTTGCTCCCACCCGTATTTGCTGCCCGGAGCCATGCCTGAAATTTACTACCCAGGCCAGCATCTGATTCGAGCCTCCGGAAAATTCATTTTGCTCGAAAAATTGCTAAAACATTCTATCTTCGAACAAGGGAAAAAGGTCCTCATCTTCTCGGGATTCACTACATCATTGGACTTCTGCGAAGACTTGCTCGAGCTCGTCGGAGACTATGGCCAGAAATTCAAGTATGTGCGGCTTGACGGTGCAACTATGCGGGCTCGACGTAATCTTGACATCCGAATGTTCAATGATAAGAAATCCGATTACAAAGTCATGCTTTTGTCAACCCGGGCTGGTGGCCTTGGAATCAATCTTACAAGTGCAGAAGATGTTATCTTTCTGGACGAGGACTGGAACCCGCAGATCACGTTGCAGGCCGAGGCTAGAGCTCATCGTATTGGGCAAACGAACAAGGTTACCATATACAAGCTTTGCACCCAAGGGACTGTTGAGGAACAGATGATGGGACGTATTCGCAAGAAGCTATATCTCTCAACAAAGATTACCGAGTCGATGCGCAACATCCATGGCGATCATCGACAGGGAGTGGTGAATGGACAAGTGAAGGCGGAAGACGATATGCCTCAAATGGACACATCGCAGTTGAAGTCATTGGTCCGTCGTGGAGCCCGTACTCTTTCGCACCCAGAGATCAATGCAACCGAGATGTTATCATGGGATCTGGACACGATGTTGCAGAAGTGCCGAGACCTGCCATCCGATATGTCTGCTCCAACCTCTGAAATCGATGAAGAGAAATGGTTGTCGGTTATGGAACGCGTCGAGTGCGCTGTCTTCGAGGGCAAGAAATATCAGCGCAAGTTGGAGAAGGACACTGATGCCTCCAATATTCTTCCTGATTCGATCGGACGAGAGGACCGCCGGATAGGCAAACACACCACTGTCATGGTTGATGGATTTGCGATTACCAAGGAATTGCTCAACTGCGCTGATTGGGAGGCTGTTCCCACCATGGCCGGTAAAGATCCTAGGCTCGCAGAACCGAAGCGCGAGAAGAAGCGTGAGATTAAGCATGAGGATCTCTGCCTCGCTTGTAATAATGGCGACAACTTAATGGGTTGCAGAAGTTGCCCACGGTCTTTCCATCGCGCCTGCCTGACCGACGAGTTTCAGTCCCGCATCACTGCTTTGACTGGCTTCTATTGTCCGCAGCATGAGTGTTGCGAGTGTGGCAAAAAGACTGCCGATGCTGGCGGACTGATCTTTCGTTGTCGTTGGTGTGAATATGGCTTCTGCGAGGATCACGTCGATTGGGACGCCGTGGAGCTTATTGGCGACAATCTTCCTGAATTTCAGATGCTTGGTGAAGATGCACCGCCTGGCGGTTTCTACATCAAATGCGCGTATTGTAAAGGCGGAGATGATGATCGCAAGGACTGGATTGCAACTGCGGAGCAGGATTTCAAGCAAGAGTTTGATCTGTGGTTGCAGGATCTGGGAGAAGAGCAGGTCCAGTTGAAGAAAGAGCATGACGAGATTCAGCAGAGTCATGATCAGAAGATTAAGCAGGAGGGTTACATGTCACCCGGATACGGCTCCACTATGGGCTATCAAGACATAGCGTCTCCTCCTGCATTGACGGACACCAGTTTTGCTACACCTGCCCTGGGTGAGTCTCCAGTCTCCACCCCAAACCCGACCACGTCTTCGCGAGATAACGCCGGCGTCAAGAAAAGGCCAATGTTGATAGGGGACGACGAGATTGATACGGGTGAAGTCTCCAAGAAAAAGTTGAAGCCTGACCCAGATGCTTTGAACTCAGAAGGGTCTCCAATCATCATCGTTGACTAAATATCAAAGCATTCTTCAGAATGCTGGCAAAGGATGAATGGCTCCGTATCGGTCAGATACGGTCATTTGGCATCGGTTCATCATATTTTGTCCCTTGGTGTCATGGATTGAGTTTCTCTCTGGATCATTACGGCTTGGGAAATGGATCAATGGATTAGGTTTCTCTATGGGGTTTATCATGGCTTGGAAAATGGATCAATGTGGTTTGTTTGCAATGAAAGTGGCCGCTTTCTAACATTCCAAGATTTCAACACCAAGCTCAATGGGAATCTTTCAGGTTTACATGGCGTTTGTGGTGGGCGTTGGGGCACACGGGATACCCATCAACTCAGACCATCGCGCGCTGAGACTTCTGGAACCAAACTTACGCCACACAATGTGGTAGTTATCAGTATAATTAGCTAGTATATCATAAATAAAATGGTACTTCTCACTCATCGAACCAAACATGTGACTACGCTACAAACCTTTTCGAGGATTCTTAATTCCTCTGGTAACATAGGTCAGTCAGAAATTGGCACACCTGCGCCCCAGTCTAATTCACTCGACCTTTTCTTACAAGGAAATCAACCAAATTCACATGAGCAAAGCATTGTGATCACGAAGATTTTTTCAAGAACCGTAATACCCAAGGCCAATATCAGCCAGCCTGTGAGTGAATCACACGATCTTTCGGCGTGGAAACCCCACCCTTACCAACTTAATCTCCAATGCAATCTTCAACGAAGTCCATATTCACACATATGCGCCCGCATGCAGAGCCACCAACCTCCACACACCATTGATCAGCCTATACTGATCTCCAAGCAACCCAATCCGATATCTTTAGTTTGCCAACCCAGCAGAAATCCCAAATCGAACAACTCATCGCTCACCCACACAGTCACGATCACAAACCTTGGCCCCCCAGCCAAACACCTGTTCGCCTATCCACGATCCCCGCTTGCCTTGCAGGAAAAACAACCCCACCGCATGCATATCGCTATCGAGGCCTCGACCCAGGGAAGCAATATACCCATCCCATTAGACCAGACCGCGAGGGAGACAAGATCCCGGACGCTGGATATTAGGCGAACTCCAAAGGCCAGCTGAGCGGGTTACGTCTGACCACCGCTTTTTGTATGTAGTGTATGTACGGTCGCACAGGGAAATGCATGTGCAGACGACGCTTGCTGTGGATAACTATGTATGTACGGAGTACGGAGTATTGTATGTAACTATGTATAATTCTCCCCAACCACCTCACCTCACTCCACACGACATACGTACATGCAAGCGAAGCCAAGCAGGAATCCTCCGAACAAGTAACCCGCCGCTATCGTACACGATAGAAACAGCAAGTCGGACGTTTGGGCTCTCCGCGCCTCGCCTCGTCTCGCCGCACCTCGCCTCGCCCTCCCTCCCTCCGCGAAAGGAAGGATTCGGAGAGACCAAGAAAAACGTTTTTACCCGCACAAGCGACGCGGTATGGCTGCGGCGTTGGTGCCCCATCCTTCGAGGATCCCTCACTAACTATCGTCCTTGGGGGTTAGTGGCTGGTTTGGGTGCTGAGTCTCTTCCCCCCCTCCTCTCAACAGTCGGAATGTACTGTGTAGTCGGTGGATGAAAGCTGTACATGATCACAGGACATGTGTTGGTAATCAGCACAAATTGGTGTGCTAGCAAGGGGGGTATGGATGGATGTATGCATGGGGGGATTTTAGGTACATATGCTTTCCTAGCGAGGGAAAAGCAACGATGGTAAATTGGTGAGAAACGGGAAAGGAGGACTTGGGGATTAAAGTAATTACGACAGAATAGGAAAATGCAGGATGGGTGTTGATGATGATAATGCACATCTGGATCTTTACATCGCGGCCCCCCTGCTCACGTTTGGAGAAGATGTGGAAAGGAAGTAATGAATGGATGGCTCAACACACTCCCATCTCCCCCCACCGCACTTGAAAATCACATCACAATCCCAAATGCGTCACAGAAATCGAGATAACTACGAGAGAAACATCCCCGTTATGCTAACTATTAGGGCCATTTTTGGCGTCTCGTTCAGACTGGGGGGATTTGGCAGAAAGCACGGGGGTATGGCCTAATTCGGAGGACGGGACGACGAATATGGAAGATGTGGCGTTATGAATAGCTTTTTTGAAGAAGAAAGTGGATAGGGAGGCCGGGGGGTGCGATTACAAGTTTGTCGGTTTTGCTTGTTCTGTTCAAAGTGTCGTGTTGGATGATGTGTGGATGTGAGGGCGACGGCGAACGGCGTGGGTGTGGGGTGGAGATGGTGGAGGAGGAGGCACAGTGATGATGATGATGCACGGAATTGGCACATGGGAGAAAGTGGAAGCGGGACGGTCGGGAAGTTGTGGCGGCGTTGGTGTCAATAACGATGGCGATGATAAGTATGACTATGAGAGATCGAAAATTCGACGTTTGAGAGTGGCTTGCTGTTCAATCTATTGGCACTCCGCCCCTTGTTCACTTGACACCACAATCTAGATTGGGAATATTTTGCTTGCTATTCTTTTGTGCTGCATGTGCAGAACACTTCAATATACATCATCGCCCGAAAGCTGGGTTTTGGAATGGTGATAAGTATACACAGTCCACAGTATAGGATTTTCTACCTAGGATGTTCGGAAGCCCTTGTCAGATCACTTCCTGTACCAGCTTTTCTCATTGCGCTTGTGTTACAGCGCGCGTGCTTCTTCGTACCCAGAAACCAGTCTTTAGGGAAATGAGCAGAGAAAAGAAACGTGTGCATTGAAAACCACGCGACATGCACCATCCGGAGGAGGCAACGATTCGCTATTGACGTTGACAGCTGTCATCCAGGCATGTTCTGCATACACTGTCACAAGAAACCATTCCGAATGAGTGCTATGCTGGAGAGAATTATATCATCATGGTCCCTCAAAATGTACTCAGTTTTGACATTATCGTCCGAGATCTTCCCTCCCGATACCGCGCGCTGCCGTGTTCCTTTCAGGATGGAGTGGCGTATGTAATTTCCGTATCAAACCCTAGCAACGCATCCCTCTATCTGCAATCCATTGCGAGGAGCTTACCTCCTCAGCCTTGTGTTATCGCGTTGGTACGTCCATATTGATGCCGTAGATATCTTGCCTCAATATTCCGTAATTATTGCCCGGTCAGCAATTGCCGGCCTGGTCTGAGCAGAGCAGGGAAGGGGGAAAATTGATCAATGATCCAAGCTCGCCTCACGTCCCATATTCAACCATCGGTAGGAAGCCGAAGCCGAAGTTGAGCGGTGGCACGATGGTTTTCGGAAGCAACGAAGCGCAGTGCTGGCTCTCCCTACGAGCTACGAGCTGGAGGTCGAGAACACGAAGCAGAAAAGGAAATATGGGTGGCCAATGCCATTGGTCGATTTGGGGGTTAACCTCCGTACAATTTAACCAAGCGGAAGCATTTGATTGGTTTCAGCTGGCGCGATTTCGAGACAAAATAGACTTTCGAAATTGGGGGAGGAGAATGCAAAGTGTCGACTATCGAGTCACGGTTCATGGAGGATGCAAGCCACCAGGAAATAATATGCACGCTCGAATCATCGAGGCTGTCATCACGATATCGGCAACCTGCCATTCTCGTCGTCCCTTTACCAAAAGCGCTCACGATGGCCTCATCGATTCTTCTAATCGAGAGACTCGCAACGCGAAGATACAATCTATATTGCCTAGACGAGGAACTAGATCCTAGCCCGCTCCACCCAATCCGGCCAGGCATACGAGACGTCGTGAAACATCGCGAAAGAGCGCTCTCCCTGCTCCATCCGAAAGAAGGTTTTCCAATGGAAAGAATGAGAGACAGCAGGAAGATCTAGATCTCAACATGGCGAGAATCCAGCCAGGTAGCTTCAGCCTTGCGTTTTGGGTTATGGGGGGCCGAATGGGCCTCGCTTGCGCCTAATACCCACAATTTCCTTTCCCCTATCCCGGGAACTAATATTGCAGGTTCTGCTATTAACATACCTAGGTATGGATTGTCTTACCTAGATCACAGTCATAGGAGCATGTATGTACAATTTCACAATTTACAACACAGCATGCGAGTTGGAAGGAATGTGTTCGTCTTACCTACATACATTGAACTGCATCGGAAGGGAGACCTTCCGGAACTCCCAACATCCCCACGAGCAAAACCTACGAATTGGATCGTCTCCCGCAGTGTTGGTTCTACAGGTACACGTCAAATGAATAGTGGAACCTACGCTGTATTGTATGTCCTTATGTAATTGCTCCAACTCCACTGCGAACAAGCACAGCACAGAAGTGGACCTTAACAAAAGCCAACTAAGGGTTCCAATACCAAGGGTGAGGAGGCAGAGCTACGGGGCACTTGTCCATCACAATGCTACCTTAATCTGTCCGCTGCAGAGTTACGCGTCCTCGATTTTCTCGGGGATGTTCGAATTGTAGTTACGAGTTATAGACGCACGCATTTGCAGCAATCTTTCTCACGAGAAAACGACAAAGGTGGTGCGCAAGTCTTCTGGAAAGAAACTTTCCATGCTTCCAGATTCCAATCTGTCGGAACGCATGAACACCCACCCCCCTCCCCTGTAACAAAGGCACGACTAGACTTTCCCTTCCACTGCATTTCCCTATACACCGCAACACACAGGGCACAGAGACTTGGAGAGCAAATGTCATAGAGAGGGGCGTCAATGCGTGTAGGTGTAGGCAATACAATGCATTAAACAACCATCGTGAAGACCAGACCCACGATGCTTTGGACCTGGTTGTCGGGTCCGGTGTGCTTGTCTTCGCCACGCGCACGAGGGATCTGTTTTTGGAGGGGAATGTTATGCGTTTTGATGGGCGGGATGTAGGCGAAGTGTTGAGATGGTGGTACTAGCCAACATCAAATGCGTTTTGTATACAATTCGGGAAAGAAATTTTATTTTCCTTTCATGAGAGAGACTGTCTGAAGAGTAGGGAGTGGGAGGTGTTGTTTCGATGGGCTCTCTCTCAGCTGTAGTCTGTCTGTACAACAATGCTCATGGATTTTTTCCTAATGCGGGTATACCTTCCTCTCGACCTCACAACATCAAAAAGAAACTCAAGACATCACGCACTACAGCGCAGAAACTCCTTTCTTCCATCTACCAAGAATCCTTTGAGTTCACGTCCTGTCACAAAGCCAAAGTCACCGTTACATACCCACCTAACAGCCTGATCGACTATGCGGCAAGCCTTTGGTTGCATTGTGGATTCAAGCCCGCCACCACGCGAGCGACCTCAACATCCGATTGTATAAGTCGCTTTTCCCAGCTCTATGTTCCACAGGCAGTGCGTGCAAATGTGTAACACACATCACACAGCATCGCACCACGCTTCTCCAAAACGCCGTAGACACCCAGAGGGCTTCCCTATCATCATTGAATATGGCGGTTTAACATACCCCGTACGGACGCCCTTAGGGAGAGGGATAAACGCCACGGTGTAACCAGTCACGCCATTGCGCAGTGCAGCCACTGCAGAAGACTTGAGAGCCCAAGATCGTACGAGAGGACAACGCAGAGCAGGAGGAGGGAGTCTGTCTGCCTTTGCATCATCGCGACGAGAGGGAAAATGTCTACGGAGCGCTTGTCGACAACCGCACGTCGCACTGCATGTATAGCGCTGGCGGGTTTTCCAGTCCTGGTCCCAACGATTTTTCACTCGGGGCTTGCTTTTGGGGAAGGGGGGGTTCGATTACCGCTTCGGCTGATGAGATGGGTGATGACGGTGCGTGATCTCGTCCGCTTGTTCGGTCATATGTACGATGATTTTCACGATTGGCGAAGTAGAGACCCGGTGTGAAGGGCTGGATGTGCGGTTTTGTAGGGGTGATCGTGGCATTGAAGGATGGGGACTGGTACCCAGGGCCCAACGCGGTGGGTTTTGTCACTTTTGTGCAAGGTTGATGAGAGAAAATGGGGGTTGATGGGGAGGCAGAAGACAAGGACAGGTGGTTAGCAGGATGGGAGGTGGAGTTTTGACGTTTCAGACAGTTCTGTGGCCGTGGCGGGGTTACACTGACGGCCAGATGGTCGGGTGCCCGGTTAGATGGTAGTACAAACTGAGGCAAAGTGGACTGATCGGAAACCATAGGCTTTTTTGGTCAGAGGGAGGCATTGGACAGAGTGAGGGAATTTCCGTGTGCGGTAGAGGGCGCGTGTGGATTGCGCGGGCTGATTGTGAGATTGCTAGTACATTAGTTTCTTCAGCTAGGTTGTGGATAAGCACGACTTTTTACGCAAAAGACTTGATGGAGAGATAGTATGATGAAGAAGGTAATGGTACCCAGCCCCCTCAGAAAGGAGGCAGGTCCGTTGGTATGCTTGAAGCGATTACTTGTAATACTGTTGGCTAATGTGCTTGATCGTGTTCATGCCAACCTGATTAAGATACTCTTATTGATCAAGTGATGTTCAGACAAACCCCCGTTTTGAAAGCGTCCCAGCATATGTCCATGAATGGTCCTAGCGGTTCGATGAAAGAATGGGTGGTAAGGTAAAATATAAAATCGAAAAGAAGGCAATCGCCCGTATTGTAAAGAGCGCTGAGCCATCGTCACTCGTCGTCTTTACTCATTAGGAGATTATTATACGCGTAGAGTATGGTCTACGTAGCCTCGGCGCTCGACGTTGCCGTGTCATCTTCGACTGCAAGGGCTTTGAGCTTCGCTTCGACCTGGCGTATGACTTCCGGATCGAAGGATATCTCCTTTTTGACACGCTTGAGCCTAGCGATGTTAGTCAACGTTGCTCCGACATGGACCGAGTGATACATACGGTTTCCTGACACACTTCTCGCACCGCTCATGCCCACACCCTGGACACTGCGGTGACCCCTCTATGAATTGACTCTGACAATTGTCACATTCCCACCGGACTCTTGTTCTAGGCTTCCTCCATATGCGTCGTGCCATTGCTAATTCGAGTTCATGCTCGCGTTCCACTTCCGTCTCGCTCTCCGGCTCCACGTCACCGGGGTACCCGTTGGGCCATTTGTCGAGCTTCGCAGGCTCCCTTGGACACTTCGTGCAGCGTATGTGGCGACAGCCTTCGCAGACGGTAGCCGTGGGCGGAATAAACAGCCCTTGGCACCTGTGGCAGGACCGACGCACACGCTGCTTGATAGGCTGGTAGACCCTCTCCTCGCCTGACTTTGTGGTAACCGTCAACAGCTTCTTTTTCTTCTTTGGCTTCTCGGCAGCCTCCTTCTCTTTACCCTTCTCGAGTGGGGACTTCTGCTTAGGATAGCGAGGGCACCTCTTGCAGCGTTTGTGCTCGCACTTGGAGCAGATCTTATCGGGCCCAAAGGTTGTCTCGCAGTGGTGGCAGGTACGGTGGACTCGCATGCGGATGGGCTTCTCGACACGTTGGACCTGGGTAGGTTGAGCGGGGGCGGAGATCCATTCGTGCGATTCGAGGGTCAGGCCGTATTTGGCGAAGAGGGCGCGGGCACGCTCCTGCTGGAGAGCGCTTCGGTTCAATTGCTGAGTAGTTGCGCCTGGAGGAGGGACTTTGGTTGACGGAGTCGCAGCAACGGTTGCGGGCGCGGGCGTAGGCGTGGTGGTTGCGATGGCAGCGGCGGGGGCACTGGATAAGCGTTAGTTTGCGACGAGATCTGTATAGATGGATGTGGAGATGCCAATGTGTAGGTAGTCGCACTGATTGATAGAACAGGACAGTTTGAAAAGAATTAAGGAACGGGGAGATGTTGAACGTACGGTTGGGTCGTGGTTGTTTCCTCCTCCTTGATGTCAACATCCTGCGCTTGCGCCGCCTTGGAGGAAGAGGCAGGTGCACCCTCGCTGGTGACGCTCTTGGGCGACTTCTCCTTCTTGAAAACGCTGCTCATCCTCTTCACGTACTTCCCCAAGCTCCTGCGCCTGTCCACATCCTTTGTCTCCGGAACACTCGAGCCCGTGGGCGTCGACATAACGAACTTCGAACTGGACTGAATCTGGTTTGGTTTGGTTTGGTCGGATCGGAGGAGGGAGGAAGACGATTGACGGGGGGGCCAACGGCGTTAAAACAAGAAACGGGCGACCGAACCCAGCAACACGTCGACGGTGTGCAGACGGTAGTGCAGTTGAGGAATTGAAAAGGTCAATGGTCAGACATGCATGCAGTGAGAATGGTCCCCGGAAAGCGGTGCTGAGATACGAGTATTGTGGGTGGTGGTAGTGGTGGTTGCTGGTGTTGGATGAGACAGCGACGAAACTCCGGGTCGACCGACGGCGCGGTATGGGTAAGAATAAAAGAGAGCGATGGCAAACGAGGCGCACACCAACGATCGATCTTATCCTTTTCCTCCAAATGAATCCCAACGGCAACAACAATCGAGCCCTCGACGGCAGCGATATTCGAAACAGCAAGATATAGCAAGAGTTGAGGGATGCTCCCTGTGAGTGTTGTCTGGCGGAAGGGGCCTCGGTGCGCACGCAGTGTGTGAGCGGCGGGCGGGACCAAGAGCGAGTTATGTACGGCAAAAGGACACAAGAGAGGGAACAACTGGGGGCATCAGACCATGATACCCAATAATGGCTCGCGAGTCGCAGGTGTCAAGGTCGGTGCTGGACCACCTGCTACTCTACTCTAACTCTACTCTACTTACCCACCCACCTCTACCCGCTACTGGAGTCTGGTGCTACCCAGCAAACCGGTGCAGCACCGCACCTTGGAAGTTCGACCCACGCGCAGGCGTCGTCGCTAAGCACACTCTGGCCGGCCCGGGGGGGTCGTCGACCATTGCTGATGGTGGAAGCCAACGCCGTGTGCTGTCCGTGTGGCGGGCCAAGTCGGGCGATAACCACCAAAAAAGTACTCTATCATATGTATGTACGGGCCATGTACTGCACTTTTGCTCCCATCTGTATGTACGGAGTATGTACAGTACTGTGTACATACAGTACATACACACATGTATACATGCACTACTGTTGGTGGTGGTTGTGGTCATAGTGATTGATGGTCACGGTGGTAATGGGTTTTTGCTACCAATATTACCCGTCGGCATTTACAGAGGAATGGTCCATTGAACGCTCCACTGCATACCTCTCCCCTCTCTCTCTCATCTTCCAACTGGATTTCCTTTGTCGTCTGCAGGAAAGAGTCTGCAAGGGAAGAAGCTCTTCACAGGCATTGATCCCACTGACCGTCCTCCTCGTTCCAAGACGCTGCACCGGCGTCGAAAAGTTATGCACACCAACGCCACGCTGTGCGCCTCGCATTTCGCAACTGAGGCCCTGCCACCTGGTGTGCCCGCTGGCAGGGAAAGTTTCCACTGGAATGGACAGAGCGGAGTAAGACCCAGAAACGGATAAGAGGGCCATCCCCGGGCGTCGCAAGGCCTGCGAATAGTTACCCGCTGCGAACGCCACCAGCAGGCCCTGTCCCTCACCCGTCCCCTCGCCAGAACCAAGGTGCCGCGGCGGCAGTCTGTGCGTTGAAAATGGGGGAGAACTGGGATGGCCACGACGGTTGTGGGTGGAGACATGGATAGGAATCATAGGATCCTCTGTGTTAGAGCCCAGCTTGCCGCTCTCCCTAAATCTATCAGCATCATCATCTCATGATCTCCAATTCTCCCACTCCGGACTGCGACCATTATAAGGCATCAAGTGATAACTTGGATGGCCTCGACATTACACCCACTTCACCGCTTTCGAACACACATACAACAATCATCTGCACATGCACATATCCTCCGTGTTGTCTCCGTTGAAGTTATCCGACCCCTGCCCACAGTTGCTTCTTACAATCAGCAGCCGGGGATGTCGCAGCGACCAGCGTCACGCCGCAACCTCACATTGCCCGGGTCGATTTAACCCAGCAAATGACCCGTTTGCGGATCACAGCCATGCAAATTCCGTTCCCATATTGCATTCATCTACACGCGTGCACCCAACTCTGCACACCACCGAACGAGGTCGACAAGATCCCCACTATGTATGTCTTCTTTTCGCTCTCCTGCTGCCGTCACACGCGATGATGAGCATATACCAAGTTCAGCGTCTGACGACTTCTACAAGCAGTGTAGCAGTGTCGCCCCTTGTAATGACCCGATTACACATGTCAATCTGGTTGTTCTGACGCAGATGAGTTGAAGATACTCGTAATCACCTGCACGAGATATCCCCAGATCCAGATGGTAAACGCCAGTCGCCGCTCTTCCCCATCAGGACACTTTGCTCCACAATTTCCTATTTTCCCTCGTAGACTTTCGGACGTCATGGTTGGCCCGAATAGCACCATGCAAACGTGCAGAATATGCTTGGAACACCACCACCCCTCATCTCGGGATTGGACCACCATGACTTTTCCACATCATCCGCTTGCCACAGCATTGATTTGCATCACCTGTGCCTCATTCCACCACATTTGCCTGGCTTGTGCTTTGGAGAGAAGCCAACACAACGTGCATTCGTTTTGCTCTTCAATTCATCATCCGTCCTATGTCATCTTGTAGGAAATTCGTGACCGCCTTGACATTCCTGCTCCGCGGAAAGTCTCTTCCCAAGATGCATTGTGGTGGCCCCGTCGACCTGGATTATACTTGCACGCAGAAATCCTGCAATATATATTCATCCAATGAACTGCCAATACCGAAGGGGGTGTACATACTAACCATCGCCCAATAGCCACGCACAAGACTTTCAGTCCCATGGCCAAAATTCTGGACTCTTAATAACTCAGTTATTGCATCCTTCTGAGTGCAAAATGTTATTCGAAGGGGCAATCCGCTATCATCCCTTCAGAATGATAACGGCTGTGTTTCAATTTGTCTCATACCGTCAATGGCAAAATTTACCTCTACATTGGTGCAGTATGCTTCCTTACCTGGACTTCGTGCGGTGATCGCTCAAGCTCTTCATCTGCAAGTACCTCGCAAGTCGCAACGGTTTCTTCCTGGAGTTGAAAATAACGTCCAAAAGAATGTCAAAGTGGAGTCTCGGTGCTCACATCTGCTACTAGAAGCGACTCGAACTATTTACAAGTACATCGGTAACTAATACGAGCCGGCCACTAGTATGTGCCCCTAATCTCTCTTCCGAAGGTATGTATATTCCTATCCTGCTATTACTGAGTGGTAGAATAGATAAGTCTCTTGTATTTATTGTCGATACTACGATTTTATACAAGATGCCACGCTGCGACAAGAACCAATTTCACATGGTTTCATGGTACTGGAGTGCCGAACCCTGACTTGGCGGGATCATCAAACACTTCCCTGCTTCGATCAAACGCTCCTACATACATACCATTGCACAATTAAGATGGCCTAGAATACAAAGCTTGCATCAGCAGAAATCTGGCATAATGCCGCCCATACGAATGAGTTATCTAGGAGCAAGGGCGCTATGAAGACAACCCAAACTCAACTTGGGATTGCGAGTCCGCCGGAAGCCAGTGTGATACGATAAAACCATGTACAGCACAATCATCGCGAGCCTCGTAACGGGCATTAGATGCGACCACGGACGACCATTGAATTGGAAAACCCCATCGTAATCATCCCACCTCAGGCGCGGAACCACCCTCATCCGACCGCGGGCAAAATGTTTGAAACAAAAGCGGGCTATCTGCACGCTGCCGATAACAAAAAAGCCGTTGTGCAAGGGGTTCAACTTTTGGTAAACCTGGAATTCGTAGGACGAGTTTCATGGATCAGGCGTCATCAGTCTGAAACTGGACTTTTCGGGACCGGGGCCGTACCAATCTGGTATTGGTTCACCCGCAAGTACGGGCTTTTAACCACATGGGGTCTCCGGGCCGTTGAAAACCAAGTCATGCTTGCTCCTTGTAACCCCAGGTCAATGATTCCCCCATTCATCAGGGGATTCAATGGTTATGTTAACTTGATACAACGTTATTACTTACAGAGGCTTCAGGAACAATATCTGGGATTCTGTATATATTCGTCAGCCATTCAGCGCATCAATTGTACGCCAGCGTCAACTTTCGCAACAATTGGCGATATCCCGCCCCCGGGCTGTAACGTCACAGGGATTCGATCCATTCAGATAGCCCAAGTCGTTGGGCTCAGGTACTGCGTCCGCGTACCTTAGTGATGGTAACTTGTGGTTAGTAACCCGTGTTGCGAGGGTTTTGTATTGGAACGAGCGGACCTCGAGCGAATCCGTATAAGCGGTTACATACTGCCGCTGCGAACGACTTTTATCTATCCTCACTTGTAACCATTGCCATCATGTCCGAAGCATTGCGTAGTGCGTGCGAATTGGTTTCGTGGTTATTGGGCAAGTATCATAATATCAGAGTTAATGTTATAGTCACTACTGAAGAAACAGGCCATACTATCGCGACGTTGTATCGCTAGATGTTGGAACAAGACGAGATAAGTTTAGAGCCATACGTATTCAGAAACCCCTTCAGGGGCGGACAAGATCCGGACCAAAAATCTCCATTGCTGTTACGATCGAAAGACGGCACGTTGTTGAAGTAGATGCTTGCCATTATTGAATCTATGTTGGCTATCGGCCAGAACCAGGTCCAACTCCTACCAGTGTCACAGTATACTTCCCTAGATTCAGTGCATGCAAGGTACACTGTTGTAGCGGCTCCTCGTCCAAGACTCATTCCATTGGTTTCCGTTGATTCGGGGAAATACGTCACTGACAATCTCTCCAACTCACTACATGCAAACTGACTGCATGTCCTTTTCAATGCTTGTTCTCACATCCAACACGGGGACATCGTCGTTTGTAGAAGTTTATCCCTAGTTGTACTTCTGTTCAGGTCCACTTTCTTTCAGATAGTTCTCGATCAACATGTATCGTTCCCGTCAAGCATGATCACACATCATCTCCAGAACTGGGACTTCAGTAGCTATCAAAGCCCAACCTAATTGCCTCGGTTCCTGATACCCCCTACCTTTCCAACCTTTTGTTCCCATGGTGCATTGATACCCTAAAGAGTTATCGCCTTTGCATATCTATTCTCAAATCTGTTCTCGACCATGCGTTGATAACTGGATAGTAACAGACCCAGGGGTCCAGGAGACCACGTACATTGACAATAATGCTGTCGTGTCGGCCGAAGAGAACCCCTAGAAGACTATGTCAATAGCCAATACCATAGGGCAACGACAGCTGAGCAATGATAGCGTTCTAGTCGTACGTCGTACAGTAAGATAAAGTTCCATTTTCTCAAATGAGGAAGACCTCACCCCGCAATCATGCATTGTCTAGAACAACGATGCCATAACGACATCTCCATAGCGTGATGGACTGTCGTCTGATATTTGCTCAAGGATAAAGTGTATTTGCTTTTTTTTTGAACGCAGCTCGTGCCTTTAGCTCTTATACCAAGACTCGCCGGATGTCCATGGAACAACCCGCAGCCTACGTGGACTATCCGAGCGGATTGATCGGCCAACTTAGTTCGAGATAGTTCAACGGTAACTCCCATAACCACAGACCATGCTGACCGCAAAGAGACAGACATGAGCCTCCGACATATGTCGGGCTAAGCTAGGGACCGGCTCTACAATTTCCGGATCGGGCCGACCTCTCTTCGTATGCAGTGGGCTGGAACATCTCCCAATTCACAAGCAAAATGCCCAAAGGAAAAAGAAAACACTAAGTGCTCTCAAAAATGCATCAATAGCACCACCTACATTTCGCAAACCTCTCCCTCCCAATCTTTCACATGAATTCCATCGCAATTGCAGCTCACAACATCCACCACTCTCCACGGCAATTCCTCCCGAGCACACCATGCCGATCACCACCTCAAACCAACACCACACCTGCCAATCCCTTCCCCTCTCTCCCCCCCAAACGACTCTAAAAACGCAATGCAGCCACGCCGCCGCATGGCTACCAAACCTTAACTACCGTCACTAGAATAACCTTTTCTTGATCGCCGACCCGAAAACGCATGGCGTGGCGTCTCCCAACTTCCAAGAGCACGGGATTTCTCTTTCCTCTCTAGCTTTGCTTGTTTGGGTATTTCCGTGATGTTTGGTTATTTCCATACGGTGTTTTAGCGCGAGGATGGGGGAGAGGATCGGCAAAGAGGAGAGATGGAGATGTGAGTGTTTCCTAATGAAGGAGGGTCGTGTCTGGATTGAGACGCAGTTCGAGCGAAAAGAGTGGTTAGCGTGTTACTGATAGTGGATTGAGATCGACATTGATAGGATATGGTGAGTTTTCTGCACGTGGTAAGTAGTAGTGATAGTGACGGACATTCGTTCCTGTGTGTACCTAGCGTTTTGCTTCCTATAGTGAGTTTAGGTAGGATGGAATTATGATCGGATTGGATTTGTGTGGCAGAAAGAGGCAGAGCTGTTTCTTTGCATTTCTCCATGTTCATCAGCTGAAATCATGAAATGCTTTCCTTTAGATTTGGGACAGTAGCGTAATGAAGTGTTCTTCTGAGAGGTAAATGCTGTACAGTACTAGATATTGTCAAAGTGACATCGTAGAGCTTCATTTATGGACATTTGACCGACCGAGAAAGTGAGCTTGTTGCGATTGGATGATAAGAGGTGGTATGTAGCACCGGAGGCCATTATCTATTGCAATGTGTTGGTTCCGTATGGGATAGAGCGTAATAGTTAACCACGGATAGTGATGGCCTTTTATCTCTATTAGCCACTGTGCTTCTTTATCATCGATGTTATACGTCTGCATATCTGCACAAACTGATATGTTCGAGATAATTTGCCTCTTCTTGTTGACTTCGATCCTGGGGCTATGCATGGCGAGCGTTTCTTAGTTTGTTGGTTGTTTGACTCGAACAGTGTAATGTTGACTCGAATATACTGATGTTGAATGGGACAGTATAATATGTACTCGAGTAACATAATCTTCACTTAAATAGTTTATTCTTTCTCAATTATTACAATCAACCCTTTCCATGCTGAGCTTCTTTTGTAGGGACAGTGCAAATGGCGTAGTAGAGACCCGGAAATTATAGTGTGGTTTATATGGATGACTTGGTCGGCGGGTAAAAGGGTTCAAGATTTAACATAATCTTAGTGCATTGATTAGATGCCTTCTATCACAGACTGTCTGGTCGCATTTACACAATGTTGTAGTTGCCCTGAAGGCATTCGTCACGACTTTCTAGTAAATTTCAGAAATGAGGCAGAATGAAATATGTGGGCAGTGAATGTATTAAGCATGCAAGTAACTGCCACACTTTGAGGATGTTGCAGCACGCGTAGACCACAAGAGTGATTTGTTGTGTCTAGACTATTGGACCTACTCAGAAATACTACCATGTATCAATTTGATGTCGTTATTTTGCGACCTGCTACATTGACGTAGCTATTCAGCTATCAGCCGCCTCAGACCATACAGGAAGATCTCCAGCATATCCTTTGCACCTTTCGTCACTGAGCGAGGTTGGCCGGCCACGGTTACATTTGCAAGTGCAATTAGGATGGACGAGTTGGTCTAAAGATGTATGACACTCATGTCTGGCAAAGGTCAGTGAACAGACTTCTACGGTGTATCCTTCAACGGAAAGGAACTCACGATAAGTCACAGCCACCTTCTGAAAGTAACGGAGTATCGGCGGTGAAAACCCGTTCAGTAAAGTTAAGACTTGTGTATTCACACGCAAAAGTTGAATTTCCAAATTCATCCTCTTTATCCATACGATGACACTTTTCCGAAAGCTCTTCATTATGTCCTGCATTTTTGGGAAGGTTCGTCGCCGCAAGATTCTCTTTCTCGTTATCTCCAGTCCTGTTGAGTATCCCTGGTTCCAACATATTGCTTTGGCTTAGGCTTCTCCAATGCCATAAAATTTCGTAATAGTAATACAGGAAGAACCAGGAATAGTTGTCCGCTTCGCAGGCTTAGTAACGTAGTAGCGAAGAGTCGGTTCAGCACGAGTTTCATGGCTGACTCACCGTTTAAAACGACACCTAAATTAGCTTTTGGTGATTTCATATGGGCATACTCGCGACAATTACTTTCACCGTAGATGTGACGCCACTGCCCATCGCCGTTGAAAGTTTCTACCTGGTCCCCAACTGTTGCAATTTAGCTTTATCCATGATAGATTTTTGACATAGCTTACTATGTTCCTCATACCCAAAGTCATCGACATGCATGAGTTCATGGGCAACGGCTCTCTCGTAAGTATCCAAGAAAGCAATTTCAGAAGAGGGCTTTTGCTTTTGTGACCGATCTTCCAAGTATCTCAGGGGACCATCGAAAAAGTAAGGACAGAATATAATTGTGTACTTGTGGTCTATATTTGACTATTTAGCAGAAGTGAATAGGTTGGGTGGATACATACACTCGCTCTGCCAAGGTTGAGTCGTGAGCCCGGGCCTTGAACGAACATGTTAAGAAGAGTGACACAGAAAGAAGAGGCATGGCCTACGAATTTCGTGAACATGACAACCGAGAATATTTGGCGATTCTGCATGAGAGCCATGCCCTATTCTCGGGTTCAAACGGCGGGATTCCATATTTTGCGACTGTGCGGGCAATACCGATATTCTCTATGCAAGCAAAGAAGTCAGAAAGGAAATGAACCAATTCATGATGTCAGGGAAAGGCAACACTGGGCCTAAGGATCAGATCTTACTTTGAAGTACTTCAAATTGGTTTTGAGTGTATTGGTCAGATTGTAGCCAGTAATTCCGAAACCCGAAATAACGGGACCAGGCGTAGCTACGAGTTAGTACGGTGCTCGGGTTGACTGCATTTTCCATCATTTTTTGGGCGCCGTAGAAGGCGTTTATGATCATAAGTGGTTGTCTATCGTCGCAAATATCGGGCCTGAAAGCTTCTCGCCAATAGATTCCTCTGAATGCATACTCAAGCTCATCAAGATGATATCCCACTCTGACATTGGCTTGAGAACGTTGTGATTGGCCAATTGGACTTGCCACTGCGAACAGTGATACAAACAAAGCGGAAAAGATCCAAGTGCTAAACATTCTGGATCGAAACGAAGGACCAGCTTAGAGGGTAAGCTGTCAGTCCAAGGAGATGGCGAGAGAAGGAAGTTGAACCTCAGTAGCTGGGCTTTTAGCCATTTTTCGAAGATTCACAAACCACTTTATGTCCGTCATTTCCTGTGTGCCATTGAATCGTTGCAAGACGTATCTTTGCCCTCGCACGCTGTAACGCTTCAGTAACGCTTCCGTTGCACCAGTGCCCTAGGTAACCACACCGTCAAACGCCAGGCCTAATCTTGTACTTCCAGCGTCTCTCTATGAGTAGTACGTATTACAGTTCGATGTTGCCATCTGTCGGAAATATCTTGAGGGCATGCTGTGACCTGCACTTGTGGTGCACTCCCGACCCGGACTAGCGTATCTTACACCTTCACCATAAAGGAACCTTGCAGACTGGTTCGCTCTTTTCACCCATCTCCACAACACACAGAAAATCAATCGAGTAGCAATGTCGTTTCACCTCAAACTCCTACTGCGATTCCTTCTTCTTAATTTTCCCTTGCTGTCTCTTTGCAAGCGGATGGACTCGAGTTTCCCATACGCAATAACACTGGGTCCTTCGAGAATATTTGCATCCAGGGCAACACAGAATGGCGAAGTCGAAGTCTTTCCTTTCAATCCTGGCCATGGGTATACGACGTATCTCGATGGTGTTATTCAGCACTACGCAAGAGAGCCATCGAAGCAATCTCCACGAAACGAACATGCGGCCCTTCCCATAATACGTGACGCCATCAACAACATCAGCAAAGAATTGAGTGCAACGCTAGGTTATGAACCGGTTTATCGAGCACTCCTTCTACCAACACTCTTCGACGACTCGTCATCGGGGGCGGCAATTGACGTGCTTTTTCCGAATGGCACGGCCCTTGCTCCAGGAGGACCTAACCATGTCACGGACGTGGCTGGTGCAGCAGGTTACGCATACCATTTAGACCAGTGTGAGAATCTTGGTCTTTCACCTTCCGAGTGTACCAAAATCAATCTATTGCCCAAATTTCTTCTTGTTGTGGAGTACGAGCATGATTATCTCCACCTTCACCTCGCATCGGTGGATGTAAGGCATCAATTGTTTCCAATCATCCGTAGCCAGCATTTCGAAACGTTTGGAGAGGGAAGTAGAGATCGTCTAAGTCAAGTGAGTCGCGAACATCCCCTCTTTCTTAACGAAATGAAAAGCTGAAATCAGGCAGAGCCTTGGAATGAAGAGGTACCGTGCACACTTATCCGATTCCATCAAGAACTTCATAAAGACCGGAGGCGGTCACCTTTACAGGCCCTTTAAAGCGGAACATATTAGAGCTATTGTTGGATTTGGAGATGCACCTGGCGAAGCCTTCACTGAACTCCTAAACATTACATACGAGGCGGTGGGCAATGAAAGGGCAAAAATCATGAGCGGCATAGATCCAGCGTATGTGGCAGCATATGGAGCAGCTATGTTTGCACGAGAGACAGTATTAAAACCAGAGCGCTGGCGGGTGCATGGTGCGCATTTGGAGTTGTAGTCGAATTGGTTTTTTTGATAGTAACCCAACAAGCTACGTAGCGAGATAGTGTGCAGCCCAAGTGGCTCTCTCCAAGAATACTTTGACTTTCCCTATTGAAATAAATCATGCACGGCCTAGTGATATCGGTGTTTCCTGGGAAGGTACCTATTCCGAGTCTAATCTTAAAACTCGAACCTCGATAAGAAATACCACAAACATTCACCCGTGGGAAGCAACCGTACGCAACCTGCCACAATCGCAACCTTGCGCGTAAATCTCGATCACACGACGAACATATAACGACACATGTATCCCTGCCATTACATGTTACCTGCTATCTTCCCTCCCATCATTACCCTTTCACTACTACTGTCAAATGTATTTTGTGCAATATGATGGATGGGTTTTCACGTTTCTTCCACATACGACCATTGGACTATGAAAACAGGGCTTCCCGTTCGCTCAGCCATACTTAAGCATAGTACCGGCAGACTAGTAGTTGAGTGGGTGACCATCAGCGAATCCCTGCTGTTGTATGTTTTTGTTTTCCTTTTTTTGCCCAGTTTTCTTCCTTTTTCCTAGGTTGTTTGGCTGGAATAATGCCCAAAGAGAGAGTGAGAGATGGTGGTGTTGTTAGTGGGTGTTGATAGCGAGTGAGATAGGTCGGAGGTTGGAAACTTCACCAACATTCTTTATAGGCTTGGCTATGTCATTAGTGTGCCAAGCGCAAAGCAAAATACAGACCTTTCTTTTTTTTTTTTCGAGATGTATTGCTTCAGTAGTAGCATCTATGTTGAAGTGGACAGAGGGCTTTGATGTCGGGTGCACTGCATTCGTCCAACCTTTAACAACTTGACCCCTTGACATCGACGAGTACAAGTCACACCATGGTGCGACAAAATATTACCACATATGATCCTTGCAAAGCCAATTGCCATCCCCAAGAAGTTGAGAATCGCACGACTGATGCTCAGTAATGATGAAATTCCAGTAACTGTGTGAGTCCCACTGGCCACGAAATCTGTATTGGAAACCATGAATGCCTCGTAAACGCAGGTGATCAATATTGTAGCTAATAGTTTGTACGCTATTAAGAGAAGGGTTTTGAGATGATCAGATACTCTTCTTGATCAGAATGACTATGTTTGATTTTGTTGACTTTTACTCCACTGACTTGGCTAGCAATCAAATGTGATTGAAATGGCTGCGCGGTACAGAAATGGCTTTCATTGATGGCAGCCTACAAGTAGAAACGAGGTATACTCAGAAGTGTCTAAGCCTTGTGATGTTTGTTATCGTAGAGAAGGCTCACATGGGCCATACAGCTAATTGTTAATGCAGCGTCATTGGAGCATCCAGCTCAGAATACACGATTACTTAACACTAGCAGATACGCCTGCGCAATGTAAACAGGAAATCATGAAAAGATGGAAATGGGCAGTGCAGGTAATTAAAATTCCATCTTTCCAGGGGAAGAGCCTCCTGGAATCGAATCAGCCTACCCGATTCTCGCTGCCACTGCTGGGAGGCTGTTTAATGTCCGCACAGCCTGGCACCGGCCAAGATGTAGCCGACCCTCCAACTTCAATGAGAAGGCATTTTGAGTGGTCCACCCAATGCAGGTATGCATGGTGTGGGATCATGCACGCACAACTTCCCTGCCCACTTTAACCTGATGGTCTTGAGGTAACATCTCCATTTCTCAAAGGTAGAAGTTCCAGCCCAGGATCAAACCCAGATGCAGTAGAAAGCAGAGTCGAACAGCATCAGCCCAATGTCAGGAATAGAAGCGGTGTCATTGGCGATCGATTCAATGCCAATAGCGCGTGAACTCTGCAAATGTGCGAATGCGCAATGACAGTTAAGTCCTCAGATTCAATATTCCGAAGCACCGAAAGAAATGGGGATGGAAAGGCATTTATCTATTGCAGACATTGCCTTAAACTAATGTACATGCCAGAATTTCAACAGCTCCGTACAAAATTGAATTAAGCAGACTTTTCAACGTTTTGTCTATGCGCCAGGAAGGGATAACCAACATCCTGAACACATATGAAGTCTACCTCAAGACAATGAAGGATGATGCAGGAAGACTTCTCAAAAGGTTCCGGGCGCATGAGAAAAGAAGCACCCCCGAACGGCTCTCAGTTATTTTCCGGGGATAGGCCATTGGGACAATCATCGATGGATATCACGCCCGGACGTTGACGGACAGAGTGACAGTTACGAGAGATTCGATCAATGGTTTTCCTCAAATAATTGTTTCTGACCGAAACGCATTGGACGTAAGTTATGCCGTGAACCTCTTTTGTTGAAATACATGCTGAAGTAATAAACACCAATACATTGACGGAGGAGTTTATACAAATTAAATTCGCCTCGTTGAATTCTCTGTAGTATTGACGGACGGGAGGGTCGTTTGGACTCAGGCGGGGCAAAAAAAGGCAAATTCACAGAGAAAGGCAAAACCACAGAAATTGTCTGATCCGTGTAAAGAAGTGGGGCGGGTAATCTGGCCCCAGAGCAGTAAGGATATCTACACCCAGAGCAGCGTTTTGCACCCCAAGTCCTCAGATGACGACTCCAAGGCAGTGCTTTGCACCCAAAGTCCCAATATGAGGTTGACCCAAGCATCCCGAGAGCTTGATTCAAAGCCCGGCAATTTTGCAGACACAGAGCCCACTAGCCCTCGCTTCTCAGAAACCGATAGTAGGCTCGCAATACTCGTCAGCCTGAGCACACGCACATAGAAGTTGACGACGATTGATGATGATGAATATTATGAGTGAGAAAATTTGAACGAAGACATATCGCAAGAGAAATGTAGATTGTAAATTTTCCACGTGAGATGAATACATAAAAGGAAATTGTCAAAAGAAACATCAATGCTAGCTACTGGGACTTGTAAGAGAAAATTAGGGGTAGGGGAAAACCAACCAAAGAACATAGTGATCGTCAAGGAGAACCTACCTCAGGCGCAGATAACCCCACCAGTTTCGAAAAAACGGAAGGAAAACATACGCTGGGCACGCCTGAAGAACACCACAGCGAGGGACATCATAACGAATAGCATCGTAACGAAGAACATTACAGCGAACAGCATTATGATGAAGAATTTAATAATAAAGAATATCACAACGAATAATACCACAATATGGAAACTCACAATGACGAACATCCCAATGAGCAACATCGTAATGAGAAACATGGAAACATTAGAAACTACACTACGCTACCTTACCTTACTTGTGGAGGAGATGCTTATCGTCCCGTTCAAGATGCGGTGGGCGTTGCAAGTGCAATGATTTACAGCAGTCGATCTTTTAGATATAATTGTCATAAATGCAGGAACAGGACTTGGATTTCTGCAGGCAATTTCAGGCTTAGCTTTTCTGGAGGTGTTTGGTCGTGGAGAGGATGAACAGTTCTTGGATAGAATCATGACAGGTACTGGGAGCATTAGAGGCTTAGAGCTGACTGTATCGTATGTTGTGCGACATACATGCATGCTTCGCAACTTGAAATCACTTTAAGTTGTTAAATATGCGTGCATCTTGTAGAACTGGTGCCACATAAAGGTCTCCGGTATCGTAGGCCTATTCGCCGTCACATCTTGCCTTGAATTCGCAACATCCAATTACATTAAATCTACTCGAGTCATCTTCCGAGTGCAGCGGCAGAATGATAAATCAGAATAGCAGAGTACCGGTCACGATGGAGGCCCACCAATCTCACCAGTGGCTAAGTGCACCCATATTATCTCGTCCACCTAACTGGGTGCAGCTCTGTAAAAAGTCCGCTTTCTGCTTTCCGTATTTAAAAGATGCCTTTCCAGACAGGGAGATGCCAACTATTCTCATTTTTCACGCCTCTCTCAATGGATCATTCGCTTTCCGAAGAGTGGAAATATTTGAAAGAAGATCTTGGCCACAATAAGTGGCAGCGTATTTTCTTTGGCATTGTCATAATGATCTGTACTTGGGGACTTATGTTATCAATATGGTTTCTCGGAGCTATCACTGCTAATTCAAATGTTGCCCAGGATTCCGCTTGCACTCCTGATGGGAAGTTTCGCTTAGACCCATATTCGTATAATTACTGGGACATCTCCGGTACCTTCCAGATAACACTCCCATTCGGGAACTTTTCCTTTAGCTCAGTTAAGTCTATCGACATCGCATGTGATGTGGTGAGCACAAAGTTTCAACCAACTCAACCGAATTATAATCACTAACGTGATGCAGATCGTTGGTCGCGGTGGCCAGGCACTGTTAGCATTATGCAGTTGGCGTGTATTTGCACTCTATGTAACAACATCTATGGAGGTCAAACCTGTGACGTACGGCTCTTTTGGGTCCATTTTTATACAATTTGGACCTTCGGTTTCGTCTATCGGTGGTCTTGTTCGGGACTTTACCTTCCGTAAGAGCTTGCACTCTAAGATTGCAATGATATTTATCATTGCAAGTATGGCTTTCATTCTTTCTTTCCCTACCCTTGCCAGCGCGATGACTGGATACACTGGGTTCGTCAAATCATATGTTCCCGATCCTCAAACCGGAAACTTCATTCGCTTTGATCAACTCCGTCCCGTCGCATACATAATCCATGATGGAGAAAGGATCAAACAAAACGAGACATTCTTTGTGACGGATGGCTTTATTAGTGGTATGCTTGAGCCGTTTTCGTCGTCAGATTTTATCATATAACCGGGTCTAGGTGATCCATATCTGGGCACACGGGGCTATTGCGTTGGGACAAACACCTCTATCAAAAATCCAGAATGCGATCTACTCAACTCGATGAATGGGTGTAAGTATTACATGCTTGATCCTTTTGCTCGAAGAGTGTATAGATTCTTGTATATTAACATCAGTGGAGATCTTCGTGCCCTGAACAAGACAGATAATGACTACAGCAATATCACATTCATGGGCATAGCCTTAGGAAATTTGCCACTGAATGTTACGATACTCCCTCCGTATCATAATACCGATTATGAAATCGTGCCACGGCCCCTTTACGAAAACAACAGAATGTGGAGATGGTCTAACGAAACCTTTGACCTCGACTACGTACGCGACAAGGGGAGTTGCCAAGTAACTGGAGTATGCCACCAGCTCTTGTTGTTTGCATATTAACCAAGTCTTCACACTAAAATGTCTTAGAATTATAAATGGGGTTTCTCATTTGTGCAACTATTCTGCATGGTCGTCATGCTTCTGATCTGGTCAATCGGCATACTAGCTATGCGTATTCAGGCTCGATCAACGCTGCGCAGGCGTGGCCGTGAATCAATTGCGGGTAGGCATAAAGCAGTTATTCAACTAGCAGCTGCTATGCAAGAACATATGGGTGATCGAAATTTGATGCTGGAATCTCTAGACGAGATAGATCTAGAGAGGCGCATAAAAGAGGTACAAGGGGGCGCTATCTCCTATGCATTCCCCACATCAGGAATTACACGATCACAATCTACCACACTTCGATATTTCCGCGCATGGTTCTGGTACGAGAGATGGTGGCTTCTTGCAACGGGTCTTGGTCTGACTGGAGCATGCCTTGGCATAAGAATCGATTCTTTGCTGCTAAGTACAATTTCCCTGGGTTTAATACTCGGATTAATGTATTCGTTTGTGATTGGGAAAAGAGTTGGGACTAGGATATGTGTACTTTTTTACTTTTATGTATTGTCTATGTCCATAGTGTTTTGGCGATTGTAAGTAACTTTAGGCCTTCAAAGGGATGTGAATAGAGTAGGTCCTGGATTAGAAAAGATATGTTTACTCCATTGAAAAGCGGGAGTAGAGATCTATTGCTACAATTGCCGACCAACCTAGTAGTAAATCACTCACATATCCCTAAACCTCAGATTCGTCTCAGCAAAGTGGACTGCGACCAAAGCTGGCTCATATTATCACGTATCCCAGACCTCCAAGTGGATGAAGTGTGGCCCAATTAACATGAACTGCGCAGTCTGAAATAATCTTTAAGCTCAAGTCATATCTGCCCTGATTACATTCACTTAGGCCATCTAGATCTACCGAACAGATATTCTCCTGCTCTGACGGTTCTTTGTAAGGGAGTACAGTCGTAATCTAACGCTGTCAGTTGCACATGAACGATAATTCTTCCATTCCACTCCATCCCATCCTCATAGATCCCAAGAACCCACACGATCCCTTCCTCAGTCCTCTAAATCTAAACCACTCCCACTCAACAACACACATACTCCATCTCCTCACTTCATACATCGTCATATCCCACTCCAACCCCTTCCCCCGTCCCCCATACGCATATACACACAAACTTATCAGCAACATAACCACACCCCCTCAAGAAAAATGTCACATACGACCATTGGACATTGAAAACAGGGCTTCCCGTTCGCTCAGCCATACTTAAGCAATGTACCGGCGGACTAGTAGTTGAGTGGGTGACCATCAGCGAATCCCCGCTGTTGTATGTAATTTTCTTTTTTTGCTAGTTTGCGTGGTGTTTAGGGGGTTCGCTGGTGTTGATGTAGGTTGTGGTTGGGGCGGTGTTGAAGAGGGAGGTCGTGGTTGAGGTTGAAGAACTCCAACTCTCTTTTTGGCGGTTTGGAGGGGTGGGGAAATTAAGGAGGGTGGGCTTTCTGACGCTTTTGGATTGCGTGGAGTGGTGTCTGTCTTCTTTGGCGGAGGGCATGGAGGTCATGATGTAGATCTAGATGCTGAAGATATAAACTTTATACTCTTAAGGTCAACTGCCTCCATGTGTGACCTTTGTTCTAAGGGTATATTTGAAGTCTAGATACTCTGATATGTATGGTTGACTACAAGCTTCTAACTATTTTTTAGTTATTTATACATGAGTGCATTAGAACAGTACAAAAACTCATAATAATACTAGAGCAGTTGCCACATTGAACAATCACTCATGTCAAAATCGCAACATGCAGCATTGTAACATGATCTCATCGCATACATCTATCTAAATTCCTCATTCGAATTCTCTATCCTGAAAACGCAGAGAGACGACGTTCAGAGTTGAGTACTCGTAGTACATAAAAGCGTGGTTGTAGCTTCCCCATCTAAGAAGTCCGTAGAAGTAAAAAACAAGACGCCCTTCCTGCTGTCTTAATGCGTTTTGGTACAATACAAATACATGAGGTATAATTGGAAATGGACCTCTAATACATTGTGGATATCAGAGATGTTGAGATCCAGGAAAAATAAAATTGCAAGATCGTGAAAAAATCCCGCCTTTTCGATAACGTAAATGAAGCGCCAGTCCGATGGTAAATATCATTAACGCCGTGGAATGCTTTTTTGGGTCCCTGTTTGTGGCGATCCAGGGCTTAAAGATCGTACTCATGAGAAGAAATACTTGCTCTCCTTTAACCGCATGACATCCCAGCCACCTTTCTGGGGTAGCGGAGGAAGAATAAGGGGCATCCAGACCTTGATGCCAAAGAAGCGAGCGACTGGGGATCGCGTTTTGGTCGAATCTTTTAAGCCAGTCTCGAGATCGAGTGCATCCTCTTCGGCCATGTCCTGTTCCTGCTGATCCTCTACATTCTCCTGTTCGGTTGCTGCGTGGAGAGACTGATCCGGTACATCGGAAGCCTTCTTCTCATCAGATGGCGAGACGGCTTTACTATCCGACTGAGATACTCGGTGGCCCAACATAGCGTCTTGGTCAAGGTTGGCAAGCCAGATACTGGTTGGTGTTTCCATTTCTTCTCCGCGTTTTCTGTCCGCTTCATTGTCTGACTCCAACAGATCCTTTCGCGTCTGCTCGAGCAATAATTCCTGTGCGTTCGCCTCATTGTAGTGTTGTCGTTTCCCTTTTGTGCCCTGGCGATTCTTCTTCCTCCAGGCGATGATCTTAGTCGCAGCGGGCGAGGAAGGATGCAACGAGCCAACGAACAAGTGCCCAGCGTATCTTGTCTCGAACTCCGCGGCAAGGCGACCTATAACATCTTCTGAGTGCATCCGAACGAAAGCGTCACGAAGAATGATGTTCAGGTTAGGAATATCCCCGGCATGGGTCCAGAAGCTGTCGTGTACGGCGGCAAAAGCTAGACCCTCTTCATGACACTTGAGCGCGGAGAGCATCATGTGGGTTGCGTCGAGGGAGTGGATGAAATTTGGAGGAAACGCCTGGAGCTGTTTTCGTCTGTTGACTGGCTCAGCCGAGGACGGTTTCTGGACTGTAATTCTTTGCAGGCCTGTCCTGATGACCTCGACCGGGTCTTTTCGATAGGGCTGTACTACCGGCATCTTCAAGGGTGTAGTCCAAATAATACTAGTCTTAAATCGTCCGGCCTCAGCGATGATCTTCTTCTCGACGCGCGACCATGTTCTGCTCGTCTTTGAGTGTCTTGCGTCGACCTTGGCAGGAACACCGTTTGCGTGGTCGTGTAGCCTTCGGATTTGCTCTGGGGACAACGAACACGTAATTCGATCACCGCACTCGCCAAGCCAATGCTGGATCTCCTGCGCTCCATTGAAGATCATGCCCAAAGCAAGGAAGATCTTTTTCGCGACATAAATAGCAAGAGAGTGAAGGGTTTTGATTTTTCCATTGGATTTGGATTGGACGGCTTTAAGGTCCGTAATGACTTCCTTGAGCTCGTCCAAAACTTGGAGTTTTGCGCCCATAAAAGTGACACCATAGACATTGGTCATGACGGTTCGTTTGACAATCTTTCGAGTAATTTTGCCATCTAGAATCACTCCGGCAGGGACTCCGTTTTTGGCATCTTCGGTGACCATTTCGTTTACGAGTTCTGCGACACCAGAGTAAATATCTTGAGGGCGATCAGATGGCTCGAGGTTCACTTGAGCGGCACCAGCATGGTCACCTCCAAGGGCAGCGTAATGCTGCAGGCCATTGCAGGTTCCATCTTGGTGAACAGGAAGGGTGGAGATAAATTTGGCGGGATCTGGAGAATCTAACGCTCCTTTCAGCTCGAAACAGCAGGCGAGGCACTGCCACGGGTCCTCAGCCTTTGTCCACCAGCGTTTCCCACCAAGTGGATTTGTAGCAGAATCGTAGATGTTGTCGAGGTTGTCCATCGCAAACTGTTCCCTGTCCCGGAGACTCGCCTTGTCAAAACCATAAAGATTAGCAAGGTGAATCTTCAACCACTGTAATCCGACTTCGCCCAATTCTTTTCCGTTCGCAAATTTGAGTAAGCCTCGCGAAATATCAGCACCGATGTGATTGAGAATCGGGGGAACTGGATATGCACGGCCACGGAAGTCCAGGTTGTGAGGGAAGTACACTGTCTCGTTCAGGAAAGCTCGGGCAATCTCGAGTTGGAAGTTCTGGAAACACCTATTCGAATGGAAACCACTCTTGGTATTCTCGTATTGTTTGACAGCGGCGATCCACTCACGACGCGTGGAAGCGGTGCAGTCAGGTGGCGGTTCTGGAGGATACTGCAGTTCCATCACTTCGGGAACAAGACCGCCGATACCTTCACCCTTGTTCCAGGTTTCGACCATGACACGGAATACGTCAGAATTAATCTTCCACGGCAATTTCCCAAGCACGTCAAGACCAGCGAGCATTTGCTCCAGATCTCCGTTTGCGATGGCAGATCGAGCATAGGATGCTTGTTCGTTGTCGGCCAGTTTAGTTCGAACCACGGGCTCTTGGATCGTATAGTAGCCGCCATCTGTGAAATCTGTCCATGGCTTCGGTTCCACCAACATTGGCAACATGATGTGATGTAGATTGCTGACTGATTCGTTTCTCAATTTCTCTTGGATCTCATAGTGCGGTTCAATCCAACCGATTTTCTTTCCACCTACGAAGCCAGTTTGATGTTGAAATGCTCGTTGATTGTTTGTCAGTTTCTTGCCAGTTTTGGGGTCGTCGCGGGTAATTGTAATCATCGCCGATTTCGTCATGAGCTCAAGGAGGATAGCACCGATCTTGACCTTGACAGCCAGGGGCATACCCATTTCACGGAAGTTGAAGCTGTGCAATGCACCTGCGGAGGTTTTGGGGACGTCGGAATCTTGGTTCGCAGCTTTTTGATCGCCCTCTTTGGCAATTTTGCTGAGCGCTTCTGCACGTGCATGTTTTCGTAATTTTTGGACATATCGATCGTGTCTTTGCTTTAATCCCTGGTTGATTTCGTCTTGCACCTGCCGGCCGATAGTGGTTGTCAAATATGCAACCTTTAAAGCAGTGTGCTCCTGATTGTTCTTCGTGCTTGAGCTCAGAACGCTGGAAATAGTGATAGCCGTAAGCTTTTCTGGGTCGGATTGCTCGAGCCAAGGACCGTAATGATTCGCCGGATCCTGTTTGTTATGTGTAGGGTCCATTGCCGTCAGGACTTCCTTGACTCGCTTGATTTCGTCCTTTACAAGAGGTAACATGGCAGAATACCATTGCCACATCAATGCCTGGACGGGTTTCGAGTGAAGAACACCATGAATTCCAATCTTCTGTAGCTTAGCATCCTCAGCTTTCCAACGCTCAACTGCTGCCTTTGCGCCTTCGGACTCAACATGTATTTGGCGCATATAGGCGTATGCACGTTCTTTCACTTCTTGAGATCCCTCCATATCGTGTGGGAATGGGATCTCGCCTTTGGTGTCGAGAGCTTCTAATGACTGTCGAAGCGTTGACAAGCCTATGCCCTTCTGGTTGACCGATTTGACATTGAGCGATGCGTCTGGGATTAAACCTTGCTGGATTGCAAGTCGTTCCCCGCCGGGGGTGCTCATCTGCATATCCTGTAAAACATCGATAGACGGGGGTTCGTCGTATTCGTCTGGCTGGAATCGGATGAGCGTATCCCACTCCTCATCGGTGAACTCCGCAGATGAATTGATCTCCTCCATTATATTCCCACCATGACTGTGTGCCATGTCTAGGTATTCGCGCATCAATCGCTCTCTCTCAACTCCGCTAGTAAGGTTCAAAATTCCACGAAGTAGTGGGATAAAAGTTTCGGCGGTCGGCCTGAGTCCTCTATCAACGACATGCTTCTCGTACCATGTTTGCATTTCTTTTAAAGCAGCTTGCCCCTCCTTCCCGTTTCCGACTTTTGACTCCAAAGCAATGTCGCACATTGTCTTCAAATATATGTTGTGTGCATCGATGAGCTCCGGAGCGAGGGCATCGTATATCGTGACTAGCCTTTGAAGGATAATGGCTGCCCTATCCATGCGACCGACCTTCAAGCAGGCGTATAGATTCTGGTGCAATTCGATGGCATTTCCTCCAGGTATACCACTCCCGGCAGATATAGAAGGCATTACACTGGAGGTCGCGTCATGGATGATCAGCGGCTTGGTTGTGTCCCATTTTTGTAATTTGGCCAAAGCAGGGTTTGGAGTTCGAGGTTCCCAAGCTTGTGCAAAGTTGAAACTCAAGGGTTCTGTATTCCCACGCTGGGCCTCGACAGCCGTTGCAAGGGGGCGGGTCTCGTGCCGTTGCGATCGTGTGGAAGCGGTCTTCCATGAGTGGGTTTGTGGACGAGTATCTGATGTCGCTGCGGCCTTGAGGGGGCTGGTACTGGCTGTCCATCGCATTTGAGCTGGGCAAAGCCATGGTAGGGCTAATTGTTCGGATAATCGAGTTTGAGAAGTGAGGGCCTCACGCCGTAACTTCCGTCTTGCAGCTCGCGCGAGCATTTTCCAAAAAAATTAAAGGTTGTAAGTAGAGAATAGAGAATTAATGCAGGCGCTAGGAGAGCAATCAAAAAGAAACGGAATCAGAAAAGAAAAGAGAGAGTATTGGGTAGTCAGTGAAACCCCTCGATACACTTGGAGTCGAAACAGGCGTGACGAACGACGAAAGTTTTTGAGGGTGGCTCCTTGAGCTTGAGAATGATAAGATGGACCGTGCGGGATGCATAATCACGTGATGGATTCTTGAAACTTTTTTTTCCTGCACCCGAGTCAGGCCAGGTGGTGAGGGGACTAGTGTGTAGTCATGGGAACGTGGCGAAAGAAGTAATGCGAGGATCATAATTCTGTTTGAGATACGAGATTGCCTCGTCTCGTGCTATCAAATAAGAATTTGAGAATATATGTCATGTCGCTCATGATACACATTTAGGTGGAAGACTGTTGCTCGGCCTTGTACGTCAAAAGTTAGATATCTCAATTTTCAAAGAAAGAAATTCTTCTATTTCGCTATATGATATGGAGCAACAATGACAAACCTGTCATTTCTATCTATGTGAATGAGACCCGTGCAAACATTGTAAATAAAAAACGCCATATATCCTCTTGCCGCGTGCGGTCAAGGTCATGCCCTAATGAGCTAAAATGAAGTGTCCTTTGGTACATATAAATACTCATACATAGAGTTTGTGTTGAAATGTAATGATTTAGATGTTTGTTGCCGTGGCTGTTGGTGTAAATGAGTAAGATGATGTAGATACCGCGGTCGTTTGTGAAGCAAGGTCTGTAACGGTACTGCCGTATGCACTAAATGCGTCGACCTCATCTTCCGGCTCATAGGGCGATCGCTCCAACTCTTCGCTTTCCCAATCATCTGCATCCTCGTCTCCAAAGCAGAATAGATCATTGGTACTGCCCGTGACAATTTTGCGGTGCATCTTGGGTTGGATCGGGCATTCGCCGATTTCTTTCCTGAAATTGGCTGCAAACTCAATCGCAAAAGTATTTGCTTTGAATGGGTCCGTTATGGTACCATTGTAAAGAAGATACGGAAGATGGGATGCTTCGGGCAGATCGCCATCGAAAGGCAATGCCATGTGGAGGGGCCTAGATCTTGGGATGACATTGGATTCCCGGATCGTGGGGCTGGGAGCAGGGGTTTCCGCTCGCAAGAACGGTTCGTTTGCGAGGTCGGGCTTGATTTCTGGTTCATTGTCTTTTGTGACAGGAGGCGGCGAGAACTCCTGAGGGGGGCGATATAATTCATTGTGTATGGTCGCCAATGACTCCGTAGAGCTTGTTGCCGGATATAATAGTGAATAGCCTCTGGCGCGCATGAATTCAAGCATGTACTCTGTCCACGCAGGTAGTGTTTCCGAGACTAATTTCGCTCTCGGAGCCTTCTTGCCGGTTTGGTGCTGTTTTTTTACTCTATTACTGAGGAACGAATGCCACTCCGCCCATTTGTCGCCGAAATAAAGGGCGGCATGACTATCGGGAGCCTGCCAAAGGAACTGTGTGCTGGCCTCCTCGGAAAATTGCCTCGAATATCGTTCTGCATTCATGTCAGAAGGTTTTGGGAGAGTTAAGCGTTTATGTCCGTCCAAGGTGACAGATGGCGATACTAGACTTATGCCCATAAGATCCAAGGCATCGCTCTCGCCGAATGAAGAGTACTTGTACTCCAGGAGAACGTATTTTAGATATTGGAAAAATAGTGGAGACAATTGCACCTGTGGGGACAAGAGGAGAACATGAGAGTCCTTGGTACTGGAGGGATAAAACAATTCCAGGAATCGAATGGAGGACTCTTCCTGTGTTGCGTGATGATTGCTAATTCGTCTTCTTATGATGATTTGGTTGTTTGATAGCGGGTCATCCTGTTTTCCTGGGGGCCAGGCAAAGTCTTCAAGCCTCTGTCGTAGGGAAGGATCAACACTGTCAGGCAGATCTATGGTTAGGCGCGGTTGCTTCATCCCACGATAGTCGGCTTCCTTAAGTGATTTCAGAAGCCTCAATATTCCTCCAGAAGAATCAGATGGGGCTTGAATCAGAATGTCGATGGTAGGTTTATGCCAGTTGCGAATCGATCCAGCATCCAATCGCGCCATCCACATGAAATTTTGCATTTGTCCCTGAGGCATCTCTATGATAGGCATGGACAAAAGTTTGGCTTTACTCCGTAGTCCACGAACAAAAGATCCATCTTCATCCTGGGAATCATCCGTGATCGTAGCTTGAGGATGAAGGAATGTGTTGATATGACCCAACGCCGCTGCGGCGCTCATCTCAGCCCTGGACTCTGTGCTGAATTCCGAATAATCTGGCCGCGCATCATGCCAGACGACAGGACATTTAGTCTTGTCCACCCCGTTTATCCCCAGTAGGTCATCAAGCGGTATGTCCATACGGCTCATGATGGCAACATGCACCCAATTGCGGTTCCACTTGGCCATCTCGCATGCAAGAGGGAGGAGGGTCGCGGCACTTTTGAGGTTCGAGAACGCAAATAGGATGTTCCGATTGAGAGGGCTATAGCCATGGGTGTATGAGGCTTCGTGGAGAGACGCGGCGAGTCTATAGAACTTGATCGGGCCGGAGAAGACTTGTGGTGCAGCTGCATCTTTGGCTACAGCAAGGCCAGGGGGTACGCCGGTGGGTTCTCTGTCGACTGCTTCGTTGTGGTCTTCGTTCGTCATAGGCACAATCTGCCGGAGGCCATACGAGGATCCATTCGGTTGGAAGATCGGGAGTTCTGTTATGTAGTTATGAAGCATGTAAAACGTATATAGCCCAACTAGCACGAAGGCTATCCTTCTCCTCCTCCATCGGAGCGGTGGTGTCTTCAGCGCTGCCCATGTTGGTGTCTGCGGCCATGACCCAGGCTTATGATCATCGTCCTTCTTCCCAAGCTCTTCATCGGTTGGGAGTATTGTTTTGCCCAGCATGCTGGTTCGAATCACGCCCTCCTGCAACCACCCGCGGTTTTTGGATCGGCCTCCTACCATGCGCGCACCTTATATCATTGCGAACAAAATCTTCGGACGTTCGGGGCCGCGATCGACATACGGAGGGAGTAGTGCGACAGGAATACGATGCGGTAAGGGGGTCAGAATGGTTTCTAGGGTGGTCAAAATCCGACCAGTAATGGGATTGTGGAGAGTGGGTGGACAGCGGTTGGAATGTTGAGGGAGGAAGGCCAACAGTAAGGCGAGCGTATCTTTTGAACCGGACTGTACGCAAACAAGACGTGTCCTGAAGGTGGCTTATCCTTTAGATTTGTCCGGAGTAGATGATTGAAGAAACACAATGTTGAGCCAGCTGCCAGCGAACGCACCAGCACCGTCCCCGTGGAATAATTAGATAATTACCTTTAGTTACCTTAGGTAGTCTTGGTCCGCCTGCCGAGGGGTTGCAAACAGTGACACCAACGGTCGCTCCCTGCCATCCCTGCAGTCGCGTGCAAGTGCCGCAGCTGCCACTCAGATCCTGAGACAGAAACGTATCCATTTCACCATCTGACTATTAGTTACTCCGGTAGTTAAGTTGGATATTAGATAGATACCTAGGTATGTATTTACAGGAATTATCTCCCTCAATCAGTTCCTTGTCCCCCCAACTCTTGTCAATCTATCTACGGCCTTTATCCATCAATCGTGAGGGGTAAACAATCTATGTCCACCTGAATGGAATCCATGTTCCTTGACATAAGTCACATAGCACTGATTCTGTCTGCATTTTGATCATCATTTGGGCCACTAATCGACCGGGATCATTGCTATGCTAAGAGTATCCAGTACAAATCTGTTTTCAAACTTTCTCTGCTTTACTTTCCGCCTGCTCAAGCGCCTTTCTCAGTGCATCTTCGTTCCTAGGCTTGAAAATAACCTTGTAGTGATTGCACATGGTCACAAGACTGGTTGGGTCTGAGCTCCCCAACACCGGGTGAACGTCGACCTGGCTGTCCTGCACGAGTTCGAAGCTGTTCAGCATTCGCATGTACGTCAAATACAACTCTCGGTTCGCAAGCAGCGAGCCCGCGCACATGCGATAACCCAAGCCGTATGTGAACAGTGGCGCATCCGGCTGCTCTAGCCACCTCTCAGGGCGAAACACTTCCGGATCGGACCAGACATTCGGGTCTAAAATGTGTTAGCATGATGGCAGATGGAGACTGAGAACAGTAATTAATCAAGACTTACCCATGTTGCACGCCCACGCGTTCAGGTAGATGGTGCTTCCCGCCGGTATCAATTTCCCTTCATAGAAAACATCCCTCACTGTCGCCCGGGGTAGCGCTAGTCTGAGAACGCAATAATATCTGAGACACTCCCTCACCAAGGCGGTAATGTATTCGCACTTTTGGTCATCGTACGCATCGCAAAGAGGCTCCTTGTCTGAGTAGAATTTCCGAATCTCCTTCACAGCTTTGTTCTGGATGTCTGGACGCTGTGCCAAAAGCGCAACACTCCACTGAACTAGTGTCGTAATTGTGTCTAGGCCACCTGACAGCATCGTCAAACTGATACTCGTCAATTCCTCCTTGTTCAATGCGGCATCCTTGTCCTGAATGACGTTCGCTTGGATGCAGGGTTTGTGGGTTCCCATCCGCATTCTCTCGTCTAAGTCCTGGTTGAGTCGTGTCAAATAGACATCGCGACGCTTTCGCATTTCCCTGGCCTTCTGGCTTCCGAAGCTGAACGGGTTCAACCTCATAATCGGGATGTAATCCTGAAGATTTCCGGTCGTGCTCCTGAACTTGCTGATAGCCTCTTCAACTTCAGTGATTTCGTCGAACATCGGATCGTCGCGGCTACCCATACGAGTTCCCCAATTCAAGGTCAATGAAAGCGACAAGGATAGACGTTGAATCATAGGCATTGGGTCGACGCCGGTCTTTCCAGCCTTGCCCAGTTCGAAGCCCTCTTTGACAAAGTCTTTAGTCTCAACATCTAGGTGGTCAATGTAGGTTGCAATCGAAGGCTTATTCAATGCAGAAGCAGCACCCTTTCTTCGACGCTTGAGAGAATCATTGAATGGCGAAGTACCAATGGTAGTACCGGCGGTATTCGAAAGAACCTATCTCCGTCAATGCCATTACTCACACTTGCACATGTTACATATTCCTACCTTGTGGAATGTCCAGAACACTGGCCTCGAACTCAATGCCTGGCTATTCTGGCCGAAGATCTTCCTCGCAGCCTCCGCACTGTTGACAACAATGACTGGCACGTTGCCTAGTTGGATCTGATACACTGGACCATACACTTTTGACCATTGTCGGTACTTCTCTGCGGCGTTGTGCGTTATATCTGGAATGTTTCCGACGAGGGGCCAATTCGGTGGTCCAGTGAATCCCTTGACTCGTGCTGAACGGCGAATGAATTCATTTACGATCAAGTACGTAAGCGGGAGTCCAACGAGAAGAAATATAAGGCTGCGAAGTGGATAGTCCCGGGCCTCTTCGGCTAGGAATGGTAAAATCGTGGAGATCATCCTGTGGATATCTGCCGGTGCCAACAACCTTCGGCCTAAAGATGTGCAATCTGTATGAACTGTATGAACTGTGATGTTGTCTCACGATCAGTCGGCCACCTTTATCGAACCGTATGAGACCGGTGTCTTTCAACGACCGGGGATCCTTTGACCTGGGATTGAAGAGGAGAGTAGTGTGGCGTTGAGGGGCGTTATCGAAACGAATGATGGGCGAACCAAACGCTTCTTATTCCTTCAGGTGGAAGATCTCCGTAATTCCATTGCAGATATGATTCCGCCTCGCTAGAGTCGTCTTAGTGTATCGGTGGTCGCCAAATTCCTACTCTGTACTAAGTTCCCTTACTGGTCTGCTGGCGATTCATCCGCTCCCTCCCCAGATTCCCCCCGGCATTTGCGATCGTCATGCGGGGACGTCCGTTAACGCGGAACACTTCCGCACCATGGCGGAACCTCAACGTGCCCAACCCCATTCAACACATTATTATTCCTCTCGACGACATGCATCGTGGGCGCTTACGAAAAGGTTGAATCTTGTAATTACGGACTTTCCTGATTACCCAATATCCAAATTCCAGTCCACGATGCCCATGGTCTGTTCGATGCTAGCAGATGCCGTCGGAACTGATTGCAAGTGCCTAGGTGCATTACCATTCAATTGCCGCAAGAGGCTTCTTCTTCTTCGGTGTGATCATACCGGAAGGTAAGGGGCCCTACGAGAGTATCACACATCTACTGCAAGACCCATTCACCTCCAGTGTCACGGACCCAATCGCTTGGACAATGTGCGTTCAATCACGATCTCCCCGTTTGCAATCAAGCGCTAGTATCCGACCATGAGATTCACATGCAGGTACTAAGGGTTGCACGTGTGAAGCTAGTCCTAATAGGTCCGATCCCGTTACCATACTGAATTAACGTTATTGGGGATGTGCTTTGGGGAAGAGGCAGTGGGAAACATAGTGTAGAAGCATACGTTAGCCAGTCATACATAGGGATTTTAGACCAACTAGGAGCCACTTGATAATGTCATTGCCATGGTGTCGGCAGAGAAGTATGCTTGTCCTACTCTGAGACTTTAAATGTTGGCGGTGAATGTTAATGATACCAACAAGTCACGTGAAGGTATACGATGGTAATGTTTAATGAAGTCATGGAACCAGAAGCAACACCAGTCTATAAGGTTCTTGAAGCGTGTATAGCCGTTATAAAATGCTTGTAGTTTGTTTTCTGGTGCGGGATCTGGATGATATACTGTGCTTCCGGCTCAAGTGAAAACTGACTGGACGCAACAAAGCTGAATCCTGTGAGGGTGAGTGCAAGAAATCGAGCTTGAGAAGGGCAAATACTCAGTCTTTAGACTTCGGTGATTCGATTTCGGGCTCCGTCAGGCTCAACACTAAGCTCTCATCTTGAAATATAAGCGTTTATCCAACCTGTAAATACTTGACGCACGCCCCGCAACATCATGAGCTCCCAGAAGTAGCAGCTATAGCTGTTTGGACCGATCATCTTCATAGATGAGGCTCTTGATCACTACCAGCACATTGACTGGGCTTCATTGAATGTAAACCCCCACAGCAATTTCGAACCCACGATGCCAGGTCACGCCCATGGGGGTTTCGGCCTCAGCGAGCGCTCCAACTTACAGTATAAGAGTACCATCTTTCAGAACCGATTACAAAAGATGCGCTCTGAATACCCCCATCAATACAGTTTCTTGAACCTGCTAAAAACAATAGCCTTTGACTTACTCGGCACTCATACTCTGTTGGCCAGAAAAGCATTCCTTGCGCCCAGGCGACTTAGACGAAGGACTTAGAGGACAGACATCAGTCGATTATTCGTCTTGATACATTCTCGTTGTATTGGTGTCTGCCTCTATATGGACGCGTCGTCGTTCAACTTCGTGGATCCCCGCGTGCTAGAAAAAGCGGTCAACACCTGCGAATCAACTCAACAGGCAGAATCGACACCATGGCCGAATGATAGGGCTGCGACATTTCCATTCGCCGATTTCCTGGATTCACCTACATGTGACATTCAAGCCCAACTTCACTGTAGTATCGGTGCAAACGGTTCCTCAGATCATGTGTCATCTCCCTTCAATGTCGACCACGACTGTGTGTTGGGCACTAAATTGTGTCAAACATTCTCGCCATCGTTGCAAGACAGTGAAACTTATCTTCAATCACTACCAACGTGGAACATCGACAAAGATACTGAATTGTTTCAAGCGACAACCCAATCCCTTGAACATGCGAGAGACCCCGCAAACCTCTTTTCCAACCTTCATATCAAGCAACGGGTTGGCCCCTCAAACTCCGATCAGCAACTAGTCTCGCGTATGTCTTCTTCACCACAGCCTCCCTTTATTGCATCCCACTCGCGGGGCTATTCCAAATTCCGCGGCACTTTCCAAAGTTCCGATCATGCTCGACAATATAGAAAGATAGCCTTGCGGTTTGACAGGAAACCATACCAGTACCCGGACGTCGACGAGACAATCCATGACCTTGTACGGAACCGGCAGTATCACATCAAGCGTATTTACGATGCCATGGTTCGTCCCGATGTCGCACAGGATAACCCCGGCTCTATAGCGATGCGGCGATGGGTTCACAATGCGTACTACGACTCCGACATGGTGGAAGCGTTCTCCAACAAGGTTTTCGACTGTCTGATCAAGCAAACGGAGGAAGGATTTCGTGGCTGGCACCATAACGACTACGCTTCCGACGAACGCAAGGGAAGCGAGACCGAGGACAAGAATTTGAACTGTGCGGAGCGACTGGACAGTGTGATACATTCTCTGGAAAGGGAGAAAACCATCTGCGAGGACATTATGAATTCAGCATGTCAGATCCGGATGTTTGTGAACGCTCCACGTGCCTATGCGGTCCGCAAGTCAGCAAATCGTGCAGGTAACAGCAAGAGAAAGAAAGCGACCGAGCCGGATCGGGTCTCCAAATCCAGGTCAACAAGAGTGAAGAGGTCACATTCGAGATCAACAGTGACGAATTCCACTATATACGATACACCATCATCGTCTTCGCAATGTCCACGCCCTCTAGAAATGCCCCCGCAGCCATCAGATATAACTGAATACCGGTTCTCACCAGATGCTCTTCCTTCTGCCTATATCGGATTCGTTCCTGCAACAGGAGGAATACAACCACATATTACACTGTCAATGTCACCTCCTGATCATGGCCAAGCATTCCCGCAGTTCCCATCCGCGCAGCCGTTACAACATGCGCAGTTCATCTCCACGGCACCAGGTTCCAGTCATTCTGCTACTCTTACGGTCGATCCCAAGCTCCTAGAGTTGAACTATAACGTTCTCGAATCGCCCTGGAATGCGAACGCAGATGAATGCCCGAAGCTGCCCACGCCGGATAGAATCCCGCTTGGTCCAGCCTTGTTTCAACCTGACCACACTGGCACCGCGGACCCCACAATTGAGCAAAGTTTCGATCTGTATAACTCGCTGCCCAACAGTTTGCCAGACATCGTGCCAGTAAACATGGGCGAGCAGCCTGCCGTTCCCGACTTCCAAACTTTCTGGCTCAGTCAAACTGGTGTGCAGCCATTCCCAAGCGGGTCCGAAGAGAAACGCTCGAACTGTTAATGCTCCCCATTTCTGATATTCCATGTTACAGCAATTTTCAACAGCCATTTTCTTACTTACGGAATCTTTTCGTGAATTCTTTTGGTACCACACACAGTTTTCATGCGACCCAGAGTTTGTTAAGTTGAGTTTGAGAATGCGTGGCAGTCGAATTAGCATCCTTTATTTTTAGCGTACGATTGCCGATGTCTCAGTTCGGCAACGTCATAGTATGAGATGGGTGACCAGAGTTTGTTTGTACTGTCAGATACAACCTCACTCCATGCTTACGTCTGTATATTAGTTTCCAATTCTATACTACTATCAAATTTCAATTATGATCAGTCAATCAAAGCATGTGATGTAAGAACAAAAGCGCTCATGTTTTGAGTCGCGACTCATCTAGAACCATCAAACTGTTCACAACGCGACACTGCCCCAGATGAAGGCTCTAGTTCCCGAAACTTCTATACAACAGTCAAAGAACCACCAAGCAAGTACAACAGCAAGCTACATTGGATATTAGAATGCAAATATTGGAGTGTTGTAGTAAATTAAATTAGCATGATGTCGCATCTGGCTGTGTGGCCCCAATGGATATCCCAGCCACATCCAAATCGATCACATTATATACAGAATATAGTGAGTTGACGCGTAGCAGATCTGCAACTTGAAGTGATTCAAAACTAATTTACTGCCTAGCATATTCCCTTGAGTGGCGGGCTGTCCCGCGGTCGTCCAGTGTTGGTGTGGTCGTTCCCAGTGAAGCAAACCCTTCAGCGAATCGCTGTATCGGGAAATGTTTACGCACACTATTGCCAGGCAGCACGCCTCCTTCACCCAAATTGACTTCCCTTTGATAGGTCAGCCCTACGGAATATCCCTCGCCCATGGGGTTTCCCGCCCCGTGGGGAGTGGGCCGTGCTGTAGCATCTTTCACTCACCCACCTGCCAAGGACCTTCCCCAAGTGTTGAGCATTTTCGCTGTCCCACTGAATATCCTGCCTGCCATCCAACCCTTCCTCGCTCTAGAAATATCGACCTTCTTGCATCCATACTCTCATATTTCTGCTCCCATCTACTCGCTCCCATATACCTGCTCCCGTATACCTGCTCCCGTAAACCTACTAGTATACGCCTACTCCCATACGCCTGCGTGTATATATCTGCTTCTTGATCTCCACTTCTGGGATCTTTTACGGTAAGCCAAATCTCACTGATAGCTGATTAATAGACTTTGATCTAATCTGCGAAGGCATCTTCTGCCTTAACCTAGAGCTCTAGAATGGTTTCTGCTCCCGTTAAGATGTCTCACCAACATCGTTCATCGCCCCCCACCGCCGAAGAGAATCGTTCTACTTTGAATGATTTGACTTCATATAACACACGCGGTAGAGTGGAACCAAATGCCCTCGACAACTTGCATACGAACCAAGCTTCCGAAGCTGGCTCGACAGTTCCTAGTCCCTGCCGAAGACACAGTCTTTCAGCTCTTTCAGATGCGACTCTGTCTCCTGAACCTAGCCCTGATATCCATCAAGGTGCTTATGTCCAGAATATGGCAGTGGCAGACGACCTACAGAGTCAAGGGCAGCCATCGATGATCGATTTTGCGGGATACCCAGAGGGTGTATTCGCGTACCCAACCAACGACCTATCTTTTGGACAAGATCTCTTTAATCCGCTCATTCATGCTCAGCAAGGACCAATGCTCCCTTCAATTGAATCTTCCCCTTACATGGTTATGCCGCAAGTTCCAGTGGCCCAATATTCCTCCGTCCAGCATCCCTGCCACCAGGTCTATGCAGCCTTGCTTCAAGATATAGACAATCCATTCGCCGATTATTTGCGGAGCATCTATATAACACCAAGCTATATTCCTCGCAACGTCGGCGTACTGGGCTACTTCAACAGCCAGCTGCCACGAACAGTCCCTGCAGGCAATGCATGGACAAGCGCTGTGGACCACCGCTACAAGGTTAAGCAGGCCCCAAAACCAGATGGGGTCCTTGGTTTAAGGGACATCATCATCAACGCAGAGGTCCACTACCAGGACCTATATGACGCATTCATATCCACCGACAGTGACGATGAAGACACAGTGGAGACACGCGAAACCAAGAAGTTCCGAGACCATTCATACCTCAAAGAAAAGGATGAGGACATCAAGGCAACCTGTCGTCTGATTCTCATTGCCCTTGTCGATCGTGTCATCTCTGGTTGGCGAGGAAACGAAAATCCTCGTGCAATGAAAATGGATGATGATCTCAACGCATCGGATCGCTTGCAAGAGATCATTACGACGTTGCGAAAGGCCAAATCCGCATGTAGGGACTTGCTAGAATCAGACGGAAAAATTCAGGTCCTGGTACATTGTCCCTCTACGCTGGGTTTCAGGAAGGCTCTCCAACTTCGAGGAAACAAAAAGAAGGCCGATGACCTTAAAAGGTTGCGAGGAAAAGCAACACTGAGCGGTGCAAAGGCACCCATTAGTGGTGCTAAACCCACCAACGGGGTAAAGCCAGATGTAAACGTCGGGAACCTAGATGTCGACGATGGAAAGCCAGATGTCACTGGTAAAAATCGCCTACCTAGAATGAGTAAGAGGAAGGCCATGGACGACGAAGGTGGAAACGAAGAGCAAATACAACCTGCTCAAAAGAAGACTCGTCGTAGTGCAAATCTACACAGTGTGTCTTCGGTAGGCAGGCCAGCCAAGCGCAAACGAACTGAGCTCGATGAAGATTCGGCGGACGGACCAGTACGACCAGCGAAGGGACTCCGTGTTGATGCAGGACCGCATCATCATGCACCTTACACTCCCGAATCGTCGACTGGTGATTGCCTTCAAGCAAGGACGACATCACCAACCCCCGAATATCTGTGGTCGTATACACAGACATCCGCAACGCCCAGCCAGCCACCCACTGGCATCTACCAGCCACCTATCGTCGGAACAGCTCTCAACGATGCTGTTCAGGGGCCTAATGGTATATATTCTCCCCGCGTTACATCTGAAGACGATCCAAGTCTTCTGGATCAAGACGGTAAGCAAAACTGAATCACCTCCTTGAAATCAAAACTAACCTATTCTCGCCAGGCCTTGAAGAGCTACCTGATTGACTGAAGACTATACGAAAGGACTCTTTCGATTTGGAAGCTGCTTCGGTCATTGACCCACAGCTTACCCGCACGATAAATGACACCTAACGGTGTTATATCACAAATTGACCTGGACAAGGAGATGTGGGTTCCACCACATGTGTCGGCAAATCGACATTGTATTATACGCGATTGCCTTAAGGAGACCGGCTTGGTCAAGAGGAAAAAGGTTTTGCTTGAAGCGACTTGATATTTTCTCATGGGGGACTCGTTACTATACACTCAGGTCGGCGGAGAAGACAGCGGCCGGTTAGAGGGAGCTAGATGGAAGACAACCGGCCGCTGGGGTTAGATCGAGAGTGCTCTTGTTTATAGCGACTATGTTCCGTCGTTGGATCACCACCGGACATAGAAGTGCAGTACCCCCAGTTAATTGATATTTTGTTCATAAAGACTTCCATATGCTTTTGGGAACGTGCATACATCTACTTTGAATCTAGGTAAAGCCCTAATGCGTAATATGCAATGTTTGCTAAGCCATTCTTATTCATGCCTTCTTTTTGTTCAACTATCGAATGCGGTCAGAGCATTATCTCTCTTTTCTGGCGATCTCGTGGACTGCCAGTTTAGGTTGTCTCTCGGAGAACACGGCGAGGAAAAGTACGCAGTCGAACTCAAAATTCGTAGGCCTTCAGTAGTCAGTATGCGAAATGAAGCGGGAGGATGACGTCCTTACAAGATCATACCACGCCACCCCAGCGTATGTCGACTCGCTCTTTCCATACAAAGTGAAGCCCAACTTCTGGTAGTATGGCAACAGACGGCCGTAAGTCAGGATCGAGATACGGTCCGTTGTGCCAGTCTTGCGAATGTGCTCGATGTACGCGTTCATCAACGTCTTCCCAATCCCCGACCTCTGGTACTTCGGTGAGACGGCCAAAGAATGTAACGTGATGGTTCGTCCACCTTGTAAATGTCCAACCTCTGTCTTCGCGGTTGGGTCCTTTCGCCAGTCTTTCGGTACTTCCATGTCTTGGTCCCGGACCGTTTTAGCAGTGGCTCTTGTCGCGATGACGTGTGCGATGAGTTCTTCACCATCTTTAGGGGTGTTTTCGGAGTAGACCGGCGTGTTGTCTGGGAGTGGAGTGGCTACTTTGGTATCCTTAGGTGCGAAGAGGCCGAAGCAAATTTCAGGGCACACCGTCAGTCTATATTCGATCTATAAAGTATGTCAGCCTTTATCAAGGGTTTAGCTGCAAGGGACAATTCCATATGGTAAAATCGACAACCATATTCAAGGTGATGCGGACTGGAGAGCAACTTGGACATGGCTTAGTGTGATACGGTTGCCACTGTGTCTCCTTCTCGTTGACTCTTCCAAGATCTCCCCTAAATACAATAAACAGGATGCATACCTTTACGGGGGTAGCTGCTTCAGCTGGTGGAAAGGCAGCTGATTCCACTATTCCACATTGTTCCTTGTCGGCCAATGATAGGGGACGGATGTATGCCGACATATTATCGAGAGTTGATGCAATTGTTGGTTCGAAGTTCTGATATTGCTTGTGCAGTAGTTCTCAAAGAGGAACGAAACTATATGGATTTATTAGGAATTAGAACATGTCAATTTGGAATAGGTTTTGAGGAAAAAGATGCTGCACTGCTTGTACTTCGCAGGGCGCAGGTGGGGCATTTACAAGACACAAAGGGTCCTCCAAGGGATAGGAAAACGTAAGAGAAATAGTTGCACGGAGTAGCCTTGCTGGTTTTTGCGAGATAGAAACCAAATGAACCTACCAGCCTGTAGAGTATCGAATGGTGATTCACAGAATAAGAGCGGTAGTCTTATATGTGGGGAATTCGGTATGACGATTCGGAGTATGTATGACAATTCGGAGTGTTCAACCCGGAGAAAGCCGCGCCGGCGCCACTGTGATACCTTTAGGTCACCCAAAACCACCTGGCAACGCATCTGAATAGTTACTGAACGATCATCGCCTGCGGCGGATGCTTCAAATCTTGATATTCGGATATACGAGGCACTCGCTTAGGTCTATCTTAACATCTGGATCCTTCTTTGATTAGAATATTTGTGCAAGTACATTGCTCTTCGACAGATACCTAAGCTATCCAATACTGGTACGAATTTTGGAGGGCTTCCGAAACCAGCGAGAAAACAGGGCTTTTTGCAGTAAATTGGTACTGTACTGTGCTATCATTTATCTCTGCACCGTCATGATCGCGTCCTTCTCCTATGTAAACTGGTTGGATGCCGACACCGCTCACGTGACCAGCAAGGTATGGCCTTTTGCTTTACTCTGCGCAGTGCAAATATGTAGGGCTGTGGATTGGTTTAGTCGAAGATTGTATCACTATACCTGTTCTCCGTCTGCAATTCAAGTATTCAGGCGTCCCGTTCGCCAGAACTGTGAGTCTGTCCTGAAGTGGCTAAAGCGCACCTGTTTTCGTACCAATCCTCCTCCAAACAATGTCCTATCTCCTGAGATCTATCATCATATCATCGTCAACATCCATCCAATATAGAAAACTGGTCATATAGCGGCCAGCTGAATATCACTTTAGACATCTTATCAACAGCACGGGCAATTCCAATTCACCTATTGAAAACATGACGCCCGCGACACCACCACCCTCTAATCTCAGGCGTGCATTCGAGGGACAAATACTATTATATCTAGGCATCGTCTGCGGAGTCTGCCTCGACATTCCATCGATGATGTCCGCCCCTTCACCCAGCGCCAGCGGTCAGATTGAGACTCCCCGCGGGCCGATTCCAATCCCATCAAACTTCCACTACCTCGGCTTCTTGAATGTGGTGTTTAGGGACGTTACCATGGGATTCGCCCCTTCATCCCTGGAAGTGGACGAGAGGAGTTGGTGGCAGATGATTGTGTTCATAAATGATGTTGGGGTTGTCTACCTGATCTGGCTTCTTGAGTCAAGTCGACCTTCCAGTCGTGGCACAGCAGCTCGCTTGTGAGTCGTAATATCGAGGACGAGAAACGAAGAGCGTCAATTAATGCAGAACAGCCCCGCCATCATAGGAACGATCGCGCAACTCGCAGGCGGTGGAGTATTCTTCCCGGTGCAGAACCTGCTGCACTACGTTTTCTGCCCACCAGTCTCTATTCAAAAGCCTTCAGATCGCCGCGTTAATGTTGGGGATGCATTGAAATGGAGTCCATTGGTGGTGGTGCTGCACACTGTGCCAGCGATCGGCATGTACATTGCCCCCAATTTCAACACCCGGCATTGGTTCTGTTGGTTCTGGCAGCTGTATACTGTTCGGATCTCCTTAGGCTACTACATCCTACGCACGCTCGGGGCAGTGCTCAATATCTCAAGTCCCAGAGGACAAGGAACTTACCACCAGATTCTTCGTCTTGCTATGAGCCCTCTTATCGCCGTGTCCGCCACAATCTGGATCTACGTGGTCTTCCAATCTCCATTCTCGCTAGCTACAATCTTCTGGCCCTCAAAGGTTGAAGGAGAGTTCGCGGGCACTTTTGTGGGGTTCATGCGACGGATGCTGCAGTTTGATCAGTGGTTCTTGATGGGGAGCCATTTTCTGTGGACTTGGTATCTTCTGCGCGATATGAAGATCGCTGGACTTGTGTCTTTTCAGAAGGCGTTGAGCATTGCGCTCGGTGTGCTTTTGGTGCCTGTCCTAGGGCCGGGAGCCACGGCTGGACTTTTGTGGCTTTGGCGGGAGAGCTATCTGGTTCAAGATGGAGAGCATATTAAGTTGAAATAATGATGGCAGGTTGTCACAAAAGGTAGGCGGGAGTAAAGGTCCGAGTCGGCAATCAACTTGAACGGAAAGTTCAGTGTAATTCAATTCATGGAAGATTGATTCCAACCTCATGAACGATAGATGGTCACCTCACTAATACGGTGATCTTCGGAAGCAAGGAGTTGTTTGAATGGTTTTTATAGCCAATTAATTAAGGGAAGTAAATTCGCATTCACATCAGGCGTAAGCTAGACGACCATTGGCAAGCGTATCAAGCTTTGTAGAATTTATACGATTAAGTAGAGCGACTGGGAATTAGGCTGCATTCTGTTGTAAGAGATTTTCAAAGAAACGTATCTCGCTATCGTAAGGACAGACAGAACAAGGGTACAGAGAGAAATGAATATCAAGTGAGAGGTAGAGACAGGTCGGTTTGCAGGCACAGATATCATACCGCGATGATAATATGTAAGGAAACACTATTGCCATCTCCAAACGCTTGTCCCTAATTCAACTGAGCATCCCGTACAACGCGAGCACCAGCCCAGACGTAGGGATAGTTGCGCTGATACCAATTCACAAAGGTCTTCCGGCCTGCGAGGCGAGGGTGCGTTGCCCACGATCCACCTAGAGTGATATTATGCTTGCCGTCGAAAAAGTCCGCTAACATTGTAAGTCTCTCCATCAGACACGACGAATAACATTACGTACCTGTGTACAAAGGATACAGCTCCATGGGCTCGAAGCCCTCATGCTTTTCCAAGACAGTGCTGGTCCATTCCCAAACCCCACCCAAGTCCGATTGGCCGCAGAGCTGTCCGCCCTTCTCTGCGACTGAGACTGGGTGCCAGTGTTTGAAACCCACGTTGGCTTGTTCCAGATCGATGAACAGGCTATGTGGATCAGGTCCAGGCGCTGCCTTGGAAAAGCCGTTGATTGCAGCTCGTGATGGTGGTGTCTCTTGTACGCCATCATTCACGAGGTGACTGTGATAGGTTAGTTTCCGTTTATAGAGGCCATATATGTGAGACAAACCTATTGACCGCCGGAATCGTCTTGCCAAGTTCGTTCTCGATGTCCTTAAACTTCGTGCGTTCGACATAATTGTAGATGCTACGGGCTTCTTCCAAAGTAGGGATGCGACCGCCCATCCACTGAGCACAACCAGCTAGTTCATCGTACGACGCAACAACAGGCCAGTTCAGGGCATACTCTAGGGGAACCGATCCATAAACCGTGCGCACATATTTACCATGCGCGATGTCGCCATCGAAACCATTGGTACCATTCACAACACTGTCGCGTTTGATCTTTTCGACTTGTCCAGTGGTAGTGTAATGGAAGTCACACCATGACGCAGGAATTTTGGTCTTGGCAGTTTGGTTCAGGTATTCTGCGTACTCGCCGTTGGTGATCGGTCGTGCTTTCGCCTGGAAGGCCTCGGCTCTGACGACGCGTGGTGGCTTTTCATTATCCCATCCGAAGTATCGGTCTGGACCTGACGGGCCATCTGGATCATCCAGTCCGATGGTGAGTTCAGTTGCAGGAATATCGAACCATTTGTTCTCAACCACCAATTTCTTCGATTGCTTAGCGAGAGCTTCGAAGTCTGGTTTGACGGTGCCTGGAGGAGCCAAGACTCTTTCGCTCTGAATGAGCATATACAACAGAGTCTCGAGATGCATGGCTTCGTGCTCCATGCCAATCCATAGAGCGCGAGAGACTCGTTTGTCACTGTACGCAGCGCCGGATGAGTACAGTTCCTCTGTCCTTCGGCGAACCTCGCTTTGGAACTTTAGTATGGCTTCCAACGGCGGCCATTCGTCGGGGATTTCACTATGCGAATGGCACTGTTCTGGGTTATCTACATCGGGGTCGATTCCTCGTTCGAAAATCCTTCGAAAATCCCTTGGCTCAGTGGGCTCTTCGTCTGTACCCCGTGATAGATGGATGTCAAGGAAGGTGGGAATATGTCCGAGATAGAAGATGCAAGTATTTCGTAGTTTGATCGGCTTCGAGGACAGTTCTTCTTCCGGGATCATGGTGCGAGTTACAGCATCCCAGGCTGCCCATAGTTGTTCCCAATCCTGCATCGATGGAACTGGGCGGGTAGCGTAATCAGCCGGACCTGAAGGGAAACACACCTGAGGCTTGGAAATCAAGTGAAGACCTGGTCGCTGTTAGCAAAAGTGAGGGTCTACAGGCCCGAAATTTTGCATACCGTAGTCTCCCCGAGCGTTCATCCAGGCAGTGTTTTCAACCATTGCTGCTTGGTCCCACAGTTGTACCAGTTCTTCCTTGGAGAATTTGTAACTTTCTTCAATACGGATACGCTCGCCTTGTTTGAGCAAAACATCATCGATAACAATATTTTTCTTCGGGGACACAAAAGCATGATGGCGGCCAGCTTTTTGATCATATTCGCCAATGACCTCCCAATCCTCGATTTCAAATCCGGGGCCGTCCATAATTCGGCTGGCATGCTTCAACCCGTTAAGAATGAATTGATGTGTGACGTCTTCCTTGTCGTTGTATGCATGATAAACGCGACTAGGGTCCTTACATGAGTCAACGCCAATCAACATTGTGTCTCCAGGCTGGATAGCGTCCCTGAATCCAGCGAGAAATTCGGGAAGCTCGTGTCGTTTGAAATTTCCCAAGCTTGATCCAAGCCAAAGGATGTGCTTGGGTTTGCCGCGAATCTCTTTGGACCTGAGCCACTCCAAGGCATGATCATACGTTCCATAAAGACCAAAGCATTTGACATGATTGTAACCCGCAGTGGGGATCTCCGCAAATGTTCGTTCGAGCTCTGGTAGAGATAAGTCAACGGCGTAATATTCGACATCCTTTCCAGCACGGTCGATTGACTGGAGTAAAATGTTCACTTTTCGAAGATTGCTGTTGAAAGAATTAGTATGAGAAACGGTGTCCTTCAACCCTGGGCCTGATATGATCCCCGTACCCGCTGCCAAGTTCTAGCACCACAGATCCAGGTTCGATATGCTGAGCAATGCGGTCTGCATTTGCCTCGAGAACCTGTTGATCGTCAGTAACCTAGTCAGTCCACGTGGAAGAACTTTAATCTTGATTGGCAAGCACACTAGTGAATGCAACTGAGATTAGGCTCGGTTGGGACCTACCTCAATCTCTGCATTCGTGAGATAGTACTCGTCCAAATATGTTATCTTCTCGAAAAGACGGAGACCAGCCTCATCATATAGGAGCAAAGTAGGGAGCTTTTTCTCCCCACCATCATTGGGTCTCAAACCCGCCTTGATATCTTTCAATATGTCAAACTCCGTAGCACCGACCCTGATATCAAGTACTGGTACTTTTGCTGCTGCAACGATGGCCATGATTCTGTAAGACGAAGAAACTTGTAGCTGGCTACCTTTAATCAAACCTGGTACATCCGGATTGACAGCCATATTGATGGTCTGGTGCTTGGGTTTTATAGTTGCTTTCGATTATGTCAACGAAGTACGTAGTAATCCCTAGCCGCAGAAGCCGGGTGGAGTATAGTGGGGATTCCCTGACACAGATGAGATTCCAGGAACCGTTTACGTTAGTGCGCCGAGTGCAGGTAGAACAGGACAGCTTCACGGCAATGGGGCAAATGAGGGTTGCTCAAATGCTCACGGTTAAGGATAGTTCGGCGGAAGTGATTGTTGTTTACTATTCCTTGTCAACATGCTCATGTCATCCCCACACAGTCTGCACGGTCAGTCGGACCTTTCGATAAGCGCAAGGCAACAGCAGTGTATCATTGGTAGGATGGAATCGTGCTGTGCAATCATGACGTTAGGAATCTATGTGTGGCGGGAACGAGTTCCGCTTTGTGGCGGACTAGACCAGTACGCCTAAATCACGATGACTGAAATAACTCGCTCAGAGGCACCGGCATATAAACATGCATGGAGTCTTCAGCCATGTAGCAATTACAGCACGCGTAGGTACCACGATGGACACATCTGAATGCGGGGTCAACATGCAACGTAGAATGAAGATGATCCCTAGCGTCAGCGGAGCCTGCACGATCACTCTAATTGATCACTTAGTTCGCCGCAGAAATGGTCAAACCTGACAATAGCGGTACCGGTGCTGACGCTGATGTGGTACGAGGTATGTTTACTGTTTGAGTGTTTGCATGTGAGATATTGGAGAGGGGTCTTGAATTCAGTGCTTTAATGAAGATGATGGTGCATGTCACGTGATGAGACAGCCTTTCCATACTCCGTTTTGATGACGCCAGCTTGTATGAAGAAGCTATGGGCTACGTTAGGTAGTTCTAGACATTCATTCTAGAGTGACGCTTGTTCACAGGGGAAGATGTTGATGCGGGCATGGACGGATAGGTTTGGGGCGGAATCGGGCGGCTAAGGATAACTTCGGCACAGTACCATACTTGACTTGGCGGGAAATTGATCGAGAACGGAACGGATGAAGATGAGGATGGATGGATGAAGGATGGAGGATGAAGGATGGATGGGTGAATGATGGGGATGACCGTCGATGGATGATGGAGGAATCGTCAAAGGGGATAAGCGCGCGCTCGGGCCTGGTGGGGTACATGCTTTCGATATCGATAAGCTAGCTTAATTCATTCTAGCTCCCTTTTGCAGTTTAGTCATTCATTGTTCACTGTGACCCTAACTCCGTGCCATCTATGCCTCCGTGGAAGCACATCGTTACATTTTGCTCGCTCCCAAATTGATGCAGTCCATGGGAATTTGGCACATTTATGATCTCGAAGGACTTGTACGAGCTCAAATCTCATGACTGCATCGCTTACCTTTTCCACAGTGCTTCAAGACATTCGCACGTTCTGTTCCTGCTGTGCCCCCTTAGCTCAGGATCGTCCATCTCTTTGTTCTGATCTCAACGGCTTTAGATCGTCCACGATAGGTAGAATTCAGCGAAAGCTGATACACAGTGTATGTCTGTTGCCACAGACCGCTGGATTCTGGCATGCATCGAGGCCAAATCCTCGAAGACATGATCACTGGACAGTACATCCCCTTAGGGAAGAGTAGGAAAACTGATTGAATTAGAAATTCACAGTTTATGGCTTTATCGTTTTGTATGGATTCCGGACCTGTGGGCTGATCTGAAACGCCCGATTGGTCCATGTGGCCATTCTTCTCAAAGACGACGCAGTGAACCGGAATCGAGAAACAAAGTCTCAGGATGGGCTCTGACGCTTCTACTTACCTCACCAAAGCTAACTCCATTTTTGAGTGCGTGCGTGTCTATTTTGAATGTCTATTGAAGGCGATGTCTAGTATTGTTCCATAATTTTGGACTCATTCCTCACTCCGCGGACGCGATTTATCCCCTTGTTGGCGCTGTTTCCCCACCGACGCCGCAACTAATTGAGGAACATTCACGAGCGAAAAGGCTGAACAGACCGGACCGTGCACCCAACCAACCCCTCAGGATACTTCTAAACACGAGGTCAATCAAGCCATGAACCCCTTGAACCGGACTGTCGGTAGCTCTTGAAAGACTGCTTCCCAGAAAAGGCAATGAAGGATTAAACGCCTCTTCTATCATGGGTCTCAGGTCTTGAGTACTGCCAAGCTGGTTGCCCAGTGAAGTCAAAGAATTCGATTGCCAAAGGGTCCTCTAGACCGTTAGCAAATAGTGATCTGGCCATATAGATCGCTTTCCATGGCAAAGAACCAGCGCTAGACTCTAGACCCCGAACGCGAGTGGCTAGAATGGTGTATTGTCAGTTGTTAGTCTGATACTGCGCTCTCCCGGTTGACTTGTGCTATTTGTTTTGTAGTACGTCTTTTCGCACTCACCGAGGCAGCTGAAGAATTAATAGATATCTCGGATGGGTCTTCAGGGCTGTCTCCGGGTTGGTCAGGCATTGTCTCATCCATGACAGATGAAATTGTCAGTCATCTCGATTCAGAATGTCCTACAGTACTCAGCCAAGAAATCGTATCGATTCACATCAACCATCAGGATACTTTGATGCACACGTGCACAACATACAGAGAGACCATGACCGTGACATTTGGGTAACAATCCATGGTCTGCGTCAACGGAAATGGTACCTATTGGACCAACTTTCGAGGACTGTAACCACACTGAACGCTCTGCGAGACGCGCAAACACGACATGAACGTGTTTTAAGCACAAACCCACGACCACGTTCAAAGAAGAAGAAGACTCTGCAGATGCGGTGGCGAACGGACAAGACTATTAAGACCCGCGAGAACGAGGAAAGGGTCATTTTGGATTGTTTACAGGTCTGTGATAACAACATACAGGCGTTGTTGTCCATGCTGCAGCCCATCGACACAATGTCCACGACCACAACTGCATACACCCCAAGCGGATCGTACCTAGAAATAGATACACCAGGAACAGAGTTCGACTGGAATGGATGGGGACATGGAGAGACTTCCCCTTTCCAGCAGGGCTGTAGGAACACGTTGTCCACGGACGAGATACCACCAGACCGATGTGCGCAGGACGCCAGAATTCCAAAACTACAGTCTCCCAGCCGAAAACCATCCCATCTGTCGGTTCAGTGCAAGATAGAACCACCCTGTCAGCAGTCCTTCCCACTTGCTCCACCAAACACAGCCTACACGCCATTCTGCCACTCTACGCTGTCGCCAGTAGCTGCAAACTTCGAGCCCAGGGTCATGCATGAACCCTCCAACCTAAGGGAAGCATCTGTGACCCCACCGCAGTTAGACAAGTTGAGCATCTCGGGCTTTCTTGGGTCGAAGAGCGTGCAAAAAATGCGGAGGCGCCGATTCTCGGATGCAGCCATCGGGCACCTGTTCGACTCTCTCCTACACGTTCGGCCTCGCAGCGTGGGGGATAGACATCACAGTTGGTGTCCGGGGTCGGAAGCAGAACAGAACAATGATGATGAGGGCGGGCCGAAGGACGACGCTTTGGACAGGGCAAGGACGGTGTGATAGGTGGGTAGGGGCTCCGTTCCCGAACTTGCAGCTGCACGACGTTAAGGTTTCGATATGAGATGTAGGCTGACGGAACAGTGAGATGCCGGGAGGTTCAAATTCGGCATCCAGATTCGAGTCAATATATGGTTTTCGCGTCGAACTTTGGAAGGCATCGAGTGGTATCATTTCACATTGATATTTAGTGCTCCGATGGGGAAGGTTACGAGAATGGCCTTTCACTCTTCGCCATGGCCATTGGGAAGTCATGATGCATATGTTCTCGGAAAAAAGCATCTTCATGTAAGGTCTAGGCTTTCGGTTACGTTGATCATTTTCACTCACTGTATTCTGTTTTCTTGGATATTCGTTACGAGGTATGTTCGACAAGTCATGTCTCACATCTTAACTGCCGATATGTATTATGATTCTTTAGCCACATATTTGACGCATCCGTTTCGAATCCATGACAATGGTGACATTCCTATTGTAAACCTTTGGATGCGGAAAGCACTACCTATACGCGACACATTGAAGCACGTAATGGTGAGCAAGCTGCATATGAATGCTAACACGGTACATGAAGGAGTGCTGTTGAGGTGCTAAAGCGTGGGGGAGTGTGCATCATTGGAGGAGAGGTCGCCCAGTTATTCTATTTGTATGGAGAACTACCTGGCCCATACCAATCCTACACCCTATCCCCTACATATGTACTTACTGTGGTTGTATACATGTGAAAGAGTATTAATGGTTTTTATGGGACAAGGAGGATGGTGACAGCTGATGCCCCACTACGCTTTCGTCATTCGTAGCCGACGGAAGAGACAAGACGCCATCACCCAATCCAGTCCAGTTCCATCCCACGCACGCACGGCACTCTCGCCCGCCATTAACCATCCCATACCCTTCCGCCCACCTTTCAACACACAACCAACCCAACAACCACAACCACAACAACACTCAACACATACACACACATAGAGAGAGAGCTCATCCTCCTCTCCCCCCAGCTCTTCAACACCTACTTCCGGAGTCTCAACACTCCAGGGCCCTTCTCGGAAACGCTCTACCCACGCCTTCCGACTCACAGATTGCGCCCTCAACCACATACATACCTCCCCCTCCCGAGTCTAGCTTGCGCTCCACAACATCCACCTGCCCCCCCCTACATCGCCTACCGCGGGAACGCACTCTATCTGCACTTTCTGCATAGCGCATTATCCACCGCCTACTTAGTCCCGGCACACAAAAACCCCTCACGGCCCCCTTCTTCCAATATTCGAACGCCAATTCAACATATACCTGCTCACCATTGAGCAACGACATCATCATGGCCGACCCCAGTAGTAGTAGTAAGGAGCTGTCGCCCGAGGGGGCACAGCTCAGAGAAAGACCATCTGTGAAACCATTGCATCTCTATAACTCGGACGATGCAAAACAACGCGTCCTACAGCTGAACGAGGAAGAGGATAAGGAACATGGTGCTGGTGCAGAAAAGCGAACATACGGAAGAACACCAGATGGTATTGGTGAGTAGCCATTATTGATGGATCAACATGCGAAGATGCACGCAGGAGTCATTGTCTCATTCCATCATGATCACCAGTCAGTATGAACCACGAGTCGACTCCAGTACTAACTTTCTATCTGTCTTATAGTTTTCGTCGTGCCCCAGACTCATGATATGGTCTCGCAGCTTCTTTCCCCATCGCAACCAAAGAACCTGTCAGATCTCGCTGTCCTCGCCGTGCTTGCTGGTCTGATCCTGACTTTATATCTACTGCCCAAAAGCGCCCGCATACCAGTTTTCGCCATAATCTTTCTGTTTTGGCGTACCGCTTACAATGCAGGAATCGGTTGGCTACTAGATGCTCAGTCAAAACATAATCGACTTGTTCTGTGGGCAAAGAACTCGCATATCTTTGAGAAGCCGGAGTCGGGCAAGAACCCGCACCCTGCACTGTACAAGCTGCTGAAGCGCGAGCTGGAGACTAAGATCCCTCGTGATTACAAGTTTGAAGAGGCACCTCTGGAGTACAACACCTGGTTAGTCTTCAGGCGCGTTGTAGATCTCATTCTGATGTGCGATTTTGTCTCGTACTGCCTCTTCGCGATCGCCTGTGGGAACAAACCCGTCGAAAGCTGGCTGCTCTGGGCTGCGCGATGGACGACCGGTATTGTACTCTTCTTGTTCAATTTGTGGGTAAAGCTCGACGCCCACCGAGTGGTCAAGGACTATGCATGGTACTGGGGAGACTTTTTCTACCTCATTGATCAGCGGCTTACCTTCGATGGTGTTTTTGAAATGGCACCTCACCCTATGTATTCAGTGGGATATGCCGGTTACTATGGCATTTCCATGATGGCTGCGAGCTACAAAGTCCTAGCTATTTCCATCATCGCCCACGCTGCACAATTTGCTTTCTTAACCCTTGTTGAGAACCCGCATATCGATAAGACATACAATCAACCAGCTCCCCGAAAGCGCCTGAGCTCCCAACCAACCACCTCGTTGGACGAACGTCCCCTCTCAAGCCACTCCGATCCTGCAGGCGGAGATGGCCGTCCTACATACGAGACGATCGACCACCCTGCAGATGTTCACAATCTGCTCGGATTAAGGAATATTGATGTCCATCGCTCCATCGATGTCACCGTTTTGCTATTCCCATTCTACATGTTTTGTCTCGCGACCATGACCCCTAATATATGGCCTGTCCGAGCCTTCTTCGTCTTTAATGCTTTCGTCTGGCGCCTTTGGTTTTCATTTGGCATCGGTTACATCCTTGACCGTCAGTCGAAGAAGAAGAACTGGACTAGGCATTTTATCAAATACGGCGATAGCAAGGAGGAGGCATGGCGCCAATGGAAGGGTCTCTACTATCTCAGTACCACCATGTGTCACGTCAGCTTTCTATGCGCGGCGTGGAAGATGTACGCCCTTCCCCCTGATTGGTCCTACGGACTCACCCTGCTGCGACATGTGGTAGGCGTCGCTTTGATTGCATTACACGCATGGGTGTCTATCAGTATCCATGAATCCCTGGGAGAGTTCGGTTCCTTCTTTGGCGATTTCTTCTACGACCCGTCCCCTAAGAGCTTGACCTACTCTGGCATCTACCGGTTCCTGAATAACCCAGAGCGCGTGCTCGGCCTTGCGGGCTTCTGGGGTGTGGCTTTGATCACCTGGAGCACATCGATCTTTTACCTGGCCGCCGTTACACACATTTTCAACATGCTCTTCCTGCAATTCGTCGAACGACCTCACATGCAGAAGCTCTATGGCCAGAACCTCCGCAAGGAAGCCGGTCTCAGCAAGACACTCAGACAGTCGCTACCAAGCCCTATTCGCAATTGGCAGACCGCCGCTGACAGTGTACTCAACTCTACTGCCGAGTTCATCGAGGACTTGCTCGAGTCCGCAAAGCCGAAGCTTGCTGCAGGTATGGACAGTTTCGTTAGAGACACTACGGCATTGTTCAAATCGTATCCCGCACGCATCTCCATCACCAGGATCTCCCCGGAGATTGCTGGAATCGATCCCAAGAACTACAGTGTTGAGGTCGAAGGTACTCTGTCTTCTCCTTCTGTCGAACTCCAGAAGAATGGCGGCAGAGAGGGTGAGATGGCTAGAACCCCAGCAGCTCGCACAAACGAATACAAGACCATGATCCTGGAATATGGCGCCCCTATCAAGGTACGCTGGCGGGCTCCTGTCAACCACAGCAAGAAGGACTGGATTGGTCTGTACATGGTGGCCGACAACCCATCTCGAGATGTCACTACGATTGGTTCCAACGGTCGATGGATTTCAACGAACCCTGGTGTCTTCGACTCGGTTCGGGCCGAAGAAGGTATCCTCGTCTCTGACAAGCTATTACCGGCAAGCGAGAGCCAAGACGGCGAGACCGATCTCTTCACTGGTGAGATGGAGTTCCGTGGCGACAAGCTCTGGTGGACCACTGGTGTCTTCGAGTTCCGATACCACCATGACGGCAAACACAACGTTCTCGCCCTCTCACAGGCGTTCGAAATCCGCATCCCCAAGTTCGACGAAGATGATGTCGAACTGGATATCAACGGAACCATCCACCGACCCATACAGGAAGAGCTGTTGCCCGTCATCCAAAACTGCTTCGACAGAGACCCCGAGATTGCACCCAGCACAGCTGACGAGTCTTTTGGATCACAAGTCGAGCGTGATGGGAAGTACTCTAAGAGAGTTGTCTTCGCGGTGCATCAGATGTAAGTTCACGCATGGCCAACTAGGTCAACCACACATATTAACAATAAAATAGGTTCGGAATCGAATTCGCACCCGAAGTCGTGCAAGCCGACGGCAACGTTAGAAACCTAGCCTGGCGTATCTGCAATGCTAAGAAGGTCCTCGTAAGTACAATCTCCTATCTCCAGAACATCTTCATTCATGCACGGAATGTTCGCTAATTGTCACCCGTTCAGGCACCCTACAGCATGTCCTCCACGAAAGGTAGGAATACGCCAACGCATGGTTAGTCGGATTCGCAGGCTTGACGTCCGGCGCAAAGGTGGTGTAGTAGTTCACTCCGAGGGCCGATCTGGCCGCCAGCCTTCCTTCCACCTCACCAGCAATGGCTGCACACAGTCCTAGGCCTATGCTATTTGTAAAGGCCTTAAGTGTGTCACCAAGAGTTTGAATCCGCCCTCTACAGTGTATCTGTAGAGGAGGGATTGAGAATCTTATGTTTTGTAGATGATGAAACCTTTTGCATTCCCTCCCGTCATTCTCTCCCCGTTCTCCAAAGTGAGCGCGTGAGTGACGGGGTTGTTGTACTTTTGTTAAGTTTATTCCCTCCCCTTTTCCATTTGGCATAGCCTGCGTGCCTGCGTATATGAAAGAAGGGTGGATGTAGTGAGATAGAAAATACGATTGTTTGAGATTTTTTTGATCTGTTGACATACATCGTGTCTTCAATGTGTTGGCTACCTAGCTAGCTACACTTCAGCTACCCGTGGCTACTGGTGATAGAAGAGGTAAGAGGATAAGAACGGGGACGACCTCTTCAACTGATGTTAAAGGCAGGACGTCAGCTTCCCAAAGTTCATTCTGAATCCAGACAGTAGTGTTTCAATTAACTAAGAGCAGGTCAAATGGCTCTATAGTTGAAGGCAGACACAAAAGACTGTGGTTGTCAAGGAGGGGGTTGAGAGGCAAAAAAGAGAACGGAGCGGCTAGAGTGCTCGCTGTCGCCGTTGCCATCAATGATGGCAGGCAGATAGCGAATGACACGTTGATCAACTGAACAGTAGAGGTGCGGTCTGAAGAACAGGGGGGAAAGGGGGGGGATTGTCTCTGCGTTACAGAGCATGTGCAGCATGTGGACATTCCACCATGTTCATTCATTCATGCATCTAGGAAAGGGAAAGTACAAACAAACGTCACTTGAGACGACTAATAATTAGTAGCTAGTTAACTCTTTTCTCTATATACAATTCTTTTTGACCATATTAGCATTGCTCGGCACGGTATAGGTAACAGCCGGCTCTAGAACGTTTGAGTAGTCATGCCGACTGATTAAGCCACAATACTTTGACTGTCCGAGTAGGTAGTAACATTATATAAGAAACATGCCCAGAAGAAGTTATTGATTCCTAGCCGTGGAGACTCAGCTAGCCGCAGTGGAGACCAGGGCATTTATACGAGAAAAGGGGGCATGGATTCATAGTCTCCGAATATAAAAGTTCGGGAGCGTGTCGAGTCATTCACCATATTTAACAGCATTCTCTATCATCTTATCTTATCTTTTCATCTCCCATTATGGAAGGACAAATTCCATCCCTCAACAGATAGGGACAATTGAGCTGGCTGGATATGTGAGTGAGAAAAGTGCCAAGTTGAACATACGAGGTCACTCCACACCTTGCTTCGTCTACCCTTATCCTCGAACCCGGTATCCGATTTTCTTCGCCTTATCACGGGTGGATTTATAAATCCGAACACGGACACGTGAGGGCATAGTGCAATGCAGCGTAGAGGCACGGTTTCATAGTCCCCTACCAAGTCGCCAGACAGCCAATCAACCAACAAGCAGACGAATCCAAGTGGGATCACCTGTGCAGAAAACGCCTCAATTCGCGAAGCTGAGGAGGACAAGTGGGATTGGAGGATTCATATCCCGTCTTGAGTCAGTACGAGATAGAGAGATAGTCCTGCGTGGAGGTTGAATGGAGAGGTGAGAGGGTGGGAGGGCATGCATAAGGCGCGCTTCCAGGTGCGGTGCGTCGTTTACCCCGCAGGATTCCGGTTGGAAAGGCTGAAGATGAATTGGATCACAATTGGTGAGTGAGATTGGGATTGCGGTTTTAGAATTGGATCTAGAACGAGGGTTGAGGATATGGAGTTTTGATGGCGTTGGGCTGGTGTGGTGTTAGCATGTCGTTGATGGTACCTAGGTAGTTATGGCTGAGGATTAGACGAGGATGGCGGGTTATCTTATCAATCTGGATCTTTGCCTCAATCCTTTGACGAGTACGAGGACGACTTGAGGGATTCGATGGGATTGTGGAAAAGGGAGTTAAACCAGATTCGCAATGGATCAGCATCAGCATTCACGCGGTTGCATGTGGGCGTCCTCGTAGGCTCGTGTCTGGATCTGGGCTTGTTAACCTCGGTCGGAGGGTTTGGATACATTCACTTATTCGTAGTCAAAGCCGTTAATTAGTGATTAGTTTATTAGTCGTCTCGTCTCGTCTCGTCTCTCTTGCGCGGATTGGGGAAGTCGACTACACGCATGCGCCTCCATCTGCCTCCTCTTTCGTGATCAACTATTACCTAGGTAAACTCACGACTCACATATCTACATTGACTCTCCTCGCATCTTCTGGAACCTTCAAACCCCCTCCCCCTCTCCCATCTCTGTTTCATCCATAAGAACACACGTTATCGTCCGCGTAATTTCTTACATCCTTCATATCACTTCCCAACCCTTATCAAACATCCCTCCCCCTCCCCATCTTACTCCGACGTCCGGAAGGGCTAAGTGACTGGGGTACAGACCGACTGTGACGCCACCCCGGATCCGCATCCGCGCCTGCGTCCGCATCTACAGCAACGACAACCAACCACTCGCCCTGTGTTGTACTCAATAATAAAACCCCATTAATCCCATCTCTCTTCTCTTGTACATCCAACTTTCCGTCAACCAGAAATCCCATCCCATCCGCCCTGAGATTACCGAGAAGGATCGCGCATACATAAACACGCAAAACCATGGGGAAGTCGCCTTCCAAGTCGTCCACCAAAGTCCTACCGCTCATCCCCCTCGCGCCGCCGCTCGCCGTCCTCCCCGGCACGACCCTCAAGATCCCCATCATCAACCGCGCCGACGTCGCTGCCATACTCGCAAAGATCTACTCCATAAGTCCCACCGCGAAGCCCGATGCCGCCATCACAGTCGCCTGCGTGCCGCTCAACTCGCCGCAGGTCTCCCGCGACGGGAAACTGCTGATCGAGGAGGGAAAGAAGGTCGAGAACGTCAACTTCGAGTCCGACCCCGTCGAGGCTACAAAGAAGGATATCTTTGGTTATGGATGTATTGCTAAGGTTAGCGGGGTGCAAGGCAGGAAACACGGCGACTTGAGCTTGGTCGTCGAGGGACTCGAGAGAGTCAAGGTTATCGACGTCGTGCAGGAGCGACCCTATTTCGAGGGCGAATTAAGCAGTGTAGAAGAATTCAGTAAGTCTCGGACATATTGTGATAAGATTGGAAATGGCATGCTAAGTGATCAAACCAGTCGATGTCGCAAACGCCGATGTCCTCGATCAATTCAACCTCCTCAAGCAGCTGTCACGCGAGCTGCTCGCCCTCGTGCGCCTCTCGTCCATATTACCTCGCGCACCCACAGTCTCGCTTTCACCGCTCGTAGCAAAGCGACTAGAACTCTATATCGGACGGAAGGAGCTTCCAGAGGCCGGAGCGCTCGCAGACTTCATGGCGAACGTGATCGATTGCACACATGAGGAGAAGCTTCGAGTACTCTCCGCAACGGATGTTAAGGACCGATTGGATCGCGTCATCGAGATCCTCCAGAGGCAGATCAGCAGCATACAAGGGAGCACACGAATGACGGTCACCACTACATCGCTTCCAGGCGGAAGTTTCGACATCAATCAGCTCAGAAGGCTACAGCAGGAAGCCATCAAGCGGAGAGGGGCTGCGACAGGGAACAATACACCAGGTTTCCCTGGCGGGTTCCCCGGAGGGCAAGGTGCACAAGGCGGCGAAGAAGAAGCCAACGAGATTGATGAGCTGAAGAAGCGGTTGCAGGATGCTAAATTGTCTCGTGAAGCTGATAAGGTGGCACAGAGGGAGCTCGCACGCCTGCAGAAGATGAACCCGGCCCAGGCCGAGTACCAGGTCTGCCGGAACTACCTAGAGAACCTTGCTGAGATCCCCTGGACCAAGACCACTCCGGATCAGCTCGACGCGAAGACTCTTGTCAAGGCGAAGAAGCAGCTTGACGATGACCACTACGGTCTAGACAAAATCAAGAAGAGGTTGCTAGAGTACCTTGCGGTATTGAAGCTCAAGGAGCAAGCCAATCGCGATATCGACGATCAAATCAAAGCCATCACTGGTGCAGAGATACTTCCAGAAGAGAACGAGGAAAAGGAAGAAGCTGCCGATGCCGAGGACAAGAAGGTAGTCAAGGAACCGTCAGAAGCGGAGCTTCGATTGCTTGAGAAGAAGCGCATGGTGGATAAGTCGCCCATTCTTCTGCTTGCCGGACCCCCAGGAACGGGCAAAACCTCGCTCGCCAAGTCAGTTGCCACTGCCCTGGGTCGCAAGTTTCACCGCATCTCTCTGGGTGGTGTTCGCGACGAGGCCGAGATCCGTGGTCACAGGAGGACATATGTTGCTGCCATGCCTGGCCTCATTGTCAACGGATTGAAGAAGGTGGGCGTATCCAATCCTGTCTTCCTCCTCGATGAGATAGACAAGCTTGGTGTTTCCAACTACAACGGCGACCCCAGTGCTGCCATGTTGGAAGTCTTGGATCCTGAGCAGAACCATACGTTCACGGACCACTACGTCAACATCCCGATTGATCTGTCAAAGGTCCTCTTCATCGCCACTGCAAACTCCCTCGAGACAATTCCACCGCCACTCCTCGATCGTATGGAGACCATTCAACTGTCAGGATATACAACGATCGAGAAGCGACACATTGCTTCGCGACATCTCATCCCCAAGCAAATCACCACCAACGGGCTCCATGCCGACAACCTCGAGATCCCCACGGATGTTCTCGACAAGATCATTACATCCTATACCCGCGAGTCTGGCGTACGTAACCTCGAACGCGAAATTGGCTCCGTGTGCCGTAGCAAAGCCGTCGAGTACGCAACAGCAAAGGACTCGGAAACGCTGGGCCAATACAATCCCATCGTCTCACTGACCGACCTGGACGCCATGCTCGGCATCGAGAGGTTCACCGAGGAACTCGCTGAACAGTACTCACGACCCGGTGTCATAACAGGCCTCGTGGCCTACTCGACCGGTGGACAAGGCTCCATCCTCTTCATCGAGATCGCAGACATGCCAGGCTCCGGCCGAGTCCAACTCACCGGCAAACTCGGCGACGTCCTGAAAGAAAGCGTCGAAGTGGCCCTCACATGGGTGAAAGCCCACGCCTTCGAGCTCGGCATCAGCAGCTCGGAAGACGAAGACATCATGAAGAACCGCAGCATCCACGTGCACTGCCCGAGCGGCGCGATCCCCAAGGACGGCCCCTCGGCCGGCATCGCCCACACCATCGCCCTCATCTCCCTCTTCAGCGGCAAGCCCGTTCCCCCGACCCTCGCCATGACCGGCGAGGTCTCCCTCCGCGGCCGCATCCTCCCCGTCGGCGGCATCAAAGAGAAGCTCATCGGTGCCCTGCGCGCCGGCGTCGAGCGCGTACTCCTCCCCGAGGGAAACCGCAAGGACGCCCGCGACCTCCCCGAGGAAGTCCTCTCCGGCCTCAACATCGAGTTCGTGGGACACATCTGGGAGGCGCTCGCCAAGGTGTGGCCAGAGCGGTGGGAGAAGATGAACGGGTGGGTCGAGCCGAGACTGTAGGTTTATGTGGAAGGGGAATGGGCTGGCGTATGGGCATAGTAGTTGTTAGCTAGTTAGCATGCATTGGAGGTATTTTGTATATAGTTCTGAATCGATTTTTTTGGGATCAAGTTATACTTGCTGAGCCATGCACCATGTCGTCTTGAACAGTGGCGGCCTTTCGTTCCTTGTGTCTAATCATTCAATATGCCCTATAGAGGAGAGGTATCTCCATTGCCCCTCTGACCACACCTCTGCCGTGCAATTGCCTACCGTGTCAACGGCGACAACGACATTGAGCACTCCAGTCACCCAACTCCCTCAGCCCAGTCCAGCCCAGTCCAGGAAAAGCACGATCAAGTAGTCACCCCTTCGCCATCCAGTGCATGTCTCCTAGGTGACATCCAACTTCCACTTCCCTCCTCATAGCCAACTGACACACTATTCATGCTCAACTCCCGCCTCCCGTATCCCTGGTTTGTTTTGTTGCTCTTAAGGTATAGTAGGGTTGGCGGTACGCGCCAGAGTTCGTTCGTTCGAAGGAACGTTCATCAGCACATCAGTGAAGACACTTCAATCGAGGACAGTATTGTACTTGGGGAACTCGACAGGTAGGACGTCATGCGTAACAGCGGTGACACTGACTGTTTACTTTGTTGGTGGTTTGGGAAGTAGACACCTTGGGGTGCAGTGCGTAACTCGATGGTGCGTGGCAGGAGGTGTGGGATTTGTCTGGGGGGAGGTTTGAGGGTTCTTTCGAGGGGGCGTTCGAGAGGTCAGGCTTCGGTCGATGGTATCGAGGTGATGGGTTCGTCTGGCGGTATCAAGGCGAAGAGGGGAGTTGGTATATGACTCGAGCGCTACGAAGGCGGTGGAATGGGACGGTCGTGTGTACTGTTGAGTTCTTTGTTTGGGGGCGTATGGTAGGCGATACATTCGAGTGCTAGCACAGGAGGTCGATGTACCTGATACAGCAATGAATGAAAGGGGTTTAGAATACGTGCCGGAAACACCGTACAAGTCGTATAGGGATTGATGTGCGGTGTTGTATCGTTCCTCTGTCGAAGAGGAGGCGTTTGGACAGTGGTCGTGATGGGAGGGACGGTAGGTTTTTGAGCAGGACTATAGAATGAATTTCCTCAGTTCAACATATTGTGTCTAGTACTTTGTTTCCAGCTATTGAAATGTATGAATTCATTCATTGGACGGATACAGAGGCGTGTTATTGATAGTAAGCGTACTCGTGATCTTCGTGCCTGGAACTCCGTCTTGTACTTAAGATGGGCCAGTGGAGGCAGGTAGGCATGGGCAACGCGTATAATACCCAAAGTCGAGGACGTACTGGAGACTCGAGAAAACTTTCATGATTGATATACGTTTGATGCTGTATCGATCGGGTTGTTCTGGTGGTAGTCGTAAGGGCGAGGTTCGCGTCCGGCGGTTCGTGAGGACGGTTCGTGAACAGCCTTGGGGAGTGGGCGATGGTGTCGACAAAGGGGAACATATCCCTTCTGTTCAACAGATGGGTGAGGAGTCATCATCATACCTAGCGTTGGTACCCGAGATACTGTAGCAGGTTTTGTGTTCTTGAAATTTGATGTCGTATTATTCTTTCGCGTAGAGAGGCGTGCCTCAAATGGCAGTCGCGGCCATCAGTGAATTTCGTGACTGGCGGTTCGTTGGAAGAGTGTAAGGACGGGCCAGGGACCGTTGTAAAATCTTCCCAAGATAATGATTCTTGTTATGATATCAATGAGTGATTGGACAATATACGTGGTGCTGATTGTGATGACAGTGTGTCCGGCGATTTGTTGCTGGGCAGAGACGGTGGCGAGGCTCGCGTCCGGCGGTTCATCGTTGAAGTAGCATGACACTGAGCATTGAATACGTACTAGGAATATTTAAAAGGCTTTTTAGCTACTAATATGTCTTTACACATTGTAGGGAAGTAATATAGATGATGCTCTTCGGGGGTCGCTCGCGTGTAGCACTGGGAGTATAGCATCGTAGATCCGAAGATACATCACGGCCACCCAACAGAGTTGGAGGATTCAGGGGCTGTTTCAAAAATAGTCAAGATCCTACCCATTCCAACTATCTAAACTATCCATCGCTTGTGGGTCGTGCCTGTGATGCCGTGCCCTCTGATATAGAGGCTTCTAAACGTAATGATGTCAATGGCATGTACGTGTAGGAAGGGTTGCTTTGATGGTAATTGCGATTATATGGTGACCATGAGGTACTTCATGGTTTGACTGAGAAAGGTAGAGCGGGGGTCATGGATGATCATATCGATTTTGAAGTGGTTATCTTGGTTCTGATGTTCGCTGGCCTTGATAATTAGTGGCTCGACAGACAGTTACCTCAGCTGCTCGTGCTAAGATTTGGTCAAGCCTGAATTCGGCCTGGATAGATAGCTGTGAGAAATTGGGTGAATACACCCGGTATTATTAGCAGTGTAAAAGGGGAGGCTGGTCGCTTGTGCAATCACTTCACCCGATCGCAAGGGAACAGTGTGGCAAAATATCGATCTGTTTATCAACATCTAAACTAAAGAGAGCGGTAAGCCAGAGTCGGTGGCATTCATTGGACTGGCAATGGCCATGTACAATCCATCGACCAATTCACGCTGTGTCACGTTGGTCACTGGACAGCTCCTTACTGGTGCTTCCATTGATGGTGCCTGATCTCATTACACTATACCTATCACTGTTTTCCTCTTTAGATGATACGCGTGTTTACTGTTTTTGCTAATCAAAACTGCGCATCGACCTCACGCGGGCACATGTGTTGACTAAAAGTGAATGTAAATAAAAGCACACCAACCTGCAACACAACTCTCTCTCCCTATTTGTTTATTCTGCCGTCCACCACACGTCCTATTTCTGCATCTTCACAGCCGACACATCTCTCTTAGTCTGTTACGATATCACATATCAGTGTCGAGATCATTCTTCAACGCCCGCTATTACGATGTCTTCTAAACAGTCTAAAGAGAGCTACGACCTCTTCCGATGGGAGGATCACAACAATTTAAGTAAGTCATGAAATCCAACTGAAGATCTATATGCTTCAAAATATGGCGGACCTACAATATGAGGCATCCTGTTTCTCCAGTGTGCTATCAGCGCCGGCGTTCTCCCATGCCCCCTTAGGTCAGCGGTAGCTACACAGTGGACATTTTTACTAAGATATCTGACAGACCACCATTGTGGGAGATGTCAAAAACCACTGTCTCGTGACAACGCCAGAGTTGTCTGCTTTGGACACCATGTGGAGCCCTGTAGCCGATTTCATCAGGTCATGTTCCTACTGGGCCGCACCAGATCTTGTACGTACTGCAAAGATATTGACGAGGATCATCATCAGAAACACCTCGGTATTGCAGGAAAGCTACGCCAGATCTATGAGATGCTCGGGCTCGACACCTTCATCATCCCACCAGACGTGGTTCAAGCCCAACAAAGGAGACCCTCCGGAGAGACTCGAGAACAAGAAGATGACAAACCAACCGATAAAACCAAAGGTCTAAGTCTTCGACCAACAAAGAAGGAAAGAAAGGAAATCAAGAAGCGTGAGAAGGCGGCATTGCGGCCAAAAGTGGTCACGCAAGACGAGATTGAATACCTTGGTGTGGTTCTGCATGGCACTGCTGATGGGCCTGTTTGCCTCAACGATCCTACAAGCCCTGGGGAGGCTGATGACATGGAGAAACTGCTGGCGGAAAAGGCCAAGGCTTACAACGAGTCTGGTCGAAGAGGCTCTAGGAGATTATCGGACGCAGTTCTCACCGGAGCATTCGACTTTGGTGTCGAAGTTGAACGAATTTTGGGCGACCTTAAACTTCCGAACGGTCGGCCAAAGAACAAGGGCCACAGTGGAAAGGAGCAAAAGGCTTTCGATGAGGAGATTTTGAACCTCAAGGAGGCCATAGTAGATGACCTGTTATACTTGAAAGGAGTCCAGTTGCATACAAGCATGCGACGAGCCGCTTTTCTCAGGTATACGAATCGTACGAGCAACGACATAATCTCCGCGCGCCACGAGGACTGGGACTGGAAGACTGGAGAGAGAAGGGAGCGACCGCTTGCAAAGAGCAAGAAAGGCAAAGAAAGGGAAGACGAGCCTTCAGGCTCCAATGCTACGGCGGATAATGAGCTCGACACGGCATATGATTCAGATACTCAAACGGATGCAGATGATTCTAGAATGTTGAGCCCGGATCATCCCAGTCTTTTCGAAGGGCCTGTCGAGCCCATAAGGAGCTCTGAGGATGTTTTGCCTGGTCACGTTGATCTCACCGAAGCAAATGCAACGGAAAGCAGCCAGCCGTCGAGTTTCTCTTCGGAAGAACGAAAATCATCGTGTGATGCCTCTTCGAGGTCTAGAGAGCTGCTTTCCACTCCCACTGGGTCTAGACGTTCTCGTCAGGGCAAGAACCGGAAGAAGGAACGATCTTCTAAAGCCGGTTCATCTGATCTTGGTGGAAATCCTGATACCACATCCTATCGTATGTCGTATCAGGAACTGTCAAACGCCCAAGAAGAGATTGCTCGCGGCCCAATCTTGCCGCCTCCAGCTATTAAATTTTCTTCACTATCACACAAGTTTCCATCAATCTGGGGGGCATGGGCCGATACGTTTGATCCCCAAGGCCCAGCCTTCAACGATGAGCAAGCAGGTGTTGTAGATGGTGAAGAAGATGAAAATGACGATTCCTCAGACTCAACAATCAAGCCCGATGAAGACGACAGTTCTTCAGCCTCAACGATCAAGCCCGATGATGATGCCACTACACCGGCCACAACCAATCGTACACAGGGTGATACGGACTTTATGTACTACGTGACATATCCATCAAAGCAAAACCGTTGGAAATTAGGGCCATTCACTCGGGAGCAGGCAATTCACCACGTCGTGGTGGTGGAAGAAAAACAGCAGCGCATCGGCGAACGGCTTATGTACATTGACCGAGACTTGTATCATTGGCTGGAGCACGGCGATAAAACGGTGTTTCCCCGTCTAAATTGGGAAGTGGATCATGTGGAGTTAGACAACCGACATCCCGATCTGCTCGTGGTGCAGATCGAGGAGTATCAACATCGTCGCGGTTTCAACGATAAATGCTTCAGTTACGTTCCCACTAAGACTGAAGTCGAGTTGATTCTCGAGAAGGATGCCGCTGAGCGGCTTGCCTTTAAAGAGCTCGCTTCTCAAAAGCCGAACATGTGTACATGCGAGACACCGATTCCATTTAAATATCTGACATGGGAGGACACGATTGACGAGGATGCTGCACGCTTGGATTGCAATCTAAAAGAATGCATGAACAAGAACTGCGTGGGCAAGTTCTTCCATTTGCATTGTGTAGAGGACGTCCCTTCTGAAGAAGGTTCTCCTTGGTTATGCCCTCCGTGTCGTCGTGTGGAAAGCGAAGAGGAAGTTGAATCGGCGTCCGACGAGTTCGTCGTCTAATCGTTCATCACTACAGCCAAGTTCTTGAAAATATGTTGCGGAAGGGATCGTGGAAACACTATGCTATAGGTTCTGCGTTGCGATGGTCAATTTATGTATAGATAAATTTCAAGTAATTAAACGGATTTTATTCAACCAAATACCACTGATGCTGAAAGTAACATTTTTCATTGACTTCGCTCTGTCTATTCTAGCAATCTTCAGGTATGAAGACACAAACACAGGTAGCGTGGCTTATGGAAATTTTAATCAGCCGATGATATATTGTAGAAATAACAACAGATCTATTTTCCATGGCATCCTAGATTTTAATGATGAGGTCACATAGAATGGCCTTGCTCAATTCGAACCCGCGGCTATACCCTCCCCACCCGGTACGACTCCGCAGCCACCCTATTCACCTCCTCATCAGCGCCTTCTTGGGCCCTAAGCAACTTGCTCCATTCTCTAGCCTTGGCTTCCTCTCCTTTCTTGATCTCCCCTTCCCTGTCAAGTGCCTCTTTCTTCTCCTTGGCGGCCTGTGCCAGATCCCCCAACTTTCCGTGGCACAGGAGCAGGTAGAAGACCATTTTGTTGGAAGCATTTGCGACCCATCTGCAAGGTGATCGATTTTTGCCCACAAGCGAGCAGAATTTCCAGTGCGGAGCACATGGGATGTAGATGCAGTTGAAAGAGAGTGCGCGGTCGATGAGAGCGTCTGGCACACGTGCGCGGTAATGGTCTTCCCCCCAGGGAGAATCGCCCACCACCTTCACAGATTCGTGAGCCATGTGAACATAGAAGTGAGTGCATAATGGGTGATAAAAGCTTACGTGGTTTTGCATTGTTGTTTATTATGGTTGAATGGTAGCGCCTTTCGTGTTCTTGAGTTTGATGGATTTCAGCCTGGCTGATTTGGCGATGCTTCTCTTCTCTGTGAGATTGAACTCAATTGTCTTGATTCGATTTGGTTTGGACGTAAAGGTGAGAGACATTGTGGGCAGTTGAAAACCTCTTTTATATGCATTTTGATGGAAAGCCTTCCCCCAATACTTGGTTACCAATTCACCGTACCAGTGGATTCGGTATGTTGAGATTCGATTCTTCGGGGGGGAGCACTTATTGATGAAGACACTTTGGGACTAGAAGTGAAAACTGCTGCTTTAAATTGGAACCACACTTCCTTGAGATGGAATGAATGTTGTTGTCTCATATCCGTCCTTGATATGAAGCAAATCGCCCTCTTTCAGTACCAAGTCTCTTATGAATTACAAGGCCAGGCTGAGTGTAGGCATGGCCAGGGTACGTTGGAAGAGCAAAGGTTTGGTAATGCACATTTTGGGTCGCTTCCAGATCGGTGGTAGGAAATATTGGGGCTGGAGGAAAAGTCGGCGAACAAATGGGTGACGTTCGTGAAGATGTGGCTGGAGTCGCTGGACGCGATGTGGTTGGTTCCCAAAGGAACGTGAACAAGCGCATATTGGTTGGGGTATTGAACCAAGGTGTTGGAAGTATCTGGTGAGTATGTTTGTGACCTCGAAAAAAAAACAAGGAATGAGTCGATATGTAAAGACTGTAAATTGAATAATGACAGGACGAGATCTTATGATCTCAAAAGTTGCATTGAGGACACAGCCGCGACTGCGACTCGGCTCAAATAAAAGATGGTAACTAAAATCCAGCGAGGCGAAATCAGCGAACTAATCGTGCACCACGGTGTACCTATATGACCAACATTCCCCTCGGACCCAAGGCATCCCGCGCGATGCATGAATCCTTCGATCCTACTGTTGTTCGCGGCGTGTCAAGGAATCACGTGGTTCACGGAGTTGGTGGTGGGATCTGGGGGCTGTGATCCGTAGCGTTTCAGAAAAATCTCCGCCAGCCCCCAAGTCCGATGGCGCAGGCTTATAGCTCACTGTTCGTGAGCGAGTATCTTGTGCCGATAGGCATCTTTGTGGTGCTATAAGGATGCGCATAACGGTCGCTGTTTCGAAGTGTAGGCGATGACCAAAGATCTAGCGCAGATGACCAAGTAGACAAGCAAACTAAGTTACGACGGAGCGACTTCGATGAAAAAGCACACTGTTCCTTCTAGTATGCATTGCTCTTTTAGATCGTTGAGATCGTCATCAAGCTGTAAATCATCGGGCGACGAAGGCGTCTTCCAGAACTTCCGTTGGACACAACTGCTTACATACCATTCCCGTACCTCAACGCATATTGCCGCATACCCACTATGCGAATTCGAACTTCCTATTTGGGTCATGACATTCTTCCTATCAAATGGACGAACAACGCTCATCTGATCTTCCAAAGTGATGCCTGTCGAACGTCACTCAATCCGTGCGGTCTTTCCTCCGTAGACACATCTGAATGAGTAGCCAAACAAAATATGATAAAAATACCTACAAAACATCATGCCTATTAGACGTATTAAGAATTATCGACTATTCATGAAGTCCGGAAGTCGACATCGTGTTGAAGAGGTTCCAACTACAAAATCTACACTAAGCACGCTCGGCAAACATTTATTTCCTCATGAAATAACATCCCGCTCTCAGATCCAACATTGTGACTTTCTTGCACGATTCTTGCCCCTTTCGTCATTGGAAGCGCTAAATACTCCATCCTATATTCCCCATCGACAAAATTCACCTTATAGGATTCTACCCTCGCCCGAATCAGGGGGATTTCTATCCGAGGGGAATATTCCTCCGCCATCGGCCATCAATTTCCCATCACGATACGGACTTCCACATATATACTTCATAAACATCCCTCACGATGCCGAGTTTCTTCTCTTCAAAACACTATCGCAAAATGTCTTCCTCGCAGGCCTCTCTCATTCAGAAAGTTAATTCGTTCCCGACCCAACTTCTGCACCGCTGCGATTCGTTCATGTCGAGCGAGAAGGAAGAATTTCCCCCCATGGACTCGGGCATCGACATGAGTTCCATCAGGGACTCGTTGCACCTTGAGAGGAACCAGAAGGTCCTGGATGACGTTCTGGTCCGACGACGAACCAACAGCCTCAAGAACAAGACGCGCCAGAGAATTCTCAGTGTCTTGAGAGTGAAGACATTTTAGTGAGCACGCTGAGCGTGTGGGGAGGGCAAGGGTTTGTAGGGAGCGAAACCCAGTCCAACGATCCAGTTACGGCATGCTGATATCACTTCTCAAGGCCCATAGCTCGCAACGCCGCAGGTTCGGCGCTGGAATAGCAGGAACTCAAAGTCTATCTGGATAGATTACTATTTTGCGAGCTATTTGTACAGGAGCGCAGCATGCCATGAGCGCCCATCTTAACGACATTCCGGAGATTGACACCTTGTTCATCAATTCAACCCAATGACACCCCGACTATTTGTTCTGCATCCGCTTCCTGAAGTATTGCACAAGCGGTTTCCATATCAGGTTCTTCCCGTCAAAATACGAGTATCCGACACCTAGCAATGCCCCGGAAAGATGCGCCTGTCACGTTTTAGCTTTTGGTCCGAATATCAAGTACCCGGTCTACTTACGGCGTGCCCCAGGTTCAAGCTACTAAACCCGCGTACCATACCATAAAGGTCGAACGCCATGACCATGGGCAAGAAGTTTGCGGCAGCAATCGATATGGGAATGAACACAATACCAACGCCTGCGTCGGGATACTGCATGCAAAATACACCGAAGATGCCGAAAAGTGCACCGCTAGCTCCGCCGGATCGGATCCAGACCGAAGGAACAGCGCCTGACCGGAGAACCTTTGCTTGATCTTGAAACCTTGTGGTCAAGTGCTGCGCGTATCCGCTGAGAATGCCGGTAGAAAGAAAGAAGGACAAGGTGTGGTAAGGGTCACCCTCAAACAACTTCGAGTATCCTGTAGGAAGAAGGAAATTATAACATGCCCACATGTTGAAGAACAGATGGAAAGGTCCTCCATGAACAAACGTCGATGTAAAGAGGGAATAGTTGAGATTTAACGCCGGGGCGTGCCATAGCATCTCCCAGTACCTTGGAACAAGGAAGCTAGTCAGATGTACACCAGCGTTCGTAGCAATGATACCATGACTGAGCTTTGAAATCGGATCCAAATTCTTCCAGTAATTCGCCACTAACTCTTGAGGGGGAATCGCTTCGCGTCTTCGCCATTGTATTTGTGGCGCAGACCACGGCTTTGGCTTGACGCTGTCTATTGCTTCGCGATATGCTAGAAAGACATATATGCCTGATGAAACAGCAATGGCCCAGATAAATGGTCTTAGGTAGCGGACTTGAACCTGTGGCAGGCGACTGAGAATATTGATAGCCTCTTGTTGTGTATATGTCGTTGAGACTTGATCCGCTGCAACACGGATATCATCTTGAGTTAATTGACCCTGTGACGGAGGTTTTGGTGCACCAGTATTATATTGAGGAGGGGGCGTACCACGTCCATATTGCCGTGGATCATGGTGATTGTAACGTGTCAAAAAGTTTCGGGGAAGTCGCTGCGCGGCGCGATGGTTCAGCGACACATTTAACGCTCGACATGAGAGCGGTATCCGCTGTGATGTCGAGCCAAGATGCCGTAAAAGCGACATATTGATGATGTGTAAGAAGAGTGATGATGACTGCGATAGCGATAGCACGAATGAAGCCGCGAGGAAATTAAAGATTGTAAGCGCGCTAGAAGCGGTGAGTTACCTCCTTTCGGACTAGCCCTTGCTGTTTTGGGCAAACACCACACACCATTTTATCTCCGTGAAGCCATCTTTTAGGTTAAATGCGAAGGTTACAGAACAATGTTATTTGGTCGAAGTCTGAGTATTCTCAAATTTGGGCTGATTAGGTGTCTTTCAGAATCTATAATGGAAATACTCATGCGACAGAATTGTTTTCTTTTTCCAATGATCATGAAACTGTGGTAGAATTGTGACTTTTGAAATGCAAACAAGACCTCCATATTGATATTATACATAGAGATAAAAGGCGAGCTGGATGCGCTGGGATTCAATTTGATCAAATTATCAATTACTATTACCATATGATTTGACCATTTCCTCCTCAACCTACTCCAACTGACCTCGGACTGCACCAAGAGTATACTTTTTGGTGTGAGTATCCACAAAGAAACCAGCGGGATTGTCGATAATCTGGCTGACATGGAAATTGGCTCCAGTATCCACGCCATTGTTTACTATGCCAGTGGTGAAGGGTCCTGTGAGGCAACCACATGAGACACGCTTATCATCTGGGCCTTGAGGGTTCTGAAATGCGAGCCGTGGTGGGCCAGATGCTCCTCGAGCGGCCTCATGAAGATGAGTTGCTGTAACTGCAGGTGAAGAGTATTCACCGGTCACCCCAGACAGAACAATGTTCTACTCAAGATCAGTAAAGCCTAACGGTGGATTATATAGTGTAGCAAGAGAGGACGGAATTCTTACGTAGCAGACGGTGTTGTATTCTTTGTTGATTCCAAGCTTGTAAAGGCCCTTTGCGCCTGGCTCGCCAGGGGCCGGTGTAGTGCCATTGCGAACCTGGTCTGGGGTAGCTTTGACAACGAAGACCTTATCAAAGTAAAACACCTTCTTGTTGTCGTCATGGTGTTCTTTGCCCTTGTTCTCCCAGTACCTCTTGGTCTCCTCAAGGGAAGCTCTAGGTTGAGGAGATCTTCCAGTAATGGGCGTGGCAGCCACGGAAGTGATTGTCAAGAAAGAAACGAGAAGTGTACTAGAGAAATGCATAATGAGATAAGAAATATCTTCGGGTTGTGACGAGGGAAAAGTAGTTGCGAGGAGTTCAGTGAATGTTTTGTAAGATTTGAAGACTGGATGTTATTGCAATTATACGCAGAACCGAAAGGCTGTCTTCTTAATTTATATGTAAAGTCCTTTTATTTCTTCATCATTTGCGCCACAGGCTGCTTGTCACCCAGCCGCGATTACGTCGATGTACCGCAAATTCTAGCAACGATCATCGTATGGGCTTGGACCTAATCACAATTTCTCTTGGGGTTTTTCATCCATATTATCGCGCTAAATAGAGAAAGTTTGAGCAGTCGACGATATCGTCGTTGTGCTCGAGTACTACAGAGAGGATGCCATGACATGATCGCCAACAAGGAAGTATCGCCTAGACTTCTTGGTGCGGAAGGGCTGATATCCGTTACAGATCTTGGGATAGATCGAGGTTAGCGTCGTGATGTTTTCCTCTCCTTCTTCCGAAACGGGTCGGGGAGGCTTCGTGGAGAAGTCTAGCGCACTTGGCCTTGAACTTCTTTAGGAGAGGGCTAGATGCTCAGCCTCTATCATTCCGCGGGGGAGCCAAGATGCCAAAAGACACGACAATGGCCCAACCGGACTTTGGGTGGCTTTTAACACGGCAGAACCTATGACAGGCAATGAAGATCGGCCTGTATTGCGCTGAAAGGGACATCTGGAAATCAGCGTGCCTTGGCCATTCATCTGCTTCCACGGTTCTTTGATTTCGTGACAGCAGATTATGTCGCCGTTCACTTCTAACACATCTGTAATTTGGAATCAATAGTCCATCTGAAATATTAGTTCTTTCCATAATATAAACGACATATCTGTCTACTGATATCTATAATTGGTATTAGCAACCTTAATTCGCAGCGTAATGCGATGAAGCATCGATCCATCCACCAATAACCTCAATGCATCTCCATGACGATCTAAAAAGAACTATTATGCATTCTTGAAGATGGATCCAATTTTGAGCGCCGACCTTTCCGAAACATGAAAACTCTCCGGTGTCGAAGTGGTAGAATCTGAATCTAGATTGCTACACCCCATATGTGCCAATACCACTGATATCATTCTGTGCAATGGACTGGAATGAAAAGCCGTCTCTTGACCTAATGTTAAAAATGGTCTGTCTTAGAGCGGTGACCTTATTTGAGAGGGGAATAAAAGCTGCGTTCGCGGATCTTTGGACCCCACTTGAAGAAGACAAAGGGGATTGGCAGCATAAGAATAGACAGGAAGCCGAGTAGACTGGTAGCCCAACCTATGCCAAGATTGGTATACACTAACACTATGTCAGCCGAGACTACATCGGAGCTACAAGGTAGTGTTGTTGTTTAAGCTTACTTTGTATGGTAAAGAGGGGGAAGACGGCACCCAAAGTGTACCTGACAATCCCGTTGGCTGCTATGGCAGACGCACCATGTTGGGGACCGTAGGTATCAATAGAGAACATGGCAGTTGAAATCTATCTTGTATGTCAGTGAATAGCTCAATGAAGAGGTGTCCAGAATCTTGTTGCGCTTACAAAAAGACAAAGATTTCCCCACGCAAATGGTATTGTAGCAACCACAGGGATTGCCCAATGATATCCTTTGTCAGCCGTCCAGGCAAACCAGAACAGGCCGATCGGAATACCAACGCTTCCTATCATGGAAGAGTACAGCCTGTGCTCTGGCGGTACATGGGATTTCCCCTCGGCTACCGTTCTTCGGTGGATCTTCTGGTAAATGTATTTGTCGATGAAAAGGTTCGTGACGGACGCCAGTACGACACCAACTCCCACAGCTATAAACACCAATCCACTCTGGGATGTGGTAAAGTTGTACGGCGGCCTTTGAAATGTGTACGGAATGGCTGCGAAGAGGAGGAAAAGGATGCCGAAGGCGAAAGCGGTGTACAGTGAGAAAAAGAGTACAACAGGCTATCATGAAGCCTGTTAGCTAATTCACGATACTTGTAAGATATTGCTTAAACATACCTCGATCAACAGCATCCTCATCGGCTTTACCAGATTCTGAAGCAGAATCGACCATATGACCGCAATTTCGTTAGTCGCAGTTTTAGGTACCACGATACCCTGCTTCCTTGCCCTTCTCTTCAGAATGATAGGCTTGTATGTCTCTTTCATTGGAAGTGACATCAGATAGACTGCCAAAGTGATGAAGATTATGCACCACTGTGTCCATCTCCAACTTTTGTACTGCGCGACGAAACCACCGACAATCGGGCTGTAATGAGACAAGTCAGCGCATTCATACCTGAAGCATTCTAACCGAACTTACCCAATTGATGGTCCAAAGAATGGGGCCATGATAAAGAATGAAGAAGCCACTGCTCTGTGTTGGGGTGCGACCACATCTACGCTTGATCCAGCACCAACTGCCAATGCTGGACTTCCAGTCAATCCAGCAAAGAATCGACACACAATGAACGACGCGAAGCTTTTGGAAAACCCAGCGCCTAGTGTGAACAGCATGCATATTGGCGAAGAAATGAGGTACACGATTTTTCTTCCGTGCAACTCGGAGATGGGTGCTGATAAGACAGGGCCAAATCCGAGGCCAAGGGTATAGACAGTAAGGCCAGTCAGTGCCGCCGTCCTCGAAACGTCGAAATCCTTCATGATGTCAAATACTGCGGGAGAGTAGACAGAAGTACCGAATGTACTTCATGATGTCAGTTTCAAATTCCCCCACTTATAGCATTGTTTGGAGCACTCACACGGCAAATCCAAATAGCGCTGGACATGTTACATGGTATATGCGACTCAAAAGGCTCCAGTTCAAAGGGTTCCCTGGATCCTGTGGACCATCCCAGTCGTTGACATTCACTGGCTGTCCGTTCTGATCCCGCGGTGGTTCAGGCACACCCAGCTTCATTCCATCTTCAGCACCGGGAGTCACTGGACGTGTTGTGTCTTCATCGGTAAAATCATTGGCATTCTCTGTTTTCTCGAAAGATTGCCTTTCCAAATCATTGTTGTTCCCCAATGCTGCCATTGTGTGCCATGAAAGTGCCTCACGTTCGCCGAATGAATCAATCAGTGGGCGGTTCGAGCTATTAAGATATAGATGATATTCCCTATGAAGAATTATCAGTAATCAAATGATTACACGAAGTTTCAGTGCCCCTAAAGTCACCGGAATCCTACTCGACATAATCATTCGAAAGTCTGTTCTCCAAACGAAGGGCGTATGCAACTAAACATAGGCAAACCTTCCATTTCGGCCTCGGTAGTATTAACCGATTACTCAAGTACTCACAAACAATCTCAATGTCCCTACTCTCCCTCCCCAATTCGAAAAGCACCAATGCAATGCCGTACCTATATGGGATTAGCGTGGGTGCGGCCCCTCGGCATCATGGCTATGATAAGTAATCATATTATTGCATCATCGACCAATACCCGAATAAGCGATAGATGCGAATTGTTGTAAATGAGTCAAGGACATTCATCTTCTACGGAACTTGTGATTGTTTTTTCGAATATTCATCAAGTCAGATTATAGGTTATGTGGCCCTTGGTATCTACTCAGGTGTGGGGAAGTCCTACAGCACGGGATCACAGACACTGACGTAACTTGTGTAACTATGTTAGTAGCATCATGTCGCACGATTAGATATTGATGAAAATATATATTGAAAGTTGGCGAACCGTTCTTGGTAAACCCTCCTGGATACTATTATACAAGAACAAAGAAGTTCTGATGCATAATTCCAAGAAGGCCAAGTTATTCTGCCCGCTAGTTAACGAGATAACCGATTTCCTTTACCAGACCTGCAGGACGAGTGCCCCACAGAAGCTATGATAGAAAGAAAGAACCATCACTAAACCCAGCAGTTGTAGTAAGTATCCGGCGGAAGGTTTAGGTGCGCCTCACGATCTCGATCTTGAATTCCGTGCCTGTCAGTGAGGATGCGGCTCCGACCCAGAGACTACCAGTTCCCGATCCCTTCTGCGTGAGGCAGCCGTTGGGTGCAGTGTTCGAGACGAGTTGATTGAAGTAGCCGTGGCAGTCTGCCTTGGACCACATAACAAGTGCACCTGCACCTCCATAGGTGGAAGCAGGGGTGACGGAAACTGAATATGTACGTTAATATGACATTCATGAACAATCAAAACATTTACCAGTGATGATTGGATAACCGGCAAATATCACTACGGCAGGGGAACACTTACACTTCGCTTCCCAGCCACTCAGCTTGTTGTTGGTTTCCGCGTCCTCGACATTGACGGACTGAGTGCTATTCTTGGGTCCATCGAGCTTCCAGTCCAGAACGGTTGGGCACAGCTCTTCGGTTTCGGGGAAAGCACAGGCCGGCATCATCGCCTTGCAAGCAGCTTGTAGAACGGGTTCCTTTTGCGGACCAACGTAGAACGAGATGATCTTGTCGGACGCTTTGTCGCAAATCACCGTGGAATTGGCTGCCGGGGTCCATTCCTGAGGGCGAATCAGGTCGGTAGGAAGCGCGAGCGCAAGAGTGGACGAGAGGATAGCGAGGAAGAGTGCCGTAAGCCTCATGTTTTTGATAGTAGAAGTGATCGATGAAGTTAATAGTGAGTCGGAAGTTTTGAGTTGGGAAGTTGTGCGGGTTCGTGTTGGAAAGTTTTGTTCTGTAACAAATGTGTTCAGTGGAGCTTATATGGACAGCTGTTGACGGTGCCAAGGAGGAAACAGTGAAGACGAGTGTGGATGTTGCCTTGGAAGTGATTCTCGGAACGCAAGGGACAAGAGTTCCCATAAGAGTGGTAAGACAGCTCTAGCCAAGTAAGTGAATAAAGTGAATACAAAATCACATCAAGATCAAGTGCCTACTCTTGTGCTACCAGCGGTGCTACTTTTCCACGTGCAAGGAGCGATTCAAATATCTATCTATTGTTTTGACGGAAGCCAAATTCGGCGAAACATCACTGACATCGCCTTTTAAAAAGCGATTTTTGGTTTGGCATCATCTTTATATTATTATGGTTCTTTGGGCTTCCGTTAGCGAATGGCAGCGGGCATGCTCAATGACGAACGCCTTTTGCTCTCAAGAATTAATTAATATATGATACAACCCCATACCTTGTGCACTATAGATCATTTCTAAATATAATAGTTTTAGGCCCATGGTAGCAGAGGTTTAGCGATCGCTTCGAGGCAAAAGGTTGCAGGAACTATTTCAATGTGGTCGGTTAAAGATTCCGCCTGAGCTTTAGAATCATGCCTCGCCATCTTGACCGATCAAAGTGTGTAATCCATCGTACATTGTCCGGATTGGAGTAGGCATGGCTCATTGGTACACATGAGTGACAGTTGTGAAGTTGTGTGCTATCGATAAGAGCAAATGAAAGGGATTCGCAACTAATTAAAGTGTCGGAGTGTGTAACCATGTATCCAAAACAGTGACCAATGAGAGAAGCTGAAGAGTCTCAAAACAGAGGCCTGCTTGTGTAGCGACCGAGATACTCCACCAGTCCCCTTTTGAATGACCCTGCTTCTTCGTTTCTAATAAGTAGATATTCTACAGGACCTCGCATGGCTGAGTCGTGCAGCAGATTCAGGTACTGTGTATACAAGATAGATTCCGATGGTGTGGATATTATGATGGCCTTGAATCAACAGCAAATAACACTGCATTTTTCTTTTCTTATTTTGAAGAAAAGTAATTTTGAACAGAAATGTTACTCTGATAATAATATCTCATGATAGCTTCGAAATGTGCTCGTCGTAGTACGATGAGAAACTCGGATTCAATCCGCATCCGGCGAGTACATCACCTCGTCTGACATTTAGTAAGCTAATATGATGTCAACACCACAGACAACCAAATCTGCATCCGAAAGAGGACCGGATAACCATTGGGGCGTATAGTTACGATATCCTTTTCCATTCGCTGTCAGACTTATGTCCGGATGTTCGCGCTCGCAGTGTCCCAAAGAGAAGTCTGACGCTGCTGCACTGGGCGTCTGTAAAGATGATTGGGCTTTTGATCTCACTGGATTTGTAAACTACGAATTTAACTCCATGAGACGGAGAAGAAAGATTGCAACAAATCCGGAGATGGGACATACAAAATCGCCAGTGAAGAGGTGATCTGGATAGCATGCAAAATCCACCTTTAGCAATCAACAATCTCTCGCAAGATGACCATTCTCATTACTGGAAGCACTGGCAAGACCTCCAAGCGTCTCGCTGAAATTCTTCAAGCAAGCAATACTCCTTTCTTGATTGCTACTCGCCGAGATGCTTCCGAGATCCCTTTTCCCAGTGTCCAATTCGATTGGCACGAAGCCAAAAGTTTTGAGAATCCATTCAATACAGCTACGGACATCTCTGCGGTCTATCTAGTCGCACCAGAGACCCCTGAGCCTGCGCCTTTTGTCAATCCTTTCATCGACTTAGCCATCGCAAAAGGTGTCAAGAAATATGTCCTCCTCTCCGGAACTCCACAGGTCAAAGGAGGCCAGTTTTCTGGGCGTATCTGGAGTCATCTTGAACAAGCCAATGTTGAGTTCGCAGTGCTGCGACCGACATGGTTCATGGAGAACTTCTCAGAGTTGCAGCACCAACCGTCCATCAAGAACGATTCCACCATCTACACCGCTGCTGAATATGGGAAAGTCCCGTTTGTGTCGGTAGATGATATCGCCGAAGCGGCATCCAGCTTTTTGTTGGGAAAGATCCCATATGGGAACAAAGACTACGTGATCCTTGGACCGGAAGCATTGGATCATGGTGAGACGGCAGAGATTTTGAGCTCGGTGCTAGGCAGACAAATTGTGTATGTGCCCAAATCCGTCGATGAAATGGTGGCACAGTACACTGGCATTGGACTCAAGCCAATGTTCGCAAATGCAATGCCGTATCTCGAAACACTGGTTAGGGATGGCAGCGAGGCGAAACTTAAGAACGATCTGGAGAGTTTGATCGGTAAGAAAGGCATTGACTTTCGCACATGGGCCGAGAGAGAAGCCAAGGGGGGCTATTGGGGTTGAATATGCACGAACTTCATAAGTGGAATAATGTTCATTGCTACTTCCTAGTCCACTATCATTATTCTGGCAAGGCAATAGTAAAGAGGCTATAGACTCTTTCCCGAGTTCGCGAGTCTAATACAGTTTTCAAGATTTGATCTTTTCCAGGTGAATCATGTCGTTGTAATCGAAAGCATGGAGTATGGCCATTTCTACCTTGGGTTGTCCACAATAGAGCTTGCGGGTCTCGTTTTCCCCCTTTGATCGACTGCGCAGGCATTCCAACCAATCCCGCACTCAATCCTGATCTCTTGGTTGGTTTTCCATAAATTTCTTCAAGTCTTCCGCCCACGCCTTGATTCCATTCTCGATCTGGCCCCCAATCGTCCTCTTGATGACATGGGCCAATGGGCCGAACTGTTCTTCGCCAGTCCTATATATGCAATATGTCTCTCCCTCTTCTTCTACTTCGTTTATCTCGTTGAATCGATAGGTATTGAGCAAGAAGTGAGGGTACCCTTGGACTGCCCAACAGATGCGGTACGCCTTGGGACCAGTGGCGGATGGGTCAGGCTCCTCGAAGGCCACGACTTTCTGCATGGGGTGCTGTTTCATACCTGCCACAATGGCGGTGAACTTTCTCTGTTGGTCCATTTTCCAGTATTGAGGCTCGCCTTCGGGTGGTTGTTCTTGTTTGTTTACGATCTCGGCTTTGGGGATGAAAGAGTTCCACTGCGGCCACGTGGATGTGTCGATGAGTGTTTCCCATACTTCTCTTGCGGGAGCCTTTATGGTGACTTGCGTCTTAACGGATATCACAGCGGCCATGATGGAATGGTACTTGGATGTCCGCTCGGTGTCCTCGACTCGAGAGATGTTTGTGTACCTTATAGAGCACAGACCCCTTACCTGAGGCTGAGCCAATTGAATTGCGAGGCAATCCACATCCATATTTTACGAGACTGTGGCGCAAATTGATCGCATATCACAATACTGTACGAATATATCTATCCTCACCCCGTGTTGTCTAGTTGGAAGACAAGACGAAGGGAGGAGCACTGGGCCAGGCTGGACCACGTGACCTGATTCGTTTAAGAATTGACTTGAGAGCATACAACGAGGGTATCACACTTTTGCCTATATTCCTGACGTACTTACAGTTATCTATTTAGTAAATACTTGACAGGAAGCCCTTTCAGTGAACCGTTCAGTGAACCATCCAGTAAACTGTTCAGTGAGCCAGTCAGTGAATCGTTCAGTGAGCCATTCAGTGAACCGTTCAGTGAGCCATTCAGTGAACCATTCAGTGAATCGTTCAGTGAACTGTTCAGTAAGCTTCTTCACGGAACACATTCTGCCTTCGTGAACCACCATTTATCAGTGCTAACCCTCTTACATCCCCTCCACATAGAACAATAGGAGGTCTTCATACTGCGTCTGAAGTCTCGAGTGAAAGTGCTGTGTTCATTCATCCTCACCGAAATCGTTGCCAAGACTTGCACCTTCCCTCTACTCTTACCGACACTGATCACTCCCCTCCAACCTACCACGACCTTGACTCCGCTGCGCACATCTTCGTCTCAGCTTATCGTTGACATCAATATGGAGGGAGCTAACGCGCCCAAGTATCGCTTCGGTAAAATCAACGCGTTGAAACCCCTTCGACGTTTTCCACTGACGTTGAAATATAGAGCACTCACCCAACGACAAGGCCGGCTGCCAGCAAGCAGCATGTAAGAGAGCTGAGGCGAAGATCCCAAAAGGTGACCTCCGAATCGGCACCAACACCTGGCTTGAAGGGGCTGAGAAGTATGCCTTCCTCTGGCGCCACTGGTACGTTCAACCTCCCTACGATCTGGTTTCACTCAAGATGGTGCTGACTTTATAGGCACTGTGCTACATATCACCAGATGAGAAGTCTCAAGGAGCTCTTCGGCGAGAAGTTCGATGAGATTCCCGGCTATTCCAATGTCAGTGACGAGAGTCAAGAGCAGATCCGCCTATCCATCGAAGCTGGCTATGTGGTGGACAAGCAGTTCACTGGTAGTCGTCCTGATCTGGCCAAATATTACACTCCATATAATGCCGAGATCACCAACGCTGTAGGCTACAAGGTCGATATTGCTACTAGAGGTACGGCGGGTTGCCGAGACCCTGGGTGCAAGGACAAGGGCATCAAGATCTTGAAAGGCGAGTTGAGGCTCGGCATCGCAACGTTGTGGGATGGGGAATACGAAGCCTGGGTCTACAAGCACTGGTTAGTAAATCTATAGAGTCGATCCAGAAACAATCGCGGATGCTAACCTTCACTTAGGAAGTGTATCACTAAGTACGATATCGATGGAGCGAAAGAGCGATTCGAACAGGATTCGTTCGATGGCCTGAGTGATCTTCCGGAAGAGCATAAAGAGGTAGTACTTGATTCATTCGAGCAGGGGAAGGCCATCAACCCACCCGCGCCTCCCACTCCTCCGGCCAAGAAACCGAAATCCAAGGCCAGGAAGAGGAAGGTCGATCTGAGCGAGCCAAGTGAGGAGGAGACAGAGGAAGCACTGCCACCAAAGAAGAAGCGAGTTCGCAAGGCAAAGGAACCATCCGTCGAGCCTGAGCCCAATGACGAGCCTGACAGCCCTGCTATCATGGCTGAAGGTCAAGATGATTCCTACGAATGATCGTGTTGTAGGAGCAGGAGGAGTCATCGTTCCGTTGAAGGATAAGTTACAAGAGAATATCAGACGATGGATGGCAATCGGTCGAGATGGCAGGAGAGGTACTATTTCGCGAAGCAAGCTGTGGTCCGTCGCCATCAAAATTTTGAAGAGCCCATAAGGCTTCAATGGGAAAGGAGTAAATCTTACAACTATGTTTAGTTATGCTGTAGTCCAAAATTTCGGGTAAGCAACTAGATAAAGCTACGATAATCATCATTGATTATGATACGCAGATAGAATGCAATTGCAGTACGGTGATGCTATCGCATGCGCTAGCTTACTCTCATGGATATGGATATGTTCCTTTACGCCTGTCCCCCAATGTCCCATAAACTCCGTGCAACGAATCAAACCAATCTTTTCAATCCTATCGGCGCCCTCGAATGTTGAAAGGACTTTCCTCAGCAGCGCGGTACGAGTCGAAAGAGAACAAGCTGACAAAATACAGAGCAAGGAATCGAATGACGATGTCCCCTAGTCCTCCATTGCCACTTATCATTCGGTTGATGCCCGCGAAAGCGCTCTCGTTTACAGGTCGGCTCGGTTGAGAACTCGATCCCAGAGTATATCCTTTTGACTTGAAGGCCTCGCCCGTGGAGGGGCCGGTGTCGTTAGCAGCTTTGCGAACAGCAGCTGTGAGGGCCGATGCGTTTGCGCCACGGATGGTTTCGACGACGGAACCGGATTTGATGACGAGGAAGGTAGGCATACTATTTCACAATGGTCAGTTGGATTCGAGTAGGAAGGATATACCGTATGAAATAAGAGGAATCACTTACGCAGAGACACCATACTTCTGCGCTACATCCTGGCAGGCATCAACGTCCACCTTACAGAACTGTAGCTTGCCTGGTTTGGTTTCTTTATCTGCGAGGCCGGAGAATACAGGTGCGATCGCTTTACATGGGCCACACCAGTCGGCGTAGAAGTCGACAACCGTATACGTCGACTGCGAAAGCAGCCTGCTGAAATGGGCGCTGTCGTTGACAGATGTGATCTTCTTCGACATGACTGAGGAGATCGGGTGCAGATAACGGCGGATTGTTGGTGTTGGCGTGCAAAGGATCCGAGGTCGGATGTTGTTTGCCCAGGACTTATTTTCTCGGAGGAGGAGCCGTTCAAACACACAGTGCGAGCGCCGCAGAGTTGAGAATGCGAATGGATGCGTGAACGTTGTGTTGCGTTGCGTAGCGCTTGCACGGTGGGGGAACGGACTTTAGGTTGGAGTGGACAGCTTGCTTGCTTGTGACAAGGTTCTGTCGAGTTGGGGGTTCGTCATGCCCCCGGGTTTCCGCCGATTGGCTACGACAGTCCGCTATACGATTGGCCACTCACCACCATTCTACATTTCATGTTGCTATTCAGTATTTAGAAACGACTTGATGGTTATTCTATGCCCTGTAAATTTTGGAGGGACTGAAATTATGAATAGTATAGTATATCTTAAGTGCAACGTCTGAATGCTCCGTAAGGATTGTAGGAGAATAAAATATAGAGTTTGATATTATACTTGCTGGTGACGTTTTGAGATGCAGTTATATTGATATTGAACCATCTACATTAAGTAAAGTATGTTTTATTCTTGATCTTGTTTCCTTTATCCCAGTTGGACCATTACTATCCTTGAAGTCCGTACTTCAAAGATTGCTAGATAGCTCGTAATCCTATCATCAAGATTCAGGCATGGGCTGCCGGACGCATACTCTTCCGTTCTGTCCAACCAATTGGGTTACCCATGATATCTCGCAAGAACCAAGGGCAAGTATCTTACAGAAACAATATGATCGGGTGTTCTGATCTATCCCGATCGAATTACATCCATGATAGAATCAAGTGTATACTAATTATTAATCAAGCTTTTTTTAGTGACCTTGTGCACGCAACTCTCGCCACTCTGACTCCAATATACCCATATCGATACCATCCCACCAGCTTCCATCGTGCCATAGCTCCTCCCGCTGTCTGCCTTCATGTTTGAAACCAATCTTCTCATATAGTCTAACAGCACCCGTATTCCAACCAAAAGCTCTGATCTTGACTCTGTGCAATCCTGCTCTCCTGAAGGCGAAGTCCAACGCCCATCGGATAGCCTCTCCACCATAGCCCTTCCCTTGATAGTCCGGCAAAACATCAATTGCAATCTCGCTGAAGCGATGATGTTGCATCCCTGGTGGCAAGGCTTTGAGGTTAATCTGTCCTATTGGTGTGCCATCGTGAACAAGTGTCGAGTCTGGGCTTGCTAAGCATATCACAGCTCCCATTAAGCAATCTTCCGCCACTTGCTTCTGAAACTTTGCAGCATCCGCGGAACCTGGCAGGCGATTGTTTGATGCATTGCTGTTTTGGTACCCAATCCTATCGTCGTTTATCGCACGGAACAATTCATCGTCCTGGGGCGTTTGCACAGCGCGAAAAACCAACCTTTCACTACGGAAGGGATCGCGGGCTTCGTAGTTGGTTGCCATTCCGCCCAACAATATCGAGACAGAGTAAAGGTATTTTTCTGATTTGTCGATTATTGAGAATGTTTGGTGTTTCGAAAGTCCGGTGCAGATGGAACAGAGATCCGGATGGCGGAGGATGTTTCGAGGAACAGTGGGTCTCCAAATTAAACTAGCAGAGAATTGTAGATCATAGAAACGTGATAGGATTCGCGTGTCAATTTTACGTATGGGGGACGAATTGACAGGACAATCCTACTTCTTCTTTCGAAGATTCTTTGACAATCGTGTTGGTAGATTTTGGTGTTAGAGGCGCACGTGAGATCAGATCTCGCTAAGTTGAGAGATCGACGATACTAGGCCTAGATAGGAACAACAACTATGACATAGAAGGAAACATATCGATGGACTCCCGAGTACTTTTTGATCCTCCGGATTGCTTAGCAAACCCGACAACAGGATGATTGCTCAACTAGCGCTCGAAGCCAAGGATCACTTCTCCATAATACCGACTACCAGTCAACGTCCTTCAACGTATGTATTGACCGTGCAAACCCCGGGCTCAACCCAGTGATCAGCCGTTCCGCTTCCTCGACATGGGAAGAGGCGTAGAAACTAGGCGTGTGGTCCCTGGGCGCAGAGCACAGATCTTCTCGATTCTCCAGACATGATACCTGTGAGCAGGGTTGCAGCCAGTGTTCGCCAGTGCGCAAGTGCTCGTATGGTACGAGGAGGGACGACGCCTCATCGTAGGGCTTAACTCGAATCTCGGGGATGTATCTGAAGCTTTGGAAAATAATGATATAGAAGAGCCTCTCCTCTCCCGAGACATCTATCTCATCATTCAAACCACGGTTTACATTCATCAAAACTCTTCAGGGCGGGTCGATTTCCTTTTTGCTTATTTCTTGCGTCTTTATACCCGTTGTTTTCCATTTCTTCACTTCATCATCCGCACTGGTTTGCGTCTTTCACCATGTCTTGTTCTGGTCTCCAATCTTGTCTGCCATTTCTATTGGCCAATCCCTCGGCTCCACTTACTCTCCATACGGATGCAGCCGACACAGCGAACTTGAACTTGAAGACTAAGACACAGCATCAACCAGCACAGCAAAGGCATGAGCCCTTCGTCAACATCCAACCGGCGCGGACAGCAGCCCCAATGACATACAAACGATTCAGTGCATATGAACGACGGATGCAACTGAAGGCAGAGCAAGAACTCCTGGCTGCAATCCTCACACCAGCACAGCCACGACAAACCCAATCCACCTGGAGTTCGAGTTCTGCACCACCCGTCATTGAACAACATGACACATGGATTGGAACAAAGAAGGCCGAGGTCAAGGAGAAGGAGAAGGAACGGGCCAAGAGGATCTCATCACCTAGCGAGCTTAACACTTCAACATTCAGGGAGGTTGAATGGACAGAAAAGGTGGCTCCGGTTAGCTCCTCGCCTCCATTATCCGCAGCAAGCACTCCAAACGTGAGGCACTCTCCCAGCATGATGAGTCTCCACAGCAGCGTTGGATCCCCACAGGAATCCATCTTCTCAACCAGCTCCACCAACTCCTCAGTAGAAGCTCTTTCACTCATGTCACCCCCTATCGAGTCCACTCCCGCACATTTTAAGCCGGTTGACAAGAGTGAGCCTTCTAAGGAGCCAATTGACAATGCGCCCTTCCTTCCCAACCTTCACTTCTCAAGTTACTTCGAGGGTTTGGGAATCTGGATGGGTCCTTCCTCTCCAGCATGCACTTCGCCTCCCCTCGACTCGCCAGTTGAATCGGTTGCCTCCTCTGCTAATGAAGAAGTCCCTGAGATCATCAACTTCTATGCCTCCGAGATCCCTCGATCCTCGTACCGCCAGCAAACCAAGAAAGTGTCCTTCGCCACCTCTTCCCCTGAAATCATCTCTGAAGAGTCTGGCGATATATCATTAGCCGTTAATCACCTGGCTGGATGGACTAACCTCTCCACCGGTGAGCCTATAACCCGCAGTACTTCCCAGCAGTCTCTCCGAACCCAAGCAGCCGGCCGCTCGATCCTTCGTCAAAAGAGCTCCTTCACCAACGATGCACCTGCCGTTCCTGAGAAGGACACGCCCTCCCGCCAATTCCGAACGATCACCATGTACGGAGCACCGACTTCCCAGCCAGGCAGCAACAACAGCGCCGTCTCCTCGTCCAAGGAACCCGAATTTGAACGATTCTTCCGCGTTGCCGAGTCTCCCTCTCTATCTCCCGTACCATCTCTCAGCTCTGCACGATCCTCCTCGCCCTCATCCTCTCGCTCCGAGTCCCCAGCCTTCTCCCCACCCGCCAACGCTTTCTTCCCCATCTCCCTCGGCGACGTCGTCCAGAAGAAGGCCAGCCTCACCTCGTATCCCTACGGCCCCACAGATTTCTCCGACGACTCCCCCACAATCCGTGAGTTCGAAGAGACCCGCGCCATCATCATGAGCAGACCAACCGCGACCCCCTGCACCAAGTCTAACGGCCAGCAACGCGTTGTGATCAACGCTGCTCCACCTTCCAAGCCCGCTCGCACCCTGTCTCTCCCCCAGCAGCAGAAGCAGGTGAGGCACTGGAGCATGAGCGGTGCTGGCTGGACCAAGACATCCGGTGGAAGCCCCCCAGTCAAGAACGAGTCTGCCGTGCCCCCAGTCCCACGCATGTCTATCAACTACAGCGGTGTGGCTTTCTAAGTCTCGCCTGCCAGCTCGAGTCCTCAAGGACCTCGCGTCTTTCATTACCTCTCTGCTTCTCTGAATGATAGAAGGCGTTCCCATCCTTGTTTATATCCCGGGAACATCTTCATTGGGTACATATTTTGACCCCCCACTCTCCTTCTCTTTTTTCCATATTCTGGTTTACCGATTCATGACCCACATCGACCTTTGTAAATACTCCATCCTCATCACGCCCTGCCACGCACAAAGATTCTGTGCAACTGTAAATACGCACCTATCTGTATATGTCCATATTGTCGCATTATCTTTCTTATCCTCTTGTATAGCATCATCTCGACCGTTTTCCTTATAGATTAGATCACAGCCACCTGTATATAAATAACCAATGTAAATACACTGCAATATCACATATAACGAATCATCAATTATCGAACAGTGCAGAAAATATATGAAAGTATATTGATAATGGGGGATTGAGAATATAGATAGCAATGATTTCAGAAAGGATACGTGCCACTTGGGCGACTCCCTTCCTTTGAACCTTCGCACGTACGGCTCGCGTACGACCTGGAAAATGTCATCATCATCCAGGGAGGAGATCCCTCAATCTCGAGCATTAAATATATCCACGGCAAATACCCCTCGCCTCACGTCCAATTATCCTCCTAAAACCCAGTCTGAACCTGCACCATCGTGTAGTTCCGACCTCCACGCGCAGAAGCTGCGTCGTACAACGCTTGAATATCGGCCTTCCACTGATCTAGATCGGGTCGGAGGATACGCCTGTCGTACGAAAGCATACCATTGACCTCGCCCTCGACATCCGTTGTCTGCGTCCAAATGGCAGCCGAGCAGGCGAACTTCTCGATCTGGTCGCGGAGCTCGCTGAGGAGGATGTGGGCGCGGTAGTTCCAGTGCTCGAGGGTGGCGTCGATTTCGTAGGTGCCGTTGATCTCGTTGATGGCTTTTTCGACTTTCCAGAGGCTGGTTCATGAGGTCAGTAAGAGATGGTGGGGATGTGAAATAGGGCATGGGGCGTACTTCTCTGCAGTTAGGTTGTGGCCGATGCCTCCGAACTCGCCTTGGATTCCGATGCGCTTGGGGTCGTAGGGTGTGCTCGGGGTGGAGTAGAATGGAGTGCCGCATTGGGGGTTTGCGTAGTGATGGTTATCCTGTTTTTTATTAGCCACGCTATTTTTCGATTAATAGAAAAAGGTTCGCACTCACATGGAAATCACCCGCACCGTGATCGTCCCACCCAGAAGCCGCGTTAATCAATCGTGTAGGGTCGAGAGATCGAATGTGGTCTGTAAGACGAAGTTCAGGTAGTTCGCGCTTCTTCTCTTGACCCCAACCCTCATTGTAGATGACCTAAAACGTCAATAAATGACTCGGTCAGATAGGTGATTATCTTACCCATGTAATAATGCTTGGATAGCTCTTGTGTTGTTCTATGAATAAGTCTAGTTGTCGCTCGAATTCTTTCTGTACCTCTTCATTCTTGGTGCGGAGGTTCTCGCTGCATGGTGCTGTCGACGCAGGGACCGAAGGGCGCAATGACGGCATGTCTTGGATCAAAAGAAGACCCAACTCGTCGCAAGCGCGATAGAACAAAGAATTCTCAATCTTGATCTATGAAAGGGTCAGCATATTGTACGTGTCGAGTTGCGCCTAAACTTACGTGCTTGCGCAGCATATTGTATCCAATCTTCTTCAATGTTTGAATGTCGTATACCATTGCCTCTTTGTTTGGAGGTGTGTGAAGACCGTCGGGCCAATACCCTTGATCGAGGGTACCAAATTGGAAGACAAACTCCCCGTTGAGCAATGGTCGTTGTACACCATCTACCTCGCCTCTGGAGATAGTTCTAAAGCCAGTGTAGCTATGGATTACATCTTTACCGCCATCGAGCTCGACGGTCAGATTGTAAAGTGTTGGCGAATCGGGAGACCACAACTTGGGAGAATCGACCTTGAATTGGAATGGGCTATTCGACTCTCCGGAAAACACGGATATGATCTCATCTGAACCAGGCTCGTATATGGTGATGTCGACTGGTCCACTTGTCTGGTTACCCGATGCATGCACAGTAACATTAACTGTTTAAATTTAGCATTTGCAATTTTCGCGAGCGAGTGCAACTTACCATTACCCTCCATGTCCGCACTAATATCCAACTGTGTGACATGGCTAATAGGAGCTGATTCGAGCCAAACGGTCTGCCAGATGCCGCTGCAGGGTGTATAGAAGATATGCGATGGTTCTAGGGTTTGCTTTCCAATTGGGATCTGTATCAAGTCCTTGTCTGTTGGGTCGTACACATGAACGACTCTGCACTATGTGAGCAACCAATGAGCTTCGATATTCGAGTTTTAGCTTACAGTTCATTCGTTCCGTTTACAGACAGGTAGTCGGTGACATCCACGGTGAACTCGAAGTAGCCACCACGGTGGAAAGTGACATTCTTCTGATTGACGAAAATGGTAGCCTCATAGTCGACAGCACCAAAGGTGAGAAGCACACGGTTATCGGAATTCCAGTCGGAAGGAACTTCGAAAGTAGTCCTATACCAGCTCCAGATAGCCCACTTCGCCATGATGCCTAAAAGAAGTCGATGTGTCAGTCGCAGAATCGAATCTTACAAAAACAAGCTGACCTACCAGATAGTGCACTCTCCAAGCAAAAAGGAACAAGAACGGACTGTCCGAGATCCTGGCCAAACGGAGGTGAGGCGATCTCGCCGTCGCTGGCATTACGATACTGCCAGACTCCGTTCAAGTTCTTCCAGTCAGAGCGCTGGCGTTGAGGACGTGGGTACTCGGGCCAGGGATCCGTGCCGACTTCTTCTGTCCATGGTGTATCGAGAGGGCCTTTCTTGAGCTCGTAGCCAGTGTTGTTGACTCGCTTGAAGAACCTGCTGTTACTCGAGGCCAGGACGGTAGTGGCCCAGAAGAGAGAGATGATACCTATAGAGAGACGCATGATGAACTTGACACAATGACCTTGACAGATGAAGTATCAAATTCAGTTCTCTTCGAACGGTTAGGAAAGGATACCAAGGTTTCAGGAAGAGGGAGCCACGGAGATATCTATATATAAGGCACGGACCTAGGCCACCGCTACAAGCAGAACGTGAAGTGAATTTACCTTCTGTTTGCCTTGGCGGTGAGGGTTAGCGGCGGGATCAAGCCTGGTGGCTGCCTGCCATCCTGTCGATCACCAGGGCTTGTGAGGCTGCGGTGTGGACGTTTTTGCAAGGAAGATCGTGCTTGGCGGGTGTTGTTAGCTCAAGTGAATGACTATCGATCATGCAGTAGTGCAGAACTCGCAGTGAAGCAGGCTACGGCCCATGCGGAACCTGACCGTCTCCCCCCAAACGAAATCTACAGTGAAGAGCGATTTAGACCAGGGAAGCTTCGGTAGTGCAAAATCGTTGGAGATGCATGGGATTGCAGGGGGAGAAGCTGGGAAGCTATGACAATAACGGACTTTTTAGGAAACGATGAACCAGGGGGAACTCATAGAATTGCTTAGATACCTGGTCTTAGCCTGTTGAGGATCTTCAAGGTCATTCGCATCCCCGCAATATTTCTTCCGGGTAGCTCGACAGGCGCTGAACTATGCAATATCGCTATATGGTGTGAGCCATCTGTGTATGACAGCACCTCGTGCTAATACCAGCCGACCCAAACCCCGGCGTACCTGGGTTTGTAGAACTGGTTGCGTGGTAGTTCATTGAGTACACAGAGATGCATGTAAACCAGTAGTTGATCGACACAAATGAACTCTGTTAAGGCCAAGTGGGTTGGGTGAGACCTTGCCAATGCATGGCGAAAACGATGAGGATCGAATGCACACAAGTGCGTCTTCGCAGTAACATATCCGGGTCGGTGAGAGGAGAGAGGTGGAGAGTAACCAAAGTGCGCAGGTAGTCCAGGCAAAGTGCTGTATATTGTATGCATGCAACGGTCGGATGAGACATTGTGTAGCAGGACTTCAATGCCGTGACGTCAAATGCGCTGGCAGGTACCAGGTACTATCAAGGTCACGCAGATAGAGGCATTTGAGCATGTTAGCAGGACATGTTCTATGGTGGGATCAGTAAACCAGGCTGTATGGGAACTTAATTAACCAGTAAGCTCTATCTGAAGAACCGTTTCCCTTCGTGTTCGTCGCAGAGTTAGTTCTGGGAACAATTGGTTTAATAAATCTGGGGCACAAACGAAACGGGGAACGGACGAACAAAATCAGTCTTTCCCCGCTTGATTTCCGTTTGCAAGAGCCTGTACACGTGATGTGATTTGGCAAGTCATCATAAAGCAAAGGCGCATGGAGGGGACGGAGGAATATATCACCTTCTCAATGTGGAATTAAGCTTAAACATTCATGCCGATCTCCCCTCATATGCCTCGTGTCGTATTGTACGACATCCTTGTCGCCTCCATTATCTACGTCATTTCCCCAGGCCCCATATTGGAGTGCCCCAATCTGTTTGTACATTGGGTGCATATTCCCGTAATCTGCATTGCGATGTTTTTATCTCATCATTTCCACGTCCAAGCGATTATTGTAGGTCGACGGCTTGTACAAACTCTTCCAAGCTATGTCAACTCCAAATGATCATACCAATACTGCGATGGCTCCAAGACTGCATTGTCCATGGCCCAAGGATTCAAGAAAACTGAGAACACCTTCCTTATTCGAATGCAACATCTGACTGCTTTGTCAAGCATGATCCACACCCCTTTACACCAAAGAAAATGCTCCCAGAGGCGCTTCAGGAAGGCTTACTATCCCCAGAAATGGAGAAAGAAATTCAATATAATGGGTCGGGCGCAATACCACAAGTAGGCATGGAGTGTTGTGGAACCCAACCATTCCATACGCTCAATGAACTAATCGGTCCCTCCTTTCTTTCTAGTCTTCATACTCATGGCAGCATCAAAAACGGCTTGTTCCATGGCTTGACCTTGAACGTTGCTGTCGCACTAGACGGGCTGTGATCTCGGGGCGACTGGGGAGATGATGGTGTTATGGGCGAAGTAGGAGTATCTAGCGCAGGATATCTACCTCTGTACGGATCTACTTCGATCCTCATCGGCGCGTTGTGAGCTTTACCAATTGTCCGTACTGACTCTGCATCATCGAACTCCGAAATATCGTCCAAAGTCGACCGATCCGCGTACGAGTTTAGAATGGACGAAACGCCACGCATAGTCGAAGGTCCAGAACGTATTGTATCTGTATCTGAACTCATGGTCGAGAGCGAGAGCGACGAGGAACGAAACGACGACATGGAAGATGTCCTATCAGAATCCGAATTAGACGAGGTCGCTACCCCGATATCATGCTTGTGCGAACCACAGTGCACACTTGGCATGGATGTGTGGTTCAGCAGAATGTCAAGCAAGCGATCGCGTACGTCTCTGGCACTCGGCCTCACACCCGGCGCTCGACTAAGCATGCCTCGGACCAGAATCAGGATATGCGGTATTGCTGCAAACGAGTCATCTGTTTGTTCGGCTGCAGCATCTTCGATTACCTTCATCCATGATTCCACGCGCTCCAAATTCGCATGATACGAAGAATCGGTACGCGAATTCTTCCCTCCCATGTTCACTTTTTGCTTCGACGATCGATGCTTGATAAAGTCGTGTGCCTTCTTCTTCAACATAAATGTTATCAGCTCAAGGAATATGCAACCAAGCGAGAAAACATCGGCCTTCTCGGTGTCATGCATCCGTGATCGTGGTTTCGGCGCAAGTTTCGTCTTCTTGAAACCGAAATTGAAATTTGAAAATTCGTTTGTTGGCACTTTGGTAAGTTTCTGGCGGCCTGAGCCAGAACTGTTCGACGACCCTCCCGAGCTTTTACTCGCTACCGACGGCTTGCGCACGTTTCCGATCGTGGGTGAAGGTGCCGATGCTTCAGCTTCGAGGGGTTTTGTTGAAGTATTTGCCTCAGGCGCACCATACACATACACTTCCATGGGGTCGGGCTTCTTATCCTTTTGGAACGTCTCCAGGCTGCCGATGTCACTAAATGCGATATTGTTGTGCTCGTCTATTAAAATATTCGAAGGCCGTATCGATGAATGGCAAAAGCCCATCTGATGGAGTGTGGCGATGGCATCAGCCAGACAATGAAGCCATCCAAGAATCAGGTGCCTCCTCTCGGGTTTTGGCAGCTTCTGATACTGCGCTGGGTTGCGATGGTCGATGAAGGATTTTAGAGTATGTTGTCCAACGAAGTTGGTCAAGGTGTAGCCCGCGCCCTTGAGAGTATAAGAAGCCCACACTGGGGCTATGTGCTCGTGTTCTACCATCCGGGAGCTTTCGACGTCCATGATATAATCCGATTCAAATGCATCTGGCGAGTTGACATCGCCCAAGGCAAATTTTCTCCTGACATATACGACTGCAGGTTCCTTCGGTCGATGAACTCTCGACCAATGCTGGAGCGTTACTGCTGGCGGTAGGGCCATGACGTATTCCAGAGGCAGTACCTCGTTTGGTGCATAGTCAATATGAACACCCTCGTCTAACTCTCGAAGCAGGAATGTGAATTGAGTGTGATAAAATCGATTATTGACTTGGTCGTTCCTGCGATTTGAAAGTTCCAGCTTCTCAATGTCGTCCATCTGTAAAGGGAGGTCATCGTCATCCCACGAGCGATCCACGACTGTGAATATCTTGTCCGACTCTCCGACTTCTGCCAAAACCAAGAACAATCTCCTTGCTCTTTCCATTATCCAATCGATATAAGTGTCGTCAGTCAGGTCCCCAAACCCCACCGAACGCTCCAGCCATTGGCGCTCATTCGGCCTTAATCTCGACGTAACGAATTCTGCTGTGACCTTTTCATTGATTCGTTCCTCCGTCCACCATATCTGCTGGATGGCGGCGTGAGGGGTAACTAGCGAGTGGCCGGCGTATCCGTAGATTAAAGCGTTGAGTGCGACTGTTTGCTCGTTCACCACGTTCGTCAGCGTCCTCCCGCTCATGTTGACGTTGAACTCAATTGAGGCTCATGAGTTTCATTGAGTTTCAAGTATATATCGTGTCACGATGGTAGTCGGCGATCGGATGGCAATTTACATGCGCACAAGAGCTCATTCTTCACGTCTTTTGAAAAGGGGGATGAGAGAGACGATGATGGAAGGCAGCCAACTGGGTGCGATGTGAGGTATGTAAGACAAGACTTCCAAATGTCAGCGCGGCTGGATTCATCGGCCCATATACATTGTCGCACAGGAACCGCATCCGCCATTCGGGATGACAGTTTTGGTGGCAAGCGGCATGGCAACGCAATACAGTGGCTTCGGCTCGCCCGCAATCTGAGGTCGAATGGGGCCAATCAGAGCAAAGTAAGGCGTTGGAGTTTGTATGCTACACATCCATAGCGGGCTCTAGCTGGCGAGACAGAGGGCCTTTTACCCAAAAGGCGGCGTTGGCCCCGACAATTTCTGGCCATGTGAAAGGTACCAGGGCGTCCCAGGTCGCCAGGCTGATAAGGATCGATAATGGGGACCCAGCCATGGCATGCAGGGCGAGAGCTGCTAAAGCAGAATGCCAATAGAAGTTGCGCATAGCCGTTCGCTTGGGCGGGGGACGCCTCGCACCGACCAAGCTGTTGACAATCCCTCCCGTACGACTTCGAGATAGGTCTTCGCCGTCGCGTATGTCATATGAGAAGGCGGCTAAAGACGCGATAATAATGATATTAAGCCCTTAACGCGATGTTCGTTTATTGTTTTTGTCGTTATTATTAGTAGCGAGTGGCACGATCGCGCATACAGCAGAGTAATTCAAGCAAGACAATCTAGATGGTCGGGCGGCCGACCACCGGCTGCACCTCTGTCTAGGAGCACGAACGGGGAACCTGGTTGCAGGCTCTCGGTAGGCAAAGGACCAAATTGCTGCTAAGGGTACAGGCTACAGCGTAGTGTGCAGCATACCACGTACTTGGACTGATCAGGCGATTCCCAGCCGGAGCACGGCGTGAGACGTCAGCAACTTTGATAGCTCAACCAAATAACGAACTGGGAATCAAAGGACGTGGGCACTATTGATCTATCGAACATGCCATGCATCGCCATAAATGCCTCCAAAGCCATTATTGGAGTATTCTGCCGATGACCCGGGGTCTCCCGCTTCGATGTTCTCTCTGCTACCACCGACAGCCTGCACGCCATTACTCGCCTCAGGCGGGGTGAACTTAGGCTATCAGAGCTGAGGACGTGCTATTACTGAATCAATGTTGGACCCAGATTGCGGCGCAGCGATGGAAGAACTTCTTCTGTCCTGGATCCTGATGTGTTGCGACGGCATGCATGATATGGTTGGGATAAGGTTTGAGTCCAAGTTGTGTGAGTGGATTGCGGTGGAGCCCGAAAGTGAAGTCTGACGAGTAGAAGTTCTTCGGCGATGTTCTGTTATCACTACCACCGCCGCCGTCGTCCCCATCGTTGCTGTTGTTCTTCGTTGGGCTGTTGTCGGGACGGATGGAAGGAGTTGGCGTCCAACGTCCCGCCGTCATACTAACGCCGCTGAAGCCTGCGTAAATTGTAAATCTGTACTACCACGAGCGTGGACGGTCAGGTCAGGGTAGGAAGGAGGGATGTTCATATTCGTTGATCATTTCCAGCTACGTAGGGTTTTATCTAACAAGAAAAGAAAACGAATGCGAGTACGGAATAGCAAGCTGGCGATGTGTGTAGGTGGAATGCAAAACTACCCGGGGAGTCGCGTGTGAATGTGCGCACGTGCACACTTGCCGAGACGATCACCCACCAATTCTCTTCGGTCTACCCAAAACATTCACATCCTCCACCCACCTTACGAGTACCACCACCCTGGGACTTCTCGATGGTTACTCTATAAGGAAGGAGATTCGATATCGCCATGCTCGGTCCCTCTGACGATAGCCATTGCCATCCCACGCTGGCGTTCACCATTCGTTCTCAGACATTGTGATTTGTTAAATGGGCGCTCCCCTCGCGACCCATGCTTTTCTTTATTTATTAAATCTCAAAATTAGGAAGTCAAATAATCACAACTGTCAAATCCGCAAATCCCTTGTCTCATTATTGTACCGTCGTTCCTATCTCGTAAAAATGTCGAAATACTACTTTCAAGGCATCGGCATCTGCCCTTGATAGCCACTTTGAGCTTAAAGGAGTGTCTCTGGTCATCCGAACAGTCTACCGAATGCGGTAAACATACCGATACCATCGTGTATGCCCATCTTTTCGGCCTTTCGCCTCTCTTATTTGTGAAGCGTAAAGAACACATCGTTCTTGCTCGGGGCAACCTTGACCTGGCTTCCTCCTGGATGAGTACCCGTTGGCCACTCTATCTTGGGCCCATTGGCACTCTCGACCGTAATCTTGTGGCCCTTGAAGGGGTCACCAAACACGGTGCTCAAATCAAACCAGACTTGTTCGCCATCGAGCGAGTAAGAGAATATCTGGGTTGGCGCTCCAGTGTACAGCCCATCGTTCGTCTTGGTGATCTTCAATGCGATGCCTCCGGTCTGAGCATCGTGGCGAAATGCTTCTACAATTGCGCTGCCTAGGTGATGATTAGTACGGGTCTCTGAAATAATATCATGACTCTTGCTCACCTGGCAATACCTCACGCCGTTCACCAACGGTACTGCCGACAGACCAGACATAGAACGGCTCGTCAGAGCCGTTGCTAACAACGGCATTACCAACAGCCGTCACAGCTGTCGCGAAGGCGATGAGCGAGGCGGCGATGAAGCGCATATTGAACAAATGTTTCGTGGTAAAGATTAAGTATTAGCGAATGTCTTGCTGGAGTTGAGCGAATGTGGATGTATGCTAACGACAGTAAAATTTCCAATGTTCAATGTTGATGGAAGACATCAGTCGCGAAGACGAGGGTATTTATACCTCCCTACCTGTATTGATGAGCCTGCTATATCAACATCAACTCCGTCAAGCTTCATGATGACGCCAAAATATTGGAAAAGCACTCAAGGCTCCAGGCAAACCACGGCGTCCACTCGCGGACTTCGTGGGTACCCTGATCTGTACCACGAATAGCAATAAATATGGCCATGAAGCGCACGAGGTCGGTCAGAATCTTACAATATGGATCATCATTCTCCGCATGATGAAAGTTCCATTACTTGTTTGGGTAAATATCAATACTCGATTAGATTGTCCGAGGGGTTTCGAGCGGGGAATGCTGCGACGCTGGGTTTCGATATTGCAGGTATATCAGGACCAGACACAAACGTCAATATTGAATGCAACGTCAAAGATTGTGTACACAGAGTAACCCGGATCTTGGTGTCTGATCTTGAGTGGCTGACAGCAACTACAATATTACTTTGGTCTGGGAGAAAGGGAAAATCTTCTACTCGTAGACGGGAGCCAGGAGGACCCCAGGTGAGTCTTTTAGGATCGATCGTATTTATCAGATACCGGTACCTTCGGATGCAAACAGGTGTATCATCGAGGAGCTCGGATCCAATAGCGTCAGTGGCTGCAGGAGCGACCTGCACATTGTCAATCAATCCGCCCGCGTGCCCTCGTGTAAATTGCAGATCACAACGCTTCTCGGAGAATACATGACAACGATGACAACCACAGCCCCTAATCTTAGCACAAGGCATCCGGAAACAGAGTCTTGGAAATAAGCTGGGAAGTTCTACTACATAACTCTGGGGACATGAAAGGTTGCAACCAACCTACCTCCCTACACAACACAACATACCATCCGCTTCCCGAGTTGCGCTTCGTTTTCACTGCAAAATGGACTTACTCCGGTACCTTTCCGACTGAGCGGATCGACGTGGTGAGATCAAGTCTGTGCTACTGTGGAGAAAGTCTCGTGAGTTGCAAGATGAATGATCATTAATAGTGGCCCCAACGACAAAATCTTGTGCACAAAGGAGACTAGATCACTGTTGGTTCCAGGTCGTTGGATCAATCAGTGCAAGGACAGTTCAGGGAGACGATTACAGCACGTTTTACATACCGTCTACTTCCGGGACCGCATTGCAGGAAATTGTCCACCCAGGATGCTGTCACCAACATTGAGGCGCTGCACAGTACGTTCGACGTTCTCCTCCCGGGAATTGACTGTTTGATGTGGGTGTTGTGGAGATTTTATGTCGTATAAGGGCATCAGTTATTTAAGGTTGCGAAGATGCCGAAGTAGCAGCGGGGGATATGATTAGGCCTATTTCGCTCGGTCGGATCAACACTGCCGCAAAGTATTGGACATTCACCCCCACTGATCGAGAATGGCAAAGATGACATCCCTGGAAAGTCAAAGCCACTTGTTTCGTCGAATGCAGAAACGCTGCCCCTGGGACTCGACCGTGCCACCAAAATGATGGGGTCTGCCGCGACTTACCGCCCAGATGAGCGTTGTAATTTCTTATCACGGGCCCGTTTACTACTAGCGTCAACTGTTTAATTACAGCCAAGGATCAATGGCAGTCTCAGTTTACGAAAACATGACATTGAACGAGGCTGGCGGCGACGAACCACAATCTCTTTGGACTCCAGTTATTCCCTACTGACTACTAAATCGGGCCACGATTGACGCAGCTCGGCCGTGAAATTAGGGGAATAGGGCGGGAGATGCACGGTAGCGCGCAAATCCATGATTCGAGAACCTGTACCACCTCCGCAATGGATCTTATAGGAGAAGTTATATATCTAGGCTGTAAGGCGGCCCTTCAACTGCCTCCAACAAGTCATTCTTTGAATCGTTCTTCAGTCTCTCTTTTTACAACACACTCGTTTCTTCGGTATAGCCTTGACGGCATCCACTCTTTTAACCAAAACTAACACAGCAGCATTGGCCTGCGTCGAACAATCACAAGAAGCAATTTCCTGGACATCTCATTGACAATTCATTCACCATCAACCAACATGAAGGCCGCAGCTATCCTCGCTTTGTCCTTCGCGGGCGCAACCTATGCCCACGTTGCCGCTTGGGCTCCCGGCATGTACTGCAAGGGTGGAACCGTTGCAGGTGAAGAGAACAGGAACACCAACGATGCCGTGAACCCACTCTATATGTTGAAGAAGGAGGACTGGTGGTTTCAAAACTCCCGTGGCTGCAACGATGTCCCTCCTCCAGCCGGAGAGAAGCTTCAGATCCCTGCCAACGGCGAGTTCACCGTTGAGCTTGCTCACAACCGTGCTTTCACCACCCTCAGCTACGATGGAGAGTTCGCTACCGCCTGGCCCGATGGCAAGGAGCACCCCGAGGACTGGAACGGTTGGAACAACGGAGGCGAGCCTGCCATTTGCTTGCCTGATGATGGTGCTCTTCATGCTTGGAACGAGACCCACGCTGCCGGAACCGCTTTCGCCATCAGTTACGCCGAGAAGTACGAGGAGGTGACCATGGACAACTTGGTCGTCTTCTCCACTCTCTACCACACTCCCTGGAAGAGGGAGGCGACCTACAAGGTCCCCAACCTCAAGAAGTGCCCGGCTGGAGGATGCACCTGCGCCTGGCTTTGGATCCCCACCGGATGCGGACAGGGCAACATGTCAGTGACCAACCGTTATACATCAGTGATAGATTTGCAGGAGAACTAACGAGGAACAGGTACATGGAGCGATTCGACTGTGAAGTCATCAACGCCAAAGACGATGCCCTTGACCTCGCCAAGGCCCAGGCTCCCGTCTACTGCGAGGACGACCAGTCCAAGTGTGTGAAGGGTGCTAAGCAAATGCTCGCCTGGCACCAGGAGACCGGAGACAACATCGTTGCCCCCAACGGCCTCACTCCCAACTACAACGCCAAGTGCGGTTTCGCCAACGGTGCTCAGACCGACATCTTCGTCGAGGGAACTGCCAAACCCACCGAGACCTATCCCGTCACTCCTGTTGTGGTTGCCTCATCCACCAGCAGCTACGTCGAGCCTACCGCTGTCCTCTCCGTCCCCACTGGAGGCGAGCCTGCTTCCGCTCTCCCCACCACTGCCTACGGAGAGTTCCCCACTGAGGGCATCTCCACCGCCTCTCTCGAGACTCCATCATCCCTCGCCTCCGCTGCTCCCACGACCGCATACGGAGAGTTCCCTACCGCCTCAACCAGCGTCGTCCTTTCAACCCCATCCTCCCTGGCCTCCGCCGCCCCTACCACCGCTTATGGAGAGTTCCCCACTGAGGTCGTCTCCACCGCCTCTCTCGAGACCCCATCTTCCCTCGCCTCCGCTGCTCCCACTACCGCGTACGGCGAATTCCCCACGGAGGGCATTTCCACTGCGTCTCTCGAGACTCCCTCATCTCTTGCCTCCGCCGCTCCCACGACCGCATACGGCGAGTTCCCTACCGCCTCCACCAGCGTCGTCCTCTCGACCCCCTCCTCCCTCGCCTCCGCGGCCCCAACCACCGCATACGGCGAGTTCCCAACAGGCGGCATGACCACCATCGTGGTCCCCAGCTCCTCCTCCTCTGCGCCGTCCCCCGTCCTCCCCACCGAGGCCTCCTCCAGCACCTCCTCCCCCGCATACCCCACCACCACCGTGGACCCCATCGCGCCTACGCCCATCGCCCCAGAGGCATCCGAGGCACCTTCCGCCACGCCTTCCCCAGTGAAGCCGGCTCCCCCCTCCTGCGTCGTGCGCCGCCAGACCAGGGCCGAGAAGATGGCATCCGCCGGCCGCGTCTTGTAGACATCTTCTCTCTCTCCCCGACCCCTTCTCTCTATCTTTTCTTTTCCTTCTCCACGACTTCAGCAGTCGTTGTGTCATGAAATTCACGTCCATTACACCGGGAGCGGGAGGGAGCCATCCAAAGGAAATTTCTATCTCTTTGTTGTCGTATCGTAAAACGAATGAAGCACGTTCTCCATTCGCCTTTTCACTTCTTACCCATCCCACACTTTTACCGACTTAGCGTCGTGTAGAGACAGATGGGCTTGGCTTGTTCTTTTTTTCACATAATTTTTTCTTTTCAAAGCTTGTGTAAAATTTAAAATAACAAATGACGATTTTGAGTTAATCGGAAATATACCATACATATACGTACGTGCCTAGATGGGTGTGGGTGTGTAATTGAAAGAATTTACATGTGTAGCTGCGTGTTTTGAACTGCTGTGTCTTGTGAGAGAGTGTATGCGATGGGGTTGTGATAGTTGATATGTGGTGATGTTGTTGGCTGTGTGGTCTATGTACGAGCTACTAGAGGTCAATTGCAGGAGAGGGTGTCCGACCTTGGTTAGCGGCAAATATCAGGGCCTGCAAAAAGCAAAAGGTAACTCTATACCTTACTACCTGGGTACACAGCAAGATCTATCCTACAACATTTTCAATACTCAATTAGAATGCTTATATGTAGAATGCATATCATTACTCCTTCTCAGTCAAGTCTTTTCAATAGCCTATCTTTAAAATCTTTGACTGTCCTACAATTTACTATTTTCTGTTGTACCAGCAAGCAGTTTCACTTTGGTTCACATTATGGTAAACATATTTAGGTCGTAGTACTATATTTTTTCATTGTATCAACAGTGACAAGCGATTTCGTTCCAATCTCAACGTTGATTTCTATAAGGTAATAGGGTGGTGGTTTCTTCGCCCAATTTCTTCATGCGTTACACAACTCGGGATCTTCGCTGGCAAGGCAGATAAGTAGCCTTGCCCATGCATATGCATATGGGCCTCAGGTATCGAGGGAGCCCTCCACTCTACCTTACTACGATTTTCTATCAATAAGACTAGTAGTCAGTCCACTTATAGTTTCGAAGTCGGCGTTCAGCCTTCCTACTTCTCTAGACTTACTCTGCCCCCCGCCCACCGTAACTGCTCCCAGAGAGAAACCTTTTACAATGGAGGGAGTTCAGGACCCAGAACAGGCCACTGCGAAGCAGGGGCGTGAGAAAGATAAAGATCAGAAACAGCAGTCAGAGACCCCATCCTTCAGTCCCCGCCAACGCAATCTTACTCAATGCCAGAAGGAAACGTTTGGAGGTTCCAACGCAGGATGGCCGATCTGTTCTCCCGGTTTTCAACGCGCAGAATTCTCCACAGCCTGCTCCATTGAATGGGGTAGTAGTAGCTAATGCCCCAGAGCAAGAGAATCCGAATGGTACCTTGCGTCGTCGTTTACGACCGTCAAAACAAGCGACCGAACGTGAAAGTGCCAAGGCTTCAATGGAGATCGACGCAGGTTCAAAGAACAAAAAGCGGAAGGAAGAGATCATCGACATCCTAAAACCTATTTCAGACGGCGACGATATACATTCTTATTCGATCCTCGTATGTTGGGGGAGACAGGGTCATTGTCAAATACTTCCTGTCAAGATTGCATATACAGCCAACGATGTGGCTGTGTGGCAAGAGCTCCGCCGCGTGTGGTATGCACAGAGAGGATTCTGGAGGAGTCTTCTGCCTTTTCTAAGTGCTAGAGTCGAAGTTGTTGAGGTCTGTTTGTCATACGTCACTTTCTAAAGATTTAAGTACCGCCCGTACTAACAGCGATCTCAAGATTTCAATCACTGGACGTGGATCCCCAGGCACGGCGGAAACGACGTTCATTGGCACCTACAGAAACGACCACTTGAGTGCCGAAGAAAGCCGACTCAGGAACTTCACGGCGAATTATGTGCCTCAGGGCAACCCATCTCTGAGCGAGAGACGCTATCCTTACAACCAATATGCGAGCGACTATGGCTATTCTTACGACCAATATCAGCGCAAGCCAGGCTGTAGGTGCCATCCTTCCGCGCCCTACCCATCTGAGGGCATTGTACGCTGCGGGCAGAGATGTCGATCACTTTACAGTGACATAAGGACATGTCCGGGGCAAGAGTGGTGCGACGCAACGACAAAGCTATTGCGATTCCAAATGCGGTGGTATCTGAGCCTGGCATTCTCTTGCCCAAATATTGCCGCAGGGAATGACCTATTGGATGCAGAAGATATAGCCCTTAGTGAACAGTAGGTCTTCTCCGCCCGCCGGTCATGGCGGTGACAACCAAACAGAAGGCTAAGAAATGGACAAGGGACATTCTATCAAAACTCGAAAGCGAGTATTGTCCAAGTCTAGTGGAGCTACAATTTCGAGGACTCATGATCAGTGAAGGATTGGATACAGGTTCTCGGGGTGTGGCGTTATCGTTGGGCGCAACGGTACTCTTTGTGATCGTTGTAGCAGCCAGGTTAATATTTGGTGATTGGGGAACGGCTTGGAATGTTGGGTCATTTTTTGTAGCATTGGCTACTCTTGCGTGGATGAAGATTAATCACTCGGTGGGGCCGAGTGATGCATCGACCACGAAGGATGATGAGAGAGCTGCTGGCTCCCATTCCGTCTGAAGACCGAGGGTGTAGATTCGGGAGGCGTTCACGAGTTGTCTACAGTGTATGTACACTTTCAATTCCAACCTCATTCTGTTATGAGTGTTTGGACGTAAGACTTTATTTTAGATACGTCCTGAGTGTGAGTGTATTTAAAAGTTTGGCTGTGGGGGATTTATCGTTATTTGTTTTGTGGATTGAATGATTGTTTCGTTATATCATCTAAAGTATTTACGGTCAGATGTGTAGAAGTAGAAGGCAAGGTTGGTATTGGAATAGATACTTCAATGTTGGTTTCAACAGATGTCCGTGTATGGGCTCGGTGTGTTTGCACCTCAAGTGCAATGTGACTTGGTTGAGGTGTAGATGCTTGTGATTGGAGACTGGGATGGAAGGTTGATGGTTGTAGCTCGAGGTTGGGGTTCAGAGACTGTTAGGACTGGCAACACACAGTAGTAAGTACCTTCCTAGGTAGGCACCCAGAAAGAAAGAAGGTAACTACAAGGCAGCTAACCGTTACTTCTTTCCTTGCTTTGCATTTAATTCACAAATCACGATGCCTTTGCTGTATGTTTTCACTCGGTACAGTTATTTGAATTGTCTATTTTGACTACTGTAAAATATGATGTGCACAAGCAAGGTGCAATCAATGGGTGGAAATATCTTCAGATTCGCTTGCAACATCATTACCGAAGAGAAGACAAGTCGCACCTGAACCATGCATCATCCCGTAGCCATATCCTCATAGTCAGAAGCTCTCACAAATAATATTAACATTGTACACCGTATCGCCGTTTCGCTCTGGCAATGCATGAAACCACGCCGGATGGCTGCATATACGAGTGTGTACAGTTACAAAGCATTCGTCCCGCAACATGAAACAGGCCGGCGAGTGCCGACGGGGTGAAGGCCAACGAGGGACTAATCAGATTCTGGTGATCCGGATTGCCGTTGTACGCGACTTGGTAGGGGGACATGGGGGGAATCAAACAGGTTAATATCCTTGTTTGGGGGTGGGATGGTTAATTAAATTGACTATGCCATCATCCCCTACGATGTTGGTTCAGGAAGATAGATAATGATTCAAGAACTGTAGATGCTGTAGCGCAACAATTGGATCTATCGATAAAACCGAGGCAGCAAAATCTCGACGGAGAAAGGTTTTCGAACGGTTGAGTGACTTTAACAGGCTGGTGGATATGCTAGTGATGGTAGTGGTTGGCTGAAGAGCCGTTGGTGAAGGGGCGAGGCTTGAGCGAAGGCTTGAGGAACCTTGAAAGAGTCTTGAAGAGTCGAGAAAAGTCTTAACGGGCTGCTGTTAGACCAATTGCGGTTGGTCCATTATTGAAGGTTGTTTAACTTGTTTAACTCATCTTGTTAGTGGGAGCTTTGAGGGTGAATTTCATATCCAAGGGCCTCTTTGCGCACCCGACGCGTCTCTCTTATCGCGCTCTCCTCCATACACAGTCCAAGCAGAGCAGTCAACTTTCTGTATGGTATACCTAGTCTGGCATGGCAATCATGATCTTCTTCCATACCCGCGGGCATCGGCATGTTCTCCACCTCCATTGGACCATTCACCCCGTCTATCGCTGTTCTTGATTAATTGCCTGCTTTCCCTGCTGGTCTGTTTGCTCGCCTATGATGCAAGCGCATCTCCTTCTACCTGTACCCGTCGTGCACTGACTACAAGTCGTATTCACTCATCTCCAACCCTCGTCCTCTCGTTAACCTCTCTTCATCTTCCTTCTGTTCTCTCTCCTCCTCCTTAAGGTCGTTCACTCTTTCACTCGTTCCTGCTGCTTCTACTGTTGCTGCTTCCATCGCGCAACTGTCGCGCTTCTCATTTCCGGCAGGCGCTGTCCCTCGTTTTGTTTGAAACAAGATACACAACCTTCCCGTTAAGCTTTTGCGCATTCGGTCGCTCATACGTGCACATACACTCGCCCACTCACTCCACCTACCGCGCTCGCACCTAGAATAACCAATTCCCTAAATCACCACCTCGGTCGTTCGTCTAGATTCCAAACCACAAACATGCGATCCGCTCTCTTGACTTGCGCCATTGCTGGCCTGACCGCCGTCCATGCCATTCCCACCATCAAAGCAAAGGGCTCCAAGTTCTTCACCAGCGAAGGAAACCAATTCTTCGTAAAGGGTACTGCTAAACTTACATTTACCCGTTTCAATATCTGTTTACTGACCATGATTGCGCAGGAATTGCCTACCAGCTCGTTCCTGATGATCCTCTTCTCGATGCTAAGCAGTGCAAGCTCGACGCCGACCTCATGAAGGAGATCGGCACAAACTCAATCCGTGTCTACCATGTTGACCCCGAAGGTGATCATGACGAGTGCATGAAGACCTTTGAGGATGCCGGTATCTACCTCTGGCTGGACCTTGACACCTTCGACACCCAGATCGAGCAGGTGAGCACGCTTGGAAGGAATGCTATAGACTGGCCCTGAGGGGAAACTAATTTGTCGCATAGAACTCTCCCCACTGGAATGAGACACAGCTCCAGGCTTTCCAAAAAGTCATGGATGGCTTCCACCAGTACGACAATCTTGCCGGCTTCTTCGTGGGTAACGAGGTCATCACCAAGGAGAATGGCACCCTCTCCGCCCCCTTCGTCAAGGCGGCCGCCCGCGACTTGAAGTCCTATCGCGACTCGAAGGGATACCGAAAGATTCCCGTCGGTTACTCCGCTGCCGACATCGCCATCAACCGCCCCATGTTGCAGAACTTCCTTGCCTGTGGCAGCAACTCCTCTGAATCCATTGATTTCTTCGCCCTCAACACTTACTCGTGGTGTGGAGATTCATCCTACTCAACCTCTGGCTACAACAAGCGTGTGGAGGAGGCCAAGGACTATCCCGTCCCCATCTTTATCTCTGAGACGGGCTGTAACACGGTCCCGCCCAGAGACTTTGCAGATCAGGCCGCTGTCTTTGGCAAGCAGATGTCGGAGGTGTACTCAGGTGTGTACTGGCTGATGCCGTTGTGAAACTAGGAATTGAACACAACTGACTGATGAAATAGGAGCCATGGTGTACGAGTGGATCCAGGAAGCGAACAACTACGGCATCATTTCCTACGGACCGAAGGTTGACCCCGAGAGTCCCAATGCTCCCCCTGATGGTTTCCCACGATCGGGAAAGCCTACACCAGTCGACCCGGATTTCGCCAATCTTAGCAAGCAGTGGAAGACGTTGAACCCTACTGGAATCAAGGAGTCTGACTACAAGCCAACAGCGACGGCCCCCGCATGCCCGTCGTACACCTCGGCAGCTGAGCTGCAATGGTTGGTCAACGGAAATGATCTCCCCACCGTTGGCGCTACCTACCAAGCATCTGCCAGCGCTACACAGAGCAGTGCTACACCTACTGGCGGGTCCAACAATGGAGAAGGACAGCCAAGTGCTACCCCTAAGCAGGGCCTGTCTCCAGGAAGCCCAGTCAGAGAAGTCCAGGGCATGGGCCTTGGTCTTTTCGGAGTGTTGCTTGGTTTCTTCTGGTGGATGTGAATGTGAAATTAGCGACCATGTCAAGATGAGAGATGGATTGGGATGAAGCAGAACGCCCGGAAGCGTTTTAATGGCAGATACTCGGATTGATGGTACATATACCCGGTTCCTTCTAACAACCTTTACACCTATATTTCTGTAAACAGTACAAGAAAGCATGACAGCATGGCGTTGGTGCATGCGTGAGAAAGATCATGATTATTAGACATGTAATAACAGAACAATACGTCTATACATTGTACCTTTTGAACCAATTATTGCTGTGCTACTCGTACGAGTACGTTTGGGAATAAGTGATACCTGGCAACAGGGTACCTACGGAGTAGATACTATTGTTCTAACTGGGACTGTAACAGCAGTGAGTGTGCGGAGACTACCTCTATTGTCTGGTACAATGGGAAATCCGCGAAAAATGAAATGATATAAATGATATAATTAATATTCATTGACTGAATAAAGGAAGTGAATTCGAGGCTGCCTTTCCTCACGGCTCGTGCGCCCGGATCATCGGGGTCGGGGTCGGGTTTCCCCATTCAGGTCCACTAATAGTCACCAACCCACCCATTCATTGATCGATTCACTCATTCATCAGCCCAGCCCAACACAGTCCGGATGATCAGCCTCCACTTCACTCAGGCATTCACCAATTCCTCCGCCCATTCCTAGCCTCACCACTTCACTTCCAATCTACGCACGGCACGGCTTACTGCCCTTTGCTGTAGATGTGAAGAGATACTTCTCGACGGTCCTATTTACTCGCCTCCGCTGGCTACATCGGCCACTGTAGCCCGCCCTTCCTCGACCCTGCTCGACCTTACGTACCCGCAGGCCGGATTTAGTGTCCAGCGACAATGGCTTCTCCAATGGTCGAGGGTCGTTCCCTTAATCCACGCGAAAAAGCACATTTCAGTCTTCATCTCAGCGACAGCATAACAGAAGGCGACGTTTCTCTTGGTTCGTTCAGCAGTGTCAAATGTAGGGTTTCGCCTTCGCTTCCTAATGTTGCTTTTGCGCTTGCTAAACGACCTTGATAGACAATCACAAGCCCCGACAAACCACTGCTTCTCGAGTCAGCACGATCAAGCCCACCGGCCCCGACCGCTATACTTTAACACTGCAAGATAAAGAAGAAGACCAGCGGGCGACTAAAACTACGTTCACCGGCCAGAAACAGGCACCGAAGCGATCCTATGTCCTCCTCTTCGACTCCACATCACAAAGGGCAACATTAGAACCCCTCTCCTCGACATACACCTTCAATCTTGCTACCGAGAATGGAAAGGACAAGGCATCTGCATACCCTAAAATATACCCCAAGAAGGAGAAAGACGAGCCCTCACCACCGGCCGACGATGATCTCTTCTCCGACGAAGGGAAAGGCGACCATGAAAACGACGAGCCGGATCCAGACAACCCGTTCGACTTTAGACATTTCTTGAGCAAGGACAGCAAGGACAAGCAAGGCAATGAGTCACCATTCGTGATACCCAACTCGCCGGACTACAGGACGGGCACGGGAAGCGCAGCGAACACCCCCATGATGGGCGCACGGAAACCAGCAGCTGGCCTGCCCCCGAAACCCAAGGTCGCACCGCCGGCAAGGAGAAGGAAGTCACCCAATGTCGATCCAATGGTCACCAGAAAGCCACCTGTGAAGAAGACACAACCGCCCCCGAAGGTCGTCTTGGAGCGCAAGGCTACCGCAACCTCCAAGCCGGAATCCAAACCCGCGGCAAGTGCCGCACGGAAACCAGCAGGGAGGAAAGGAGGGCAACCGGCTTCCTCGAAGATCAAATCCGCAGAACTCGTCCATTCTTCAGATGATTCAGACCTTGATGCGGACGGAGAGGATATGGCCTCGCCGCCACCACCGCGACACAGCCCCGTTGCACCATCCCCCGAACCCGTCCATTCGCACCATTCCGACCGCTATGAAGACGACGAGGAAGATGACGAAGATGACGACATGGGCGGCGGAGGCGGCCTCGAGATCGAAGTCCCCGACGAACGCCCATCGAAGCCACGGTACGCACTCGCATCGCTTGGGCTCGGACAAACGCTCGGCCTAGGCGGTCTAGGACACCTGAAGTCGCCGTCCAACGGCCCCATCTCCCTCGCCTCCGTCGCCAACAGCGTCGAAGGGTCCCCGAACCCCTCCTTCACGCCCCGCAAGAACATCCGCAACAAAGCCATCGACGACGACGTCATCGACTTCGGCGACCTGGGCGGCGGAGGCGGCGGTGCAGGCAACGACAGCGACGAAGACATGGGCGGCGCTGGAAGGGCCTACGACGACGAAGACGAAGACGAAGAAATGGAGGACCGCGACGTCGACGACTTCGACCTCGGCCCACCCGCACAGCAGAACCAGCAACCGTCCAGCCGCAAGATGAGCGTCAGCGCTGCTGCTGCTGCCGCCACAAATATACCCATCGATACCGCCGAGGATGACGAAGAAGAACAAGATCCGCTCTACATACAGATGATGCAAGGTCTCGCTGGCGGGGAGAGCAGCGAGGAGAGCGAGGAGGAGTGATGATTTACAGGATTTCGACTTATTATAATTGATACCATGGCTCTCGATTTTTGTCAGATTGAGCATTTTAAAGGGCGGGTGTTCAGGTGGCATTTTTCCCTTTGCTTTATAGAGAGGTGGAGAAGAAGGGGAAGGAGTTTATCTGTTCTACATTAAGAGGGACATGTCGATGGCGATACATGTAGAGAGCGACAGGAGATAGTGAGGGAGTTAGATCTACAAGGATCGATATAAATGGCAATACCAAACACCAACATCCCATTATCTGTCAATACCAACTTCAAATACCAAGTGCCAACATCAAGACCATGATGAGTTATCCCACTCATCTTACCCAGAATCCCGTCCCCGCGCGCACACTCGCAGGTTATCTTACCGAACAACTGCGAAAGACCCAGAAATCACACACAAGCATCCCACGGGCTTGGGTTCTTTTCCGGGGGATGATGCGAGTGAGGTTGTTGTTTTCTATCTTGATTACTCCGAAACTAGTCGTTGGTGGCAGAGGGGGGCGAGAAGAAGACGAGATTGGAAGGGCAATGGCAAATGCGATGGGTGGAGTGTCGATGTGGAGGGTATTGCGAGGGCGGAAGGGGGGCTATGGGAGAGTGTGGAGTCGAGAATGCATGAGATGGGTGGACATATGCATTCTTACGTGTGAGGGCTCGAGGTGGTTGGCAAGGACATCGTAGTGGACAGGCATGTTTCACACGTTCTATGCAATCGACACGGTTAGGTTGGCATGTACACGGGAGGGTAGTCAAGAGAGTAGTCAAGGGCGAGAGTGGTCAAGCATTCACGATAGGAAATCTAGGAAATCATCACAAAGCACAAGTACCGCGTCAGGGGTTGAAAGAAGATGTATTGAGCAAGTCGAAAAAAAGAACAAGGAAGAAAGGAAAACAAGAAACAAACAATGGCCGGAAGAGAACTGGGTGTCCAATTAAGTACACAAAAAAACCCAGGATCGCCAGTAAAACGCAGGGCTTTCCCTCATTCGAATGGCAAGAGAAAACCTACCATCCGTCCGAGTATCTTTCCCTCATAAGCGCCGGCATTGATCAACGATTCCCTCCCGTTTGGTGCTGCCATGTGTCTCAACTCGTTCTCCGTTCTTTGCCTCCTTTCTTTTCTGACTGCGCGCCCGTACGATTCTCTTCCCTTTCCTAGCTTGCCCGTCATGTCGCGAGGGGTTGGAAACATTCATGAGTAGTGGGTCTTGTTCATGTTTGCTCGTGAGGAACGTTTCTTTTGTGTGAAATTTTGTTGATATTTTTTGCTTTTTCGGGGGTTCAACTCTTTTAATGTGCCGGTATCTCCTAGCTCCTTAACCTCATTCTTCTCCCTTGTCTCCGAGGGATGTGTGTGCGTGTGTGTGGTGGATGAAGAAAGGGGTGATGCTTCGACTTTTGGGATTCAACATGACAGGAGAAAAGGAAAGAAAAATGTAGCAAGCTAAGAGGTTTGGGTATAGAGGCATATCTTAGAGATGTTGGCAGACGTAAGAGGAAAAACCTCGCATCTACCACTGAGAAGCGGCGGGAGCCTGACCCTCAGTGTTACCCCAGCCCTCGCCGGCGGCACCCTCGGGGGCGGTGGAGGCAGCAGCCCAGTCACCGCCAGCACCGTCAGCGTCCCAAGAAGCGCCAGCAGCGGTGCCAGAGGCAGCAGCGAAGGCACCGGCAGAGGCGCCAGAGACCTCCCACTCGTTGGCGAAGCCAGCATCGACGGGGCCGGCACCGACCTCGTCGGCACCAGGGGCCTTGGCCTCCTCGGTACCGGCAGAGTCCTTGTTCTCCTCGGCCTCGGGGTCGCGGTAGAAGTAAAGATCGGTCATGACGTCCCACTCAGTCTCGCGGGTAGCGAGGGTTCCGCGGAGGCGGAGGACCTCACGGGCAAGCATCCACCAGACGAGACCGATGGCGTGGCGACCCTTGTTGTTGGTGGGGATGGCAACGTCGACGTACTCGGTGGGGGAGTCAGTGTCGCAGAGGGCCTGGGTTTCGCGTGTTAGCATTCCGATATCTACCAAAATCTCACTTCTTCCACTAGGTTTGTAGAACTCACAATGACGGGGAGGTTGACGTAGGAAGCCTCCTTGATGGCCTGAGCATCGGTGCGAGGGTCGGTGACGATGATCAAACGGGGCTCCTTGAAAGAGCGGGTGATGTAGTTGGTGAAGTTACCGGGGGTGAAACGTCCAGCAATGGCGACGGCACCAGTGTGGGCGGCGAACTTGAGGACGGCACGCTGTCCGTAGGGACGGGCGGAGATGACGCAGACTGCACACAATCGTCAGCTTGATTTCGCATTTTTGGTGGTGGACATAAAATTATATGTCAAAATTCGCGAATTTGGTGTTCACGTCTGTGGGATAGTTCAGAGGGGAAATACGCACTGTCAGCTGGGTTGTCGATGGCGGCGATGATACGGGCAGCGAGGACAATCTTCTCCCAGGTCTTGCCAATGTTGATGACATTGATGCCATCAGGCCTGGTCTTCCAGAGGTAAGGCTCCATGTGAACCTGGAGGTTCTTGCTGCCGAGGTGGCATTGTGCAGCAAGGAGGTTCTCAATGTCCTGAGAGGTGGGGTTGAAGATCGCGGGAAGGTTGTTAGGGGCCATCTTGAAGAATTGGCTGATGTGAAGACGGCTGTAAAAGCTGTTCTTTGTGTGTTGGAAGTTCGCGATGTTGAAGTTCAAAAGGTTGGCGGGGAGTTGGAATTTCGTATGGTGGGCTGCCACTCGCGAAGCGAGAATCACGCACTAAACCGTATTCGGCAAAGCATGTCGGAGCCAAAAGTTTGAGCCTCCGACGTGAGGTCGCATGGGCAGATCGTAGTTTGAAGAGCAGTTTGTGTCTTGCTTGCTTAGCATCGTTCATCCACCAATAATGCCGCCGCGAATACCCATATTATCGTGCCTTCGGGCTTCAACCTGTACGTTGCTTTTGCCATTGAGGTTATGACAGCCGCTAATCGTGTTGTAGCCACCGCCCCCACCCAATTCACCCTCCCCCTTCGACCTTTTTCTTCCACCGCTATCCCTCAGAGCAAGTTTGCAGCTAGGCCGAAGAAGAAGACGTCCCATGATCCATACATCGTAGCTCAGCGGAACCGAAAAAAGGCGGCCAATCTCACCAGGCGCTCCGAGATTGAACAGAAGCGTATCGAGAACCTCGGAGACCCAGTTCGCGGCATCAACACCGCCTTCGTCGAGTCTTTCGCAACCGCGACGCCAATTGAGCACACATCGGATAAGATCCCCAAGGAGACCAGCCATCTCAACTATGCACTCAAGCCGGAGGGACTCGAGCGTGCCCTCAAGAAGTCGGAGGAGCTAGCGGTGCCTCGTAAGATCGAGCGCGTGCAGAAGGCACAAACCTACGCCTGGAGCCCGTACATGAACCCTTCGAAGTCGAACGAGGCCGCCGAAACTGAGGAGGATCTCGAAGTCAGACGCCAGAAGGATCACGAGCGGGCAACGGAGGCCATCAAGCGTATCACGGCGCTCGATAACGGATCGTCCAAGGATCGTATGCGTGTCAATATCGCCCGCTGCGTGTCTACATTCGGACGTCACAACACTGATCCCATTTTCCCACCACGTGCCCCTCCTCTACATGCCGTCAACTCCAAAACTTCCCACGCCATCCGACCAGAGACAAATGTCGAGCAGACGAAGAAGCGTGTTGGTCCCGACACTGGATCTTCGGAAGTTCAGATCGCCATCTTGACTGCCAAGATCAAGGCTGTCGCTGACTTTGTGGCCACCAGAGGCAAGGGAGACAAGCACAACAAGCGCAACTTGAGGCTGTTGGTGCACAGGCGACAGAAGCTGTTGCAATACTTGAGGAGGAAGGAGAGGGGTGGGCCCAGATGGCAACACTGCATTGAGACATTGGGTCTCACCGAGGGAACATGGAGGGGCGAGATCTCGATGTAAACGTATGTTTTTGAAGCCAGACTATGTATATTTTCATCTGTACAATACAGCATGTTGAAACGCTATTGCTAAATCACCACATATCCGATTTTCACAATCTCTTGATTTGCCATGATGCAACTCAAACCCTTGAAGACTCGTTGAAAGCAACTCGACGCAACATTACACCACCTCTCTACCTGCTCCCCAACGCAGTCCCATTCCCCCCTCCCACCCTCTCCCAAACATTCACCCTCCCGGCACCCCCACAAAACTCCCCACTGTCCCCCGGACACACAAACTCGCAATCCTCACCCCCAACCTCCTTCTTCTCCCCCGCAAACTCATCGCCACAATAGCACTCCCCTCCAAACTCCGTGCCAAAGAGTCTGAACCCCTTACACAGCCCCGCACACTTACTAACCGACATACCCCCACCATCGAAGAACGTAGCGCCCGTGAGGAGGCGAGCGCCCACCGAGTCCTCGAAGCATCCCGTGTGGTTGTACCCTTCCACGACCGGGTTGGTAGGGTTGAAAGGGGTAATGGACTTGAACACCGCGATGCGGAATCCTGCGCCGCAGGTTGAAGTATCGTTCGCTGCGTTTCCGGGGCATGGGACGTTGCACTGTGCGTCGTCGCCAGGGCTTATGGGCGGTGATGGAAGGCGGGCGCCACAGTAGCATTCGGCGCCGTATTCTACGCCGAGGTATAGGTAGTCGGTGCAGAAGGTTGCGCAGTTGGAAAGCGTGTTGCTGGTGTCTTCGCGGCTTTTGCCGCGGAGGAGGCGCGAGGCTGGGTCGTCGGGGAAGCAGCCTTCGTAGGTGTAGCCTGTGAGGGTTGGGATGGACGGAGGGGGAGGTGTGGTGGTGCTGGTGCTTAGGGTGGTGCTGGTGCTTAGGGTGGTGCTGGTGCTTAGGGTGGTGCTGGTGCTTAGGGTGGTGCTGGTGCTTAGGGTGGTGCTGGTTTCTGATAAGATGTTCGAGTTGATCGGTGAGGAGGTGGTTGCTGTGGAGGCTATGGATGATGGTGTTGTAGTTCCAGGACTCGAAGATGATGTAGGTTCGATTGAAGTAGAGCTCGTCGAATTCTCTGTCCCAACTTTCTGGTAGACGTTAAGTCGATACGCAGCGCCGCACCATTCAGTGCTATTACCTGCACATGTCATCGAACAGTCAGTATCAGGTTGACTCGTACTAGTCTCGTGGATGCCAGAGCCACAGTAGCACTCCTGCCCGTATTCCAGGCCGAAGTAATTCGAGCCGTTGCAGAAATCTGAACACATCTCAACGTTCATATCACCAGAAGCCTTGCTTGCACCTCCCAACGCACGTGCATTCGCGCCCTCGCTATAGCATCCGAAGTACTTGTAGCCCTTGACGGGCGGATTCGTCGGTGCAATGTAGTTGTTGTTCTTGTACAGGCTCATTCGATTACCAGCACCGCAGGTTTGCTGCTGGTTCCCTGCGCACGGCATGTTGCAGTCTAGGATGTCGAGTTGCTTGCTCGATGAATCTAGGTTATTGCCGCAGTAACATTCTCGGCTGTATTCTAGGCCAAAGAGCTGGTACTTTGAACAAAAGTCGACGCACTTCTCGAGCGTCATTGCGTCATCTGCGGATACGGGCCCGGAGAGTGCACGCGAAGTTGCAGCATTGTCCGAGTAGCATCCTTGGAACGTGAAAGTAGAAGGTGTTGGGGTCGATGTGGGAGGTGATGTGTCTAGCGGTACGCATGCTGTTGGTAAGTTATTGGTCTTCTTGTCCTTGTCTGAAGCACTGCCGGCGAATACGCCGAAAGATGCGCCATCAGCCTGTCCTGCAGCGAAAGTGTAGGAGCCAGAGTATAGCTGGTATTCTCCGACGGCGGATTGAGAAGCCATGGGAGCGGTTGCTGTTGATAAAGATGGTATCGGATTGGGACTTGCTCGAGGAGATTTGACGATCACATTCAACTGAGGTGGTTGTGCCCCCTTTCTAACTGCAGCAACTGCAGTCAATTGTCCAGAGTCATCGAGACAACTTTGGGGTTCTTGGAAGATAACGCTATCGTCGATTTTGAATCCTGAGCCGTTGTTGTCGAAGATTTCGGTCGCGGAGCCTGACTGCACGATTACGTTGAACGTCGATATGGAAGAAGCAGTGGGGAGTGTTACTTCGAATCCATAGAAAGCAAAAGTATCATCGAACCCACTGGCAGTCCCCTTGACCGTGGTGGCAATAAGATCTGAAGATGTCGAACCGCTGCGATCTTTATAGAGCAATTGAACGCGACTCACTGAACGATTCGTCGTCCGGACACGAATCTCTCCCGTGAATCGTATTTGAGTTCCCCCGTCCAGCAACGTAAGTTGCAATAGAGAAGGCTTGACTTCGTACGGTACTATTGGATCTGACAGGACGACGCTAGCGGGCACGACCTCGATCATCTTCTGGAACATGTCCCTACATGTATCCTGAAAGACTCGCGCGTCCGTTAGACTGTTGATGGTAGCATTGTTATCCGAGGTGAACACTACGAAGTCAGAATTCTTCTTCGTTCCCCAAGTACCCAGTGGGTCCTTTGAATTCCTTCCAACGAACTCAGTCGCAATCTTATTATCAAAGACGTCCGGAGTAGTGTCTAATGACCCTGGTGCAATATCAGGAAAATCCTCAATGTGCACCGCGCCGAGCGTGTGGCCACAGGCGACCAAAGCGATCATCTGCTGAGGCGTATATCCTATCCTTTCAAACTGATTCCTGAACGTTCCAATGGGATTCTGCGGCACAGGAATCCCGGACGTAGATCCGGCCGTCGTTGCATCTTTCCTGCCTCCGCGTATAGGGACAATTGGTCCACCACATGCTCGAGTCGCGGTGTAGACTCCCATTGCAATGATGTCTGCCAATGATATCAAGTTCGAAAAGTACGGCGCATATGTGCTGAGTGTCGTCGCGAAAGCTGCTCCGATGTTCTCGCCGCTCCGTAGCTCGAAGGCAATTGAACCGTCCAGGCCTCCAACGTTTGTGAAGATGCTTCCTGTTGCCATGTCGTGGAAGGCTGTTCGTATGAATTCGGCGGCAGCGAAGCGGCCGGAGGATGCGCCTTTGGAGCATGGGGTAACGGCATCTGCAAATCGACGTGCGCGGTATCCGTCGTTCAACATCATTATGTCCTCTAGCTCGTCGGTCGGGGCTGGCCATGTTGGTTGCGCAATGGCTACATGGTGCTGGCTCAGGACTGAAGCCAGCAGCAAAGCTAGATTGCGCCAGAGCATGTCCGAGAAGGCAACGGGAACTTGTGAAGTAGGTCAATTAAAGATTACAAAAGGTTGATTTGACCCATTCAACAATAGCTGAAGGGAATCGTGGGCCTGTTAGTGTCGATCGAGGCTATCGAGTAGTATTCTAATTAGAAAGTATAACGATTGTACATCATGATACTCGAATCCAACATATGTAAAAGTCGGTTTGTCGCCAACCTCCTCACGTACACAAGAAAGCGAAACCGCGAAAGTCGTTCATTCAAAGAAACCCATCAACGACCGGGTGCAAGATCTCTCATATCCCATCGCTTCTGCGCAGAAGGGTGATTTCCCCTAACAGGCATAGCAGCCAATTGCAATGAATCGATAGGCAAATGATAAGCCATCGTTGGGACCGACACGACGGGTATCTATTCGAAATCGTAGCAGTTGAGGCTAGAAGCGGGAGCGCTTTTGACGTTTCTGGGAGGAGCCTGGACTTTGTCGATATTCCGTGCATATATTGTGCATGATGGTGGCCAGGGGTCGTGCGGGAGGGAAACGGGACGAGAGCTTCGAACTTGCTCAGGTTGCGGGCCGTGAAGCCTATGTTGATGGGGGTTACGGTAATTTTCCAGCTACCTATTATATACATACATATATTCAGGTGGTCTTTGGCATATCTTTATGGAGTTACTTGTCGAAATGCAGTTTATCTTGGTGTCACATGTACGTCGTATCTGTTGTTGTTCAAATGCGGTACTTTCGCGAAGCGAAGCGAGCAGGATCCCGTATCTGTGATGTTGGAAGCCCATAAGTCGTGTATTCTATTAAATTGTTGAGAAGGCCAACCGTCTTCTAGTAATTGATACATTTGCCAGTCTCCAGAAGGCTGCAGTCTCCAGAAGGCTGCAGTCTCCCGAGACTCACACTGGAGTCACGATGAAACTATGGAATCTAGCTAGCTGATTTGGCTATACTGTAGCCTTGGGTAAGTAAGTTGGTCGAGTTGCAGAAACTAGGGAAATACGTAGCAATTACGGAGTGCAGTCTGCGTAACTAATTCTTGCATGTTGCGTTGTTGAGATATAGTATATTTATTGATGCTATTACTTTCAGGAGTAAGCACACTGTTCGTCAACAGTGAGACTACGAGCAGTCTACCTAATGGTCGCTTTCTACTCCGTACATAGTACACAATGAGACCAAAAATAAAGTATAAACACACACCACCAACCAATTAGATAGCCATTGCTACAAGCTCAACTCGTGCAGTCTCCTTTAGGATATTTCAATTGTACAACGAGAAGACCGCCCTTCTCGGCATAACACTGCATAGGCCCTTTCGCAGATCCTCCGCCCTCATCACCGTCAGCATACTCAGATCTACTAATCAATTCCAGCCATTTAAATCTATCTCAGAACCCTCACATACACCGACCCAACAACCAGTATCCCAAACCATTGGCCATCCTGACTCCCCTTTCATAGTTAGCAAGAATCTACTTTAGTGCTCAACCACCTCATCTCCCTCATCATCACACCGCAGGACTCGAAACCTCCGTACACACTTACACATGTACCTACGTGTGGTACCTACATTGGGGGCCGAAACATCAATCACATCCCACTTGCCTGCGGCAAAGCAAGGCTGACACGTGCCGTGCCTCTTGGGGGGAAATGCAGATGAGATGTAGATCTGCGCTCGCTCTATGCAAGTGCGGGACTCACGACATTGCAGGAGGAGGCGTGTGTGTACGTTTTTCTTTGTTAGGTTTTATAGGTATGCCAGCGCATGGTGTGAGAGTGAGACATGGATTTGAGAGGGTTATGCAATTTGCGAGGGCAAGGTGAGATGAAGTGCACAATAACGGTATGTATGTATGTTCCAAGATGTTGAGAAATTGTTTATTTGGTTGGTATCTTTTGCCCGTGTAAGTTTATCTCCTCCAAGATCTGTGCCACAAAACTCCGCAATTAAGCCCAAACACATAAGAAAAGCAAAAAAGCAAAGGCAAACAGTTGATCCCCAAGGTTGCGTAAAACGAAAATAGTCAGAAATTGCCTGATATAGGTAGATAATCTTAATTTCCTGTCTTGGCCCCGTTCCTAAATCGCAAACTCCTCCCGCTGAGCTGAAAAAAAAGAAGCTAAATCACGTCTCGTGCGAGCGCAATGCTACTGCTTACTTGCGGCCGTAGTGCATCTGGTCGACCTTGCCGGGCTGCATGAGCGTGTGCTTCTGCTCCTCGCGGAACTCGCTCTCCTTGTCCTGCTGGGTGACATCGCAGGGCGTGCAGAAGCAGGCGCACAGGCAGTCCTTGCAGCCGTTGCCTTGGAGGTGGTATTTGGCGCGCATGTCGCCGCGGTTGATCATGGGCAGGATGAAGGAGAATCCCAGGCAGGAGAGGAAGGTGAAGCCGACGCACTGTTGTAGAGGTTAGTATCGTAGAGAAGAGGAGAGTAGATATGTGGATGGGTTGATGGTTGAACTTACGGGCATGTTGCAGCATGAGTAGCCGTTCATGTTGCCGTCATTCTTGACGCGGTATTTGGCGCGACCATAGGTGATGCATGGGCAGCAGCAAGAGAGCATGCCTGCGATTTGGTTAATTCTGTGTTCTGCATTGCGAAGATATTGGGGATTGCCTTACAGGTGCCGAAGGGGCTGCAGCAAGAGCTACCCTTGTGATGCCATTCTTGTTCTTGAGCCATTTTTGAAGAATTGAATATCGAAGTTTCGAAGTATGAAGTTTGTTTGTTTGTTGAAAGAAGGTTGAATGTGAAAAGATAGAGACTGGAGATGTTGCGAAAGTGGTTGCGTCGGAGTCGATTAAATATCTAAAACTCCGTCCGGAAACCCTTTGGGTAAAAGATGCACGCGACGTCAGAAGGGATCAGGATCAACCCCGTGGGATAAAGGAATTTTTAAGGAAGCTTCCTAGAGACTCCTGATGCGGAAAATGCGATTGAGCTTAAAGTTGGTCACTTGAGAACTGGAGATCTGTGGAGAGAGGTGGCTCACTCTTCTTATGTATAGTCTTGCTGCGATGGGGAAATGACACCGCCCAGGGTCTATGGACATTTTGGAATCAACTGTGAACATCATCACACTGCAGGTGCACAACCTTGGGGCTGAGACGGATGTGGATCCTGGGGGCCATTGGGCGGCGGCGAAGCTCAGCCATAGGTCCCGTTCCTCAAACGCACATCCTGTAGAATGAAATCCGAAGTGCGGTTGTGTATGGTGCTGAATTCTCCGGGTACTGCCCGGCAGGACGCCTGGACCTCATTGTAAGCATAGCGAAGGGTAGCAATGCCCCCCATCACATAATAGACAAGATCCTTTCGATAATCTGACATGCTCAGCTCCGAGCACTGACTTGTATGTACGGTCACTTAAGATGCAGGGCATGTAGAACCTGGTGAGGGACGACCATACGAGGGATGAGATAGGATGAGTAGGAATGTGGGGGAGCACCTTCCACAACGCCTTCGAACGCACGAGAGAGACAAAGGAACCGTGCGGAATATTATGGTTCGTCAGGACCGATTGTTTTTATCTCTGCTTTATGCTACTCGCACGATGTGTCCTCTTCCCAGATGCGTCGTTGGATCAGGTCCGTTCGGGTATATACTAAGTGCGAATGGAATGACGACAGCGATAGGAGGGAGGATACGCCGGACAGCCAATTGTGATTGCATCAATGCAAGATTTGATGGAATTGATAACAACTTTTGATAAGGTCCATTCCTTTGTTAGCAAGCAGACCGAAGCCATCCATGAGTCGTGTTCGTCCCTATCGTGTTGAGTTGTTCATGTTCAAAGTCTCAGCCTTACGGCGAAGAAATTAGACTAACAGGTGATTGCGCCCACTAGCTCCATTTATAGAAGACACACTAAACTATTCTGGGTTGTACTAAGATTGGCCGTCCATGCGAGGGCTGATGGTCGAATCACGCCCAATCACCAACCAGCAACACAAGGAACGCAGGGGGTACGAGTAATCAACCACTCTCACCTCTCACCCACTCCACTCACTCCACCCTCGAGTGCACACTGCATGCCACTACTCGTACTCGCACTCACCCCTTCTGTACAACCCAAACTCAACGACTATCATCAACCATGTGGTCTGGTATCACCCGCGGCCTGCCGCTGGCTCTCGTAGCCACGGCATCCGCCATGTCGACTTGGAAAGACTTCGAGTTCGAGCGTCAGCACGGCAAGGAGCAGGGAAAGCCCGCACCATGGCTCTCTCATATCGACAACGGCAATAGCCAGTCCTACATCGTCAAACTGGACTGTGTCGGCTGTCCCCATGGTTCGGAACGCTTCGGAGAATGGAAGGACGACCCAAGAGACAGCTCCTTGGTATGTATACCACGCTGCCGGTCACAAAAACATTCCCGGCTAACAAACATGTCGTAGTTGCTCAACTTCACTGCTACCTCATCCGATGGCATGCTCCTAAATGGCTATCCATTCCTCAACATCGCGGCGCACCCACCCGGCATCGAGGCCGTCCAAGTCGCCTCGGACATCCCCAAAGCACCTTTCGACATGTTGCTTGGGAAGCACATCATCAATGAACGCCCCGCAAACCCTCGCAAGGGACGGAAGTTCTCGAGATACGCTCTTGAATACGAACACACCATCCTACGCGCCGACGGCTCTAGCGAGGATGAGTTGTTGCAGTTCGATGTAACTGCTATCTACAGGTTCAACTTCCCCAATCCGGGCACCTGGAGCTTGAACCAAGAGGGCCAGAAGATGGTGCAGATCAAGCTCAAGCCGGGATTCCAGTATGGGCATGATCTGTTCGTAGCTGAAGATATTCAGCTCATCGATCGTAAGGATCGAGCACAGCCTATGAAGATGAAATGCGGCCGACTTGCTATGGTCAAGACCGATTACAACCCTACCGAATGGGATGCCTACGGCAAGCTCGGAACGTGGTCCAGGACTGGAAATGTCGTTGCCTCGCAGGCCTACGACTTCATGAAGAACAATGTGGTACTGATTGTCGCTGTGTTCTTCGCTTTCGCAGTTGTCAAGGCATTCCGAAGACGCGCAGCACGGCGAGCACAGGAGGCTCTCGCGCTGGATGACGAGGAGGCCGCCACGCTGATCATCAATGTTGAGGCTCCTCCCGAGTACTCCGAGTACACAGGGCGCGAGTCTTTTGAGGTCAAGCAAGAGGGAGAGCAACTGCTCCCCAACGCTGAAGATGAAAAGAATTAAGCGGGTTAAAATGTTCATACTGACCAGACTGCTTCCTACACATACCCGATTTCCTTTGTAAAGTATCTACCAGGCTCTCACTCCTCCTACCATACGTGATTTCGTATTTGCGCTCAGACCAATCAATTATCAGATTTTCAATCATGATGTTACGGCTTCTTCTCACGGTGACTTTTATCCGTCAGCAATTGATGTTCCCGACCATTCTAACCAGTCTCTGTCCGCTGCTGCATTAGGAAAATTATCAACCAACTTTCAGCCCTTCGCACGCCTTTGCCTACGCCCTTGTGCAACCACGTCGCGAAACCGAAATAAATACATGCGCTAATATAGATAACCCAACACGGATCAACATCAACCACAAAAAAATAACAACACCAAGAAACTCACCAACAACCTCACCGTCTAACAAACCCAATTGCCTCCCCAAGATGTCCGTAACAGTCGAACACTACAACCCCGCCTGGCCCACACAATTCCAAACCATAAAAACCCGCCTCGAAACCTTCCTCACCAACGTCCCGGTCCTCTCCATCGAGCACGTCGGCAGCACCTCCGTCCCAGGCCTCGCCGCAAAACCCACCATCGACATCGACATCATCGTAGCCCGCGAAAACGTGCGCGCCGCCATTGACAGCCTCGTCGCCAACGGCAACTTCACCGACGTCGGCGAGCTCGGCATCGTCGACCGCCACGTGATGCGCGACCCGGAGCAGGACCCCCGCCGCAACATCTACGTCTGCGTCGACGGCGCGTTCTCCCTGCGGAACCACCTGAGCGTACGCGACACGCTGCGCGGGAACCCAGAGCTGCGGGACGAGTACGCGCGCGTGAAGCTGGAGCTCGCGGCAAGGGACACGAATATCGTGGACTATGTCGAGGCGAAGGGGGATGTCGTGCAGAAGATCCTGAGGGTCGCAGGCTTGCTGAGCGAGGAGGAGCTTGCGGCGATAAGGGCGGCGAATTTCAAGGGGGAGAGGTTCGGGGCGTTGAAGACGGAGAGGTTGACGCTGAGGGAGTTTATCCTGGGGGATGCGGAGGGGTTTTATAGGTTGGAGTCGATTCCGGAGGTCGTGAGGTATCAGAACTACGGGCCGAGGACGAGGGAGGAGGCTCATAAGAGCGTGGTGAGCATCTTGCAGAACTCGACGGCGAAGCCTAGGAAGCATGTAGAGTTGGCGGTCGACTTTGAGGGTAGGTTGGTAGGGAGAGTGGGTGCGTTGATAGCGAAAGAGGATGAGGCGAAGGCGGGGGTTCAGGATCCCCCGAAGGCGTCGTTGTTCTTTTCTTTCTTGCCTGAGGTGCAGGGCAAAGGTCTCGCGACTGAGGCCATGCGTGCATTCATCCCATTGCTGGGGAGTCCGTTGAAACTGGAAATTGAGTGCGATCCCAGGAACGAGGGGAGTTGGAAGATGGCCGAGCGATTGGGATTCAAGAAGACGTATGAAGCAGAAAAGGTGTACGAAAGCAAAGGAGAATGGGTCGATTCTGTTGAATATTCGAAGTTGGTTTAGATTCTATTCAGATGAAGCGGTAAGCATAGAACAACAACACTACACAGCGGTGAGCTACTATTCGTATCAGAAAACTTTTGTCTTGCTAGCGATACAGATTGATATTCCAGGTTTACATTTCAGAGGCTCTGACTCCTTAGACTGCAATACATTGTTTCTTCGTTCAGAGCATGCACTTTGTGAGACACCTGCTTGACGACGTTATCAGACTCTCCAAGCCAACAATTGACATCCTCGGCAACCACAATCGAAGGATATCAAATCTCCAGCTTCATTTCACCCACCGGCGAAAACCCTCAGATAATTTCCACAATAATCTCGCGCCAAAGCCCCATCGTCGGCCGCCACAACTAGCAAAGGAGTATTATTTTCCCGGCGCCAACCATCCCCATGTGCCCCCAGTAGTCACCAGTAGTCACCAACCTAACGGTCTCCAACCCACCCCCGCACTTCTCCCTCCGCAAAACCTCCCCGGGCTGGCCCCCCAAGAACAGACAAGCCCCCGCGGATCCTTCCCAACTCGACACAAGCTTTTGGGCTGCCCTCGACTCGGCAGCCTGCCGAACCACCCGCGGCTCACCACATTTCTCTCGAGACATCTCGCGGTAAATTTGCACCGAAATGATGGCGCCCGGATGGGTACTGGCGCTGGTGTGTATCTTGCCCTTGAGATGGGGTGGGGACCGGGGGAGGAGCATGGGGTAGAATGGTAATTCATCCACGTATGGGCGTCGAGCATCTAGCATCGCAAGGACAATATTTCTGCAGATCTGCGGGTGCGTCGGCTGGTTAATATCCTAGCACCTCGAAATCGACTCCATGGGATAGAAGGACCGAGCGGTTCCTGGATTGATATATGAATTGGACATCGGACGCTGGGTTTGGATGTTTTTTTTTTGAGAGGGCGGGACTTCAATTCGCTGTTCGAGATACCAGATCCTCGTCGCTGACTGAGTTTCTTGAACTCAATTGGGTTTTCCTATTCGAGGTTTACATATATATATATATATATACCGTACATACATCATGAGGTTCACCAACATATGCAGCACCGTGCTGCCCATCCTCACGACCCTCACCACCGCATCCCCATCACCATCCTCATACAGCACCTCCAAAATCCCCCCTCGCCCCAACCTCACGCCCTCCCCCTACACAACGGGCCTCGAATTCCCATGCTCCCCCCCTCGCTCCGCCCACAAAAAATGCTTCGTCGCTCCCGTCTCCACCTCCGCCGACCGCGACGACGCGCCCGCCATCAAAGCCGCCCTCAAAAAATGCAACAACGGCGGCACAGTCGTCCTCGACAAATCCTACCTCGTCAGCTCGCCGCTCGACCTCACGTTCCTCCGCCACGTGGACGTCGTCATAACGGGCGAGATCCACTTCAACGCGAAGGACGTGTACTACTGGGCGGAGAACAGCTTCAAGTACGACTTCCAGAACATGTCGACGTTTTGGAAGTGGGGCGGCGAGGACGTGAATATCTATGGGGATTTGAGTAATGGGAAGAGTGTTATCGATGGGCATGGGCAGAAGTATTGGGAGGAGATTGTTACGAATAAGACTGTGAGTTTGTGAATGGGGTTGAGGAGAGGTTGCTGGATTTTGGGTGTTGATGCTAACGATGGTGGTGGTGGGTAGTTGTTTAGGCCGATTTTGTTCTCCATGGATGGGATGAAGGGGGCGACTATGTCGAATCTGAGGATGAGGAACTCGCCTAACGTAAGAAGAAAGACCCTCCCAATTGAAGGACTCAGAATACTAACAAATCTGTAGTGGTTCAACATCATCGCCAACAGCTCCGACATCCTGATCAGCGATCTCGACATCCAAGCAAAGGTACATATCCACCGTACCCCGATCCTATAGAACCTCCAAAGAAAGAAGAAAGACACTAACCCACCACCCCCAGAGCACCGACGGCGTCAAGATCGCCAACTCGGACGGCTGGGACACCTACCGCTCCAACAACGTGGTAATTCAGAACTCCGTCATCGACAACACCGACGGTACGTCCCCATCCCCCCCCTCCTCCCCCTCAAATAAGAAGAGTCAAGTTCCCCTAACAACCCCCCGCAAATAGACTGCGTATCCTTCAAGCCCAACTCCACCAACGTCATCGTCCAAAACCTCGACTGCACCGGCTCGCACGGCATCTCCGTCGGCTCGCTAGGCCAATACGCCAACCTCACCGACATCGTCTCCAACCTGTACATCCACAACATCACCATGGCCCTCGCCTCGGACTTCGTCCGCATAAAAGTGTGGCCGGGCGTCGCCTCGCTCTTCCAGGAGAACCTCAACGGCGGGGGCGGGAAAGGGTATGTCAGGAACGTTACGTACGAGGGGCTCGTGAGTAGGGATAACGATCGCGCCATCACGATTACGCAGTGCTACGGGCAGAAGAATCAGACGCTGTGTAACGAGTTTCCGAGTGAGTTGAGGATCGAGGATGTGCTTGTGAAGAATTTGAGGGGGACGACGAGTAAGAAGGCGGATCCCGAGGCGGGGACGTTGGTGTGTAGTGCGCCGGATGTGAGTACACGTGTGTCTGAAATAATGGGGAGTGGGAATGCTAACGGGAGATACAGAGATGCAGTAACATCCGCGTCGAGGATGTCGATATCAAGGTGCCGAGCGGGAATACGACGACGTGGGAGTGTATGAACGTGGATGAGAGTTTGTTGAAGATCAACTGCGTTGCGAGCGACGGCGAGAGGGATACTACGAACGGCTGAGCGACCTCCTAATCGATGAGACGATATGGATAGTAAGATCGATAGGTGGATAGCTCACCTTAGAGAAATTCAGTAATGTATTGATTAATTTATAAGTCAAGTCAGGTCAGGTCATGTTACCTAGCAATATGTTTATCTTAACGTTAAGATTTTGACAGTACATCATCTATTATACTTGACTTTCAGGAGAATGGGTATATTGTCTGGAAGTCAAGAACTCAAATTCCATTCGGCCTCTGTTGCTGTTAATGTCATGGTTGAGATTGACTTAGAGCCGTATCACTTGATAAGCATACAGACTTACAGGCGTATAATATCCTTCTCTGTCTGTCTATCTTTTGTTGAATCAGTACTTCGATTGAATCATCTTGTATCAAATCAAATAGAACAAGACATGCCATCCTATAATACGGCAAACACCACACCGCAAACTCCCACTTCTCCCTCCCCTCTTCCCCCTACCGTCCCTCCCACGCACCAGCCAGCGCCGCAAGAATCTTCCGCACGACCGCAACCCCGACACCAATCTGCTCCTTCCCCTCCAGCCAGGGTAAATGAAGGAAGACGACGTCGGGCTTGCGGCTGCGCTTGTGCGTCAGCTCGAACATGGTGAGGTAGTATGCGAAGCCGCAGACGAATGTTCCGGGGTCATCGCTTCGTTGGATGGAGATGGGATGTTTTGTGATTGTAGCAGTACTGGCGGTGCGAGTTTGAGCTGCTGGTTTGCTGGCTTTGCTGGACTTTTTGCTGTTCTTGTTGCTGGTGGTGGTGGGTTTGGGTTCACTATTTCCACTCGCTGAAGATGATGAGGATGAGGATGATGATGGCACTTCCAAGCCCCAGACATCATTCATGCATGTCTCGACCACGCCATCGACGTCGAACCTCGTTTCCAACCTCTCTTCTCCCTTGGCTACTGCTCCTCCGCCTCCAAAGACCCTCTTACCGTCGCGCTTGGTGAACACCTCTCGATGGGAATCGAGGATCTGGTGGTACCCGTCCCTGTCGGCGCCGATTTCGATTTTGAAGACGCCCGGTGGACTCGTCTCGTCAAGGCCGAGGAGGACGATGATGTCTGGGTCGGTTCTCTCGATGCAAGCCGGGAGAAGGGCCTGGAGGCGGGTGTATGATGCTGGAAGCGCATCGCCACTTAGGATGCGGACCGAAGGATCCTCTGGGAGATTATCAGGGAGGCTATACACTATTTCCCCGGCTGGATTCGTTTTATAATTGTTGAACGGCTAGCATGAAGATTGAGAGTGAGCGAGTTGTCACGTGGTTGGATGAACCCAGGAAGAAGGTACCCCGTGCTTGGACATTCAGCACGAGGAAGTACTCACGCCAAAACCTCGCACAAGAATCCTCACCCTATCGTCATTATTGGAATTGCTTGCAGAGTCGGCCATATCAGCTATTTCGTACGTCGGAGCGATGGAGAGAGCGATGCGTTAGGCTGGAAACGCTACTTCCTCTTTGGGCGGTTTGGTTCGTTGTGATTGGTGACTGGTTTTGTGGGAAGTTTGAATGCCTTGAAACGATGTCAACAGGGAAGACACATGGAGAGATGGATTTAAAGGGATCAACGGACGGGACATCTGGGCAGATCGTTGAGTCAAGCCTGTCAAGGTGCGCTGGAGGGTCTCAGACGCTTGGATGGATCGGATGATTTCAGCCCTTCGGTGCCCTTTGCTTACCAGCCCCACTGAGCAGAGACAAGGATGGCCGCCCCACAGACGACTCGACTTGGAGAAGTTGGAAGCAAAGAAGAAAAGAAAATCGTATCATTAAAATATATTCGAAGAATTCTTAGTGGTTCCTCCACTTGTGTATTCGTACAACAACGCCACGTTGTCAGATGAGAACGCCATCCAATGCTGCGCAGAAAGGGTATTATTCGCTCCTAGAACTCCCGAGGTAGCCAGCAGTGGCCTTCCAACTATTTGCACGTATCGTACGTAATATTCTATAATTGCAGCTTCGGTCCGCCTGTGTGTAGGGCTCGTAAAACAAATGAAGAAATCGTGAATTAGCGTGACTTTTGGATGACGAACACTCCCACCTCTATGCCTCGCGGTTGGACCAGCCTTTCGCATTCCCTATTCGCGACGCCATCCAATATCTCCTGTATTAGATTCGAGGGGGTCATCGATGTGTCCCTGGGAAGAACCTTAGCCTTGCGGAAATACCTAGTGACCGCCTCTCGAATCCGCGGTTTCTCCTGTTTGATCCACCAGTCCTTGGCCCATGACGCACGGTCAATGACAATTTCCTCTCTCGAGGCATGTATAATCGAGTACGTGGATCCGGAAGTACGCAAATGGTTTTCGTCTTGGTTGAGTTGGTTACAAAAGGCCCTCAGTCGCGTATCCAGCTGAACATACTCCGGCAGGCGATCGACGGCCTTCATGGGACCCAGAGACTTGCTTAGATCTGATGACAGATCGTGAACAATCGTCATCGAGCGCAGAAGAGGGTCCAGGACCGGCCCTAGATAGCTACGCATGAATGTTTGTGCGCCTGTCCTGGTCGGATAGATGAACAAGAGCCTGCCATTATCGGGAGAGACCTCTATTAGACGATCAAGGAGCAGAGAATGCCCTCCTCTCATGGAAAACATTTCCACGAATTCATTCTCGTTGGTGGGCGGGATATAGCGTTCCACGACCGAGACGTTCACGCTTCCTGGGGGCACGACAGGCCGAGGCGACGGCGGCAAGAGTCTCGCATCGAGCTGGTAATCGGGAACAGCGACTGCAGTGTCGAATATCTTGGAGGTGAAATATTCATCACCTCCTACAACCTGACCAGGTGTGGAGGGTGGGGATTTGGGTAGGTCGGCTAGCGTGAACCGTCCGGGCACTGCGTGAAAGACATTGATCCAAGAGGTCGAGGTGGTGGTCCTCTCGTGAATGGCGGATATGATCTGTGCAAAGAGGTGGCCGGTCAGCGATGGGGAGGGAAGCGCATGCGACAAGACCTTTATCGAATCATGCCGTGCAGAGGAGACGTCAGAGGCTGTACGATTTTAGTCAGCATTAGCATTCGATGATGGGCAAGGGAGCTAGCGAGGACGGACTTAATATTTGTCGGATGCTCTCTATCCAAGCAGCCATGCCGAGCGCGTCACTCAGATCCGTGACCGAGAGCGGATCTGGCACGGCTGTCTCTGCTGTCTCTGCCGTGACCGCACTCAGCGAAGTGATGTTGGTGCCTGGTGAGACTCCTGGCTCCGAGTTGGGGGGAGAACCGACAGCAGCGGTACCAACGTTCACGAAAGAACCCCAATTGAAGGTACCAGGCTCCTCGTTAGGAGGGGTGACCACGGGCACGAGACGTTGGACCTTGGCCCTGGCAGCCTCAGGGCTCGGGGGAGAAGAATCCACGGTGCCGTCGATCTGTGGAAGCTGGCGCTCTGGTTCGATCAAGGATGGGCTTAGTGCATGAAGGGGATCCTCAGGTTTCGATAATGGGCCTGCACCTAGCGGGGAGAAGCTACTGGGAGAATGAACGGCGATGCGGTCGGGGTGAGGTGCTGCAATTCCCAAGAGATCGAAGGATGGCAAGCGAAGGTTGAGAGATTTTGTCGTGATGAGAGGACAGGTCGCGGGGGATACATCAGTGAGCGAGAGACTGGGGTCAGCGATGCGGAAAGACAAGTCGAGTCGACTGTCTTGCGGAGGGGACGGTAGGTCTTGTGAGTGAAATGGCGATGGAGGTGGGAGTGGGAAGGGTTGGAGGATGGGAGGTTCGAGAAGATTGGAGGGGCCTATTGGAGGCGGCGCCAGCTCATGGAGGACCACATTGTCGGAATCTGCCACTGCCACGCGGGTACCGTCGTCATGGAGGGGAGACGAGGGAGACGGGGTGGCAGTGGCAGAGACAGAGTCAGAGACAGAGACTGAAAGAGGGACAGATGAGATGCTATTGTTGGTATGGGAATTATTGGCGGGAACGATGGGTACTGGAGACAGACCGTCGTCGACCATCTCACGAGACAGTGGAGACATGCGAGGTACGACTCCAGAATTGGGAGTAGGTCGAGAGGGCTGGGGGAGCGAAGGATGTGTTGAAAAGAAAAAAATGGTGGAGGTTTCGAAGATCCTTACATGGACTGGGGACGGACTGACGGTGGAGTGCCAGTACGAGTGGTAGTACTGTAGATGGTGTACTAGGAGAAAGAAGAGGCGCAAGGTCGGAATACTTGATTGAGCACGTACTCGTTAATGGTGGTGGTGGTGGTAGTAGTGGAGTGTTGGTGGTGGTTGTGGACCTTGTGGTTGTGGTGGTGATGATAATAGGAATAGCACCTAGACGATTAGGTGCGATCACGGATCGGCCCTGTAGGGAAAGAGCGGGTAGGACAAGCACAGGGAAGGGCAGGGCAGGACAGGGTTGAGTAAGGTAGGGTAGGGTAGGGTAGGGTATGAAACTACGAGTAGTGGAGGATAGGATAGGATAGGATAGGATAGGATGTGACAGGGAATGGGTCCGAGATCTCGAGTAATGATATGATTGAGAGTGGCTGTGGTGGATGCGTGCGAGAGGTCTTCCAAAAGGGTAAGACAGTCAACGCGGATACAAGATACGAAGCACGGGAATATTGTGTGTGTGTGTGTATAAGATAATGCAGAGTGAATAGGTATGGGATATAGGATATGGGATGAATATGAGATAGGGAAGCTTAGGAAGCGAGCGGATAGGGTCAGCAGTGGTGGTGAGGGCGAGGAGAGGCGAGGAGAAGAGAGGGGCAGAAAGTGAGGCCAACAGTCAATAGCAGTGTCTCTGTAAGAAGTACTGTGTATGTACTGTGTAGTAAGTAGTAGATGGTAATAATAATAATTAATGGTATAGTAAAATTGGTCAGGGTGATGGGAATGCAAGGATGATGGGATGTCGGAGGTGGAGTAATGTAAGAGGAAGAGAAGAGTGGTGACAGCAACAATTGTTGTGGTAATAGCTAATACATACTCGTGGTGGTAGCTAGTAGTGTAGTAGGGTAGTAGCTAGTAGCGTTGGAGATGGTGAATAGTATGGATAGTAAAGAAAGCTACCTCCTAGTTAGAGGGGATCAATGGGAAAGATTACGGCCCAACAGACGGATGCAGGCAGCCAGATTCGTATGTAGCCCGTCTGTCTGGGGAGGGAAAGATAGAATAACGATTGATGAAGATGTGGATGCAGATGCAGATACAGATGCAAATGCAGCACAGAATGAATGGAGGATAGTGTATGTGAGTGAGTAAGTACACAGTAAATATGTATGCGTGTATCGGTGTGGACAAAATGAAGCTGACGGTGTGTGTGTTTGTTAACTTTGTTTGTGTGTCTGTGAATGAAGTGAGGGGATGAACTGTATGGGTTGTATGGATAGAGAGAATTAGGGGGAGGAGGACATATGGCAAGAGGAAGGGAAGGGAAGGCACGTAGGGTAGGGAAGGAGCGTGGCAGGAGGAGTGGGAAAGAGGTACCGAGTTTGTTGTGGGAAAAAAGACATACGATTCTGCCAGATGGGGACAAGTGTGGATGCGGGTCGAGTGCTGAACGAACCATCTAATAGGTTCCAGAAGTAAGTAAGTCAGTACATACCGTAAGTAACCTACCCGGTACGGAGTAGTTGACGATGATCTATTTGCAGATTGAGTTCAACAGACTCCATTAATCCTTGAAGGCTGCTGTTGCTTGTCAAAGCTGTTTTCAAGGATGGCATGGTACTGTTGAAGAAACAGCGTACAGTAGGATGGCAATTTCATTATAATCTGTATTGGCATCCCCATCCCTATCTTTGTTTTGTTTATGTTTATATGTACTCCGTACTCCGTAGATTCCATTGCTATGCACTCCGTAGAGGTAGGTGTAACTGTGTGAGTAACCAATACCTTAAAATAGTAGTACGGCATATTGAATGAACTCGAATCGGTCCGGTACGCGGAGGACGAGTGATAATCATCTCTAAGGCGTGGTAGTTTCAACAAGTGCCTACCTTTCCTTTCTAAGTATCTAGCAGCACTTTGGGTTGCAATGAGACCTGAGTGCTGACCTGACTGGGACTGCATCAAGAAAGAAAAGCTGAGTTTGCAAACTCTCTCATTACCCTTCCCTCGGTTATCCACACTCCCCTTTCCCTTCGCCCTTGTTCGTGTCCCTTCTTCTTCATTTTCGTCCCTCCTCTTCTTTTCCCCTCATCAATAATGACAGGACAACTAATGGAGGAGAAGAGCTGGGAACACGACGGGGAGGAATAAATAATAATAATAACAATCAATGGAGGTCGAAAAAAAGGTGTCACCATGCCTGGCCCAAGACTCCTTTCTGGCCAATCACGACCCGGAGGGACCAGGGTCTGAATGAATCTGGCCCACGGTCTAGACCTTTGTCACCACGCGCCACCATATAATTTCCCATATCATTTCTCCCATGACTCCCATCTTTATGATCCTCCACACACACAAACACATTCCAATCCATGAAACAATGAACCCATTTACTGTTTATTATTAGTTCCCCACTCGTACAAACACCGATCACTCTTGTATTCGTAGATCTACATAATATCTCTTGCGTCTTTTTCCCTCCTCTTATGGTTTCTCTTCTTTTCTCTTCCTTTCGTCTTTTCCTCCGAGTCTCCGACATGGCCTGATGTTACCCCTCTTCTCTTCTCTGCTCTTCCCATCGAGTCACGAGTCGGAATATTACATGCTACGCTCCTCCAATATGGGTAGCTAGGGATCACAATTCATGATTCATTACACTATTCAACAGTCATACTCAGCCCAGGCCACGCATTGGGAATCTTTTCCCATTCCTGCGGAATCGGTGCGTTGGTCTCTAGGTACCTAGGTATCTACTCTACCTAGGTACACAGTACGTACTGGGCCGCGCCGTGTTTCGTAAGAGTGAGTAGTATGTTACTCCGTATCAAGTACTGTAACTATACACATAATTGTCTTGAGTACAATGTACACAGTACATCCATACGGCGTACGCTGCACCGCTCATAGCAGCCCACCGAAGTCCAGCCCAGTCCAGCCCGAAATGCCCAGCCGCCCAGCGAAGCACAACACAGCACAAGCTGCAGTGCCGCTGCACAGCACACGGAACACAATGCTACTGCACTGCGCACTGCGCACACTCAACCACACAAGCATCTTGCCGTACCGTCCCGTACCCTTCCCATCCCATCTCACCTCATTCCATCCCACCACTCCCTTGCTTTCTCTTTTCTTTTTCTTCACCTGTCCACCTCTATGATTTAATTATCTGATCCTTTTTGCGGAGTAATCGTCGTCATGTTTCAGTTCTGAATGCTGATCTGAAAAATATCTAAACACTTCTTTCAAAGTAATAAACAAATGCCTGGAGGATTGCTACCTACACCAGTGCTATCCTTTTCCAGCGGCTGGTGCGGCTCTCACGGCCTTATTCTCCCATGCATGCCCACGAAACGGGACAGAGGCCGGCCCACGGAAAATATATTCTACCTTACGAGTACCCACAATACTTACTGCACCTCACCGTACTCTAAGCTACAGTGCTACACAGTACTTTCCCATCCTTCGTCACTCACTATGACCACCTAATTACTTGGACGAGTAGCTGTGCTATAAAATCTTCTTCGTGATAGGACGGCGATTACGCCAGCCAGAATGCCGAGGTCCAGATTAGACTCTTCACAATTAGAGGTACCTGGCTGGTAGGTCCGAACGATGATATGATGCCACCGCCTATGTATTGTGTGTGTACCTTCACGCTGCACAGTAGTGTACCTACACTGCTCTGAATCTGCAGTCACAGTGTAGGATAAATTAACAGCCATCCAAACACCCTCATACTCACCCAACGCTTTTCCATTCGGAAACACCGAGCACACAGACTCGCTCTGTGATCGTCCGAGCGAACCTCTTACTACCTCAACTGCTGCGCGAAGAAATAAACATACACCTAACCCAAGACACCTTAGGTACAAATAACTACAGTGTACTTACCCATCCAGGTACTCCGAGTCCTCCCATTATTACTGTGCCCAGAATAGAACTCGTGGGTCCGCACCCAAAATCCCTCGCCCTCTCCCACCCAACCGCAACTCTCCTCCGCCGCCCTAGCACACTGAAACGGCCCGAGTACAACTACACAGCCTGTCGCGTTGTCGTATATCGTATTATCTGATACGTCCGAATTCGTTCTCTCTCTTTTCTTTTCTTTCTTTTTTTCTCTAGTTCTTGCTTTGCCCTTCAAGGGTTGGGTTTTGGTTAGTTGATGTTCCTTAGCTGGTAGGTGGTATAGGACTAGGTCGGACGCTTACTGTCCTGTTCTTGTCGTCTACACATGACTTTACATTTACAGGCAGCATGGAACGAGTAGTTAGTCATCCACCCGTCTGGCCTTTTTTGATATTGTCATTCTCTGTTTCTCGTATGCAACAATGCCGTACGCCCAATCATAAATTCTCCCTCAGTTCTTCCAGTTCACGATGGAGAAATCGATGTTTATGGAGTACGGATTACTTCCGATTTGATCAATTGATCAATTGACCAAATTCACGTCCAATTGTGGTTCAAGACAATCTCGCAACATCAAAACCACATTCGATGTCATCAGCATCAGCATCGAAAACAACAGCATCAACCCAACTAACCACTGCCTACCCCATATACACCCACTCATCCCCAGCAACAACACACCATGAAACCCAACCAACGCCCAACACCCTCCACCCTCCACCCTCATCCTCACCCTCCACACTACTCCAACATGACTAACACATTCATCAGCATGCAATCGGAATCTCCGTTCGTTCGTTCGTTCGTTCGTTTAGTCATACCACCCACCCAACCAACCAAACCCACAACCCGCACTAACACCACCTCCCAGGCTCACAATATTCGCCCGGAGCCCAGCTCCGCTGGCTCGAGCTAAGGGTAGGGTTTACGTTTGGGTTAGATTCGTTCCTGCAGTGTGTACTTGTGATGTGAATGGCTACGAGTGGGTGATGTCGTACGCGGTATGGAAGCTTTGTGTCACTGCTGAAGGCTAGATGCTGGCGTGTGTGATATTTGGGGGTCCTCTGGAATGTGGTCATATCAGGTAGGTAGCTAGCTGATTGGTACGGGGTGCGCGGGAAGTGGGAATCGTGTCAAATGGGACTGTGGTTGTGGTTAGAGAGTGGTGGTTGTTTCTTGACAAGTTCGGGGACAAGCTTATGGGATCTTTCATCAGGGCGTCCTCAGAAGGGTTTGCATAGTGAATAGCTGATAGGGAACCCTAGTTTCTGATTCCGAAGTACTTCCGAGAGGAAGTGCTGCATACACAAGCATAGGTACCACGTCAAGGCGTCTGCCTGCTAGCTTCGTCAAACTCATGCAATGATAGATAGGCGCATTCACGGCCTCTTGTAGACTATCAAGAAGCTAATTAGGATTGAAGTGTAGAATAGAAGGTGGACAACCTACGATATAACGTGGTAACCCTCTACGTTGCAAAACAAAGACTCGCCTGAGCGGACATCTCAACATCGTTGCGCATTAGTCGTCACGCTAATCCCAAAACAGCCATTTTTCACTCCCTACACTTCACCTCACTTCACTTCACGACCTACCTACGAGCCCTGCAAGGAATTTTCGGAATCAACGACCAACATACACACGCACGCGCACACACACACCAGATACGGCCATCAGACCATCAGGACCATTATCACCGCCGATCAATCGCGCAGAGGGGCAGGAACGTAATTGCCTTTCGCTTCATTAGGTAAGTACATGGTTTTTTTTAACATCGTTCGCTAGTCTAGCATGGCCATGCATCACCGCTTGGGTCGGACCATCCGCTCTGCTTTTACTTTTGTTTTTCGACAGACGGCCTATGCATATGTGCTTGTTGGTTGGTCTGAGGGGTACGTTCGTAAAACAAGAAAAAAGAAAAGAGATATAAGCTTCCGGAGGGATTCCGTGATAGCAAGCATGCATGGGTTGGTTCAGATCCTTGGCGTGTGCGGTTCGATGTTGGATGAACGATGGACGAAAACGCTTTGACGGATTGTCTTCTTGATTGAGGCGTGGAAACTTTATTTGGGAGGTTAATTGATTTGTGCGGTTAGGTTTTGCTGGACTTGTTTCGTGCTCGCGACGAGTTACCATATTACACGACACCACGTGAGGTTGATTGAAGGAATTGGAGGTTTAGGTTGGGTTGGGTTGGGTGCACTATCGAATCTTTTCCAATTGACGGGGAAGTGAAGAGAGGGAGAGACAATACCTCATTAGGAGGGGGTCTAGAAAGAGATATTCATCTTCACCCTCATCATCGCTGTCGTCGTACAGCATCACCTTACCAACCCTCCTTCTCACCCATCGAAAGTAAAGAAGAGAAGGGATATCCCAGGAGCAAATAACAAGGCCGAACCAACAACAGAGCACCACTACATTCACCATGCATGTACGCTCAACCCCTCCCCCAATCCCATCGAAATCTCCAGAACCCCCCAAGGGAAAAACTGACCAACCCCCCAGATCATCAACCCGCAATCCTCCCTCCTCTCCAACCACGAAGTCCTCCTGCACGTCCGCGCCGTCGACGCCGAATACACCGGCGAAGACTCCACCTCGCGCGCGCGCACCAAACCCCCCGGCCTCAAAAACATGCTGCAAGACGTATGTGTCCCCCTCCCCTCCCCTCCCCCTTCCCGTCCATCTAAACTAAAACTAACCACCCGGGCAAACGCAGACGATACAGTACCTCACATCCGCAGACCAGAACTCCGCGCTGGCAGCGATGGCAGAAGGCCACGCCGAGCGCCCGATGACGCTGTACAAGGGCCCGCACTCGCTGTTCCGGCGCCTGGCGGAGAAGTACACGCTCAATAAGGCGGAGTACCTTCAGATATACAACCTGCGTCCCGCGAGCCTTATCGTGCTTTGTTTGATTATTGAGGAGGTAAGTAATTCGCTCCCATATTTTTCCCTTTTGTTCTCTCGTTCGTGCCTCGGTCATGGTTGAGGAAGTTTAAGCTAATGTGTTGGGGATGGGTAGTGGGACACAAGGTTCTCGGAAGAGCAGATGGAGGAGATGGTGAGGGATATCGCGGCGGTGTTTGATGAGGAGGAGGGGGATATTCCTACGGGCGTGGAGGATGTCCAGATGGAGAGGATTGGGAATAAGCTTTTGGGCGCGAAGAAGAGGAGGAAGGGCGGTGCTGCGGCAGGGAAGAGGAGGGCTGCTGCGTGAGGTTGGGGGTTTGGGCGATGGATGAATGGAGATGGGACGGCGAGAGATGGACGCAAGTCAAGTAATCAAGTAGGGGATATGGCTCAGGGATGGAAGTCAAGATCAGTCAGCGACGGAGAAGATGGCATCGATGAGGCGAACAATATACCACTGTACACCATTATACATCCGTGACAAACACAAGTAGCACGGCCGAGCATGGCGAGACAGACAGACACCAGGAATATAACAAAATAAAAGCAAGCATCATTTTTAACAGTTTGCATGAAATTCTTTTTATCTTTTCTAAATCTCTCCTCTCCAGTCGCGGGTATAGATTTCGTTCACCCACGCCCACTCACCCACCACCCCTCCCTCCTCCCTTCCCCGCGCATCTTTCCGTCGTCGTCGTTGTCGGCGGCGGCAGCGGGAAAGAGAATAAAATATACATGTCATGCAAAGAGGGGGAAAAGAAACAAGCAAAGCAAAGCCATCCAAGAAAACGTACTAAAGACAGATACAGACAATGTCCCACACGCCGTTTTCGCCATAAGATGAGGTTTCACGGACAATAAACAAAAATAACTTATGCCCGTGCGTTCAGATAAAGAACTCCGTCGCCCATTTTGATAGTGACACGAAAGATGGAGATGAACAAGGACGTCGTTGCCGTCGTCGCCGTCGTACCGTGACGACAGTCGAGCCGCGTCACGAGTCGAGTCGAGTCGATTCGAGTCGGGGAGAGCTGGACCAATGTCTCAGCATCTAGTCCTTGCTCTTCTTCTTCTTTTTCTTCTCGCTCTTCTCAACATCCTCGTCGTCGGCTTTCCTCTTCTTGCTGTCCTTCTTGGACTCCTTAGCCGCCTTCTTTGCTGCCTTTGCCTCGCGCTTGGCCGCTCGCTCGGCCTTGCGTGCCTTCTTTGCCTCCTTCTCGGCCTTCTTTGCGGCCTTGTCGGCAGACTTGGGAGCCTCATCCTCGGATTCGGAATCGGAGGAGGCATCAGCCATCTCCTCATCGTCGTCACTGTCCTTAGCCTTGGCCTGCTTCTTGGGTGTTCCGTTGACCTTCTTGGCGGTTGCTGCGGGCTCATCACCAGTCAAACCATCGGCATCGGGGTTGTATTTGCGGGCTTCCTTGATGTCGAACCTCTGTGCGACGGGGACCTGGTTGGCGTTGCCCAAGCTCTTCAGGGGCTTGCCCTCGAGCGCCCTCAACCGCCTCTCAATAGCGACTCTAGCGTCACGTCCCATCTGGGACTTCTCCTCCTCGCTAGGCTCGTTACCAGTGTCCTCTGCAGAGATGCCCCAAGTGCTCTGTACACATTGTTAGTCAACATTCAAGGTGAAAGGGTAATAATACAGAACGTACCAAAGCATCAATACGGAGTCCAAGAGCGGACTTGGCAGCAAGCATACGGGCAATCTTTCCCTTGTTCTTTCCGGTGGCCTGGCCGATCAAGCTGGCATGGTAGATCAAACCGTACTTGGGAGTGTCGTGCTTGGTCTTGAGGGCACGGAAAAGCGCCTTCTCGGCACCGAGGATCTGGATGGTAGAACCGGGGCTCTTAGCAAGATTGACGAGAGAACCAGCGTGGGCGATGAGACGAGCTCCGACCAATTCACCGACAAGAGCAGTGAGATTGGGTGCGAGGGCCTGCATGCGGGTGGTGAGATAGTTGGAGAGGCTGGTGCGGTGGTCGGTGAGCTCGACGACCTGCTCGGCCAATGCGTTGATTGCGTCAAGATCCTCCTCAGAGATCTCGGTACCCATACTGATCTCAGCAGAAGCCTTGACAGCCTCCTCAATCTCCTCGGGAAGGACAGAAGAAAGATCTGCCGAACGAGCATTGTTACGGTATCCAACGGCGAGGACGACGCGAGAGTAGGCCAAGTTGTCGTTCAGGATTTTCTATCATAAATCTTAGTAAATGACGCGAAAAACTCGTTATGCGAGAACTACTTACGGCCAATTCGGGCCAATGCCATCCGTACCATTCACGAACGCTGTTTTAAAGTCAGTATCGTCAATCTCGACATTGCGCTCCATAACTTACCGCATAGCGTATGTGTTGAGCTGCTTGTCCAAAACGTCAAGACTGGCAATGGACTGGATGATCATGGTATCAACCTTATCCGCCGAGAACTTAAGCTTGTGACGAGAAAGCGAGTGAGAGAGACCGAGCCTGGTGCTGTCAATCTCGGCAGGCACCAAGTCGATCAAAGATCCAATGTGTTCACGGATGGCACGGTAGACATCCTGAGTTGAGCTGTCGGAAACGGCCTTGATGGAAAGACCCGGGAGTTGAGCAATTGCGTTGGCCAACTTGGGGTCGGCAACGGCGAGAGAGGCCTTGGTCTCGTCCTTGATGCTGTCGAGGAGCTTGGAGAGCATAGGGGTGACTTTGCTCTCGGAGAGCGCGGCTGCTTCGTTCAAAGCCTATTTCAATTAGTCCAAAGGATAACCAGGGACATTTAAAAATAAAAGACAAACGCACAGTAACAGCATTGTCGAATTTCTCGAACTTCTTGAGCTTCAAAGCGGATACAGTGGCATCCACGGAGGTCAGGTCCTCAGGCTTCGAGAGAAGCTTCTTGTCCTTGGCCTTGAAGAGCGCATAACCGGCGCTGGACGATGTGTTAGCTGTGACACCCTAAATTCCCAGCCGATGGTTCTAACCTGGTCTCCGAAAGAATGAACAAAGGCATCGTATGGTATGTTCTCCTGTGTTCAAGCTAATTGAATAAGTTGGAGCTCTTGCTCTTAGGATGTGCGCTCGCTGATCGCACAGCAGTCGTGTCGTGAGAATGCCGTCCGTCGAGCTATCAATATCCTCCGTAGTTAATTGTCGTCGGCGCGCGCGGATGCTGCGTGGGCGTAAATGATGTTGCGATGTTAACCGTTTCGTCGTGGTAGATATTTCTTGAAGATTTTCGAGCTTGCAAAAAAGTTCGAGCGTGCCAAGGCGCTAGTACAGCTCAGGTTCAACCAACCAGCATCATTGAGCAGCGCCGGTAATTATTCGGCTGTGTGCAATGCACGCAGTGCGCGTCGCCGTTAATTATTACTGATATATGCAGCCTCATACACGAGAATCAGAGGTCATGCCTGTGCATCTGCTTTTTATCGAACATGTCTGAGAGAAAAGTGTCTGGGTCGCTCAGTCGATCTGCCAGAGGAGCCACGCCCCGCCTGCAAGACTTGGGGACCACGCCCGAATCCCCTCGAACACCGCCTTTCCTTCGATCGACTTCATCTTATTTCGGTTCTCCCGGTGCAGGTTCCCGAGGGGAGGAAGAATATATTGTAATTGAAGCAGGTGCTCGGTTCCTGCGTGGAGGGTTTCCTGGAGAGAGTACACCTCGTTGCACACTCTCATTCGGCCCTGACGACCAACGGCGTGCGGGCGATTACCGGCCATGGGATCCTGAATATAATCAAAGACGGCGGAAGAGGAAGCGCGGCGAAGAATGGGGGGAAGATCACGAGCTGTACAGAACGGATCTCAGTCAGGTTGATATGGGCTTGGTAGAAGACAAATTTGAGCGCGCCATGAGGGAAGCATACAATAAATACTTCCTTTTGGATCACAAGCTAGATCAAAAAGCAAGGAGGGTGATGCTTGCCTTGCCGCCCCGAATGCCACAACCGCTTATTTCAATGATGTTGGATGTGCTCTTCGGCAATTTCCAGGCTCCAAGCATCACTCTGATGTCCTCACCTGTCTTATCGACTGTGGCTGCTGGACTCCGATCGGCCTTAATTGTTGATATCGGCTGGGCCGAAACAACCGTCACTTCAGTTTGCGAGTATCGAGAAGTACTGGAAAGACGAACCATACGAGCTGGCAAGCTACTTAGTGAGGAAATGGCCAAGCTCCTAAATGCAGAAATCGACGACGAGAACGAATCAGATGCACCCAAATCCGATGTCTCATTTGAAGAAGCAGACGAAGTCCTCACTCGTGTAGGATGGTGTAAGCCACGGCCGAAGAATCGGAATACAATGTATTTCCCTGCTCGAACATCTCCCATATTAGAAGAATTCGTAGACGCAGTCGAAGCGCCAGAACCCTCAATTACGATTCCCTTCCCCCGAGCAACCCCACCAACAGAGGTAGCAGTGGCATTTACTAAACTATCGAAACCCGCAGAACGGGCACTCTTCGCAACGCATCTTGCACTCAATGAGCTCGACGAGCATGAATTGCCCGTCCCTCACGTCATCTATCGCGCTTTGCTCGCACTCCCAATGGATGTACGTCGAATTTGCATGTCCCGTATCGTCATCACAGGGGGAGCTTCCAAGTTACCTGGTCTGAAGAGTCGAATTCTTGCAGAGCTAGACGCAATGGTACAGCAGCGAGGCTGGGATCCTGTGCGTTCGTATGGTTCCGCCCAAGGACATCACGATGCGGTGCTTCGACAACGTAGAGAAAACATCGAACTTCGGAGAGAGGAAGGCGAAGATAAGATATCCGAATCCTTCAATCCGGACGGTACGCCTGCGCCTGTACCCGCAGGTCTGCAGGATCCCGAGATCGATGCTATCGACAAGAAGCTCAAGCACGTCTCACTCCGCGACGGACCTCCTCCAACATGCTACGTTGGCGGGGAAATACGCGGTGTAGAGACTCTGGGTCCATGGGTTGGTGCAAGTTTGGCGACGCAGCTGAGAATCAAGGGAGTGGTTGAAATCGACCGGGAACGCTTCTTGAAAGACGGATTATCAGGTGCGACGAGGGAGAAGGAAGTGAGTGTTACCCAGCGCCAGAGTATGGGGCCAGGCCTCATCGGCGCCAAAGGAGCCAGTGAGAGAGCCAGTTGGACCTTGGGAGTATGGGCGTAGTGCGCGCTCGTTCACGGCCTGCGTCAGTTACCATTGAGCATAGTATGCATTTGAGCGGCATTTAAATGTTAAGATACCCTTTGCAATATTTCAAGATGTCTGTTGCCCGTTTTGTGATGATCTTCCCAAATATTGCGACTGTGCACATTCGACCGTGTAGATGTTGAAGAGCCGTAAATACAGCTTCCAATTGGCATGCATACTCATAAAGGTATAATATGGATTTAAGAATATATTCATGACGATACAAAACTCTAACGCTCATAAAATGCATCTAATCGTACAAGGCCCATCAATGAAAATCATGAACTCTATAAATAAAAGGTATAAAAGATGCCGTACACCAATGTAACCTCGTTAAACTCTCCCAGAGTACGCATCGGTCGCGGGAACTGTCTGACCATGACTGTTAACAACACCCTGCTCACTCGCTCCATTGCCGTACTCGCTTGGCTTGGGATAGTAAGCTTCATTTACCTGGTAGCCACTCATTTCATATTGGTTTGCCCTCCTCTCCTTCCTCGACACCTTCGGAGGTGGATTCATGATAGGACCAGCCTGAGCTGGGTCCAATTTGTCCAGAGTGAAACCAAGGATAACGTAGAGATAGATGACAATGATCTCCTCAATGACAGACATGCAGACCCAAACAACCACATTTCCACCGATCATGCCAAAGATATGATGGTTCGACACGGAAATGGACAGAATGGAGTAGATGAGACGGACGAGGATGAACGGCATGGCGATCATGACTGCGAATGGGACGCGGCGTTCTTTGGAGGGTACGTAGGAGACTTTGCCGATTGTCAGGATCAGGAGGCCGACTTGGGCGATGAAGGAGACGCAGTAGAGTGCGACGCCGGCTTTGCTGGTGGTCGGAATGCTGTAGCTGCCGTCTGGGTGGAAGTTGATGGATGTTCCGCCTGCGATGGAGAGGATCAGGCCAACGATGGTGACGAGGCCGACAACGCGGATGTGAGTGGCGGTGATTAGACAATTCGTCTGTCCATGGATGAAATCGACACTGTGTATCTTGTTAACGATGATACTCTTAGGATGTTCAATATGTGGATGATGCCTTACAATCGAGAGAGCAATCCCAATGTTGCAAGGAGCAATGGATTCAGACCGACAGAGTCCAGAACAGCTATGGTGACGTAAAGCCCCGTTGAAGGATCATGGTAGGATACAAGTCGGCAGATAGCACCAATGATGCGGATAAGACAGAGAATCAAGGTATAAATCCAACCCGAACCTCTGCGGAAGCCATGTCGAGTGCAGATGAAGACAGAAGCGAATAGCGCTGGCACATAAATTATGAGTTCCGCGACAGAGACCCAACCATGAGCATCAAGCATTTTGACGATATGTGGATAGAAATGAAGTTTGCTGGAAATTAGATGTGATGGTATTGCTGTCGCTTTGTAGAAGTTGCTGTATTGCTGAATGATGAAGATGTTGATGATGATTCCATGATAGAACTTCCTCTGGTCTTATATATACAAACATTGCTCATGGAGAAATCTTGACGTCCCCGCGAATATGGACCAAATAGGAAACCTCTTCATTAGCGAGAATCCGAATGTTTTCTGATTGACGGACATAATCCTAGGAGTAAGCTCCTGAGGCTGTGGCTAGTGTAGGAGTGCGCTAATCCTAGACGGGCATGCATTTCATTAGCGCTTCGCGCTGTCGACTCCATTTGACGATGGCACACGAAAATCCTCCACTTCCCAACACTATGTCATCAGCCTCAGCTTGCTTCAACTTTGCTCTTCCATGTCCGGGATGCGCGATGCTTTCCTCGAACTCTCATAGGCTCGAGAGGTTATCAATCCTGTCGATCGAATAACAAAAGTCGGTCAGGCCTCCAAACCTCTATGATGCATTCTACCGAGCTACCAATCGTAAGAATACAGCACTGGGCTACTTTATTTTACATCTTGTTACTTATCGTGATTCAGAGACTTCCAGCATCATTAAAGGCTGCTTGTATATTGGGCCACCCAGAGGCCTGAAATCAATCTCTACTACCTCCAAATCTTTGAACCCATGCTTCAGGTACAATCGATGCGCTTTAGTACTAGTCTCTAAATATATCGGCAGACCCAACTCATATGAGCTCTGCTTGATCTGTTCCATCAGCACACTACCAGCCCCGCGACCTTGATATTCAGGGTCCGTGTGCAGCATATGCAGATCTATGCCTTCGTCAGTAGATGTGCAAACACTATCGGGTCTTCTCCATACAGATATGCGGTCGAGTTCCCACCATCTCCTGTTTCCTCTCAAACATTCGATTAAGAGAAACACCTTGCAGGCCTCCGCATTTGTGCCGGGATCAGATTCAAGGTTCCTGATCTTTTGATTCGTCTCGAGTTCAGACTTCAATTTCCTAATCGGGACTTGAGTTTCCTCTGGGGTCTTATATATGTGGAACCTCGCAAAGGCTACCATACGTCCTGAGGCGGTGTCAATGGCTTGGAGATAGACTACCGTGGGATCGTCCTTTCGCAGCTGTATCAGACTATCGACACGCTTTCTCTGGGATCCCGGAGGAGATGGTCCGGGGAAGAGGATGAGATTGATGTCAATGTCGGCAGAAGCTGCATCTTCGATTATGCATGCTTGATCAAGGTCGGCGTCAGATACAGGCCGAACTAGAATTGACATGGTATATTTGAGATCAAAACAGAACTGTCTTCAAACGACTATGAGTAGAATAGATGCCTGATAGGCTGCATGACGAAATAGGTAAATTTGCTATAACTTGCACCACCTTTGTATTTTTGGTCCATATCCGGAATAGCAGCTAATGAGAGGCTTTGCTGCTAGTCTAGATAGGGACTAAATGAACGCTGTTGTTGCGCGGCAATACATAGGCATCAACATTCACCCATAAGGCGTCCCGCAGCAATGGCACAAACCAGGGTCTCCGGCTTGGCCGAAGCTTGTGCACCGCCCTATCCAACCACTAACGTTCCCCGCTCATCAAGCATCATGAGTTCCTCTCCAGGCCACTTTTCTACCTTGCTCACCCTCAAGTTTGAGCCACTCTTTTGCCGTTTGCAGCCACACATATACGGGGCTGCTTAGATTATTCAGTTCCGAAGCCTTCCCGCATCCATTTCCTATTCAAGTTCGTCTCATTATCTACGAGACGGCTCATCGCGCATATATCCGATATGGTCTATCGAGGAAAGCCCTCTGCGGGGTGTCACTCATGCCGTCGTCGGAGAATCAAGGTCAGTATCCGTGCTCAGTCCTATGACAGGCTGTGCCCTGTTTGTTTATCATTGGCAATTCCATTTGCTGATGGCATCCATACAGTGTGATGGGAAGCCAGAAGGATGCAGTCAGTGCTCCAAGATATCAATCGAATGTCCTGGTTACCGCAACTTGGACGACCTGCTCTGGCGATCTGAGAATGCTACTACTGTTCGCAAAGCAAAAGCAAGTTACGATAAAATCGCCAAACGAGAAAACCGGTCCACGTCGTCCTCGCCAAACTATTCGACAACCTCTTCATCCTCTTCTCATTCTAGTCCTGGTAGCCAAGACTTGGTTCCCGTGAATTCCCATGTAACCTTATCTCTTGAAGACTTTGGAGTCATAAACTTCATGTCTTCTTACGTTCCGGGAAGTCACTTCGATTACCTACCTAAATTATACAGCAACTCGGCTGAAGGCAGCCCACTACGATCAGTCGTGCAAGCAGCAGCGTTGGCTAGCTTTTCGAGGGATACTGATGATCTCAGCTTGATGGAAACCGCCCGGTCACACTACGCCAATGCATTGACTAGGACCAATGCCAACCTGCGAAATCCAGCACTTGCAACAGAGGACCAAACTCTGGTGTCAGTTTTGTTGCTCAGCCTGTTCGAAGCCATGGTTTGGGACGGCGTTCAAGAGCTGAACAATTGGACGACACACATTATGGGCGCCCTTTCAATCCTCAAACTGCGCGGCCAAAAACAATTCGAAACAGAGTTGGGCTGGCGGCTGTTCCAGCAAGTTGGTAACAACATTCGCAGCAGTTGTATCCAAAATCGAAGTCGTATACCACCAGACCTGCGCGCCTTGTTCGCAGAAGCAAAACAGCAGCTCAAAGAAGACGACCCTCGAATGATGCTGGAGCCACTGCTAGCAGAATTAACAGAACTCTCAGCCGACATCAAAGAAGATGCATTGCCTGTCCCAGAAGTACTCCAAGCCGCCATGATGCTAGACTACAGGTTCACGATCTTGATGCAGCTGATTCCGGATTACAAATTGGAAGACAGCCGAACAAAATACCCTGAAGCTTTCGGCGACACGGTTTACGAATATCCTACCCTTCTGGCGTCGCAATTCTGGAGTTCATGCCGGATGATCAGAGTTCTGCTCAACGAGATAATACACGGATATACACCACACGAACCCACGATGACAGACGCCGCGAAGGAAAGCCTCCAAACCCAGGCTGCGAATACCGTCGAAAGGATGGGTCTCGATATCTGTGCGAGTGTGCCACCTATATTGAAGCTGTCCCCGTCATCTGGTACCTACAAGGCGAGTGCAAACTCTCTTCTCTGGCCACTCTCTGTGGTGAGGAGTGCATCTCTCACTCCAGCACCGGTCAGCGAATACGCTAGCAAGTGGCTACAATACCTAGGCGATGAATTGAAACTTGCACCTATCAGGAAGGCATTGGAGAATAAAGATCGTAGGCTGGAGTCTCTTTCTGACGGGTAAGTCGTTTCGCTTAGGTTTTAAAGTACTGTGTTCTGTTGCTGATGCATTTTCAGGCTACACATTTTTTACTTGACATGAGTGCCCCCAGCACATCCCCTTCGATATTCTGAGATGGGGGGCATCTCTGGATTTACACACAATCATATCATGAATGCGAATACATACCACGCTTGATCAATATGGAGAGATCGTGCTCTTTTAAACAATATCGATCTGCCTTAAGCACAATCCACCTACCGGCTGCCCTCTTCTTGATGCTTAAAGTTACCAATATAATTTCAAAGCATTTGAACACGTGGACAGCCACAGTGTCCTTGCCGACAGAACGGGAAGTAAGACATTTACGTTAATACGAGTTAGTTCTGCACAAACTATCTTCGGTTCTATACAAATAGCTCCGATGGGTCTATTCTAAAATGTCTCAGTTTGTAATATCTCTACTAAGCGAGAGTCAGGGACAAAGACTCTCAGATGGAATCATTTTGGAATGTATCTACTAAGCGGGATTCCTAGACAGAAAGCTTGGGTTTGAGGTCTTTCAATTCAGAGCACTTCTTTAAAATTCGATGGAGACAATGGGCACGGTATATGTGGACAGAAAGAAAGAATAGGAACACCACTAAGTTATACGTAAGAACCCTCTATCCATGATATGAGCTGAAGAACACTACCAACGCCGACAAATGATATGTAGTCTCTTTTTCCAACGGAACTCTCAAACCCCCTCAAACCGCACCCGTAGGCACAGCATCCGCTCTCCGCAACAATCCACGCACAGCTCTGACAGCAGGGGTCGCAACAGTCGCCCTCGTCGTCGTCGACGACTCCGTCACCCCAACCCTACACAACTTCCCATTCTCATCCGGCAACCCGCTACTATTCTCGACAAACCACCCCTCGCTCCCCACCGCATTGTTCGCCCAAAAAACGTCCTTGACATCAATATCCTTCTTGATCGCCAGCAGCCTCGCATACTTATCCCCCCAGAAGCTCTGCTGCCAGTTCGGCTCTGTGCGATCAGCCTCGTTGAGGTATGCCCCTGACCCAGGCGCGACGTCCCGCCACTTCTGCATGATGCCCGCCTCGAACGACTTCCTCGCCGCGAGCACATCCGCAGTAGACAACTTCGACGCCCACGTGCGGCGAACGACGGCGTGGAGGAGGGCACCTCGCCACGCGGGGCTCACGGCGTTGTCTGGGTTTCCGCTGCGGGCGAGCGTGGGCGCCACGTTGATGACGGTGGCGGTGTGGCCCGTCGTGACTGCCTCCCTGAGCACGCTGAACGTGGTGCTGCGGCCGATCTCAGATTCGAAGTTGGAGCGGGGGAAGAGGCGGGACCCGAAGACGGATGCTATGTCGGCGTTCGTGGAAGTAGTTGAGAATTCGGACTGCCAGGCGGCGTAGAAGGATTTGTATTCGGTGATCTTGGGGGAGAAAGGCACGTTTAGGGATTGTAGTCGGGATTGGTAGGGGGAGAGGAGGGCGTTGACGTCTTTGGAGGTCTTTCCTGGGGCGAAGAGGGGTTGGACGGTGAAAATGGCGTCTTTGCCGTTCGCGTTGGGGGTTAGTTGAATTTTGACGTACGTTCCGTTGTCAGCGTTGACGGTGAATCGATCCACAAATGCCCTGACCGCGTCCCAGAATCTATCTACGCTGACTTTCGTGCTATCAATTGACCACGATGCTGCTGTGACCGTCGTTTCCTTGAAGGCTTTGACTGTCACTGATGTCACAACGCCGAATGTTCCCCCGCCTCCTCCACGAAGGGCCCAGAAAAGGTCCGGATTGCTGGTGGAGTTGGCGGTGACGAATTCGCCAATGGGCGTCACGATCTCGAAGCCCAGGACTTGGTCAGCCGCGAGGCCGTAGGAAGAACTGAGTGGCGAGTATCCACCACCCTGTATGTATCCGCCCATAATTCCCACGGTCTACCATCGACATCAGTAAACCCTCTCGGCAAGATTCCAAAACACATACCTGTGCATCACTACCCACTACCATAACCCCACGATCACTAGCTGCCTTATACAATTCAGACACCTGAACGCCCGCGCCAGCCTTGAACGCCGGACCCTTATACCCCGACCCATCCACATAACTCTCAATATACTGTATATCCTTCAACCCATGCGTCCAGATACTCAGCGCCCCGAGACCCGCGCTCTTCCCCGTGTAATCATGCCCCGTATTCTTCACGACAAGCCTAACACCATCATTACGCGCGAAATTGATCCCAAGCTGTATATCCAGCACCGTGCTCGCCTTGACTACATACGACGGATACCCACCTAGCGTGCAACCCCCGCTGTCGTAAATCGCCGGCGGAGTACACGTCAAACCCTGGTATATCGGCGCGAACACCTCCGTCGGGTCGTCAACGTGTGTGGACCAGTCCTGGTAGCCCTTTGTGAGCTGCTGGCACTTTGCGTCGTCGGTGACGTTGGTGCCCGGATAGCAGACTGCGGATTGGGGGACGGTTTTTATGAGGGCGGTTGGGGTGCTGAGTTGCTTGGAGAGTTTGGTCCAGGCTTTTTCGGAGGGCCATTTGCCGTCGTCGGGGGCGTAGCGGCAGCGTACTACTGCGGCTTTGGATTCGATGGTCTGGTTGCCGAAGGCGAAGAGGGCGGCGTCTTCGGCGGGGAGGGTGTCGATGTATTCTCGAGTCAATTGTATCTTTTCGAATGGGAAGAGTGTGCTGGCGTGTGAGGGCGCCAACAGCAGTGCTGTGGCGAAGAGTAAGGAGATGGAGATCATGTTGACGGCTTCGCAATGTGGTAATGCAGTATCGATAGTCAGGTTCGCTATTACTCTTGTAGAGATCGATCAAGGAAATGCCAAACTATGAACAAGCATTCTCGTAGCATGTCTCAAGTCCTTAGCATCGTGCAGTAAAGTCCATGATGCGCACGTTTCCACAGCATTGCGGACGAAGCGTCTTTTTAGAGATCGTATCGCCACATGGAAACGATCGATCTTCCAAAATTTTCCTTCCGACCATTTGACACTCTCTGACGCGGCTTCCTTATTGCCAACATTAAAGTCGAATTTGCGTCCAAATGAATCGGAGCCGGGATCGAGATCCGCAAGCAAACAAATTTAATGAGCAGGTCACAGCTGGTAAGGGACGAAAAAGGTTCTAGTGTCTCCAGACGCAAGGGACCGGGTATAAGGGTATTTACAATTGTTCGTCATATTGCCTCTTTATCCTCCGATCGTCTGGGGTAATAGTGTCTAGATTGAGCGGAAAGAAATATCGACTTGTAAGGACTCGCTCGAGATCTGTCATAGATTATGGTGCCATTGCTGCGATGCGGATCGATGGCCGAATGTGCGGTAACATTACATGTAGCATCTCTTCATCGTCATGTAATTGTAGGGGTTACAACGTGTCCGTATTCTAATCGCCTGATTTAATATGCGGCAGATTGGCTGCGTCGTTGATGCGATTGGCCCGGTCAGTTGATCGTTACGGATAGAACATCATATGGAGGGAAGTGCGGCGACTGATCTTCAAAACAAGCTTCCCGCAGAGCCTACTAATAGGCCTCTGAAGGCTTGTATTTGCACATGGGAAGAAGCAATGAGTCTGATCAATAGAATGGAAGATGCCGTTCACACAAGTATGCGCAGATCTCCGCACGGACCAAAGGCAATGGTTCACGAACCAGAGCAGACTGAGCAATGCATGGCTGCCCGCCGAGGCTACGTAATATCTAATGTTTACCTTGGACGCTGCATCTCCGTATGTCACAGTCGCTTTGGACAGACATTTGCTGCTGCAGGTTTTGCGAACTGAGGATGTGACGTTCGTTCATCTCCATCAGATGCCTGTAAAAGGAAGGGAAACCAACGAACAGGACACCATGCAATATGTCTCTTTCTATCGTAAGGGTCTATTCGATGCATGTCCCGTCGTATCCCTCTACGCCACGCTTTCACAACGCGGGGCGCAACTCCGTCGTATCTGGAAGCGAAGTTCTTATGCAGTCATGCAAACGAACTCGAGGTAGTACATATGTCGAACGCCATCAGCAATTTTACCGAACACCTAGGGGACCGTATGCCTTGATTTCTATTTTCGTACAATTCAGCAAGTTCGAACAACATGGTCAGAGATCATTAGGAATGTAGCTCTTGTGTTGTTTGGTTGACGTATTTACTTGTATTTAAAGTACATTCATTAGTCCGAAAAAAGCTACGATGAAGATTATCGAAAAACGTAAAAGAAACTGAATGTTCGCTCCTTACTCCTGAACGCCACCCAGATATTAGTTTGAACACCCAAAGCAATGCCACAGTCAGAAAAGGTTTCTTCTCCGCTGTCTCCTTGCTACGATGTAGTTATCAACCACGTGCGTGGCTTCTCCATTCCCACGTGAAGGCTGAGACACACCCCCCACCGCCCAGCACGGGCTCCGGAGGGACGCTTGACCATGATCCTCGGTAACCCGAACTAGTGACTCGGAGCCAGATGTACCTCCGTAGCTCCACCTCACGACATCATATCATCCACTACAAGAAACCTCAAGATTCCCTTTTCTCTTTTCCCTTTCCACGATACCCAAACCCGAACAATTGGAACCTCCCTTTAGTTCTCTCTTCCCTCCTTTCAATTCGTCTGATTTACTACCATACCTCCAACTGCAAAGTTCCAGTTCAGCATCCAACCTCACGCCTACAATTCCTCCCCAGGAACACACACACACACACACATCCTCCTCACATACGCAACATCCAAACAACCTCAAAAATGTCGAAACTATCCCCCGCCCTCAAAACCCTCATAAACGCGCCGCACGCCCGCCCAGGCCCCCTCCCCGCGCCCCCCAACATCCGCGCCATCTACGCCCAAATCGCCGCCGAAGCGTCCTCGCACTCCCTCCACCGCCCCTCCTGGCTCGCCCTCACCACCGCGGCGACCATGACAATGAACAGCCCAGACTCAATGGCCGCCCTCTTCTCCGTCGCCGCAGGCGATCCCTCCATACGCTCCGACCGCGAAAGAGCCGCCATCGCAGAATTCATGCGGGAAGTCGGCCTCAAATGCATCGGGTTCAACGGTGTGCCGCGGACTATCAACAACCTAAACGCCTTCCGCGCCTCGCTGCCGCCCTCCATCGTCCCATTACTGTCGACAACGCCGACGCGACATCTCACGCCCGGGACGATACCGAGTGTGACGGCGAGGGGGAACAAGCTCTGGGAGTCTGTGTACAGGCCGCTGTCACGGAAGCTCGAGGCGAAGCTCGCGGACGCGCATCCCGATTTGCCGGTTTTTATCATTGAGGGGGAGTATGGGGCGCTGTTTTCGGATCCGGAGAGGCGGACGGGTGCGAATGTGGGGAGAGTGACGACGAGTATTGTTGCGATTGCGTGTCTGAGGGCGCAGCAGGGGGTCGGGCCGCAGGTGCTGAGCCATGTTTTTGGACTACGGAAGGCGTGGGAGGATGGGTCGTGGGAGGGGGAAAGGGAGGCGGGGACTAGGGAGGGGGTGGAGTGGTTGGTGGGCGATGAGGGGTGTGGGTGGGTGTTGGAGAAGGTGGATCAGGTTGTTGGGGCGTTGAGTGCTGGTGCTGCCGGAGGGGAGGGGGCGTCGTCGTTTGCGGGGGGGATTGTGAGGGCGAAGTTGTAGGGTTGGGGAGAGATGGGGTTTGTATGTAGATAGGATTGTATGGGAGGGCGTGTTGTAGATACTCGAGATTTCGCGAATTTATATATATCAAAGTTCAAATCGCAGCCTCAACGACACTACCAACTCACCGCATCGACCCTTCCACAACATTTAACAAACCATCTCACAATAAAGAATCAAACACTCACACAAATCACAAAAACCATCTCAACCGGGGGGAAATTCGTTATAATTAGCTGTCCTATCCTATCCCATCCTCTCCCATCCCTCAAATATCCACCCGCTCCCCTTCCCCCGTAATTCCCCATCGCCCAGCGAGGAGAGCCAATCCACCTCTCTCTCTCTCCGTTTACACCCCCCCGAATAACGAAAGAAACCTCCAAATGAAAAACTGATCCCTCGACAATTACGGCCTCCTCCCAACTGACCACACTCATCTCTCCACCGAACGGACGGAAAAAAGGACCATCATAATCTCGTGACGTGTTCGTTTAATGCTCGTAGAAGACGATTAAAAACAAGTGGGGGTGTATAGAGTAATTGTGGTGGTGGTGGTGGTGTGTTTTTTCTGCTGCGGGAATAGAAGGGGCGAGTAAAGGGCTATGATATGATGGGTAATGCTCCCCGATGAAGAAGTGGAAAGCCAACAATCCTTTAAACTCCGAGGGGAACAATGAAAAGGGAGATAGAAAGGTATCTTCCTGAGAAATGCATGCTCCTTGGGTGGGTGTCTGTACCGTACCGACAGTGAGGTGAAAACTCCGGGATTCTCCATGCAAATGCAGCGTGTGCGCGAGCGACGTCTGTAGTTCGCGTCGTGCAGAGAGATGACGGGAATGTCTACATGCTTCCATGATATGCAGAGGAATTAGGTGACTCAGAAGATCTCTGAATCGAGACTGCTGCGGTAGCTCTTCAAACTCTCGTTGTCGTAATCTGAATCGAAAAGTCAGTAATCATCGCCAAATAGAACGGAAGAAGGAAGAATGCAGCAGCAGAAGGAGCAACGCTGGGTCAGCATCCTTACCTGACCGGCAAGTACCATCGGCCATTGTCCAAGGTCCTTTCGGCGGGGGAAACGGGCAAAACAGATTACATACCAGCGACGGGCTTCCTGCGGATCACAGTATCGGAGTGCTGAAGTTGGGCCTGGCCACTCAGACCTTGCTGTCCACTGGGGCTGCGGCTTCCCATAGGCCTTGGGCCGGTGATCTTGCGCTGTGGGCTCATGGCCGATGCGGGATTGAGACCCATGCTGTTGGGCCTGGGAGAGGGGCTAGGAGAGTACTGTATCTAGAATTAGTTCTTGAACGATGAAATGTATAAGGGTTGACTAACATGATGCCCGGTATCAGTCTCGAGGCTGTAACGGACCTCCTGGATTGGCGCCAATGGAGTCAATGCGCCTGGACTACCATTGCCGTAGTCCGTCTGAGCACTGTACATCTGTCTGGTCTGGCCATGACCGGCAAGTGGTTGCTGGGGAATCAAAGGTCCATCGTCGCGGATCTTTGGGGGACGTGCTGGTGCCGCCTGATCAGATGCCGAATGCTGGCTGTAACCACCTTCAGACGAGATGGGAGAGAGGTTGCCGGCTGGAGCACCGCCAGACAGACGGTTGCGGGCGAGTGCGGGATTGCTGCCCCACTGGTCGAAAGAGTCAGGCGAGCGGACCGGGTTGGGGTCGTAGATCTGAGCCTGAGACTCGAGATGGTTCTGGTGGCGACCTGTTGGACCTTGGCGCGGTTGAGGGTGCTGTAGGTTCAACGAGTTGCGGTGCGCCTGATACTTGGGGTCATCGAGGACATATTGAGGCTCCTCCTCTGGGATGAGAGGGGATGCAGACCGGATGGAGCGCTGTTCATCACGAGCGAGAGAGACGTTTGACCGCAGGCGATCGTCCTCCTGGACCTCGTACTGGTCTTCAGGGTAGAAGGCCATGTTGATTTGCGAGCCAGAACGGGAGGCGCTCGAGTACGGACGCTGCTCGTTAGAACCACCGCTGTTACGAGGAAGGCTCTCGGGATTGGTAGACGCGGTAGTCTTGGACCAACGGGAGATCTTGGGAATGCCAAAGATCGATGAGTTGTTCGATTTGTGCTTGCGTTTGGGCGTGTTCTCCAGGCTGGCGGAGTCGCGGTAAGCCCTTGCTGCCTGGGGAGACGCATCCATGCTCATCGAGTTGTTGCGGCGAGCTTCCTGTGTGGGTGTTGTCATACGCTCCGTGTTCTCGTATGGCTCGTCATGCTCGGCGTATTCCTCATCGTCCTCCTCGACTGTGCTGATGCGATGGGGCTGGTGGACTTCGAAGCCCTGGGACATGTCCTGAATCCGGCGCAAGGACGGGTTGGACACGTAGGTAGACTGGTCTGGCGAAGAAGCAGTGCCAGCCGTGCCAGCACGGCCCTCGGGCTCATAGCCTGGATCGCCGCTCGCCCTGAGGTTCTCATACGAGTTGAGGCTCTGGGAAGTGGCCTGCTGAGCTAGCGTCAGTTGGTGCGCATGCTTCAGGCCTTCGACTTCGCCCAAGAGCTGGACAAGCATCTTCTCGATGTTCTTGATGTCATTGTCGCCCTTCATACCCAGTCCCTTGATGGCGCGCTTGAACACACTCTTCTTCTTCTGTTCCACGTCGTTAATATCCTCTGTAGATGAACGGGGAACACGGGGTGAGCCGAGAGGTTGTGGGCGAGGTCCACCCAGGATTCGCTGTTCCGTCAGGTCGGCTCTCTTGTCGTTTTGGTTCATGATCATCGTATCCTGAGTCTTAATAAACTGCTTGACCTCCTCGAGCTGGTTTCGCATCTCTGCTGCACTGCGAACTAAAGTGACGAGAATCTCGGTGTCGCGGGCATTGCGCTGTGCATCGCGGACGGTCAAGTGGTCCATGAGAGCTACGACATCCTTGGACTGGATGTTATCCAAGCCCTTGCCGGTAGAAGCATCGTAGAGAGGCGACGACATGCCATGGGAGTTGCCGCTCAAGTGACGGGCATGCTTTCCACCTGGAGCGAACAGCCCAGCATCTCCGAGGCTATCCGCGTCGAAATCCCCAAGACCATCGTCATCGAACAGCTTGGAGCGATCGCGCAGCCGTGGATCAGGCGTGATGCCTCCAGGTTGGTTAGCAGATGAATAACCCTCGTCTTTCCACATGGGGCTCCTTGTGGGCGTACGGTCCCCTTGTCCGTAGTACGGCTGTGGCGCATATGACTGCTCACCTAGATAGTCTTGATCATACTCGTCTTGGTACTGGTCGTCTCGAAGAGATGGGGACTGGTTCCGCTTGCCAGCAGCAGCAAGCCCAAGCGCCGCGGCGCCTGCGCCTGCACCCAATGCAGCCGCCTTACCGTATGAGTGTTTGGAAGGCGTTGCTTCACGGTCAAGTTGATCGAACGACTCCTGGCTGCGGCCCTGGTATGTGCCCGGCCCGACGGGTCCCTTGACGATCGACGGATTGGTCACGATGTCGGACTCGTCATCGACGCCGAAGCCGATCTCTGGCATCATCTCGTCCTGCGTTGGGAAGGCGCTTGCGCCCATCTTAGGTGCTTCATAGCTAGATCGTGCAAGACTCTGTCGGGGGGAGTTGGCGGCAGCGTTGTTCGCCGCCAGCACTTGACCCTGCTCGCGGATTGCCGCCCACCGCTCTTTGCTGGATTGCTCCTGCTCTCTGGCGAGCTCCTGCTCTCTGGCGATGTGCTCTTCATAAGGATCCTCGTAAGCAGCAGTAACATTCGACAGCCCGCTCTTCTTGATAGGGCTGGCCATCGAGGACCGGACACTGATGCTAGATGGCCCCAGGAGGGACGCAACAGCCGACTCCACTGCGAGTGGTGTGTGGACGTATTCTGGGTTGGAGCCAACTTTGCGGATCTCTTGTGTGAGGATTACTTCTTTGCCATCCCGGCTATCGAGGTGTTGACCTTCCGCGCTGTCATCTGTGTAGTTCGACATGTGCTTGTAACCGATCGCAGGTGAACCCTGTGAGCTGTTATCAATCTCTCTCCTTAGGGCATCATTCTGCTCGTGGCCCTGCTCGAAAAACTCATCTGCATCTCCGGGCGTTTTTGGAGAACCGAGGATCTGGCTTCCACGCTCCAGGTTTACACCTTGTGGGCGCTTCCGTGTACGAGCCACCTTGGTGCTTGGTGTCGATTCGAATGATGCTATGGAAGCATTGGAGGCTTCGTGGCGAATGTTACGGCCAATGGATGAAGTCGAATTAGCACTATGTATGGAGCGGAGACGTGGCGAGCCGGTCGTTATCTCCTCCCTGTAGCTAGCCTCACTCTGGATGGGACTGAGAGCACGGGTGGGTGATTGATCCGCAATCTCATATTGGGAAACCTGAGGCTGAGTGCTCTCTAACGCGCGAGCTTTGGCGGCGGCAGCAGCAGAGAGACCAGCGGAAGACGGATCCTTTGTGCGCGACGATTGGCTGCGGTCGCTCTTGGGTGTCTGACCGGTGACGTCTCCATGAGATTTGTTGCTGTGGGACATTCCGAGACCTCGAGAGAGGGAGATTGGCGTCCTGTTGGGAGTACGAGGTGAAGGAGATGCGTATCCCCGACGAACGTCTCGGAGAGGCGTCTCCATGCCTGTGTCCCTGGAGGAACTAGAGCTTGGGCGCTCGCGAGTCTCTGTGGCAGCAGACAGGATCGAATCCCGGGTCATCTCAGAGCCCTGCAGCTCGCTCTGGAGGATCGGGAGCGGAGGGACTCTGAGTTCATCCTCATTGAGGCTCCCAGATATGCTTGCGGTGCGGCTTCGACTGCTTCGACTATGGCTATGGCGGCGCCTTCGCTCCTTCTTCTCCATCTTGGACTCGCGAGAATCGTGGTGGCGGAGAGCGGCAGCCGTCAATCCAGCAGCGCCCAAGCCGATGAGGGCAGCGTCCCTTGCCGACTGTCCATCCTTATCCCTGCTCTTCTTATGGCGGACTCTCTCGCCTTCTCTCGTGGATTCTGCGTAGCTGCGGTCGGACGTAGAGCCTCTGCTCGATCGGCGTTCTCGGCGGCTAGAGCCTGTAGAGAGTACTGTGCCCGGGTCGTCTCCGTCTCGATTGAGTACTAATTTCGGTTTGTTACCGTGCATGTGCGGGGCACTTGATGATTTGGAGACTCGTCGCCGCAAGGTATCTCGTGGGCTTGCTGGGTCGACAGTCTCGTACTTGCTGGGCGAGGACGTTGAATCGAATTTGTTGTAATTCTTCTGTGTGCGCTGCTCTTCCTTGAGCGCATTGAGCTCTGGTAGGATGAGGCGTTTGATTGCGTCCTCAACCGTTGCGAGCAGCTTTGGGTTGTTAATGGAGGAGGAGGTGCCAGACAATGCGGATCGGTTGGACATATCGCCGGACCGTCGATTGACGTTGGAAGACAGCAGGCTGGAGTCGGTCCCACTGATGCCGCTCAATTCTTCGTCGCGGAGCGTCTTGCTTCTGTGCCTCGATTTCCTGCTCGCAGAGAGCTCCTCTCGGCTGGATTTGGTGGCTGAAGTCTTGCTGGAGCCGGCCTCGACGGGCTTCTGCTGCAATTTCTCCATGACACGCTGCGTGATGCGCTCTTTGCTCAGGCTTCTGCTCCGTTGGCGCGTCGGTGCCTTTAATGTGTCTGAGGGGGCGATTTCGCTGAACACCTCTTCTCTCTCCAGACTCCTGCTTCTGCGCCGTCCGGGAGACATGATTACGGGGTTTCCTTCCAGCATGCTATCAGCTGGCATGGATGAGATATCGGACATTGGGGGGATGTATCGTCCACGAGCGCTGCCGTCGGAAATGTCGCTGGCGTTGTCGTCCAGCAGGTCAAGTTGGAGTGGCGCAGGTGGCAGAAACGAGACGTTCGAGTCCTCGGAATAGAATGCCTCGCTGGTCGGTCGAGCGACACGGGAGTTGGCGCCGAAGGATATGCGGCGGGAGTAAGATGGCCTCCTGGTGTGCCGAGCCGTCTGGGAGAAATGGACGTTGTCGTTGGAGGCCTGGCTTTTGCTGCGCGAGGATGGAGTGACGCGCACTCGAACGCTTGGGCGAGAGCTAACGTGTGAGCCTTCGGCCTTGCCGCCTTCGAAATACTCGATCAGCAAGCTGGTCTGGCTAAATCTCTTGTGTAGGCCGCTCTTTCTAACGGTGTTGATGGTGATGGGGGTTCCGTCTTCGGGAATACTGTAGGTTGATTTATCGGTGCGTGCTGAGACGTCCGTGGCGAGGTCGTCTCGGAGGTGCGTTTCGTTATCGGTAGAACTAAGATCAGTGGGTGCAGGTAGTGGAAGGTTAAAGCCCATCGTGAATCCCGAAAGATTCTAGAAGGCGGGTTGGTTGAAGGAAGACATGAGGTGCAGCTGCTGAATGATTTTGAGACTAGATGGTAGCGAAGAATGCATGTATTGTCCGATCGAACCGGGCTATGGGGGAGCTCAGGTGGTGGTACGAAGGGTGGAGGGTGGAGGGTGGTTGTTTCGGTTTGCGCTACCGCAGTGCTTTGCGCAAGGACAGCGGAGCAGAGGGCAGAGTTGAAGCCGGTCGGGCTGGGATTGGAAAACGGAAGTTCTGATTTGGACGGGCAATCGATTCAGCGCATCGTCGCAGTAAAGGAAAGATGCTATCGTCTGGTATCTAGAAACCTTTTTGGAAGCCCTGATCCGGGATCGAAAAAGATTTTGGCCGGTCTGGCCTGACCTGACGGAGAGGCGGCGGAGCTGAGGTGGCAGTCAGGAACCCGAAGCGAGCGAGCGAGGGTGACGAGAAGGAGACAACAACGAGGCAGAGAAGGTTGAGAAACTCACAGTGATGGAGCGCACTCTCGAAGTGGCACCGCACTCAGATAGGAAACGAATGCAGAAAGATAACAATGGCTCGAGGTGAGCTCTGGAGGAGAGAGAGGAGGGTTGAGGTGGTGATGGTGGGTGGGAGAGTTGGTGGGTAGTGAGAGAGGGAAGAGGTGAGGTCAAGACAAGGCAAGACAAGGCAGGCAGTCGGGTCGGTTAGACTGGAGGACTGACTGGTACCCTCGTAGGCAGTCCGGAAAGTAGGTAGGTAGGTAGGTAGGGTAGACAGGCAAGCAAGCAAATCACAAGCAACCGACGAGTAGAGAAGTCAAGCACAGGCGCAGGGCTCAAGAAGCAGGCTGGTCAAGTAGCCTCATAGCCTTCATCGTCTCGTCACTCTCATAGGGTACGAGTAGTTACTAGTTAGCCTCGACTGTGGAGGATGGACTCATGGACAATTACAAGTCACTAACGGTAACCCTGTCAACCACCTGGCGCCGCTTAACCAATCCTGGTATTTCCCATATTCATCTTCCATCTTCATCTTCATCTTCATATCGTCCTTCTCCTCTATGGAATACATCATACATAGTACGGAATATGTGCGTTGTATGACTCTCCCTAACCACCCCCAAAAGGACAAGACAAATCACAAACCACCCTCTCCTAGCGCTCCAACGTTCGTACCACGCCATCCCACCCATCCAATGCCCAAACGCAACGAGTGTGCAATACATAGGCGTATGCGGCGCTACGAGAAAACAGACCCTACGTCTGCGCCTTCTCATAGGGCGCAGAATAGACTAATTCTATTTTTTTCTTCACGACTTTTTTCCACATACCAGCCTTCCCAATTATTCTAGTACCACGCAGAGAGAGTGTGTGTTCTTCCCACGCGCGTCCTGTGCGACCATGGGCTGCATAGACGAACCTCGTGGGCAGCAACAGCGAGGGAGGAGATACATACGTGCATGAGGAATGCAGAGGTGTTTGTTTCAGAGTGTAAGGATGGTAATATGATACTCGTAGTATGGTCCTTCTGCCCTTCCAGTGTGCCCTGTACAGTGAGATATTCCTGTAACTAATGTGATGTGACGGTGCGGCTGAGGGAGATGGAGATGCAAATGCAAGAGAATGGGTGTGGCTGGCAAACGCCTCCTCCTCCTCCTCCATGTCCATGTCCCTCCCCGCCAACCACCACAATATACCAGACACGAACCAACCAACCAACCAACCAACCAACCACCAACCACCTGCATATTCTCCCATTCCCGTGCCCCAAAGTCCGACAATCCCACCTACTCACTTCACCTCTCCATACGCACTCTCATGTACACCCATAGAATACCTCACATCACCACCTACCCACCTATTCAAATAATCAAAAAGTGCCTACTAGTCTATCCAACGCACCGACAAATACAAACAAACAAAAACAAAACCCCCCCAAAAAAATCCAATAGTAGTTTAACACCAGCCCAGTTAGGTTTCCTGTTTTCTGGTTCGCTCGACAACCACCGGACCCGGCCCGCCCGCCGCCCGCGCCCTAGTCGTTATCTCCTTCGGGACTAGCCCGGCCTACCAGTTTCTCGGCGGGGGAGCGAGACGAGGGAGTGGAGTGCCAGCGCATCGCATCGTCCGTCGAGGGGAGGACGGGACGGGTACGGGGGCGGAATTGGAGGATTCGGGGGATGTGTGTGACTTGAATTAGGGATTTACTCGAGAGATTCTTCAGCCTTGTGCGTATTTTTGTGTGGGATGGAGGGATTGGAAGGGAAATGAGTATGTGAGTGTGTGTGTGTGTGTGAGGTGAATCAATATCTCTATGGAAAAGATGGATAATTATGACAGGTCACTTTTATGTACGTATGTACTCGCACTCGCATATATGCACATACATGTGCATACATATCTAGGTTCGCATAACATTACCTGCGTGCCTACTGTGTAGATCACATCTTTTCCAATCCTGCCACGCAATGACATGTAATAGCATCCCAAATATCAATCCAATAAATCAATATAAAAAAATATAAGACATATCTACTCTGTGTTCCGTATCTTCAGAACCTAAACAAACCCACCCACCGCTCCCACACTATCACACATTATCCGAATTTCGAGTATCGCCCTCTTAGCGTCATCCTATCTGACGAATGGGGTCTCGAGATCAAGGTATGATGAAAGATACGTACGGCCGGACGTTGTGCGTTGTCGTCGATAGTGAGCGAACTGTGGGGATGCCGTGAGGTGTTGTTGTTGTGTGATTGTCCTGCGTGAAGGTTTGGGTCGTGAGTGGTTGGGGGACTGTTGAAGGGTTTGTGGGTTATTGCGTTGACATATGGAATTGGGAGTAGTCTTCGAGGAGGGAGGTGGTTATTGGTGTCTTTGTTGGGGGCAATGATGCGGGAGGTACTGGAGGTACTTGGAGTTGTGACGTATATGGGTGAGTGTGGAGTTGTGAATTAGGAAGTTTGTATTGGATAACTTGAAGGATGTGTTTGATAGATGTGAACGACGATCACGTTTGGTCATCACAGAACTCTGTACACTCCCACGTTATTAATTTAGCAAAACACTTATTCAAATCATCGTAATCCAGTTCCCGTCAAGCAACGAGACCTGCCCTCCCACCCGGAACATCTGTCTGTCTATAACTCGCATGTCCCCGTAGAAACTACAACGCACGACAATGGATGATCAATGACCAATGATGATGACAACTTTTCCCCTCCTTCATACGTGAGAAAACGAATATTGTATCAAACTCCCTTCAAAAATGATAAAACGCCGAAAACCCGTGCTGTTGGATGAATTGCCTGACAGACTATACATGTTCTGATATCTCGCTCGCTCAGTTTACCGTCTGTTCGGCTTCATCGGCCGCCTGCCCTGCGAAGGCTGGCTTCCGTATGCTCTCCGGCCCTCGGGCTTCTTGTCCCTGCTGAGGCTGGCGCCGAGGTTGATGTCTATCCTTGGTGGTCTGGGCGAAGAGTCAGTCAGGCGGGTGTTTTGAGTAGCGGGAGACTAGATACGTACGTTGAGAAGCCGAAGGATTTGGCTACCTTGACGAGGTCGAGCTTGTGCACGTCGTAGATGGTTCGCAGGCTGTGCGATGCATAGGCTTGCAGGTAGGAGCGGTAGGCGTCCTTGGCGGATTTGTTCAACTGTGGCGGGTGTTGTTAGTTGTGTTCGATCTAAGATTTGAGGATAGGGTACTTACGTAGTAGTTCTTCGCGATGAGGTTCTCCAACTGGCTCTGGATGCTATGAGATTGTTAGTGAAGAGTTCTGGAGCAAGAGTATGGGTTACGTACTTCAAGATCTTGTTGGCCGGAAGCTCGAACTCGACGAGAGGGACCCTCGCTTCTTTGAGCATCTTCAAGAAGCCGACCTCGCTGGGCAACAAGAACATGAGACTTCGTCCCTTGCCGTCCACGCCACGAGCAGTTCGTCCCACCCTGTGGAGGTAAGAGCGCGGGTCATCTGGAGGATCGTACTGTAGCACCCAGTCGACGTCTGGGATGTCGAGTCCTATACGAAAGTCAATATATGCTCCTTTTGATGTAATAGAAAACCTCTGCTATTGACATACCTCGTGCAGCAACGTCAGTGCACACCAAAATACCACTCTTTGCGTTGCAAAACTCGAAGAAAGTTGATGTTCGAGCTTGCTGCTTCATCTTTCCATGCAGCGCGAGAACTGGGAGATCAATGTAGTTCAACAGCTCGGAATAGTACGACACGGCGGCGCAACTCGAAAGGAAGCAGACGACCTTCTTCTTCTGATGTCTCCGCAGGAAGGAGAAGAGCAAACGGAATCGGGAGTCCGAATCGCAGAGAACGTAACCCTGCTCGAGTCCCTCCACGGTACTGTGCGACTTCTGCTGATCGACGTTGATGTAAAGCGGACCGGGGCGCAACGAGATGCGTGCAAGATCAGTGACCTTGGTCGTCTGTGTGGCGCTGAAAAGCATGGTCTGGCGTTCCTCGGATGGCAAGATCTTGATAATGCTCCTCATTTCGTCCTCGAATCCAACCTCCAAGATTCTGTCTGCCTCGTCGATGATCAAAGCCTTCAAGTTCTTGAAGACGAAGCCCTCGGTGTTGTGCAAGTGATCGAGGAGACGCCCGGGGGTTGCGATCAGCAGGTTCACACCCTTTGCGAGCTTCTCTGCCTCGGCCCTGCGGTTTGCACCTCCAATGCAGATTCCAAATGTTTGAGACTGGTGGTTCTCCATCAACTCGCGGGCGACACCGAAGATCTGGAGTGCGAGTTCTCGGGTGGGGGAAACGACGATAACACCGGTACCGTTACGCGGCTTGAATCGCATCGCAGAAAGCATCCTGCAAACGTTAACTTTAGACACTTAAAAGACTCCGCTCGAATACTTACTCAATAGCGGGGATCAAGAAAGCCAATGTCTTTCCGCTACCAGTCTTTGCCGCTCCGAGAACATCCTTGCCAGCTAATAGCGGTGGAATGGCCTTCCTCTGAATCTCTGTCATGTCCGTGAAGCCCATTTCCTTGATAGCGCTCAGGGTCCTCTCGTTCAAGTTCAACTCGGAGAACTTCGTGGGATCGTTAATCGAAGGCACCGACGTGGTTGTAGGGAGATCAATCGGAGGCTCTCCAGCATCCTCTTCGTTATCTTCGGCGCTATTCTCTTCAGCGACCTTAGCAACATTCGCCTCTGCCGCAATCTTCTTCAACTCCTCATTGAGTTCCTCCTCGTTCTCCTCCTCATCCTCTCCAGCCTCCTGAACGTCGTCGACGACATCTGCGACCTCAGCCTCATCGACCTTCTTTGTCCGCTTCCTGGGCTTCTCAACAGCGCCGTTGCTGGGAGCAGCGACAGCAACGGACTCCTCATCTTTCTTGCTGCCGGATTTGTGCTTGCGCTTGCGCTTCTTGTTCTCGATATCGTGGGACGCCATGTTTGCAGTGGAAGAAGAAAGTGTTGGTGTAAGGTTTGTTGAGTTGTGTAAATCCAACGAAACGGCGCTCACATTCATTCGCGAAATTCTGCGACCGACAAGAAAAAAGTTCGAGTGGAGCTACGGGTCCGGCGCGCTAGCCATGTTGGGATTAACGACATCCCCGCGTCATGCTTCGCATGTTCCGATATCCAAAACCGAGATATACGACTGACTTTCGAGGACGTTTGATATTGCATGGGTTGCGATTGGGCTGGGCTCTACGAGCTCATGGATTGTCGCTCACAGTTCATTCAGAGCCTTCCTACAACTTTTTGTCGCTCTGGTTTCAACACGCAAGGCGTCCAAGTAGAGACCCGCATATGCAAGAAATGCATTACCAAGCAATGCAACACTTCATATGCGATTATATGTATTTAAAAGGCCGTTGCCTTACCAGCATACACCTGTATATCACCTAGATACATCCATTGCTATAATCTACAATCAATCCAAACACCCATCATCCAACACCCAACCATCTCTAACATCACTTCACCATCCCAATGTCCCCCAAAATTCTCATGTACTGTACCACCCCCTCCAACCCACCACCCCCTTGACACTCCCAACCTGACATTTCACAACCAGAACAGGCGGCACAGGCTACATCGGCGGCTCCGTGCTGCACACGCTCGCGACCGCACACCCGGAATGGTCCATCACTGCGCTCCTGCGCACCGAGCCCTCGGACTTCTCGTCGAAGTACCCGGGCGTCAGGGTCGTGAGGGGGACGTATGATGATGCCGACGTTCTTGCCCGGGAGGCGGCGGGTGCGGATGTCGTTGTTCGTATGTGATACTCTTTCTTTTCTTGCTTGATGGATGGGGTAGTGGTGGGGGTGGGGGACTTTATATGGCGACGATGAGGGCGAATGGTTGATGTATTGGTGTACATGTTGAATGATTGATTGGTAATTTCTAACAACCTCGATCTGGGATACATAGACAACGGCAATTCAGACCACCTGCCCTCCCTCCAAGCCCTCCTCGCAGGGCTTCTACGACAACCGCGGGAAAAGCCAGGCGTCCTGATACACCTCTCCGGCACGGGCATCGTATCTGACTTCCTCTCTGCGACTCACCTCGGCATTTCGAACCCAAAGATATGGTCGGATATCTCGTCTCTCGACGAGATCCGCTCGCTGCCTGACATGGCGCTGCACCGTCTTACTGAGAAATTGCTGCACGAGACTGCGAAGACGGAGGGAGAGGGAGAGGGGAAAATTAGGATTGCGGTGATGTGTCCGCCGGATATATATGGGAGGGGGTTGGGGCCCGGGAAGACGAAGAGTGCGTTTGTGCCTATGTTTCTAAGGGAGGTGGGGAAGTTGGGGAGGGTGTTCTATGTTGGTGAGGGGGAGAACAGGAGGAGTTGGGTGCATGTGAATGACTTGATGAGCGTTTATCTGAGGCTCGTTGAGGAGGGCGTTAAGGAGGGGGGTGGGGTCGCTGGATGGAATGAGGAGGTAAGTTTGGTCAGATGTGGTTGGTCGTTTCATGGTTTACATTCATTGATGGGATGTGTTCTCGTGTCGACTTCGAAAGGACGTTGGGTTTTGCTGGTTACTGACGTTGCGTAGGGCTACTATTTCGCGGGTTCACAAGAGGTCTCTCACATGGAGGTTGCCAGAACTATGGGTGAGATCCTGAAGCGGCATGGTATGATTGAAAACGAAGAGCCGATTCCCATCTCTCTGGAGCAATTGGATGGGATGATTGAGCGGCACCCTATGCTTGGTCGGTACTTGTTCGCTTCCAACTCGAGAACAAAGGCGGAGCGGGCGAAGATATTGTTAGACTACAATCCTCAAGCGGCGTCGCTATTGGAAAGCATCGAGGACGACATTTTGGCGGAGATCAAGAAGGATTGAGTTGAGGTTGAAAACTTTACCATATGCTCCTCTTTGGATTTTTTAGATGTAGCTGACCGGTAGCGTTGAATTAAAGGATGTCTAAGCCTCTGCTACAATCTCGCGTATCTGTGTTATTAGCGATATTGAAGATTTGATAAAGGCCTAGACCGCAACCCATTGAGGCTCTGCATTTCGTTCAGAGGGACCATGTCCAGCTGAGACGAGGGTAGTGCAGATGGCTACCGATGTGTGTTGTTAACATTACTGTTCATCTGATCAAAAGATGCATCGAGCCGAGGCAAGCATGTACGCATCCGACGGATGGTCAACAATGGTTTGATGCGTTCTTTTGCAATGTTGAAAATGTGGCTCAACCAATCTTTGAGAAACCAGCAAAGCTGTGATTGGCTAACCCGGGAATGTGGCGTAGGGTGTTTCTGGGACGAGGTGGGACGGCGGCTGTGCATCATCGAGTGCTGTTTTGAACGGCGACGACTGAATAAGAGAAAGCGACACCTGGAGAAGAGGAGATGCACTCGAAACCCATTAAGGCGGCTTGGCGAAGGAGGGCAGTCGTCACTCAAGGTGGTTGTTGTGTGTGGTGTTCAAGGCACATACCTGGTCGACCAGGCGGGAGGTGGAGACATGATGTCGTAGCCCAAGAGACAACAAAGCGCTGTGATACGTTTCAGCGGCATAATTAACACAGCGATCCTTTTCGGTCGCACACACCGTCTCAGCATATCGCACAAGAGAGATTGCATCGAGAGAGCAGAAAGTGGAATAATAATTGTCAACACGTCGTCGTCGATTAGCACGATCACGATGCTGGACGGAACTGTAGTTAGTGAATTTTGTTCGCGCATCGAAACGATATGGCCATCAGCAGGATCAACGACGCCAACTTCTCCATTCGGGGATTGAGAGACAGAAAAGAGATCGAGGAGACGATCTTGGGAGTATTGATTGCCGCCAGGATGAGGCCAAAGGAGCGTAGTTGATAGGCCAAAGCAAAGGTGGGTAGCGTGCCCTGTCCTGTCATATCCACCCCCTGAAGGGAAGGGAAAAGGAACCGAGAGGGAACCGACCAGGACATCGATCTGTCCGAGCATGAATCTCCGAAGGGCATCCTGTCCGACCCAGAACTTGGCCCTGCAAGAGCCTATGAATATTATCAAGGTATGATGATGTTATTGTTTGAATAACACTGCTCGTACAGACAAGCGGGGAGACCGATGAGGTGGAGTGAGTTGAGGGCGAGACATATGTCGCGGTTGTTCTAATGCAGGTGTTTACAACCCCTCAGCCACCGCCAGACAACGCACGCGACGAAGAGGATAGCAGAGCAAAACCTAAAATTGAGGGTCTAGACTGACCAAATGGAGATGGAATGGGGAAGAGGAAGAGTGCGCTGCTGTTCGTGTTGCGTTGCGGACAGTGCACCCAGCTGAAGAGTGAAGTTTGGCAATGTGCCCCAAAAAGCCTGTTAGAGAGTAGTAACTTGACTTGACTCCCCAATCTCTCACCCTTGCCAAATGTAGCGTTTACAGGTCCACTAAGGACCTTAAGGGGGGGGGGCACTTGAGGGCACTTGGGAGGAGATGAGCGAGTCGAAGTGGAAGATGGCATGAGCAATGACGCATCTGATGCACCACTCCCTGTCCATTTCTGCTTGTATTCCACCATCCATGATCCACCACCCTTCCCGTTTCTACGCCTACGCCAACGCCTACATCGCCTATGTACTATGCCTACTACGCCTACGCAACCATCCAGAAAAGCCAAAGCTCCTTGTTTTTTCTCTTTTGCCCGAAATCTTATTTGACCGATTGAGGCTGCTCTTGTTTGTTGGCTGTTCTCTTGTCTCCACGTCTTTTGTAACTTTCTACTTCTCCACCTCAGGGTAGTCGTACTTGACTTGTACCTCACCCTTTCTTTTCTTTAATTAATCAATCACACACACATAATCATCACACAAGAGGAGAATCGCGAGCGTGTTTTGCCCACCATGGCGCTCATCGAGCTCCTTTTCAAGCGAGTAAGTATGCCCCACACGGCTCTCCCTCAGGTTCACATGTGTTCGCGTTGCGCGCTCGTATCGCAGTGCGTACGGGCGCATCGAACTTCACCTTTGCGACCGACCTCATATTAATATTATATCGCAGCAAGAGGGTCAACCGGGCTCAAACAGAGACACGCCCGAATCCAATTCGGCTTCCAGTCTCGTCTCTACCCTCGTACCTAACATCATCATCGCCGCCATATTCGTATCCCTCTTCTTGATCTTCCGTCGCAAGTTCAAGCGCGTCTACGCTCCTCGTACCTACGTCAACAGCTTGGGAGACCAGTACGTCTTCCGCGCAATTCGCATAAAGTCCACATGATTCTGACACTGACACAACCTCAGGCGCCAAACTCCTGCACCAAGCGATGGATTCTTTGGCTGGATCACCGATTTCCGTCGCATTCCTGACGCCTACATCCTGGACCATTCCTCCATCGATGGCTACCTCTTTGTGCGCTACTTCAAACTCATGGTCATTATCAGCTTGCTCGGCTGTCTGATCACCTGGCCAATCCTGTTCCCCATCAACGCTACTGTAAGAACGACCCCTCTCCAGATTGAATTGGTATTGTACCTAACACAATAAAGGGTGGTGCTGGCAATAAGCAACTCGACCTTCTTTCCATGAGCAATGTCAGTGATGCGCATGTCACCCGCTACTACGCCCATGCATTAGTCTCATGCGTTTTCCTAGGTGAGCCAGCTCCGTCGCTCTGACGTATTAGTCTCAAAGGCTATACACTAACCCCGCCAAGGCCTCGTCATGATCATCATTGCCCGTGAGTCGTTCTACACTGTCAACATCCGCCAGGCCTACCGACGCTCGCCATGGGGTGCCAGCCGAATCTCGTCGAGGACCATCCTCTTCACCAGCGTGCCCAAGACCATCGGCCAGAACACTCTTTTTGAGATGTTCCCCGGTGTTAAGCACGCATGGGTCGCATCCAACTGCAAGGAATTGGAGAAACTGGTCGAGGACAGGGACGACACTGCCCTGAAGCTCGAAAACGCCGAAGTCCAGCTCTCGCGTGATGCCAACCAGAACCGCCTCAAGGCTGCCAAGGGCAAGAAGGCCTACCAGGGCGAGGAGACGGAAGGCGGAGCTAGGTGGTTGAACCCCAAGGACCGCCCCACGCACAAGTTGAAGTTTCTCATCGGAAAGAAGGTTGATACCATTGAGTATGGCCGACAGCACCTCGCGGAACTGATTCCTAAGATCGAGGCGGAGCAGGACAAGCACTGGAACGGCCAGGGCGATCTGGTCGGCGGTGTCTTCTTGACCTTCGACACCCAGAAGCACGCTCAGGATGCATGGCAATTGATGCAACACAGGAAGACCAAGCCCAACTCGAAGATGCAGGCCCGCCAGCTCGGTGTGATGCCTTCGGAGGTCGTCTGGGGAAATCTTCGCATTGGTGTTCCAGAGCACTGGGCCAGATGGCTAGCTGCCACCGCCTTCGTCACTGTCACCATCATCTTCTTCGCCATCCCAGGTAAGTTCCATTTCTCCACGGAGACATAGTCAGAACAGATACTAACTCGTGCCAGTCGCCTTTGTCGGTGCCGTGTCCCAGATCAACTACCTGACAGCGCGATTCCCATGGCTTCGCTGGATCAACGAAATCCCCAGCTGGATTCTCGGTGTCGTCACTGGTCTTCTTCCCGTAGTGATGCTCGCCGTCTTGATGGCTCTTGTTCCGATAGTATTCAGAAGTGAGTTCATTCAGCATCGTGACACGCTTCACGTCCCCTCGAGTCCAACTAACGTGCCGTGCAGTTCTTGCCAAGCTCGCTGGCTGGGTCACTCGCTCCCAGATCGAATTGCAGACGCAATCGTGGTACTTTGCCTTCCAGGTCATCCAGGTCTTCCTCGTCACGACCTGCGCCGGAGCCGTGACGACCGTCATTGACAGCGTGCTCGCCAACCCAGGGTCCGTCATCAAATTGCTTTCCGAGAACCTGCCCAAGGCATCCAACTTCTACATCAACTACTTCATCCTGTTCGGTCTGTCGGCGTTCGGCGGGACGCTCCTCAACATCGGCGGCTTCGTCACCGTCGTCCTCCTCGGCCGCATCCTGCCCGGCAAGACGCCCCGCAAGGTGTTCCAGAAGCTCACCAAGTTCGCGGGCCCGGCCTGGGGCTCGGAGTTCCCCAAGTGGCTCAACTTGGGCGTCATCGCGCTCAGCTACTCGTGCATCGCACCGCTAGTGCTCGGCTTCGCCGCAGTCGGCCTCTCCCTCATCTACCTCGCCTTCCGCTACAACTTCCTCTTCACCTACGAGACGGACATCGACACTAGGGGTGCGTCCTACCAGCGGGGTCTCCAGCAGCTCACGACGGGCGTGTACCTCGCCCAGGGCTGCCTGATCGGCCTATTCGCCATCGCAGTGGCCTCCAGCCGCGCCGCCATCGGGCCCCTCGTCATCGAGGTCGTCCTTCTCGCCTGCACCATCCTCTTCCACCTCACCCTCCGCCAGTCCCTCAAGCACCACGAAGCCCGCCTCGCCTACGCCGACCCCTCCACCTCGCACGACATCCCACCCACCACTAACCTCGAAAACGGCCTCCCACAAGACGACCCCTCCGCTGAAAAGCGCGGCGTGCAACCCACGACCCCCTCCAACGTCCCCATCCCCAAACCCTCCCGCCTCCCCCTCTTCATCCAAAACATCATCAACCCGGCCCAGAACTCCGTCTCCAACCTCTCCGCCCACCTCGACCCCTTCTACCACTCCGCGCAGACGCCGCTGGACCCCGAGCTCGCCCGCCGCGCCTACTTCAATCCCGCCATCACGTCCCCGACGCCCGTCGTCTGGATCGTGCGCGACGAGATGGGCATTTCGGCCCGCGAGATCGCCGACACCAAGAAGGTGGTGCCGAGCCTCGTGATCACGGACGAACAGGCGACGTTCAACGAGAAGAACAAGGTTGAGTGGAGTGGGGTGGAGACGGGCAAGGCGAGGGAGGCCCCTGTTTATGAGGACAATGTGCTGTATTAGTCCTGTGCTTCGGACTTCCTTCCCTTCGCTCGACATGATCACTTCAGTCGATCAATTCAAATGTGGCGAGGCGAAGCGAAGCGTGCCTTCCCAGTCGTTCCTCCTTTTACTAAACCAAACCAAACCGATCGCCCATTTTTGATACCAAACAAATTTATATACCTCCTCCCCCGTCACCAGACCCCTTGACGTAGTTACCCTTACTTAATTACCAAAAAAAACCGAACTTGAGATGCTTACACGGTACACGGTTTTTACCTTGCAACACAAATAATACATACCTTAATTAATCAATCAATCGAATCAAATGAAATGAATGAATGAATGAACGATAGCCTCACTTGCACGTGATTGTACACACACACACACACACACACATGCCTACTGATGTCCAAAAGCAAACACAAAATTTCCCCCCAGATGTCCCTTGGAACCAAACAAAACGACTTCACGTAACCCCAACCCCAACCCTCCCCTGCGGCACAAAATACCAAGTCAGGGTAACTCGGGACCAATGCTTTCTGATCAGTCACCTTCACTCCCGATTGTTTTTTTTTTGGGGGGGGTCTTTTGTTGCAATGGTCATGTATGCCATGCTTTCTCATCACGGGCGTGGGGTACACTTTTCTCGAGACAATATATATATATATATCGTCGTTTCGTCTTTGTCATTATCTAACCCCCTAACACCCCTGAGAACTTTTCGTCAACCACCACAAAAACCACACCCGCCAACGTTCAGTAGGTGGGTGAGTGGGTGGGTATATGAGAGTGGAGATAGGACAGGACACACAGTTGTACGGAGTAGTAGTAGTAGAATATATTTTCATTTTCATTTCAGCCCTCACTCATATGACTCGCTCGCTCGTGTCGCGTCCCCCATCCGTCCCCGTCTTATCGAGGGTCGTTGTTAACCTATATCTCCCTTTCTGGCTCCCCACCCACTTCATTCGATACAATAGATTTGATGCATCCAGCCGAGAAGCAGTGTTCTCGCTGCCCATAATTTTGTTACTTTTCCCCTCTACCGACACTGACAAACGATGAATCTACTCGTTCCGCCCGCCCATCCAACCCTGCCGTGCGCGCATCCGACCGACCAACCTCCCTCCCTCCCTCCCATGCAAGGAAAAAGCCAAGAAAAAATCCGAGAAAATGAAATGTGAAAAATAGAAAAAACTGGTGAGGTATCATTCCCTGTTCATAAACGCCGTCCCGGTGTATATATGTATGCCGATGCCACCCACGCATCTCGCAAGAAAACGCCGGCTAACCAAAAAAAAATTTCAAAATCCCGAACTGTGGCCGCCGCCTTTTTTGGGCCCACCAATATCATGGCGCCTCGTAGGAAAACCGCCGTCGAGATGTATCTGTGGAGCCTTCCAGAGGTGATATGGGAGAGAGGAGCGTGTCTTCCGCCTCCATGAATCGTCCATCCCGAGGCGCACGAGCGCTGGGAGGCTGGAAGAAGGTATCGTTGGCATCCAGCAAGACTCCATCTAGAGGCGTGCGCGGTGAAGTTGGTGATATGCTTGGAGGCGGCATTCTTCTCCTATGCGCGTTGACAAGCGCTATGTCGTCTGCAGAGAGTGGCGGGGGTCTATGCGGCGCTTCGTCAACCACGGGCGAGACCGCTGTAGGACTGTTCGGATCGGTGCCGTTGTATATTCGCTCGCGGACCATCATCGTTTCCTTTTCCGAAAGTTGACGCCCGCCAGCCTCTTGCGTCGTAGGAATGTCGCCCTCCATTTCGAAGATTTGACGTTCTGTGTTGGCGACCTCGGCGGCTGGAATTGACGAAGGACTGGCAGCGTCAGGATCTCGCTTCTCGTCCCCAGCCAGCTCAGGTCGGATGAATTCCGCGGGCAACTCTGCCTTGGGAAACACATTTGAGCCCTCTTCCTTGTCGGTCGGGGACGATGGATCTTCATCCTGTTTCTCAGACGGCCTGGGTTTTGATACCGCTTCCGCCTGTGCAGCAGCATATTGGGCCTTCACCTCGGCCAATCTCCTCTTCTGTCGCCTCCGCCAGAAGAACCATAAGACGCCGCAAAGTACAAGCGCCAGGGCAAACCCTCCTCCTACCGCAATTCCGATGATTGCGTTGTTGCTGAGGCCAGGTTTGGGGTCCGCAATGGGCGCTCCGAACATATCTTGCGGGTACGATGGGGATATTATGGGCACGATCTGCTTGTTCTCGCCAAACACCCAGTTGCACTGGGAGATGGAGAAGTTTTGGCGCTCCCAGTCCACTATCAAGTATGCTTCCTGGAGAAACGTCCTGCCAAAAACAAACTGGTTCTCTTTCTGTGCCCGTCGTATTGGGAAGTATTTTTGCGCCTGTGTCAGTCCTCGAAAGGGCGGGGACGCCGTCAAGTCGAAGGCTGCATAGGGGAGTGTGATGTCAACCGTCGCATTGCTCATGGATTTTTGACCCAGACTAAATGTCACATTGGGATTGTCGGCGAGTAATGTCTGATGCAAAAGATCGTCCACCAAGTAGAGTTTGGTGTCGTTGTCGAATTTGAGACCGAAACTCTCTTCGAAAGCGTCGCAAATCTTTGGTGGTAACCAGATCTCGGCAACTGTTGAATCAATGTACATTGTGAATTGATCCTGTACCATTATGTTTACGTTGCTCTTGGTCGCGCTATTGACTGTGATGTCCGTCACACCGACCACAATGTCGCGTTCATTGTCGGGCGCAAACAAAAAGGTCAAGTCGTTCGGGATGAACCTAGATGCGTCGTATCCACCAAGTGTTAGACTTCCGAGCACTTCAGCGAGATCTATCGTGTTTATTAGCTCCCATCCCATGTGGTACAGGACGCCATGCCGTTCGTGCACTTACGATACTTGGACCCAGCCGTATAGCCAAACGACACGCTAGGAATGGCCTTCTGCTTGAACAGGGAAGTCATATAGCTCGCCGCCGGGTCTGTGAAGGCCGAGAAGTTTGTCGGCTTCGGATTGACGCCGATGTGTCCAAGCCAAAAGTTCTCCGTAACCAGCGTGCCGACCGTCGAGTTCTTGACCGTGGGACCATCCTCGCCAGGGAACCCCGTGCCCACCTCGTCGAAACCGTATTGCCCATTGCCGACCAGACCTAAGTTTTTCTCCGTCCACAACTGATAGAACCCCCTCTCGTCCCAGGATTCAGACTGCGTAATGTTGAAAGTGTAGCCCCGGCCTTCGTAACAGGCATCATCGGTAGTTTCCACCTCTTTTTGGGTCTTGGGATCCGTCTCGTTCACGATGCACGCGGTGGAATGGATCGCCCAGGTCTGCTGGGAGGCGGTAGAGACGAGGGCGCGCAGAAATTGAGGCGGATTCCCCACGCGGATGCCAAAGGTGGACCATGAACCATCTATGCCACCCCAGAATTGATCAGGTTCGACGGAGACGGGGCCCTGAGGAAGATCATCTTTTTCGCTTCGAGATACGATTGCGGGTGCGGGTGCGGGTGCGTGTACGTCTGTGGCTGCGTGGCAGGGCTGGAGGATGGTGGAGAAGAGGAGCAGGGCGAAAGAGAGTGAGCAGAAGAGTGAGACGGTGGAGGCCGGGGCGTAGGCACAGCGACGAGATGTGAGGCTGCGCATCGCTAGGAGGGAAGTCGCAGAAGGGCACGAGCGGCGAGCTCGACCATCACATGAGGCAATCAGAAGAGCCCTAGTGGACGCGCTGATGGCATTGTCGGTCGCGTGCGACAGCCGTAATGGGTGCGAACCAGTGTGAGGGACTAAGGAAGAAGGCGGAGGAGAGAAAGAGGAAGAGGATAGGAGGAGGAGGAGGAGGAGGAGGAACAGGAGGTAAAGGAAGAAGGCAGCAGTAGACAGGCAGGCATGGAGTTGATTAGATTAGGTTGGAAGTGGAGAGGGAGGAGAGTGGGTGGAGTGGAGTGGAGTACGAATTAGGTACGAGAACCACCACGACCACCTACGAGTACAATAGACTCGTAGAGTAACCACCTACCAAAGGTTGCTAAGCTAAGTTAACTAACTAGGTACGGTACATAGTCATCTAGGTAGTGGATAGGCCATGGGCCATGGCATGAGGCATGGGTATGGGTATGGGCATGGGTTATGGGTAACCTGTAAGGGTAAGACTACTGTGTAAGGACCCGTCAGGGTAACTCGTAAGGATGAGGGCAAAGGCAGGGACAAGCAGGGAAAAAAGATGAACAAGCAGGGAGTAGTAGTGAGGGAGGGAACATCAACAAGGGAGGGAGCCATAGAGGGAACCAGAGGGAACCATAGACGCGGACTGGGATGATCTGATGATTCTTTTGATTATTGCAGTACTCCGTATAGATGATGGGATGTGAGGGGGGGGGTGGGGGAGGGAGAATGGTCTGGTCTAGGTCGTGTCATCTAGGACGCCTGTCTGTTCCCGTCCACCCATCTATTCACTATCTATCTGTTGAACGGATTGAATGGATGATTGGATGATTGAATGAAATCTGGGGTCAAGAATTGAACCCTGCCGAGGATAGTGGACCATGTAAATGAATCCTCTTGGATAATAGTAATGTTCCGATATGGTGAACATCTACGGAGGAATGGTGAATATGAAAAAGTACATGTCAACACTGAAAGTATAAACTGTTAGTTAGTTAGGTACTCTGTAGGTACCGAACATCATTATTGTGAGTACTTTGTACTCTGTACTCTGGATACGATTGGGTAAGGGATACGGAAGAGGCACTTTCAAAATACAGGAATTGTCTGCCAGGTGGTTAGTAATGAAAAGTATACAGTAGGTACTTGTAGGTACTGTGTACTCACCCCCTTGACCCAAACTCTCGCCAATCCGACGCCTCCATCTCCTCATCCATCGCCAATCGCCCACCCATAGACCAAGCCCAAGTACTTACTCCATTGTACCGTACCAATCCGGACTAGCTCTTCCGTCCCTCCTTCTTTCTGATCTTCTTTCCTCCTTCATGGACGTTCCGTGATGCATCTTGACTCTTGAACCATCACCATTCTCTTTCATTCTCAGAATCGTATTCATCATCATCATCAACATCGAGATCAGCATCATTCGTCATCATTTAGCCACGCTTCACTCGCATCCGAACCGCCTCTCACCATCTCTCTCTTCCATTCTGCCTGCCGCCCGCCCCGAAGCCATTACCCGGACATTCTTCCGTCATATTACCTCTGCCCGCCCCCATGTACACAGTATGGATAGAATACAACCTGATGAACACACTCTGCACCTATCACTGCGACTATGTTCCTGTCCACCGCCCGTTTCAGATGCATCCATCGGCCACATGATGCGATGAATATTCTAGACTTATCTTCCATGCTTTATGATTTCCAACGTGGTCAGACTTACCGAGTCCTCCATACCCTCCCATGGCTTGCGCCTTCTCTCGATACCTCCTACTAGCAGGACATATCCACTTAAAGCAGGGCCAACGGCGCCCTTCAACATCATCACCGATTCCTTTCTCCACCTCACTTTTTCACAGTACAACACACCCCCCTCTCCACCTCCACCTCCACCTCCACCTCCACAAATTCGCATGCACCCGCTGTGGCTTGTAGGAACCCGTAACGCATCATCGCTACGGCCTACGGAGCGAGCGCCATCGTGTCTTCAACCAGACTAAATCACTTGCATCCATGTACTTGGTATGAAAGTACTGGACTGCACTGGACTGCATTGGACTGTAGTCACTGCACCTGGGTACACTAACAAACCCATCCACACATCGATGCACACCTCGCTAGACAGTCAAGACAATTAACCTGCATATGGGGACTGGAATGCCGCAGATCTGCACACATCAAAACCTTCGAGCAGCCATCCATCCGCCATCCCGGACTCTCGCCTACTCGCGCTGGGTCTAGGGAAATATTCAAAGTTTTATCTCCTACGAATGATCAGCCTCGGCTGGTGGCGTCTCACTCACTCAAGTTTTCCATCATCTTTGGACGCCTCATCTCGCAGCATGCCGTTCCTTCATGTACCTGCAACCCGTGCCATATACACAGTACTCCTTCAATGTCCATGATGACCCCACCAAAGGAGCAACCGCTCGCAAATTGCGGGCCGCTTCTCCTGCCCCATCATCTGCCGCCCTTGCAATGCATGAACAACAACCGGAATCAATAAAACAATTCAGATCCAGTGTTGGACAGAGGAGACACGAACCATTGTGTGCGTTGTGTCCCTTGAGCAGAGAATAGCTTTGTGCGTGTTTGCCTCGATCCTTTGTGGACATCTAGCTGCATGGGGGCAGAAACAATACTGTCTACAGCTCTAAGAAGATATAGCATCGTAGTACCGATACCCAGCCGTGCAACCCGACAGCCAGACAAGCTCAATATACTTCTCGGACTTGGTGCCACTTGGGCCTCGGCGCCGATGCGCATGAACACAACCTAGCTCATCCTCCTGTACCTCCTCCCGGAGCGTGGAGAGAACCATTCCGGCCTGCAAATTGCCTACCAACCTTACCAACCCCTTTCCCCCATGTCCCATATGCTTCTCAATCTTCGTTTCCCTCGTTGCGGGTCGCGTCCACTCTGCCTCATGCTTTCTAAAGTATCTACGAGCTCGTAGACACGACAAGTCCAGAGCATGTTTAGGCTTCATCTACTCGTGCTTTATGCCCTGCTTTTCTGTGTACAGGCACACGGTGCCTACCGTGGTCGCAGTAAGTTATCAGATTGCCTTTTCGAAATCCCACCCCGTTCGCGTATCGCGCGGGACCTAACATCAAGCCATCACGCCCAGGCTTGCCTTATTCGAACAACTCTCTTTCAACAACAACCATTGCAATCTCTGGAATCGCTGCCATAAATTCCACCAGTCTGGCATTGAACTCGACCAGTTCTTCTGCAACCGTCAAATGGTCGACAACATCATTTGGTACGGGCCCTCGCGCTACGGGACACAATGGACTCTCTGAGCCAACCGCATCGCCGTCCGCCGTTCAATCAGCTTCAAGATGGAACACCACAACGAACGACACAGCAACCATCACGGCAGCGTGTACCATCAATGTACCCAATGCTAACATCAATTGGTGGTATGCCGCTACTTATGCATTTCCGACGGTCAGTATCTCCCTTTCACATGTTCTGTCGTTCATCCAAGTCACATCCTGACGCACGATTCAGGCAAAGCTGTTCTCAATCCATGGGAACTACTCCAGAGGATCGGGCTACATGTCAGTGATTCCTAATACCGAGAGATTCGACCCTGCGAGTGCTTTATCAGAAGTCGGGTGGGTTGAGGTACTCACCTATGACCCTGATTGGGACGTCGCGTGGACCTACTACGAGCAGTATACGGTGAAACCGACAGCAGCCACTACATCGGTTGTTTCCAGGCTCAAACATCCAGCTCCCACCAGCGACATCATCGCTCAGCAAGATGTATTCGACCTTTTCTCGTTTCAAGACCCACCTCCTGCGACTATTCCTATTGCTGTCGCCCAACAGACAGCTTTCGTTGCGTGAGTTGCCCCGATCATGTGACAACTCGGTTTTGATCGATCGCCCATCCATGTGCAAATCGCGCTAGGATCAAAGTGCTAACATAATGCAGAACATCGGCCACTCCAGTCTTGTACTTTTCAGCTTACGAGATTGAGAATGCTGTATCGACTATAGGATCCGATGGTTCCATCAGCAGCATCACTTCTACCAAGACTGTTGAGCTAGATGTTCCCTACGCCTACTCGTATGGCCTGAAGGGGATTGAGAGTTCAGCTACTACTACAGCGGCCTTACCAAGCGACTTCCTGCAACAGATCCCTGAGTCGGCATGTGAGCCAGGCCAGTTACAAGCCGTCATTACGGTACTCGTTGTCGTGGACCTGTATCTACAGCAAGCGCCTCTCGCAAACCCATTCATTGTCCATGTTGAATCGTCCGTCTTGGGCTTCGAAGAGCCACTTCCCACCCGTGTTAATGTACTAGATACTGGAAGTTCGCGGGCTCCTCCTATCACATTGGAAATTCCCTTAGTCATGCATACTGCTGATGGATTCGGTACGGCAACGAATGACGATATCATGATACCAAATGTGGGTGAAACGCCGCCTGCAACGACTCTTTCCAATGACAATCAACATGCCGTAGGGAGTCCAGGACAGGGACCCAATGTTCCCGAGCCGACCACGAGAACTGTGGGAACGATAGGTGGCACTCCCGTCATCATCGACCCGTCCTCACAGGTGGTTGTTGGCACTAGAACATTATCACCGGGAGCACCAGCAATCACTGTTGGAGGAGTGCCTGTCTCTTTGGTGCCATCCGGTACCGCTATCGTTGTTGGAGGTACCACATCTGGTCTACCCAACGTTGTGGTGCCTACCGCGCAGCCACGCCCTCCGCCGATCATAACAATCGGTCGATCGACGCTGACTCCTAATGCTGCGACACAGTTCTTCATTGCACCGGGGCAAACATTGACGCCAGGGGGAACGGCAACTGTAGACGGAACGGTAGTGAGTCTTGGACCATCTGCATCGTTCATTGTCATCGGCCAATCGACCCAGGTCATTCCGACTGTTGCACCAATTATTACTGCCAGACCTGAAATCGTCATCGGTGGATCAACTTGGACAGCAGATACCGGCTCTACGTTCATCGTGTCTGGACAAACGCTCGTACCTGGCCGAGCAATCACCGTGGGTGGGACGACGATATCCCTCGACCCTGCCGCCTCGTTCGTTGTCGTCAATGGCCAAACCTCGACTGTACAGCTCGGCCAGGCTCTGCACACTCCTCCGCCGGAATTCGTTGTGGGCGGATCAACCGTTACAGGAAATGATGGTTCAACCTTCGTTATCGATGGCCAGACCTTGATTCCTGGAAACACCATCACCGTCAGCGGGACCACAATATATCTTCACTCCTCTGGAAACTTCGTCGTCGTCAACGGCGCAACGACCACGTTCACAAACGCTGCGGCCGCCCACATCACCCCTCCCCCACTGACAATCGGAAAGGGCGTCTTCTCTGCCCTACCCGGCGACGGCACCACATATGTCATCGGAGGCTCGACACTAACCCCCGGCGGCGTGATAACCGTAGCCGGGACCACGATCTCCCTCGCAGCCGGTGCCACAGCCATAGTCATCAATGGTCAAACCACCTTCCTCGCCCCACAAACCCGCGGTCCCATCACCAATCCACCCATCCTAACCATTGGCTCCAAGACCTACACCGCCGCACCGGGAACAGGCACGACCTTCATCATCTCCGGCCAGACGCTTACACCAGGTGGAACCATCCTGGTGGACGGCACGACGATCAGTCTCGCGCCAGGAGCGACAGAGCTCATATACGGCATCTCGGGGAGCAGCACCACGACCATGCTATTCCCAGCTACTACTACGCAAGGCGGATTAAGCACCACGGGCACCCAGGCCGAGGCTGGGGCGACGGGGTCGAATGGCGGCGCTACGGCTACGAGCAAGCCTGGTGCGGGCTCTGGATTGAGGGTCCCTCGATCCTGGGCATGTCTGGCTTCGCTGTTTGTCGGTATCCTTGGCTTTACATGAAATGACGTAATATCATGTTCAGTACACGCACTGGATGAACACGATGTCTATCCACACTCTCTGGGTATCTGGCGCCATCAGTATATGGCCAAGCCAAGCTCAACCAGAGCGCATCTGTCCACACTGCAATAGCCATTCCAGTACACGCGAGGAGTCTAGTGGATATCAACTCGAACTCATTTGGCGGGGTTAAATATGCAATCCCACGGCTGCAAATGCACACTCCCCAGGACCAGACCTACGTTCTTCATTGACAGGCTCCCGTGAGCCGCCCTCGCCATTCTTGGCATGGCTTGCAATTGGTCATACATCACGAATCCAATGAGTCTGCCATGCTGCATCAAAATATTTCCATTTCCGGCGTTCACTTTGGGAGGTATAAAAACGGTAGGCGGCATACGGTCTTCGGGTGGCAAAATCAGGCGTTTCGGTTCCTGGACCTAGGAATCAAACATGAGCTGGAGGTAATTTCGATTCCATGGACTTTCGATAAGGCGTCACATATCTAATCATAATGAAACCATTCAAGAACACACCACCCTCCCACACACACACAAAGTTTCGAAAAAAAAAACCATATTCAATTCCACCCCCTGAGCCCTTGAATCTCGATATAAACATGACACCCACCCATCAACTCCTCCTCCTCCCCTTCAAAACCACACAATCCCCACCGCCCAACAAACCACCTCACCTCACCCCTTCCATCTCCCTCCCGCTCTCCTCTCCCCTCCTCTCCCTCCTCCCCTCCAAAACCCTCACCCCCCAAACCCAACCACACCCCGCAACCACAACCCCCTGCCCCACACAAACCACCCACCCCATCACCCTCGCCGCGCCCGCAACCGCACACATGCCCCCCGCCCACTCCGCCCTCGCGCCCACCTCCCCAGCGCCGAAATCCCGCGTCAAAACCTCCAGCCCGCAGACCCACTGCTCCGCCGTGTAAGGGCCCGCGATCGTGGATTGGTAGTGCGTGGCGATGATGGTACGCCAGGCGAGGGGCGCGGAGGACACTTGGATGTATGTTGAGAGGGCGAGGAGGAGGGCGAGGGAGAGGGTTTGGATGAGGAGGTTTAGGAGGGTTCGTGAGGGCCGCGGTGGTGGTGGTGGTGAGGCGCTGTAGGGGGGAGGGGAGGGAGCGGTTATGGGGGAGTAGGTGTGCGTGTACGTCGTTGATGTCGATGTGAACGTTAGGCGTCGAGTTATGCTGGACTGGTTTAAGGGGTCAGCGTGAATCTTGTCAGTTCAGTTCAGTTCACTCCCGTCCATCACCTTTCCCTCCATTCCCCCTTTTCACACAACACCCACAGCACCCTCATCCCCAATCAACCAACCAACCAACCTAAACAACCAACCCAAACATCAAAAGAGAAAATCACACATACCTTCCCTCCCATCCCTTCCCTTCCACCCCTTACCCTCCACGCCCACCCCATCCCAACCACACCCCCCAGCACCCCCAGCACCCCAACGGCCAGCCCCGCCCCCGTAACCACCCCCCTCGTCCTCGCATCCACCTGAACGAAACAATTACTCGCACACTCTATCCCTGTCCCTCCCCCTCCTCCTGGGCCCTTAGCCGTTGGCGTGCTCGCAAGCCAGAAGTACACTGCGTCGGGCCGCATGTGTGCGGCGAGTTTGTAGGCGGGGAGGGCGGCGAGGGGGATCTGGGCGAGGGAGAGGAGGGTGAGGAGAAAAGGGGGGAGGGGAGGGAG